GAGTCAGTGCCAAGTACGCCAGCCATGGACCAAGCAACCAGTCCAGTTGTAGCCAGTTCCTTTTGCCAAGATGCCAAGATGCCAAGATGATAAGCAGGAAATTTCCCATACGTTGTGTTTCCTGATCGCCTATAGTTGCTTTATCACTTGGCCTTTTTCTTTTTTTTTTTTTTTTTTCTCTCTTCCGGGGTTTCTGCCTGAGCTGCCACATAAGAACCCCTGGTTCCCCGGACGTGGGGGGTGCAACTGTCAGTCAGCGTTGTTAGTTGCCATTTCTCCAGTGCTGGTCTCGCAGCAGACTGTCTCGCATCATGAGTTTGCAGAACTGGGTGCATCAAACCAATCTCGCGGTGGCTCGCAGCCCCGTGGGGAGATGGTTCCGATTGGAAAACTCGGGCCATGTAAGTGGCACTCTGTGGATGCACAGCAGTGCATCGCGAGCGTGACTGATCCCTCCCTAGCCCAAGGAACGCAAGGGTAGTTTCTTCTTCACCGAGCTGCGCGCCGGTCTCGCCACCTTCTTCGCCATGGCGTACATCATCAGCGTGAACGCCACCATCACCTCGGAATCCGGCGGGCCCTGCGTGTGTCCTGCGGACAGCATGTCCGATCTTTGCGCAACCAACACGGAATACCTCTTGTGCGTGGAAGAAGTCAACCGGGACGTGGTTACGGCGACCGCTGCCATCTCCGCGCTGTCAACCTTTTGCATGGGGCTTTTCGCCAATCTGCCGGTCGCGCTGGCTCCTGGCATGGGCCTCAACAGCTATTTCGCATATACAGTCGTGGGATACCACGGGTCTGGCTTGATCCCCTACGGAATCGCTTTGACGGCGGTCTTCGTGGAGGGGTTCGTCTTCTTGGCCTTGACGCTCCTAGGCATCCGGCAATGGCTGGCTCGTGCGCTTCCCGCCTCGATCAAACTGGCCACCGGCACGGGTATCGGATTGTATCTGACGTTGATCGGCCTGAGTTATAGTGCGGGTATCGGCCTAGTGACGGGTGGGACCAGCGTCCCCATCGACCTGGCAGGATGCTCCGAAAGTTTGAAGGATGCGACGACGGGCGCTTGTCCCTCCTATGCGGTCATGCGCAGCCCGACCATGTGGATTGGGATCTTCTGCGGCGGTGTGCTCACCGTGGTGCTCATGATGTACCGAGTCAAGGGGGCCATCATCATGGGCATCCTCCTCGTCTCGATCATCTCGTGGCCGCGACCCACGGATGTCACCTATTTTCCGCATTCCTCGGTCGGGGACAGCCGGTTCGACTTTTTCAAGCAGGTTGTGACTTTCCATCCTATGACGCGCACGCTGGTCGCGCAGGAATGGAATATCAGCGGCCACGGCGCCAAGTTTGGTCTGGCCTTCATCTCGTTCCTGGTATGTGGAACCTTTCTCGACGATGGGGAGGCCGACTAACAACAGCAGTATGTTGATATTCTCGACACGACGGGAACGCTGTATTCGATGGCCCGCTATGCCGGCACGATCGATCCAGTCACACAGGATTTCGAGGGCAGTTCTATTGCTTATGTGGGTCTCTCTGTCCTGGTGCTGTGGGCGCTCGCTAATTGTTCCCAGATGGTGGATGCCATTTCAATCTCGATCGGGTCTCTGTTTGGTGTGCCGCCCGTCACGGCATTTGTGGAGAGTGGAGCTGGGATCTCGGAGGGAGGTAAGACCGGGCTGACTTCGTGTATGACGGGTCTGTGCTTCTTCATCTCGGTGTTCTTCTCCCCGATCTTCGCTTCGATCCCCCCGTGGGCGACGGGCTGTACGCTGGTCATTGTGGGGGCGTTGATGGCACAGGCGGCGACGCAGATCAACTGGAAGTATCACGGCGATGCCATCCCGGCGTTCTTGACCATTGCCATCATGCCGTTCACGTATAGTATCGCGTACGGATTGATTGCTGGTATCTGCAGCTATATCACGATCAACGGAATCACCTGGGTTCTCGCGAAGGTGACGGGTGGCCGACTGGTGCCGCACAACATCGACGAGAGTGAGCCATGGACCTGGCGGATTCCCGGAGGGCTATTCCCTCCGTGGTTGCAGCGGGCGGCGAGAGGCAAGAAAGACTTCTGGCGCGATGACTCTCTGGATCGGTCGTTTGGTGGAGAGGAGGAGCGGCAATCGGTGGTGTCAAAGAACTCGCGGGAAGAGGAACCGCGGGAGAAGAAGCAGGTCGATGTCACGGGACACTCGATGTAACCCGACCTGGGTGCCTGAGGATGGAACCGCCTGCAGCCTGAGGCCACAATATCAGACCCGGTCAACGTGACTCCGTAACAACATGGTAGTTACTTTCTGTATACTCCTTACACAATTACACAGTAATAGCAATAATTTTCCTGTGGACTCCCTTTTGCTACGACTCTTCGGCACAGACCTCACGGAAATTTGAATCCTTTTTTTTATTAGGGAGTAGCTTCCTCGCCCAAGTTCCACCCAGGACCTGCACGATCGATCGGTTAGTTTTGCCACCACACCGTCACACGGCGACGCGTGCCATTGATATTACCCATTTAGGAAGCGCTGGCTGACACCTTAATGGGTCTGTCGGGTCCGGGCGGCCATAGGAAATGATTTCCGGTTGCGAAGATGGACGACGATAGGCAGATGGGCTGGAGAAGATTGCCGGTGATGCCCATGCAGGATCTGTCGCATCCAATGCCGAGTCAGTCCGACACAGATCACTGCAAGGAAGGGGAGTTTTAGGCTCCAAAACCTGTTTCGTAAGTGGACCTCGACCAAATCCTCAGATCGAGACCAAACGGAAGCGATGATTGTTCTTCAATGTATGGCTGCATCCGAGTCCCTTTCAACCTTGTTGCCAACCCCCATCGGCCGGCGGAGATAACCAGGTACCAAATTCCAACCAATCACTTCGATCGGAAATGGGAGGCGGCAGCCGATGGTCGAAAGAGGCTCAGTCCCGTGACTGAGAACTGCGTCCAACGGATGCTGGTTTCGGCGACTCACCCCATTCCTGTTTGGGGTTCGGCCGGCAGCCAGGAATCCTCTCGGGATTACAGTGGGAGCTAACTGTATCTGGAGCACTTGTAGTGCAGGTGTACCGTAGTAGTGCTGTATGTAGTCCTGTAGTTACAGTCCATCTGACTGACCCATAATGGAGGATGGATGGATACCTACCAGTATGCTGCTACCTGCCTACCTATACAGCCAGCATCCCATCCCGGCATGATCCATCTATGCTATTGTTGGTCTGCCTATTATTGGTCTTTCTATTGTCTCCCATCCATCCCTTATACAACAACCCCCCAGAAGCAGAACTACCGGGGTATGTATGAACAAAGAATGATCATACTTGAGTATGAGCGTCCAGCGGATCGATCCACTTTTCACTTTCCTCCATTTTTACCCACTTTCGTCCCAATCCAGTGGAAGGGATGGATGTTCCCACCAGTGGCGTTCCCCTCCTTTGACCTGAAAGCTACTACTAACTGTAGGTAAGGTAAGGTACTTCCACTTCCCGCATTGACGAACCTCCACGCATTTATGCATCCTATCGATCCATCTTCTCTTCTCCCCCCCCCCCCCCCCCTCTTTCTCTTCAACTAGGTATTCTCAACACTCTCTCTCCTTCGCTGTTCCCTTCTCTTTCTCTACTCCCACTTTCTCCTCCTTACTCCCTTTCTTCACTCCGCATTTTCTCGCTTTTATCCCTCCCTCCTCCCCACCCCACTTTCCGCTGGTCTTTGCTCAACTTAATCATGGATCCTCATCATGGCCGATACTAAGTCGCGCCCTCTGGCTCCGGCCCCTGCTGGTGCCAATGCTGCCCTCGACAACCAGCAACGCAGAAAGAATGTTGGCACTGCGTGTGCCGCCTGCAAAGCGCGGAAACTGAAGGTGGGTGACCCATGACCTACCTGTATTTTCTTTCTCCCCCCGTCTCCGCCTCGCCGCATACTAACTGGAAGCTGGACGCTGTTAGTGTACCGGATCCGTTCCCTGTGCCAGCTGCGTCAAGAGCAACGTCGAATGCACCCTCGACAAGAGCGCCGACAAACGTCGCCGGGGCGCCTTGAAACGCAAGATCGACGAACTGGCCGACAAGGAGGATTTGTTGGAACGCCTCGTGCTAGCTATTCGCGATGGCGGCCACAACCGTGTCATGCCTCTCGTCGACCTCATCCGCGCCAATGCTACGCTCGACGAGATTCGCCAACACATCGTCGTTCATGTCCCCCGGTCGGAATTGGCGCTGACGCCCGACCTGGTTCAATTGAGCCGCGACGTCCATCATCTCCAAGCTTCCGACCGCTCGCGGCCCATGCGCCGCATTCTGGAGGCCAAACGGGTCGCCGACTCGCCGCGCTATTTGGTGCCGGCGCAACCTTGGACCACAGTCACGTCCGATGCACATTTTGTTTCCCACTTGATCTCTCTTTGGTTCACCTGGTCGCATCCCTTCGGCAATTGGATCGATCGAGATTTGTTCCTACGGGAGATGCAGACCAGCAAGCGGTCGGGGCGTTTCTGCTCGCCGTTCCTGGTTAATGCTATTCTCGCCGATGCCTGTGTAGGTAGCACATGTCTTGCGGTAAATCAACTGCAACTAATCAATGTAGACCTATTCGGACTACCCAGAGTCGTACAAGATGCCAGGTGACGCCGCCACCCGGGGCGTCCATTTCTATGAGGAGGCGAAACGATTACTTGACCAGGAGGCCGGGCGGATCACCTTGCCGACCGTGCAGGGGTTGGGGATCTTATGGTTGTGGTATGTTCATTTTTCTGGCACTCGTGGGGGTTTCGTGGCTGAGACGGGGACGCAGTGCTGCTCGGACCGGTCGCGACCGTCAGGGCTGGATCTACCGGAACCAGCTTACCTACGCTCTCCAAGAGCTCTTACAGAAGACCTCCACCCTCGTCCACAATCCCGACCTCGATACCCTCCGGATGGTTCATGGGCTCAACCACACCGTCTGGGGATTGTTCAACGTCGCCACGTACGGCCCCTCCGCCCGATCTTTGCCTTTCTCCTCCATCGCTCCTATGCGCCCGGTCTTTGAGAAAAAGCTCCACTGACGCGTCGGCCAGGATCCATGCCCTGACCGACCGGAGCCGCCCGTCGATCCCCCTGCCCGACCGTCACCGTCTGCCGCCGTTGCGCCATGAGGGCGGTCCGGAAGACATTTGGCAGCCCTATCCACACCCGGCGGCGGGCATCGCGGGTCACGTGGACTGTCTGTTTCTTGCGCTCTCCACCTTGACGCCCATCGCGTACGAGGTGACCCGATTATTCGATCCCACACCGCGCCCCGACCTGGCCGCGCGGGTCACGCGTTTGCACGAACATCTTCAGCATTGCGCGGACCAATGGCCCACCTGCCTCAAGGGCACGCGACTGGAGGCGCCGCATATCCTGTGTCTGCAGTAGGTGATCGAATTCTTGGTGTGGATGGGGGGTTTGAGACTCACCGTTGGAATTGTAGCATGAATTACCACTTGATTGTGCTCACGCTGTACGGGCTGGTGGTGTCCGCCGCCACACCGCCCTCGCCGACCGACCCGGTCGGGCTGCACGCGTGCGCGGTGCGACTCTCGGCGGCTCGCAACATTGCCCACCTGATCTGCATCCACCGCGCCTGCTGGGGAGTGGAGCGCATGCCGGTCAGTAACAGCTCCTGTCTGCTGGGCGCTCTGATCGCTCTGTTGGATGGGCTGGACGACCCCGACAACCGCGAGGCGTTTATCACCCTATGCATTGCCGCCCGGTCGCTGACGCGCCGATGGGACGGCGGGGGGGATTTGCTCGGGATTGTGCGCACCACGGCCAAGGCGCGGGGGGTGAGGTTGCCCACCGAGACCCAGTCTCTCTTTATGAACTTGGTTGTGCCGGTAGCGGTCACGCCGCGGTCTGGGGTGGACGAATCGCCCGATCGGGCGGATGAAAGCAGTGTCACCTGAGGTGGCCTATAAAGTCCATGTCCTGCACCGCGATCTAATTCCTCGAGGGATCTACCTGGATCCTCGGAACGGGCAGATGTGCCCTGAAGCGACCGGCCTGTGCCGGATCATGATCGAGTCGTGAGCCCGGATTGCTCTCTACTTGATCTGCGCAAAGATTTATCTCCCACTTGGGATGGAACCGGGAGGGTCCAAGCCCACAATCGGCCATTCCCAGGATTGTCCGGCTATTAGGTAGCCCTCCACCCAGCATGTCTCACGCACCCGCACGCGGTTCGCTATTACTTAATCATTTCATGTCTCATCTCATCTATCATAGCTCATTCTACATCATCATCATCTCCCATTATAATCATGACCCTTTCCCAATCACCCCTGCGTATGTCCACTCCATTCTCCCCTAGCCACCGAGCTCGGAGGCAGGCAGTCGTCAGACCTTCTCGGTCTTGACTCTAGGCTTCATCGGAGGACCCCTACTTTGTCGGTTGGCCGGGGCTAGATAGTGCCACCAGGCCCAGACGGCCATGGTGGCCAGGGTCAGGGGGATGGTGACGGCCCAGTAGAGCCAGAACGAGTCGGCCATGAACCAGGTGTGCGCATCGCCGTCGGTGAAGTTGAAGAAGTTGGTCCCGAAGAGGCCCTTTTGGGAGATGGTTAGCTTGAGTCTCCCCCCCTAACCTGTTCTCTCACGGTTGAGCATCATCGAGGACACCTACCGAAACGAACGTGCCCGGCAGATAGATCATACTCACGACCGCGATGGTGGTCATCATCGCGGAGTCGGAACGGGTGTCGTGTCCGAAGCGCTGGGAGACTATATTGAAGGCGAGATTAATCTCGTTGTGCAGACGATCCCGCAGCGAGCGGCCGCGGGTGTGCAGGGCATGCAGCTGTTTGGCGACGGCGCGGAGGGCGCGTTCCGTCTGGAGGGTGGAGAGTTGGTTGATGGGGGCTGTGGTGGTGTTATTTCTGTCATTTCTGGTGTTGTTGTTGTTGTGATGGTGATGATGGGGAAATCCCGCCGTGACTGGTGGACCTGTACTTGTACTGGATGTGTTTGGTGTCACCGCCGCCGCCGCAGCAGCAGCATACAACCTCGCCGACCGAATCTGCTCCCTCACCAGACTTTCCAACGTATGCTGTGCCACCTCGAGGGTTTCATCCGCGTGAAAGATATGCCGCTCAATGTCGTGCAGTTGGGGAAAAAAGTCCGGGGCGAACAGGGTGGGGTCGACTCGTCCCTGCATTTGCCGTACAGCCCATCAGTACCAGCCTTGTTCAATGCTTGAGCGTAGTGTCGTTTGACCCAACACTTGAACCATAGGGGGGGGTAACCACCATCTCATGCGTTCTCACTATATTGCGTAACAGCCAGATCGACTGATCGTAGACCGGGATCAGCGCGGCGCCAAACGCGGCGTGCCAGGCGTACGGATCGTGGCGGCGGAGACGGGCGGGGATGGCGTGGAGGAATGCGCGGGGATCCTTGGTGGGGAGATCGATGATGAAGACCGTTTGGGTGCCGGTGGGAGGGTTCCAGTGGATGTAGCAGGTGGCTTGCGTCCAGTCGTAGTCGTGGGGGTCCCGGACGTGTTTGATCTTGAAGGTGCTCCAAGATACTAGAGTGCAGCGCAAAAAATTAGTCAAGGGTTGTTGTGGCTTTTGTTGGGTCCGAAAAACAGGTTGTGGGGGAGTTTACTGTGGTGGATGAATTGGCCCGTCTCGTCGGGGATATCCTCGCAGTCAAAGGAGCCGTTGAGATCGGCAGTGATGATGGGGTGGAAGCGCGGGGGGAAGAGGGCGAGACGATGGGGATAATTGAGGGATGATGTTGTGGTGAAGCTGAAGATTGTTTATTTATTAATAAGTCCAATTGATGCCACAAATTGTGCTGGATGTTGGGGGGTTTGGGGGGGGCATAAGAATAATACATTACAGTGGAAAAGCGGGGGTTCTATTGAGAAGTTGGTCAGTATTTGTTCATCTGTCTGTATATTGATCTCATACTAACCGTCACATCCAATGCTTCCAGTGGCCCTTGACTTTCAACCCAGTCATCCGTCTCTGATCCTGCGGGGTTAGCACGAGTCATCTCCAGCCACGATGTCCCTGAAACAGACGAAACTCACCGCATTCCTCGAAGATCCGCATTCTCCGATCGGGGCAAAGAGCTTCAACTGCGGAGTTGGGTGTCTCTTGTGGATGCTCGGGAGATTCGCACAAGGAATAGCCAAGCCAGCTGAGCGAGGTAGGTCGCCTCATCGATCAGGCTGGCTGGATGGATAGCTCATTATATAGGATGGCCCTCTCAAACCGCCAGCCTCGCTGCGATGCTGCCTACTCAGCCGCCGTGGGTGGGACAAGTCTCGCTCTCGCACGATGAAGAAGCCCAATCATGGAGCCACAGACGGTCCGGCCCCTGTAGGACTCGGGCGATACGCCTGGCCGCTGCATGTGCGGGCAGGGTCATCGTGCAGGAAGCCGGAGGACGAGAACAATCGATGGACTGAAGGGGAACTGAGACTGGAGAGGCGTGCGTTAACAGGACTCGGGACTTTTGTTGACCTTGATGATGGCTGCCTAGGAATTGACTGGGATTGTATGGGGTTGTATGGGCTGAATCGGGGGGGGGGGGGAGAAGATTGGGCACAGCCTGGTGAAGACAATAGATGCATCAGCCTGGGAGCGGCATATCCGCGCCTCATTCAATGGTACTGGGACAAAGTCAATTAGGGATGAGTTCATTGAGTCTTGAGTCTTGAGTCTCTCTCTCCATTGTACAATGCAATGGTCATTGTGTTGCAAGCGGAAGTCTTATCTCATACATACATACCCACCTACAATCTCCACACAGCAACCCTGGGCTCGTCATTGCCGGGCGCACCCTGCAATTGCACTGCACTGCCCGCTTGCCGCTGTCACTCACATTCCCATCAAATGACCAAGTGACGTCGACGAAATGAGAGAGAGAGAGAGAGGAGATGTTCGCTCAGACTACCAGATTCGAGAGAAAAAGAAAAAAAAGAAAAAGAAAAAGGCAAACAAGCAAGTAAGGTCAGGGGTTACAGGCAGAGGCAGCAATAATTATCCGGTGATAACAACTAATTACGGAGAAAAAGAGAGAGAGAGAGAGAGAGAGAGTCAGAGGACTGATAAGGAATGCCCGATTGGAGACCATCTCCGAACCCAGTGCTTATCAGGAATTAATTTATTCTCAGGAACTTACTTACCACTGAACCCGTGAAGATGGAGTCGACACCATTGCGAGGGATTGCCCTGGTTGAAGCGGGGGAAGCAGTGAAACTAGTAGTCGTCGTGATGATCGCCGCAGTCTGACTCAATTGCTGAGCAGTGCTGACTGTGTAGAGCTGGAAAAATCGGAGCTCAGGTAGAGAGAGGTCATCTGACATCTCTTCTCCCAGTGAGGTCTTGCGAGGGTTTTTTTTCGTCCCATTGAGGGTTTCTCACCTTTTCAGGGGCTGCCAATGCTGGGTATGTAATCATCGTGACGGATACATACTCCTCCTCCTCCTCCTCCTCCTCCTCCTCATCTCCCCACACCCAAACCGGCCCAATCCACGCGTATCTCAAGCTCCCAATCTGTGGTTCTTCCCGGACCCGCTTGGACTTGCCCGAATGTGCTTAGAACCCCGCGATAAGGATTGTGATAAGGTGACCATCCCCCGTCGGTGGAGCTCTGCAGCCCGTGTTGAGCTTCTGCAGCGGGCCTCACGGCTCACGGCGCACTGGGGTTTCTGGACTGGGTGGCTATAAAGTTGACGATCGTCCCCGGTTTCCTGTCTCCTCTTCCTCACCCACCGGCCCCCGGATTCGCACTATGAGGTCTCTGTCGCTGGCACTCCTTGGGGCGTGGGCTGTCCAGCCCATCGCGGCCCATGTTGCGCATGCTCGTGATCAGGGCCAATGCAAGCAGACCACCGTGGCTATTCTGTATGTCTCTCTGCCAGACCAACAGGGTCGACCCGAAGAGGGAGAATCGCGCTGACGGATGGAGGTAGTGGCGGTGGCATGGCCGGGATTGCGGCTGCGGTAGGCATTCCACGACATCCATCTGGAAAGACGTGCGATGGCTGACTCCAACAGCAAGCGCTGCACAATGCCTCGATGGAGGACTTTCTGATCCTCGAATACAACGACCGTATTGGAGGACGTGCATGGCACCAGCCGTTCGGCCAGAGGAAGGATGGTAAGCCGTACATCATCGAGAACGGCTGTAACTGGGTAAGGGACAAGATGGTCGGCGTCAACGAGCTCCCTCCGCTAATTCCTTCGCAGGTGCAAGGTCTTGGAACGCCGGGAGGTCCGCAGAACCCCGTCTGGACTTTGGTATGCACATGCCCTCACCCTCCAAGCACCCAACCCTCCAAACCTGACGATGGGCAGGCGCAAGTCTACAATCTATCCACCACCTACTCCAACTACAGCAACCTCTCGACCTACAACCACAACGGCTACCACGACTACTCCTACCTGCTGGACGAGTACGACGACGCCTACGATATCGCCAACGCCTACGCGGGGGTCATCCTGACGGAGAACCTGCAGGACTCGACCGCGCAGACCGGTCTGGCCATGGCCGGCTGGCGGCCCCAGATGACCGACATGGAGGCGCAGGCCGTGGACTGGTGGGAATGGGGTGAGCACTTGATCGATCCCCCTCCCTGTCCCCGCGTGCTGACCGGACCGACTGGGGCTAACCATCTGGCGCAGACTTCGAAGACGCCTACACCCCGCTGGACAGCTCCTTCGTCTTCGGCTGCGCCGGCGGCAACCTGACCTCCAACGGCTTCAGCGACGAAGACAACTTCGTGATCGACCAGCGGGGATTTAGCACGCTGATCGAAGGCATGGCGTCGACCTTCCTGCGCCGCAACGACACCCGGCTGCACCTCAACACGCGCGTCACCAACATCACCTACACGTCCACGGGGGTGACGATCACCACCGCGTCCGGCGACTGCGTGCAGGCCGACTACGCGATCACGACCTTCTCCCTCGGGGTGTTACAGCACCCCGAGGCGGTGACCTTCACCCCCGCCCTGCCACCGTGGAAGCAAGCCTCCATCCAAGCCTTCACGATGGCCACCTACACGAAGATCTTCTTCCAATTCAACGAGACCTTCTGGCCCGCCGACACGCAGTACCTGCTCTACGCCGACCCCGTGGCCCGCGGCTGGTACCCGCTGTGGCAATCCCTCAGCACCCCGGGCTTCTTCGAAGACAGCAACATTATTTTCGTGACGGTCACGCAGGAGTTCGCCCACCGCGCCGAGCGCCAATCCGACGAGCAGACCCAACAGGAGGCCCTCGCCGTGCTGCGGAAGATGTTCCCCAACACGACCATTCCCGACCCGATCGCCTTTCACTACCCGCGCTGGACGACCGAGCCCTGGTCGTACGGCAGCTACTCGAACTGGCCGCCGGCGGTGACCCTGGAGATGCATGAGAATCTGCGGGCGAATGTCGAGCGCGTGTGGTTTGCCGGGGAGGCGACGAGCCCGGGGTACTTTGGGTTCTTGCACGGGGCCTGGTTTGAGGGCCGCGCGGCGGCGCAGGAGGTTCGGAAGTTATTGGGAGGGAAGTGTCTGTCGGGCAATTATACGGGGGATTGTGAGGGGAGGAAGCGGTATGAGGTGCTGAAGGGGACGAGTCCGTTGGCGGATTATACCGCTGTGAATGGGTGGACGGCGAGTAGCTTTTATGATTTCAACAATGATGATTAGTTGGGAATTTAGGGGAAGGGGCTGTATGTATATATGGGGGGGATTACATACATGTTTTGTGTATAGGTGTATATTTTAGGGGTCGGTTTAGAGAAGTCGAGGCTGTATTGTAATACTTGCATATCCATTGCAAACAAACTCATCACATCACATCAACTCATAACCATCTTAACATGCCCTTCATCAACTAACAAGAACTGATACCTTTATATCAAACACAACCCCCCCCCAACCAACTCAACCCCATCCAGTTCCTTACGTCCCCGTCAACCGGCAGGGCCAATCATCTCTCACCACTGACACCAATTCACCTCCAAACTCACATTCGCCGTCGTCAAATACGCCCCCTGTGCCACCTCATAGCAGGGCTCCACCGCCTCCTTGAAGGCATCCAGACACTCCTCCATCCCGCCAAACACCCCCGTCTTGGCCACCCGTCCGCGCTCCACGTGGCTGGCGTTGTTGCTGATCCACTTGTCCCAATCGCCGTAGTTGACGTTCCACCGGTAGTTGCAGTACTGCAGCGACCAGAAGTTCTTGATCGACAGCTTGGACAGGCAGTTGGTGCCTTCGCTGGTGGGGGCGCCGGGGTAGCAGGTGGTCGTCGCGGTGGTCGCGGTGGCGGTGAGGAGGGGCAGAAGGAGGGTTGTGAATTTCATTTTGCACTGAGTCCGAGGGGTTTAAAGTTTGAGGGAGTAGAAAGAGAATAGAGGAACAGAGAGGTGGCAGGCTGTTGGGGTTAGATTCTGTGGTGGTGATGAGATATAGATCGGCGGGGGAAAGGGGGGAGTGTGGCTGACCTTGTTGGGAGGGTATGTAGGAGGTTGTTGGAATTGTGTGCTTGTGAATGAGAAAAGAGTAGGTTGGAGATGGGGAGAAACGTCAGCTTTTATAACCCCCTTTCCCCGGGCCTGTCTTTTGTGTTGGGGTTGGAAATGATGGTTAGTGATGATTAGGGGTCGGTCTCATGCAAGGAAGTCTCATCTGCCAGGGACAAAAGTCAAATGCTTGAATGCTTGAATCGATCTTCACTCACTTTCTTTCATCAGAAAGTTTCATTGTCATGTAACTACTCATTGCTCGCTACACTCTGGCTCAAAATTGCCGCCCGCCGCCGATATGCATGCATGTGTTAGACCTACATCTCCCCAACTCTTCCCCCCCTCGCGCATTCCTCCAGCAAGGCAACAAAGATCAGAAACCCCACTGATCCAACCAATTGCCCATCAACTGCCCCGTCACTCCCCCCAACCTCGCCATCGTCTCACTCCCCTGCCTGGTCTGCTCCACCGCAATCTCCGCCGAGAGCACACTCCCACTCAGCCCGCGATAGAAGGGCAGCAGCTTCAGCGCCGGTTTGGCCCGTACCTCCTCCTCGCTGGGCGACTGCACGGCCTCCAACTCGCCAATCCACTCGGCGAAGCTGACCGCCGCGACCTCGGGGTATTTGGCCTGGATGGCGGGCACGAGCTCCTCCCAGGCGACCGTGGTGGGGTTCACGAGATGGTAGACCGCGTGAGGGTTGTGGGATTGTTCCTTCCGGCGGGTCTGCGTGAGTTCGACGGTGATGGTAGCGAGGGTGTCCTGAAAAAGATTCATCCCCGTCAGTTGGTGTCATCATTGTATTGTCCCTCCGAACCACTGGGGTCCGGGCGGGGCTTCACTTACCACAGGCACCCAATCGATCCTACACTGGCCTAGATCCCGCGGCACCTTTCTCAGCGCCACACTCGTTTTCACCAGAGTCGGCACCCACTCGTCGACATTCCACTTTCCCTGCCGGGTCGTCGGCCCTCCAATCTGCCCAACCCGCAGCACCGTCGTCGGCACCCCGGCCTGCGTCGCCGCCGCCGCGCACAGCTGCTCACTCACATACTTGGACTCGCCGTACCCCTGCTCCAGCACGGCGCGCACATCCTGGACGGGTGCCTCCGGCACGACGGGGCCCATCTCCTGGCTCCAGCTCCCGACCGTGCTGACGGACGAGACGAAGGCGAGGTGCGCGCGGTAGGCGCTCGCCTGGCTGAACCGCACAAATTCGAGCACCCCGCGGATATGCGGGTCCTCGAAGGACTCCAGCGGGTGGTTGAAGTTGACCTTCCACGCGTTGTGGATGATCAGGTCCACCTGCTCCAGAAGCGAGGTGTAGAGCTGGTCGGGCAGGCCGAACTGCGGGGCGCCGAAGGCGACGGGCAGGAACTCCACGCGGTTGGCGTCGGCGAGGAGCTGCGTGTCAAGCCCCTTCGCTTCGAAGCTGTCCCGCTGGCGCTCCGCCGCGGTGGCGCCGCGGTTGAAGCAGTAGACTTTGGCGATCGAGGGGTTCGTCAGCAGCCGGTGCAGCAGATAAGTGCCCAGCGAGCCCGTGGAGCCGGTGAGGATGACGGTGGATTGCGCCGGGAGGGCGGCGGGCGGCGGGCGGAAGGGAGGAAGCTGCGACGTGTATTTGGCGATCATGTTGGCGAGGCGTTCGGGGCGCGAGACGCGCGTCGTGCGAGTGTTGCCGTGGAGGAGGTCGACCAGGGACTGCGCCAGTTGGGCGACGGTGGGGTGGGCGTAGATTTGTTGCTGGTTGAGGGCGACCTCGGCGGACATGCGCGCGGACACGGCCGTCTGGAGGGTGCGCGCCAGCTGGATAGTCTGCAGCGAGTCCAGGCCGGCGCCGTAGAAATCCTCGTCGTCCGCGAGGTCGGCGCGGCCGAGGATGTCCGCCACGAGCGTGCGCACGTACTCGCACAGGTGCGCCCGGTCGAGGGTCTCGGGCAGCGGAGGCACGCCGGCGGCGGCGGCGGCGGCGGCAGCGGCGTAGATAGCGTCGATCTCCTCCGCGTAGTCGTGGTTAACGGCGCGGCGCTGCGTGGTCCCCTTGGGGGTGACCTTGAAGGGCTTGGACGGCGAGGCCAACCGGATCTTGTTCTTCGACACCCGGCCGTACTTGGGCACCGTCTCGTTGGCCCGCTCCACGGTCGGCCAGATGGCGTCCACGAACTCCTTCTCGTCGGCCACCGGCGAGGCGGGCTCGACCAGCAGGGCCGTCTGGAAGCGGCTCTGTCCGACCACCAGCGCGTGCTTGACGCGCGGATGGCCCTCGAGGACCTTCTCCAGCGTGACGGGGTTCAGTTTCTCGCCGTTGCTGAGGACGAGCACGTCGTCTTTGCGGCCGTGGTACTTCCACAAGTTGGGTCGTTCGGGGTGCGGCACGAAGAGGTCGTTGCTGTGGTATTCGTTCAGGTGCGGGAAGGTGTGGAAGATGCCGTGAATGCGCCGGCTATCGGCGCGGCGGGGGATGACCAGCTCGTACAGACCGTCATCCTGCGGCTCCATCTTGACGCCGTACGCAGGGTTCCATTCGAAGTAGCCCCAGACTTTCTCGCCCTCGGGCACGAAAGAGTTGATAAGGCCCATCTCGCTGGACCCAATCACGGTGATGACCTTGGTCTCCGCTTCAAGCGCATTGCCCACCTCGGGCGCGAGCGGCGCGCCCGCAAAGTAGACCGCTTGCAGAGTGCGGAGCGCCGCGCGTGCCTGCGGTGAATGGCTGATGTCTTCTAAGATGGAGGGCGGCAGCAGAACGGCGGTGGGATGGGTGGTTTGGATCACGTCGACGAGCAGGTCCACCGACAGGGGCTTGTCGGGACACATGACAAAGGGGATCTGGTGGAACAGGGCTTCCGTGAAGGCAATCAGTCCCATCAGGTGGAACAGCGGAGCCGTGGCCAGCACCCGCTGGCCGGGCTCGAGATCGTGTAACAGCGCGGACCGCCGGCCCTGGGGTCGTGAGAGATACGCCGCCATATCCATCGTGGCGAGAAAGCCGTGTGTCAGAGGCACTGGCTTGGGCATGCCTGTCGTTCCGGAGCTGTGGATGATGATCGCCACCTCATCCTCGGCTTCGTTGAAGGTCTTCTCGAAGGGGTATGGAGAGCTCTCGCTTTCGAGGAACTCAGTCAGGGAGGGAACTTCGAAGGGCTTTGTGCTGGGGTGGACAGCTTGAATTTCGGACACACGACGCTGTTTGTCGGGGGTGTAGAAGAATTTCTCGCATTTCATCCCGGTGAGAATGTGCTTGTAACCCTCGTCCGAAAGACGGGTGGAAGGAAGAAGAGGCTGGTCGAGGTTAGCTAGCAATCCAAAAAAAAAGCTAGAGATAGGATCGCACCTGATAGCCGGTCTTGTGGGCAGCAAGAAGGAAGACCAAGTACCGCACGTCGTTGGTGGCCATATACGCAATGGTCTCAGGCTCCTTCGCCCGTCCGATGCGAGCCTCGATCCAGCGAGCGCAGGCATCAACGGCACGGGCGAGGGCCGCAAAAGTCAATTCTTGGTAGCCATCGGCCACTTCAGAGCCTTTGGGGATCAGACCGACAAGCTCAGTCGGCGCCGATCGCGCGCGGTGATCGACGATCGCGGGCCAAAGTCTTGCACCGGGCTGGTCTGCCATGAGTATCTCGTGCAGGTTAGGTTGGATACTGGATAGATAAGTCTCGGATGAGATAGGATTTGGGGGAGGAATGGAAGAGTCGAGTTGTTTGGTATGATTTCAACCAGATTTCGACGAGGACCGCGAGGGTATTTGTAGGCCAGGCAGGGGTCATCGCTGCAAGGCCATCTTGCTGGATGCCGCCATCCGAGAGTGCTGGAGGATATTCACCTGGAACTTGACACACACGACTTGTGCTGATCGGCGGTGGAGCCTGACAGGGGACAGGCCCAGGCAGACGAAACGCCCTGGATGCATTGCATCGTCATTCTGCAGATGTTGTTATAAACATAGATAATGGATATTAATCACGCATCGTCGAAATTGGCATTAACGCCACGCCGGTGATTTCCACGGATCAGTTGGGCCCCGAAGCGGGCCGCATGCTTAACCTTATTGGGAGTTCCAGGTCCCTCCAGTGGAAGCAATTATTCCGACGGGAAGGATGTACAAGCTTCATGATGGTGGTATTGTTGATGGCAGTGCCGTGCCGAGTGCCGCGACCGAGGTTTCAGGATGAGGGATGCCAATGCAACGGGCACACACAACGGTCATTCCAGACTGTCATACTGGCAGCCAGGCAGCCACTGACGCGCATCGCTGATTGCATGGAATGCTCGGGAAGCCGACCGGGAGCGAGAGTCGGCCGAAAGAGAAACCGGTTAAAGTGGGCCAGGAAGCTGTAAAGAAGTTGGCAGAAGGTGAGATGAAGCGTAAGTCCCTGGGTCTGGAAGAGGCAAAACGGCTCACGGCACCGAAGCGTACACTCTAGTGCAGCCTCTTCCGTGCATAGCGGGGCATCTTACCACAGAGGGAATGGGCGGGCAATGCTTATTTGGAGAGAATTACCCTGTTGGTTACCGATAGGAGCATCCTACCTCTTCAAGATTAGTGGGCATGCAGTCCTGCCTCTTTGGGATCCCTTCGGGATTTGCTGCTGAAACATCTTGAGTATAGTATAGTATGGTAATAGATACTAAACTGCCTATATAGGTTTAGATTGGGCTTTTGGACATTTCAATTTCCTGGTCCTCTCCCAACGAGTCATTTTCCACCTCCTTGGTAGGCGTCGCATCCCCCAGCCTCACATCTCTCAAGGACAGACTAATCAAGAACCCAAAGCCTGCGACAGCAGTGTAGAACACCCAAACCCAGCTCAACGCGTCTGTCAGCGTCCGTAGCACCACCTCCCGCTCCTCGCCCTTGGGCAACGTCTTGATCAGGGTCCCCGCCGCGGTGGATGCTTCCACAATTCCGTCGGCCAACGTTTCGCCAAGTACCGCCGCCATCGTGCCCTCCTTCGTGCTCACCACGCGGCCATACACCACCGACCCGACCACGACGGACACCGCCGCAGCGAGCTGCCGAATGAATGAGAAGGTGGCCGTGCCCCGTCCCAGTTCCTCCGGCTTGGTGTTGGCCTGGAGTGCGATCAGCGTCGCTTGGAAATTCGGCCCAATCCCCAGCCCCGCGATCACCTGAAACAGAATGATGCGCGGCCACGAGGCATACGGCTGGAGATCGATGTAGAGGCCATAGCCAAGGGTGGTGAACAGCATGCCCAGGCAGATCGCCTCACGCGAGCGGCCAGTGCTCCGCATGTACCAGCCCCCAAGACCCGACGAGATGGAGAGGGCGACCACTAGCGGGAGAAGGTAAACTCCGCTCATGAGGGAGCTGACCAAGAGGACATTCTGGAAGTAGACGGGCAAGTAGAAACACCCGCCAATGAACACGGTGCCGTGGCAGAAGTTAATGAGGAGGATGGTTAGGTTGTAAAGGTCGGAAAAGATAGTGATTGGGATGATGGGCGTGCGGGCGCATTTCCATTCATTCAGCAGGAAAAGCCCAGCGGCCACTAGCCCGAAAACAAGGAGGCAGATGATCGTGGCCGACGACCAGGGGTATAGTGAGCCGCCGAATTCGAGCCCGAAGAGGAGCATTAGTGTTGCGCCGACAATGAGGAAGAGACCCGTCCAGTCGATGGAGAGCAGGCCTGTTGTAAGCGGGGTGAGCGGGGCGGTGTCGAGTTTGAGGAAGAAGAGGAGACCGAAGAAGGCGAGGCCGCCGATAGGAACTGAATGACATTAGAATCGATGTTCAGCGGGATGCAAAAACACATACGGTTGATGTAGAAGCACCATCGCCAGGTTGAGTAGGTGGTGAAGGCGCCGCCGATGATGGGCCCAATGGCACCTGCAATGGCCCAGGTCGCCCCAAAAATGCCTAGATACGCCGACCGGCGGCACACATTGAAGAGATCTGACACGCAAACGTTGGCCATGACCGTGATGCCCCCGCTCCCGACGCCCTGAATGGCGCGGCCCGCGATGACCATGGCAACGTTGACGGCCACGCCGCAAATTAGACTCCCACCCAGGAAGAGCACTACGGAGATCATCAGGATGGACTTTCGGCCCCAGATGTCGCTGATCCGGCCCCATAGTGGTACACACGATGCATTGGAAAGAAGATACGACGATGCGATCCATGAGTATGCGCTGTCAGAGGCTTGGAAATGGGCCACCATATCCGGAAGCGCCGTCGAGACGATGGTCTGTGAAGGGTAAGTATGTCGCCTCGTGATGCTCAAGAAAGAAAGCAAGTTACAATATCCAATGCTGCCAGAAAGACGCATAGCTATGCGAATATATTAGTACAACTACATTGGCTCCGCAAATGCGCTCGTACACTTAGCGCTGTCATCACCACTGCAATTCTTTGTTTGCTCTGATGTTCAGCGGGAGAGTCATCCTCCGCTGTGGGTTGAGGGTCATCTTTGCCAACAGTTTGCTCCACCAAAGCGTGCTCATCCTCCATCTGCTGGTATGGCCCAGGGGGCGAATCTCCCTCCGTCTTGAGAGCCATGGAAGGGTATTAGGGGATGGACTAAGGCGAACGAAAGCGATGTTCAGTAAAGAATGACACGACGAAGGACTTTTTTAATTCTCAATAAGAATAAACGAGTGGCAAGAATGTGAGATCCGGAGGTCCAGGAGGATCGAAAATTGTTTGGCAAGACCGGCTCCAGGCAACAGGCCGCGAGGATCGAGAAGATTCAGATAGCCGAAGCTCCTTGACAGCCCATCTCGAAGCATGTGGGGCCCACCGGCTCGATCGAAGCTGGTGTCGAACCACCAGATATTGGATGGCGATTGGCAGTATCTGGCCGCGCCCCGCTCAAGACAAGTGCCCCGACGTCATCGCATGGGGCCTGGGAATGTTTTCCAGTAGGGCTTGGGGGGTCGTATTTCGGAGTAAGGGGTAACAGTGGAATTGGCCTCGATTCACGAGAGACGAAGGGGTGAGTCGGCAGAGGACTCATCCATCATAGACTGGGTCCATATGATGAGCGAGGTCCATGGTCGATATCAGTTTATTCGCAAAGTGTATCGAGACTTGAGCATGAGTTGGCAGCCATGAATGAAGAAAAGAGTGAGAAACTCCACTGAAGAGACTTTCGGGCTCTGCAGCCGTGGCTGGCCTGGTGGAGAAAAGGAATCGTGGCAAAGTGACCAATCCCAGCCAGAGATCGTCTTTTAAACCTGGAAAGCGTCCTGTCTCGAGCGATGTTGTTAGAGTGGCGGCTGTGTGGTTTGGATATTGTCGGATGATTGGGAGTAGATCATGATTCAAAGAAGCTTCAATTTGGCGATGGCAGGAAATAAAAGAAAAATGCATAAATGCATAACTGGGTTGGACATGTCTGGATGAGTCAGCAACACCACAGACGTATCATGTGATCACTACCCCCCGCAAGTGGCCTGGGTGCCTGACAATTGCCGTCTTATTGATAAGCCTAAGCGATTGCCAGCACAACAAATATCATCTACCTTCACTTCACTCGACTCCAATCCACCTCTCGCTCTCATCGATACTCTGGCCAGTTGGATCTTCAACAGTTACATCAGGTCTATCCTTCCCTGTAGTTACTCTGCTGCTGCCACTCAATTCCTTCAACAATACTCATTCCTCGAAATCTATTCATCACATCGGTTGAATGCCTGCCCCCCATCGAGACACCTCCACTACTATCAGGGGCAGGCGACCACCCACCCCCTAGTAGTCTAACAATTACTCCACCTAAATCCTTTACCCCACCATCCTTCCTCGACGAAGATTCCGAGAACGACTGCTGTTAAGGCTGTAAAATATCACCATGCTAGCAGATGCCGATATACACGCCCTGGAAAGCCACTTAGGCACCGTTGTGCGTGAGAACCAACAACACCACGACAATCTGCAAAACTTGCTCCAGAAGTTCCAGGAACTCCTCAAGAACTACAACAGCTTGAAAAGTGACTACGAGGAAGAGAAAGAGGGACGCGAACGTTACAAACGACTGGCGAGGGGACAGGTATGTGACCTCCAGCTTCTGATGGGCCCACCGGCTGAAGGGAATACCTAGGAACGGAACCCATTTGTCTTGGTTCTCATCGATGGCGATGGCTACATGGTATGTGCGCATGATACGGCGAGGTACTGCACCGCAACTGATGGATGATGTAGTTCAAAGAACACTTGATCAAGGCGGGAAGCGACGGAGGGATCACTGCCGCTCGACTCATGCAAGACTCCATTCGCGAGATACTCCACGATCGTCTTGGTCATCAGGCGGACCAATGTCGGATCATGGTCCGCATCTACGCCAACGTCTTGGGCCTGTCTAAGACACTGGCACGTTACGGATTTGTTGGTCATGAAGCCCGATCGCTATCTCCCTTCGTGGCCAACCTGACAAGCTCTCAAGACTTGTTCGACTTTGTCGATGCAGGTGACAAAAAAGAAGCGGCGGACTACAAGATACGAGGTCAATATTGCCCTTCTGTGGAAGATTTTGTGGGCTGACCGACATAGAAATGTTCCGTTTGTTTGTCGATAACAACCAATGCAAGCATATCTTCTTCGCCGGGTGCCACGATGCAGGGTATCTCAACTTATTGATTCCCTACAGTGGCCGGACAGAACGTATCACCCTTCTAAAAGCGGCGTCATTTTATCACCAATACAACACGCTAAACCTGCCAATTCGAGAACTACCGCAGGTGTTTATGTCGACCGAATTGCCTGGTATTCACACAAGGGATTCTCCCAGCCAGGTACCAATTCAGTCCCAGATCATACCGCCCTCACCTAGTCGTCCGGTTTGTAGGCATTATCAAAAGGTGATCGCCGCCGTGGCTCAGGCATCAGTGCTCAGCTAACATAATTACAGGGCATTTGTAGGTATGGAAACACATGCGTGAAGCTCCACATACAGCCAAGCCAATATTTATCTAAAGTCTCTGACGATACATCATCCATTTCGGACCGAGAAACTCTTTCACCACGTACTCACGATTACTATGCTGCTAATCTCCCCACAACTACAAATCCTTTCTACGGCGATAGTATCCCAATCAACAAGACGGGCGATCGTATTGACACCTACTGTGCTGCGCCTTCTGCCGAAGCGCGGGAACTGTATAACCGTCGCCCTAGATTTCACCGACCCTGCAATAACTTTCACCTGGCGGGACAATGTGACTTACTCAACTGCGAATATGATCATGCACCCCTCGATGATACCAGCCGGAGCGTAATGATTTATATCCTGCGTCAGAACCCATGTGGCGCTGGCCTCTCTTGTCGGTCTATAAAATGTTTCCTCGGCCATCATTGCCAGAAGGACAGATGTCGGGGCACTAAACCGTGCAAGTTCAACCGTCATGCCCATTCACTGGACTTACAGATTGCCACGTGGGTGCCGGCCCTGGAGAAAGAAGACAATGCCGCATCGTCCGTGAGCGACGCTTCGGAGGAGGCCAGCCCATCCGATTCCGATAATACTTTCGGAAATCCAAACATTGATACACTGTCCTAAATCGCTCATAGATCCAGTAGGATCAGCCCGGCGAAAGTTCAATTTTACGTCTGAGGTCCATACGATCTGATATGGGAGGAGCACATTAACACAAACGATGAAATCATCTACTATGCCATCTGGATTAGGTGGTTCTAGGATTATCCTGTAACTGCAAATTACCCCCGGTACAAGGAGGTAATACTGCGCTAGAGATATTTGAGCATGAATCAGAAATTCTGCCTTGCACCTGTATGGTGCTCTTTTGTTGTCAAATTTGTGCTTCCCGAAGAATTAACTGGCCTCTTCACCAGACATCCCGCAATGATCGCCCTTTGCATGGCGGGAGCAACCGACAAGAGGTTACTTACTTCTCGACATTTCATTTCTTCAGTGAATGCATCGAGGCAGCGTGTCTATGTAAGACATACATGTCTTCGATGAATAGTCACACAAGCATCTGGACCTCCAGGAACAATGCCAGTTTTGACGAACATGAATCATTTCAGCGCAAATAAGCCTCAAAAGCTCTTCCCTTGCCACTTATCCCGTGCTTCTATATAATCCCGAAGAATCCGACTCTGCTCAGCTGTAGGTCTGTGTCCAGACATGAACAAGGGCATCGCCCTCTAGAACTGGTCCAGCCTATCTCTGAACTCTGCCAGTCAGATCGACTGTTCAAGCGCCTCGGCAAGAAAGAACCTCGTAACAGGAAATCGCATTGGTCGAGAGATTTGAGCTCAACGGCTTGCTCCGACATAGTTTAGTGCACATTCAGCCTGAGTCCCTGGGTCAGTTAGGGCTTGCTTTGTCGGGTGCTATTGAAACGGGGTTGATCATGAATGCGCATGCTAGAGGTATATATAACCTGTTGTTACGGTTTCTTTCCAGGCGAACTCCCAAGGGCATGGTTTCTTGCTGAGTCGTTGACTTTTACATCAGAGCAAGTCCTTTCACTAGAGCGACACGATCGATCCTTTGTTATCATGACGGAGATATCCTGCTTCACTCGGGGATCGTGTCGAAAAGCTCCAAGCACTCAAGCATCTATGCTGCATATTCCCAACGAACCCCGCTAGCCTCTTTGTCAAGTGGCAGGTGATCATGGCACTGGCTCTCTTTCGTCTGCGACGTCGGGGAAGAACAACGCATCAATATAAGATACACGAAGGACTAGTCGAGCTTAGACCAAACCACCAATTTTCCAACCGAAGAGTACGATAGTTCTTGGACTACCCTACTTTCCAAACGAAAAAAGCTCAAAGACGACCATAGCCTCTGCTCTAGCTATATAATCTTGAACACTACTACAGATGGACGACAATCTTGACCGTCCAATGTGGGCCGAGTGGTGTCCGAGATGTATCCATCAAGGGGCTCCCAAAGATTTGGTCATTAAGTTCAACCAGCTGAGCCGTCGCGCGTCGCCTCCCTTGGACCCAGACAATATCCAGTGCATCGACGGGTCGAATTTCCTCCCGGCAGTGGAATCACTCTGGAGCAAGAAAGGACACGGGTTCGACCAGCTCGAACGGATCCTACGACCCGACACCCAAGGGACAGACCCGGCCACTGGGCCGCGGACGTTGAAGCATACGGTCCAGCGGCGCTTCCAGGCGATCTTTCTTGACAGCATCCAGGACCACCGGCTTGCCAACAACGGGAGGATGTTCGAATTCTACTGTACCTGCGGTGCGCCACAAGCCCCGGTCCCCATCGCTAATCACCGGATCTACCCCTTTCCCAACGCCTTGCACTGGGCGCTGGCCAAGGACTCGGCCGACCAGATCCGACTGGCAATCACATGTGGACTGCAGTCCAAGACGCCCGTCTTCTACGGATACACCCTGCTGGGCGCGGCGATCCTGGCCAAAGCGCACAACGTGATCCGGTACCTGTTCTCCCACTACAGGTGGCGCTACCCGGAGACGGCGGACAGATATCTGATGGCGCAAGTTAACTGGGTCGGCAGGAACTGCTACAAGAGCCCGCTGGAGCTGGCGCTCGTGATCAGGGACAAGCCCACGGTGTGGCTGCTGCTGGAACTCTATGGCCACGGCAACCCACTGGTGATGCGCGCCCCGCTCCTCGTGCAGCTCTGTAACTCCTCCGCAACCGGTGTCGCGTCCAGCCTGAACTGGCTGATCAAGAAGATCGGGGTCGACCTGCTGGGCTCCAACCGGCAACCCAACGAGCTGCCGGTGCAGCTGACCATGGCGCCGGAAGATAATCCCCTTCAGGGCACCGACCCGGCGGTCTACCTGCTGCGCCAGGCAATCACCAACGGTCATTGGGAGCCCGAGCACTGCAGCAAGCTCCTGTCTATTCTGTTGGAGCAGCTGAGGCTCAATCGCGACCCTGCGGCGCGGCTCGCTCTGTTGAACGACAATCTCCTCGATCCGTACACAGCGCAGAACCAGCCACCTCCGCTTGCCTGGTGCCTCAAGGTCGAAAACATGCCCGCCTTCAGCGAGCTGGTCCGCGAGGAGGGCATGGACCTGGACCGGCCCTTCGTGATATTCGAAGGCAGCCGGTTGTACACGCTGCTCTCCTACGCGGTGAGCAAGGATCAGCCGACGGCCGTTGACATGCTGTTGCAGTATGGCTGCAACACCGAGCCCCGCGGCCCCGTTTCGTACCACGCCAGGAACCCCCCCTACCCCAGCCCCTGGAAGGAGCTCGTCGACATGGTGATAGAAAGAACCAATGATCCGCACCCGGCCGGCGGGATCGTGGGCTTGGACCAAGCCTTTAATGAGTCTGGCTCGATGTTCAGGAAGATGACGAGCAGACTTATCCCCCATGTTGACCCCCGCGTCTTCGTAACAGGTATATACGAATTCCCCGAATGGATAGACCTGGTTAAGGACCTTATTAGTGGTCCGCAAATCAGAGCGGTGCGTCAGATGTTAGATGACCATGGCTATTAGTAGCAAGGCACCGGGGAGGTTGATTGGAGGTTTGAGGATCTATTTGTATTGGTAAAGCTCTCAACCCCTTTTTCTTTAAAAAAAGAAAAATCGTACTACTCTCAAGTATATAAAACCACCATATGCAATGTTGATTACAAAGTCGGCATATCTAATCTCCCGCGAAAGAGACCATAGTGTTAGAAAAAGCCAAAAACAAATGACAAAGTGACAGAAACTCCCATAAACACCAGCGCTCGTGTATATGCTGTGATCCCAAAAACAATGATCCCGGACAAAAATGCGAAAGGTTATTTTTTGTGTCAGATGAAGTCGTATGTATCATGCGTGAATGTTCACTCGTCTTGATTCTCCTCGACCGCCTTCTCGATATCCTTGATCTTGTGTCGGCCAATGTGCAGCTTGTCGCGCAGGTTCTTCTCCTTGATGAGCAGCGCACGCTTCCGACGGCGGGGCGGGTAATTGATGGGGCTTTCGCCGCCGGTGAAGATGGCCAGATCGTAAACCATCGCCCCGAAGAGCCCGCCGAAGATATCGGCCACCCAGGGGCCCCACACCCACCAGACGCTGTTTTCCGTGAAAACTTGTCCGCCCCAGCCAGCCATGAGGACAGCCAAGCGGGGTCCGAAGTCGCGGGGCGCGTTAAAGCAACTGCATTGCGATGCGTTAGCATACTGTCTCTTGTCTTGATGAGGACTGGCAATAGAAGGAATATTTACCCGCCCGTGTTGTAGCCCAATGCCAACAGCAAGACCGTGATCACGATGCCGATAATGAACGCCTGCATACCTGCACCGGGCGGCGCATTGGCGTCATCTCCCAACGCCAAGATGATGCCGACTAGAATGGCGCTTCCGAGGAACTCGTTGAAAAATGCGGTCGCGGGAGCCACGAACGACTTGGGACCGGTCAGGAGGGCGTCGGCGGCGGTGGTTTGCGCCTGCGGAACTTGCGACTTGACGGACAGCTCGACGATCGCATCGTGATAGATGGCGTAAGCAAGGCCGCCGGCCGTGATGGCCCCAAGCACCTGCGCAAGGACGTAGAGCGAGCACTTTCTCGCCGGAAAGCCTCGCCACACGGACAGCGAGATGGTAATGGCGGGGTTGAGGTGAGCACCGGAGACACCACCAGCCATGTAGATACCGATCATGAAAGCGAAGCCCCAAGCAGCGCATTGCGATGTGTAAGTTCCAGCTTGTCCCTCGGAAGTGTAGTGTGCCAGACCGGCACAGAGACCTAGAGTGATGGCCACAGTTGTCTATTGAATAAGGAGTTAGCACTGAAGGTCTTGCGGGGTGAGTTCACGGGCAGCACAATAGACTTACTCCTAGCCACTCCGCGAAGGGCTCTTTCGCCCAGGATCGAAATTTGCCCCATATGTTGAAGAAGCTATCATCCGGCGGAGCCTCGCCATGTTGCTGGGACTCCTCCGTCTGCGGGATTCCGGTCGGAGGCTCCTCTGCTGCGGGGGGAGGGTGCGCTCGGCCTTCCTCCCGCTCTTCCTCCTTTCGATCCTCCGGTAGGGCTCCATAGCGCATTCCATCGCGGACTACATGAGGCAGCGGCTGGGCAAGACTCCAGACTGGTTTCCCAGGCTCCGAGTTGCCGTACTGAGGGTTGTACGAGTGATACTCCGGATGCACGTATGGCCCATACTGAGGCGGTGCACCCCAGAAGGCAGTGGATCCTGCTAGCGAAAAACCGCCCGGGGGCTGACTCCCCTGTGTTTTGGACCGGGAAACATCATCTCTGAAGCTCCCGGTTCGTGCAGTGGCCTGTCTCGAGGCGGGCGGTCGTCTGTTCGGAGGTCTCTCTTTGCGTCGCGAAGTTTCGCGAGTGGGGGGCGAAGACTCATCATCAGTCTCAGAGGACTGAGAATTAAACTCTTCCGGATCTGTCTGCACTTCTACAAAGCCGTTAGCATCCCTTGACCTTTCCAGTCTTGTGCAGTATGGAAACTGACCATCAACCTCTTTTTTGTGTGATTGCATCCCGTTAGTCATAGAGATCGATAACCAGGTAGAAGTACGAATCAAAGGAATAGCGATGTTCTGAGGTAGGCGTTTAAAAGTAGATGATACGAAAGCCCCGAAAAGGACGGAAGGAACAAGGGCGACCACTGGACTGCACAACTACGGAGTTGGCGATGGCTCCAGAGCGGGTCTTATATTCTCGGTCCATATTGCGTCACGGCCGGGACGTCAGGAAACTCCACGGACCATGGCCAATGACCGGTCCTTCATCTTCAATGATAAGATCCATTAGTGCCACACCCCAGATACCTCTTTCGAACACCAGAGCATCAAGCAAGAATGTGGTACAATCCGGAGCTTCTGTTCACGGGTATACCCCAAATTGTGTGGCACAGTGATAACACTGGAATGGCAGTAGCCGGGCTGAATGAATCATGATGGCTGCTCTTTGTCACGTCATAAGCGGCCAGCTCGATATCGGGGTGTTTACCGTCCAGTCATCTTGAGAGGCCATGGTGGGTAAGGTGGTTGTAGGGCTCCAGTACCTGAATATGCTTGTCGCGTGAGGGAGGATCAACCGCTACGACGAACATCCATTTAGCAGCACAGGTATAGCCTACTTGTGTCGGAAATCAAAAAGTCCCTTGGTGATTGGCGGGTTCTTGAAATCATGGCAAATGCACGCCGTCGCGGCCTGGCATGCCGGGCAGTGGTGACCTTGGGATGGTTGGCGGAAACCCATCCGTTGCGCACGCATACACATTGGACAAGTCCGCAAGGATCGGCCGGTTAGTCGGTCTCAGCGGTGGACGGGGAGGAGGATTGGGATCCACCGGTGACATCGCCGGCTCAGACGATTCCGAACCTGGCTGGCCACCAACCCAGCTACGGTACGCATGAATCCGATGGTAGCAGTATCTGGTGCTGTCGACAAGGTATTTAGGTCATGTCGGACAGACGTTCCAACAAACTGGGAACGCAGATCGCAGGGTCTTTCGGAGCGCCGCCCGACTGGGAGGCATCATCTCTCCCCGAGCAGAGATTGGGAGTCAGGCCGTCCTTCACTAGCCAAAGCGGGGACAAGATTTGGAAATCAGAAACTCTGCTGTCAGAATCATCTTGAGATGGAAACACCTGTTAGGTTTCGGAAGATAAGATTTGTAGCTCTCATGAAGAGGAAGGGAGAGCTTCGAAGCTTGAAGTTTTGGAGAGGGTCGAGACTCGGCTTTCGATGGAGCGGCAAGCCGAAAGAGGAAAGTAGGACGGATAGGATGACATCATGAGATTCCCCGGCTGCTGATGTCCCAATCGAGACACCGGCAGCCTGAAAGCTCAGGATGATCACTTCGCCTCTCTATATCAGCCACATCAGTCCCCCGGCTATCTGCTCTCCTGCAGGACAACCTTTCTCCCAGTTTAGGGAACGAAATCCTACCTGATGGCACATACGAGGTACTATACTTTAAATCCTCTTTTCAGAATGAGGATATGTCCTTCTTGCGCTCGGACGAATATTTGTCTTGTGCACCATCAGTGGTCTGCTAAGCACTTCCCTTCAACGCAGTCGGTGCGGATATTCCAGAAGCGCGAAGCAATAGAGGCAGACTGGTGACTGCCCAGTCAAACTCGGTGATTTCTCCAGTATGAGAGAAGTTTGATTCGCAACAACAGGAGCTGTTCCCGATGGGCTCATGCAAAGTCCAAGGGTCATAGTAGACGCTCAGTCCACCACAAATAATACCGGAGACCGCGGTCTCCGGCGATCTCCTCTACATGGTAAGAAGATACTCAGTGCAGGCGCAGGGGATTTCCGAGTTATGCACCTTACGATCGACTAAGATTGGTTGACGGGTGGTCTCCTGGCTGGTAGGATTGTAGAGTTGCGGCGCTAGAATGTGTCAAGCTTTGTGGTTGAGGATACTGCCAGCAGAATTGAGTCGTTAAGATTGCATCTTCGAGGTACTTAATACCGAACAGTCCTGCGCGTAAGGTGGGGATAAAGCTAAGACTAAAGAATCAATCATTGTGCTAATGTTGTTAGTATATATTTGCAATCCATGGAGGCGGGGACAACAACTTTAGAACTGGCAACGTACTTCGCAGCATTTCAAACCTAGTAGTGAGTTAAAGTGACCAGCTTATGAGAATCGCTAGTCGGCAAGAATAGCTATCAGTCTTGGAAATACTGAAAGCAGGGGAAAGGGAAGAGTGAAATCTGGATTGTAGACTGTGATGGTATGATTTGGCTTGGTGTTCACATGTGACTGCTGGAGGAAGAAGAGGTGGCCTGAGAGGTGCCTGATGTTGTGAGCCTGACTGATGTCCATATCGGGTTTAGTGGCAATCATGGGGCCCGCAAGTCAAAGCATATCCCAAAAGAGATTAGCGCAGCTGATCGTTTTCTTCTCCAGCTTATACTCTACTTGTTCATCACTTTCTCCCAGTCGCTAGATGCTCTTTGATACTGCTACACAGCATTGCAATTCTTTCCTTTATTCAGGCGAGAGATCTATCGAGCGCAGATTCTGTTCCCTATCCAAGGAAGAAAGGTTTGATACGAACCAGAGTTACGTCACCACGGGACGTGTTATGTTAACTACTTGGATCTTTTACTCTATCGCAACAATCCAGTGATGGTAACCACAATAATCAGGGTTTGCCTCTCAAGGATCCCGGTCTTCATGGGACTGGCTGAAGTATTATCCAGTCTGTGGACGCGGCGCTCGTAGCAAACTCCTCCTTGCCCTGGGCCCTTGCTTGAGGAGCACCGCTGATTGTCGTATCTCTAGGGGAAGAGAGATGGATGCCATGTTGTGCATGCAATCGGACGCAAGACCCAATAGCTTAGTGACTGCCATGCTCGTGTCATATAGCATTATATCCCTAGCATTGACTCCTTGGGGTCTTCAGGTGATCATTGCCAGGTCTCGAAGGTGCACGCCGCCTTATTTGATCTCCGCAGCCCTCACACAGCCTGCAACGTGCTTCGTGGCATAGCGAGCGGAAGCTGCATCAGTACGTGCGGCAGCCAAGCCACGTAAAGGATACAGCACGGAGGATATGACGCATCTGCCCAATGATCAAAAGTGCTATGGTGGCTCGCCTCCCGAAAGTCGCTAACAAATCAGCACACGAAAGTGGGAAGAAGTCTTGTGCGCCGAAGCGCCCCTAATTCTGAACCCGGACCCTGATATCCAGGAGATCGTGGCGCTCTTCAGCCATAGCGAGTAGACCGCAGGCACAAAAGGGTGCATCACCTGTAACGGGTCGTGATGCACCTTGCTTAGGCCTATGAGGTATTGCAGCAGTGTAGTGCTGCTGGTTCCAGGGACTGTCTCCTGCAAAGTTGCATGTAGCGGAGGCAAGCTATTGCGGAATCTTGACATCTTATGAGGCTGCTTTCATAAAATCCCCTCCGAGCGCGGCAGCAAAACCCTCAAAGTGTCCTTGTGCTGGACTTCTTCTGAAACAGCTGAATAAAAAATTACGCAGCACAAATGATCATGGTGTAGTGAAGATCATGACGCGTGGTATGCTGAAGCTGGCATGTACGCATCCTACTCGCCCGACGTCGGAATGCTGACCATCCCGGACACAGAACGACTGTGTCATCAATAATGTACCGCACCGCAAGAAACAGATCGGGTGCTGCGTGACTTACTAGTCTAGATGAGCCGAAAGTGATCACTCGAAAAAGTTCTCGGGCGCCCACTCTGTGCTAATGATTTCCTAAGACAGATTTAGCCAATGACAACGGACCCACGCTTTCTTGCTTTACTTACATGCTTTACAAACACCGATACATGCTGGAGAATGGCAGTAGTCGAGGCTGCAGACATGCAGCGCCCCATGAATTCGACACAGCACAACCAAGTCGTTACGTGACGGGAGGCGAGCTGTCACTTGGATCCGAGGCGACGACGACGAGTCTTCGTATTATGAAAAGGGTCAGCCGTGGGTCTGGGGATGATTCGACGTCATCTGTTATGGCGATACGTCACTCTCCCCGTCGAGATCGCTCGTCGGGTGGTGCTTACTCAGTCCTCCGTCTCTGACTATAACTAGCTCTGAATTGATTTCGGTAACCTCCCAGTGAACTGAATCGATCTCATTCCCCTGACCGACGTTTTAGTATTCTGATTCGAGAGATCTCGGAAATGTCACTTCCAAGGTTCACCCGACCAATGCGTGTGGCTGCTTTTCTCGTTGAGGAGGGCTCGGGTAAAGTGGAAGCGCCCACACGCAGCCGGGAGGGACTTCGGAGCCGTTGAGATTGAAGCCCACTCCAATAACCATGCATCATTCAGGGGGAAATGATATCCGGGGGGGGGGAGGAGGGCGGTGGGATAACATAAACCCATTGGACTGCGGCGTAATGCACTACTAAGCTATGTAAATTAAGGTATATAGGAGACTTGTGGGTCACGGGTGCTTTTACAATGGATACTGGGAGCCGGGAGTGTTTTGTTCCCTTTTCCAGTTCATTCCAACTGCGCACCCAAAAACTTGCCGCTTACCAATTGCGGATTTGTGGCTGGACTAGGCGTGTTTGGGCGGATGACCACCGCCCCATCGGATCTTTCCGGGAATGTGACGAGCAGCCCGGCCTGTCTGTGACTGCCAGACTGACTGGAACATACTGATTTTGATTCGATGAGTTTTGTCTTCATACACCACTCAAATCGGTGAACTGACGGAAGAGAATCCGGTGGAAACCCGATCTATCCCACGATGGTGGTTCCCACCTTATTTATCGTATCGGGCTGCCTTGCGTTTCGGGCCAGGCGAAGAGAGTAGGGATTGATGGATCACTTCTGGCTTCTAGGCGGGCCCGGTGATGTCACTGGCGAGGGGCGGTTCTTCAGACTGCCTTGATTGTCCACCCAGAAGCTCTGCCCCGTGCGGGTCTCGTTCCTTTCGCAGCCCTGTGCTTCTCCTCCCATTTGGGCATCTCGGTGGCTGTCATGACGGCATGTCCGCGCTCTCCACTCAGGGTTTCTTGCTCATTCAAAAATATATAGTACTAGGGGTCACGCTGGCGGCAATAATTGCCTTGACGCAGCGTCCAGATGCTTCCCCGCACAACCAGATCCTGTGGGGGATGAACCAATTGTACAACAGCAATGCAGCGATCTCGCCGACTTTTACGACTTTTCACCACCACTGATTGATCTCTCTCATTCTAACATTGTTTGCTAGAAATCACCATTTTATCCTGACCATTCACTTGACGCGAACCCCGTCGCCACCTCCGAACCTCACTTTTCTACGCGAGCAGGGTCTGGTCCCTTCTCCCCCCCAAACAATGGGCGACCATAAAAATTCCACCGAGGCCTCTGGAGGCGATGAAGGTTCGAGCTCCGATGGGCAACCGATAAGGTTGACCTACAATGTCGAAGGGGCCCGCGAACGCGAGATGCACATGTAAGAGAAGGATATCCGACCCCCATCAGGGACGGTCGCAAAACCCACCACGTCATTTTTGAGCTGACACAATTCCTCCGTGTGACAGGTTCTATCCCTACTGGGGAATCCCTCCGATTAAAAAGCGATCCGCCAACGCCTCTCGGGACAACGTTCTGACTGTCTTCGCCCAGCTGGCGACCCTCCGGCTGAAGGCCAAACGAGCTCTAATCTCTCTCTTCGACCGAACGACCCAATACGTAGTCGCGGAAGCCACACCGCGTTACGACCTTCGCCGGCATGAGGACCACCAACAAGACTCGAACGCGAAGGCCAAGTCTGGGAATCTGTGGCTGGGAGTGTGTCAGATGTCCCGTGAACACATGAAAATGTGCGATCATGCGATGCAGAGCTTCGTGGAGAATCCAGAGTCCATGTTCATGGTACGCGATTTGTCCCAAGATCCCCGCTTTCACGACCATCCCTCTGTGGCCGGACATCCGCACAACCGATTCTACGTGGCGGTACCGATCGTGTCCCCAGGGAAGCATGTTATTGGAAATTTTGTGGTCATCGACGACAAGCCTCGGGATGGACTTAGCGAAGAGGATACTACTTGCATTCGAGACTTGGCATTAACAGTGATTGATCATCTGCAATCGCAACGAGCGATGCGCGAGGAATATCGCGAGGAGAAGATGGTGAAGGCTCTGGCTTTGTTTGTGAATGGAAAGTCGGACCTGGGCGAATGGGGCCAGAACCAGGATGGACGGCCAACGAAGAATCCGGGTGGTGCCTTAGTCGATATGTCGGAAGTCAGAAATCGCCTGGACGATCTGAAAGTGAATGATTCGGAGGATGATTCCGGACAAGAACAGTCGCCAAAGGAGACGGGAGAATCGTCGCCCGAAGAAGACAACCCCGAGGGAAAGGAAGATGACTTGGAACATCAGGAAATCCAATCGGGACAGCAAGCCCAATCGCAATTACAGCAGAACAGGGTCAGCTCGAAAACATTCAATGATCAGGATCAAGATGACACCCCCATGTCTCCGAAGGGCACCAGGAGTCCTTCTCCAGACAATCCCCCCTCACAAGACGACAATAGTCCGGACAGCAAGGATCCTTCCACAGACAACAGTGATACTCCACAGGACCGGTGTACCTCGGCCACGAGCTCCCCACGGAAGAGGAGCTCTCATCCATCTCCGGGGGAGCAGGGCTATCCGTCTCAATCTGCGCAAGGCGGTGGGGACGATTCAAAACCGTTTGAGGACAACAACAATACTCACGGGGCCCCGCAGGAGAAAGGCTATACATTCCAACCGTCCACGAGTGACCGCCAGGACGACGACACTACACCTTCTCACAAGGCAAAGAAGGAGCAGCAGCGAGGCCCTAGCCCGGATTCCACGGTGCATAAGTTCGGAAAGTCGGGAGAGCAGGCAACGAAAAGCCCATCAGGGGCACATGCCCAGGGACGGCCCACTCGACCGAAGCTTTCACCAACAACCAGTCGTCTGCAAGAATCTTTGGTGCCTTCCAATGTACGGACGATCTTGAGCCGTGCTTCAAACCTAATTCACCAAGCACTGGATGTCGAAGGGACGATGTTCCTTGACGCATCCGTGTACGCGAGACGGCAAATGATGGGCTCGACGAGCGACCTGCACGAAGACCGCAATCCCAGCCCGCGAAAAAGCTCGGGTGACAGTAGTCAATTGACGCCCCGCAAGAAACCAGCTAGAGATCAGAATTTGGGCTCCGCCACCTTGGTGCTCGGTCACTCAACGAATGCAGGCGCCACCCAATCGCACGAACCGGGTGATCGGCATTATGTATCCCTTAGTAGCGAGCTGGTTAGTCGCATCATCGATCGCTACTCGCGCGGAAAGATTTTCCATGTCGATGCAGACGGAACGATCACCATGAGCTACGAGGGGACTGCGCTGAGCTCGGAACTGGAAACCCATGTTCGCGGGGAAAGCGGCGGCAAGCAGGGAAAGGCCCCTCACGATGCGATGATTCAGGAAGAAAATCGGGATATCAGCGACCTCATCAAGGTCATGCCGGGCGCACGCTGCATCGCCATTTTCCCTCTGTGGGATTTCCAGCGCAACCGATGGTTCGCGGTCAATGTGGTGTGGACGAGAGACCCGGGTCGAGTGCTGTCGGAGCCCAAGGACTTGACGTACATGGCAGCGTTCAGTAACAGCGTAATGGCAGAGATCTCGCGACTGAACCTGCAGGCTGCCGACCGCGCCAAGGCCGATTTCATCTCGTCGATTTCGCACGAATTGCGCTCCCCGCTGCATGGCATCCTAGGTACATTGGAGCTGCTGAACGATACCGCGACCAGTGTCACACAGCGGCCTCTGCTCGAAACCGTCTCGAGCTGCGGGAAGACCTTACTCGATACCCTGAACAACCTGCTCGATTATGGCAAGATGAATGCGTTGAACGACCCTCAAGGCTCGCAGAAGCACAATGAGGCCAAGAACGATGAAGAAAGGCGCACCAGCAAATCGGCCGGGCCGCCCGAGCAGGAAGAGGACCTGAGTCTGATTGTGCAGGAGGTGGTAGAAGGCTTGGTCGCGGGGCAGGACTTTTTCTGGCGAAGTACTGAAACCAAACCCGAAAAGGAGAAGCGTGCGAAGGAGAAAAAGGCCAAGGGTAATCTCAAGGATGTCATCACGATTGTGGATATTCAGTGGCAGGAAAGCTGGCTTTGCAAAGTCAACCCGGGCGCTTGGCGGCGCGTCATCATGAACCTCTTCGGCAACGCCTTGAAGTATACCGAGAAGGGATGTATCCGTCTGCGCATGGAGAACGGCAGCATGCTCCTCGATAACGAGAAAGTCCCTGCAGTCCGGGTCGTCATCACGGATTCTGGTCGCGGTATGTCCGAGGATTACATTCTGCATCACTTGTACACGGCATTTGTTCAAGAAGACACCATGTCTCCTGGATTAGGTGTGGGTGTCCACATTGTGAACCAGATTGTCAAATCTATGTCCGGGCAAATTGAATTCAACAGCGAGCTGGGTGTGGGCACCGAAGTTAGTCTACTGATTCCCGTTACCATGATCAATGACGAGCCGAGGACGTCGTTGGCTTCGTCGAGGTACACGAGGCTAAAGGAAAGATTGCACGGCCGAACGGTGGCATTATTCACGGATACATTCCGAGCCAACGATCTCAAAGTGAAGCCAGAGTTTGTGGAGAGCATTGTAGCGAATCTTCGCAAGATGATTAGCGACTGGTTTGGCTTGCGGGTCCTGACGGCGAGCGAGTTAGATGGACAGTCGGCAGACATCAACATCATCACCCAGGATGAGTACAGTCGCCACCACCTCGAGGAAGAGAGTGAATCTGGAGCGCTCAGTCCAACCTCGTCCGCCAGCATCAGATTCCCGTTGATTGTCCTCAGCGCCAACGCTACCAAGGCTGCTGATCTCAGTAGCGACCGGGACGATGTTGTCTTCTTCTATCAACCGTGAGTTGCGGGCGCCATGCTCGGATTGTGCTTTAGTGCTGACAGTGTGTTAGTGTGAGTCCCAAGAGTTTGGCTCTTGCGTTCGAGACGTGTCTCGACATCAAGGAACGGTCCTCGGGAGATACCACTCCTGATCGGATGCAAACAACGCCGTCCCCGCCTCCTAGCGATCCGACTCCTCTGCCCGAGCCTGCCATCAATGGCTCCCACGCTCAGACCGCAAAATCGACCAAGATCAAAGGTTCCGGAGAGAAACCAGCGGCGTCTCCACAAGACAGTCCGGTGGTAGATTTCTCGGACGACCAAGCAGGTCAGCGCCGGCAACCAAACACTGGTTCGGGACCGCGCAAGGTTCTCCTTGTGGAAGATAACGCCATCAATCTTCAGGTACGTCTCGAGCTCTTACCATTGACGTGAGCATGCTAATTTGGACCGATAGCTTCTCGAAATGGCGGTCAGAAAGTCCAGCTTTCAGTACCACTCGGTGTCAAACGGACTGGAAGCGAGCGAAGCCTTCCGCAGAACGGCATTCGACGCCGTCGTAATGGGTTTGTCCCCGGTTTCCTCGCAAGGAGAAATTCGCTAACGAGCCGTAGACATCTCGATGCCGGTAATGAACGGACTCGAGGCGACGCGCAAAATCCGGCAATGGGAGCGAGCCCAGGGGCTGGAACCTACTGTCATCATCATCCTCACGGCCGGAGTGTCGCCGGATATCCAACAAGAGGCGCGAGCCAGCGGAGTGAACTTGTTCTTGATGAAACCGATCTCGATTGCGAAGCTACAGGGAGTTTTGCGCGACATGCCTGACGCGAAGAAGGGGGCTCTATTCTAGGATTGTGTGTCTGGATTCGAGCGGGGGCGTTCATGGGTTTGCGGCTGCTATGATTAGCGCTACGAGTATACGATAATTACGTGACAGCGACGAAGAGCGAGATAGATGATACCTAATACCGAGTTTATAGCGTTGCTTGTGAATAGTTGGACAGCATTGGAGTATAATGATGTATTATTTTGAATCCCCCGGACTTCCAGGTAGTTACTGCAATGCCAACATCGTCAGTTATGATACTTAATCTTGAAAACCCAGCAGAACCTCTCCCCTGCCCACGTCTGCTCGGAAACATGGAACCTGAACCCGCCGTCCTCCTCATCCCCCTCCCACTCCACCACCTTCGGCCGACTTCCATTGGCCTCCTCATACAGTACTTATCCCCCCCCTGACCACGGTAACCCTATCCTCCAGGGAGTGGGGGCTTCCATGATTATGGTGAAGCTGGTTTGAACGAATACATGGTTTGTACTTGAAACGAGGTCCAGTGACACTACTATTACCCCTGCAGGCTAAGAGACTGGTGGCGTGGAAATTAAGGCAGTTACAGTATCTCCATGCCGTGTCATTCCGAGCTGCGCTCAGATACGTATACATTCCAAAACAGAACTACAACACCTTCACCCTCACCCCCTGCGTGTCAGGCCTCACATGCGGCAGGAACATGTCGCGGTACACCTCCACTGACTCCCGCCCCGTCTCGAACAACTCAAAGTCGAACCGCCGGAAGAGATTCGCCAGTGCAATGTACATCTCTGCATAAGCAAGGTTGATCCCCAGGCAGGACCGGGTCCCTCGACCAAACGCGACCATGTACCGCGAAAGCCTGCGGCCGTCGGGCGCCACTGGGTCCCCGAGCCACCGCTCCGGTTTGTACGTGAACGAATCGGGGAAGATCGCCTCGTCGTGGTGGACGGAGTAAATGTCCATGCTGATAGCCGTGTTCTTGGGGATTACCCACGACTTGTAGGCTAGAGTGAACTTGTCCGAGATGCGTGGACCCCGTTGTACAACACCGTAGGACAGACGAATGCCTGGAGATATTTAGCTACAAGCAATGAAAACCCCTAGGGGAAAAAAGACAGGAACATACCCTCCTGGATACACCCCGTCAGATACGGCAGCTTTTCCAGCTCCTGCAGCGAAGGCATGTTCGTAGGATCCGGAATGGCGGCCTTCAGTTCTTCGCGAAGACGGTGGTAAACAGCAGGTGTGCTGAGAATATGGTAGCTGGCAACCGTCAGAGCGAACCGGGTGGTATCGAATCCAGCCCCGATCACTGTGAAAGCCTCATGGTGCATTCGCCGGAAGGTCTTGTCTTCCGGCGGCAGGTCCGAGTCCAACAGCGCAGAAAACACCGTATTCTGATCGGCCTCCCGCATCTTCCCCTGCGCTTTGATGGAGATAATCTCTGAGATTTGGCTTGACATTTCCTGTACTCCGTTAGCAGCGGTGCAATTTGGCGACATCAGAGACGTACCCGATTGTAATGGTTGACCGACTTCATGCCTGGCTGGAACACCTCGACCACCTTCTGCGGAAGCGCATTCATGATTGTGGATACCCATGGAAAGTGAGTCACCACGTGAACACCGTTCATCAAGTCAACTAAGGCCTGGATAAACTGCGAGCGGAACTCAGGCGCCTCGATGAAGCGGTAGCTTCGATTAAAACAGTATTGTACGATGATATCGGACGCAATGCATCCCCACATCCAGTCGAATCGCAAAATCTTTCCCGTTCCCTGATATTCCCGACGCAGCCGATCACAGAGCTTATCCAGCCGCTCCTGCATCATAGGCGCAGCCTGCGCAATGGTGCGCTTTGAAAAGAAACCATTCAAAGCCGCCCGTCGAGCATGATGCACATGATGCTTGGGGGTCGGAAAAAGGCCGGTGTCGTTGCCGAATCGATGTTGCCAGTGCTCGAGTTTATCCCAAGGCAAAGACTGGGAGTACAAATCCTCGAAGAAAGTGGAATCCTGAATATGGATTTCGTTCGGGCTAATTCGGATAATGGGCCCTACAGAAAACACACTCAGTAAGAGTGTTCCACCAGAGCATTCATTATATTCAGGCACTGACCATACTGTTCGTGAAGCTTTCGATAATGAAATAGAAACTGTCCTCCGGGGGACTTGAACACGTCGAAGTAGGTCTCATACCATTGCGTGAAGGCGGCGAGCTTTGGGCCGGGAAAGTTGGCCAGTGGGTGAAGAGTGATGCGATACAAGCCGAGGGCCAGGAAGTATACCAGCGAGAAGGCCGTAACAAGCCCACATAACAGGAATGGAGAGTCCGCAAGAGACTTGAGAGCGACCGCCAGGTCCTGAACCAGACCCATGACGTTTAAGGACAGGGTTCATAGAATAAAATTGATAGAGACAACCGGCAGGGCAGGATACCAAGGGTGAGGGGGGGGGGGGGGGGGCGGTGGACCCGAGTTTCTGGGACAAGGTGCAGATAAGTAATGTCGTCAGGCAGGCGAACTGAGCGACGAGGGCGCAGGCCCATCCAGTGCAGCCGTCATTGATGACCCGAGCGACTGGAAGATGCATTCTTCACCTTGACCTCGGTGCGCTGGCGTGGACAAGAAATCGAACTAGACCTGGTGGTTAGTAGGTACTGAGAGGGGGTTGATGCTCCTCGTCATCTTCTTCCCCTTTGGTGGGCCAGGCCCGTGCGAACCATTGGAGCTGCCTAGACCGCCGGGTCGAGAAAGGGTCATTTAGTTTATGAAATGGCAGTCATTGGGGAATGATCTATGATGGGCTGCAGACAGTGCAGCAGGAGCATAATTTCTCGCCACCCGGGTTTTGGTTGGCTTCCGCTGCCTCCAAAGGCATCCGCTGATTGACTACAGTGGTTTCTTCTGGCAGACAGACAATACTCACGTAGGTATCTATCACCCGAACAGCAAAGTACAGTCGAATGAGTGGACGATTGATGCGGCCTGGGGTTTTTGTGAAGATACTATTTTAGGGCCGTCTCCCGTTGTTGCCGTGCGGTGGTATTCGTGTGTCGGACATTGGACGGAGGTTAGTCCCAATACGGTGGAAGGCGGGCCCGGGGTATCGCATCCACTTTTCTGTACATGTAAAAGCCAGTCAGTGCCTCTGTACTCCCTAGAGTCGGTCAAGCTTGGGTAATGCTCATGTCGATCGAGGATTGAATACCCAGGAATCCAGGACGGGTTCGCACCGAGAAGGAATGCTCCGTCATCCCCCCTTTGTTCCGCAATGCCGCCCTTTTCTTGTTGCTTTTTGGGCCCGAGGTTTCTTCCTTGCACGTCCGGCTGTCTGAGGCCAGTTGTATCCCCGCTGGCTGGATACGAAAGTGGAGTCTGCACACCACGACTACTGCCGGGAACAGCAGACCATCCAAAACTTGCAGAGACTGCCAGTACACAACTGGAATCTGACTGGGGACTTTTTCCCCTCATGGGTCCATCGAACCATGAACTTTAATTGCTCGGGGATGCAACTGGAGGTCCACCAGACATCCCCCATCCCCATCCCCTCATGGAGGGCTTGACAGACGGGACCGTCACCGTTTCATCCTGCTGGTTTAACCCTCTTTTGAAGGAAGGTTGAGTGGACCACATTCAGAAAACCACCAAACGCACTAGATGTCATGCTTTCAGGATGGAGTTGAAGGAATCCATGTAGGAAACTAACTGTCATGCAGGTTGATGGGTGGGGTTGCGTTGGGGGAAGGCCCACGCAGGAAGACGGGCGAGGGCCTACCCACTACCCAGCCTCTCTCTCTCTCTCTCTCCTCTGTGAGTTCATAATTTCCCCCCCCCCCCCCCCCGAGGCAACCGGTGGACAACCAGATAGGTTTGGTTATCCGTCCTAGACGAGTCAGTAGCTTGTGCCAGCGTGGTGCTGCCGATGCCAATAGCGGATAGCCAGCTGCGACACGCAATGGTCCGACCGATGCTATTCCACAATTGGAAAAATCCTGACAGTCAGTTCGCAACCTTCAGCTGCATTGGATAGAAGTGTAAATATATGAATTGGGGATGGAAGGCAACCCGATCAATCCAATCCGTCCTGTGGTGATGTGTGATTTGACCACCGCCCAGCGTTCCTCACTACCCCCCCAACCTTCTCTCTCTCGATCGGCAGCAATAATCCTGCACCCACCGGAATAGTGTGTGGTCATGGCAGCAGCCGTCCCAGCAGCGCGCGCGCCTGCAGCATTTGGACCGCACTGGGAACCTATTCAGTTTTGGCTGGCCACGGGTTTTTCAAATCACAATCAAAATCATCGCTCAAGCCACCATCTTTATCGTTCCCCAATGAGGATTTCCCGTGGCTTTACCATGGTCGCGGTCAAAAGGTCTCAACGAAATGTGCATTTTCACCGCTAGCCTTCGGCGGTGCGACCGAGCTTATGCGATCACCCCCTGGCTGGACTCGCAGTCCCTCAGAAACAAATCCCGAAAGATTCGCGGACTAAGTTACCCTCCATGCGATGACGCACGACCCAAGGGGGCATCACCCCTGCAGAGAGCGGACGAGAACGCCAACGGTGGGCGGTCGGACTGGCTGAAGATGCTTCCATGGTGTTCGGCGTCCACTAGAAGCCAACTAACAGGTTAGCATCCTTGTCGACAACGGACATGCCAGCACAGCGTGTCATGCAGATGCCTTGTCCACTTGCTCGGGCCCCTGGCCTGCAGGGCCGGTGGGTTCTTCCCGGAGCCCGACGGAGACGGTCTCCCGTCTCGAACTGTCATCCTCCACGAGCACAAAGTCTTGATTGTGTCGAACTCTCCTCACTCAAGGTGTGGAAAGCGTCGCATGGTCGACTGAACCAGATTTCACGATTATGCTATTTACCAGGTCGCCTTGTCGCGCTTGTCCCCCGACACGAGGTGCGCCAAGGGTCATCTCAACGTGTCGTGCTATTGTTCACGAACCACCAACTGATCGTGTTTCAGATTGAGAGGCGCATGCTGAATGAGTATAGTCCAGGCCACGGAACTTTGGAGGTATGCTTTTTCTGGGCGAGGCGAAGGTAAGTGGTCATGGCTGGCGGGTCATGCGGTGGGATTCGTGCTTACCTCCATCGATCCTGGATCGATATGGTCGCATCTTGTCAACATCGCTCAATTCGTCAGTATACCGCCTTCATCGCGTCGAGCATGGGTAAGGCTTCGTTGAGAACGAAAATCTCTGCCCTCGGAAAACGTGGGGTTTAATAAGACAGGAAGAATTGCTTCCCTGAACGCGAGACAATTGTCGTCGCGTTGAGAGAGTAGGAGATGAGAGTGAGACGATTGGTACAGTCACACACTCCTGCAGATCAACAACAGACGCGTCACACTCGTTGTCGGAAGAGGAGGGCTTGCCGAGTTGATGGTATGGTGGTGTTGGGAGGAGGTGGTCTCGGGAGAAGTGGAGGCAGCCATGGCTGGACGTCAACACAGGTCGACTCCGGAACCTCAGCCCGGATCAACTTCTCCCTTCAATTCGCCTTTCCTCCCAAAGTCAGCTAACATTCCAGATTTTTGGGAAAAGAACCCTATTCATGCAGGTGCATTTTGACTTACAATGGGTCGACTGTTCTTCCTCCAGCTTCTTTTGAGCATCACGCCCCCTGACCTAGATTGTCACTTCGCAGATCGATATACTCGTCAAACTTACCTGGTATCAACGCCTGAATACTGCTCAGTCCCACGCCGTCTTTCCCAGTCGTCGCGAAACCATGCGAATGTCCCAGACATCGCTCCGGCCGACAGTCAGTGACACACTTTCCATCTCGTCAAGTAAGCAAGTTGGGTTAGGTCGGTGCGATGTGAAGCCAATTCTATATCATGATAACTCCAACCTTCCGTGACACAGCAGAACGACACGGTTATGCTTCGGTTCAAGCATTCGGCCTCCAGATCCTGGTGCAATTCACATACTATTCTCGCTAGTTATCCTCCGCGCTCTACCTGGAGATTACACTCCTGGGTCTTTCTTCTCGGATAATCTTGACCTGCCTTTCATGCGTCACCCGCATCGCTCGCGCTGCTGTTGCTCAACTGTGAACACTTCTTGGAGACCTGATAGCTTGATGGCTACATGGGCGCTACCGTTATGGACTCTTAAGTCGAACTTAGTAGACACAGTCAACGACTCCCCGATTAAGATCTGACATAAGAGGATAGCTCGCTGTTAGTACCAGTCTCGTTCCGCGCACAAAGGGATCATTCTCCTCATCCCCTCGACCTTCCAAAATTGTGGAATATACTCGTCGTCTCGAGCATAACAAAGCGCTTCATCAACTACCCGCAAGTCATGCGGAGGTATGCTCAGGGCAGGCGTTCTAAAGGATTCCAGCCACCGGATCTCCCATCGAAGTCACAGGTACAAGCGATATAGCTATCAACTGGTAGTGTGGTGGAAGTTCTGCTATGGTGGCTGGTGATGATCGACATGATCTTTGCAGCCGTGTTTCCGCGGAGGAATGGCGCTTGGTTTTGAGGAGAAGTGTGCAACTGCAGCGTTCAAGCCGCCCTCTGTCTGTCAGGTTTGATGTATCGTGTATGGCGCTTCGTTCGAGATCAGGTTGCTGCCCGCCAGGCCCAAGGCAGCTTCCGCTTCAGCGGGGTGCACGACCATGATGCCGTTCGTCAATTTAGGCTGTGCTCATCTTCAAGTTGAGTCAAGCTGCCATTGACGGTCCAGAAGAACGGGTTTCATTGATGGTGGAGCACTAGGTTTGGAGTAGTTGGGAGTTGATTGTCATATAGAGGAGTCGTGCTGCGAGGTATGCGTTGTTCTTGTGCAAACACACACCATGCCTAGGGTCAAAAAGACACGAAACAGAATTCTGTTAACATCTCCTGCTTCTTCCCTCCCATACATCAAGAAACTTGAGAATCAAGAACCTGGTTTTTTCGATCCACTATGTAACTGTTCTCATGCCAAAAACCAAACCTGTGACCACCATTTACAATCTGCTATTATATCATAACAACCCTACTCCACCCCAACATTCGGGGCTCAAATTAACCCCTCACTCTCCTCGCCATGAGAAACTCATAGTCGGGCATTGCCTCCTCCACCGCACGTTCCAACATCCCAGCAGCCTCCTCCCCAAACTCCGCCCTCCACTTCCCAACCTCAGCCCCCACATCCACCATAGAAGGCGTCTTATCCTTCATCATCCCCGATGACCCCTCCAACGTGGAGAACATAATCTTGGCAGCCGCGTGATATTCCCTCTGCTCCTTCGTGAACGTCGCCTCATCCGGCGCCTCCTCCTTCCTCTTCCGCTGATGCGGCTCCCCTGCCCCCCACTCAAACTTGACCACGCTCTCATCCAGCCCCGCTAGATTACAGAAGCGCCTCACCGCCACAGGATCATGAATGAGGTCGTGCGCGTCCAGCAGCAGGACGGGCTCTCCCGGCCGATGCCGTAAACACCACTCGACCAGCAAGCGCGTCCAGCGCATCGACATGTTCGTCGCCAGCGTACCACGCATTGACTCCTCGTCGTCAACGAGGTACCCCGTCTCGGACATCTTGAGCATCGCGCGGTAGAAGCTGGGGAAGGTGAGGGCTGGATGACGGATGATGAAGGCCATGCGCCAGGTGCGCAGGTATTCGTCGGGCAGGATGGTGCGGTTTTCGGAGGAGAAAGTGTTCGTCTTGCCGTACTTGCTGGGGAGGGTGAGGCGGAAGAGTTCCTCCTCGCTTTGCGTGAGGTCGTCATCATCCGAAGCAGGTTCCTCCGGGTTTGTTGGGTGGAAGGAGAGCGGGTTCAAGAACCAGAAGGCATGTTCTTTGGCGAAAGCCCGTTTGCCCGTCGTCTCTGCTTCGCGGGAGAATTCCTCTAATGCATTGAGGCATGTTTGGAAGGCGCTTCGGACCTCAGCAACGGTGGACGTCGACCAGGCAGAGGGCGGGGTAGTCAGAAGGCCGCTCTGGACCTCGGCAGTGAAGGCATCGAAGAAGAAGTAGCCGCCTTTGTTGTTGGTGTGGAGGGAGGGTTGCTCGTGGATATTCAGGACTTTCAGGAGAAGGTTGGAGGCGGTGCGCGGAACGCTGACTAGGAGGAGGCGCTGCGCTGTCGGATCTGAATCTGTTCGGGTCATCCTGGCCTTGATTAGATCGATCGGAAAAGCTTGAATATCTGTTTCGAGCCAGTGCACGGGAAGATAGTCCTCGCTTCGCGGATTAAGCTTAAGTGAGGGAGTGGGCAATGAGAGAAGGAGAAGATGAGGACATACCAGGGGCTGATGGCGTGATATCAGTCCCTTCTTATAGCTCTGCTAGCTCTGACAGGTCGGTTTGATGATCTATAACCGCATTTATCATAGTGCCAGGAGTATACAAAAACCCCTCATCGAGAGCTGTTTCTACGCGATAGCGCGGAAATTGCCTGCAATCCCCGTCTCTGTGTCCGAAAGTGGAGGGTTCAACGGCGGCGTTGATCTCAGTCATTGGCTTCAGGCCTCGCGATCGGCAAGGATCAGGCTGTCACTGTAGTTAGCCTGTTAGGAATTAGTTTCTCTCTCGGCCTCTCGGCCTTAGGACTATCCGATATGACTTCCAGCATCTCTCATATTGTCGAGAGAGAAGACCAATGCTTTGAAATCTTGCCGGTGCAATGTGGACACAGATAAGATCATCCTGGTCGATACTCCACGAGACTTTCCCAAGTTGAGAGAACGAGCCTCGGGGTCAGGATGCTACTCGTGGAGATTCGCTGGAGTGGGGAGGATAGTGCTTTCTTGGAGGTTTCACATTGGGGGTCGGCTGCAGTTTGTACTGGAGGCTGGACTCCGTCGGCACACTCGGACCCACCGCTATCGATGAAGAGGAGGGGAAGGGATGGCCTTACAATGTAACTGGAACGGTGCATGTCAACTGGAGCAGGGACTGGGATAGCCTTGACCAACCTCCTCGGGCGCTTGACAGGTAGAGTTCTTATCTTCAGTGCGTACGGAGAGTACTGGGTATCACAACGGTAGGTGTAAGATATAGACGAGGGGAAATCGTACGACCACCAGCGCGCAGACGACCGGGTTGACTCCTAGAGTCCATGACATGCAGGTTGCGCTCAGGCTGAAGATACATACCGGACATACTCAGTATTATACATTGGTGTTGCACCGCTCAACCGCTGCTACGCTAAATGGTCGTCCTGGAAAGACTGGAGGAGTCCGGGGAGCAATCAGCCATTAGCTCCTTGCACCGCTCTCATCTGCCCCATGGAGCCCACGATCCGATATGCATTTCTGTCACCCTGGTTGTACCGGTCTAAACGTGTAAGTCAAAATGGTAAGCGCGAGAATTGACTTGTCATGTGCCCTGGCACTTGCATCACTGCCTATATATGTGCTAGCCAACACTCGGGATCGAAGATCACAGATTGGATCAAACATCAGCTGCCGGGATGCCAGATGCTCTTCTCTCTTCTAGCTCAATACATTCCCTCGTTACAGATATCTGGACACTTTTCATGATGGCGTTTGTTCGCTTCAGCAAACATGGTGTCTTGGAAGACGACGCGGAAGCCGAGGTACCCTGCAAGATTGGCTGGCGCGCAGAACCAGGGCTTGCACAGTGACCCCGATCTCGAATCGGGCGCGATAGCTTCCACGAAGTTGGCGCTGTTGGCCCACTGTTACTGTTCGAGCCGGTTATCTCTTCTGTGTAGGCAAAGCCTTGGTCGTCTTCGTACACTGCGACAAACAATTTGAGGGACGATACCGTCAATAGTACAATGCTCAGACTCATATGAAGCTCAGCGGTCGTGGTGGCGTAGGCTCCGAGAAGGGTAGGATCGGAGGATCGGATTTGCTTTTGAGCGTAATGGAAGTGAATAGCGGAGAGAGGGATCAGTCTGTGCGGGATGATAAGTAAAGTGCGCTTCGACGGACGGCAGAATATGGGCGTACATGATGCGAAAGCTGAGGATGATGAGGACTATGATCTTCTTCCTCAGGGAAATTTGGACGTTTAGGATAATCACCACAGGGAAGCATAAAATGAGCACTTCTAGGATGATGTCAAGGGCGCTGATTGCTTGCCAGCGTGGCAGCTAATCGGAATATAAAATCAGCCTTGATATTTTTAAATCATAAACTTCCAAAGTGAGTTCACTCACCAGCCCGGAACACTGTTGGTTGATGTCACGCCAAGGTTCGCTGCTGCAGCGAATGGCTAATAGCAGCATTGCAAGCAGTATCCATAGCGCGCATGCTGCCAGAATGCACTTGATCATCCATTTCGTCCGAGGTAAGGAGAGGTTTTGGTAGAAAAGCATTGTGCAAACCTTGGACAGCCCTAGGATAAGCGCATACAGTAGGTCTGCTGCGTAGCCGGCCTTGCACGTAGTAAATGTGCGGGTTAGTGGTGCAGCTGGAAGTACATACTAGGACCTCTTCACCTTGACCATAGCAAAGTAATCTGCAGAGCGAAGTAACTCTCCCGACTTGCCCCACCCAAAGTGAACTTGGACTAATACAACAGAGACTTGCGCGCAGGCGCATGCCTGGTAGTCGAACGTCAGTCAGGTGGCCAGCGGGGAAAGGGCTTCCGGCGGGGTTGGTTCATCATGGCTGCAACCTTACCACGACAATAAACAGAACATAATCGTCTCGTAAAAGGATGCTGCGCTTCGAGGAGGCGAATATGCGGATCCCAAGGGAGGCCAAGACAAGGAAAAGGCCGAGAGAAGTGATGATGACAAGCAGGCCGTTGTGGTTATGCTCATTATCCTCAGTCAGTGGAGGGGATACCCCCGGTGGTAGAGATGATAAGAGGATTGCCATGAGAGAAGAGATTATTTTAGTACTACGCTGTCAGGTGTGAAAAACATCGATCGCATCTCTGAATGGATATCATGAAACCCGCAACAATGCACTGTATCGAAGGATGTTGGAGAGAACAGAAACGCTTCGAAGGCATAAAAGTCAGCCCAGCTAGCGACACGGATGACTTCTGTTCATCCTCTTTGCTTTTGTTCCTTAGGAAATGGCGGCATGGGTGAGCAGTGCTGACCCTTGCAACCCTGTCTGGCACCTTGCCATGATTGCTAACTTTGACGCCTAATCGGCTGTCCGCATCTACTCTGTAGCAGGGGGTCTCTAGGTGAAGCTGTACTCGCGAAAAAAATATCTGGTCAGGATTCAGGCCCTTTTCCTGTATGGAACGTGCAACTGACTTGTTACGAACAACAGTTAGCGTGACGTTAAGCGCATCTTACATTTACCAACCGGTCGCAATTTCAAAATCAGAGACAGCTGAGTCTACCTTAATGTTAATGCATGTCTTTTGATCGATTCGAAATCAGACTGGAGTATATACCGGTTGCGTTCCGCCCTGTGCAGGTTTGCCGAGGTGGTCTTCGCACCCCTCTTGAATTGGTCATACTCATGCTGGCCGATACGGCTGAGAACGAAGACTTATTAGAATGCAGGACGCATGCCTCGTATCTGGCTCCCCACAATGTCTCGGTTCTGTTACCAGCCACTGGAGCTGCTTTGTATAAAACCTTCGAGCTTCCAATGACGGTCACAGCTGGTCGAGAATGATTTCCGCGTGCTGCCGGGGACCGCCATATCTTTGTGGCTGTGGTGAGATCCGAACGAGAGGAGCCTCGTACAACAAAAGTACATTACAATGTGGTCCATTGTTCATCAGTCGACGTCGTTTTCCATAGGCCATGATCCGGGCTCACGTGGTTGTGTCAAGCATGTTTTCCCTCCGCTGCGTCCTGCACCGGACGGTATCCCCAACCTGAACATTCCGATGGAAGTGGCGACCAAGTGGCGGAGATGAACCTGGTCGCTTGGTTACACACCAGGTCAGCAACTTGTAATAACAACCAACTCGCGCATGTTCGAAATGAACTAGGGTGCATACGTCTAGAAGCGAGAGTGAGGTTTCACGAGAGGAATGACAGTAGGCATGGTTGACACCCACGATGAAAGGGGGCGGGGGAACTGCAACGGTCGGCGAATAAGTGCGAGAAGGGAGACAAGAGGGACATGAAGGAATGAGTGGGAGGAGATTAAGAGGTTGAGTGGAAGAGAGTGAATCCAAAAGTTGGGTAGTGACATCCCTGTCCATCCATACAAGCCAAACAATCCGCCTCGCCGCTTTCCCCTTTTCTGTACTTTTCCCATGTTGCACAACAATTCTACCTGTGAATCCAAGCTGAACACACCTCGTCTTTCTCCTTTTACCTTCTCTTCTGACTTTCGTCTTTCATGTTGCCCTCATATTACCACTCTCTGGCTCTCCACAGTCATGGCAACAGCGTTTGGTGGTCTCTCGGACTCGCGCAAGGGGGATGATGTGTTCTCAGCGTCAGGATGTTACCCTCTCGAACTTCCCACGGAAGATAAAGACGGAGAAGAAATGGGGACCCGACATGACCATACCGATATGACTCGCATGGGCAAGGCGCAGGAGTTCAAGGTCTATATCAGATTAGTCGCACTGCTCATGCTGCAACAATCCTCAATGAATGGGCCAATCACCTGCTAACGCTATACTTCATCGCAGAGAAATCTCCGACCGTTAGCTGCCCTCAGCTTCGCATCGGTCTTGCAAGCCACTTGGGAGTTTATCCTCATGTACGAATGATCCCAAATTGATGACCCATTGATCACCAACTCTGACATGCATACTGTCTGTCAGATCCAACACGCAAGGCCTCGAGAATGGGGGAATGGCCGGCTTGGTTTGGACCTACGTTTGGACCTTGGTCGGCTTCGGCTTCATAATAGTCTCTCTGTCGGAGATGGCATCAATGTCAGTTAGCCATATGCTCTCGAGATCTCCACAAGATCAGTGCTAATATATCTTCCCTTGACTTCAGGGCTCCTACATCGGGAGGACAATACCACTGGGTCTCCGAGTTTGCCTCCCCACGATACCAAAAGTTTTTAAGCTACATAACCGGTCTGCAAAATCCCCCGTCTTTTACCTTTAGTTCTCTCACTGATCTCTACAGGATGGATGTCCGTTCTGGCATGGCAAGCGGGTGCAGCATCTGGATCTTTCCTGACTGGCACGATCATTCAAGGCCTGATCAGCGTGCACAACCCAAACTATGAGCCGACAAGGTGGCAAGGAACGCTTTTTGTCTTCGCAATGATCCTAGTGATCTACTTTTTCAATGTCTATGCAGCGAGCTGGATGCCGAGAATACAGAATGTGCTGCTCGCTCTTCACACGGTGTGCTGGGTCATTGTGACGGTTGTGCTCTGGGCCATGGCTCCTCGTCAATCGGCCAAGGCTGTCTTTACCGAAATTAAGACTTATAGCGGCTGGAATCATAAAGGACTCTCCATCATGATTGGGCAAATTTCCGCCATCTATGGGTCGCTTAGCGCTGATGCCACGGCCCATATGTCCGAGGAAGTTCGTGATGCCGGTCGCTATGTACCCCTCGCCATCTGCGGTGGATATTTCAGCAATGGAATCCTGGCGCTCATCACTGTCATCACTCTGACGTTCGCCATGCCATCCGTTGCAGACGCACTGAATGACCCCACTGGATTTCCGTTCATCTACGTGTTTAAACAGGCTGTCTCAACCGCTGGGGTTAACGGATTGACGGCCATCATTCTGATTCCCGTCATCTTCAGCAACATCCTCTTCAATGCATCGACGGCCCGCCAAACCTATGCCTTCGCTCGGGACAAAGGTTTGCCCTTTGCAAGTTGGGTCTCACACGTGAATCAGAGCTACAAGTTACCCGTCAATGCGATTGCCTTGTCCTGCATTATTAGCGGTCTTCTCTCACTCATCAACATCGGCTCCGACACTGCCTTCAACGCGATCATTTCGCTAAATGTTGCGGCTCTGATGTGGACCTATGCGATTTCAATCAGTTGTGTCATGTATCGCAAGATCTATCTTCCCGATACACTCCCACAGCGGCGGTGGAGCCTAGGCCGGCATGGTCTTTGGGTCAATGCCACGGGCCTAGTATATGTTCTTTTCGCACTCTTCTGGTCATTCTGGCCCCCAGAGATACCAGTGACTTTAAAAAATTTCAACTGGAGTGTCGTATTGTTCGTTTGGGTCTTTTTCATCAGTGTTGCCATGTACATGTTCCAAGGAAGATGGGTGTATAGAGGACCTGTGATGGATGTCAAACGGCTATACTAGCAGTGCAATGCAATGTGCGGGGTCGGTGATTCACGTGCCTGCGCCCCTGCCCCTCTCCTATCCTGGGTTTTCCCCCTCACTGCCACTCAGCTCAGCTCATCTTGCCACGGCACTTACTCAATTATTTGAAAAAATGCGAGCGATTGTCTCCGCTCTAGTATGTACTAGGTACACAGTAGGTACGCTATGAGGGAACTGGAACTGTGTCTACGCCCCTCTTAGGTGAGAATGACTCGTTCTCGGGACAATGGAGAAGCGAGCTCCGACCCTCTATTTAGCCTTAAATCCTTGGATGAAGTAAGTCATCGAGGTCAGATCTTCACTCTTCGAGCCAACCATACCAGCTCTCCAATTCTCGACCGTCATTTGAAGTCCAAACTTTCCAGGATTCGACCACGATATCCAGTGAATGAGTATCAGTTGCCATGAGTTCACGGTTCCAAAAAAGGTTGCTGCTCATCTACCGACCGCTGCAAACTTCCATGGGTTCCAGCCATCACACTTGAACCGAGCCCCCTTGCCTGTCAAGATGTTCCTATTCCTGGAGAATTTCACCAAGTCCCCACAATACCTGCAGCACTCTATAACCGGCAAAATGACTCGGTCTGGAAACGGCTTGTCTTCATAACCCCGCATGGAGAGCGTTGCAGAAGAAGAAGGGATGAAAGAGTGGGCAGCTACATAATGAGATGTTTCTTCCGTCTAGAGTATGCACGGAAAATTGTGAGTCGTTTCTTATTCTAAACACTAAATTCGAACCTGCTTCTAACAAACATGAAGCCCGTTCTTTGGTTGTCGACCATCTTCAATGTCGCAGGGGCCCTTCCCGGCTTCTCCAATGGCGCTTCAGCTCCTACTGTTGACCTTGGATATGCCAAATATCAAGGCACGCGTCTTCCGGGAGGAGTGGATCAATTCTTGGGTATGCGCTATGCAGCTCCTCCATTGGCAGATCTCCGATTCCGAGCACCTCAGGATCCTGTGAAGAATAGCACATTGCAAGCTGCCACCAAGGTATGAGGCACCCTCTCCTCCCTCAAGCTCACGCATTTGCTTTAGTGCTGATGGAGGAAGGTAGTATGGACCAATTTGCATTGGGGTGGGCCAAGATGACAACCCTAGTGAATGGACAGAGGATTGCCTGTTCATCAACGTCTTCAAGCCTTCTACAGCCACGGCCAAGTCAAAGCTACCAGTATGGTTTTTTATCCAGGGAGGGGGGTATGCACAGAACTCGAATGCAAATTATAATGGCACAACTGTCGTGGAGGAGTCCGGACAAGGGCTTGTGTTTGTCACGCTCAACTACAGGGTCGGCGCCTTGGGCTTCCTGGCTAGTGAGGAGGTAAGGAAGAACGGCGACTTGAATGTGGGTTTGCTAGACCAACGAAAGGCTCTTCATTGGATCAAACAGCACATCGCATCGGTATGTCTATTATAGTCCTCGGAACAATTCTGTCGACTAATAAGACTGACCGATATAGTTTGGCGGAGACCCAGACCACATCGTAATTCACGGTGTCTCTGCAGGCGCAGGATCGGTCGCATTCCATCTGACTGCATTTGGAGGTAAAGATGAGAAGTTATTTGTCGGCGCCGTGGTTGAATCATCGTTTTGGCCCACGCAAAGGACGGTCGCTGAGATGGAATTCCAATATGACCGATTCGTTGATGAGACCGGCTGTTCCAATGCAAGTGAACCGCTGCAATGCTTGCGACAAAGCGACATTGCGACCCTTCAACGTGCCAACACCGCTGCTCCCTTTCCGGGGGGCAGCAGTAGTCCACTTCCCGATTGGTACTGGTTGCCGGTAACGGATGGCTCTCTTGTCCCTGAGCTTCTATATGATGCCTTCAAAAAGGGTCATTTCATCAAGGTCCCGACCCTGGTGGGTGATGACACAGACGAAGGCTCGAACTTTGCCTACAACGCCAGTACACGCTCGGACGTGTCGCAGTTCTTCAAGAACAATTACCCTCACTTAACCGACGCACAGCTGGGAACAATTCTGGACGCCTATCCCCATGGAACCCCCTTACCCAAGCATGGAGCCTGGTTCAGAACCTCGTCGGATGCTTACGGGGATTCGACTTTTACGTGTCCCGGCAACCATCTCACGGTGTCCGTCGCCAAATACCTTCCGCAGTCGACATGGAACTACCGAGTCAATATTCTCGATCAGTCTAATTTGGCTGGCGGCATTGGAGTGCCACATACTTTTGAACTCCCCGCAATCTTTGGGGCAGGGAGTACCGGGGCCCTTAGTAGCAGCTCCTCATATCTCACCTACAACGCGGGCATTATCCCGGTGACCATGCACTATTTCATCAGTTTTGCCATCAAGCTCAATCCAAATCCACTGCGATATGGCGGTGCGCCCAAGTGGAACACCTGGGGTAGTGGATCACGCATGCGGTTGCAGACAAACAGCACCGCCATGGAGGAGGTGCCTGCATTGTCGGTGCGGCGCTGCCAGTTGTGGGAGGACCTGAGTGAGACAACCGAGGTGTAGAAGGCACTGGTAGCATATGCTCTTACGATAGACCCAAGCATATCATCGAACAATCCATGTATAGTGTCTTGTCAGATGCTTGGCGTTTGTAATGGGCACGCGGCCAAGATGCCAATCTCTCAGCCTTACGTCGCGACGATCGCTTTCTTTTTGTCCCGTGTTTGTCCCGTCCATCTTTCTTTCCTCCATCTTTTCCTCCGGCTTGTCCAACTTTTCTCATATCACTTCACCTTCTGCAACCTTCTACCTCATAGCTTAATATATCGCGATATTTGCCAGAGCATGAAGATGAGTGCAGACACAGACACAGTGTCTCCCCCACCGCCTCAACAGCCGAACCCCACTGTGCGTGACGTCACCGATAAGGAGCGAAACGCCGCACAAACCATCCAGGTTCGGAGGTCTCTTTGCCCAGTCTTCTCGGTCGCTGTCACTGACCTGAATTCCATATCAAGAGAGTCTATCGAGGCTATCGTACGCGAAGAGAATTGCGAGGACTGGGACTTACACAGAACATATCACGTTTAATCGAGGTAATCTTCTACCACCGGTAAACCCGCCCGCACTGATCGCTCACAATCTCTTCCTGACAGACCGTCAAAGAAGCCGAATGGCGTCAAATCCACCGGCCCTCCGCCCCAGAAGATGCCAATAACCTCGACAGTGCCACGCAGGCACGCAAAAACTGGCTCCGCGCCGTCAGTGTTGCCAAACGAGCCGGAGGCGACGATGACGACGACATCCTGCCCGCCCTGCGCGACGAGCCCGCGATCACCGCGGCCGACCAGCATGATCACCACTCCTCCCCTCAAAGCACCAGCAGCCACGGTCCTATTCACCATGACCTCCCCGCCGGAACGACTGCCAAGATGATGGACCTCCAGTATTTTCTGGAGATGGTCGACCTGAAACACCGGCACGGCAGCAATTTGCGCGTGTACCACATGTACTGGAAGACCGCGCCCACGCAGGAGAACTTTTTCTACTGGCTCGACTACGGCGAGGGCAAAGATCTCGATCTGCCGCAGTGTCCGCGCGAGAAGCTCGAGCGCCAGCAGGTTCGCTACCTCAGCCGAGAAGAACGCATGAACTATCTGGTCACGGTCGACACTGCGGGGCGGTTTCGCTGGGCACGAAATAATGAGCTGGTGTGGACGGATAGTAAGCGTTTCAAGGACAGTTTGCACGGCGTCGTGCCGGTTGAGAAGGATGCGCCCCGGTTCCAGGGGAATAGTGCTGCTGTTGCTGAGGCTGATGGCTCTGCGTCGTTAGCAACTTCATCCTCCTCCTCGTCGCTATCATCGCTCTCCTCGTCGGATTTTAGCACGGCTGAAAGTGTGCATGATGATACAGTTGGAAAGCATGACAGCGATCAGTACAAGGCGGCCAGGGTGGCCAAGAAATTCGTGCATACCACACCCGCAACCATGTTCAATGCACTGAAAGGGAAGTCAACGAAGAGGAAGGAGGATATGTGGATCTTTGTGAGTCACTTTCTGGCCCAGTCGCTGCTCGTACAGTTGTCTCTGACCAGGATTCGTTGGGACTAGGTGGCCGATACCTCCTTCCGGCTCTTTGTCGGGATCAAAGAATCCGGTGCCTTCCAGCACTCGTCCTTTCTCCGCGGCGCACGCATCGCCGCCGCGGGACTCATCAAAATCCGCAATGGCCAATTGCGGAGCCTTGCCCCTCTGAGGTAAATCCTTTTTCCATCTATACTCACTTTCAGACCACGAAGAAAGCTGACCAGATCACCAGTGGCCACTATCGACCCCCTGCCGCCAACTTCCGAGCCTTCGTGCATTCTCTTCAGGACCAAGGTGTCGACATGTCGGGCGTCTCAATTAGCAAGTCCTACGCCGTCTTGATAGGAATTGAAGGCTACACGCGGACCAAGCGTACGGTACGCGCTTTGCATGAGAAGGCGGATGAGACCAAACATAAACTTCTGCGGAAACGGAGGGAGAAGGCTGAGGCGCATGAGCGAGGAGCAGAGACGATCAACAAGTCCGATCAGCCGAGTGACGTGGCTCCGGATACGACTGAGCATGCCAGAGAGGCTGAGGTAGACTCCGAAAGCAGGCCTCGGACGACGAGCCTACCCCTTCGGCAGAAGTCTTTTGCGAGCGCGTGAATTTTGGTTGTGGGTTGCTTTGTCTTCGTTTCTAATCGCTGTTCTCTCCGACGCGCTACGACTACGATATGCTTTTCTTCCCATGTTACTTTCTGTTTATACCCCGCCTAGGAATATTGCAGAATATTGATTTCTCGTCATGGTTTCTTCAAGTTGTGATCTTACTGGTGGGATCCACTTTGCAGCCTTCGGGAATATATCCCGCAGTACGCTACAGCCCGCTACAGCCGGTTAGAAGGGTGCACTCCGGAGCAACTGAGAGAGCAACAGTTATCTTTTCTTAGACCTTGTAATGCTAGTACCGGGTTATCACCATCTACATTGATCTTTCAAGAACCATACTAGTTTAGAAATTCCCTACAAGGGTAAAAGGCAACTCTTGTGGTAGTTAGGACTCGCACTAAGGTCACGTGGTATGCCTTGGAGAAGCAAGGCGCTTCCCATCCGGTAGTTGTTTCAGGCACTTAGTACCAGCAACGCCATGATTGAATCTATCTATCTATTAAAGACAACACCTGATCAATTGATGGAACCCATCTCCCACGACCACAAAGTTGACAAAACACTAGTTGCTCATCAGGGGAGGTGGTGATTTTAGCCGGTGGCACATTTGGCGAGAGCTTTTCTGATCTCGCCTTTCGCGCCGCGTAAATGCGAAACTCCACTTGATCCTCGATTGTTGGCTAAGCTGATTCAGGATCTGGTCTATGGTCCGATGATATGACTTTCGCTCAGGATTTTATGTGATACAGTCTAAAGGGGCCAACAGACCTAGGAATCACGGACACGGATGATGACCTGCTACTGAGAGAATCAACTTGCGAGGAATCGCCGGGTGCCTCTACCACGCGTGTCGAGCAATGCGCGATTAGCCGAAAGTGGAATGGATGGCATGAAGGCGAGAGTGAGAGGGGTAATTTGAGACATGGCTGATTAGTGCCTGCAACCTGGCCCGGCGGATGTAACCAACCCACTGATTCTGAAGTGAGAGGAAAGATAAGTGGGTTCTTGTTGGGAGTCAGCCATTGGCACCGTGTTCAGGTTCTCAATCGCTGCACTTGGCATGATGATAAGTCTGGCAAGATGATGGGCGGATAAACTCATTGATTGTACAGCTCCACGAGGTCTAATATTTCGATGCCTTTATTGCGCTGTGTAGAAAGAAGGTGGACTTTGCGCGATTATCTGATCCGCTTTGGCCCGAAAACACTTGGCCCTAATGGATTTTCACATCCTCGCAGGGCTGGCTTCCCCACCGCGGCCATATACCCTTCAACGGGTCAACAAGCATTTCTTGATCTGCACTGGATACGTATGCCATGCGAATCTGCTCAGCCTACACCTCGTAGGGCTGATAGTTGACATCAACTTCAATTGGGATCTCTTTCTGTCAGCGGTACTGTATGTCTGGTTTCTGATGGTGGCGGGATCTGATAAGAGAACGGGAACCAAAAATGCATATTCCGCTGCCCGGCTCGCAGAGCGCATCAGCCTGGAAGTCTGGTAAGTAGAGTTCTCTCTGGTGCAGCAGCACCGTTTTTTCCCGAACCAATTTCGGACACAATCAGATAATGTCTCGTCTCCGTGCATGAGTTCACATATGGATTCACGATCATTGATTCGCCAATCCTCTCCACCGGACCCTCCATTTCTGCGACTAGTGTGGAATGCATCCACGGGCGAAGGGGGTGCCAGTGGCTGACCACTGATCCTTAGGGATAAGCTAGCCGATCGCTTAGCCGAGCACAATTCATCACTGGCAAAGTGGTTACTACTGCGCAAAATAACATGCGGGAACAGTCTGAGGATAAGCCAAAGCAACCAAGCTTGCGCCAATATTAACGGAGGTACAGGATGGTCTTTCGTATGATCTCTACGATTGTTTCAATTGACGCGGAACTTTCGGCCACAAGAGTACTGCAACTAATGAGGAACACTGGAGCCGAAGCCCAGGACCCACCACCGCTAGGCAGACACCCTTTTCACCCTGAATTCATAAGGCTGGATAGGGCTGAGCCAAGTTGCGAGCCAAGTCGGACAGAGACCGGGCCCACTCTGTCTTTCCCCCCACCAGCAGGGTGGTCGTGATGACGGTGGTCGCACAGGGCCGGTGGTGAGTGGAAAATTCCGTCGACCGTTCATCCCAGCTGCCCGTTAAGTATCGCCAACCTCCTAGTACCACTGGATCTTATCTGATGGAAAATATCTGATCGATCTGATAATCTTGCCCTTCCGCGCACTTGTACTATCATTTCGCGGCAATTGATTCCCACTCCGTTTGGGCTCGAGTCTGGTCGCTCACCCCCTTTTCTCTTTCTTTGCCTCGCAATGGCCACCGACATCAAGGGCGCGGACAAGGAAGATGTCTACGCCGTGAATAATGAGGACAAAGGTTGGTTTTTCCCCTATGCCACAGAAAACTCCCGGTCGCGTGTGCTGATGGGTCGATTCCGCCGCTCCAGCCGAAGTGTCATCACAAACCGAGGTGCTGCGAGCTGCTGGCATTGGCATCTTCGAGGATGACCCGACGGAGCCGGTCCTGACCCTGCGCATGTGGGTGCTTGGCATCGGCTTCTGCATTGTTGCCAGTGGGCTCAACACCCTGTACACCCTCCGCAACCCATCTATTACAATCTCCGCCACCGTCGTTCTCCTCCTCGCATACCCGTTAGGCAAGCTGTGGGAAAAGGCCATCCCCGCTTGGAATGTGCCTCTGGGAGCATGGAGTTTCAACTTGAATCCAGGACCGTTCAGTCAGAAGGTATGTACTGCACGACCCAAGCCCACCACGTCGAAATTGCAATAACATGTGGCAGGAACATGTCTTGATCTATATGATGTCCAACCTGAGCATTTACGTCCGCCTGGGCGCGGATGTTCTGACCGAACAGCAAAAGTTCTACGGATACAGTGCAGGCTGGGGATTTCAGATCCTCATCACCTTGGGAACATTCTTCATTGGGTTCTGTCTCGCTGGCTTTTACCGTGCTCTAGTGGTAGAGCCTCGCGAGCTCGTCTGGCCGGGTGTTCTGAGCTGCACTGCACTGACGACTACCTTGCACCAAATAGGCCAAAGGGATGTTCAAGGACTGTAAGTGTTGTTTTGACCTGTTGGAAGCTGCCGAACTAATCGAGAGGGCTAGAAACGAAACATGGAAGATCTCACGTTACGGCTTCTTCAGTCTCGCTTTCTGTATCTCCTTCTGCTGGTACTGGTTCCCAGACTTTATCTTTCCGGCATTGAGTTATTTCACTTTTCCCTGCTGGATCAGTCCTAAAAACGTGGTTGTCAACCAGCTATTTGGCATGGAGAGTGGCATGGGGTTATTGCCTATCACCTTTGACTGTGAGAATTTGAAGCTACATGTGTAATCACTATTTGCAACACGACGCTAACGAGACTCATACGCAGGGAGTCAAATCTCGTACGTTGGGTCACCGCTGTTGATCCCTTCCTGGGCGATTATCAATGTTTTCGCTGGATTGGCCTTTTGGATCTGGATTGTAGCGGTCGCATGCTACTATACAAACATCTGGTACTCCGGCCACCTTCCATTCCAAAGTTCCTCAGGTAAGATACCTACCGTCACAGTTTTGTTTGATTTCTGCTGAGAAGGGACCTCTACCCAGTGTATGACAATACTGGCGCCGTGTACAAAGCATCCAAGGTCGTTAGTGCGGCCACTGGATACAAATTGGATCTCGCGAAATACAAAGCTTATTCGCCTGTAAGTTCCTGGAGAGATATTAGATCCAGGAGCACAGCTAACATGTATGATTAGGTGTACGCTCCCGTCACCTACGCCCTGAATATGTTTGGACTGTCCTTTGCGACGCTGAGCTCACTTCTTGTGTGGACCCTCCTCGAGAAGCGAGATGTTTTGGCCGCTGCTGCGCGGAGAATTCCTGGACTACTTCGTCGATCCTTCTCCGACGAGCAGGAAGAACCGGAAAAAGCCGGTGGGCATCCTGGAGTCCCTACCTGGTGGTACCTCATCACTGCTATCGTTGCGTTATTTACGACTATCTTTGCTGTCGAATACTGGCGTGTTGAACTGCATTGGTATGGCGTGCTCCTGGCCTGTGCTGTTGCCATGGTGTTCTACGGACCGGTAAGTTGGTTTGGCTGGTGTCGTCAGACTCTGTGCACAATACTAAGTTCTCTTTAAGTTGGCGCTGGTGTACGCCACCTCGAACCTGAAGATCAACATTGATATCCTGTGCCGCATCATCGCTGGGTTCGTCTTTGAGAACCGCGTCCTGGCCAACATCTGGTTCTTCGACATTGGCTACATCACCACCATCAAGGGTCTTTACTTTGCCCAGGACATGAAACTGGGGGATTACTGTCACGTAAGTATACCTCCTCCATCGTGAGCCAGCAAAAACACAACGTGCTGATATAATTTTCTGCAGGTGCCCCCCCGCAAAGTCTTCCTGGTGCAAGTAGTTGGCATGATCGCAGGCACGCTCAGCTCGGTCTGCGTTCTAAATTGGGGCCTCGGCCACATCGAAGGGATTTGCACGACGACGGGCACCAATGGGTTTACCTGCCCTTATTCACGCACCCACTTCAACACCAGCTTGATTTGGGGCGCCATTGGCCCTCGCAATTTCTTCAACAACGGCATCGGCTACAATTCCCTCCTGTATTTCTTCATCATGGGCGCGATACTCCCAATCCCGGTGTACTACCTGCAACGTCGCTATCCCAACTCCCTGTGGCGGCGGGTCCACGTGCCTCTGTTCCTGGGCGGGTTAAACTACTTGCCACCGGCGACGGGCACCAGCTACGGCAGCTGGGCGATTGTGGGTTTGACGTTCGGGGTCCTCATCCGCAAGCGCCTGTACCAGTGGTGGTATAAGTATAACTTCGTACTCAGCTCGGCGCTGGACTCTTCTGTGTCGATTGCAGGTGTGGTGATCTTCTTCGCTATCTTCTATAGCGGGGCGTCGTCGCACTTTAGTTGGTGGGGCACGGAGGTGTACAAAGATACGTGTGATTATAAGGGGTGCTCCTATTTGCCTCTCCCTGCGAGTGGAAAATTTGGGATTTAAACTGCTGAGAAGGGGAAGTGGGATTGGATTTGTTCGATGACATTTAGTGAAGTTGTGTATATATCTACTAGACCATAATGGTGTCACTGCCAGTGGACACGGCTTTGTTCGGCTATGAGCGGATACTCTCTTGACGCCTGAGGCACCCAGGTATTATGCTGAATGTGCTTTCATTGGCTGGCTTGAGCTCACACGTGCACAAGTGGTCTGCCCAATCAGAAGACCAGTATTTGTCGAGGCGGACCTCAGGCCAGACCCGGTTGTGCCTGGCTGCCAGAGACCAATAAGAGATCTAGGATTAAGGCACATGGTATCGGCAACCTCCGCCTTTCTCCTTCGATTCCTCCACTGCATCGATGATGCTTGATTCTTCCTTCCATCTCCTTCCCCACTGCATGCAACCATCACCAACCATTCTGGCTTTTCTATTGCCTCTTAATTGCTGATGGGTCAAGCCCCTGCAGCTAAGGCTGATTGCTCTAGCCGAAGTGCTTGGCCAATTGTTGTTCTGGCCAGCTACACGTGTGACATCGTACCTTGCTTTGCCCGCTTATCAACTGCACGCGAGCGATGAGATAACCATGCCGGCTCATCACGATATAAGTCCGCTACCAAGTCGCTGTCATGTCGGTGAACAGATGCTTGTCAACTGGGTCCTCTCAAGTCAATTCACCCATTCAATTCTCCAAGCCACGCGACCATGAGGACCACTGCTGCGTCCGCCCTGCTTGTCGCTCTCTCCGCGACGGTTGCTCAGGCACGTCCTGTCGCGGATGAACGCTACCCATACACCGGACCGGCGGTTCCCGTCGGAGACTGGGTCGATCCCACCGTCAATGGCAATGGCAAAGGCTTCCCGCGTCTGGTTGAGCCCCCCGCTGTTCGCCCGGCCAGCGCAAATCCTCGCAACAATGTGAACGTCATCTCCTTGTCCTATATTCCCAAGGGTATGCATATTCACTACCAGACCCCCTTTGGGCTGGGCCAGACTCCCTCTGTGATCTGGGGAAAGAGTCCTCACCAGCTGAACAAGGTGGCTCGCGGGTACACCCACACGTAAGCATAATATCCTGCTCTGGTATTTCCCCGATGAACCCCGCCTAATGATGCAACAGCTACGACCGCACCCCTTCGTGCTCTGAAATCAAAATTATCACTCAATGTAGCGAGTACTTCCATGAGGTCAGCTTGGAGAACCTCGAGCCAGGCACCACCTACTACTACCAGATTCCAGCCGCCAACGGCACGACCACATCTGAAGTGCTGAGCTTCAAGACGGCGCGCGAGGCCGGTGACAAGGGTTCCTTCAGCGTTGCCGTGCTGAATGACATGGGTTACACCAACGCGCATGGCACCCACAAGCAACTAATCAAGGCTGCCAACGAGGGAACGGCCTTTGCCTGGCACGGCGGTGATATCAGCTACGCCGACGACTGGTATGAAGGTATCCTGCCGTGTGAGTCCTCGTGGGACGTGTGCTACAATGGCACCAGCACGGAACTGCCCGGTGACCTGCCGCTCCCAGAGGAGTATAAGAAGCCACTCCCCGCGGGTGAGATTCCCAATCAGGGCGGTCCTCAGGGTGGTGACGTCAGCGTCATTTATGAGTCGAACTGGGATCTCTGGCAGCAGTGGCTCAGCAACGTCACCGTCAAGATCCCGTACATGGTCATGCCCGGCAACCATGAAGCGGCATGCGCCGAGTTCGATGGTCCAGGCAACGTGCTGACAGCCTATCTGAATGATGACATCGCCAACGGAACGGCTGCGAAGGATGAGTTGAATTACTACAGCTGTCCCCCGTCTCAGCGGTAAGCATCTGCTCTCCCCTTCATCTTACCTTCATTACTTCTGACACGATTCCGTGAACAGCAACTTCACCGCTTACCAACACCGCTTCCGCATGCCCGGCGAGGAAACTGGTGGTGTCGGGAACTTCTGGTATTCCTTCGACTACGGCTTGGCGCACTTTGTCTCAATTGACGGCGAAACCGACTTCGCCAACAGCCCTGAGTGGCCCTTTGCTGAGGATGTTACGGGCAACGAGACCCTTCCCACGGCGGAGGAGACGTTTCTCACCGACAGTGGTCCCTTCGGCGCCGTGGACGGCAGCTACAAGAACACCAAGAACTACGCCCAGTACAAGTGGCTGCAGCAGGATCTGGCCCAGGTTGACCGCAGCAAGACCCCTTGGGTGTTTGTCATGAGCCACCGCCCCATGTACAGCTCTGCGTACTCGTCGTACCAGCTGCACGTACGGGAGGCGTTCGAGGGATTGTTGCTAAAGTATGGGGTTGATGCTTACTTTTCTGGGTGAGTTTCCCTGTTCGCCTCTCTCTTGCGCTAGAGTGACCTGCATGATAACTCCCTCCGACCACTCACGCTAACAAAAAACGCAGACACATCCACTGGTACGAACGCCTCTACCCCCTTGGCGCCAACCAGACGATCGACACCGCCAGCGTTCTCAACAACAACACCTACATTGCCAACAACGGCAAGTCTATCACTCACATCATCAACGGCATGGCGGGCAACATCGAGAGCCACAGTGAATTCAGCGAGGGCCAGGGGCTGACGAACATCACGGCCGTGCTGGATACCGTACACTACGGGTTCAGTAAATTGACTGTCGAGAGCGAGACGGAGGTCAAGTGGCAGTTTATCAGGGGCGACGACGGGTCGGTGGGCGACGAGGTGACGCTGTTGAAGCCGGCGGCTGTGAAGGGCTCGAAGGGGAAGGGCAAGAGATATTCTGGCTTCCGGGCGTGAAGGAAAAGTTGTGATCCAGATGGTGATGTTATGTAATCTACGTATATTGCTGCAGGCGATGTTTATGTGAATATAAAATTGAGAGTCCGGATGTAGTCGATACTGAGGTATGCTTCCGGTAACATCTGAAGCTCACTGAGATGGTACATTGTCGCAGTCATAGGACCGATGCCAATTCCTCACTCTGAGACTGGGTGTATTCGGGGTGACTCCGCTATTCGATGTGAGAGAGCGAGGATTCTCTCAATGCACACGAACAATATCTGAGAAATCTCCATCTGTGCTGCTTTCAAATTCTCCTCTCAAAACAAATCAAAGAGCAACAGGCAACAGAGCCCATCTGTCAGAACTGCTCAGGTATGAATGAGTTATGTGATGACAGGCTCCGGCAACAGCGGAAGACGAAAGGATTCGGCCTATCTTTCACACATATTTCAACTGCCATGAAAAAAACTCTTATCATTCGCAACGCACTCTCCTGGCGAAGTCGAGGCAACCGACAATCTCCAGTACCACATCTCTTCGTCAAACCGCCTTCAAAGTTGCTGATCGAAAACTTCCTCTACATGGCCTTTTATCTTCTGTTATTCACATTGAAAGGCAACGCTCCGGAGCGCCCCGAGTGAGATATAAGAACACAATCCCTGGCTCGTTCCTCACCAACCTCAACCACCAATCCTCCTAACTTGACCGTCGCTATCTACTAAGACAACCAACAATGCCACCAAACCCCCCGAGAACTGAGTGGGAGGAGTGCCGAGGTTCAATGTGGATTCCCTCTCACAACCACGCCAGCCGGAAGTACCTGGACGACGACAACATCGCCCGACGAGTCTCCCAGGCCGAGCAGGGCCAACCTCCCTACGGCGCCCTCCTGACCGGAAGCCTCTGGGCAGCCATACTCACCGTTCTGTTGGGTAAGCCCTTGCAACACAACCCCGACCCCGCCAGTCACCGACCGACCTTCTCCCCTTTCACGCTCGCCACCCACTTCTTCTACGAGTGCGACAACAAGCAAGCGGGGATTAAACTCGTCATGTTGGATATTCACCGCACAGAGGATGTGCGCTGTGGACCCGACGCGTGGCCTCCCATCCTGCTGCGTGTCTTCTGCACCAGCCCGACGACGCCCCACTACCCCGGGCCTGATCCCACCTACGCCTAGGCCAGGACCCTCAAGCACCAATTTCTGGATCGTGCGGATGAATTCAAGTTCTGCCCTGTCTTTATGGTGGCTCGCGGCCATCGGGTGGGATTCTATGCTACTGAGGGAACCCGAAACGGAACCCCTGGACCGAGGAGTCCACTCCCTTCGCGGCGGTTTTCAAGCGTGATTCCTACTCTTTGAAGGGTAATGCGGAGTTGGTGACCGAGCTTCTTGAGAGCTTGTGTGTATACGCTTGGAGGGCGTATCTGGGGGGGGGGCTTGATTGAGGTTGAATGAGGGACCATGGCGGTTGACTTGATTCTCGTCTTTAGTGCTTCCTGGTCGGGAGAGAGGGTGTTTCTTTCACAATTTTGTCATATACCTTTAACGTTCGTTGCACTGATATTCTTGTCATTTCTATCCAAGGTTGTTCATGCTGTCACAAGGTAGCAGGGTAGTGAGCAGCTCTTGGAAAATGCTTATCATAATCCCTGTATCTCCCTGTCCACCTAATGCTTCCCGAGGTGCGAAAGAGAAATTTCCGATGATTAGATCGGCCCTACACTTCCTTCGATGGTTGATGTTATGATGTAAACGCCTGGTATATTCTTACTAGGTTCTTGAGCGGCAGCGTTAACGGTATCCTTCTTTAACCACTGACTTTCCACGTAACCGAAATGTTCGGATAGGAAGTTAAGGCATCTCATATATATTTGACCCCTCGCTTAGCTTATTGAACCTTGTTATAATGACGGACTGTATTTTGGGATAGATCCTATCAATCATTGCATCTGACCACCATAGCACGCTCCATCAGGTTATGGGCTCTCGTGGCTACATTCACCACATACGCGTGTTTCTCCTCGTCTGTGATCATTTGTTATATATTGAAGCTTCCAAAGTTATCGTACAAGTGACCACCAGCCTGAACTTCGTAGGGGTTTGAAACAGAGCCAGAATCGCTTGCTGATATAGCATGTTTAATTAACCGAGGAGAGAGAGACGCTCGAGACGCATATTGGAAGGTTCCTAGGGAATAGAAGCGCCGTGTAAGTACAGAATCCGCACAAGATTTTATACAAGAGAATGGAGGAGTGCCTGCCGAGACATCTGGTTTGGATTAGTGGTGCAGAGACGAAATAATCAGAACTAATTACCCCAGCCCAGGCATCGCCTACTACCGCAAAATTTCAGTCATTGAGATAATCCGGCTGCAAACTGAATTGACCTATTGAGGAAGTCTACTGCGTTTGTACGGCTTCATATTTACCAGCTCAGGAAGATGTATGTGCCAGCCACGTAGTGAGGAATCTGACTACCATACAGTACACTCTCCATCCCCCATCAGGGCTGTCTATTCCCTGCCTGTGGCTTTCCGTTCGGCCTTCCGGAGCTTTTCCCCACAATCAACCAACTCTCTCTCTGGATATGGGACACACACCGCATCCAGGTGACTTTCCCTGCATCTTTGTCATACCATCGATATCCGATGCGCTACCCTTGCTGAGTCGGACCTTTTCCTCAAGTATTCCGCATACACCCGCCTCAATCTCCGGCTAAACTCGTCACGACTACATCGACCAGACGTATAAATAGAAGGTATCCACAACAAAACCTCCATTCCCTCACTGCTCATCACACCTAGAAGGAAGTAGTATTTCCAGAGCAAACTCAATCAACGAAACCCAGACCCTCCGCTGCCCCCTGGATCCAGACCCCACTTCCTTGAACAATGCCTCCTCCAACCGATAACCTCGAGGTAGAGCTCATCCGCCGGTCCTGGGCGGAGATCAGCTCGCGGACCCGCTCCCATTTCTCCCCCGACTACTGGGACAGCCCTTCACTCCGGCGAGCCATTACGGACTGCAGGCAACTGACCCAGACCGGACACTTTGTGCCCACCGCCGACGAGACGGCGGAGATGTGGGCGAGCATCCTGGCGCACTCCTTCCGGGTCTTCTCCGGCTGCCAGCACCCCGAGAACCACGAGCCCGTCCGCCTCGTCCTCCATCGGCGGCGGTATCGCGAGACCCCATTGCCTCTAGCAGGCGGAGGAGCCGGCGGCGACGCAGACCCACCACCGCCGCGCGAACACGTGCTACTCAGCCTCGAGCATCAACGTGCGCCAGCAGCCAGCAGCACCAACAGCAACGGCGGCACCGTCATCATCAGCGGGGCGAGAACATGCGTGCATGTCTTATGCATGGATGTGCACGGGCCGGGCGACCAGGTCACCAGAGCGGAGGCCCGCGGGCTGGGGGATCGGTACTTGACCCCCGAGCAGCAGGGCCGGACGCTGGGGTTCTTCGTCGCCAAGGGCCACATGGTCGGAGGGTACTCGTGGGCGCCAGCGCCTCCGTACGAATTCCGGCAGTTTCTGTGGCCGGGAGACGAGGACGCGAATTACTGTCTATATGAGGATTGCACCCAGGTGGAGGACCTTTTGCGACGTATGCGCAGGGTGATGCACCGGATCCCCAACCCCGAAGAGGATATGGAACCCTGGACTATGAATGATGACTGCTGGCTCTGAGGTCTACTTCGGTGCTTTTCGGTGTTATTTGGGTGGCTCTGCGGTTCGTTGAACTGCTTGGGTCGCTGGACTTGGGCGGTTCCTGCTTTGCTGGGCTTGCCGACTGACAAAATTGAATCGACATCTCTTTGATGGTGTTTTGACTCTATCTCTTAATCCTATACTATAGTTGTTCCTTGTATATATATGTCGTAGTGCAAACCTCGTTCGGGTAGATTATAATCACATCGCGCCAAGAGCGTCGTTTCCACGGACTGTGCCTGGAAAGTTCCAGCGTGGCACTAGCTTTCGTCACAATGATCCATCTAGTCCACAAATTGCTTCTTTGAAGCTCTGTATGTGGCTCATCACTGCCTTCCACCTGATGATCGTTTCTGCTGGTAGGGATAGGGTGACGCTAGTCTCAATCTGGTAATAGTGACGAACAGGTGCCAGACGCAGCGAATGTCAATTCATTCCCAGTAACGAGTTAGTTTTAGTCACCTTCGGTGGAGATGCAGAGAACACAGTTTCATTTCAGCGGACGGATGGATAAATCCGAGCTGTAAAGGTTTTTCCTCATTCATTGGCTGCAAGGAGCATCATAAGACAGTCATTCCTTGTCCGCACTTATTGCGGTGTGATGTACTAGACTCTTCTTGCTACATTTGGCGCAAGACGTAGCCTCGACGAGAGGCAGTGATACTGATCCCCTGCACTGGAAGACGATCCGCCTGTAAGAAGGCAGGATATTGCTCAAGCTTCAGCCAGATCCCCCTCCATCGCGATCTCCTCCCCGCCGGATCGCCGGATCGATCGAGCGCCCCGCGACTGTTACCACGGATCCGTCCCGATAATGTCACCATGCGTCAACAATGACCGCCCATTGACCGAATCCAGTTGTCATGGAATAATCATCCCAGATTGACGTCAATCTACAGTAACTATTTGACTAAGTTCACCTAACGTTAGTTACCCAGTCCACCATTATCTAAGCACGCAAGCAGATGTATAAGAGGAGTGCAGTCGCCGACAGTACGCTCCAGTCATCAGAACAACAACACCTCACTCACTTTCGTCTCAGAATTAAGAACATTTGATTCAATCAACGCTCCAAACTCATTCCATCCCAATTCTTCAACATGCCTCAGTACAGCAACGGCCAGTCTGTCCGCTACAAGCCCGTCGGCGGTACGTTGTCTTCACCCCCCTCCTAGCTGTGAACACCGAGACTAAATTGCGACAGGCCCCGACTCCCGCACCTCGGAGAGCGTGGGCACGATCAAGTCCGTCCTGACGGAGCCCGGTATGCAGGCCGACCGCAACGTTGATGCCAGCGAGGAGAATCCCCGTTACGAGGTATGTTGTCCTGAGGCTTTGCGCGAGGACGAAGCCGGATGCTGATCGGTGACCAGGTCGAGAATCACAACACGGGCAAGTTGACTAGCATCTATGAGAAGAACATCCTGGGAAGTGCTTAAGAGGTAGGAGTTTATGAAGCATGGATTGGGGTATGATGTATGTGTCTGTTATATAACGATAGCAATCGGAGAATGTAATACGGTATTTTGTTTGTATTGCCGAGAGAAGTAGACGGTTAGTTTCTGTAGATGTTTTAAGTAAACCGGGAGTGGAGCCATGCACGGCCAGACTCACAGGATCTACACAAAGACCCCGATCATCTTGGCGAGAGTGACAGTTGAGGCATCAAAAGGCTAATTTTATTGCTTGGTCACAGGGCGAAGAGATTTGGAGAATCAGGCAGTGAACATGCCATGAGGACACAAGTCAGTGAGGGCTTTCCTTTCTAGGGCAAACGGACGCTACCTGGTCAGGCAGAGGGGTGGCGGTGCAGTGCAGTGCATCAAGCTAACTAGGCTGAAGCTCTAAATCAATTGAACGGCCTCTCACACATAAAACACCTTATGTTGGAAAGCCAAGGAGGAAGCCTAACCGTGTTCCTGCTTGGCGCTGGCTATATTCCCATAATGGGCCAAATCCCGAATTCTGTAGATACTGAACATGAGCATGGCTTGGCATCATCAAATCTGGACCGCATTCTGGGAATCATTACGTGGCTGCCTGAGAAAGTGGCATATTCACAGCTGAGTGACTGATGAATCCCAGGCAATCACACAAAGGTGTAGATCCACCCGAACATAGGACTCGGCGCCCATGGGCCTCCGAAAGAAAGGTCCACGCAGAACGATATGCATGTTTGCCAGTAGGCTAATTATGCTTCTGAGCAAGACACGGGCTACAAACCTGAGCATTAATTCATCGATATAGCCATATCTTCAACTAGGTATTGTTTGTGCACTGAGCTGTAGCTTCAGACTTCGCTCGTACTCGTATACAGCCGTACCCGTATGTGTGTGCAATGTCATTGGTCTATTTTTAGGATGTGTGTGGGAATGAAGCCATGGCTGTCCGTGCAGGCAAGAAGGTTCGTCAATCAATGAAAACATCTTGGCCCTGTCTCAAGATATGTGGACAAGAGTAGGTATAGCCAATTGACTCGTGCTGACAGGTGACTTGGTATAACACTAAGTAACCTTAACCTAGATGGTTTAGGCCGCAGGCCACGGTGATTGGAGTCGATCAGAGGCTGCCAGTGTGAATCTGTATGATCCACTGCACTCATTTGGCCTCTAGCACGAATAAAGCACCATCGCGCTAGCAGTCTACTTCAGTCCACGGTTCCCCAGAAAGGATCCACATCTAGGATCTATTCCAGCAATCTGGTAGAGGAGCAGCGGTCCGGCGTGTACTCAGGGGTGCACATTTCAAGACTATTAAACAGCAACCAGAACCAGACGTAGCAATGGATAATCCTCTCAACTCACTCAGACTTCGCAAGCATGTCACCCGTAGACTATACTCTCTTTCTCTGCTACCTCTACCTTGCCGGGACCATCTTCTTCGACTGGATCCACTTCCTCCTCCATCGCTGGTCGCGCTCGCAATGGAGGATCCTGCGCCAACTCTCTCGCTACCACCAGTATCACCACCTCTACTACGGGCGTTTGCTCCAGTTCAACCCCAAGTACAGCCGTCGGAACGCACGCATCGCCCTGCCATTCGAGCTGTTCTGTCAGATGCTGGGGACTGTGGTCGGGTGGCTGCTCGCTCGTGTGGTGGCGATGTCGATAGATGCGCGCATTGATCGCAGGGGGGTGCTGCTCGTCTTGCTGACCCAGTTGGCGCGTGTTTGGGCTGTCATTCTTCATGGGGGAAAAGACTCCAATCACGTCTCCTACGAGACCATACCCAAAGACCGGAATTGGACGTTCGTGGGACCCGAATATCACGCTCTGCACCACCATGATCCGGACAAGTACATGGGTTCGGCTGTCAAACTCTTCGACTGGGTGGCAGGGACTGCATATTCGCTGCGGGGGAAGGTGGTGATGGCGGGCGATGCTGGGGACTTGGGGCCGGCGCTTGAAAAGCAACTCCTCTCCGAAGGCGTCAAAGCCATACACAACCTGGACAACAACCTACCAAAGAACAGCCCTCAGCGCGACCTGATGCTTTTGAAGCCCATGCTGGACGACGCAGACATTCTCATTCTCGCTCACATCAACCCAGCAGAAGCTGGCGATGAGGAATCCGACTGCACATCCACAGTTCGCCTGATTCAGCACTTCTTGACGCCGAAAGCGATGAGACGCCGAAAGGTCCTGCCGGAGGTCTGGTACCTGGCCGGCACCACTGAGCTGTCTTTGGTGGGGGGAGATGTATTCACCCAGCAGGACTGCAAACCAGCGCAGTCCTCCTTTCTGCCCTACGCGCGCTCCCTCTACAAATGCTCGCAGGTCACCTATCGACATATCCTACTTCCTGCGTCGGGTGCGTTCGGTGGGAGGCGGAATGGTTCGTCGGACTGGATCGCCGGGACGGCTCTCTGGTGGATACGTCGCGGCGCGCAGTTTATCCCGGTGACTTGTTCCCCGAGTGTGCTGTTGCAGTTCCTTGATCTGCTGCTAGGGGTAACAGCAACTGAAAACTGGACCCCTGAGGCCGATGATGTGGAGAGGGATGCGATTGTTCCGGGAGACGATTCCGGATCTCCCAATTTGAAGGGACAGTTGTGTTTGACTGGGGACGAGTCGAGAGAAAGCTGACACGCCGCAGACTATTTGACTTTGTATGTGTCGACGGTACCACGAGCTGAAACAAGATAGAGGATTGCATTGATTGTGATAGATGATAGTTTCGCTTGGGGAGGATTAGGTGTGCTTGGTGTATAAGGTAGTTTGTGTGACGGGGTTTCAAGAAGTTGGGACAATTTGACGGACTATGAAAGCCTTGCTTTAAGAGACTGAGAGTGGGACGCTGAATCAATAGATGTCCTGGCTGATAAATGTGGATTCGTTTCATCGTCTCTATAGGCAGGGCTGTTCGGGGTAGGGACGAGGCATTGATCTGTGATCAATCTGTATGCGGTAATTCATTTCGTACTCGTGTGGTGCGGACCCACTTCGCCCGTTGAGATGCCTTCTAATGCAGACCTTGACTTCAACATATACGATAGGAAAGGGCATCTGAGGTTTACAGTCAGTCAAACCAGGACAGCACCATGATGCCCCACGATTCCCGGGCTTTAAAAATAGTGACTGCGACACGGCGGCATCCCGAAGCATTACCCGATAGGGAAATGCCGACGTATTCGTACCTCCACGATGGCCCAGCAATCGAACAATTGATGCTATTGAAGACTCCGCTGCTGCAACCACCTGGGAGTTATATCTCCAACCGCTCCCTTCGCGATGCAAGAGCTGTCGGAGAGTTCTTTCAATACCTCCCCGAGCGTGGCCGACAACCATGCCTACCGAATCTCTCAGCCCACGGGGTCACGCCTCGTTCGATCTCTACGCCTACAATCCCTCCGCCTCCGCGGGCTATGCCTTTGTGGTGATCTTCGCTCTTGGCGCCGCCGTACACCTCTTCCTCCTCTTCCGGCTGCGGGCCTGGTTCTTCATCCCGTTCTTCCTGGGCTGTATCGGTTCGTCTCCACCCCTCGAACCCCTGGCAACATGACTGGCAGCTAACACACCTCCGAAAACAGGCGAAGCATGCGGCTACTACGGCCGCGCATGGTCTCACGACAACATCCGCGACGGCAGCCCCTACCTCCTGCAACTGATGCTCATCCTCGGCTCCGCGCCCCTCCTCTCCGCCAGCGTCTACATGAGCCTCGGCCGGATCGTGCGGGCCCTCCACGCCGAGTCCGCCACCATCATGCGCTCGACCTGGATGACCAAGATCTACGTGCTAATTGACATCGGCAGCTTCGTCTGCCAGATGCTGGGGTCCGCGATGCAGGCCAGCGGGGACGCGGCGGGGGTGCGCACGGGGCAGCCGGTGGTCATCGCCGGGCTGGCGGTGCAGCTGGCCGCGCTGGGCTGGTTTCTGCTCGAGGCGGGCGCGGTGCATCGCCGGCTCAGCACGCGACCCCCTTCGGCTGCGGCGCGCGAGCCCACCCTTCCCTGGCGAAGGACGATGTGGACGCTCCATGCGGGGACGGGGTTGATTCTCGTGCGGAGTGTGTACCGGCTGGTGGAGTTTTTGGCGGGGACGGGCAGCGTGCTGGCTCAGAAGAGGCGTTTTTGTATGTTCTGGATGCGGCGGTGCTGGCGCTGGCGGTGGTTGCGTTTGCGGTGGTCCATCCGGGGCGGATGTTGCGGCTGGTGCGGCGGTTGGGGGTGGATGGGTTGTTGGATGGGACGGTGATGTTGGATTGAGTGACTGTACATACAGTAGAACAGATCTTGGATGGAAAGGGCTGTACAGTAATTTACCACTTCTCAGTTCGCAGGATGTACCATGTGCCACATGTATCACACCACCCCCAGCACCCAAATCATAAGTCCAGACAGGTCCAGACAGGTCCTTCTGGGAGACCCGGACAAGATCACCTTCAACGCACGTGGCACTAACTTCGCGCGCATGCTTCCCCGGAGTGGCAAATGTGGCAAATGGCCTGTCTTCCAGCACGCTGTCAGAGCGCCGTGGACGCGGCCGGACCGCGCGACAAGGTGGATTCGGGCCTGAAGCAGGAGACTCGTGTGGGGTGCATTTTTCGCCAATTCTTAACCTCTCCAGAAACAGCCAAAATCACCGATAAACTTTGCTTGGTAGACCATAGTCAAACTGGGTCTAGTGCTGGTGCCGTGTGTTCCCCAGATTGAAATGGCTTTCTTCGGTCTTGCAGATGCGCAGACCGGCCCGGCGACCAAAAGGGTCCAGCTGGCAGGCAGAACCGGCCGACCGGAGAAATCGTCGACCCAATTCTTCTAGACTCTTCAGGCCGGAAGAGTTACTTTCGAGTGCTCCCATTCCAGCCCAATTATGAGACATCGGCCAAGTTGAGGCCCTCAGCTCCAGCCAAGACCAACTTGGGTGGTGCGGTTACCTCATAGACTTCGATCCGCACAGACGTCGGGGAGTGTGATCGACACTTCATATCCTGCGGTCGCGACCCTGAAATGTTAGTCTATTCAGTAGTTAGTCTAACGAGCAACTTCTTCCCCGCATAGGACGATCGGTGCCCGATTGAGGGCACTAGGGGGAAACTGGGATCGCGGTGCCTGCATGGATAGTGAGCGAAGGGACTAAGGAGGTACTAGTAGTTGGGGTAAACCTACCAGTAACTACTAGTTTGCACTGAAGGCCAATCGGCTGCAGCTGACCAGGCATTCCTCCCAGCGACGTCGCTGTCATGAACCAGCATCAACCCAATCCGACTGGCCTCATCCCATTGCGGGCAAGACGACGAGGGGGTCAACCATGGAATTGAGGCCGAGTCTCGCCGGGTCGACGACGTCAGAATCTCTCTGGGCCCACGGAGGGAGGCGAAACTCTCAGTCTCTGTCTGTCAACCATCCCCGACTTCGCTCCTGCTCTTTCTCCCTTTTTCAAACAAAATCTTCTATGATTCTCTAAATCCCCGCAGAACCTCGTGTTCAGGAACATGGAGTGGTCGCTAGAGCGGCGCGTTAGAGACACCGATAGAGCCAGAACCTTATCTACCTGAATTCCCTCACATTCTCCCAGCCACTTTGTGCCACCGCACATCACAACCACAACCAAACACCACCACCAGCTCTTTCTTCTCCCCTCATACTACCGTACAACGTCTGGCGCGGTATCCCACCACCACCACAATGCGCATCCCCTCCGCCGCTCGCTGCCGATGAAATGTCCGCCTTCGATGAATCCCATAAACAAGGCAGCGGTTTCAGCGCCGTGATCCCCGGCGACACCGTCCAGAAATATGTCATCTCCGCGTTCGCCGCCATCACCTGGTACAATGCAATCGAGCTGGTGGTTTTATGTTTGACCACCTTCCAGCGCTACCGGGGCTGCTACTTCTGGAGCCTGCTCATCACCTCCTTCAGCCTCATCCCACACGTGCTAGGCTACACCCTGTTCCTCTTCACCCCCTTCGTCTCGCGCTACATCTCGGTGACCCTGATCGTGCTGACCTGGTACTGCATGGTGACGGGCCACTCGCTGGTGCTGTGGTCGCGCCTGCACCTGGTCCTGCAGCACCCGAAGCTCCTCCACTGGATTCTGGGGCTGATTATCCTCGACGCGGTGCTCTTCCACGTCCCCACGACCGTGCTGCTGTATGGGGCCCTCACCAAAGCCCCGGCCTGGCAGGCCGGGTACAATGCGATGGAGCGCATCCAATTGATTGCCTTTTGCGTGCAAGAAGCCTTCCTCTCCGGCATCTACGTGTATGAGACGATCAGGATGCTCCGGCTGCGGCCCGAGCGGCCCCGCCATCTGATCCTGACGCAGCTGCTCATCATCAACATTGCCATTCTGATCCTGGATCTCGCCGTCGTCGCGATCGAGTATGCGGGCTACTACGCCCTGCAGGTCATGTTCAAACCCGTCGCGTACAGCATCAAGCTGAAGCTGGAGTATGCGATTTTGGGCCGCTTGGTGCAGATCGCCAAGGGGCCGAGTCTGGATGGCTCCGACCCGCTGTCGAACCCCTCGGCGACGAGCGCCTTTGTCACCACGCCGCAGGGGTGGGAGGAGTGTCTGGAGGGCGGGGGGCGCAATAGTAATGCGACGACGGTGGTGCGGCCGATGGAGTCCGGGGAGTCCGGCAGGGGGTCGCATGCCAGTATCGTGAGGTCGCGGGGGAGTTTGGTTTCGACGTGTTAGCCGGGCATTTCCAAGAGACTCTGTATATGCGGACGACTCGGTGGGAAAGTCAGGGTGAGATGCCATATTATATTTCATATGTACATTTAGACCGCAAAAGATCTGTATTTTATATTTATTATACTACATACCTAATCCGGAGTCACAGGATACTTTGTTGGGCGTATAGTATGTGATGGATGATAAGGCTTGACCCGCCAATTCAGCAAAGCCAACCCAACCAACCCCTCTTTTCTCATTTTCTATTTTCCATCTTTTTGTTTTGTTCGGCAACAGTTGCACAAAACATTCACCCTGTTTTAATCTCACAGCTCACACCCTCCCCTCCCTCACAAATCTGGCTAACTTACTACTACATCTTACCACCTCCACCCAACAACAACATCCAACCCCTTCAAAAACCCCCTCGGATCCTCCCTCGCCTCCATCCGGGGTCCCCGGGGAAACATATACCCGCACCCATCCAACAAAAACTTCCCATCGTTTTCATCCGCGCGATCGAAATCAAAGAACCGCACCCGCGACCCGAACGCATGCGCCACATGCAGGCCCTCCAACGCCCGCCTCCGGGCGCGGCGCTGCTCGGGGGAGTCCTCCGCCCGCTCCGGGGCGCACCCCTCCGCATAGGTGTCCACCACGTGCGTGATCTCGCGGAGGGCCATGTGGAAGTTGCGGTCGAGGCATTCGGTTTCCTCGTGGATGTCGAGGCCCGGGTGGCAAAAAATCAACAGGCGGGGCCGCGGGGGGTGGTCGGGCTGGCCGGGGAGGGCGCGGGTGAGGAGGAGGGTGAGGATCGGGTCGGCGGTTTGGGGGTATGTTGGCGGGGCGGTTTCGAGGTTGTAGGTTGGCTTCGGGGGGAAAGGCGGGAAGATAATGCCGGCGGAGGCGGGCTGGGGGGATGGGCTGGAGGAGGAGGAGGAGGAGGAGGAGGAGGAACTGTCACTGTGGATGACGATTGGGCGGCGCGCGGAGGTGCCTCGTTGGGGGATTCGCTCGTTGGGGTCTGAGGAGTCACTATCCTCGGAGGGCGCGCGGGGTCGGGTGAACCCTGCTGCGGAAGGCCGTGACCACTCGACCTCTTCGTCGTTGAGGGGCTCGGGATACGAAGGGTACTCGAACTCGCGGGCCGGGGGGATCGGGTTGCCGTGGCCTGGCGGCTGGGTGTCGGTGGGCGTCGGCCCTGAGAGGACTTCGGGCGGGGGGAACCCGGTGTAGAGCTCGGCAAGGGCTGGCCAAGGAGCGTGTTGTCTGGTGAAATGGGGATGCGGATCCTCCACCATGTCCTCGGCCTCGGCTTCACTGTCGTCCATAGATTGACCGGCGAAGAGGGATGCGATCGCTGAAAAGCCCACTGCCCCGCGGGGAGGCAGATTCGAAGCCAGGAGCCTGGTGTCATCGAGAACCGGGTGGCTGGCCTCGGGGTTGGCGCGGGCAGGACTGGGGGCTGTCTCACGAAGATTGGATTCCACGGGCCGTGGCGCATGCACCACCCCCGGCGCATATGCATACATGGGTGCGGGCAACGGAAACTGGGGAGGAGGGAGGTTGCAAGGGACATTCGGGATCGGCTCGGGACCATGCACACCACGGCGTTGCAGGGGGGGCGGTCGTGCCCACAAGGGCCGGCCGGGGCGCGGGTTTAGGAGTGGTGAAGGAGCCGCCGCATGGGCAATGTCTGAGCCCGACGAACTTGAGTCCACCCTCGCGCGGGGGACTGGAGGAGAAGAAGGTGTGGGCGGGTCGTCCGGGTCCCGGCCCGTACTCATGCCCTTGGGCGTGTTCTTATCGGCATCCTTCTCGTAGTCGACCTCGCGGAGAGGTGAGAGATCGCTCAGCGGGCTGCTAATCGGGCTGACCACGATACTCCAGTCCGCGAAGCGTACCGCCAAGATCCGCCGCCAGAGGTCACAGGTGTCCTGCGCTGTCCACGGCGAATGGGGGTTTCCATTCAGGGCATCTCGGATCACAGGTATCGCCCAGAACACGTCTGGGTCCATGGCTGGCGGAGGACGTTGGAAGTCGGGCTGCGCGCTTGGCTCCCGAGGGGGCGGAGTTGGGCCACGGTAGTGGTCAGTCATTTTGTTGTGACGGTATGGGGTCAAGATTCACGAGAGAATCTGTCGGTGGATGTGGGAAGAATTCGTCGATGGAGAGGAAAGGCTGGATCAAGCATGGTGAAAGATACTTATACCCTTGTTGGATAATCCATTCATGGCTTCAGCAGAGAGCCGCCAGCAACAAGAGTGATATTATTCAGCCACGAAATGGTGTTCTTCGACTGAGTAAGAAGATTGTACCCCGGTGAAGACATGAAAGATGTGGGAGAGGGAGATGCCATTGAGATCAGTGAAGAACATCTTCCAGAGAGCAGAAACACTCCGCTGTGGGGGCAAGGTGAATGATTACCAGCAACGTCCTTTCTCGTCGACAGACCCACACTGTCTTTTCAGATTCATGTTCCGGCGGTGATTCACAACGGAAATGCAATTAAATTTCTCGAAGCTTGAGGATCAGTGGATATAGACGAAGTGAATGAACCTGTATTCTCTGTACCGGGCCCTCAGTTGAAGCTCATCAGTTCAGTCAACCTCTCACAGCCAATCCATGACTGATCAATTGTCGGTGTATTGCTGAAATTACCTTCTCTGGCCACAAATAGCAGAGGAACTTGAACCACCACTACTATAGCTGGTTCCTGAAGATATCGATGCTTCCTGCATCTTGCGGAGAGCGCGAATCAGTCACCGTAGGATCATCGCGATCACTGGCTGAATATTTTCCCTCTTATTAGTGGATTCACTTGGATACGTTTTCTTTTTGGAGGGCGTATATGTCTTTCTACATAATGATCAGAGGTTTCTTTTGATGACCATCTGTGGTGGCTCGAATGGTCATTGATACTCGGACCGGTGCTCGCATCCGAGGACCTTCACGCCAGGAGGTGATCCACTCACCCTCAATTGACCAAGACTACATAGCTAGGCAAAGTCTGACAAGGATATGAGGCAATGCCAGTCCCATTAGAACCGACTAGCTACCAATCAACACAACACATCTTGCACGCATTCTACCACCAGTGAGCAAGACCATCGAACCAACACATTCCCAAATTGGGGGCCCAACCCAGCGAATGGCGGACAGGGTAGATCCCGGTCGTATGTATTCTACGCATGCTGGGGTGGATACAGGCCGGTAATATCCGCATAACACATCCCATCTTTGTCTAGTTCCGAAGTGGGCTTTGTGATGTGTATTGCATGATGGAGTGGCTAGGGAGCTGCTCGTGTGTCTGTCTTCGGAGGATTACCCGTGCTCCACCTCTTTCTCTTGATGCATCTTTGATGATGACAGTACGCGCCTGTTCTATCATGAACCAGGTATGTTTCCTGGGGTGTTATTCACTCTTTGTGACCGTGTGCAGGCAGCTCTATTCTGTGGAGGGAAAAAGGTTCAGTCAGGGGGGCAGCTAAGAATAGTAGCAGCGGGGGTTTGAACCCTGACGATCGGCGATCGGCGGCTCAGCCTCACATCGACAGCAGCTCCCAGCCACCCAACAACCTCACTTTCACTTTCAATGCATCTCATTTCATTTCTCTTGTGCTTCGTACAAGACATAAGTTAGTATAAGAGCTATGCACACCCCCATCATCTGTTCCCCACACCGAACAGACAACTCACTTTCCGCTTTGAACTTCAACTTCTAGCTATCAATCCCACCAACACAACCACCACAGTCATGATGCAGCTCAGCACCCTCTTCCTCCTCTTCTTCACCACCAGCGCCCTCCCCACCAGCATCCAAGACGACCTGCAGCCCCTCCAAATCCGCAATCTCACTGCTCGCACCCTCTCCGATCTGGACTTTGGGCTGCTCAACATGACTCTCTACGACCCCAATACCAGCTCCGCACCGACCATCTGCAATGTGAATTGGTATGTACTGTAGTCCACACTACCAACCTCCTCTCCTCTCCACGCAGTCCACGAAGTCAAGCTAGATACTAAGTTGACAACACCGTCTCGCCAGGCACCCCACCCGCCCCGTCCCCACCGCCACCACCGTGAAATGCTACGACGAGGTCCACGCGGTCAGCTTCCCCGACGGTCTGGGCAGCCACATCGACCACTTCACCCTGCGCGTGCAGACGGTCAACACCAGCGCGGGGCAGACCCACGGGGAGGTGGAGCTGGATGCCTCGGTCGCGGGGTCACACTGGGTGTGTCGCAATGCGACGACGGAGTTTATCAAGGAGGAGTGTACGTACACGGGGATCGCGGAGGTTGAGGTTGAGCGTTAGTTAGTTGCCTGCATGGTGACAGGAGATGGAGATCGCAGACGCGATATACGGATTGACGACTAAATGCGGCGTAACACGGAGCGTTGGGTAGATCAAGATGAATTCAGGATGAAATTGATTATTAGACTGCATGCATGACTAGGTACGACTACATCAACAGAGCCAATTTTCGTCCGCTCGTGCGCCCCCCGCCTTAAACCCCAACCAACCAAGCAGAGCCTTGCTAGACCCCCTCCTCCGTCTTCTTCTCCCGCGGCCATTGCCACGTCCAATTCCGAATGTAATCCGGATCCACCCCCTCGTCGAAGGCCGTCTGCTTGGCGATCAACTGCATATTCAACAGCTTCTCGCGCACGCCGGCCGCCGTGTTCCCCAAGGCCGGGGCGTGGTCGATCGCATCGATCGCCAGACTGTACCGGTCGGTGTTGTTGCGCACCGCCAGCTCGAACGGGGTGTCGATGTTGCCCTTCTCGCGGTAGCCGCGCACGCGGATGTTGTGCTGGCCGGGCCGCTTGTAGGTCAGCCGGTGGATGAGCCAGGGGTAGGAGTGGAAGTTGAAGATGATGGGCTTGTCCTCGGTGAAGATGGACTTCCACATGCGGTCGGACATGCCGTGCGGGTGGTGGATCTTGGAGATCAAGCGGAAGAGGTCGACGACATTCACAAACCGCACCTTGAGCTGGGGGAGGTGCTCGCGCAGCAGCGCGGTCGCGGCGAGGGCCTCGTGGGTGGGGACGTCGCCGCAGCAGGCCATCACCACGTCGGGCTCGTGGCCCTGGTCGTTGCTGGCCCAGTCCCAGATCCCCAGCCCCTTGGTGCAGTGGGCGACCGCCTCCTCCATGTTGAGGAACTGGAGGTGGTCCTGCTTGTCGGCGACGATGACGTTGACGTAGTTGGCGCTGCGCAGGCAGTGGTCGGTGACGGAGAGCAGTGTGTTGCCGTCCGGGGGCAGGTAAATGCGCACCACCTCGGGGCTCTTGTTGGCGACCACATCCAAGAAGCCCGGGTCCTGGTGGGTGAAGCCGTTGTGGTCCTGGCGCCAGACGGTCGCCGTCAGCAGGATGTTCAGCGAGGCGACCTTGGCGCGCCACTCGACCTCCAGGCACTTCTCGATCCACTTGCAGTGCTGGTTGACCATCGAGTCGATGATGTGGATGAAGGGCTCGTAGCTGTTGAGCAGCCCGTGGCGGCCGGACAGCACGTACCCCTCCAGCCAGCCCTCGCAGGTGTGCTCGCTGAGCATCTCCATCACGCGGCCCTGCATCGCCAGGTTGCCCCCGTCCTGGTCCTCCTCGAAGTAGTCGGCCAGCCACACCTTCTTGCCCGCCTGGTAGATTTCGCTCAGCTTGTTGGACTCGGTCTCGTCGGGCCCGAAGACGCGGAAGTTGGTTGGATTGCGCGCCACCACGTCGCGCAGGAACTTGGCCATGTTGATCATGCTGCCGCGCACCGAGACCCCCGGCTCGAGGTCGGGGAGGGCATACGAGCGGAAGTCCGGCAGGTCCAGCGGCCGCCGCAGCAGCCCGCCGTTGCCGACCGGGTTGGCGCTCATGCGCGCGGGGCCGCGGGGGGCCAGCGCCTTCAACTCGGGGATGAGGGTGCCGTTCTCGTCGAAGAGCTGGTCCGGACGGTAGCTCTTCATCCACTCCTCCAGCACGTGCAGGTGGGCGGGGTTGGTCCCCACGTCGGTGATGGGGATCTGGTGGGCGCGCCAGAATCCCTCGAGGAGCTTGCCGTCCACCTGGCGCGGGGCGCTCCACCCCTTGGGGGTCCGCAGCACGATCAGCGGCCAGCGCGGCCGGAAGGGCTGGCCGGACTCGCGCGCCTGCTGCTGGAACTTGCGGATCTCCAACACGCAGTGCTCGAGGGTGGCGGCCATCGCCTGGTGCATGCTCTCGCGGTCGCTGCCCTCGACGAAGTAGGGGGTCCAGCCGTAGCCGTAGAACAGGGCGGAGAGCTCCTCGTGGCTGATGCGCGCCAGGAGGGTGGGGTTGTTGATCTTGTAGCCGTTCAGGTGCAGCACGGGCAGCACGGCGCCGTCAGTGATGGGGTTCAGGAACTTGGTGCTGTGCCAGCTCGTCGCCAAGGGGCCGGTCTCGGCCTCGCCGTCGCCGACCATGGTCAGGGTGATGAGATTGGGGTGGTCGAAGACGGTGCCGAAGGCGTGCGAGATGGAGTAGCCCAGCTCCCCGCCCTCGTGCAGACTTCCGGGGGTCTCGGGGGTGGCGTGGCTGCCGATGCCCCCGGGGAAGGAGAATTGCTTGAAGAACTTCTGCATGCCCACCACATCCTCGGACTTGTCGGGGTAGACCTCGGAGTAGACCCCCTCGAGGTAGGACTGGGAGAGAATGCCGGGGGCCCCGTGGCCGGGTCCCGAGATGAACAGCACATCCAACTCGTACTTCTTGATCAACCGGTTCATGTGGATCCAGGTGAAGGACTGACCCGCGTCGGAGCCCCAGTGACCCAACAGACGGGCCTTGAGGTGCTCCTTCTTCAGCGGTTCTTTCAGCAGCACATTATCGCGGAGGTACAGCATGCCCAGACACAGATACAAGCTGGCGCGGAAATAGGCGTCCGTCTTGCGGAGCTCCTCGGCATCGAGGGGTTCACCCTTGATGGTGGAGCGGGCGGGGCCATAGGCCGAGATGCTCAGTTCGTCGGCAGGCATTGTGTGTGATGGAAGTGATGGTGGATGACGATGGAGTGGAGGAGGATAAGAGGGAGTTGATGCAATTCTTATTATAAGAAGAGAAGGCAGGCTGGGGAGAATCAAGAATAAATATGGTCTGACAGCCTTTCATCGACCGAATCCGGTTGGAAGTCCATGACGTCGTTCAGGGTTAGCCACGTTTGCCGCTCTTCCGCTTCCAGCTTGATGGTGGGGCGGGGGGGTTTCTTTCGGCCGGTTTACGAGGGATGGACTCGGTGAATCACTGGAATCAGTCAATAATTAGTGAATGAAGGGACCAGAGACTCCCAGGGGATCGATCCTTCCTGCCTGCCAGGTGGCTAATGTGGAGCCATCTTCCCTCAGCCTGGCTGCATCACCCCATGCGGTGAGATCCCACCCCGGTCCAGCTGCACGATACTGTAGTTACATACAAACTAGTTATACTAACTAGTTATACTAACTAGTTATCCTAACTAGTTATCCGGAGTACATCCCTCTCTCATCCATGTGAGCCCACCCTGCACTGCCTGCCATGGAACACCACCGTATCACATCGGATGAGAACGGACAACCATCACACTGCTTTGGTTAGCAGATGGCCACCGTCTCACTACAATCCCACCTCTTCTTCTCCCGCATGGTCGAGTGGTTCAGACGCAATGCGACCGTCAGCTCCGGGGAGGAAGAGAGGATCGTCTCTTTAGTGGCCCCGCCTAAGGACCAGGGGATGAGCAGCACAGGGCCCAAAACAGTCAATGCCCCCTCATTGCTGGTACTTTTGCCTTCCCGGCTTGTCTCTCGCTTATCTCCTGGCCCATCCCTGCTTCACATGCCATCCTTGCTATTGCAGGAAAAACTCAAGATTAGCATACATACTCCGGGAGTACAATGCAGAGATCCAATGCACCATCCCGGAGCGACAGAAGCCGCGTATGCCATGACGACAAGCCCCGTCGTGATTGCCGTAATCTCCCCCGTCCGTCATGCTGTATGTAAATCTACTAAACCTCCTACTTAACCATGATGGAACTTACATTTGAAGGCGGGGGGATGGCAGCGCCGAGCAGTTCCGGGCGGGGTCGGAGCTGGTGTTTATCCGATCTCGGATCTCGGATCAATCCATCCGATCCCCATCTTATCTCCGGGCCCACCAAACGGGCTGTTCTGCTTTAGGGAATTCGCCGTCCACTCCCCCGCCTATGCCTTTGTGTTCTCCTTTCCGCGGCAACTCTACCACTCGTTGAACACCGCGTCTACGGACATCACCATGATGACAGGGAGCTACAACATGGAGTTGTCGCTCAGTATGAGTGAGAGAATGCAGATGTTGGGTGGGAAGCCTGGTTGGTGGTGCCGGTGAAGTGGGTTCCCGGGCTATACGGGGAGGAGATGGACATGACAAATGCATAGTGTTGATTCTCCAAAAAGTCGTAAGAAGACGCAGGTAATTCAAGAAAGCCAACTCTCAATATTCGACACGCTGGGCATACCCAGCGATCCGGTCTGCAAGCTGCACCGCACGCTCCTGTGCTGTCACGTAACGGGTCTCACTCGGAAGAACGGCCGGCAGGTCCCGCATTGCAACGACTTGAACATCAATACCGAGTGAGTCGGTGGCCGATGAAGAGTTCAGCCCCTGCCAACGTACCATGATCGTACCCTCGTGTAGTCCCGTGCAGGAGCTGCACGCTGATCAGGGAAAGCTGACGTCTGCGGGCCCTGGGGTTGGTATGCCAGTTTGGCTTCAGCCTGCAGAACGGTGAAGGTATTGTTCTGGTAGATCTCAATGGCGAGGGCATCGAGGATTTTCTGGTCCGGGGTAGCCAGCGGGTTTTCGGAAAGACTAGAGCTTGCTGATCCTGGATTTATGGCGGCTATCATGGCAACTAGAGAGCCAAGTGCTCTGTTAACAAGAGGTCCTTTCATCATGAGATGGAACTGAATTCGAAATGCTCAAAGCGAAGCTGGGAAAGGTACTTTGTTGCGGTTCAATGACCTGTTGTCCAGGCATTCTTTTATAAACATTGTCAGGTCCATTTTGGCCTTTGCCATTGTGATGAACTATCGCGCAATGTCATTGCGATATTTCTCCCCGACTTTGGATTTCGACATTGATTAAAACAAGCTAAGCATTAGGCGGGCTGGAGCAATCAATGCGGCAGCATGAGACTGTTGACAAGGTCGGCTGCGAAGCGAAGGCTGTTAAGCGAAGTGATATTATGCAGGTGCTATGCATCAAAGACAGGTGTCTCTGCAGGGTTGCTGAGTGTCGACATTTGCGGACGGGAAGAGGTTCGATTTCTCGCTCTATACGTCTGTGAAAGGCTTAGGATGACAGGTAATATTGAGGTCGGATTGAAAATCCCTAACTATCAGGCTAGTTTGGGGTAAAGATAAACAAAGGAAAACCATGGCAACAAACCGTCGACCATGATGATCACGTGACTAGATTTCGCGCCGATGGGTTCATTCGGTACAGTACGTTACGCACACGGAACAGGAACATCCAGCCACGCAAATCCAGGACACCACAAGTGAATCGGATCTTCCGGACTTTTGTCTCAGGTAGTATGTAGAATCACACTTGATGAGTTCCAGGACTGGAATCCAGATGTCAGTAATGGCTGCTTGGATCTATGGTTAGTCATGGTGTCTGTGGGGGGGGTTCTTCGACAGCAAGAAAGTACTAATACTGCCAGCCAGTGCGACAAACTTGTAGGAGGAATATGGCTCTGATTCTCAATATATATTCCAGCACAAAGAAAGATATCCTGCCATGCAACGTATTTTAAGCTCTACCAAGGCAAGACAAAGAATTGAACCATGATTTGATACCTGTAGCGTCACAGATTGGTATGAATTGAGACAACAATTAACCCATTCTCCAGAGTTCCAAGATGACCTTTTCATTTGCAGACAATTCACGGGCTGGTACGCCACAGATTGCGTAATTTTATGATGTTGTCTTGAAATCTACCCGATGAATGTTCAACCTCGAGTCCACTGCGGCCTGAATTGCATCCACTTCACTCCCACTATCAAGCTTGTGGGATGAAGTTCTATGAGCATGAACCTCGCCAGTGCCCCAGGAATCAATAAGAAACTTCGAACCTGTATGTCGCCAGCAGCTTCTGAGGACCCGGAAGGTCTTCTATGCAGCTACAGGTAATCCTTCTTATCCCCAGGACTTACGAGAACCTTTGAGCAGCCACGGGTGATTCACACAGCCCTGGGCCTTGCAAAGCCTTCTACACAGTGTTGGAATCTATCAGACTGAGTATAAATGATATGTAGCGTAGGAAATAAGACAAAACGACGTGCTTTGCCCAGTGGGACCGCTATGAGAGGGCAAGAGGTTCCAAATCCGAGGCTAGGACCTCGTTTTTCGGATGTAAGCAGTGATTGGCAGCAAACGGGAGTCTAGCAGTAGCTTTCTATCTCCACCTCCGTCCTGAACAGGCACACTAGGGGAAAATGCGTTAGCTTCGGCGGGTACACAAGCCAGAGATAGAAAATGAGGTGTAGTTCATCCGTGCGGGTCCCTTCTATAGGCTAACTGTTCTATATCCAGCCATTGGCTGGTGCTACGCGTCACCAATTCCCCCCCCCCCCCCCCGCCACCCCCCCCCCCCCCCCCCCCCCCCCCCCCCCCCCCCCCCCCGGCACGTAACCTGCTGCGTTATGCGCCAATACTCGTGGAGACAGCGGGAATTACTATTATGCAGCCGACTGCACCGAGGAGACCCTACCCCAGCTGTGGGACGCGTTGTTCTACACAGTAGAACTGCTTGGCTCAGCTTGAGACCAGACAGTAGGTGTCATTCAGAGAGACTTAGAATGGTTACCGACAGATTTAACCCGCCGGTTAACCGCCGGTCAACTACGGCCGATATATATATCTCGTATACTTGACTGTATAGTAGGCCAGCACCTGAAGCAGCCGCAGAGAATACGCGACTCGAATTACCATCTCTTCTACGGTAATCTTTGACGATTATCGAGAGAACAACAATTGGCTCAATATATAAAGTCACGGTAAGCTCGACACTATGTTTAGTACACATGATCTTTTCCGGGATTTGCGTCGCAGCCTCTCCAAGCGACCCCTTTCGAAGATTGAGGCCTGTTTGCAGTCGAACAAATTCAGCTACACCTCCTGCTTATGCTTAGACTAACCTAATTGTCAGGATTTTTTCTGTTAATAACCCAGGTGAGAACATCTGCCAGTTCGTTACCAGCATCTGAGAATGCATCGCTCCCGACCAGAGCCTGAGAGTACTCTACGATAGTCGTGCTTTCTAGTTGCTCTCAACGCTTGGTGGACGCGCAGCAGGGGTATCAGTAGCAGAGGAACTAAAACAGATGGGTTTTCTCCTGCCCGCACAGAGTGACTCCATTCTACAGGACTATTGTCTCTGGTTTTCGAAGGACGGGTTAATGACCAACCGGCCCTATCAGACTGACACTCGCCGAGGCTCTTCGTTGGCCCGTGGTGCGCCTCCTTGACTGCCTCGATGCAACTAGCCGTAGCCCCATTCAGCTTCCCTTTCTCGAGCTGGCACGTTTTTGACGCTTGCCCAGCAACAACTGGCTGCTCTGGCATATTTCGGTCGCAAATCCCAGTGAATCCGGAGGTCTTCATCGTGAGAAATGTGACAGCCCACCACTTAGCCGGGTTGTAGCAAACTTATTTGTCGTGGGATGTGAATTGCGCCAGCCTTGGTGCTTCCTGAGTCCCCGGTCCAATTTCGAGCACAGTGTTGCTGTAGCTTTATCTTCATTACTGATTCAAGGCCAGTGACTTCTGAAGCACAGCTGCGGTGTCGGGCCGAGCTTCCTCGTGGGCTTCTAACACTGACGTTGAAACATATGCACCCTACGCTTATCATTCAGTTGCAGGTGTATTTGGATGGGAGTAGTACGTTGGGTCCTCGCATGTCCAAATGTATGGTCGGGAGAGGGCAATCTGGAGGATCGTTTTCAAGCGGGTCTTCCCTCAATCGACAACACACCTCGATTTTGAGAAGAAGATTCACAGCGGCGTGACTGATAGGAACTCTGGAGTAGAGTGCACATAAATAGGGGCAATGTTTTTGCATCCCAAATGGTCCGGTGACTAGTTCGCTATCACTATTCCTCATATACTCTCTCGTTGCCAAGGGGTGGGGGGATGGAGAACGGGGTAGACATCTTATGTCGTCTAAGGACCCGCCCCAATAAGAGTGAAACTTACACCCCGAGTAGAGAAAACATTCTGGTTTTTTCTCTGGCGCAAACTGGATCTTGATGATCCGATTGGCTTCATGTTAGTAGAGGTGACTCGACTCGTAAGCATAAATTCATGTTGAACTTTGCTCCTGCGCTTTCAGCCCAGAAATGTTGTCAGAAAGTTTGACGAAGATCATCGAAATGGGCCACCAGGTTGATGTAAGATCTCGGATCAGCCTGTCAATTGTGGAACCGGGCATGCCGATAAACGTGAAGAGAAATCTTGGAACATTTCCGGAAGGCGGCACAGGGGCGGCCATCTTGAAAGCTTGGAAGAAAGCTAAACTTCGAGTGGTTTAGTCTCCGCAACGGTTCGCCTTCAAATCGCAAAGGTCGACAGGGGATACCATGGAACGTGGAGAGAGCCATATTATCATTCGCTGCAGTTTCACAAGCCATCTCGTCCCCTCAGACCCACGTTTCATTTTAGTTAATTGTTCCTTTACGCCCAGCGCTACCGATAATCTCTCAAGTGAACCTTGACGAAGATCATATTTCACTAACGCCGGAATACATTGCTTATGGGCCAGACTGGCATCCCCGTCATCAACCCTGAGGAAGGAGGAGATATAAGAACCATCCGGACGCCAGTCATACCTCCACTGCCTCTCATTCTCATACCTGTCGCTCATTTCCTTCGCCCTCCTCCCCTGACTTTCCTCTTCAAGTTGTTGCAGACATGAGACTCGCCAACGCCTCCGTCCTGGCGATGCTGCCCGCCTCGGGCCTCGCTGCCTGCGGCACTGCCTACGAGGGCAGCCAGATCGACGGCACCTTAATCCACTCCGTCGTGATCGATATGGGCACTGACGCCGCCAACATTACCGCCACCCAGTATGACCCGTACTTTAAGCAGGGAAGCGCGCTCAAGGGCGTCAAGGCCGTCATCGAAGACAGTCAATTCTACATCAACCTGTGGGCCATCCCAGGCACCGAGTCCGCCTTCAAGAAAGTTAGCCAGTGCCTGAGCGGCGGCTACCTGGTTAACCAAGTGCCCTGGCTGTATTACAACTCGACTGCCGCAACGTGGTGGGGCGGCTACGAGGCTGAGACCGAGGCCAGCAGTTACGAGGCTGCCGCCCTGTCTGTCGCCACCGGTCTCATCGCCGGTCTCGAGGTACGCTTTTGGGATACCAACGGCGATGGCTACACCGACCTTATCGACGCCGACTACCTTGAGGGTGTTACCATCGACACTATCACGCACAACGCGAACAGCACCTACTCGATCTACCGCGGAAATATCGACGTCGCCAACAAGACGCCCTACGAGGGCACCGTTTTCGATGCCGACCTTTTCAGCGGTGCCGGCCCGGCGATCCCCGCCAGCAACTTCGATACCACTATCCAGTCCGGCGATGTCGCGCTGTTCTGGTACGGCAACCAGGGGTGGGCCATGAAGCGCGCCGAGGACGTTGTCGGGATCTTCATCGATGGCGAGGATCATACCTCCTACGACGTCGGGGGCGTTACCTACGGGGACGCGATGCGCTTTTCCCGGGACAACCTACCCATTTCGAACCGGCCCGGCGAGTTCACCGACGCCCAAAAGTTCTTCAAGCTCACCAATGACACGGCCGCCGGCCTCAACGTCAGTCTCTGGCTTGTCCCCGTCACCAACACCACCAATCGCGGCGGACCCGTCGGCATGACGAGCGATGGCCACTCGCGCGACTTCCTCGCTAAGGCTGTCGCTCAGGCGCAGGCTCAGTTGAACAATGTGACTGTCAGCACCAACGGTGCCAACGTCCCCTCCACCCAGGAATGGGTCAACCAGGGCAACTATACCCAGCTCCACGAGGCCATCGCCAGGGCCAACCTTGCGCTTTCCTTGGCCAATAGCTCCTCCTTCTTGCTCGACTACCAAACCTACGTGCTTTACCTCACCCTCTATGGCACGAGTGATGACATTGGCGCTGAGTCCGCCGACTTCACCTTCACTGGCTTCGAGAAGGCTGTCCAGCTCGGCTCGGCCTAAACCCGTTATTGCTGTTCCTTACAATTTCCATAGAATTCTATCCATATCAATCAACCGTATACCCTCGAAAGCTGAGCAGGGTGGACAGCATAGGAATATTATGTAAAGCCTCCAATCAGACTCTGTATAGTAATGTAACCCCGCGCGAATATTCAAAGTAGACTTCGTGGCGGAGAAAAGACTCATCTGCCGTGAGTCGAAAGACAGAACATGCTTTGTAGGCGGGCAGGACTTTATTCCTGCGTAGGCGTAGGAAGGGCATGTGTGCCTGTGAATGCTGAATTACACCGAACGGGGTCATCCTCAAAGGGGCTCAAATGACTAGAAAAGCCCAATATCCTTGGTCGCCCTCATCGTGTTCCGGCTTGCTTTGATGCTTTGTCGATATGTTGATCCCCCCCATCTACCTGGCAGTCTCTTCCTTTCTTGGACAGTCTACACTCCAGACATACCCCGCCAGGATGGGCTGGAGAGACGACTGGCCATCAATGCCAGATGGTAGCCAGTACGATGGCAAGCAGTCACTTATCTTTGCTTCCTGACGGTAACAGTCCCACTCAAGAACTATAGGACGTCGGCTCTCTCATCCAAGACATTGAGGAGCATATAGGTGGAGTAAGCCCCAGTTATACACAATCTACACGAATCACATCACTAAACGACTCTTCCTTCCACTGACGTTATATGGTAAGGCGCCTGACTACAAGGTTGCTATATGTACAAACTGCAAAAGATACGACAAATGGAATTCTCAAACTACCAAGATTGTTTCCAGCCCTTGACTAAGATCCTCTTGTCAGAGAGCCTCGACCGCTTCATTCTACCTAAACTCGTGACAAGAAGAAGACAACATTGAGAGGGCAGAAATAGACAACAGTATAAGTATGATAGTGGTCTCCAAGCGCTCTCTCGTGGGCGCTCGGTCAGTATACTACTAAGTCGCCGCCTGTCCTCCTCTCCATCTTCTTTACCCATGTTTGTAATGTTTATCAATACCAACCTCATCTTTATAGAAATAAGTCTACCAAAAATGGTAGTTGTACTCTTTTTTACTACAATATGTCTTTTCTTGAGTCTGAGCTATTATTATAGCCTTTAGTTATTATTACTAGATATCTTGTCCTTTATTTGGGTTTTACTAACTACTGTGGTTAAACTAGTTAGTTACCGGGAGACTCGCTGACCAAAACTCCTATAGTTCTGACAAATCCCGGCCAGCCAGTGACTACGGCAACCTATATGCTATAAACTAGTAGTGCTGACAGTACTTATAAATGCTTATTGACCCCCCTCCCCCCAAAACAAACGGCAATCCTAACTGAACCACAAAATCACAACCCCCCACAATGATTCCCCTCCGCACAATCCAAGCCTCTAACCGGCTGATCGCCAGCGATCCTCCCGTCTTCCGTAACCCCATCGCCCTCTTCGTCGGCGCCACGAGCGGCATCGGAGAAGCCACCGTCAAACAATTCGCGCAGCACACCCTCGCCCTCCGTCCGCGGGTATACCTCCTCGGCCGTAATTCTGATGCAGGCCACCGCATCGTCCAGGATTGCCAGGCCCTCAACCCGACCGGGGAGTTCCACTTTCTCCCAGTAGACGTCAGCCTCCTGTCCGCGGTAGACGAGATATCCGCCATGCTGCTGAAGAAAGAACCCTACCTGAACCTTTTGTTCCTGAGTACCGGTACCGCTGCGGGGAAGACTGGTACGCCCAACCCATCTTCATGAACCTGCTCTACCCTGGCAGAGAGATAGAGTAATACATCGAGTCGAGTCTTCTCCACTGACCCCGACCTAGAAACCCGCGAGAATCTTCGCACCCTAACCTCCCTCCTCTACTACTCCCGCCTCCGCTTCACCATCAACCTACTCCCCCTCCTCCAATCCACCCCACCGGGACACCTCCGCCGCGTCATCTCCGTCCTCTCCGGGGGATACGAGGGTCCCATCGTGGATGTCGCTGACCTCGACGGCCGGAGACTCTCGATGCGGGAGTTCCGAGGACAGGTCTCCTCGGCTACGACGCTGGCAATGGAGACCCTGGCCGAGCAAGCGCCCACCGTCTCCTTCATCAACCAGTACCCCGGAACGGTGCGATCGGGCCTCTTTCGCGACGCCGATAGTTGGTACGGGTGGGTGGTTTGGGCGGTGCTCTTGGTGATTGGATGGTTGGTGTATCTGCCGACGCGGGAGGTGGCGGAGAGGCATGTGTTTCTGGCGACGAGCGCGCGATTCCAGGCCAGAGAGAGGGCAGAGAAACAGAGGGTGCTTGTTGAGGGGGTGGAAGTTGCGAGGGGGACGGATGGGAGAGTTGGGTCTGGGGTGTATTCGGTGTGGTGGGATGGGGAAACTTCGGGGGAGGAAGTGATGGAGATTCTGAGGGGCTTGAGAAGGGAGGGGATGAGGGAGGCGGTTTGGAGGGTGACGGAGAGCGTGTTTGTTAGGGTTACGGGGAAGGTGAGGGTGGAGGTGTGAGAGTGAGGATAACTATGAATACCGTGCTGAGAGAACTTGTACTCCACCTGGCCTAAGAGGAGCAACAAGTTTGGCATTGTATTCACTACCTAGCCATGTCCATCATCGCAGCATCGAGTCTGGTTATCTGACCATTCTTGAGGCTGCATCCATCGATATCGACCAACCATTGCTGAGGGTGATGGTTCTGTGATAGTCTCGGGTATGTCTTCCGCCGGCTGAATCTGGGTTTGCACAATCCCACCGAGAGGGATATGGAGTGGAAGACTTTTTATGCTCCCAAGACTCAAGATCATCTAGAGGTTGTGGTGAAGAGATAAGTAATGAGGCTGTGTACTGACGGTGTGTACACCTGATGGTAGGTTTTTGGCTTAAGTGACATTAATACAATGTATATCTTTTGATGATCGATTTGGGACAACTCATAGCGCGATTCTTGGGGGATGGGTGCAGTTGAACAAGACGAAAAGAGTAACGACAAGATCAGCAGAAACATCGAGAGGATGGCTACGCGGAATCATGAGTTTACATACATACAACCCCCCAAAAACTCTCACCGAACCACCACCAGAAAACACTTGGTCTCTCTCCCGCCCCCACACACCCTTCACTAACCAGTTTGTCCCTACACTTCCCGACCGAGGGCACATCCCAGCCTCACCTACAGGAACCTCCATCATCCCTCTCTCATCACGGAGTAGCAAAGCGAACCAGAAAACCCAACATCCGACACACAACCTGACAGAAAGTCTCATTCGCCGCATCGCCCCGAATCGCGCAAGTCCGGAACAGCCTGGTCTCGGGATGTGGATCCCCCGACTATCAGGATTCGCCACGCGCGTGAGAAAATCTCCTGACTAACTAAAGAACGTGATTGATTATCCGCCACCCGTGAATCAGCTTCTGCGCACGGTCGCGGTTCCGAAAAAAGAACAGAGAGCGCCATTACTGTACCAATCATGCAGGTGCCGTCATACTAGCAATGAACTACGTGTGTCGCCGTTCCCAATGGGACCCGTCCCCCCCTGTGCTAGAGTGTTGCTGGCATATGACCGCCTGAGTTTTTTTTCTACTCTGGCGCTTGATTAGTGGTTGGGTGGGACAGGGGGATCGGCGGCAGGGCTGGTATTGATTTGATTCTATCAGCATCGGTGAAGCATGGGACGTTATGAGAGCTTGTTGTAGCTATTTTGTGAATAGCCTGTGGTATATTGAGGTGTGTCTCTCATAGCTTGTTGTGCCAAAAAAACACATTCTCTCCCTGGTAAGAACCTGTCTACTGCTTTGTCTGCTGAACAGAAGTAGTATAGAAAGGGAAAGGAACCAAATGTGGATTATGAAGTTCTCTAAATTGGATTGTTAATTATGTAAATGTATGAAGCGTTCATGTCTATATGCCCGCGCCAGAATTAAGTATTAACATGAGTAAACGTTTTGACAAGAAAAAGAACCCCCCCTGCTCGCTGATAACCGTCTAAACTCCTCCAATGATGCCGTGATGTCGTTTGAGAGCAGAAAAGCTCGATGTTTAATGTTTGTGGTAGTGTCGTTGTTGTTGTTGTGGTGGTGGTGGTGGTGATGGCTGCAATTCGTGTTCATTTGACAAGATGTTTGTTCTCAGAAGTGATGGATCAAGCAAAGTGGAACTTCTTGTACTTCTGCGAGAGCTTCTGTCTCCAGCTCGAGGAGGACGAGGTGGTAGAAGTGGTGATCATGGTGGCAGCGGAGGAGCTGCGAGAGCCCAATTGCCCGCGGGAGACATCAGTGGATTGGAGCTCCTTGGCGAGGGCGTCAGCCTCGAGGGAGCGAGGGGCGGCACGGCGGGTGTAGAGGCCGTAGCTCTCGGGGCCGATCATGGGGAATGGGATGGTCATTTTGAAAGAAGTTGTGGAGGTTGTTGACCCAAAAAGAGGTCTTGATTGTTTTTGTGTGGTGGTGGTGGAGGAGGAGGAGGAAGGAATAGAGGATTGATGTGATTAATTGCTTTGTTGGATGAGGAAGAAAAAAAAGTCAAGGAGGTCCTGCTCGACAAACCGTTTATATAACTTTTCTTCCCTTCCCCTGGACCTCCTGATACTCCCAGAACCGATCTATGGTGTTGTGATTCATACATGCATACTTACCCACTAATGTGAACACCATTTTTTTTTTTTTTTTTTTTCCCGCGCGGCACATCAGATCCGAGGGGCGATGACCGAACTAGACCGTTCAAGCTGTCAGGGCATCTGTGCGTCTAAGCTTCCTTGAGGTTAGTGGAACATCCAGAACAAGACCGACCTTCAACTTCTTTCCGCCAAACTTGCCTTGCCACTTTCTTATCAAAACCCTTTCCCCTGCCTGGCCCGAAAACCGCGCATACAAGAGCAAAAAAAACTCTTCGGCTCACCCGACCATCCCCCGCTGGCCGACTTAACCGATTGTGAATTTTCGCTACCTAATGAATATTGTCTTGGACTCGAGTTACTCGCGCGATATGGTCCTTGTTTGCTGATAACTACCTATGCTTGCTAGTAGTCAATCGACACGAGTTGCAGGTTTTGCTGGTCGTCGCCAGAGCTGCCTAACCCAGGACACACCTGGCCCCTCAGCTCTTCTCCAACTGTTTCCCCCCCCCAAGGGCCCCCCCTGCGTGCGACCGCGCAATCGTATCAAATTCTGCAACGACTCCCTGTCCGCAACCGGCAGACTTGCTGATTTTCATGATTAGAGTTCCGCAAGCGAGCTGGATTGTGTGGCCCTGCGAGCTCGGATCCCTGGGCCAGAGCGGGCCGAGGCTGATGCCGTGGGTCAGCCCACGATAAGATAGAAGCATGAAGAAGTTGCCCCTGCGCATCAGTCGATATGACTATAACATGATGTTATTAAATTATGGTAAATTGTAAAAATAGCAATATCGCTTTGGAACCGGATATCTCGAAGTTGCTTTGCAGGGGGTCAGCCAACCGAGCGAAAGCCGGATTCAGCGGTGGTGACCCAAACCGGCTTTTCCCGACCGAGTCATGCGTTGCCAGTTGGTGCTACAGTACGGAGTACATCACTTCTCTCCACCCCGTATAGTATAGTGACTGTGCAGTACACTCATGTTTGATGGGCGAGGTGGGCTACCGCTACGCGACAGGATTACAGATATTTGTGACGTGAAGCGACAAGCAAACAACCTTTGTAGTTCAACCTCGGTTCATGCCAGTTTCTGCAAGGCAGCGGTGGAGCCCCGATTTCCACAAAATAATTAGATGTCAATGACGTGCTACCACCGATCCTCGCAGAAGTCAACCGATGAGATGAGATTCCAAATTCAATGGAGGGCACACACAATCTATTATATCACCAACGTGAAATCTCTTTCGCTTTCCAGTGGGACTGTCCAGAGGAAATTCTTCACCCCGACTTCCCACCCTGCTTCGTTGAGCCACTGCTGCAGCTTCCGCCCAGCTTTCCGGAATCTTCGAGCATAGACTATAGACTCAATCGTCACCACCACACCCCCCGCTCCAATGAAGCAAACATCGCAGTCCAGGATGATCTCTATCCCACAAGAGCTCTCCGAGCAATAATCCCCGTCAACCTCACTCACCCCCTCCCTGTGCATCTTGCCAGGTCCCCTCGGTCACCGCCCACGGCCCAGCTGGCACCGTCTCATCCCACACTCCCCTGGGAGGCCTCCACAGCAACAACATCCCCAGCGACCGATACTCAAACATCAGCCTCTCCCACTCCTCACTCGGATCCTTCCTCGCACAATCCACCGCCAACCCCATCACCCTGCGATACCCGCACTGTTCATACAACCACCGTCCCATCGCCCCGGACTCGATAAAACACTCATACCCCCACGCGTCAATCCGCGCATGACCCCACTGCATCAGCAATCGTCCGACGCCCTGTCGACGGTAATCCGGGTGCACGCCCATCCGATTGACCCCTAGAAGTATTCCGATCCGCGATGGAGTCAGCAACCATATAACTAGCCCCCCCCCCCCCGCGCACATTCCCCCCTATCAAACTGGTTCCACTCTCCGGGGATGGTGGAGGATAACAACAAACCCGCATGAGCCCTCCGCAACCACGCCTGCCGCGGCAACAAACACTGTGTCAACACGTGAGTCACGAACTCCGCCTTCTCGGATCCCTCGGGGTACCAGGTGCACGGCACGGGTTGCGGACCGTCGGGGAACGGGTTGGTATGGTAGAAGGTCCATTCACAGCCACCGGCGACGCGCCCGGTCCGAGGGTCGAGTGCGTAGAGGTAGTGCGAGGCGGGATTGCGGGCGTGGGCGGCCCAGTGGAGGTCGGTGTCGCGGGCTTGGTCGGTTGCGCGGTCTGCGGCGGTGGGACCGGTGGTGGCGTGGCAGAGGGTGAAGATTGGTCTGTCTCAGAATATATTGTTATTGAGATGCGGTGGGGGAGAAAGGAAGTGATTGATAAGTTCCTGGAGAATGAGGTTGTTGGGAAGGAGAGGAAGTGAAAAGGGGGGGTAGGTGGAAAACCGACTCGTATGGATGAAAGTTGGCCGTCCAGAGAACGTCATTCAGACGTGCGAACTCGGCTTTGGTGGTGACTTCGCGGATTTCGAAGGCGGGAGGGGGTGTTGGTGGTGGTGACATGATGGTTGTTGGTGAGGCGGAAGTAGAAGAAGAAGAAGAAGAAGAAGAAGAAGAAGAAGAAGAAGAAGAAGAAGAAGAAGACACCAGAAATGAAGGAAAAGTCCAAGTCTAAAGGAGGTTATATCCCCCCTCTAAGAAAACGACCACTACTTATTCACTTCACAGGTACATACATACAGTACAGTACAGTACAGTCTGATGCTTGAGTTGGTTTCACAAACTTTCCCCCGCCCCCTGTTGCTCCACGGATTCAGTCGTAACCTGAACCTGAACCTGAACCTGAACCTCGGCCAAGGGCCCCATATAATGCTTGCGCCCCCAGCCCAGATAATACACCACTGCCAGCATCAGCACCCCCCCGAAGATCGCCACGCTGTAATTCATATCGGAGGGTGTCGGGTGGCTGCTGGCCGGCCAGAACCCGAAAATCACTACGATCGCAGAAAACACCAGAGCGAACACATTGTTCGCGATCCCCAGCCATCCCCGAACCCGGAAGGGACCCCAGACAAAGCCTTTGGGATCCCCCCCGGGCTGCGGCGCAGAGATGTGGCCGTTGACTCGGTGGTACAGGAGGAGGGAGAGGGGAATGATGTAGGAGAAGAAGAAAGCCTCCATGAGGAGCGAGAGGACGATATTCAGGACCACGGAGGATCCGATGTTGATGAGCCCAATGAGGCCGGCGGCAATGACGATCACGGAGATGCTGTGGAAGGGCACGGAGGTTCGTTTGTTGAGCTGTGGGAGCGGGATTGTGGTTAACGGTTAAGGGGAAGCAAGCGACAAACAACTGAGCGTACCTGGAGAATCCATCGCCAGCCGGGAAGAGCCTGTTCTCGCGAAAAAGCCCACAGCATGCGACTCCCCGAGGAGATCCCCCCGAGGCCGCAGCACGCCTGCATGATCGCGATCATGCTTGCGAACACAATGGCGGCCCCCGTGCTTTGGGTGACATGCTCGAGGATCGGCATGAAGGGATACGTCGCTTCGGACTTGAGGATGGCGGAGAGGTCGCCCGCCGTGAAGAGAAAGGCGATCAGCATCGCGAAGCCCAGAACTCCGTTGATGGCGATTGCAAATAGCATCGAGTGTGGGACCACAAGGCTACTATTGGCAACCTCCTCCGCCATCTGAGTGTCGAGTGTGTCAGGGGTGAAATCTCGTGCAAATCAATAGAGCTACTCACATGAACCACTCCATCCGTGCCTGATTGACGTTAGCTCTCGTTTGCTACAGCCACTGGCGATAGATACTACCTAGAAAAGCACCCACGATCCCCTTCAGCCCCACGAGCGTGGCGAGTGTGATATCACGCCAGCCGCCGACATTGAATGTTTGGACAAACACTGATTTGGCGTCAGCCTTGGGCCCTAGATAGGCAATCGGTATGAGGACGGCGAAAAAGCCCAGCACATGAATGATGCCTATGAAGACCTCCAGCACTGGGAGAATCATCCCCAGCCAGGTGTTCAGAATGGCGCAAATCAGCAGAATACCCCACATAATCAGAGTGACATGCCAGCCTTGTGGTTCGTAGCCGGGGCGGCTCATGGACACTGCATTTACCAAAATACTTCCCGCGACATACACTGCGCCTGTTGGAACAGCTGTCCAGGCGATGATGCAGATTGAGCCTTGCCGTTGTATTAGTGTCTCAACGAGTCTTCAAAAACTGGAACTCAGAATACATACCCGTAACATGACTGATAAAGCGCTTCGAGGACTCGGGCGCCAGGATACTCGCCCAATGGTACTGCCCTCCAGCCTGCACGGTTGCGTCAGAAAGACCAGACAATATCAAGCTCCAAGCCTACCGAGGGAATCATGCTCGCCAGCTCTCCCAAGGCAGTGAATATGCTGACGAAGCCAATCCATACGGCGATATAGCCATAGACCAAACCCGCTGGGCCTCCACTAGAGCACATGAGCACAACGAGATCCTTTCCTGTCAGCAAGTCATCAGAGGTCTTACTTTGGCAACCCTACGCCGAAGTTACTGTACTATGTCAACTGTGTCCAATGCATAAAGACGTGGGAGTCAAAACATCAGAAAGGCCTCCCATGTGAGCATCAGGCTACACGCAAATCCCACCGTACTGGCCAGTCCAAATCTCCGCTGTCAAATCGGTCAGCTGGCAAGCAGGTGATGGGATGTGTCCAACACTTGACTTGCCTTGAGAACCTCCCGCTTTCCCACCTGGGCTAGCTCGAGTGCATCCCGACCACAGAGAATTACGTTGCTGCTGGGGAGGATGGATGGTCCCTCGGCTCTGATTGAAGTCAGCTCGACTTCACTTTCGCCCGGGGTGCGCCCGCTCTGTTTGCTGGGTGAGGGAGGCATGGCGGAGTGGACAATAAGACGGATTGAATTGGAAAACAGATTTGGTACACTTGTCCCGGGGAAGAACAGACATAGTGAGAATTTCAAGATAGACCAACAGTCGGGGGAAAAAGGGATGGCTCCCCCCCTGATTCAACTTCGGGCTGTCCGATCGAGTCAAGTAGGACAAGGAGCGGGGCTCACAAGATGCCTGTCGTCGCCTGGGACGACCTCTGTGACACCGTCCATGGCCGACGTGTCATTCAATCTTGACCGAGGAGAATTGGAACCCGAATGGGTGGGACAATGTCACTTTTCTGCTGACCGTGCGTCTCTCTCTCAGGATGAGGTTCAGAGAAGACAGCCCGAGTGCTCGACCACATCCGGACTCATCTGAATGCCACGGCGTCTGGGTTTGGGTGAGAATGAATTCGTGGCCTACTTTGGTATTGGTATGTAGCTGAGACTCAAACGCTATAATAGTACGGCTGTAGAGCTTCATCGAGTGCAAAGGGGGGCTATTGTTGCATGGCTTAGGGCTATTGTCACTCAACGGTCGCCGACCGGCCAGCCCTCAAACCAGACCCAAATGCGCTCCCATAGAACAGAACGCCTGCTTACCTGGTGTTCTTCTGTCGCTTTTAAATGTGCCCAGCTTGCTCCATGCCTTTCTCCGAATACGACAATCTTCCGAGCTCCTTCGGATAGACCCCACTGTTGGTGCTGCGCAAGATGGAAGACCACGGAGCCGTCATCAAGATTGTTAGCTGGTTCTTGCTGATCGTGTCATCGGGCGCCGTGATTGCCTGCCTTCTGACGAGCTGGCATCTTCTCGGGAGGAAGATCTTGGTGCTGACTCTTTTGCTAAGCACACTGGTCAGTACGAGTTTCTGATGCTCCCTGTACAAAGTCGTGGCACTCACGCGTAGCAGCTCTGCTCCGCGATCGCCGGGGCCACTGTTTCCCTGGCCGCCACTCGCAGCTTGGGAAAACCACGGGTGGAGGACGACAGCAACGCTGACGACAAACTCGACGGTCTCCAAAAGGCTATCTACGTCACGGAAATCTTCCATGTCTTGACGCTGGGCTTGGGGAAGCTCTCCTTCATCGCCCTCTTCTACATGGTTTTATCCGGCAGCGCATTGACAACCCTAACCCGTGCGATCTTCGCTGTCGGCTCGTTCCTCATCCTCTTGACATTGACCATGGTCGTTGCGCTTGCAATCCAATGCCGTCCGCCTGAAGTCTGGAATGTGATGTCGGGGAGATGCTTAGATGTGGTAAGACTCTTTTGCCTGGAACCAGACCCTCAAGTAGTTACTTACCCAGTGCCAACCCCTCCCTCACTGCAGACTGCCCTTTGGACCTACTACGGCGCCGTGAACATCAGCATTGAAACCCTCTTGTTTGCTGTTCCCAGCGTCTTGATTTACCGACTGCGAATGCGCCTACGGAAACGGCTCGTCGTGATCGGATGCTTGAGTGTTCGGACCCTGTAGGTCTTCCACCTTTTCTTTCTCGTTATCCTCTCATGTCGCTGACCCAGATGACCCGACCACCTTCAATACTAATCGCAAGGGTGAATGTGCAATGATAGAGACATCCTCGTCGCCGCCGTCCAACTCCACTTTGTCCACGGATTCGACCCCCGCCCATCCCTCCCGGCCAACCTATACCCCTGGATGCTCTGCAGCCAGGTCTTGCAGACCGTCACGATCGTTGCCGCCTGCGTGCCATATCTCCGGGAGTTCTTGGAATCGTTTCCCAGTGGAATGCTGAAGCCGGCAGGAGTCGAGCGGACTACCGGGTTGAGGTATGGGTCTGGAACAACCAGGCTGTTGGATAGTGATTCTGGCGTGTCACCGTGATTTTGCTTTTTGAGATAGACTGGTTACTTCTTGTATCCTTTTAGAGTTGATGGCTGGAGCCTGCAAGTTTTGATCCCGGTGTTTTGTTAAAGATGTCCATTTGTCGTACTAGGATACACGATAGGGCTCTGCGTGCTCGGGAGCCATATAAGGCACCAACCTCAGTGGCACAAGGGAGGCACAGAGCCACCCTTAGATGCAGATCTTGTACATTTAGCTGGTTTCTAATCGCATTTATCGCGGTGTGTGCCAGTGATGACATTGATAATTAAGTATATATCACGTACAGATTGGAGTGGGGAAGGTGCTCATCCGCATCAATATTTTGTTGCAAGCTGCAGAATAAGATATAGTAGTTTACTGTGCCACCATGCCCCTATAATGATTTGACCTCAAACACCAAACCAACAAAAACCCCAAGTCCGTCGATACCATTCCCTTTTCACCCCCGATGTGACTTGCACTTTACCCAATCTCCTCATCGGCTGTCGATCCGTCTTTTCCGGGGTGCATTTGATTGAAAAGTAGACTAGACCGACTCCAGCGGTTTTTAGCTTGAGCCCGGCACTATCATCAAACTTCGGCATTAGTTACCTCCTCCCCCGAAAAAACGATGCTTCGTGGTGATGAGGGTATTATCAGAAGATTGCAGCGACATTGAGTGAAGGGATGCAATCAGCAGAAGTCATCGTTCCGGTCGGAGTGCAAGTAGAAGTTCGAATGTTGTTGATGGTGTGGTATGGAAGATTGTAGTCTTCTGGCCGCCCCAGGACCGCCGCCGCGAGGGTCAAGAGGATGAGCTTTGAGGGACGCATCGCCTTTTGCAAGAGGTACAGTGACAGCAGTAGTCTTGGTCGCATCTCAGGGCTCCTAGTGGTGAGGGGATCTGTCAATACTCATGTCTCGTTCGAAGAGGCTCCGTGCTATGTGAACTATACCTATTCCTTGATCCCCCAAGACTAATCCGTAACTGTTGCGCGAAGTTGGAAGGGCCCACCTGTTGAGCACAACTTCTGTAAACTTGTTTTCAGAGCGCTTAGGGCATATATATCGCTCGGTCGAAGAGAGACATTCCTCAAGCTCGCGCACTGACCCCTCCCCGTCCCACCCTACACACTGTCAGTATCCTTCTGAGAAGGAAGTCAAGCTAAGTCAGGTGGGGTTGGCAGGTGGCACGGATGCCATGGGGAGAGTGTTGGTGTGGTACAGGGCAGTGGTGGTCTCACTCAGTTCCCAGTGATGTTGGGAAGGTGGCAATCATTATCCCGTTTGCATACATCTGAGTCCATTCGACATGGGAAGCTCAACAAGAATTCGCTTGGGAGCTGGTCGGAGACTCCATGGTTGTACGACTCGACCAGCGAATGGGCCATTGCTCCCCTGCGCGCTCTGTTTCTGGGCAATGGATGAGAATCAATGCTGAGCTGGGACCTAAGTTTGAGACAGCTCCATCTGTCTGTGGCACTCATCTGCGCTTTAAGGCTGATTTTCACATCCAATGCTGCTCTGAGGCGTCATATTTCCTATCTGCGCAATAGATGACACTTGAAACGGGACATGCAAACCTCGAATATGCCCAACAAATACGAGAGGAGGGAGAATCATCTCAGTGACGATGAAGAGGGTTTGCGAATGCTCCCCGGCTATGCTTCACTCGGTGATGGACGCTCAAATTCGCTGTCAGGGGCCAAGGCCCGAAGCGCACTCAATCTCATTGTCATGCTGCTCCTCGCCATCTCATTGATGGTCAATTTCTGCTTCATCTTACTTCACAGCCCGCTTGATGTCTTCGGACAGACCCCAATCTCATGCAGTGCGCCGGAGCTCCAACGCTCTCCCTACTGTAAGTGGCTCTTAAAAGACTCCGAGGTGAAGCCATGCCTACATTCATGCAATATCAGCGGGCCTGGCCTTTGACGTACCGACACGATACACCCTGTCCACCGACTACACCAGCGACAATCACACCCGGGCCGATCGCATGTGGGATAGTCTGAGCCTGGATTCCATGGTGATCGCCCCGACTATCGACTGGGCTCGAGAGATGGGTCTGCCGGATTCCTGGGACTTCCCCTGGGATCCCAAGCGCAAGATTTACTTTGTGAAAGTCTATCACCAACTTCATTGTCTGGTATATTGCCCCCCTCGCGGGCCACTCCTACACTGTAGCCAATACTAAAGCCTTCCCCTGCTGGTATAGAAAAACATTCGTCGAGCTTTCAAGCAACTGCTCTCGAACAAAGACCATCCCCTTCCCATCGGCCACGTCGAGCACTGCCTCGACACCCTACGACAAGATCTCATGTGTCACGCGGACGACACGCCGATGCCCTCGTTGCAACTGGTGAACGGAGCCGGTGAGGGCCAAATCAGGCAATGCAAGGACTTTGACAAGCTGGTGGCGTGGACGAAACACCCGGATCGCGATGCCTGCTACAAGCGACTGAGCGACGATCGGCCTCCGTTGCGCAGTATCGATCGGTATGCTTTTTGCCCCGCCGACAGTGAGCATCTCGAGACGATGTCGAGGTATTTCGAGAAATATGGATACCCGGAGATGAATGAGGCGAGTTGATCAGGAGGGATGTAATGCGATGATGAGGGGTAGTTGGTAGTTGGTACTTAGGGTTGGGAAGTGTTCCGGTTCTGTGTGTGTGTAACATCTCTTATCAGGATACATAAAGAAGTGAATCAATTCCCAGCCCCCTTTTCCCTCCACAATTCCCATCTTTTAGATCCCACTCGTTCTACGCTTTGAAGAGACAACCCAAACCTCCATCCATCATGGATGATAAAGCTGAGTCACAAGAACACCCACCCCATGGCGACCCCCAACGAAGCTGCACCCAGCTCATGGAGGAATGCTGGGAGACTGACCCGGCGAACCCTCGCACCTGGTCGAAGCGATGGAAATGGTCGATTGGGATTCTGGTTGCTTGTCTCTGCGCAGAGGTGTATGGATTCCCATGACCCACCTCACCGTGTGTGCATTGCTGTTAACTCGGCCATCTCACAATCAGACAGCTGTGCACCATCATCGCCGCCCCCGTCTCGCCGCAGATCCTGACCTTTTTCCACTCCAACAACCTTCTCTACCGCACCCTGCTCGTCACCATCTGGGAACTCGGCGAGATCTTCGCCCCGCTCGTCTGGGGCCCGCTGTCGGAAATCTACGGTCGACGCTGGATCCTCCACGGGGCAAACCTTCTCTTCATCGGCTGCCTCGCCGGCACAGCTTGGAGCACCAACATCCAGTTGCTGATTGCCTTTCGCTTCCTCAGCGGACTCGCCACAGCATGCATCCCACTCGGGCCAGGCATCGTGAAGGACCTGTTCGCCAAAGACCAGCGCGGCCGCGCCATGTCCCTCATGTCGTTGACCAGCGTCGTCGGCCCCGTGGTCGGACCTATTGTAGGCTCGTATCTCGGCGAGCAGGCCGGCTGGCGCTGGGTGTTCTGGCTGCCGACTCTCCTGTCTGCATTTCTGGGGGTGTTACTGCTGCTGGTCTATCGAGAGACCTATAAGGTGACTATCTTATGCCACCGCGCCTCGCCATCTGCTGCCAACCACTACCCCAGTAAACCGAACATCGCTGGAAGCCTCCTCAGACCCATAACCCTCCTCTACCGCTCTCCAGCTCTGCTCGTCCCTACCCTCCACCTCAGCCTCATCTACGGCCTTACTTACCTCGTCATGACAACCATCGCCCCTGTCTTCCAAGACGTGTACCGCTTCTCCGAAGGCGCCTCCGGCTTGGCCTTCTTGGGGTTGTGTCTGGGGTTTACCCTGGGGGCCGTCATTTGCAGTCTCCTGCTGGACCGATTCATCTCCCCTGCACCCACCAGCACTGCCACCAGCACAGCAACCACAACTCCCACCAATCCAACCACGACGCCTCCACCCCCCAGCAACAGCGGGTCCGCAGAACCAGAAAAACGGCTCCCACCCCTCCTCCCCGCCTGCCTCCTCACCGCCGCAGGACTGGTGCTCTTTGGATGGACAGTGCAATACCGCATCCACTTCCTCGTGCCCATCCTCGGCACCGCGATGGTCGGGCTGGGCCTGGCGGCGACCTCCATCACGGTGCAGACGTACGTGGTGGACTCGTTTGGCGTCTGCGCGGTGAGTGCGATTAGTGCGGTGATGGTGGTCAGGAATGTCGCGGCGGTGGTGGTGCCGTTGGCAGGGCCGGGGTTGTTTGGCCGGTTGGGATATGGGTGGGGTGGGACGGTGTTGGGGGGTGTGGTGCTAGTGATTTTGCCTGTGCCCGTGGTGGTTATGAGGTTTGGGGGAAGGTGGAGGGGGAGGAGTAAGGGTTGTGGTGGTGGTCGTGGTGATGAGGATAGGGGATAGGCGGTTGGAGTGTTCTATGGCTTGGAGACATCGCAACATTGCGCTGGGAAGTAGTCAGGATTGTACTGGTGAAGAGGGTAGTGGATTCCTTGCTCTGAAGTGGCTGTCTGGCTGGCAGGCAAGCATGATGCTTGAACTCAAGCGCGAGAATCACCGGCGGAGGTTCTCTCTAACTCATACAATGGAGTCCTTATCGGGAGGCTTTATTCGTGTAGACGTGACGATGGCTATAGTCTTCCAGGGTAAACCCGAGAGATTGCAACAAAGCATAAAGGGGGTCTTTCAGCAATATATTGGTTCCTTCATGTCCTCAACTGGCATCTATCGCCTAACAGCACCCAGGTGCTCAATATAAATAAACAGTCTGTCAGTCCAACGATTGAGGTGTCCATCGCTTTCGGGTATATCGACACTGAAACATTTCACAGTCCCAACAGCACAAACCCACGGTGGAATTCTCACCATGTCTTTGATCAAGGTGACCAAAATCCTGCCCGGCGAGGGGGTGTCCTCGAAACAGATCCCGCTCAGTAGCACGTCGGCGGACTACTGGGATAACCGAGTTACCCGGAGCCTGGTCCATCTGTGCATGCGCCGGCTGGAGGAGCATCCATACACCGTCGCCACCGCAATCCAAACCGCCGAGATCTGGACAGCCATTCTGTCCGACGCCTTTCATACCCCCAGCCTGCGCCCCTCGCGCCTCGACATGGACGTCCGCCGGGTCGAGCTGGTAGACCAGCCGGCAGCGCTGGTGGTCAACGTCACGCTTTATCCGGTCCCGCGGAGCCACGAACCGATGGAGATCCACTCCTTCATCCAAGTCTGGTGTCTCGACGAGACGGCGGATGACGATCGGATTGCACTGACCTCGAGGCGCCACGCGCACGAGCTGGTGGAGTCGTGCATTCCGCCGGACATTCGCCGCAAAATCCCCGCGATCGTCGTCGCCAAGGGCCACAAAATGGCCATCTATCGGTGGGAGACGGGCATGGTCAACCAGCACCTTCGGGACCCCTCTTCCTTCTGGAATATGGACGACTTCGGGTTCTATTGTCTGGGACACGACCACAATGCGGTCGAGCTATTGTTGAGGAATCTGCGGAGGGAGGTCTTCGATGCGCCCTCCTTCCTCGAGCCGATGCCGCCGAGGCATGCCTGCTGTCTTACCAGGCGGGGGTCTACCTCTCAGTGATTTTGTCTGGCTGGTGAGTCGCGAGCTTGTGCTTGTAGAAACTGCCTGGAAGTGAGTTGTCCTGAGGGCTTTTTTTCTCTTCCCGGGTAGAAACCGGTCTTTGCCTGTGTTCAAATCTCAGAAATTGAGTATTCATAAACTAGTTCTCTATACCTTCTCTTTAAGTTGACTTCGATAGATGTAGGCTGTTTGGTGGTCTTGTTGCCTGGCTTTTGCTGGGCTTCGCTGAATTCTTGAACCATCAATTCTCATCAATACCTTGATTAAACTAAACTTGTCGTAATGATCTTTCTCTTCGGGCCGGCTCTTTGGCTTGGCTTCCTGCTTCCTGCTGTAGTTGTACCGAGTCAAAAGTGCCATTTCTGCAATTGAAGGACAATCATCCCTGTATATTCCACTACCCTGGATGGGCAGGGACAAAGACGCTCCCCTCGATTCCAACAACAATAACAACAACATGTGGCTGCACTCGAGAGGAGTTCATATCCCTTGCGCAATAAGCCACCCATCCATCCCCAAACCCAGTAGCGGATCATACTCATCGCTAAGCAACCAGCTGTGCAGAGAATTACCGCCATCACTTGGACTACCGAAACCCCCCGCCCCCATACCACCAGCCAACCCCTCCTCCAACTGCATCCCAAAATTCATCCCCGCAGGCACGCCAGCAGCCGCATCAGCGCCAGCGACGTCCACCTGTTCATCCACCAAGCCCTGCAATGTCGCCGCTGCCTTGGTCAGGTGCCCGCGCACCGTCTCGTAAATCATCTGCTCTGTGGCGAGACCGCGACGCTCGGCGTCGAGGCGGGCGAGGAAGCATGCGCACATCAGGGAACCCTTGAGGTTCGTCTCACCGGCGCTGACGCGGGCGGCGGAAAGCTGGACATGTCGTTCGAGGAGTGGGCGGAGGGTCGAAAGATGCGAGGGTGCGGTGCGGTTGTCGTCATCGCTCGGCGGTAATAGAATCGCCCCCAGTTCCAATTCTTGGCGTTGAAGGGAGAGCTCGTAGAAAATGTTGCTGTGGGCTATGATGGGGACGTCGCGGAAGGAGGCGGCGGCGATGAGTTGGAGGCGATAGGAGTCGGACGATGCGCCGGCAGAAAAAGATGGAGGAGCGGGCTCGATCGAGGAGATAATGCGCATCGAGGCCTGGAAGTTGACCTGGCGGGAGTAGTAGTATTTGGGACTGGACTTGGCTTTCAGGGCGAATGGAGTGTGCAGGGATATGAGGAAGCGCTGGGTCATGAGGTTGTAAAGTTTGCGGTGGAAGGGGCGGATGTGTGTGTCATTGTCCTCGTGATGGTTAGTGCTGCTGCTGCTGCTGCTGATGTCGCAGCTGGCATTTGCGTGATTGAGCTGGACCAGTTCGGCGCTGAGCTCCAACGCCTCATCATAGGACATCCCGCTACGGAAGCTGTTGACAAACTTGGCGATCCGGAGGCGGACGGCCTGCGAGCGTGCCAGCGCAATCTGCAGCGATGTTTGGGTCAATGTTCCGGCCGGTCGTGCCGCTGGAAACGGGTCCTGCTCCATCTCCTCGTCGTTGAGGTTCATTGGCGGGTCGCAGTCGTAGTCGTCCGGGTGAATGAGCGGAATCCCGCCCGCATCCAGGCTGGTTTGTAGATTGATTTCCAGGATGGTCGCCCACAGCCGCCGTCGCATCTCCGCGTCGAAGGGCGAAACCTTCGCCATGTGGCGCGGGTCGATATGGAACCCCATGTGCATCGCCGTGCGCAAGAGTGATCCCGCCCCAATCCAGGCCAGCTCGCCTCCAATCGCCGTCACCTGTCGCGCAATCAGAAGCAGGCAATGCAGCTGCAGGCCTTGCATGTCGAGTCGCGCCTTCTCAAACGGCGAGGTAAGCCATGACTGGGCGGTATAGATCCATTGTGAGACGGACAGTTTCGACACGAGCGACCCGTACGGTGTGTCATCTGGACAAAAGACACTCCCAACAGCGAGGATGAGCAGCAGCTTGATGACAAAGGCTGGACTGGACGCTGCCGGATCAGCCCAGTACTGGTCGTATGCGCGGCGGAAAGACGGCACATGGATCACTCGGTAAGCAGATTCCAAGGTGCGCAGATAGGCGGCGAGAAGCTGGTCCGAAATCGTGCGGGGAGGCACATAATCACGCGGATCCGAGCAGACTGGGCCTCGCAGTATGATCTGGGTTTTGACGACACGCGCCAGTCGCTTACAGCGGGCCATGATCGCATAGACGTCCGAGTGCTCGTCGGTCTCCCAGCGTTCGAAGAGCTTCATAAACTCACTGAACTGGCCGTTCGTTAGACAAACCTATACACTCATAATGGGATAGAAGGGGATGATACCTGGTTCATGCAGATCATCCGATGGCTCTGGCCGAAGAACCTCGATTTGTCGAATGTGCCATGAATGGAGGCGGGGCTGATTCTTGATTTGGGAGACAAGGCCGCAGCGGCGGATGACTGACCACTTGCGATCCCATCGAGTCTCTCTTCCAAGACACGAATGCGATCTATCAGGCCTCGTAGAAGTGAATTGGGCGGAGAGGGTGGAGGCGGAAATGGTTCGCGCGTCGACATCTCAGACCCAGCAGCGAGGTCCAAACCGTGGTCGTGCTGGACTGCTGGGCGAGCGGCGGCAGAGACATAGGTACAGGATCGTTTGAACTTAGTGCAATGATTACAGGGAGATTCTCGATCACATCTGAGAATGTATCAGCAATCCGAGCAGGCATCTCTCAGCTGTCTCTGTTGTTCGTGGCACACACACACCCAATCTTACGTCGGCGACATTCCTCACAGGCTAACGCGGGGCGGCGGCGTTTGCGGGGAGGCAGATCGGACCCAGTCTTCATACCTTGGGAAAATCAAAATCAATCACAGTCAAAGCGTGTCTCACGATGTTAGATTGAGGGGAGAGATATTATGACAATCATAAGGGGGGAGAAGTAGATGTTGATTTGTGAAAGTGCAAGGAGAGTCAGCCTCGAAACAACAAACAATTAATCAGGAGCTGCTGCCTGATTCTGGTAAGGCGGTAAGTTGGTATTCACCCCGTTTTGGATACATCTTTACACCGGATCCTCTCACAAAGAAAGGTAACACATGGTACCGCCGAAGCACACACTATCTATAATTCTCCGAGGCCCACTGGTGCGCGGATGAATCCTCCGTAAAAGTGAGGCAATTACCATTGAACTACATCGGTGTTTGAAGGTGAAGCCCAGCCATCCACTTTGCACCTGGTATACATGACCTCAAACATGCTCCGGCTGGTTTGACGGAAGCTCGGACCGGAAGCACAGACCAGGGTTTGGCAGTTTGGCAGTTTGGCAGTTCGGTATGAACACCGCGCTACTAAAAAAAAAAAAAAAAAAAAAAATATAGCAGACACCCGAGTATCGGAGATGTACAAGATCTTGTTCCTGCGTATAATGCACAGACTGGACAGTATGTGTACTGTATTCCTGGAGGTGGGGACCGAGATCATTTACTAGTGCCCACTCCCCGCTCGGACAAAAGGGCTTGTCGCACTGACAGATCAATAGAGATGAATGTCACCCTGAATCAGAGATTAGCCATAGAACCTATCATCAGTGCGCCGATAGACTTCTAGACGATGTTTGTGAGTGTGCTCTGCTCCATGATTGTTCCCACAACTACTCTGTATGTGTCATTTATGCTTCTAACTGTCACCGTCAGAGGCAAACCCTCTCAATGAATTCAGGAATGCAAAGCCCGTGCAACTACCGAATCAAGGTACACGCCTTTCAGCCACCATCCATGACGACGGTTTCGGTCTGGTATTGGAATTGCTGGACCGAAACCAAACATACCGCCCGTCAAAATAGATCACGACGGCTATGCTGGCTGGTAGAGAGAGGGCGATATCACCCTCATTTTGAATGTCGCATCCCCTTGTTGACTCTGGTTTGTTGAGAGGTTCCAAACTGTGTTTTGGGAAACCCCGCCGAGTCACCGCCAGACTGGGACGAATGTTCGGACCTCTGAGCACACAGCAGATTCCCTCGAGTGGTCTTTGTGTGCGGTGACTCGATGGCAACATGGCGGTTCAGATGATGCTAGCAATGTCAACGGTATGTCATGAAATCTCGCATTCTCATGACTCGTGTAGGACATGAAAGCATCAGACTACTCTTTCCTAACATCAGATAGACAGGTCCCATCATCCCTATTCTCCAGGAAAACATTTTCCACGGCCCGACCACGTATCTGTGAAGACTAGAGCACATGAGCCTCTCACTTGCGCAAGGGAACTCGACCAGCAGACGTGCCTACATTATCGAGTCTGTGTGTACACTAAAGCGATCTTCTTCCTCGCTCGCATTCGACAGCAAGTTCTGACGCCACGGTTTCGCGCCCACATCAAAAGAACCCGCGACAGATACCTGCAGGCGGCTTCGAAGGCACTCGACTACATCAATCTGGCTGCATCACAATCCATCTCCCCAGAGTCTCACTCAGCGTGATCGCGCGAACCATGCTTGAGCTAGCGGAGATTCCGGCGGCTGCACTGGAGTAATACCACGGTCTGACAGCAGTCTCTGATCTAGACAGCCCGACCACGAGTCTAGAAGTCTTAAGTCAGCACTTGGTGTCCATGAAAGGAGTAATTTACGAGATGGGCCCCTACGGAATAACCACTGCAATGGTGGAACAATGCGCAAATGTGGGGGATTCTCTGGGACGCAGCCATCGCTTGAATGGGTGGACTCTGAGATCCCCTGATATCATAATCGGGTGCTTACCGTTAGTTAAACGGTCGATCCACGATCCAATTCATTACCGTACCATAAAGTTTCGGTCGTAGGTGTCATAATCATTCCTAGGCAGGGTTTCTTACTCAGTCCGCAAGCGGTAGAACCGACCAGGCCGCGTCAGCTCGAGACAAACAAGCTTTCAGTGGCGAGCTTTGGCTCCCGTATTGTCGGTACCATACACTATAGTACCTTCATTACCGGCCTTCATCAGGCTCCCATCAATTGACTCGGACGGCAGGTTTTATCTCTTCTCTCGTCCGCCATTGTGCTCATGATTGACCCTCGTGACACTGCTTTCATCTAACTGACAAGTATCAGACATGTCGAAGATGTTCTTCGCTCAAGCACATCCTTCTTCTTCCCACGCCATCCCCCACCCAGGGCCGCTCGACGTGGTGCCCGAAGAGGACTCGGATTGGGATGAGGCTCAACTCGAGAGCTTGCCACTGAACAACTTCAAGACGATACCAGCAGACAAGAGGCAATCTGGTGTCTCTAATGGCATATGCCGCAGCTTGTTTCAGCCAAAGCCATTTCATCGTCGAACATTCCCTGCCCGCCCGCGCTCTCGACGATCTCGAGCCGTACAAGGTCTTAAACGACTATTCTGGGGCCTGGTCTTCTGCCTGTGAGTGATCCAGTCGACCAACCCATGTGTGGCCTCTCAAGTGTTAACGTGTGGTTCACGACAAGTGGCTTGCTCAAGCTAGCCGCTCTTACTTGGAACGGCCTTGTGTATCTGTTTCCCGATGACCTGGATGCCCGCCTCGACGCTTGGGTCTGGCCGGGGGGCCGTCCCTCCATCTTCTCTCACTGGACCACTCACGGGGTCATTCCGGTGCAGTGCCACTCGCACAACGACTATTGGAGAGACGTGCCTCTGTACTCTGCCCTCCAAGCCGGCTGCATCGGCGTCGAGGCCGACATCTGGCTCTCCAACAACGACTTGCTCGTCGGACACACCCCCTTCACCCTGCACCCGGAGGTAACCCTACGCAGTCTCTATCTCAGCCCGCTCCTCGAACTCCTCCAGAAACACAACACCCGCACCAGCCAGCTCCAGCCCGCGAACCGCGACAACGCGTCTCCCGCGGGGGTCTTCGCAAACGACCCAGGGCAGAGTCTTGTCCTACTGATCGACTTCAAAGCCGAGGGCGAAGCGCTCTGGCCGCGTGTGGTCGACGAATTGCAGCCGCTCCGCGAGGGGGGCTATCTCACCCACTTCAACGGCTCTAGCATCGTCGAACGGCCCCTCACGATCGTGGTCACTGGCGACGCCCCCTTCCACCGCGTCGTCGCCAACAGAACCTACCGCGATATCTTCTACGATGCCCCCCTCGACCGACTGGCGGAGTTCCCGTCCCCGGGTCTCGAGACGGCGGGTGCTGCGGTGGCGGCGGCGGCGGACGTCGACTACACGCGCATGAACAGCCACTACGCCTCCGTCAACTTCCGGAAGTCAGTGGGGAGCTTGGCGGGCAATCGGTTTTCGGTGGATCAGTTGGCGTTGATTCGTAGCCAGATCCACGAGGCGCATGCACGCGGATTGAAGGTGCGGTACTGGGGTACGCCGGGGTGGCCGCGCGGGCTAAGGAATCATGTCTGGCATGTTCTGGTGCGCGAGGGGGTCGATCTTATCAATGTGGATGATTTGGAGGAGGCGACGCGGCAGGACTGGAGGAAACATCGGAGTTGGCTGTTTTAGTGCGTGCTTGGGTCGTGTAGGTTATTTGTTTGTTAGCATTTTACCCTAGAATGGCTGGAAATAAGAAACTGGCATAGAACGGTTATCCATTATGCCTGCTGGAATCATGACATTTTCTTGACAACCTGTCCCACTTTGTAGTCCCACCTCATGTCGTCGGGGTTTGGTGGAGCGAATATTAGACGTTTTCTGCAGTAAGAGCGAGGACAAAGCCGAAACACCGAATACCGCGGCGCGTGTTTTGGTTTTACGCACTTTTCAGAGCCGATCCCGATAATCAGACCGACCCCGAGCCCGAGACAGGGAATCCCAAACGAGTCAAGATGCCGAGGTGAGGCTCGGCAATGACTTTTCCTGTTTGGGCAACCACTGCATGCAAGGCTGAATAAAATGATCTTTCGTTGTCGCCCACCACCAAGATTCATTCATCACATATACTCTTGGTGTTCTAACGCAGACAAAATACAAGTCTAAGTCATGTCCCAATCACCCCCCTCGACGGAGGGAACCCAATGCAACAACACAAAACACCTTCTCCGCCGCCTCTTCGACGAACTGGGGCTCGTCACCGTCTGGCGTTCCCCGCGCGACGTCAAGCTCCTCTGCGCCCAGCGGTTCGTGCGACTCTTCGCTTACGGCACCTCCACACTGATCCTGGTCTCGTATCTCTCCGCGCTGGCCATCCCCGACGACCGCATCGGGCTGTTTATGATGTTGACGCTGGTCGGCGATGTGGTGATTAGTTTCCTGCTGACCTTGTTTGCGGACGCGATGGGGCGGCGGGCGGTGCTGGCGCTGGGCTCGGCGCTGATGGCGGGTAGCGGGGTGGTGTTTGGCCTCGGGGCGGGGTTTTGGGGCTTGTTGGCTGCGGCGGTACTGGGGGTGATCAGTCCGAGGTATTTCGCTGCTTTCTTTTGTGGAGACGTGTGTCTATATGAAGATATGGGGCTAATGGCACGTACTTCTCCAGCGGCAATGAGATTGGCCCCTTCCGCGCCGTCGAAGAGTCCACCCTCGCCCATCTGACCCCCCACGAGGAACTCAGCGATATCTTCGCCTGGTATTCCCTGCTCGGCAACGCGGGCACCGCTCTGGGCATGATATCGTGCGGGTGGGCGATCAAGGCCCTGCAGGACACCAAAGGCTGCGATTTCATCACCGCCTGCCGCGTCATGTTCTTCGTGTATGCAGCCATTGGACTGTTGAAGCTGGTGTTGACTCTGTGTCTGAGTCGCGAGGTCGAGGCGACCCAAGAGAAGCGCGCGGCGCAGGACGCGCAGGAGACTGGTGAAACCGAGCCGCTGCTGGGTGATTGTCCGAACAATGCGCAGCAGCAGCAGCAGTCGACCAAAAAGGACAAGCCGTCCATTTTGGCTGCCTTTGATCGCGACCTCTTGAGCTTGGTACTCAAGTTATTCTTGCTGTTCGGGTTGGATTCGTTTGCCTCCGGACTGGCATCGCTGTACGTTCTTTCTTGCAATGCTTGGGCTTTTGGTATTCATACTCACTTGACCTGTAGATCCTGGATGACGTACTTCTTCAAGCGTAAGTTCGCGCTCCCCGAGAGCGAGCTGGGGTCCATCTTCTTCAGCACATCGATTGTCAGCGCCGCATCGATGATCGTCGCGTCGTCTATCGCCAAGCGCATTGGCAATGTCAAGGTCTGTCTCTGGCTCCCCGCTCAATTGTTTGTCTTCGAAAAGTACTAAATCCCACTAGACGATGGTCTTCACCCATCTCCCCTCTGCAGTCTGTCTAGCCCTCATTCCCTTCCCCTCGGTGCTTCCCCTCGCGCTCATGCTCCTCGTCCTCCGCGCCTGCACGCAGAACATGGACGTGGCTCCGCGATCGGCATTCCTCGCCAGCGCCTTGCCCTCCGACAAGCGCACAGCCATCATGGGCGCCGTCAACGTGGTCAAGACCAGTGCGCAGAGCATGGGGCCGCTGATCACGGGGGTGCTGGCCAGTAAAGGGCAGTTTGGGGCTTCGTTCACCGTAGCCGGGGTCCTCAAGGCCTGCTATGATATCGGCATGTTGGTCTGTTTTGGAGGGCGAACCGCGAGGTGATATATTTGAGTACAGAATTCCAAAGTACATTTTTGGTTTATCATATCCTGTGACGTTGTTCTGTGAGAGCGGCTTCTAAATAAAAGACCGGTTTGTATGAGGCTTTTCCTGCTCGATTATGCTGCATGTGAGCAATCTCTCCGAAAGTCCACTCTGCGATCAAAACGTTTGACCTCTTCAGCTTTGTGTGTTGAGGGTAGTCAGCTAGTGATCCCACAGTCGCCCTTCTATTCTGCTATGCCCTTCTATTCTTTTATGCACGATTCGTTGCTGGTCTTCGCATCCGAAATTAGATCATTTTGCGCGGAAAGTGATTCCATGATGTGGTTGTGAGGACGTTCCTTCCCTAGACAGGGGATCGTTGCCTCAGTTCGCAATCATTTTCCCACAGCTGGACTCTCCTCCCAATTCTGTTATATACGACGCGCCTCTCCCCTTTTCACAGATCTCGCTATGTATAAACCCAGACACATTCGACCAGATCCGGTTGAACATCCCCCTAGCCTATACCCCTGATGACGCCCTTCCCTACCCCTTCCCAATTTCCACACCATGCTCCCCACTGACCTCATCGTCGACACCTGCATCATCGGCGGCGGCGCAGCAGACGCCTACGCCGCCCATCGACTCCAACAGCACAACCACACGTTCGCTATTATTGAACCCAACTCCGGCCTCGGCGGCCACACCGTCACGTACCGCGACCCGCTCTCCCACAATCAACCGGTCGACTACGGGGTGACCTGGCTGCAGGACTTGCCGGTCGTGCGCGACCTGTTCGCCCACTACCAGGTCCCGCTCGTTGCACAGAAGATCGACTACCGCGTCGAGATGTTCGATTTTACCCCCGGGCGGCCCATCCAACCCCGCTCCGCCGACGATGCCACTGCCGCGCTGAACCGGTACAGGAAGCTGCTGGCAGAGTACCCGTACTTGGGCACGGGGTTTGAGGATCTCCCCGACCCGGTGCCGGATGAGTTGGTGGTTCCGTTCAAGCAGTACATGGACAAGCACCATCTCGGCGGGCTGTTGGATGTCTTCAGCTCGTGGCTGACTGGGCTGGGCGAGTGGCCGTATTACCCGACGTTGTATGTGATGAAGTACCTCGGGAGGGATTATCTGGATGGACGGACCAGGGTGGGGTGGGTGCGGCCGGCGAGTCATGATGCGAGCGAGCTTTTCCGGGTGATGGAGAAAGGGCTGGGTTCGGGGGTGGTGCTGTTGAACACCCGCGTGGTGAGGGTGGAGTCGCGCAGCTGGAACGCCGGTCGCGTCGTGGTGGATGTGGCTACCACGGCGCCACGCTCTACCAACACCACCAGGCGGCGCATTCAGGCAAAAGCGCTCCTCTTCACCGCACCGCCCCTACCCAGCAATCTCGCCGTACTAGGTCTCGACGCCCACGAACACTCCCTCTTCCGCCAGTTCGCGGACCCCTGGTTCTACACGGCGCTGATCCGCGTGCAGGGGCTGCCGGCGGACGCTTTCCTCGAGAACCACGACCCGGACCACCCCTTCCATCGTCCCCGTCTTCCGGCTGTCTTGGCCTTCCGGCCGACGGATATAGCGAACATCGCGAGGGTCACGGTGGCGAGTACGACGCGGGGATTGACCGACGACGAAGTCCGGGATTGTATACGCGCCGGGGTGGATGCTGTGCGCCGCCGGCTGGGCGGGAATGTGTCGGACCCGAAGATCCTGGCGGTTCGGGATCACTCCCCGTACACGCTGACGGTGTCGGGGGAGGCGGTCGCGAAGGGGTTTTATCGGCAGTTGACGGCCTTGCAGGGTCATCGTAGGACGTACTATGCCGGGGCGACGTGGGATACGCATCATGCTCCGCAGGTGTGGATGCTAACGGATCAGGTGCTGCAGAGGCATGTGCTTCCTGTTCTGGAGGGTAGACGATAAGTGCTTTGCATGGGGGCACTGGGCTTGTTTGGGAGTCTCTTATGTGCTGTGTACTGAGGTTGCAGCTAGTCACGTATTGCCGTGCTGTATTGAGTCGTGGAATGCACTGCTTCGATGGGTACAGTCATTGTCCTGTCGGGATGTACCAGTGGACATACTAAAGTCGATGTGGAAGCTGCATTGCATGTCCGCAGGTAGATTATTAGCCCGGTACGATGAAGTCAGCCCGGAGCATGCACTTTCACAACCTCTACTTTAGGATTGTTCGATGTATCTGCCATGCGTAAATTTCCCATATCTACCTACGTTCACTGCAGCATTTTGAACCTCGATGCACCTCCCCATCCTCACCCCTACTACCGCAAACCCAGTCACCAAAGGGCGAAAATATTTGCATTCACGTCACCAGGATCTCTTCAGAGGGACCCAGCCAAAAGCAACCCCTTAATCAAAAACCGCGCCATATATGTACACTCGCATCCCCCCCACCGTCCACCCATCTCAGAAACCCAATATCTTGTATCTGATTCTTACTACTTCTGCTCCTCCCCGGGCACCAATTCCTCAAACCGGCGCAAATCCATCTCCTTCTCCAACAGCGGGATGACGTAGGGATCGAAGGTCTTCCAGTAAGGGTTCTCGAGGTGGTACTTCTGCGAGCCCTCGTTCAGGTAGCGCTCGACGATACAGAAATCCTGCTTGTCGTGGACGCTCTGCATGACGAACCACGAGAGAGTCTCCTTATCCTTGGAGTAGACGGCCGAGGCCTCGAGGAGCTTGGCGTGGAGCTTGTTGATGCTCTCCTCGTCGGGCTTGGCGCGCATGTCTTGGGTGGGAGTGTTAGTTTGTAGGGCCGGGTTATTTGGGTGGCGGAATTGGTGGGGGGAATGGACGTACGGACGACGATTGTGTAAACCATTGTGGCGGTTGATTGTGTGGATTGAGGGTGGTGGTGGTCGTGTGGTGGGATTGTGGTGCGGGTGAGGAGGGGAATGTTGTTTAGAAAAAGAAGGAGGAGAAGCTAGGAATTGGGAGAGGTGGTCTAGTTTTGTAGGTTGGGGGAATCAACCCCGGTTGAACTGCACCCCTCACGGCCTCCCTCCCTCCCTCCCAGTGCCCCTCGGTGGGGCAGCTGGGAAGGTTACTCCATACTTGTCTGGTGAGGCGGAAGGCTGTTCTCCGCGTGGTTGGCGGCCAGGTGTAAGGGCTCTCGGTGTAGATGCTTGATACTCCTTAATTGAGGAGAGGCAGCCCGTCGTGAGTCAGTTGTACAGTCCCTTGCTGGGAATTCTGTCAATGAATCGCCATGCCGAAGGGGTCTTTCGGAGAGTCAAGAGTACACAGTGGCATCCCGATCCGGTGGATCGAAACTCTGTTTCGGGGATTCTTCGGGAAGGCCGATGCCGGACTTGCCATTGGCGGGTATGGCGACTCGTGCGTCATACCCCGAGTTTGTGTTGGCAGAGTACAATTTCCCCGTTGATGTGCACCGTGGAAGTGCTCAGGTTGTTTGTTTTCAACTACAATTTGTGTCGATCAGGGTCAATTCTACTGGTCAGCTCGACTGAGACGCAAAAGGATAGCTGTTTGCTAAAGGCACTGGCAGTGTCTCGACCGATTGGCAACAAATTCGCATGCAACCTTATACAAACAACAATTCCCGTCTCCATGAGCCAATGCATCCAGATATTAAGCAAGATCCTCTCGCAGCAGTGCAGGAATACACGGTCAATGCTTACCCTATCAGGACTAGCCCTCTTTCATGCGGAACAATCCGGGTCAGCAGCACACGGATGACCAAAAAGATTCAGAAAAAGAAATGCTTTGTCTCTCCGATGCGGGGAATCGAACCCCGATCTCCTGTGTGAAAGACAGGTATGATAGCCGTTACACTACATCGGAAGGTGTTGAAAACTGCTGTCAGTTTTGCGGATATGACCCAGGAAACTATTAGCAGATTCACTGACTCATCTCACCGAGCAGAGCAAGGAAACACTGACATTGGTACCAACACTGGACTTTTGGAATTGTTCGTGAATGCTTCTCCGGCCCGCGAAGAGAAGCCACGACTAAGCGTGCTTTAAGGGGACTATCTCATAATATAGACATTGACAAACCCCGGGAGCAGAGCACACGCAGAACGGTACCTGCTTACCCTGAGGACTCGAGCGCACATCATGATTTCCACGGAGCTGCGAGTCAGACGGAGAGAAGAGGGGGGAACGAGCGTCTGGCTGACAGTCTTCCCTGTAATAATGACACCCCCACCAAATCTAGAGTAAGGGTTCCTCCGATCCCTCAGATTCAGGGCACGCACTTTTGGCAGACCCCACTCTCCAGGCTGGTCAGTGGGTCCAAATCGGATCTCAATCGGAAAGGGAAGTTGAAGTTCTTCGATCTCCGCGGTTTGGTGGTAATTGTAGTAATTCCACCACCCCTCATCCATCACCATTACCCTCGATCCTCTCCCCACATTCCTACAAGACCACACGAATCATCTTCTGCATCCTTTCATCAGCCTGCATACCACGAGTCAGCTAGTCGCCATTGTGTCTCAAAACCCCCTCTCCAACCTCTTGTCAGCTCGCGAGATGCTTATTTGTTATGTTCCATCGCCACTGGACTTCCACCCCGAATGGCACGCTGCGCTGCACCATCTAATAAACGACTAAGATGGATTGAGGTTGACCAGCTCCGGGCTGCATCTCTCGTCCTTCACCTGCAGCCAGCAGGCCACTCCGTCCCTCATCTCCGTTGCCCAAAGGGGCAGGCCGGTTCCGCAGCGAGTTGAGGCGGACTCGCCCTAACGAAGCTCGGCAACCAGGCACGCCCGGATTGCCTCGTATTCTCCGCACCGGTTTAGTAGTCTCCAAGCATCTCTTCAGTTGAAAGACAATGTCTCGTGGTTGCAGACAAGAATCTCGCTCCAATTATTCCAGCTATGCAGCGCAGGGACCATCCGTGAATATAACCCTGCTAAAGTATCCACATAATACTCTGTCGCTTGGCTTTACTTGCATTTATTCAGACTTAGCCTTGCTCGTGACGCAACCATCAAGACGATCGAAATGAAGTACAAGTCGGCTCAATACACCAAAGTGGGACAATTGGTTTCGATGATCAGCTCTGTCGTGTAAACAGTTCTCGTCACCGTCACGACATCCTCTAGTAGGCTGGAAGGGGATGCGGCTGCGCTGGAGCTTGGTGTCGCGGAATGAATGACTGAACTTGAGCCCGGCACTAACGAAGCAGGCGATGATGCTGCTGCAACGCCAGAGCTTGACCGAATGGGGGACACAGGTACAGGTGGAGAAGAAGCGGGGAGATTTGATGAGCTGGGCAAATGCGGTCCCGACGATGCAGAGGCAACCGGGCTCGAAGGAATGAGTGGGATGGATGAAGCGCGGTTTGATGCGGATGACGACGGCACGACATGACTTGAAGGAGTGGAAGAGGTGGACAGCACAGGGCTTGCCGCGGAGGATGGTGGCTGTACGGCGGCAGATGAGACTGCGGACGGCTGGAATGAGGAGGCTGCTGCACTGACGATGGCGGTCGAAGAAGCCGCCGGACTGACAGATACGGCACTGACGCTGGGAGTCACAACCTGCGCGGAAGTCACGACGGGGGTGGATGTTGGAGTGGGAAGAATGGTGAGGGTTGATGTGTAAGGCACATCTGTGCAGGTCTCGATCTCCTTGTTGGGGTTGGAGCACTGGGTGTTATCGAGGTAGATGGTCGGCTGAGCTGCGACGCCTCGCACATACGAGCTGCAAGTGATCTGGATGTACATAGTCAAAGAGCTACTGGTAGGAACGTAGGTGGTCGAGAGAGTCTGCCAGTCCGTCGCTGTGGTGCTGTATTGGATATACCCACTGGCCGTCAAAGTGATGTGATTCAAGGCATCAATGCCATCAACGGCGAAGTAGGCATTACAAGTGCCCGATCTGGTTGAGGACTGGATCTTGTAGTCAAACGATAGCGTGTACGTGTCGCCCACGACCAGGTCGGTCAAGGTCTGGTAAATCACAGCGTCTGAAGAGGTATCAGGGACAAGTACTCTATCCAATATCAACATTGCTTGTCCAATTTGAGCGATGGGGTTTTACTCACGCAACGTAGCCTCCATCATTAGCATCGTCCGCCACAACTGTTGCAGTGCCGTAGTTATCATAAACGGCCCAGGGCGCAATCGCCCCAGAATCGAAAGAAGGATTCAAGAAGACATTATCGGTCCATGTGCATGATTCGGTGGTTCCGGTAACCACTTTCGTCTCGGCTGCGGCGCGGGAGACCAGAAACAACGCAGCCGAAAGAGAATATAAGGAACGCATATTACAGTAAGTACAACAAGAGCTAAACGAGTAAATGCTTGCTGTCCAGCAAAGATCACACCCGGAAGAGAGAGGGGCTCGGGGAGTAAAAGTGAGATGGTCAATCGAAGATTAGTGGACTTCCATGGATTATGAAGAATTTGCGTTCACGGGTCTAGCTCTTTGTCAAAGACAGGATTCAGGCTAATGCCGACCAATGCTCCACTGAGGCTGAGTTGAACCATCATAGCGAGAAAATTGGAAGACGTTGGTTCGTGGGAATGTGAAGGATACAGCCAGTTCGCTGCAAAAAGTGGTTAGTTTAAGCGAGGGATTCTTTGCCCCTGAGATGTGGAGTGATGGTGTCGGCATTAGAGCAGGAGATGCACAACAATCGCATGGAGTCGAAGTTGCAGTTCTCGTTCCTTGGATTGATGGTGGATGCTTGGGAGGTTGAAGAGTCAGGGCAGAATTGGAGTTGGATGCAATGTTAGTGTTTCATTTGAGGCCGAAGACATGTGGAACAAACCCTGAGGCAGAAAGGCTTTCAGGCCACAAGGCATGAAGAGAAAACCAGCGGAACAAAAGCGGACCGAGGTTTATTTTGGACTGCTGCAAAAAGTGAATTCGATCTGTTCTTACTCCTTTTCAATAGAGCACTTCAATGTACTGTCTTAATCGGTCATTCCCTTCAATTTGGGGCCCCACATCAATCATGGTTATGGGTCGAATGGTAAACCCAGCGCACCAAGTGCTCCTGCAAGAAGGTCAAGAATCCATTCTCCGCAAATCCACGAGGGAACACATACGATGGAGTGCCATATCATTGCCAAGGATCCCGTTCTTGACTTCAGGCCCGCAGACTATATCTCCGTCGGGTAGCGATGCTTGCTCTCAGCAGCCATCTCAGTTCATATTCGCCAAGGCTGCTCGATGTAGCTCGTTGTTGTATGTGCCATGGGTGTGCCGACTGCGTGATCGGTAGATTGGCTGTCAGGAGCCTTGCAGCACTTTCACCGACTTCGTCTCTGCGGAATGGTGAAGGGACGTACAAGATTCATCTATTGGGTCAGGAATGGTCATTCTAGGCATGCGCTGTTCTCTTCCCATCCCAAGGTAGTAAACTAAATTGGATGCTACGGATTTACGGCATCAATACTGGAACTGGACCCGAGAATAAGAGTCCTCAGGACCTCAAGCCATATAGTAATCTCTGCTCAGTTGCATGCAATGGAAAGATCCTGAGCCATTTAAAAAATAAGCCCCCTACCCACCATCAAATCATATGTCGGAATAACACCCATATCATAATCACCCTTTCCGTCGAATCGATGCTGATCCTTCTTCCGTTGACAATACTCGATCGCTGCATCGCGCACCCGGCCCCAGTCGCATACCCGCGTGCTGGCTAGGGCTTGTGTATCGGCATCAACTACCTCCAGCGCCTCCTTTACCCACGACACACAGTTCCACCCTGATACATTCTGGCTAACGGGGATACCGCGTAGAATCTGTTCCACGACCCCTATCTGCAATCTACGCAATGGCGATACGCACAAGCAGCATCTGCGCGGACGCGTCATGCTCTTCGAAAAAGAACTCTGATTTGCCTTCCTGGCTGATTCGCTCCTTTGCGTGGTACTGAACGCTTGAGCCAGCATTTGTCGCAGCTTTGGATCCGATGAGTATGGCCCAGTGGTGCCTGTTTGAGTCATTTAGCGTTGTGCATGAATGTAGGAATCCTGAGACTGACGTGTCTTCTTTGCCTGGCATGGTGGCTTTGCCTCCGCGGGCGAAAAGGGCGATGTATAGGCGGTCTTTATTAGCTGGCATGGTGGTTGTGATTATGCTCTGACATAATACCCAGTGGCTTTGAGCGAGTTGTTGTCGATGTGATCGAATGTGTTTGTAAACGATGTGAATTGATGCTGTGGTTTCTTTTGAAGTGCTAGGGACCAAAGCGGGCGCTTAACCGCGTGGTTGGTCCCCCTTCGCGTGGAACTGTATGCAACGTGTAGCAAAGGAGAACATAGAGTAACAAGCGTGTTCTCGCCTATGTTGCAATATTATATACCCACGGGCGCCACAATTAATCCTCACTTGAATATTCATTTGAATGGAGTCAACATAGGTATACAACCACAAATTCCCTCCCATTACTCAACAATCAGAAACCATTAACGTGGACAAATCAATAAAGCAACCAAGGCTTCGCCTGCGTCAACGCCTTATCCCATCCATCCTCGTTAGTCCAGATCGATATACTCTCCACCTCCTCCTTGCCCAGCTTCAGGCCATTATACAGATGCTATCAGGCATCAGCATTCCACCGCCATCTCACTCTCTTCGACTCATCAACACACAGTAAACTTACCGGAAATAATCCCTCCGTCGGGCGGGGCCCACATACGGTCCCCTCGGGATTCTCCCACTTGATGTCATCCTCCACCTTGTCGTAGAGAATGCGCAGGACGTAGACTAAAGGCTCATCCTTGAAGAAGAGCTTGAGGGTGTTGGGGACCTGGAAGGCGGTGGACAGGTGGATGAAGCCGGATTGGTTGTCGAGCTCGCTGACAGGGAGCCGCTCCGGGAGAGGTTCGCGGACCGGGGAGGTGGAGGGAACAAGCTTGTAGATGAAGTACGGGGGTGCGTCTGCCATGTTGGTGTGTGTAATGTGGTATTTACGTTCTACCTAGTGATAGAGCGACATCAGCCTGAGCGATGATCAAAATGAAACGAGCGGATGGCGGGGAGGGGGATTCGCCCCTCGTATCCTCTCGTAATTATCCGTATCCGGCCATCTCTCCCGGTGTTTGTCGCGTTTGGACTAGCTGATCACGTGTCAATACGCGCTAGGACAATTCTGGATATATGGGCTTGCCGCTTTGGGATTAGGCGAGGGGTACCCGTGACCTTTTTATAGATAGGATTACTTTTAGATGGGGAGAAGTTCTCATTTAGTTACTGTATACAGCACTTACTAGAATATGATATTTAGCGAAGAAGAAACCTTGACTCCTATAAAGTTATCAAAGACTTTCCCCTTGCGTACCTACCAACAGAGGTCCTTCCAGAACAGTAATTGACTGATATATATAGTTCCTTCATTACATGGTCTCACAGAATCACTTGAGCTTCCTGAACTAAGAATCTTGGCGAACTTCTTCAAGTCTGCCCCGATATCTTCGCTATATAGCTCTTACAGCATCACCGAAGACTGCGTCTACATTACTAGTAGCTAGCTTCTGCTTCTTTGGCCTTGAGCGGCAACAGTGAAGGCTCTTCGAAGCAATTGAGTGGGTGAGACGGATTGATGCCTGCTCTGCCTACTCTGCGCAAGGTGGACGGAGATTGTGCATTTCCGCGAATCAATTCCTCAGCCTCGACTCCGGCTCTCTGGGTCGATATAAGTTACTCGCACCGAGCGCTCCACTGATCCGTGCGACGAATTGCGAGCGATGGCGAGCTCGTCACGCCCGAGTCACCATCACCACCCCACCCCCTTTCCTCCTCATCTTCTTCTCCCAGAAGTCTCGTTGGGCCCGTGACGGCAAACGCAGCTGCCGACATCCCCAGCCCTTCCCCTTCCTCCTCCGCCTCCTCCGCGATGAACCTCGACTGTCGGGAGCTGCTGGTCTCCTTCAGTCGGGAGACGTTTCCTAGCGCATAAGAGGAAGCGCTTGTATCCGCCTGTCTGTTCCGGGCGAGATTGAGCATCCCCGTGTCGAAGGCGTCCAGAAAGGGCTTTAGGCACGGGATGCAGGCGTTCATGAGGCTGGTGCAGAGGACGCACTGGGTGGTGATGACCGTGGCGAAGACGGTGAGGATGGGGCTTGGGGAGGCGGAGGTATTCTGGGGTAGTGGAGACGGAGGATCGTGGTGATGATCACACACTGTCGGAAAGATTAGTAGGTGGTTTCTGGGACCCTGGCGCGTTCGGAATGGAGGGCTCGAATAGAACAAGGAGAGAAAGGAGGATTTTATACAAGAGTCGACACATAAAAGCCACCACAACGGCTGCCTTCTTACCGACGGCTACTTGGACAGGTCTGACTAGGGAGATAGGGAGTACGCAGAGAATGGCCTCGCTGATGAGATCGATCGGGGAAATGGCGGCCCAGAAGATGCACTGGGTGGCCCCGGGAGTTCTTGCTGTCAGCTCATATGTAGACATAAATCGCAGAACTCACGTACGGGGTCAATGCAGTGGTTTCTATCACCGAGTCTCCAGGGCTGCGATGCACCACATCGGAAGGCAATCGTGAGAAACAGCGCTACGTCCAGATCACCACCACAATCGCAGACCATCACGCAAGGCCTCTTTGCCGTTTCGAAACAATCAATCGTCCAAGTAACTGAAACACGGAGGTTTTCGCCAGACTAAGCGCCAGTACATACAGCAGATCGGATGCGTACAACACCTTTTATGCCCCGTGCGATCAGTCAGTCCGTCTGTCCAGGCGATGGAGGGTCAATCCTTACCTTCTCGAGATGAAGAATGATTGGCTCGCCCAGGTCTTGAGTATTTCCCAGCCCGTACCTGGTCCCATTCCGTATGACGGCAGACTGTGCGATGCTAAAGAATTGCCATTTCATGAATGAGTGATCCTAGCTACGAGAATGGGATCATACCAGTGCAATGAGCACCGTGCCGTCATTCCATTGAAGCGTCCGAACCATCCAAAGCCGGAAAGCCAGCCAAATCAGCAAAGCCAATATCATGATCACCAGCATATACAGGGTAGCGATAGCAATCTCGTCACTGTGGCTAGGAATCTCTCCGATGATGGCATATATTGCAAGTAGTCGACTACAGAGAATCCGAAGAGAAAAATGGCACCGCCGGTAGCGACAGAGCGAGGAGTCGACATCGAAAGGACACTGCATGCAGCCCAGCATAGCCTAGTATTCATTGATGCTAAGGAGCAATCAAGGCGAGTTATTAGGAGAGACCGTACAGACTGTAGTCTGCAGGGAGCAGGCCTCTAGGACTTGATACCCAGCCATCGGTTCAGCAGATTGCAATCCTCGACATGGTTTCGCCGGGCTTTGCGAAATGTTTCCCTGGAGGTTTTGAGACACGGCCCCTGTTGAGCCTGGCTACCTCCGATCAGCTGAGCCCTATCTCTTCAGAGATCGAGGGGGCAAAAGGCACGAGAGATACAGAATATTAGATGTTTTCTCAGTAAATAAGAATCCCAATAGTACATACATATAACGTATCTATCAAGTCTTTCCATAGGACTATATTAGATATGGTTAGTGAAATCTATTTATACTTCATAAGACTCTTCAAGAAGCTCTTTTATCTTTAGTGATATTTATCTCTTAACGTTAAGTACTAGAGTGGCTAACAGCCAGGTCAGGTCAGGTTAATTGGAAATTTTATACCTGACGACCAGGTTATGATCAGGTCAAGAAAACTTTTAGGCCTAACTGCAGTATAGCCAAAAACTGGATAGTTAACTATCTTAACTATTCTTAGTACCAAGATCTACCTACTATACCTCTTTTAGTCTTAGTACAGTCAAGGCAAATCTAGATTAAGTAGTTATTAATCTAACTATCTTAACTATTACTAAAAAGTATATAGAAATAAGCTTTTTAAATAGAATTAAAAAATCTTAGAGAAATAGTAGTACTTTTATCATCTATATCTTTAAATAATAATAAGAAAATCCTGGTAGTATTGATAGAGTTTGGTTTTTTAATAAACTAGTTTCTATTATAATAGAAAAGAGGGGAAACACAACTCAGCTCCAGGGCAGACCTAATCTCAATTCCGATGACCGTGGTGGTGGTGACGGTGGTTGTCGATGTGCCTTTTCTATCCCAACTTTTTAGTACCCAAGGTTACAGAGTCGAAATGATTGTGTTGGACCGAGAGAAATTCGCATATGATAGAATCATACACAAGATGAATTCCCTCAGGCACCACAAAAAAGAAGAGGCAACAAAAAAAAAAAAAAAAAAAAAAAAAAAAAAAAAAAAAAACAAAGCAACGGCGAAACCGCACTTACGCTTAGAGCAATACTCTTGCTACTACTACTGCTACCACTGCTCATCTCCGCAGAGAACGCCGGCGTTGACACACTGATACCGGAGTTGGCAGGCGAACCAACCCCCGCGACAACGGCAGAATTGGCAGCAGCAGCAGCAGCAACCGACGACGACGGAGGGAGACGACTCCCGCAGACGCCATACATGAATTGCTGGGACGAGAACGTGGAGAGGGCGGTCTTCTTATAGAGTTGGCAGTCCCCGCCTCGCACGCTGTACAGCCACGCGTGGCACTCGGCCAGGTTGTCACAGTAGCCGGCGCAGGCCGATCCGTTGTCGTACCGGGGAGCCAGCGCGAACGGCGCGCCGCTGAACATTGCCATCGTGTTCGCGGAGACCTGGTCCAAGCAACTGTTGTTGTTGTTGTTGCCTGAGGCACGGCCGACGGCCTCGCTCAGGAGGACGAGTGAGAAGAGAGAAGGAAGCCTCATCGTTGGATCTTTTTTTTTGGAGAAAGAGGTAAGCTTGTTGGGCTGGCGGTGAAGGGTAAGCTGAAAGTGAACTTAGGCTAGACTCTAAGAAGGAGAAGAAAAGAGGACGGAAACTCGAAGATCGTGAAGAATTCTAGGGCTGGGTGGGCGAAGCTTTTGCAGCGAGACGATAGATATAATGGCAGTATCATGGATAGCATACAGGCATCTCAAATTTGGCTTGACCAACAAACATATTACAATTGCTCCGAATCTTACTGCCAAAACTCGAGCGTCATTATCTTATTGAGCAGGCCGTATTAAAGTTATGGGTCGTCTAAAGTACAGTCTATTCAGCATATGACTTTTAATAAAATTACAGCATCCCGCTCAATAGTCTACCCGAGCTAATATCTTGGCAGTGGCTCCGAAAAACATTCAGGGTGTGTTTGTTGGTCAAGCCAATTTCGAGATCCTCTATACGGGGACTGTCTGAAACTAAAGAGTTGTTTCGCGTTCGCTGTTCAGAGGAGCCGAGGCATTGATTCTGCTGGATTTCCAGCTGGTCACGGTGGAAGTCAGCTGCTTCCTCACCTCTCACCCCTTTTTGCATATCTTGCGCAAGTTGGCTCGATTCGTCCAATCTGATGGCTCGAATGTACCTGCACGCATCACCATGTGGAATCGGTAGAGGCAAGAGCCACTTCCCTCGATCTTAGCACCAGGCTGAGGGTCTCCTTTCGGCCTACGGCCCAAGTTCATAGCACGGTCCCTGCACCATCCAGGAAACTCTTTTTGCTTGAGAATCTCAGGGAAGAAGATCAAGGCGGCAGAAACAGACAAGTTGCTAATCAGTGAATACATCCTTGACCTTTGTGAAAGATTATTGAAAAACAAAATGGGGCGTGCCTATACCCAGGCATCTAGGGCTAGATGATAGGTGGGGTGAACCACCGGCTAAAATTCAATCTCGTGGGATGTTGGGATTAGCTTTTCAATAGTTCCTATGTGTCAAGAGATTTGCCCGGGCCGTCGCGGAGGGATTCAGGGACCGACCTATCCGGTCGGATCGCGAATTGCTCCTGGATCCATGTCGGAGGCAATGAAATACGACTCGACGCCGGAGTCCGGACTGTAATCTTCAAAAAGTGGATATTGCAATGGAGCCGATCGTACCGAGGATCAATAGTTGCTAGCTAGGAGCTTGGTAGAACATCGTCCGGTAGCCAAGAACAGACAAGACCCTGCCAGAAAGGCTTGTAAGCACAAGCCCCTTAGCACAACGGGCCTTAGTTTACGCGCTCGAAATCTCTGTACGTTGAGTGTGTTGAGAGGGCTAGGGACTCCCCCTCTTTTGTGGAGATCGGTGTCAATTTTGGGTACTTCTACAGCACCGTACAATACATTTTACGCGAATCATATTCGTCGAGAAGTGAAAATGTGTAAGGGGCATGCAAATTGTTTCTCTTCTCCCTGAAAGCACGGCAAATGGAGACCCCCACCCTTTCCCTATCGCATTCCCCCCATGTAACCGTAATCCTACTAAACAGCTAGTAATTCTAATCGTCGTCCCAGTATTCGCCATTTTCGCTCATGGGCCATTTGTGCCTCAGCGCTCGGTCCGGAGGAAAGGACACGCTTGCTCCGCGTCCGATCACTCGTAGAGACACACCCAGCGCCCTGAATCCCTCCTGCATCCTACGCAGTCGGACTTCCCAGGCAGGGTCCAGCTCCGGAGCCTCCTGCTTCGTTGATGATGCCGCCACCTCTCGGTTGTGAAGGCGCTCCTTGGGGACAAATTGACAGAAGAGGCGTTGCAGGGCTGGCAGCCCGCACTCCTCACGGCGAAATCGGAGTAAGTCCTCGAGCTCACTCGCCAGCGCCCACGAGGCCTGCATGAGGCAATCTTCAATGTATAGGTGCTGTAATGAGGGCGGCAAGAGGGCTCGAAGGGGTTTCGCGGGCTCCAGCGCGCGGTTGCTGTGGAAAGGCAGCAGGCTGCTCCATCGCATATGCACCGTGTGAAGATTCGCAAATCCCGAGAGATCGCCACAGAAGGTCGGCCGGGGACTCTCCGCGTCCTGCTCTACCTCGCGCGCCACGCCAGCGAAGGCCACGTGGAGATGGCGAAGGGAGGCTCGCGACCTTTGGAGCGGACGGTAGAGCTGCGAGACATCCACCCAGCCACGCCGGGTCCAGTTTCGATCCATCTCCACGGCGAAGGACTCGAGGTTTGGGCACCATTCGAGAAATTGAGGGAGGTTCGAGAGGGCATCCGACGGCCCCTGCAGGTCGATGTGCGTGAGGGATGAGAGTATTGGTATCTGTTCCCGGAGCAGTTGACGGGGCAGGGAGCTGTCACAGGGGTTGCGGATGTAGAGGCTGCGGAGAGATGGGATGCGTAGGTAGGGCAGCAATCGCCTCAGGGGCACGGCGTTGGTGGCGCCTTCATCCCACCATGCCGGTCCGTCGCGGAGGGAGACGTGCGAGAGCCGCGGGAGGATCCCGAGCGCCGGGTTTCTCGCCCAGTGGATCACGCGGTCAAGGTGCGTGGTGTATCCCTGCGTCAGGGGGATGTGTTCGAATTCGAACTGCATGTGTTCCTCCGGCACGCGGATGGCCACTTGCTCGAGATGGCGGACCTGAACCAACAGCAATGCCAGCCAGGCATCTTCGTAGTTCCACGGCTGTCGGTAGTCGTCTTCTCGTTCTTGATCAGGCCGGAGATCTCTGCGCCATGCGCGGTACTTGCGGCGATGCTTGCGTTTGGCATCGCCGTACGGCAGCATCAACGCGCGAAGTTTCGCCTCCGGCACGGCCGGGAGTGCAGCACGCGTCCTCCACTTCTCACAATGACTTGGGTACAGAGTCAAGGACCGAATCAAGGGCGCGAGGCGTGGATTTTCGATCATCGCCTGGCAGAATCGCCGCACGGGATTCTTGTGGCTCCCCCCTACGAGTCTGTATCCGCTGTCCCAATAAGCATTGAGAGGAAGGACTACTTGGTCATAGAGAAAGGAGATGAAAAATGAATAGTAGTCTTTTGATACGAGTACCAACTGAGAAAGATCCTTGGTATTCAGGGAAGATACCACCTGGAAACAATTTCGCCAGGGAGTGGGACGAGCATCGTGTCAACAGTATTGGACTAGAATGTCGTAACACAAGGAAAGACGCACTTAACAAGTTGCCGAATCCTAAGCAATTATGCAACAACTTAGATTCGAGGTGCTGAGTGACTTAACATGTATCATACAAAAGTTTAGTATAAAATTGCGAGTACTAGTCTCGGAAACTAGAAGAAAGTCCCAAAATTCGAAGGAAACCAGTAGAAACAGGTACGAGAAGGCGGGGCTGGCGCCGTTGACACGGCTAAAACTTTTAGTTTGATGATGTATTAAGCCATAATCCACCCCAATCCACCCCAAAACCACAAAAGTCCTAGCCAATCTAGGCGCGACAGCTGGGAACCGCATTGAGGACATTTCGGTTTATCGCAAAGGCACGCAGTATATTCTGATGGTGCCTGTATTCCGAGCCTGGCGTGGTGCTTCCCCACTTCTTGTACCTGGTCTGGAGGGCTGTCGCCTTCGAGTTACTTCGCGAGGCTTGAACCTCGGCTGTTTTGACCCAGTCAATGACCTTGATGATAACACTGTCTAGCTTTTCTTCGGTCTCGTAGAGGGTGACACCCGGATACCTTTCGTGAAAGGACGCTTGGGTTTTGACCAGGTTCTCTGTCCACCCGCATGGCTTGTGCGAGCTCCAATCCTTTCTTTGCATTTGAGAGAAGTTCCGAGTCGACGGTGATCTGCTCACGCGCTTCTTGAACACGATTGGTGATGGTGGCCAGCAGTTTGACATGGTTTAACCTGCTAGCATCTCTGTAGAGACTCGCTAGCTCATATGTACCCACGAATCTCATATCGGCGAAAGTCATATCCGCGTCTTCCACTGGAGGCAGGATTGTGTTCGCGGCATCGATATTGATGGCGGTCGTTCCTGGATCCCTGACAGCCTGCACAAATTCATAGAAAGTACACACAGTGCCGGTGGCGGGCACGCATCCCCAGGCAATCATCCTGTCTCCCTGGTCTGGAAATGCGCTCAACTCGATGCGGTAGGCATAATAGTGGAACAGGGTTTCAAAGATGCCAGCTGTGTCGGCCGCCTTGCCTTTCGTGGCACAGCAAAGAAAATAGAGAAAGACAGAAAAGAGCCTCATAGTGGTGGAAGTGGAGAGGCAAGAAGTCAGAAGGACGACGAGGATAGACAGGAGCATAGATAGATAGAACCGCACATCGTCAGCAGAGGCTTGCCATTCTTATTATTTTGAGCCCTCAGCTCTTGATTGAACGATAAATCCCTACTACTTCGATCGAACCTTGCCTCCTTCAGTCTCTTCCTCCCCCTTCTTCTCTCTATCTCTCTCTGTCTATGATATTAGCGCCGGAGTGCAGCCAAGTTGGGAAAATGCACATGCAGTGCTACTATAGCTTAGTATGCCTCCGTGGAGTATGAGTGGACAGTAACCACGAGCTTCATACCCGATACTATTCTTCTATACACATAGGCAAGGACCGTTACCACTCGTAATTCTGCGAGGTAGCATGTTCGGACTATCCCTGGTGGGGATGTAGTAGACGCTAGGGCTTATTATTCGGGTTTTCGGATACTTCCGCACGGAAAGGGTTCATGAACTAGTAATTAGGACTGATTAGTTCATGAACACTAGTGACTATGGAACTTTGAAGTATGGGTTCTAAGTCGGAGCTCTTGGTACGAGTGGTATCGACCAGAGAATATCAATAAATCAATAACCGATACTATCTATTTGCCCAATGCTGCGTCTAATTTCTGATATGGCTCCCCCAATATGGCCAGCCTCGGAACCAGATGCACTATACTGAACCCCGTAGAAGTTGACTTTTTGTTTCAATAGCGCTCATGATAAGAGATACTGGTCGACAAGAATTATTTGTATTCTTGATTAACGCCCACCCTAGTGTGTGTGTGTGTGTGTGTGTGAGAGAGAGAGGGGGGGCGGCTCCTGGAAAAACATAAAAGCAGCGCAGTCACTGCTCTCAAACTACCGCCATTCATATTTGTCAGTGTAGCATTCATTCATTCATTTAATTTCTGTCTTGTCTTTGGCGGTCTTTGACGCCGTTCCACTCCTTACTATGCCAGTCTTTCCCTTATTTTCATCTTCCTGCAGACTCATTCTGTTATTTTCCTCCTTCTTTCTATTTCACCATGTTCATGCACGGGCTGTGTTCGCCCATTTTATGGTAACGTGCATAGATACCCGTTTCCTAACCTCCTTCAAAGAAATCATCCGACTGGGCTTTCTAACTAAAATGCAGGTCTCCAATACCGAAGGCTATGGTGTGCCAGACTGGGAGTCAGAAATGACCCTGGCCATCGAGGCTCGGATTGACGCCTTTGCCTTGAACATCGCCGCAGAGCAGTCTGTCAATACCGGATCAGTGGCGAACGCCTTTCTGGCGGCCGAAAACGTGGGCTTCTCTCTCTTCTTTTCGTTTGATTATGCCGGCAACGGTGCGTGGGCCAAGGAGGACTTTATTGAATTGATCAATAGCTATGGCTCGTCCACTGCCTACTACCACTACAATTCTCAAATCTTTGTTTTCACCTTCGAAGGGCCTGCCAATGCGGCGGATTGGGTCGAGATCAAGGAGGAAACTGGGTGCTTCTTTGCTCCTGACTGGTCCTCCCTCGGAGCCATGGAGGCAATGGCCCAGGCGGACGGGGTAGCGGATGCGCTGTTCAGCTGGGCCGCGTGGCCCAATGGGCCGGCTAACATGGACACCTACACGGATGCATCCTACCTCGACTATCTTGAGGGCAAGCCATACATGATGCCGGGTTCCCCGTGGTTCTTCACCAATATGCCGGGATACGACAAGAACTGGCTCTGGCGGGGCGATGACATGTGGTTTGACCGGTGGACTCAGGCCCTGTTCGTGGACCCCGAGTTCATTGAGATCATCTCCTGGAACGATTTCGGAGAGTCACACTATATCGGTCCCATCAAATCGGCCGATCATTCGTTGGCGAATCAGACTTACACCGCTTTTGACACTGGACTGGCCCCGTATAACTATGCCCTCGACATGCCGCATGATGGCTGGCGCGCATTTCTGCCCTATGTGATCGAGACGTATAAGAGCAATATCTCCACTGTTACCCAGGAAGGCATCACCGGCTGGTACCGGCTCAACGAGGCTGGAGCCTGTGCCTCCGACGGCGGGACGACCGGGAACACGGTCAGTAAGCTCCAGGTCGAGTATTGGCCGTATGAGATTGTGCAGGATAAGATCTTCTATTCTGCCCTATTGGCCTCGGAAGCGGAGGTGTCGGTCTCGGTAGGCGCCGCCGATCTGGGGGCCTCGTGGACCTCGACGCCCAGTGGCAATGTGGGCATCTACCATGGCAGTGTATCATTTACCGGACACTCGGGCGCGGTGACCATCACCATCAGCCGCGGGGGCACCACGATTGCCACACTGCAGGGGCAGTCAATCTCCGCTGGCTGCGCGGCCACCTCCGGGGTGGAGAATTGGAACGCCTGGGTCGGGAGCGCCATGTCCACCGATACGATCAGCGTGACTCCGGCCTACTCGCTGGGCGAACAGACCTGTGTGGAAGGCTGGGGGGATGGGAACTTCCTGGGTCTCTGCGAGCAGGCGTGCTCCTGGGAGTACTGTCCGATCACCGCCTGCGTATGTTCGAAGCTCGGACCGGCGCCCACGGTACCCGAGGACACGGGCGTTCAGGGCTACCCGATTGCCGGGGAAGATGCTAGTTACAGCGGATTGTGTTTCTTCGATTGCAACCACGGCTACTGTCCGAGCACGGCGTGCGGGACCGTGGAGGTGGCCCTCACTATCCCCACGGTCTCGGACTTTGCCCCGCCGGCCTGCACCGCCGGTGAGGGCACTGGGGACTTTGTCAATCTCTGCGGCTTTGGCTGTACCCACGGCTTCTGCCCGATCCACGCTTGCAACCGCACCGCTACGGGTGACCTGGACTGTTTGCGGTGGTCAACGCCAGCGTCACCGCCCATCTGACCTCCGGACTGGACGACTATGGGCTGCGCGACTTTGCGTGCGAGCGAGGCAAATGCTACGACGAGTGTGAGGTGGGGGATCCCTGGTCGGAGGACGATCAACTCTCCTGCATCGACGACGACCCACGGGCCTGGTGCGAAGTCACGTCGCCGTGCGACTTCAACCTCACCATCTCGACCATGGCCGAACTCAACGTCCAGTCGGCCAACATGGCGGACGAATGCATCCCGTACTACATGCTCGATGTGCTCTACAAAATGATTGACGTGGTGGTCACCAACTACACGGATATCCTGGCCCACAACGACTACAACGAGACCCTGAAGTACTACAAGTGGTACGTTGAGAACAATATCACGACCTCCCTCGCCAGCGCAATGAAATGGGACCCTGCGGGCCCGGGCCTCGCCTACTTCGACTGCATCATCGAAGTCGAGGGCAAGAACGGGACGGCGGCGCAATGCCCCAACATCGCCGCCACGGACGGGCACCAGTCGTACAACATCTACTTTGAGGTGCGCAACATCACCCTGTTCGAGGCGTGGCTGCTGGCCGACTACGGCATCCAACCGGACTGGGTGCGGTACGACGGCACGCACGACCGATACAACATCTGCGTGGGCCACCTGAACCCGGACTGTGTCGCGTGGACGGAGAACTTCTACGGGGTGCCCCGGAAGGCGGCGCAGGTGAACATCACCGACCCGCGCACGGTCGTCGCGCAGGCCCTGCCCCACCTGGACGGGCTGCGGCAAAACATCCTGGCCGCACAGCTGCAGACGCTTGTCGGCGCGTGGCCGGGCTTCAGTGACGATATCGTGTAGGGCGTCTCGCTGGCCGTCGTCCTGCTCCTCCAGGCCGTCAGCTCCATGCAGGAAGTCGTCACCATCGGCAAGGAGGAGAAGGCCTGGGAGCACCGCGAGATGATCGAGGAAATCCTGGGCGCTATCTTCCTGGTCGTCCCTTTCCTAGGCGAGCTCGGCGCCGTCAGCGACACCCTGGCCGACGTCGCCGAGATCGTCGCCGTCGTCGGCGACGCCGCCCTCATCGGCGACAGCATCTACGAGATCGTCGAGGACCCCGACAACAGCGTCATGACCATTCTGAGCACCCTCTTGCTGGTCGGGCAGCGCTCCGCCGACTAATATGAGACCATGGCCGCCGCGAGGCGCGATATCTCGGACGAGACCATCGAGGCCCTCGGGCCGGTCTTTCGCGAGAAGAACACCCAGGTGGAGAATATGGTCAAGGACTGTGTTGCGGCATAAACTCAGAAAGAAAGAAAGAAAACCAGATAGCATCAGGCTGGAAGCCGCTTATGATAGGTATCCAATCCGTCAAAATCAAGGAACGAGTTTCATCTCTTTCTTTTCATGACCACCGCGAGAAGAAGGTTATTTGCAGTAGAGTAGTAATATTCTGCGGACCGTGCGGTAGAACATGTCCAGAAGGCCCCTCTAACTTGTAGACTTTATCGACAAAAGAGGCTAAGTTGATAGACAACGTAGTAATTGAATCCTCCGGTAAGGATCGACCGAGCGCAGGGGACGCGAAGAGGGACCGCGTCATCCGGCGGAGGTCCGATGGAAGCAGGGCTGAATTCATCTACTTGAAACTAGTCTCCATATCTCGATCTACCCTACAAGATCTCGGCAATCGTGTGCCGGATGCTCTCCCGGTCGGCCGCTGTCAGAGGGATGTGGAAATAAGTCTCCAGGGCAGCCACGCGTTCCTCCTCCGAGACAAATGAAGCCACTAATTCGGAGGTGGTCCCAACACGTCGCTTGAGCTTGTCGTTGAACAGAGTCAGATCTCCAATCACGCGTTCTCCCGCTTCATCGAGAATCATGCGCACGCACACCAGGTGAAAGGTGAACCAACTCTCGCGATGGGTACTCATAAAGTAGTTCATGATGGTGAAGTCTTCGGGAAGAAACTCCTCCTCGGTGAAGCAATAGCCGGAGATCCACCGGGTCGGTTCCCCGTTGGCAAATTCGTATTGCCACATCGATTGACCGGCCCGTGTATGCTGGGCGATGGGGCCATGGACGAGTCGGCCGCGTTGATTTCCCACATTGTGGAACTCATGCCCCTCCACCAAGGGAACGGGCTGATGGGGTCCATTAGAGCCAAAGCCAACATCGACCAGGTATCTCTGGCGGCCGATGGTGACAATGTTGACCATGTGGTTCCTGTCGTCTTTCTGTTAACCCCCTCTGAAACAATCATGGAACTTCTCGAAGACAGGACGACCACATACCAGCCATCGAACTTCGGGCCCTTCCAGTTTTGTGAGGCGGACATGGGTTGCGCTGCTTCGTTAACTCGTCCTCCAACGGGGTAGACTTGATACCCTAAGCTCCGCAGCACCGTTCCGAAAAGGCAACTGTTTTCCATGCAATAACCCCCACGCTCGGCCTTGGATCCCACCACCTTTTCGAAGATCTCGAATGGATCGGTGGAGATGCTTCGATGGGCGGAATAATGCAGGCTCAGGTTCTCAAATGGGACGGCTGCCACCTGATGATGCAGCAAGACCCTCAAGTGGTCCAGAGCTGCTTCATCGGTCTTGGGAACTGATGAATGTCGGTACCTGAGAGGCAGGTGGATTCGGTCATAGTACCTCTCCATTTGTTCGAGAGAGTAGCTGGCTCGCTGCGACCAGTCTATGTGCGAGACCATTCTGCACAGCTACGTCTCTTGTCCAATGCTTGAGATGGTGTGGAACCGCGGGTCGATGCAGGGAAGAATGCCTCTCGAACTCACGGTGACTGATTCGCGTCGAATCGGTTCAAGATTTTCGCAGGGTTTGGAGATGATTGACCTCGAATGAAGCACCCCCTCCTTGCGATGGGTAGGGGCCTTATCAGTACGGACCAGATCAGACGACTAATCAATGCTAAAATGCTAGCGTAGTGCTAGTGATGCAAGAACATCCGTTACATGCTTAGCGTTATGCGAGATTGTCCTGTGCGGTGTTGTTGGCCACCATGCAACTCGTTTATCCCTTTCCAATCCGCTTGAACCCCACGTGGCATGGGCTAACAGGTTGCTGTCCTCTGTCCCGGCTGAGACTATTAATTTGTAGTTTCCCTCGGTGGTTGGTCACATATGGTATTGAAAGATGGCCTGTTGCAGAACACTCACTTATTGGTAGGTAGTCAGAATCTTTGATTGCAATGCCTCCTAGTACTGAGACAGTGTTGACCACCACGTCCGGTAATTAGCCTCAGGAGAGAGTATCCGTTGGAGGTCAGATAATGATTAAGATTGTCTTTTAACTGTCGTCTCCGGCTCAGTCTCTCGGTTGCAACTGACCTACCCTGACTCTCGTGTCTTTTGCTAAAGGACTAGCCTTGGGCTTCTTCAGCATTCAGATGCAGTTCAAGCATGGCGAGCTCGTGGTGCAGGAGCTCAGCTGCGCACAACATCAAGCCCGCGATGCCGCGGATCTGGAAAGGCATGGCAAGAAGCAGCGATTCGAGGTTTGTACTTCTTCCGTCCAAGCTCCGGCAGGAGCAGAATTGACTGCAGTAGAGAAACTTTGGCTTTCTATCGATGCTGGGATTTCCTACGACGATGATGTGTACTTGGGAAGCTGTTCCTTTTGTGCGTGTCAACTACTATGAATGGAGATGCTTCGCTGAGGATAAACCCAGTGCCAACCCGACTGCCATGATCGATGGAGGCCCTGTAACTCTGGTCTATGGGTACTTCTTCTGCTGGTTTGAGACTCTCGTGACTGCCATGTCGCTGGCAGAACTGGCCTCGATGTACGAACCCCCCCAATTGCAGCGGCGGCTCCAGGAAGGTGCTGACTACAGTAACCTACAGGGCGCCCACATCCTCCGGGCAGTATCACTGGGTGGCAATGCTTGCCCTCAAGGGTCATGCAGTGTTCTTGAGCTGGGTGACGGGTTGGGTCGACATGATCGGGTGGTGGGCCAACACAGCGACCGGGGTCTATTTCGGAGATACGTTGACTCAAGGCCTCTTGGTGCTGAATTATCCCAACTACATTTACCAGCGATGGCATGGCACCTTGCTGATGTCTGCCGAGCTTGGGATCTGTGTACTGGTAAACTCCATCGGTGCGCGGCTTCTGCCCAAGGTCGAAGGCTTGATATTGATCGTTCATACAATCGGCTTCTTCGCGGTGCTCATCCCCCTGGTGTATCTGGCACCGCATCAGCATGCGAGTTCTGTCTTCGGGAGCTTCGTCAATAGTTCGGGATGGAGCAATGCGGGTCTTACCTGGTTGGTTGGTCTAAAGGGAACAAATCTGCCCTTTATCGGTGCGCCTCCCCCCACTTCATCTCATTTCAACCATGCTAACTGACATATGGCGTCAGGCTATGACGGTCCTTGTCACATGGGGTAAGTATTCCTCCAATTCTTAAACGAAGAAGAAGTCTTTTAGCTCATCACTGCCTGGCCGCTGAGGAAGTGGTCAATGCATCCATCATCGTCCCATGGTGTATGATCGGCGCCATCCTGCTTAACGGGACCCTCGGACTCGCCATCGTCCTAGCATTTCTCTTTGCATTGGGAACATGGAGGACGCCTTGAATAGTGCTACTGGCTACGATTTCATCGAGATATTCTTCAATGCCACCAAGTCACACGCTGGCACCTCAGTCATGACCGCTATCCCGACAGCCCTAGTCATCTGCGCCTCCTTTGGCTTCCTGGCCTCCACCTCGCGCCTGACCTGGGCCTTTGCTCGCGACAAAGGCGTTCCGTTCTCGGAATACTTCTCCCACGTAGGCCGGACTGGATCTAGGATTCTTTTGTCTCCTTTCTGGGTGGTGGCTGATAGCAGGTACTAGGTCAGCACCAACAACGCCATCCCGATGCGCGCTGTCGGTCTCGCCGCCGTGATCACCGCGTGCATTTGCGTCATCAACGTCGGCTCTAGCGCCGCCTTCAATGCCTTCGTCTCTCTCAATACCGCGAGCCTCTTCCTCTCCTACCTGATCCCTATCACTCTCATAGTGATGAAGCGGATGCGGGGCCAGTCCATCCCCTTTGGGCCGTGGACCCTCGGGTGCTTGGGGATCGCGGTCAACCTGGCCTCGATCGGATTTCTGACCATCACCATCTTCTTCTCTTTCTTCTTCTCCGAGCTACCCGTCACGACGGTCAATATGAATTGGTCGGTGGTGGTGTTCTTCGGAGAACTCGTGGTGGGGCTGGCGTGGTATGCGGTCCGGGGAAGGCATGTTTACCAAGGACCTCTAGTCAAGACCGGGGGTGAAGAGGAGTTGCATTCGGGGTCAGCCATCAGCAGCTGTCAGTGACGGCCGCCGTCTTTCAGGCGCCTTGATTCATTTTCCGGCGGACAGACAACATCACATCATCGGATCGAGTTATTCGATGGAAGCCGACCTCACCTACACCCTTAGTAGTTTGGTCAGCGTGCCTTGTATCATGTTTAGTCGGCCTCTATTTGATGTGATCAGGAGACGAGCAGTCGGGGATGACTAGAGACCGGCTTGATGTCATTCGACACGATCTCTGGTCATTCTGGGAGTATGCTTGACATGAATTCATCCCGTTGTGGGTTGAAATGGGGTGCACCCGTGGTATTTGGTGCCGTGATATGGAGGGTAAAACCAGATTTGTCACCGGCTGGCAACATTTCTCGACATAAGTCTTTGGTTCTTGATTTGATGATTCTGATGGTTCTCGTATCATGGAATCTTGCATGTTGAGTCAGGACGAAACAACAACACAATGTGGGAGCAGGATATGGAAACTTGGAACATAGGCAGTCTTATGTGATCTCTGACTCTGACGAGCTCGTAATATACGACATTGAATGAGCCCTCTATCGAACCAGCTAAGAATCTTTCTTGGAAGGCTGTAGTGAGCGTCATGATAAAAGACAACCGGGACTGCATTCTTATAAAAATACATAGCGGTCTCCGTGCAAGTATATTCGAGACATAGTGAGCCTTCTTGTAGGTACAGGCAGTATATCCTACACTTCCCCTTTATCCCTCTTATACATATATATGTTTAGCTGAACGCCTCTTGTGATTTTCGCTGGGTTCTCTGATCCCGTAATAGGGAGAAACTGCTTTCCATCTAATCATGTCGGTTGTCACGCCCTTACACTCATTGTGGGAGGTTTTCACTGTCTTCAGCATTCCACACTTCACAAGGAGTCCGCCAAAACAACGAACTCAACCTGAATAGTGCCCTAGTACTCTGGAGACTTATCTTTAACATCCGCATCATGACCACCTGATCGACCTTCTTCGCGGACACACCTGCCGTCTGCCATGACGATCACTCGATCCATCCACGCCACGCTCGTCGGACGGTGCGCCACACACAGAATGACACTCTCGTGGAAGTGCTCCTGCAACACCGTCTGAATATGATTCTCCGTCTCCAAGTCCACACTCGAGGTTGCCTCGTCCAGGACGAGGATGCGGGGTTTGGCCAACAGACCGCGGGCCAAACAGATCAGCTGCGCCTGTCCCGCCGAGAGATTGGTGCCCCCTGGCGCAATCACGAGGTCGAGCAGGTTGCTGGTACTATTCGTGCGATGAGGTGTCGGATCGGTCTGCGCTCGCCCCTCATCTTCATCCTCGGATAGGTGGCCACTGCTCCGTCGGAGGTTGAAGGCGTGGAGTGCCCCCACCACGGCAAGCGCATGGAGTAACTCGCCATCAGAGTGGGAGAGCTGCGGATCGAGGTTCTGACGCACCGAGCCGGGGAAGAGGACTGAGTCTTGCGGGAGGACGTGCACCATGCTGCGGAGGGTGGTGAGGGAGAGGCCGTTGATTGGAGTCCCGCGGATGCTGATCCGGCCCTGCACGACCGGGGCGAGGGCTGATAAAGCGGCCAGGATAGTCGATTTCCCCGAGCCTAGGATAAGAATGTACGCGTGAGATACACTAACGATAAGGGTTGTTGTGGGGAGGTGAGAATACACACTCACCACTATGTCCGATGATTCCCACCTTCTCGCCCGCTCGGATGCGCATCGAGAAACCTCGGAGGGATGCGCTGTGGCTGCGCGGATATTGGACGGTGACATCGGAGAAGACGATCTCGTCTTCTGGCTGCTCGGACTCCGGAGACTTGATGACAATGTAAGGATGCTGCATCCCTTCCGGAGTCTCCCCCGTCCAGGTCGGGCTCGTCGGCTGCACGCGGTGGTCATCCTCCACGGGGATCCGCGTCATATAGTGCCGGAGTCGTTCCGTGGAGTTCATCTCGACCTCGACGTTGATCCACGACCACAGGAACTGGTGCATATGCTTCGAGATGGAGATACTGAGGGTGAAGATCAGCCCCATCTGTAACGAGTCGAGCACACCGAAGACCCCGAGCAAACCCGCACACCCCAGCAGGGCCACCGAGAGCATCTCGATCCGCAGGGTGATCCATGTTTCCAATGCATAGCGAACGGTGATTCCGACAATAGCCCGGCTCAGAGCTACCCGGTGGCGTTCTTCGAACAGCTCTCGTGCATCATACGCCTGTATCGTCGGCATCGAAGCCATACTCTCTGTGATGACGGAGAGGACGGGGGAGTCCAGGAGAGAACAAACGCGTCGGAGTTCGCGGGCAGACCTGACGGACCGGAGTTCTTCAGCAAGTCTTGCGCGACAGCAGGAAAGGGAATGCATCACTTACACGCGATAGAGAGACTGGATCCGATATTGGAAGTAGAATATCGGTCCGAAGGCCAGCAGGAGATACGGCGAGCTCCAGACAAGCACAATCACCGCCGCAAACAGCGAGGTTGCCGCCATCAGCAGTAGATCGCCCGCATTGATGAGTCGAAAATCAATCCCATCAATATCGACCGATAGCCGGTTCAAGACGCGACCCAGAGGCTGTCCGCTGAAGAAGTCCAACGGTGCGCGGAAGAGACGCGTGACGACGCCCTCATGGATACTCCGGCTAGCCTTCATTGTGCCCAATACAAGAATCACCCCAACTGATGCTACAGAATGTGATGAAACATCGTCAGTACTGAACCCGTCCTGTCAATGGGATAGAGCCAAAACATACCAATGAAGACGGCCTGAAGCATGACGACTAGCGCATATCCTGTAAGATACGTGTGGGTCGAGACAGATAGCACATTTCCCATCCACCAGGGCAACCAAAAACTGTTGATGATTCGAACAGCAACAGTGAGAGAGAGCATGAGGGAGAGCAGCAGGATGAACCGAGATCCTCCCGCACATTCGAAGTAGAATCGATATAAGTCAGTGTCCACCTTACCACGGGCGCGTTCCTCCTCCACCAAGGTGATCTGCTTGGAATCTGCTGCATCTGGCTTGGACGGGGATTCTATGACCATGTTCTCATCCAAATGGTCCTTGCTAGGAGTCCCCGTCTCACCGATGAGGATTGACCCAATAGCCCCATGGGGGCTTTTTCGTAGCTCGTCTGGACAACCTACCTCGGCAACCATGCCGTTGGCCAAAGACACAACATGGTCGCAGTATGGGATGAACTCGGCCTGATGTGTAACTGCAAAGAGCCTACTTAGCATCATGCAACCTCGTTTGAATGGCAGAAGTCGCATTACCTAGAATGACGGTCTGCGGCAGCTTGCGGATGCACTCGTGAAACAGCTTGCGCGCCACCCGGGGATCAACCGCAGCCAGACAATCGTCCAGCAGCAGGAGATCTGCCTCGCTGTAGACAGCTCGTGCCAGGGAGATTCTGGCCTTCTGGCCACCACTGAGGTTGGCGCCACTCTCCCCAACGATTGCGAGATCGCCGCCCGGAAACGAGGCAATGTCTGACTCGAGGCAGCATTGGCGGACGACTTGACGATAGCGCACGGGCTCGTAGGGCCGCAGAAAGGTGATATTATCACGCACCGTACCTAGCATAATCCATGGATCCTGAGCGCATAGGGCCATCGTCGCCGAGTTGCGTAGGAGCTGGCCCTCAATGACCTCGGCTTGCCCGCCAATGGCCGATAGCACGGTGGACTTACCACTCCCACTGGCCCCGTGAAGGATGGTCAATTTATTAGCCGGTATACCCATGGTGACGGGTCCTAAGACAAAGCTGTTCGAACTATCATCTGCCTTGCCGTAGTAGGATACTTTGGCATCTTGAAACTGGATCATATTGCCGGCGGTGACCTCGCTGGACTGGTGAGCTTCCCCGGGTTCGTGACCAGCAAGCTGATGTTCCGGTTGGTGCAGGATATGGAGAATGCGGCGGACACACGGGAGAATGGAGAATTGACGGGTGACTGAGAGGGAGAATTTGGAGGCTGGAGAAAATGTCATCTCGAACAATGTCAAGGCAGGGAATACCACCTCTGGCACCAACTCGTGGCCAGTGTACCAGTAGCTGGTCAAGGAAACCATGGCGGTCACTGCGGGAATCATCTGATTAATGGAGATAAAGAAGCAGAAGACGACGCGCAGGCGACGCCAGAGGGCTTCCAATTGAATCTCGCGGGCTGATCGTATCTCCTTGAGAAACATGGGCTCCAATCCCAATGATTTGATCCCGCGGATCTTCTGGAAGGCGGAGTTCAGGTGATTGATGCGCACCTCATCGATGCGCAGGTAGTCTTCCACTGCTACCCCTACTGCAGCGTTGGCGCGCGTCTGAGAGAATAGAAGGATTGACATTGCCACATAACCTGATGCGTGTTAATCACTCCTTTATGTACGCAGGGAAGCTCCGTCCTTACCCACAATTCCAGACACGCCAAGCAGGCGAACGATCATGAACGCAATCAAGAGCAATTGCACCGGACTACTCCAAATATCATGGACCTTGAGCACATAGTTTCGGACTAGCATCATATCGGTTGTGGAGCTGCCCAAGACCTTCCCCACGGGACTCCGCAGATGCGCCAGGTTCGAAAACCGAACACTCTTTTGGAAAATAGCCAGGGATAGAACCGACGAAGCCCGAACCGATAAAACGCGGCAGATCTGGTCTTTGGCACGTCCCGCCAACGTGGCTACGGCACTGGCTAGAAAAAGAACCACAAAGTTTCCGATATGACTGGGATCCTGCAGAACTCGTCGTAGGAATAACGGGAGGAGAAGCGTCAAGAGAGAGGCAAGCATCTAGGCAAATCCAGTCAGTCAGCGCCTTAGTTAGGCAAGTTTATCCTGTTCTTTCCGAGGACCATACCTCCAGTCCAGCTGAAGCCAGTAGAGGACATAGAAACTCCTTGCTCGTAATTGTCTTCAGCCACTGGCGTTTGCGTGCCAGTCCCGCCAGTGGGACATAGTAGTGAGCATCTTTCGAGGTGCCTGGCAACCAAGCTTGCTCCAAGTAGTCGGCGGATTGAATCGAACGCATCAGAGAAGTGAGCCAGTCCTGCAGGATGCCATACTCATGCCGTGCCACATCCACGCGAGAACCATCAGCACGGAGCTCTTCTAAGTCAATCGCCTCGACCTGCTCGTACTGGGGCTGTTGGGAAGGAATCCACCGATTCAGTGAGCGTCTGAGACGCGTTAATACCGCCCGCGACTGCATAGTCAGTTGTCGCGGTGGAATAAATGCTTGATTTTCAGTGCGAAGAAAGCGAACAATAGTGAATGGAAGCGAGGGGAAGAGAGATCAGTTTGGGAACTGCAACTTCTGAGGAGAATGAGAAAAGACCAGAGGAGGGGAAGCTCGCCAGGATAACCAGCCGATTCTCTTAGTTTGGGCCCGCATTCTGGGTTAATTTACCAGCCAGGTCCGATGTCCTATCGTCTTATTGCGCACCAGCCCCCCCTCCCCTGCTGATAGCTGGTCCGCGCTCCTGCAGAGTGTCCGCTTGTTTTGGCTCTTATCACCGAGTGAGATGGTCACCCGGACTGTCCGGGAGATGGAGGATGGAAGGGTCCAATATGGCTCTTCGCTGCAGAGTGAGTACTTAAATTGTCACCCGCCACAGGGCAGAAGTCCCTTACGGTTTGTTCGGTCCAATCCAGTCGGCTACGTATATGTTGAATGTTCTTATGACAGATATTCCTGCATTTTACGCAGTCTAGCCATTGATTTGACGTCTACCACACTCACTGATTTCCCGCGATGGCATGGATATCATTACCTGAGTCGTCTGCCATCAGTCTTTGGTTCATTTCGCGTGATGGTGCGCGGATTCAGGGCTGCACTGAGACATTGCCATTGCTGGGTTCCCCAATTCCCTCCAACTCCCACACCAGCTCCAAATCCAAACCACTATTCATCTGTTTTGCTATAGTGTTTTTACGGCAACTGTGTGCCTCTCTCCAACTCCTCTCCCATTTGCGGCTCTATGAAGTTACTATCACTGAGGCGAGGTTGCAACATCTCTCTGGGTCTGCTCATGGCCTTTCACAGCGAGTGATCCTTCCGTACGCCTCGTATATCCAAGGCTGGCAGGTTGCATTCGACTGTGTCCCTGGTAGATGATGTCCCACTCATTCCTTCCCCCATCATTCTCGTTTTCTTCTCTGAAATACCGCGATCCCGGTACTGACTCTTCGTCTTTCTCCATCTAGATATACTATATCTTCTCCTTCTCACGTACATTCGGAAACATCTCTCGCGTCGCTTCATGCTGGTGATGAATTGCGGAGGTACGGTTCTGGCAGAGGGCTGGATCCTCTTCGTGGGTATGGATAAACCCTCCCTGTCTCTGGAGGGGTTGAGGAATGAATGAGCTCACAAGTGTGATACAGGATGGTCCGGACTGCCTTTACCCTGGACGTGGTGCTCCTCGTTATTCCGATTGTTCGGGGGCGATTCGCGGACCACAATAGCCCTAATCTTGTCTTCGCTGAGTGACATAACAGCTTCAGCCGACCGGTATTGTCCACACCTCCTTTCATGGCCAGGGTTGAACACTGACATGAACTGTCGCACGATGCCTAGTCACTCGTATACATTTCATATCACCACAACCTTGTTAGCCGCCGAATTTACTGGCTCCGCAATAGCCACCTTCGCTCTGCACTATAGTGTCTACGTGTCGCTACTACTGGGTCTCATCCTCCTCATCGTCACGCTCCCACTAGCCTTGCTGATACCCTCCGATGAACGGGCCGTAACCTCCCGCCAGCGCCCTGCCGATGGGCATACAGAACAGCACGAATTGACCACTTGGGCAACATCCTGCCTGAAGCAACTCAGGAAGCCCAAGGTTCCCTCGCGGCCTGAACTGCGGGTCTCCTGGTTGGTGGCGACATGCCTCATCTCCCGCATCGGACGATACCCATTTTCTGTTCTCCTGCCGACTTTGTCTCACCGTTATCAAGGGACTATGACCGAGGTTGGTAACTCCTCGCGAAGAATGCACTCCGTGGCCGGGGCGATGATACTGACCACCCCCCCTTTGCTCTAGACAGGGGTCTTCCTCTGCCTCAACGCTGGCGTCAGCCTGATCGGAATCGCCTTCCTCCTGCATGGGATACGACCCTTCTTCTCACGGCAACAATCCCCGACGCACTCGGCCGATGCGACCCCTCTCTTTGGCCCCTATCGGTTTGACCTGTGGACGATGCGAGGCAGTGCAATGTGCATGGCTATCGGGGCGGTTCTGGTATCATCATCACGTACACTGACGATGGGATACGCAGGTGTGTTATCTCCTCCTCCTTCCATGCCCGGCGGTGTGATTCCACCAATCCTAACTCTTTCCAATTAGGGGTCGTGCTGTATGCACTGGGTATCGGGTTCGGCGGTGGGGTAGGGAGGCTTATCGCACAATTGACGGAGTCCGAGGGAGTCTTGCTGCCGAATAACATGCTCGAGGCGGTGTTTGATGCCATCGCGGCGCCCGCGATGTCGTATACCTGCCTCATTGGGGCACAATTGGACGAGTCAATGTCGATGGTGGGCCAACTGTCATTTGTTGCCGCGGCGAGTATCTTTGGCATGATTGCTATCGGGAGTTTTATCGTCGGTGGGGGAAAATAGGGAGAATACAGTAATACAGTACATACGGCTAGTGTTTTACGCAGTATTGAAAGGATCAACCTCGATCCTCCCGCTAAATTAGCCCTACTTCTGGCCAGATCGCACGGTGCGCTTCCAGCCAACCGCTTGACACATTGGCTGGTGTCATCGGCACTGGGGGGGCTCTACAGTACTTAGCCTATTTTTCTTTCCAGGTGGATTTGTGAAGTCTGTTCTGTGGCTCGGGTTCTGCAGAACCATCCATAATTTGCCATGTCTGCTGTGATGTACTGCTCTAACGGAATTACAAGAATGACGAACAAAATCGTTGATGACTCGGGGGTACTCCTTGTGCCCCCGGACTGATTCCTCGTCTTGGGATTGTCTTTACTCTTTTCTTTTTTTTTTTTTCTCTCTCTCTGTCTGTTTGTTACTATACTCCCTGATGGAGCCTCTCCTATCCCACCGCACAGCGTCCCTTGAGCTGGACGAGTATGTTGATGGGGAAGATGATCACGAGAAACCAAAGTCCCAAGGGTATGAGGCATGGCTGCAACACGCCCGCGAGAAGCTTCCCGAGTATCTTACTCTCGTCTGCATGGCTCTCCTGCCCTACTTCATCACCAGTTTGTGGCGGCCGAATACTGAACGACCCTCTCTGCGCCGCACCTCACCTCTGGATGGGCTCCGCGGAGTCGCTGCGCTCTGCGTCGTCAACTACCATATCATCTCGGCCTTTCACAATTTCGTGAATTACGGCTACGGGCTGACCCCGGAGGAGGCGCATCGTGAACCGCATTGCGCCCACAACAACGAGCCCATTGAGCACAATCTGCGCCTCCACCAGCTGCCCATCATTCGCCTGGTCTATTCCGGATCCGCCCCGGTCTGCATCTTCTTTGTGCTCTCCGGGTTCGTGCTCTCCTACCGGTCCTGGCAGCTGGTGCGAGCGCGCAACTTGGAGGCGGTCTTCCCCAGTCTGAGCTCCTCGACCTTCCGCCGCGGGGTGCGCCTCTTCCTGCCCACCACCCTCGCCACGCTGATCACGATGATCGTGATCCAGACGGGGGCCTGGGATTACCCGGCCACGGTGGCCATGGATCGAACCATCATCACCGCCGAAAACGAGTACCACCAACCCCGGCTGCGCACTTTTGGGGCGCAGACCGCCCACTGGGCCTCCATGATGTGGAACATGACCAACGTCTTCGCCTGGGAAGAGAACTATCCGGAGTACGACGTGCATCTGTGGACGATTCCCATGGAATTCCGCGCCTCGCTCCTGCTGTTCCTCATCCTCCTGGTGGTGGTGCGGCTCCGCTACGTCTCCCGCGTGGCCATCCTGCTCGGTCTGATTGCCTACTGCTACGGACATGTTCGGTGGGTGATGGTCCTGTTTCTAGCCGGGAGTCTGCTGGCCGAATCCTCCCTCCGCTGGGATGCCGCCGCCGCCGGAGCCCCCGGAGCCCCCGAAGAGACCATCCCACCCCCCGCCAAACCCCCCCGCAGTCCGTATTCCACGGGGAGGGTATGCCTCCGCTTCCTCCTCCGGACGGTGCTCGTCTTCATCGCCTTGTATTTTCTCTCTGCGCCGGACAAATGCATCCATCGCACCCCGGGCTACCGGACGCTGGCCCGGGTCCTCCCTGCGTGGGACGTGCGCTTCTACCGCGTCTTCCCCTCGGTAGGCGCGATTCTGCTGGTCGGGGTGGTCTCGCACAGTCCCAAGGGGAGTCGTCTCGCTCGCGTCTTGGACCTCCGGCTCGTGCAGTATCTGGGGTGGATCAGTTATTCACTCTATATTGTGCATGGGCCGTTGATGCATGGGGTGGGCTACCGACTGTTCCCGCTGATGTGGCGGATGACGGGCCACGAGGCGACGGGGGCGTATCTGCTGGGATTCTTTCTGGCGTGGTCGGGGTTGCTCTTCGTGGTGTTCTGGGTGGCCGATCGGTTTGCCGTCGCGGTGGATGACCATTCTGTGCGGCTAGGACGGTGGTTGGAAGGGAAATTGGTGGAGAAATCCTAATAGATAGATATCTAGAGTAAGACGTATGTACGGTAGATACAGCTTTCTGGCCCACGAATTCCATTTTCTCTCTCTCCGTCGTCAGCAGCAGCAGCATGAATCATCTCGACGTAGTACCCCCTCCTACAGTTGGAAATAAGCCAGTCCCTTCTCCAGCTCCCCATACCACCGGGCCACCGCCTCAGGGTGCAGCCCCCGCGGCACATTGGTGGTAATCCCGCGCAAGGCATTCCGCACGAGATGCAGACTCTCCAGCCGCGGATCCTCCCACTCCGTCTGCGCCAACACCGCTGCGGCCCCCCCGTGCTCGCGACAGAGTTGCCAGAACCGATCGCGCAGCCGGTATTTCTCCTCAAACGAGGCCTGCCCGGGCTGCGCGTTCCACAGGAAGGCGCGCACCGGATCCCACTGCGGATAGGGGACGGTGCCGGCGAACTCCCAGTCCAGGATGGCGGTGATGCGGTCGGTGGCCGGGTCATAGAGGATGTTGGCGAAGTGGAGGTCCTTGTGCGCGAGGTAAAAGTCGCGCTCCGTCGGGGTGTCGCCGGCGAGCGCGGGGAGACGCTCGAGGAATGCGGCGAGACGGGGAAGAAATGGGGCCAGGGGGCTCTCTTGCAGCGAGGGATGGATGTCGGCCACGTGCAGGTAGGAGCGCACCGCGGCCGAGACGTAGTCCGTGAAGCTATCAAAGGGCCCGCGGTAATTGAGGGTCGTAAAGGTTTCCTCTTTGGTGGTGGTGGAGGAGAAGTAGCGCGGGATGTCGCAGGTGAACCAGAAATGCTCGTCCAGCAGGGGGCCGACGGTGATGCTGCGCTGCTGCTGCTGCTGCTCGTCAAAGGCCAGCCCCCCAATTCGTGGGAACCGGTGCTGGTGGAGCTCGAGAAGAATGTGCATCAGCTGCAACAGAATCGAATCGAGTTGCGCCTCGCTGAGAGTCGAGTAGATGTCGGAGATGGCTTGGCCCGGACACCGGGTGCAAATCAGATACTCGCGACCTACGGGGTTGACACTGGTCACATCGAAGGCGACCACCTCGGGAACGGGGATGGAGGTGTGCTCGCGCAGCCAAGTCAGGATTGCGGTTTCATTCTCCGTCTTGATGCGCGGCACATGGTCCCCGGAGATGCGCAGGATCAAGTCCACCTCCGTCTCGTCTCCACTGGAGGCGGGGAGACGGTCCAATTGCACGTGCGGTGCGAGAGCCTCGCGGGAGTAGGTCAAAACGTAGATGAGATGGAAAGCGGCGGTCACTTTCAGGGGCTTGATGGCCACCGGACGGCTGAGACCGATCGAGTCCAGCAGGGCGAGAATCGTCTCCTCCGCATAGGGTTGCGGGAGATTGTGCTCGGGGGCGACTCCCATGGCAACGGGCGATTGGGTGACAGCGGAGGCTGAAAGGATTCAAGTGGTTTGATTGATAGTTGATAGTGAAACTACTACCACTACTACTATTCAATTAGTATCGTTCGAAACCAAACAGGAAGATGTATTTATCTCGCATTGGCGCCCTTGATTGCGAGGGGGCCGATACCGGGGCGGGAGCGAGCAGCTGATATCTGATAGTGGCGATCAAAGATAAGTAAGAAGTGAAGTAATTTAGGGCTCGAGCTCACCTCCGACGGCTCTTCCCGCACGGTTACATTCACTGTCCCTCTGTGGTACATAGCATTTTTAGCTAGTGGATACCTTCCCCTTACCTTCTTACGGTATCATAGACTCCACGAGTGATCCTTGGGGTGACAGCGGTCTATGGGCCTTTGGCAGGCATTGGCAGCCACTTTTCTTCCTCTTTGAAATCCACGTGATGTAATCGTCTCTCAGGTTAGGTATACATATGCTACCACCTCGACGCCGCTGGTATTGAAGACTCACCTCTTCTATCCCCTAGTTTTCTATTCATCATGATTCACAAGATTTCTCATACCTCCGATTACCCATCTCCTCGCATCACGATTGCCGGGTGCGGGGTCTTGGGAAAAGGTATTGCCACCGGTCTTCTGGCCTCGCCGTTGAACCTGGACCCCAGCAAGATCAGTCTGACGGTCCGACGGGAGCAACACGCGCGCTGTCTGCGCGAGGAATTCCCCGGCCTTGCAGTTACGCTCGACCACGGGGATCCAGTCCTCTGGCCGGCGGAGGCGACCGATGATGACGAGGCTGGCCATTTCTTCTTCATCGTCACGAAGCCGCAGCATGTCCAGCTGGTCTGTGCCGATATCTCCCCCCACATTCAAGCCAGTCGCACCCCGCCTGTCGTGATCACCCTCTGTCCAGGCATCACCATCGCGCAATTGCAGGACTGGCTCCCCACGGGCACGCCCATCGTCCGGTCGATGCCCAACACCCCGGTGATGGTTTGCCAGGGGGCGACCGGACTCTTCCCCTCGCCCCTGGTCAGTCCCGGCCAGCTGAGTATTCTCACCCGGATGTTCGAAGCCATCTCGCCGAGCGTCGTCACGCTGGCCCACGAGGATCAGTTGAATGTGGTGGCTGCCATTTCCGGGTGAGTTATCCCACCCCCCCTTGAGTCATTTTGACGCTTCTCGACTTTTTCCTGGGGAGAGACAATCGTGCTAATCCGAGAATCCGGACCAGGTCCGCTCCCGCCTACTTCTACCGTCTGATGGACCATATGGTCGCGACGGGCATCTCCCTCGGACTTCCCGAGTCTCTCGCCCGAGATCTAATCACCCAGTCATGCATTGGCTCCGGCGCCTTCGCGCGCGAGATCCCCAGCGTCTCCCTGGCGCAGTTGAGGAATGATGTCTGTGTTCCCGGGGGGAGTACGGAGAAGGCGATGAACGTCCTCGATGCCCACGGGTGGCAGCGAGGGGTGAAGGAAGCGATCACCGCCAGTCTCACTGCCAATCGCTCGATGGGGCAGGGAACCACAGGAAGATCGCGATAGGTTATCTACGAGACATTAGATCAGTCGCTTCGAGGGTTTTTGTTATCATGAGAATGGTTTATCTAGCTGTATTGGTTGTACATAGTCTTATACTGATTACATTGGTTTACTGGGAGAGTATCAAATAATTGCTTTTAGATCAATCCACCTATTATTTTTATTCTCTCCCATCTTCTCTCGAATGTTTATTATTGTAGTAGTAGTAGTAAAACTAATAGTCGCAGTATAACTAAATTCGTTTTGGCGGTTGTGATGCTGAGAGACTACAATCAATATTACTAGTATGGATATATATTTCCGGCAAGAGCTCGCCGTCCGCGTCGACCATTTTGTACTTATTATGTCGAAGTTTGGGACATTTGGAAATAGTTATTACAGAAGTAATCCTACAAACAAAAATGCACTTTCATTTGTCACCAGAGTGTATACCACTGTTCTATCGATCGTCAATTGCATACCTCACTTTCGAAGTCGAGTCTCTCCCACCACGTGGCCCCTCATGAATGGTGTGGGGAGTATAGTTACACCCTTGATCCGACTAACCGGGATAGGCAAGAGACTAAGCACAGGGCTCGTGCCGAGCTAAAAAGGCGGGCTGCGTCTGAAGAAAGGGTCAAAGGAATCAAGACGATCGATCCTCCGTCGGAGGGCGGCAGATTTCCGTTCCACGAGCCTCAATGTCAGATTCCAATCGGACAGCGATTAGCAATCCTGCTGACAATCAGTTTCTCGATGCGCCGGGATCGGCTTACCCTCTTCCTGGCCCGGCCTTGCGTTGCAGCGACCATCACTAGCTCCATTAGTAGCGCGCCTACGGGTTATAGTGACTTGGACTATGCTTTTTATGTATCAAGTGTAAAGTCCCCTGGTGGAGCTCAGGAAGTAGGTTGTAATACTCGTGGCCAGAGGTGAGGGGGGAGGCCAATCCGTGGTTTTCCGCCCCCATTAAGCTTAATTTAGCGCGGTTTCACCCCTGTATTACTAGCAAGTACTGTACTGTACTGTATTGCTGTATCGATGTATCGATGATAAGGGATATCGAGTGAGGGGTAAACATGCCTCTTCTCCAACCCTAGTTCACCACCGGCAACAATGAAGGGGACTGAGAGAACTCGAAGGAACTTTACATTATCATCATACATCGTACCACTGGAAATATCGCATGATAGTGGGAGTGAGGTTTCACCTGGGCCGAGGCTTGACAGCCCATAAACACAACGCAAGGTGTTCGGGCTGGGGTTATCGAGTCTGTCGGGTGAAGATTCTCCTATCTCAGGTATATTATTCCTACAACTACTACTACTACAGTTTGTCCTGTCAGAGCGTGGAGGAGGCTTCATCTTATCCTACTTCTAAACTGCATCCCACCTACTGATCCACCAACCGTGTCACCATGATTTTCGAAACCATTGACCTGGGGGTCATGCAGAATGGCACCCTCGAGGATCAGAAAAAAGTCGGGGAGGCGATCAAGAATGCCCTTGAACGACAAGGATTCCTGAAGCTAATCAACCACGGAATTGCGCCTGAGATGATCGAGGAGTTATTTACATGGGTCTGTGTATCTTCTCTTCTGCGTACGGGGAGACATTTCCCAACTGACCGATTCTCCAGAGCAAGCGATTCTTTGCCCTGCCCGAGGAAGTCAAAGCGAAAGCGCCGCACCCGCCGACCCCGACGCCCAATCGAGGGTATAGCGCGGTGGGGATGGAGAACACTTCTGTGCACGGCAATCTGGGCAAGCAAGGAGGGAAAGTCCTCCCCCCATTGATCGATATGAAGGTGAGCCCAACCCAACCCGTGGTTACTCTCCCTCCAGATGGAGATGTGGGTGCGCATCATATCTAAACCGGGTTATCAGGAATGTTTCGATCAAGGCTCCGCCACGGACGAGCTCTATCCCAACCTCTGGCTCCCAGAGTCCGAGCTCCCGGGCTTCCGGGCCTTCATGGAGTCCTACTTCGAAGCTGGCTTTGCCTGCCAGCAACGCATCCTCCGCGCGGTGGCCCTGGGGCTGGGCCTGCCCCCCACCGCGTTCGACCAACTCCATGACCGCCGCCACAACGAGCTTCGTCTCACCCACTACCCGCCCATCGAAGCGCGCCAGCTCCAGGACGGCACCAAGACCCGCATCTCCGAGCACACCGACTTCGGCACTATTACCCTCCTCTTCCAGGACGCGGTGGGCGGGCTGGAGGTCGAAGACCACGCCTCCGCGGGCACCTTCCACCCCATCGAGTCCGAGCATCGCGACGAGATGATCGTCAACATCGGCGATTGCTTCCAGCGCTGGTCCAACGGGGCGCTGCGTTCCACGCGCCACCGCGTGCACGTCTCCCAGCGCGATCTGCACAATCAATCCGAGTTCCTGCCGGGCCGATACTCCGTCGCCTACTTCACCAAACCGAATCGCGATGCGAGCGTCGGGTCCATGCCGGCGTTACTGAAACCAGGGGAGCGCGCGGTCTACCCCGACCTCACGGCGGGCGAGTTCGTCTTGCAGCGCTCGGCGACGACGTACGGGAGTTACCAGGGAGCCGGGGAGAAGCAGACAAAACTGTAGAGTTGACTTGCCTAGAAGCTATGCACAAATGAGAGAATTATGTTTGAACCGTCTGTTTTTCTGTAGTTATTCCTGGCTTTGCCCAGGAAAAGACAACTACGTAGTCAGCACAGTAGTCACAGAGTAGGTACTATAGTCTTTTTCCCGGCACGCGCAGACCGGCCCTCCTATGCAATGCAATGCTCTCTCTAACAATGCACCATCAGGTAACCGGTCGGGAAAATACTTCCTTAGCGCGGGAGAGTTGCTCTCGAGCCGACCGGATGGGAACGACTTCGTGTCATATGGCACGGTTGAGGAAGGCAAGCATTCGCTCTCAGTGCTTGATCGGGGCTGATTTCCGAGGAAAACCAAGATTGGTGCGGCCACTGATAAGACAAGTTAGAGTAAGTTAAGGACTAGAAGGTACATGCGATAGGAATCCTGCCAGAAAGAGGCGGTGGATTGCACGTGGGGTCATTGGTTGGCGTGTCTCATTGTGCTGGCAATAGTGGAGCACTCGACCAGATAAGGTACATGATGTATGTTGCCACTGAGCCTCCTTCATGGGGGGATGAGGGGAAATTCGGAGGAAGAGCACGGGGCGGAAGAACCGCGGGATACAGTATTTCTACCGCAGAAGAAAATGACCCCTTTTGCGGAGGACTGGTCGGACTGAGCCGCACTTCCTGCAGAAACTTATCAAACCAGATCCTGCACGCTAGTCAGGGTTGGGCGTTAGTCGAACGGCCGGGGGTCGAGCCGTCGGCCGCTAGTAGTTCGTATCAATTCCGTACCGATTAATATATCATATATACATACGGAGTACATACAAAAGTTACATATCGATTATCCTGATAAGCAGCATGTCGCAATTTCATTCTCTGAAACAATAATTTGGAAAAAAAAAAGAAAAAAGCTATCTAATCAACTTCATCACGACCAGAAAATCAATTTGGGCTTCTCCTGTGCATTCCCCGCGGGTAATAGCCCCATGAAACTACTGAACGCCAGACGCGGTCGATTGGACCCCTGGGTCACCGGAAAGACTTGATGCATGTTGCGGGTGTTGAAGATACACAGCTGGCCGACCTCAGGCTGGATGATGGCGTGCTTCGTCCCCGCCACCACGTCCGCGTGATAGCCATACGAGCTGGGGTCGCGGAAGGCCAGCGCCTGTTTCGTCCAAGGTTGGTCATGGATCACCGTGTGTCCGCCGTGCACCGGGGTCAGATAGAGGTTGAACACCGCCTGGTGGGAGATCCGGTTGATGATCCAGTCCTCCGTGAACGAGTCATACGGAGACCAATCACAGTGCACCGGCGTGGACTCGTTGATAGCCCGGTAGATCCCCGCAAAGTATCGCTGACCGGGGCCTTCCTGCGCTACCATCACATCGTAGTCCGGGAGGAGGGAGGCAATGGCGCTGAACACTTTCTGCCACAGGTTGAGCCCCGTCTGGCTGGCTAGCTCTTCGTGAAGACCCGAAATCTTCTGCACTTCGGCGAAGTAGCGTGCTTTCTCTGAGGACGGAATCGAAACGCATTAGCATGCGTGTCTCACGCCATGTCCCAAAATCAACTAAAAGGAGGCACGGGTCGACGCTAGGTACTACATACCATCCGATCGGTGTTGGAAGTCCTCTGCGGATTGCGCCTGAAATTCAAACTGAGCCAGACCTACTTTCTGAACCTCAGGGCCAGCAATGTGCGAGTAAGGGATCAATTTCTGCGTCAAGACCGCCTCGAAGCGCTCTGATATCTCTTGCGAGACAAAGCCCCGCTCGGAGATGAGCGGGGTGTTGCCTAAGAGAACATCGAGGAAGCTCTGGCGGCTCAGGGAAGCAGCCTCGGTCGTCTTCCACCGGGATTGGCGCGGAGGCATTTGGGCCTGCACAGGCTTGAAGTCGCGGTAGGCATCATTATATATGACGGGCAAAGGGGACGAAGAAGATGTGATGTGCTCAGTAGAGGATGTGATAAAGCGAGACCCAAGTCTCTTGGAAACAGATGGTAGTCTTGTAGAGAGCATGATGAAGAGAATGTGAAGAAACTCTCTGACAAGGGGAAACCAGAGATAAGCAAAGGGAACCACGTCTGGCAATGGAAGAGAAATGAAAAGTGTGAACAATCTGGAGACGGGGCAGAGAATATAGGTCCCTGGCTCGGCCACAAAATGATCGTACCACGTTCCGCGGTATCGGAATGAAAACCACAAGGTTCGGCAGATAATGAGGGGAAGTGGAAGATAGGAATGGTCTCGTTGGAGATGAAGCACGACCTCCACTAGTCCTGCAGCCAGATATCGAAGGATTGTGTAGGCTTGAAGCCATAGATTGGCCCCATACTTGGCCCGCCCTTCCCCTATATTCGACCTTCTGCAAAGTCCGAGGCTGAGGTTGCCGCTAACTTAGTGTTGAGTATACAGGACGATAATCGATGATAAGTCCTGTGCGTAAAGATATGACTCCTCAAATTGACAATCATGGACGATGGCCAGGCGTTTCTGTCCGGGACCGGCGTGGCGAAGGCTCGGGACGATGCCATCTCGTTGTTCTATGTAGATTAGCCTAGGGCATGAGACAGTACATAAGGACTGGAGACTTTCAATGTTCAAAAGACCTCCTGGTCGTTAGACGTTTCTCTCTCCTGTATTCCACAAAATACCATCTTCTCTCCAAGTCAGTTGGCTTGTTGCTCTTTTTGCTTCGTATCACCTACTTGACCATATCATCGACACAACCACAACCTGACCATGTTCCCTCAACCACCAACTCTAGAGTCAGAGGAGACGGTGGCTTCCATCCTGTCGGAGGCCTTTGAGTCAAACTCGACCGGTGTAGCCATTGACTGGGAGCACGAAGACCAAATCACCTACGAGCAATTACATGACAAGGTACAGAGACTTGCCCGGAGGCTTCGCCCTCAGGCACCTCCTGGAACCCCAGTTGTGGTGTGCTTACCTCGTTCGGTGGCGCAAATTGTCAGTATTGCCACAATTCAATGGCTGGGAGCAGTTTACGTGCCCTTGGACCCCACCATCCCACAAAGCAGACTGCAGGGCTTGTTGAAGCGATTGCAAAAGCCCGTCATCTTAGCGAACCAAGACTTCCTCCAACGATACCCTAACCCCCAATCGATTGATGGGACCTACTTGAATGTCGAGCAATGTCTCGCCGACGACGAAGAGCATGCTGTGGAACAGAGTAGCCCGATTGCTATCCGTGAGCCAGATGATCTGGCGATTATCCTCTTCACATCGGGAAGTACAGGCGAGCCGAAAGGCGTGAAGCTCTCGAACCGCAATATCATCGAGCCCATTCGCTACTTGAGCTGCCAGCAGGATATCACCACCCGTTCTCGAATCCTTCAATTCGCCGGCCCGGCCTTCGATGTGCATATGCTGGACATATTTTGTGGCCTTTTCAATGCCGCGACGTTGTGCTTGGTCACCAAGGATAAGCTTCTTTCCCAGTTGGCCTTCTGGATCAACAAGATGGAAGCGAGTATGATCCATCTCACTCCCAGCATGTTGTCAATGCTGCGCCCTGTGGATGTTCCTGGAATTCGGTACATGCTGTCAAGTGGAGAAGCGATCACTCAGGAGATCATTGACACGTGGGCCTCTTCCGCCGTGCTTCTGAATCTTTACGGTGCGTACTGCGCGTAAGAGAAGATAGATCGCGATGCGATGCTAACATACCTATCACATTAGGGCCCTGTGAAGCCTCCTCCATTGTCGGCTCGCGACTGCTACCGGGCGATTCGGCGAGTATCATCGGCAAGGCTACTCCATTCTCAAATATCATTGCGCTACAAGAGGATGGGCAACCTGCCGGTCCAGGGGAATCTGGTGAGATTTACTGTACCGGCAAGACCATCTTCCTGGGATATCTCGGAGATGAGAGCATGACGCGATCGAAATTCCGTGCGCAGGGCCCGGGTCTTCCCGATCTCTTTGGCACAGGGGATGTCGGTTTAGTCACCGAAGATGGATATCTCAAACTCTTGGGCAGAATTGATACACAAGTAAGACGGAGATATAATAGTGGCAGGAACGAGAACTGGTTAACAAGAGTTGTGCATAGGTAAAAATCAATGGGCAACGCGTGGAGCTGCAGGAGATTGACCATGCGTTGACCACTATCGCTGCCAAAGCAGTCACAAGGTGGAGAAAGGATCCAGGGGGCCAGATCCGACTGCATTCCTTCGCTACCGAGTCATCTGCTTTCTGCTATCCGTCTGATCCTTGTGAGCTGCGCACTGATGGCCAGAAATTGATCGAACGCCTCTCGGGAGTCTGTCGGGCCACGCTGCCCTCGTACATGGTTCCTGAGATTATCCTGGTAAGTGCAATTCCCCTCAATGCGAGTGAAAAGATTGATCAGAAGCGTCTCGACCTTTTGCTCGAGTCTCATCTACAGTCAGCCAGTGGAATCCTTGAACTCGATGCCACGGCCGGAAATACTGCCACGGAGCAGATCGTAGCCACGATGATCAGTGAGCAATTAAATCGCCCTGTTCGATCTGCTCAGAGCAATCTACTCTCCATGGGACTATCCTCGCTGGATGCCATGGCTGTGTTGAAGCAAATTCACTTCGAGTTTGCTGTGTCTCTTTCTCTACACAACTTCCTTCAAGGTCCCACGGTGAAGCAGGTTGCGAAAATGATCGATGAGCAGGCAGAAACGAGGACGGCAGATCTTTCCACTCAATTGCCAAAGGAAGACATATCCATTCCGAATGAGGAGGCGATCACCTCTCCGTCTCAGGACCGGATATTCGCAGCCGACAGATTGCTTGCGAATAGCGCATACAACTGCAATTTTGTCCTTCGTCTTCCCTCGATGGACCTGGATGTGGAGCGCCTGCGCCGGGCTATTTTCCATGTCTATGCCCGGCATGACGTTCTCCATTCGACATATCATGATGCTGATTCGGATGGCAAGGAAGCCAGCCCCAATGCATTGCCCCTTGTGAGGCAACGAGTGTGGCCGGTCGCTGATCTTCCACTACAGTGGACAGTGGTCGGCCCTAAGGATTGGGAGATAGTCGGCGTGCAACACAAGAAGTCCCTGCTTGAGAGCTGTATGGACCGCATCGCAACGGAGGCGGAAATCCTGTTCAACCTGAGCCAAGAATCGGCCCTGAGAGTCACAGTCTATGAACTTGGGTCTCAACAGTGGATTGTTCACTTTAATGTTCACCATATCGCGATGGATGAATGGTCATTTCATATCCTCACGAGAGAAATTGAGGAGTTCTATTCATCTGAGCAGTCTTTCGACGCCCAATCTTCCCCAGCAGCAGTGCAATACCACGAGTTTGCCAAGTGGCAGCGTTCCACTTCGTTACAGCACGAATACAACAATCATCTCCAATGGTGGGAGAAACGAATCGGCGATGAACTGGCTTCACTGCGCCCTGAAGACCTCGGTCCCTTGCCTCCCCATGTCCCTTCTTTGCCGGTCGAAGAACGCGACAAGAGCCAGTTGATCACGCAGGATCTCGACTCTGACCTCTTCCGGAGTTTTCAGGAGCAAATCTGTGCTGGGTCTACAGCATTCGTGGGATGGCTTGCCTTGTTTCAACTCCTGATGGCGCGCGTGAGTCGCAAGAACGAATTTCTGCTGGCGGTTCCAGCGACGGAGCGCGGCGTCAGCGCTAGATTTATTGACGTTGTGGGTTTCTGTCTGAATACTGTTCTGATCCCCTCTACCGTTGCACCAACAGACACTTTCAAGACTCTTTTGGCCCGGACACAGGAGACATTCCTCTCCTGTATCTCACACTCTGTACCATATGAAGACGTCGTTGCCAATCTAGCCGCAAAGAGGCAAACCGGTCGTTCCAGCCTCCAGCTCAGTGTGATGTTCGTGCTTCATGATCTCCGGACAACCCCTGGCAAGGCCTTTGATGCCAGCTCCTTTCTTGAAACGGCGGACTACATCCAACTTCCAACTAAGGGGGCGGACTTCCCTCTAATTGTCCACATCGATCCAAACTACAGCCCACCTCGTCTTATCCTGCAACACCGGTTTGATGCTTTCCGTGCATCCTTTGTCCAGACCCTTGGCCGTGGCTTTGCATCGTTACTCCAAGATGTCGTTCACTCTGGCCTTGAGGCACCCTTGATGCAGATGAATCTCATCTCACCGAGAGATGCGCGAATCCTCGATAGCTGGGCTGTGGCTCCCAAGATACCCGAGCATATACGCCGTGCTTGGCTTGAGAAGGACGGGCTGACATTAGTGGACCTGTTCCATGAGGTCGTGGAGAGATACCCCGGGCTACTGGCGGTGGAAGGCTTGACCGGGGAGAAGTTCACTTATGAGCAGCTGTATGCTCGTTCAGCTATGCTGTCTCGATTCCTGACGAGAAGGTACGACATTTCTGGTCAAGTGGTGGTTATCGCTATGGATAAGTCTCCAGCATTGGTAATCACCGTCCTCGCGGTCCTCCTATCAGGCGCTGCGTTTCTGATGATCGATCCGACTCACAAAAGTATCCTGAACGCGAGCAAGGTGTCGGTAAGCAACGCATCGCTCATGATCACTGACTCCGAAAGTTACTCGGCTGTCAATCAGATCCCGAGGCCCGCCGATACCTCGATTTTGCGGTTTGATGAGACTCGCTGGGCGAACGAGCCGGCGACAACCATTCAGTCATCCATTCCTGTCTCCTCAGGGGCATGGTTTTGCTTTACCTCCGGGTCGACCGGGAATCCCAAGTGCTTCTCGATTCCCCATCGCGCTGCAGCAGCTTGCTTGATGAGTCTGATTGATTATTTTCAACATGGACCGGGTACAAGAATGCCACTTCTGAGCAATGTTGTTTTCGATGTCAGCATCTCAAGTATGCTCAGTCCTCTTCTCTCCGGAGGAACTCTCTGCCTTGCCCCCTCCGAGAGCTTCGTGACCGATCTTGAGACCACGTTACGGGCTTTAGCAATCACCCATATGGAAGCTACTCCGAGTGTGGTTGCCACGCTTTCGGGACCTTGCGCGTTGCCCTCTCTCCAGTCCCTCTCCCTTGGAGGAGAGCCTCCGGTGAGGGACGTGACCAAGATGTGGATGGACAAGGTGGATGTGTATAACATCTACTGTCCCGCGGAATGTACCATCATTGGATTCATTCACCGTTTCAAGCCCAGCGATGATCCCGAGGGCATGATGCGCAATATCGGCCGCAGGACTTCGCCGGTGCGCTCCATGATTCTCGACGCCAACAAATGCCCGGTCCTGCCTGGGGCTGTTGGGTATTTGCACATTGGCTCATATATGGATGGGAAACTAGGGCAATTGAGCACAGGCTACCTGGCGCCTCAATCGGCCAACGCCAAATTCTCCCAGGACTCGCGTGCGGGGCGAATCTACAACAGCGGCGACTTGGCGTACTATGATGAGGAGGGAAATGTGCATCTCATCGGTCGCGAGGACGACCAAGTCAAGCTTCATGGGATTCGATTCGATTTGAGTGATGTCGAAGCTACTGCCGATGCATTCTTGCCTCCAGGAGGCAAGTGTATTGCGGTAATCGCTGGACAGCCCGACAAGACGCTTGTCGCCTTTGTGCATCATCCTTCCTGCGCCTCGGAAACGAAATCCACCCACTGGGCTTTGAAGCTTTCCCCAGATACCACCCCTTTCCTTCTGGACCTCCGCTACCAACTTGAAACCCGACTGCATGATGTGATGATTCCGAGATACTGGATTCCGATCTCTTGGATACCTCAGGGCAACACGGGTAAGGTCGATCGAAAGCTGCTGCAGAGATGGTTCGAGGAGACCGCCGCTTCTGACCTCGACGCGGTCCGATCATACGCAACTCTTGCAAACCGTTCAGACCCGGATGATCAGATCTGGGAGGCAGAGCTGAAAGCATTCGACTCTCATGCCATTGGAATGGCACTTCGCAGTGCTTGGCAACAGACGCTAGGCCTTGCCGACAATCGAGTCTCTCTTCATGAATCATTCTTCCACTCGGGTGGAGATAGTATCTCCGCCATTCGGTTTTGTTCGCGGGTCAGGGCGAAGGGAATCCAAGGATGTACTGTTGGCCAGCTCTACCGGACCAGCTCGTTGTCCGCGTTGCTTACAGCCCTCGAGAGCGTCCAGGAACAGAGCACCGAGCCCGAATCCACGGGTACTGTCCCACAGGATCATTTCGCGGGTTACGGGCTTCTGGCATCTCGAGATCAGTCGGAGGGGTTAAAGCGAGACATTCAACAGGCGATAGCGAATACCCCCTGGCAGGAGACCCGCATGGAGAGTGTCTGGCCCATCCGCGAGATTCAGAGAGCAATGCTCTTACAATCTAGCTCCCAGAATGGTCGCTACGTTGTCCAGGTGATGCTGACGCTGACCGGGACTCTGGATTTCCAAAGACTGCGTACTGCCTGGCAAATCTTGCAGGAGGCTCATCCCAGTTTGCGAACCACGTTCATTCCGGTGTACCGCGCTGATACGGTGGAGTACTTTGCCCTCATTCTCAAGCCCTTGACGGACTACAGCCACTTCCATCCTCAGGTACTAGATCTCCCCTCGGGGAACCAATTTGAAGAGTGGTTGGAAGCTGATCGCCACCGAGGCTTCGCATTTGGAGATCTTTTCCATCGCCTAACTGTTTTCCAATCCTCCCCCGAGACCCATCATCTGGTCCTGACTATCCATCATGCGATCAATGATGGATGGTCCCTGGGGATTATGTGGAAGGATCTTTCGGAGGCCTATGGCATGGGTAGCCTCTCTGCTCGACCCTCCCCTGCCCAATTTCTAGCCATGGATCTGGCACGCGATGCGGGATCTTCTTTAGATTACTGGATATCCTATCTTGATGGCTTCGAACCGTTTGAGGTTCGCCCACAGGCACTCCAAAGCCTGCAAGCTGCAGGTGAAGCGGCCATGAACACCAAGCGGCTGATTGTCAGTATTACACCGGAGCAGATTTCTGATTGCGCCCAAGCTCACAGAGTGACCGGAGCCACCATTCTCGAGGCTGTGACTGCAATATTTCTTGCACGGGTGACCGGTCGATCCGACCTTGCTTTCGGAATCACGACCAGCGGCCGAAACGCCGCCGTGGAGGGCATTGATGAGATGGTGGGCCTGTTCATCAACACTCTTCCCGTCCGTCTTAACCTCGACCAACATGCAACATTGTCTTCGCTTCTCCAGCATTTGGCCCAAGACTTTGCGTCCGCCATTCCCCATGAGCATGTTGCGCTCTCCCAGATTGTTGCTAAGACTCCGGGATCAAAAAGTCCCTTTGACACAGTGCTTGTCTACGAGAACTTTGACACCAACCACGAGCAGCAATTTGATGAGACGCTTGCTTTGTCGGAGATTGACGGGCGTGAATTCTCCGAATTCCCGTTCATGATCATTGTTGAGCATACGTCGCAAGGCACACAGATTGTGTTCAAATGGACCAATAATCTGCTGCAGGTTGAAGAGGCGGAGGCCTGGCTGTCCCAGTTTGCCTCCCTGCTTTCCGAAGTCGTTCAGCTACCAGATGGCGAGCAGAAACTCAAGAGATTTGGAAGGGGAACAGACTATCGCGAGTTCGAACAAGTGAAGACTTTGTACAATGCCCACAGAAACTATATTCGGGAGAACCCGACAGAAGACACAACATTGACTGCTCTCTTCACGAAGAGTGTCGCTCAGCATAGAGAGAAGATCGCCCTTCAGTCTGGGACGGAATCTCTTTCCTTTCGTGAGCTGGACGAGAGGTCAAATGAAGTGGCATGCGGTCTTCTCCGCGCGAATGTCTGTCCAGGCGATGTGGTGCCATTGGTCTTCTCTAGATGTCCCGATATGATCGTTGCCATGCTGGGTGTCCTGAAGGCCGGCGCCGCATATTGCCCATTGGACCCCAAGGCACCCTCGCTCCGTTTGCAGAGACTGATCTCGAAGGTCCAAGGACGGATCGTCGTGCTGCAGCGAGACATTCTCTCTCCTGAAACTGTCCAGTCGATCCGGGCGATGGGTTTGCAGGTAGCCTGCATCGATACACTCACCAACAAGGGTGCAGCATCCACAGACAGCACTGCCCTACCCGGCGTGAGTCCCGATGATAGATGTTATGTCTTATTCACCTCGGGGACGACCGGAGAGCCCAAAGGCTGCATTTTGTCCCACCGTGCTGTCTCTAATGCTGTTCGAGAGACCGCCCGGATTTACAACACCGGAATCGGGACTCGCATGCTGCTATTTGCGAACTATATCTTTGATGCTTCCGTGATCGATATTTATGGATGCTTGTCCAGCGGCGCTAAACTCTGTTTTGCGTCTGAAGATGACTTAAGATCGGATCTGAATGAGGTCGTGGCCCGATTCTCGATCACTTCCCTTCACTTGACACCCAGCGTGCTGCGATTTCTTGACCCGGACCGCTGCACCACTCTCCAAACGCTGGTGTCTGGTGGTGAGAAGCTTCCCACCAGCCTCCGCAACACATGGGCCGCTCGACTACGACTTTTTGACGGCTACGGTCCCACTGAGGCTGCAGTGCAGGTATCTGCTACTCCGATTGTCGACCCTCACGACAGTCCCACCATTCAACAAATCATCCCGGGCAACTTCGTGTTACTCCTGGATCAACATGGACTGGTGCCTCGTGTTGGGCAGGTCGGAGAAATTTGCATCGGGGGCAAGCAACTGTTCGACGGATATATTGGAGAGGCTGACTTGACCGCGCGAGCCATAACGACGATGCCCGGGCTGGACGAAAACCTCTCTCTTTACCGCACAGGTGACCTGGGACTGTATACTGCCGACATGGAAATCCACATAATCGGACGAAAGGATAGTCAGGTCAAGATATCGGGTCAGAGAATTGAAGTGCAGGAAGTGGAGAATATTCTTGTCACTGCGCCGGGTGTGTTAAGCGCTGGGGTGGCCGTTTGGCGGAATCAATTGATTGCAGTCGTCCAGCAAAAGGAATGGACCGAGGAGGTAGCTTTGAGCGATGCCACCTGGCAATCATTCTGCGAGGCCAGATTGCCAGCTCAGCTGATTCCGACCCACTTCCTCCAGGGTACAGTGCCTCTCAACACCAGCCAGAAGGTTGATCGGAAACAGCTGGCTCAAGTGGTGGCGTCTAAGATGCAAGACGTATCCACGGCCGGCTGTTCCAGCGAGCAGGAAGCGCAGACGGGGGCTGAAGCCTATATTCTGAAGGTGATCAGTGACTTGCTGGGGACTCAAGTCATTGACGCAGAAGCATCATTTGCATCAATCGGTCTCAGCTCTCTGCCCCTGATGGAGCTTCGGGCCATCGTGTCGCATCACTTTTCTCGCGAGTTGTCATTTTCCGAGCTCAACTCGGCTGGCAATGCTCGACGTCTGGCAGCTCGACTGGACTCCGCATCGCCAATTACCCCTTCATCCGAAAGTGCACCTCTGCATCTCGTAAATGATCAGGTCGAGGCACTCTCCACCCAGCGTCGGATGTGGCTAGCCCAGCAACGACTCCAGGACGAAACCTACAACGTCTGCAGTCTGTTGACCCTGAAAGATGCCTCTGCCTCGCGAATGGCTGAGGCCATACGCTATGTCGTCCACCACATTGATGCCTTCCGGCTGACATTCACCTGGAACAGTCACACGAACTGTCTTCAACAGGCGCTAAAGTCCGAGTTGACGGTACCTGTGGAGCTTGTCGCAATGAAGGATCTCACCGAGATTCAAGAGGCTAGTCGCCAGTATGCGCAGCGGTGCTGGGACCTGGAGAATGGTCCCATGGCGCAGTTTGTGGTATTCGATCGTGGGGCGGAGGGCATTGCAATCTTTTACAACATCCATCACATCCTGGTGGACGAATGGACCACACAGCAGATGTTAGAGACTATCCTGGATGTCTATTTCAATCGGTCGTCAGGACTCAAATATGGCTCAACTGTCGAGTATGCCGGTCTGGCGTCACAGTACGGTCCAGGCAGTTCGCTTTACGACAAAACCATGGCAGGCCTGCTGAAACACTTGGATGATGTCCCTTCTTTCGATACCTCGAATTGGCCCACTCCACCCGCTGGACAGGCTACTCGAGAGTCTGCCAATATCAGACACTTTGTGCCATCATCTGAGTTTGAACAATTCAAACGGACTTGCTCCGGAGCTGGCATCTCGTGGTTTTCTGCTTTGCTGGGCCTCTTCCAACTGCTTCTCCATCGGTGAGCTTGACATCGGTGATATGGTTGTATTTACTAACTTCGGGTGCAGGTACACTTCTACGCAAGAGCTGGGCGTCCTCATTCCGGTATCAATGCGTGGAGCACTGGCATCCAGTGGTGACGTCTTTGGCAATATGGTCAATACAGCGCTCCTCCGCTCGGTCCGCGAGGGCGAAAAGACGTTGCGACAATTCCTCGAACAGACCGCTGCATCCGTCAATTTTGCAATGGATACAGTCGTAGTTCCATTCGAAGACGTCCTCGCGCAGCTCAAGACCACGGTCAGCGAGCACTCGGTCATCTTCGTTGCCCAAGAGCAAGGTGCCTCTGTTGCGAGCAAACAGATTGTGGATATCACGAGGGAGACGTTTCATGCACGGCCAGTGGCATTTGATTTGCAACTGACTCTTACCAGCACCAAAGAGGGTATCGTGCTGGATTTCCAGTATGATCGCTCGAAGTTTGAGGCCTCCTACATGCACGAAATTGCGATGGGCTATGCCCAGCTTTTACAATGCGCATTTTCACTTTGCGACACTCCTGTGAAGCACATTGACCTCTGCACCCCTGAGCAGCGGCAGATGATGGAGGCATTTGCCAACTTTCCCACCGTCAAACCACCGTGTCGCGATGCCTTGCTCCACGAGCTTTTCGAGGAGACTGCGACCAGACAGCCTGGCTCCATTGCTGTAGATCATTGGGATGGTGAGCAACATACTCTGACAACCTATCAGGAGCTGGATGCAAAGGTAAAATCTCTTCTTTCGCCAATCTTTCAGCCAATTATGCTAACATGAACAGGCGGCCACCCTCGCGAGGCTTCTGCAAGCAGAGTACGGCGTTCGGGTCGGTGATATTGTCCCCGTTTTCGTGGATCAGGGGACTATCTACGTGATCTCCGTGTTAGCGGTTTTGAAGACCGGTGCAACCTTTACCCCGATGGCTCAGGATGGAACCTGGCCAGCCAACCGAGTGACGGGCATCGTCACCGAGTGTTCATCTAAGGTGGTCATTGCCGACATCGAGACCCCTGAAAATCTGCCCTGTCCGACGCTGCAGATTCATTCGGTGGACTTTTCTGGCAAAGGAGAGACGGCCCCCATCGTTTGTGAAGCCACCCCGGACACGATCTCCTACATTCTGTGGACATCGGGCACGACCGGAGCGCCTAAGGGAGTCATGATTCCTCATTCTTCTGCCGTGACTTATTTCCGGGAGGCCGCTGCCTGCTTATACCAGGGTACGGCTGCAGATCGTACCTTTCAGTTTGCAAGTCCCGTGTTCGATGCCAGCATGGAGGATCTTTTCCACACCTTTGTCGAGGGGGGTACCCTATGTACGGCTCCCAGGCAGCTGCTTCTGTCGGATCTGCACAATGTCTTCCGCGCTCTCCATCCCACCGTTGCAGACCTCACCCCGACTGTGATCTCGCTGCTTGAACCCTTTCTTGGCTCCTTCCGCGTCCTGGTCACTGCTGGGGAGCCACAGAATGAAAAGGTGCGCGCGGACTGGACCAAGTCGTCGACTCGGCTCATCAATGCCTGTGGTCCGGCTGAAAATACCGTCATATCGTAAGTTGCACTGCTTCCTTCTCAAGCTCGAAATGGCGGTGAGCATTGCTGAACAATCTCTTAGGTACTTCGGACCGGTGACTCCGACAAGCAATATTCGGTCCATTGGTCGCCCGGTGGCTTCGGTGGTGACCCTTATTCTCGATGCCTTCGGCAAGGTCTGCCCCCGACACGCCCTGGGCACCCTTTGGCTTGGGGGTTCCCAGTTGTTCACGGCCTATCTGAATCAGCCTGAACTCACTGCCCGCGTCTTCATCAATCATCCTAGATATGGTCGACTGTACAACTCCGGCGACGTAGCCTACTACGACTCCGAGGGTCAGATCATCCACTGTGGTCGTGGAGATGACCAAGTCAAGATTCGCGGTCAACGTCTGGAGCTAAGCGGCATCAACTCGATGATTGAGGAGTGTGACTTTGTGCGCCGCGCACTAGTTATGAAGGATAAGGAGAAGCTGATCGCTTTTGTGGTTTGGGCGGATGAACCGGAACGGCCGGTCACGGAGCTCCTCGCTGAAACTCTCAATCCCGATGAGCACAGCAAGCTCAAGGCTCTCAGAGAGTCTATGAAGGCTAAGGCTTCATCTGCCATGATCCCATCCATCTGGATCCAGGTCAATAAGGTCCCCCTCCGGCAAAGTGGCAAGGCAGACCACAAGCTTCTGCGATCCCTCATCACCCACCAGGAGACCTCGGAGGACGAGTCAGGCAAACCCCCCGTTACGCCGGTGGAACACGTACTTCACGATGCCTGCTGCCGCACCCTGGGATTGCGCGCGGTGGGAATGGAGCGGAATGTCTTCGAATTGGGCATGGACTCGTTCTTGGTGATGAGGTTCTTGTCGGAAACTCGCAAACATCTCCCCAAGTGCCGTTTGACCCTCCGCCATGTTGCTGAAGCCCCAACTTTAGAAGGATTAGCTGCGGGGATAGAGGTCCCCGATGTGGACCATCAAGCACTAGTTTGCCTGGAATTGCCCGCTGTGTCCAGGTTCGATCGAGAATCGACAGCCCTTGTGCCGGCCAGCTCGGTTCAGACCCGGTTCTACTGGGCCCAGGCCCTTCTGGCCGATGCCACCTACAATGTGCCCTCGCTCTATAAGCTTGACGGCCTCCTCCCAGGCAGGGTTGAATCAGTCATGGCGTCTATTCTAAATGAGCATGCCATTTTCCGGACCACGTTTGTCTCTGATGGCGACGCATTGCGACAGAAACTCCATACTACCTCTCAGGTGGAGGTCCGGCAATGTGATCTTGCCTCCTTGGATGGAAATGATGCAACGCACGCCATGCGGGATATGTGTATCAAGGATGCTGCAACGGTATTTGATCTGAAAAAGGGGCCGCTGGGCCGTGTGATTCTCTTCCTGCTGCCGGGAGAATCCAGCTTTCTCTTTCTCAACTTCCATCACATCATCATCGATGAGCAGTCTATGCGACAACTTGTGCATGAAGTTGCTCGACGAGCAGGTCAAATTGAGGCAACACCGGTGGTAACTCCCACGGGGGGGCCACAGTATGCTGACTTTGCTGAGCAAGAACAGAAGCTCCTTCAAAATCCCGATATGCAAGCCGAGTCTAAAAGCTTCTGGCAGGAGTATCTGTCGAATTTCACTCCGGTGAATATTCCGCCCTTCCATCTGGGATCGGGCAAGCCGCAGCGTGCCATGTGCCATTACGACTTTACTTTGCCCCAAGACAGCCTGAGTTGGGTCCGCAAGCAGGGTCTCACCAACTTTTCTGCCTTCCTTTCTCTATACATGATCCTGCTGCACCGGGTCTGGAACCTAGCGGATGCCACAGTGACAATCCCTGCCTCGCAAAGAGCCGACCAAGGTTCCACCGAGATGTATGGGTGCTTCATCAACACTGTTCCGGTGCGTGCGCAATTGTCGGGAAATCGCCGACTTGGGCCATTCCTCAAGTCGATGTCTCGCGATCTGTTCCGGGTGTTGCACAAGTCATATCTTCCCTACGACCAGATCCTAGACGCTGCCAAGATCGGCACAGACAATCTACCTCTGATGTTTATTTACCATGAGGCCTCGAAGGATGTCTGTGACGGGTTAGTTGACGCACACCACCTGCTTCGCGAGACAAACAGCGAGACTTCCGGACAGTCTAAGTTTCCCGTCACCTTTTCTATGACCCTTGGCGAGCAGAAGGAGGTTTGGAATGTCACTCTGAATGTGGAGTACGACATGAGCATGATCCAGAGGAAATCTGTCGATCAACTGTGCGAGCATTTTGCGAGCCTGCTTCGTGCGGTCAGCCAGTCCGCTGATGATATATCAATTGGTCACTTGGATATTCTCACGCCGCAAGAGAAGGAACTGGTGCAGATTCAACAGCGAAACATTAGCGCGGTCCATCGAGAGAAACTCGCCCCGAGATTTGTCCACCAGCTGGTCCGTGATCAAGCTGCACAATTCCCCGACCAGATCGCCTGCGATTTCGAGGGTAAAGAGACAGTGACCTACCGGGAGCTTTGGAACAAAGTGGAGCACATTTCTGCCGGATTGATCTCTTTCAGACAAGGCGTCGACAACAAGGTCGGGATCTTCATGGATGCGGGGATTGATCGCATTGCCTCCATTCTAGCTGTGCTCAATTGCGGCATGGCATGGGTCCCTCTGGAAGTGAGCCTTCCTGTCGCTCGACTCGTCACAATCGTGGAGGACTGCCAGCCTCAAGTGATCTTGACGACACAGACCCTAGGAAGCGATCATAACACGGTCTTGCAGGAGCTCCACAATGCCACCGCTCATCAGGTTCCTCTGTATAGGCTTCCCTCCGCAGCGCCCACCACTGAAGCGCCCACGGTCGTTGTAGCTGACCACCTTCAACAGAGCGATCTTGCCTACATTTTATACACCAGTGGATCTACCGGCAAGCCCAAGGGGGTTCAAGTAGAGCATCTCCCTCTGCTCAATGCGATTCTGGCTTTCCGTTCCTTATATGAGTGTGGGCGGGACAGCCGCTTCCTGCAATTTGTTCCATGGACTTTCGATATCTCGATCATGGATGTCTTCGCATCCTTGACCACCGGTGCCACTCTGTGCCTGGGTGGCAAAGACTTCCTGCTTTCCAATTTCAATTCGATCTTTTCTCGGATGCAAATCACCCATATATTGGCGTCACCGACGATGATGAGCCTTCTCACTCCCGAGGAAGCTCCGACCTTGAAGGTTTTGAGCAGTGGTGCAGAAGCCATGACAGCCAAGGTCCGTGATGTCTGGGCCGACCGAGTCACCGTCTTCAATGCTTTTGGGCCCACGGAGGCTTGTATCTACAATCTTGTGTCGCGTGTGCGTCGCGACTTGGAGCCCAACAATATCGGAATGCCCACTCCAGGAAACACGGCGTTTATTGTCAATGAGGAGCTCGGATTGTGTCCCGTTGGAACAATCGGACAGCTGGCCATCGGAGGAGTTCAGCTGTCTCGGGGATATCTCAATCGCCCAGAAGCAAACCGTGCATTCGTGAATCACCCTCTCCTGGGACGCATTTATCTTACCGGTATGTATATCCCCCTCTGGAATCCAGTTTGCCTTGAGCTGACAAGTGATAGGCGACTATGCTATCAGAAATCATGACCAATCTATCACCTACCTGGGCCGCATGGATACTCAGACCAAAATCCATGGCCAGCGCGTCGAGCTTGAGGAGATCTCCAACACTGCTCTCGCACATCCTGCGATGCATAATACACTGGCTATGGTTGTCGACCGCGCCAGCACCAGCCATCTGGCACTTATATTCGAGCCCAGTGGACGTGGTGGGTCTACCGTGAGGCAGACTGAGATGCAGGCTCTCGATGCTCGGGACTTCCAGGGCATTATCTCAGAGGTTCACTCTAACCTCCTCTCCATCCTTCCCCACTACGCCGTCCCCAGCTTGTTCATTCCCATCTCATTCATGGCCATGAATGCAAACCAGAAGACGGACAGAAAGCGCGCCGCTGCTCTTGTAGCCGACCTGAGTGATACCCAACTGTTGTCGTACAGTGTCGAAGCCCAGGAGAAAGCCGCCAATCTGCCGCTGGAGACCGAGCAAGAGTTCCTGATTGCTGACACGATGCGTCAAGTCTTGAAAGTCCGAGAAATCTTCGCGAACAGTAACTTCTTTGCCATGGGCGGAACGTCCATCTCCGCCATCCGTCTTTGCTCCATCCTGAGACGATCTGGGTTCACCCTCATTGTCAACCACGTCTACGCGCATCCAACCGTCGCCGAGCTTGCCGCCAACGTCAGATACAAGTCTCCTGTGACCATGGCTTCTGACAACAAGCTCGCCAGCTGGGGTAACATCCATCCGATTCCGATCATGGACTGGTTCATCGATCAGCAAAAGATCAATCCCAACTGGAACAATCAGGCTCACCTGCTGCGGATGGCTCGCTCGGTCACTTTCACGGACACGGAGCAAGCGTGGCAGCGCATCACCGAGATTCATCCTTCTCTGCGCATTCGATGTAGTAGTTCGACTCGGGCGCCGCCCAGGCTATATATTCCGATCCAGTCTTCCTCACGGGATTATGCCATTATCCGCCGCGCCGTGCCCTCCGAGAAAGCAATGGAGTTGATGATCCCACAAGTACAAGCTTCACTGGACATTACCAAGGGACCCGTTTCTGCGTTGGCCTGGATCGAGACTCCATCAACAACCTACTGTCTCATTGTGATCCACCATCTCGCCATCGATATTGTCTCCTGGCAGATCATCTTTGACGACCTCGAACAAATCCTCGCGGGCGAGTCGGTCTTGCCCGAAGGCAGTTCCTTCCGTCGCTGGTCTCTGCAAGTACGCGAGAGGCAAAAGTCAGCCCTTCCCCGGGGCTTAGATACGACTGCCAATTGTTCGGGATCAGAGCAACATGAGAACCATCGCATCGTCCCCGCGTTCGCCTCCCATCGCCACCGGAACGTTCAGTCCACCGTTGCGATCATCGAAACCAGTCTTGCCGCGGATCTGACCCAGCTCTGTCTGACCGATGCCAACAAGACGCACCGCACCGAGCCCGTCGAGCTCCTCCTCGCGGGTCTGACCCTTGCTTTGTACCGCTGGCGACAGATCCGCCGCGTCGAGCTGACGCTCGAATCGCACGGCCGGGAGTTGCAAAACGAGGCACTCGACCTCTCGCGAACCGTGGGATGGTTCACGTATCTCTACCCCGCGGTCTTTGCAATCCCTCTGCCGAGCATCAGCGGCAGCAGCAGGAGAAGGGAGATCGACAGTGATAGCGACAGCGACGGGACGACGCGCGGCAGCTACACCACTCACGATAGTGACAGTGACAGCGACAGCAACAGCGGGTGCAGCAGCCGCAGCAGCAGCAGCAGCAGTATTCCCCGCGACGACAAGACAGGTGTTGTTATTCCGGCTCTAGTGTCGCTCACCAAGGCGACGCGTCGCACGGCCTCTCAGGGCACGGATTTCGCCGTCTCGAACCAGTCCGGCGCGGGCGATCATCCAGTCCTCATGTTCAATTATGCCGGCACGTATCACAGCGGTAACACGGGGGATGGGCAGCTTTTTGATGCGGTCACTCTGCCATCGGTGGAGACCTCGATGGAGGATCCCCGGAACGTTCGGCCGTCGGTGTTGGACTTCAACTGCGGGGCAAAGGATGGCGTGATGAGTTTGAGTATCTTGTACAGTCAAGCCATGCATGCTGAGGAAGATGTGCAAGCGTTGCTGACGTTCTGGAAAGAGGGTGTGGAGGAGATCGTTAAGGAGTGTGTTGGTTACTAAGAGAGAAGACGAAGGAGACTCGAATCGAGCGGGAAAGTCCCATACATACATGTTCCCCCATAGTCTAGCCGGTCGGAGAAGAGGAACCACAGGCAGAGCTTAGAATTAGTCGTGGGAGAAATCTCTTCAGGTATTTCATCCATGGAAGATTGTTGATATTTCTCAAACGCAGAAGAAGAATAAGAAAGAGGCTATAGAGTGTCTGCTACTTACTTACAGAATCCGGCTGACAACAATGACCATTTATATAGTATCTTCAGTTAGTTCCGGACCCTGCAACCAGTGCCATGGCTACCCCGGGCTCTGCAAAATAAGTTCACAGAAGATAAGCTGTAGCGTTAATGTGTATATGATGTAGTACAGTCAAGTCTAGATGTAGGTTCTTAGCAGATATTCATGATATTTATTGTGGTTTGAGAGTGGAGCGGGAATGTACAGGAACAAAAAAGAAAAGCAAAAGAAGAATGGGACGAGCCGGGCTTGAACCGGCCACCTTCAGATTACTAGAACAACTGTTCTGTGGCCGAAGTTGGTACTTCAGTCTGACGCGCTCCCAGATGCGCCATCGTCCCTGATGATTGAACAATGCCACATTTTGTGCATTCATATGGCATATCAACAGCCACAACTAGTACCCTGTTAACTATGGCTCGGGCTATCTCGAGCTTCCAGATTGGGAGCGAGATTGGGCTGATTCAAGAATCTACTCCCAAGCTGTTGCACATGATCACTGCACTTTCTCTTGACCATTAACCAAGGAAGGGTCTTTTGACGATGAGCTCGAATGGTGGCTTTTATCGAACCATCTCTATCCCTGGCTACATGCAACTTCCCCCTTATGACCACTGCCCAGAGACTCGAACCATCCCGATCAACCAAGAGCTTGAAGTAAACTCAATGAAAAGATACCAATTTCAGGGGCCGATTAAAGCATGACGTGGCCTCTGCTAGACATCGACCTGGATCGGGTTCACAATCCTGTGGGTTCATTGTGCCATTGCAGCCCGCGGGAGAAATGGAATCTCGCCCCTCACTGGCCGGAGATTTATTATCGTAATCCGACAGTTGGCCTCCAGTTGCGTCCAGGCTGCCTGAGATGTACCGCAATGTACGTCAAGACGCATTGATTCTTTTCCTTGTGCTCCTACTGGACATGGATTTGCGTGGCCGCTCATAACCGTGGCCCCTTTCTCTTGTTGCTAACCACATTATAAGACCAGGGACTTGTCCCCGATGGGATTCAGGAACCCATACGCGCAACGATCGAGAGGGATGGTTATCTACCATCATGTCGACCATTACTACAACTGAGACGTTGATTGCGAGGCTTGTTTGGGAGCCATGGTAAGTCACCTCATTCAACCCGTCTGTTTTCTTTGTCTCTCTCTCTCTTGAAAGTAGATTTACTTGGACTGCCCCGGAAAGTGAGATGCTGACGATACGAGCGCAGGGAGCATAGTGGCTGGAAATCCCCTGTTGTTGAGCAACGAGGTGAGTAGATTGAAATAGTTTCAAGTTTCCTTTTCTCCTGGAGGGACGGGATGATTGTACCGATGGGCGGTCTCGCTGGCGGTCTACCGGAGTACTTCCTACACACCGCCACACCGCCCCGTTGTTCCCTCATTGCTTTTTATTCTTTGAACACTCGGAAACGCCAAGATTCCTCTGCGACATTCCATTCCTTACAGCCTCAATCTCACAATTTACTCTCGGTCTTGCAACATTCGAGACTAGGTTATATTTCTGGGGAAGGAGATACGATACCAAATTGGAATACCCCTGACTTACGCGGACGGGAATCGTTGATCGCCTTCCACTGGTCTCCCTCCTTCGTGGCCGTGTCTCATTCGTGTGGCCGACTTCGCTCCGCCTGACTCACCCTCACGCGATCATCTCACCGCATCGCCATCGCATCTCCTTCAATCAAATCCCATTCAGCCCCCCATCACATCATACTCCCCCGTCACGTGAACTTGACCGTCCATTGATTTCATCCTGCTGTCGTCCCTCAATTGTTGAGATTTTGCTTTTTTTTTCTTTTCTTTGTCTCAAAAGGAAATTAGAAACGAAGGCTGAGGCTTCTAAGCTCCATTGCCGGGTGCAATGGATCATACAGTACTCGTCGAATCTGATAGCCCATCAGAGACCGATGATCAGACCAAGATCTGGGAGTCCGATCCGCGCTCCGTAACAGCTCATCTGGCGCAAGAGGAGGCCGACCAGCCTGCGCCCGTCGAGTGCGGTGCAATTGGCCACCGCGTGCAAGCCAGTCGCTCGGTGCTGGCCCTCGTTCTCGACAAAGAATGTGTTTTTGCCGGTCTGCAAGGCGGAGACATCGTAGTACGTGAAAGAAATTCTCCGACGTGAAATCCGTCTGGGCTTAATACTGAAAACCTCTAGGCATGGTCTCTGGAGACCTATGAGCTGGTGCTCTCAGTGCACGCCCATCAGGAAAGTGTCCTTGATCTGTACCTGTCCGAGGATGGAGAGTTGCTCTTCTCTACGGGCGGTGATTCTGTTGTCAATGTAGGATTGGACCTGAATTTCTGTGGCCCTAACAGTCGGGTGTTGACTTTGGGTAGGTATGGTCGACGAGAACCTTCGACCGGCTGTATTCGATTCACTCCCACCACGATGTCGGAGATATTTTTGCCGTCGCCTATTCGTCGAGTTTGAAGACCATCTACTGTGGTGCTCAGAACACCAGTATTCAGGTTCGTCTCTACCAAATCTGATTCACTGGACCAGTGATGTTGACTGCCTCAGTGGTGCGACATCTCCCGAGCAGATGCAGCGTCACAACGTTCTTCCGCGGCGCAACTGTCTAAGCGGACTCATCGCTTCTTTGACTCCCGAGGTCCTGATGGCTCGCGTGCGCCACGGCCGGGAGCTGAGGGGCCTCACTCGGTCATGCAGGGGGGTCAAGTGCTGACTTTCAAGCGCGACCATCATAAGCTCTTTGCCCACCATGGCTATGTCTACAGCATGCTTCTGGTAAAGGGTCTAGTGGAGTCGGCCCCGGAGGAAGAGGTGCTGCTCACTGGTGCCGGCGATGGAGTGGTCAAATTGTGGCGCTTGGAGCAGGACTCGGCCAACGCCGTTCCTTCTCAGATTGCCAAACTGCAGAACGGCGATTCCGTCCTTTCAATCGCCGTGGATGGTTCTTTCCTCTACTGCGGTCTGGCTGGCGGTGCGCTGAATATCTGGAACCTGGATTCGCGGCAGCTGGTCAAGCGAATTGCCATGCATACAGGCGATCTGTGGGCGGTAGACATCATCCATGGTGTTGCTGTGTGTGGTGACTCAAACGGTGTGATTAAGGTAAGAGAAGCCTGGCCGTCCGACGGCCCAGAGATTCTCACTGACGTGGTACAGAAATTCAATTCGAGGTTCGAGGAGATTGGCAGCTGGGTGGCTCACGGAGGTACCATGCTCGCGTCTGCTGCGGGTCAGTATAAGGATCGGTACATCTACGCCAGTGGTGGCAACGACAATACGGTCGGCATCTGGGACGTGACGGATGTAACGCGAGGCCAAGCAGAAAAGCCGCCGATCAACAACGGTATGAACTCCAGCAGGCAAATTGAACAAAATCTAAAAACATAAATAATGGGAACACTGATTGGGAACAGATGAAATGGTGAACTCTTTGGCCAAGTTTGTCGCCTACAAGACTGTCTCTGCCAGCCCCAAATTCGCTGTCGAATGTAACCAGGGCGCAGCGTTCCTTCGCCGACACTGCATCTACCTTGGCGCGAAGACTAATCTATTAACCACAGGAGCAGACACGAATCCTATCGTCCATGCTCGATTCGATGCTACGGCTGCAGACAAGGTTGACAAGACGATCTTGTTCTACGGCCATTACGATGTGGTTGGAGCCGATGCCAATGCGGCCAAATGGAAGACCGACCCGTACCAGCTCACCTCTATCGATGGGTTCCTCTACGGTCGCGGTGTAACGGACAACAAGGGCCCCATCCTGGCGGCACTTTACGCGGCCGCGGACCTTGCTCGACAGAAGGCGCTCCGGTGCAACGTGGTCTTCCTTATCGAAGGCGAAGAAGAGTCCGGATCGCAAGGATTCCACGAAACAGTCCGCAAGCACAAGCCCCAAATCGGCTCCGTTGACTGGATCCTTTTGGCCAACAGTTACTGGCTTGATGATCACAACCCATGTCTGACATACGGATTGCGTGGCGTGGTGAATGCCAACTTGATTGTGCAGAGCGACCACCCTGACCTGCACAGTGGTATCGACGGAAGTTCGTTACTGGACGAGCCCCTGAAGGATCTCACCATGCTTCTGGGCACTTTGGTTGGACCCAAGGGCCGGATCAATCTGCCTGGCTTCCATGAACCTGTGTTGCCGCTCACCGATGCGGAGAAACAGCGCTATACCGCGATTGCCGACATCCTCCTGCCTCATCACCCGGAAATCACCGACAGCGACGCGTTCATCAACTCACTCATGCACCGCTGGCGGGAACCCTCGCTGACGATCCACTCCATTGAGGTGCCGGGGAGCAGCAAGAGCGCGACCACAACCATCTCGCGCAAAGCCAAGGCCAGCCTCTCCATTCGTCTGGTGCCGAACCAGACGGCCGACGAGGTGGCCACCAACCTGACCCTGTTTGCGCAGGAGCATTTCGACCGCCTGGAGTCGCAGAACGACCTCACCGTCGAGATCACGGGCAAATCAGACCCCTGGCTGGGTGATCCGGACAATGAGATGTTTCAGACCTTGGCCGACGCAATTAGTGCCGCCTGGACTCCGGACACCACCACACAGAGACATCAATACCCACCCATTCAAACCATCCCCGAACGCACCCTTGAGGCCACCAAGCGGGCGAAGGAGCAGCAGCCGCGTCTCCAGCGAGTCGACTCGGAGGATAGCCTGGCCTCTCACATCGATCGCATTATCATGTCCACGACGATTTCGTCGACTGGCAAGGCTGCCCACAAGCGGTCCTCGCTGAATACCTCTGTGCCCACCTCGTCCACCCTGACCAGCAAGTCGGGCCCCACGCCGCTTGCTGCCGACGAGTCCGCGACCGGACAGCCGCCGCCGCCGCCGACGACGGCGACGACGACGACGCCACAGGTGGTTGACCCCAGTGAGCCGACCCGTGTGCGGCCAATTTATATTCGGGAGGGTGGTTCTATCCCCACGATCCGGTTCCTGGAGAAGGAGTTCTCCGCACCGGCGGCAAATCTGCCTTGTGGACAGGCCAGCGACAATGCACATTTGTACAATGAACGGTTGCGGGTGGAGAATTTGTATAAAAGCCGGGAAATCTTTGGATATGTATTCTCACGGTTGCCGGAGAGGTTGTAGATAGAAAGATAGATAGATACCTTGAATGATCATTTGGTGTTAGGTGTTTTAAGATTGTGGGTGAGCGACGCCAGGCCGCTTACTGTACATTTTGGGGGGGGGGTTTGGAAATGGTAGACCGGGCCGGTCAACTTTGCAGCGGAAGAATGATACAAAAAGGATCTGCAGGGCGGGGGGGATGAACATAATTTTCCAACTTGTACTGCACTGTGCTATGCTATGCTGCGGTAAGCCATGCATGTAAAAATTCCAGCCTCAGCCTCGGCCCAAGATGTCTATTGGCGTTTGACCCCACGGGGAACTCAAGCTAACGATGGTTATTAAAAATTCATCAAGTTAATTGTTTGGCAACAACCGACGAACGGGTGAGCCTTTCTCCGCATTTCTTGGCGGTCTCCAACCGCTTTGCCGGTCGCTTTTTCCACCGAGTCGCTCTTTTGGTTGGTTTGGTTTTCCCCCACATCTTTTTCCCTCCCTCCCTCCAACTCTCTCTCTCTCTCCCACACTCACTCGCTCCCTCCTCCCACACTTTCTCCCACTCCCACCCTCCCACTTTCACTTCCACTTCCACTTCTCACTCGATTCATCCTCTTCTCCTCCCTCTGTCCTGCGTCTCTCAATTTCCAATCAACTGCAATCATAATAACCCACTCTACATGTGTCTGCATCTCCCCCACGCCTATTGACCCGAGGTCTTCTAGTCAACCCCTCTTTCGCTTCCTCTCGCATGTCGCGCCGAACCTCCTGGTCTGAACCTGCCTAGTGCCTGCCATACCCTGTCGGTCCCTGCATCGAGTTCCCAAAAGTCATGCGCCGCTCAGTCAGAAATCATACCTTGAATAAAACGTCTACTCTGCCCCGCTGAAACCCCCCCGGCGACCCTGATTCCCCTCCCTCGCCATAATGTCTGTGATTGTGAAACCGCCCAAGCGCAAACTCGACGACCTTGAAGGGCCCCTCGCATCGAACCGCAGACGATTGCCGCATAGCCCGTATGTCTCCAGTGGCTCACAGTCAGTCGACCCCGCCTATGGAGATGAGACTCCGAGGGAGCGAGTACACAGCCTCCCGGGAGAGAACCCAGAGGCCTCACATTGGTTCGCTCCCTCTTTGAGGGGTGTCACCTCTAGCCGGGGCTCCCCCACCGCCTTCGAAGGCTCCATCCAAGTCCCACGAAAATTCACACGCGATTCCTCCATCGTGCTGATCGGCATCCGAGGCACGGGCAAATCGAGTCTGGCGGTGATACTCGCGGCGACCACGGGACGGCGATTGATCGACGCAGACCGGTATTTCCAACAAATGACCGGACGGTCGCGGGCGGCGTACAAGAAGGAATTCGATCTGGTGGAGTATCGACAGCAGGAGGCCAGAGTGATGGAGTCGATGCTGGCGGATCATCAAGAAGGCTGCGTGATCGCATGCGGGCCGGGCTCCATGGAGCGCAGCGGCCAGATGCTGCTGCGCGAGTACGCCAGAACTCACCCGGTGATCTATCTGCTGCGCGACGCGGAAAGTATTCAGTCTTACCTGAAGGCTTGGAATATCGACAAGGTCCGTCGATTCCTCGGATTGGCAGGGCCGATCTATCGGGCATGTTCCAATTTGGAATTCTTCAACGTGTCAGAGAAAGGCATGGCGGAGCATGCCGCCGCCAAGGATGGCAACCATGCCCAGCTGGAGCCGGAATTGGACCAGCGGTTTCAGGCAATCACGCCTTTTCTGACCTTGAAACGACTGCAACTTGATTTTCTGCGTTTCATCGCTTTCGCCACGGGGGATGCGACCGATCTGAGCGGCCTGAACGCCTCCTTCCCGCTGTCGACGCAAGCGATCGAGTCCCGAGCCTTTACGTATGCTGTGACCGTGCCCATTTCCTCATTGTTAGAGCGGGACTTGGATATCGAAGACCTTGAGTCCACGTCTGACGCGTTCGAACTGGAAATTGACATCACGGAACCACCGTCTTCCCGTCTGGCGGTGGATTCCGGCATTGCCGACAAGATTAGCCATGCGGTTGCGAACATGCGACGAAACACGGTAGTCCCACTCGTCTATCACGTGGAGAGTAATGTAGGTTTCGGTAGTCATAATGGCGAGCACAACGAACGCTCGCGGCGGTCCAGTGACGAGTATTTAAACCTGATCCAGCACGGACTACGCTTGGCGCCGGAGTTTGTGACGGTCGACCTGTCCTACGGCGATGAGATCCTGTCCCAAATCATCGCCTCCAAAGGCTCAAGTCGTGTCATCGGACATTATGCTGCCACCCAGCCCCCGCCGAAGGGATGGGACGATCCCACGTACATGGATCTTTATGAGCGAGCCAAGCGGCTGGGCTGTGATCTTGTACGGTTAACTCAACCTGCGCTCTCCATAGACGACAATTTTGCCGTTCAACGATTTCGTGATTCTTTCAAAAACCTTCCCACTCCGCAACTCCCCGTCATAGCATACAACTCCGGTCTGCTCGGTCGGCTGTCGTGTTGTTTCAATCCGATCTTGACGCCCGTGACCCATCCATCTCTTCTATCCGAAACACAACTCAAGGGAGTTCCATGCATCACTCTGCGCGAAGCCCAAGAGGCTCTGTATTCTTCGTTTACCCTGGATCCGATGCAATTCTTCCTCTTTGGTGGCAACGTCACCTACAGTCTGTCTCCGGCCATGCATAATGCGGCTTACAGTCTCTGTGGCATGCCTCACGTGTACCGGATCCACCAATCGTCTACCCTGCGTGGATTGAACGATCTGGTCTCCAATCCCCATTTTGGAGGTACGAGTGTCAGCTTGCCGTTCAAGACCGAAGTAATACCGCTTCTCCATTCGATGTCTCCGCATGCGCGCGCAATCGGCGCTGTGAACACCTTAATCCCAATCCGCGACCATGACGAAAAAGCCTTCAATTCCGACATTTCCCCTTTACCTATGGGCAAAAGCCGTGCGGGGCCCGTGAAAGCTCTACATGGGGATAATACCGACTGGATCGGCATAGGCAATTGCTTCCGTCGAGGTCTATCGCCGGCCAACGCCGTGCGACCCTTGTCCACGGGTTTGGTCATTGGGGCAGGCGGTATGGCTCGCGCTGCTGTCTACGCGATGATCCATCTTGGGGTGCAGAATATTTTCGTGTACAACCGGACCGTTGCCAACGCAGAAAAATTGGCCCGGCACTACAACCAACAGAACCTGCAGTCTCCGGGCCGAGCAGGGTCGACGACCCGCCCCCACGTGCACGTTTTGCGATCGCAACAAGACAGCTGGCCTGTCAAGTACAAGCAACCGACTGTCATCTGCTCCTGTATTCCCACGCATAGTATCGGGGGTGCACCGGCGCCGAATAATGAGATACCGCCGCAGTGGCTTGAAAGCCCAACCGGTGGTGTAGTTGTCGAGGTCAGTCCCGCTGCTACTGTGGTCTTAATTATGTGGTCGCAACAAACAGAGCTAACCAGTCATCCAGTTGGCCTACAAGTCCCTCAACACGCCCCTGATTCAGCAAATCCGCGCTCTCTCCCACCGTGGCTGGGTGGCATTGGACGGATTGGATGTGCTTCCGGAGCAGGGGTTCGCTCAGTTTGAGCTGTTTACCGGTCGCCGTGCGCCCCGACGGTTGATGCGCACGGTGGTGTTGAAGGAGTACAAGGAGGAAGAAGGGCAGTATGACCCACAAGCCATTCAAAATCGGCTTGAAAATCTGAATGGACAACCCACTTGATGATGACGATGGAAATGGATTCTTGGCAGCTTGGTATAGCTGCTGTAATGCAATGAATGATGTTGCTGCGGATTCTCTCGGTCCTGTCAGCGACTGTTTCGATGAGCAATGCATTGAAGTGCCGACTGGTGACTTGTATCTCGTGTCTTGTGTCTCTTTGTAACAGCGTCCGTAGTTGCTGAGGTTTGTATGTGATGCCTTCGTTAAACCAACGAAGCAGAGTAGAGGAAGATTAATTATAATGTGAAGGAGATTTTTGCCTTGACTAATCATTCAACTTATAATACGCAGTGAGTGATTTCATTCAGTGGACTCCGGCTCCGTGAGGTATCAAGTGTCCATGTCGAATACGAAAATCGCTGGATGCAACCACTTCGAAACTATCGCATTACCTCCCTACTTTCCTTCGTCTCACGGGATATTATAGAGTGGGGACAATCCAGCCGGAGACCCAGGCCATGCAGACACCTGTCCAGAAACGCAAAAAAGATCTCTGGGGCTTCTTCGAGCTCGAGAGGCGGAAACTCGCTGCGCCCCTCATGCTCAAAACCCTGCGGCTGGCCATCGTCCGCCGAGGCGGGCGCATACAATCGAAGGCCCTTCGCCGTCAAGAGGATCCCACCCAGCGGCTTCCCAGCGAATTCGGACTGCGCCTGCCGGTGCGTTTGCCATTGCTCCTGGAGCATCTGGATGGCGGGCGCCCAATCCTCAGCTAACATCCTGGCATCTGTGAGGTAAAGCACCACGACGTTGACCTGGGCGCCGCATAAGGTGGAAATCTCTGCTTTTCTGGCCGCTGGGGCTTGCGGGGTGCTGCGGTGGATATTCTTGAGGCGCAGTGTACCTGCCATTCTTTATGATATGGAACAAGAAAGGTGCCGGTTGTACGTATGAGGTTTAGGTGAGAAATGGGTCGGATGGTCTATGCATACTCTTTCTTATATAGGATCAGGGTTTCTTTCTACCAGTGTGGACCAGGGCTTGTCTTTCCTCAGAATGTAAGCTATGTGAAACACTCCGGACAGATCCTTGTTGTACTTCGTACGTTCTTTTTCTGAAGTTGCATGCGGGTCCAACAGAACTCCCCTGATTGACGAGAGCTGCTGCGCAGTGTTTCTCAAATTCAGCGACGTCCATCGTGATCTTCGAAGGACCTTCAAGTTGATGTTATCTCCGCATCCTGTGGGATGCCACCAGCATAACAATCAGCCCCATCATCCATCTATTTCTAGGATCGTCACTACCCCAGAAGACTCCATCTTAGCTATCTCTCTTATCACGATATTAGTCAGCAGAAGACGCCCGATAAGGAAGTTAGTCAAATAATCTGACGCATACCTGCTCGCTGCAGGAACACCGACCTCAACAATCTGCACAACACCACCCAGCGCATCCCTTCGGAAACACAACCCCCCTCCCCTCACAATGCCAAGTCCTCCACTGATCCTCCTCCCCCGCCCCGGGACTGTCCGCCCCGCCACACCACAATCCATCCCCGCTCCCCCCGAAGCCGCCTTCACCAGCACCTTCGGCCCCCTCCGCCTCCCCCCCGCCTCGTACCTGCAAACCCCCGCCGGCCAAGCAGCCTACTACACCCTCCCCGCGCCGACCGGATCTCCCAGCCACAGCCCCGATTCTCCTGCTGGTCCCGCCCGGATCCTCTTCATCCACGGGGTCCAAACCAGCGCGGTCGGCCTGCTCCCGCTCGCCCGCGCGGTGGCCGCGCGATTCCCCTCCGCCCACTGCGTCCTCCTCGACCTCTGGGGCCACGGCCTCTCCGCCACCCCGCTGCAGCCCCACGAGCCCGCCCTCTTCCATCGGTTGCTTCTCGCCCTCCTCGACCATCTGCGCTGGCCCGCTGCGCATCTCGTGGGGTATTCGTTCGGCGGCTCCACGGCGGCGAGTTTCGCGGCTCGGTTTCCGGAGAGGGTGGAGGGGTTGGTGCTGGTTGCGCCCGCGGGGTTGTTGCGTCGCAGCCAGTTCTCGGCGCGCGAGCAGGGGTATTTGGTTGGTGCTGGTGCTGGTGGTGCGGCGGACGGGGTGGATGGTGTGGATGGTGAGGCGGTTGAAAGAGAGGCCCGCGACTGGGTGATAGAATGGTTGGAAGGGGGCGCGTTGGTGGTTCCCCCCGATTGGCGGGAGAGGGTGGCGCGCGGGGAGCTCGTTGCCGAGGCGGTGCGGGAGTGGCAGATGCGCGAGCATGCGGGCCACGCCGCCAGTGTGGTGGGGATTTTCAGGGACGGAGGGATCATGGATATGCATGAGGCGTTTCGCACAGCGGCGGAGACGGGGATCAGGGCGCGGGTCGTGTTGGGGGAGTGGGATGATCTGTGTTCGGTGGAGGAGTTGGTCGGGTTGGGGTTCGGGGATGTGCATGTTGTGCCGGGGGTCGGGCATGGGGTTGTGCGCGAGAGGGTGGCGGAGGTGGCGGGGTTGATTGGGGAGTTTTGGGGTGGGAGGTGAGGTGGTTGCATCCTCCGATGAGATGAGATGATGGGTTTGGAGGTGGTGGTAGGATGAATGTTTGAGTCCTGTATATCAGCGTCATAGAGGGTGTTTAGAGCAATGGGCAGGTTGTGTTCGCAGTAGCAGAGGGGCTTAGGGCATATTCGCCACGTGCCGAGTCAGTCAGACACTGGCCGCAAAGTCTTGATTACGCCTTCACAAGTGTGTTGGACGGCGTCAGGATGGGTGATTACACAGGTGGTTCTCTGTTTTCTCGCATGGCCAGTAAGCTCGACGGTCATCGCTGAACAGGATGCCAACATGTGTGCTGATATGCTGGATAATGATGCCTGTGTCATATGCGCGCCGGAAAGCCATAACCTAAGATCTGTCGAATGAAAAGTATAGTCTACGTCAACTGGGGTACCCGAGAAAGATTTCTTCTTAAACTACTTTGCATTATTGTACAAGCTCCCTGCAGTCCAGACGTGCTGCATCTTGCCGCCCCCGTTTGTTCCAACCGATCGTCTTATGCTTGGTATGCATTGGGTGATTTCGAGAGCACCCGCCCCAACCCCTGATGAACTTCGACCTGAAAGGCTTCGAATGGATACCACTCGCCGTCCACACTGATGCACCCCTCTCTGTCCTTCGGCGTGAGACGATATGCCGCGACCTTGCGCATCTGCACATCGTCGAGCTCAAAGCATTTGCCCTGCGGGAGCTTGACGGTCGCTTCGAGTGCCCCGATCAACCCAATCGAATCATCGACCGTCATGACATCCAGCAGCCCGTCATTGGGCAGCGCAGCCGGGAAGAAGTTGGTATCCTTGGCGACAATCGCCATGTTGCTCGCGTAGAAGCTCGACAGCCCGGCCGCGGGCACCACCTCCCAGTCCTCGGGCACGCGGTCCCGGACCGTGCCATACTGGAGAGGAATGCCACCCGGGTCGGCACTGAGCGTCTCGGTGGCTCCACCCGCTACCCCGTAGCCTGGTGCGCGGCGCTGATAGTACTCCTGGATCTGCTGCTTATCCCCCACCACCGTCTTGACGGCCAGCTCGCAGGGGTAAGCCGTCTTCGTCGCGATCGTGGTCAAGACCCCATAGATGAAGCGATGATCGCCCATCCACCGCAGATGCTCCGTCTTGAGATCCGAGTCCGCCAAGACGCCCAGCGACTGGGATAGGAAGGAGACCGTATGCCGATCCCCCTGCGTGATCGAGAGCAGATCCAAGGGCATGCTCACCCCTTTCACGATGGCCAGCGCCGCCAGCGCGACATTATCCGTCCCGAACAGGTTCCAGGCCATGGCATTGCCCGACCCGCAGGGGACCATAGCCACCGCCATTTGCGCAAGCGCCTGCACCGCATCGGGCCGTCGCGCCAGCCCGTTGAAGGCCTCATGCGGCAGCCCGTCCCCCGAGCAGCACACAATCGCGTCGTAGGCGTCGAGGTCGATCTTCTCGGCGATCTCGATTGCGTGGCCTTTGTGGCGCGTCTCCTCGACGTCGAGCCGGCAGTGCGCGGCGCCGAGGATCGGTGCGGCGTATGTGCGGAATTTCGTGACGGCGCCGGAGCAGAAGGGGTTGATGAGCACTTTCAGCCGTTTGAAGGGTTGAGCCGGGCCGTAGGCGCGGGCGAGCAGGTGCGTAGTCCAGGCCGCGGCTGGCGATCTTTCGTCTTCACGGAGGAGGTAGCGAAGGACGTCTAGTTCGGCGTTGCTGCGGCCGTCAGTGTCGATGTAGGTGATGGTGAGGCCATCTGTGGAGGTCTCGGCGTTCACTATGGTGTAGAGATCAATGCGATAGTGTGATTTGGAGTCTGTGAGGATGGTCAGTGGGGGGATATCAGACGGAAGATTTGTGTTGCGGGGGAGAGTGAATGAGTTAGGGCACGGATTGCTAGCGAGGACTGTGCATACCCCGTCTGGTAAGTAAACCGCAGCAGTATTTCTTGGTCTTTGTCCTTCGTCTGGATGGACGGTTGTCTGCGGCCGGATTTCATCAGCTAAGGCCGTTTGACATTTATGGTATCGTGAGTTTTACACAGAACATACCGATTACGGTGAGGGCGCCATCTTCGATTGAGAGTGTTACTGCGTGGTCTACTTTGAGTGTGGTTGGCAGCTCAGGGGAGTGCATGGCTGGAGAGGACACACGGCTGATGATAGGTCTGCTTGAGTCTTGCTGGATGTATGCTCAATGCGGTAAATCCGCTTGACGAGATGGGCTTAAGAGTGCTTTAGTTTGCTTTACAGCTGATCATAAGATGGCAGTCGTGGAGAAGAAGTCCCTGTTGCCGCCGGTTTCCGGGCCAGGGGTTCGCCAGGGGCCACGTATTTAAGACTATACCCAGATAAGGTTAGTGGATGTGCGGGATCCGAGCGGGCCGAGATAACCTTCCATAGGCTGTGCAGAGCATGAAACTGTATAAACCAATTGTGGCAACCACCCTTAGTCCTGATAGAATTGCTTGAAGCCTGCTGATCGATAGGTTTCTGTTTAGCAGGAGCGAGTGAGCTCAGTTGGGCTGTATGTTTCTGTATCATTCCCCAACTGAAAGTCTAGTACTTAGTATCTACATGTATGATTGGGTTGATGAGCCTTAGCTAGTACTTTGTCTTGTGAAACGATACAACCATACAAGGAGAACCACAAACGTAGCTTAACGGGCCGTTCACCAGAGATCTATGATTGGGGTGTAGAGAAACAATTTCTAATCTGAACCAGGAACAGGAGACTGGGAAGGCGGAAGGCAAATGCACATACTCGTTTTCACTGATACCACCAGAAAATAATGCCCCATCCCTGCCCAAACACATCGAGAACAAGAGCTGAATCCATCTACAACTGCGCAGCCTCCACCCTCCTCCCAATCTCATCAAACCGAATTTGCCTCCCGGACACCAGCGCCTCCTGCAGATACGCGCCAATCTCGACCGCCTTAACCGCATTCCCCAAACGCACCGGCAGCGCCGTCCCCTCGAGACACGCCGCAGTGAACTCATTCGCCTCGCGCACAAACGCCTCGCCAAATCTCCCCACAAAGTTTGGCGGCACCTCGCGCGTAATCCCCCCGGGGTGGTAGTAATTCACAAAATCCCGCTGCGGGTTGATATTCACCGACAGCTTCCCCTCCGTGCCGATCACCTCGGTGGTATCCTCCTGCCCGTGCGGCATCATGCGCGAGCAGTAGTAGTACGCGATCTTCCCGCCCCAGAACTCTACAATGCCGACCGCGTTATCGTAGTCGTTGTACTGCTTGAGTTCGGGCTGCACGGCGGTGATTCCGTACGCGGAGATGCTCTTCGGGATGGAGTCTTCGCCGAGGAACCATAGTGTCAGGTCGATGTCGTGCACGGACATATCGACGAAGACTCCGCCGGACCAGGCGGCGTAGGCGACGTAGAATCCCGACGGGTCGTATTTGTCGCAGGTCTGGCTGCGGATGATGGAGGGGCGGCCGATTAGCCCCTGGCTGATTTTGGAGTGGACTTCGCGGTAGGAGGCGTCGAAGCGGCGGGAGAAGCCGCACATTACTTTGAGGTGGGGCTTGGTTTGGGCTTTTTGGACAACAGCTTTGCACTGTGTTTATGTGCTGGTTAGCAGATGGAGATGCGGTAAGGGGTTGTAGGGTGCAAAGGGGGAGAGTGAGTGGGAGTGTCTGGTCTACAGGGAGAACATACCACTTCAACACTCGTCGAGAGAGGCTTCTCGCACAGGACGTGCAGGTCCCGATCAATCGCCTTCATCGTCTCCTCCGCGTGCACCGAGGTGGCCGTGCCAATGACCACGGCCTGCAGCCCGGGGTGCGCGAGCATCTTGTCGTAGTCATCGTACAGGGTCACGCCGTAGGGCTCGAGGTTCTGTCGACCCCAGGCAATCTCCGCAGGGTCTGGCGAGAAAGCAGCCACCAGGTCGGCGCGGGGAGTCTGATGCAGGAAATTGTTGACGTGGATCTTGCCTACTCGGCCGAGGCCGGCCATGCCGACTTTGAGCTTTTGGATGGACATGCTGTATGAGTCTGCGGTATTCTCAAGGGACAAAGGGGGGAAGGAAAGCTAATATGCTCGACCCAGGAAAAGATTTTTGTTTTGTTGAGTCTGCTTGTCTCTTGGTGTCTACTCCCAGGGCCTTCAGACCTTTATATATGTTGGCATTGGCGGACTCCCCTTTTCGGAACCCCTGTAGTAGACCCACAACCAGCAAGGAGATAATTCCTCGATTTGACTACCATCTTTCTCAAATCGTGAACGCAGCATGACCCCAGTCCACATGGTCGAGATCTTGTCAAGAATTGCGGAGAGAAGATGGTTGATGCTGCAAAAATGCGGGGTACAAGACGGGCCAAATTGCCTGCCGAGACGGAAAGACTTGCCTTCCTCAGTGGGGTCATCCAAGCGGCTCCGTGATTGGCCGCACTGCCTGCGAGCGACTCCGAGGGCAAGTCTTTCCACTACCATCGGTAGTTTCTATGTGGCCGCATCGGTGTAGTCGCGATTGGATCTGCAAGTCCTCAGAATGGAGCTACCGGCCTGATCAAAAGTTAAACAGAGTATCTGTAGGGTAATATTACCCGTAGCTCAAGCATTGACCCACTGTGCCCAATCCCCGCGAAGAGGAAGAGTTGTGTACAGTACTTAGACGAAGCAAGGCAAAGCCTGGACACTAGGATCTGACCACAAAACAGATTTTGAGATTACTGAAATTAGAGTTACTTGGATGCTCGTAATCATGTTCATTCTCTTTCATACAGATGGAGTACTCATGCAGTAAGTGCATTTCATCCTTTGTACAACTGGAGAAAGAATCCCCCTCCTATTTCTTATTCGGGTTCTTGAAGTGTCGCTTGAGCGGCTGCCAGCTGTGCTCGTTATACTCCTCCTGCACCTTCTGACAAGTTTTCAACCCCCACTCAGACACCCCTACCATCAGACAGCTCTCGAACATAAAGGCCATACTCCCATCCCCAACCTTCGCCGGCTTGAGCTCCGCATTACTCGCCCCCTCAAAGGCATCGGCATCAGGCCCGTGCGCACTCATCACATTGTGCAAACTAGCGCCGGCCGGCTGAAACCCGCCGCCCGTCTTCGCATCGTAGTTCCCGGTGATCAGTCCCATGAACTCGGACATGGTGTTGCGGTGGTACCACGGCGGGCGGAAGGTGTTCTCCTGCACCAGCCAGCGGGGCGGGAAGATGACAAAGTCCGCGATCGCGGTGCCTGCGTGGTCGGACGGGCCGGTCAGAACGGTGAAGATGGACGGGTCCGGGTGGTCGAAGGAGATCGAGCCGATGGTGTTGAAGCGCCCGAGGTCGTACTTATAGGGGTAGTAGTTGCCGTGCCAGGCAACGATGTCGAAGGGGGTGTGCTGTTGACGCGCGGAGTAGAGCTTGTTGGCAAACTTGCTGTATAGCCGGTACTCAGTCGGTTCTTCTTCGTCATCAAAGGCCGCAACGGGCGCTTGGAAGTCGCGGGCGTTGGCAAGACAGTTGGACCCGATCGGGCCGAGCTCGGGGAGCTGGTAGTGGCCTTGGTAGAGCTCGCAGATGTATCCTCGCACTGGCCCGGCAGGAAGGGTGACGCGGTATCTATCCAGGAATCGGTCAGTCTGGTCTCCAGAGCTTGGTAGGTGAAGAGGTCATACCGCACACCGCGAGGGATCACGCAAATCTCGTTCGGACGCACGACTAGTCGGCCCAATTCGGTTTGAATGTCCAGCACGCCGTGCTGAGGCACGATTAGAAAGTCGCCGTCCGCCGAGTAAAACGCTTCCTTGCCCATATCCTTGCCTGCGGCATACAGAATGATGCCTAATCCGTGCTTCAGAGTCGGGTCCCCGGCCCCGGCCACCAAGTGAAGGCCGTGGACCCAGTCGACGGTCTCATCCAGATCGAAGGGATCCCATCGCAGCTGGTTAGGGATGTGGTGGAGCTGGTGGGTTTCAGTGGTCATGCGAGTGTGGTAAGAGTCCTCCTCCTCAGCGACAAAGTTCTGGTGTGCAGCGGCAGGCAGGATGCGGTAGACCCATGTTTGTCGATTCTCGTGTCTGGGGGCGGTGAAAGCTGTGCCGGACAGCTTCTCTGCATACAAGCCATAGGGGGCTTTCTGAGGGGAATTTTGCCCTATTGGAAGAGCACCTTCAATAGCTTCGGTCCTGTGAGAGCATTAGACGTCAGACAAGATGTGAGACAGCTGCGTAGCTGGCTGTGTAGCTGGAACGTACTCATGGTAAGAGTCGAAGCCTGTCTGGTAAGAATACGGGTCGGGATGGGAGAAATTGGTGACTGGCATATTGTTGAGTGAGTGGGAAGACTGACTGGAGAACGCGGGATGTGATTGAGTGAGGGTGACAGGATGTCAGAGATACGAATGGCTTAATGAACTCCCCCTCGTACTCACATGTCGGATGATGAAATGGTGGAACACGACAATCGCGGGAATCCGGAGTCGCTTTGCGGGGGAAATTCGCGGAACTGGCGTTGGCGGGGAAGACCCGCCGGCTGCATCGTATGGCCCCAGTGCGGCCATATTCCGCTGAATGGATATCTAGTACAGCATCGAGGAGGATATGGTCGAGACTTAGCTCCACTGCAAATGCATAAATGTCACAGATATACTTATACCTTTGGGAGTATATGTGCGGCATAGAGTCAGGATTGAGATGGCAGGTGCACTTCCTTAGGCAACGTAAATGAAGACTGCGGCGGGATGAGGAAGTGGGAAGACGGACCGCTTCCGCGAACTCATGACAACCGCCTTTTTCCGCGGCTTGCCGCATGTTTCCAGGATATACTCGAACAACATAGCCTTAGATTTTATAGAGGAACGCTCACTCAACACCCACAAGCAGCTTTCTTACTGGCGCACAATTATGCTGATGAAATTACTCTGACTTTTAGTGATTAAATGTCTATTGTTAAAGCAGCTGCTCCCAGAATATCTCCGAATAAGCATACATTACTCATGTGCCTTTCAAAGTGTACATACAATTCAGTAATGACCCAAATGCCACTAAGGAAAAAATGTCAAGCTCGTCAGTATCCGTTTGCATCGTTCGAAAGATAAAGAGAATCGAGGTTGATTTCGCATGTCATTCAATATTATGCTTCAATGCTCTCTCAATAGTCGTTATGGGAGGTCGAGCTTTACCGCCTGTCAGACCGCCTCAAAAGGCAGAATGCTCGCAATCTCGCAACGAAAACCACGGATTTAGGCGGATTTAAGAAGTAACAGTCCCGGAAATTCGGGCGCGGAAACTGTTGAAACAGGCGGTGGCAGAAAAGGACGGCTGGGCGCGCTCTGCAACCAGAGAGCAAAAAGGCAGATGAACGGTGAAATTTGTGTTATTGTGCTGAGCTTCTGAGGATTTTTGTGTCGCCAGAAGATGGGGTTGTCTTTCTGATCTATCGGCTTCCGTTGATAAGCAATGCTGTGATAAGTGGATCACATTGGTGGGCCTAGACACGCGATCTATTGATCCCCGTGTTGGCGCATCCGCGAAGCTTTCAACTTCCCGTCCTCACTGCCTCCCCGGCCTCACTTGCCGCAGGACCCTGGGGATGCAGGTCCTCACCAATTCTTCGCCGCTGTGAGACTGAAGATGAATCTTGGTCGTTGGCTCGATAGGCGTGTGATGTCTCTCTGGAAAGTCTCTGTTTTGGATACCCCAGGCTAGTAACACGCCTCGCCCTTCGCTCTTGGCTGATCCACTCATCTGAATTAATTGTGAGTGAGAGATTCCTGAGTTGATGTTGACTGGAACTCCAGGTTCACTAACCTTTCTACCGTATCACCTCTAGTCTCTTGTCTGTCGTCTTCATTCATCCTTCTAGCCGCTTCTCAACGCTACACCTTAAGCTTCAACACCGTACCTTTTATCTCTACTATCCTCTCCCGCCCAATCCATCTCTCACTTCATACCTTCACTCCATTCCTTCAGGCCAGTGACGGCTCCCCTGAAGATGGCATCTAAAATCTTCACCCCAAGAATCAAGCGCGTCGGATTCGCCGATCCCCTCACCTCTTCTCCCGGCCAGTCCAAGCCCAAGATAAGCCCCAGCGGAGACGTGACGCACAAGAAATCGAATGACGACATCAAGGAAAGTGCTGGGTACAAAGACATGCCCAGTAGCGTATCTGAGCTTCTTTACGCTCTCCACGAAAAGACCGTCGACGACATCCTTTCGGATGAAGCCAGCCAGCACTCTTCCCGGTTCGACGACTATAGCCAAATTCCGAGAACCAGTGATACGCCGGACTACGGTAGAAGCCCGGACCGGTCGCAGGGAACGCAGCAACGGTTGCAGGCAGAGTTCCAGCTGAGCTCTCCAGATTGGGCGTTAGGAAAGCGCATCATACCTCACATTCTGTCGGACTTTGAGCTGGCCGATGACACCACATCTGAGTCTGGATCTGAGATGAGCTCCGAACTTGAATTCGAGTCGGCAACCGAATCTCGGTCTCAGCCGAAATCAACCACGACCTTGGAGTCCATCATGCTGCCCCCCGATTCTCCTCAGCCAAATGCGTTGCTCACGGATATTGAGTCTATCGACCTTTCGGGGTCGCCGGCGCCGCAATCCCCACCGTACTCCACTGCGCGCGACTACAGAAGAAGCCAGGACAGCGATGATGAGACTAGCGATTTTGAGTTTGACTCTGACTGCGAGGAAGATTACCATCGGTTTCCCTTAGTCAGCAGGCCTCTGGTCAGAGATCTGGGCTTCGCACTTTGCGCGACGGACTTTATGCAGAAAGGCGTCTACCCAGTGAACAGGGCGGAGAAGCGCACCTTTGTCGATTATGCCTCACAGAAAGCCTCAGAAATCAGCATGACCGAAGAGGAATTTGCGCGCATGATGAACGCTCTGAGAGGTGTCTATCTGCTCCAGTGGGGCGAGAAGACCGGAAAAGCGCCCAAGGTGCCTCCAGAAGCGGGGCAAAATGCGATGACTGGCGATGGAAAAGATCAACTCTGGGTCAATTCAGGGGAACATTCGGCCGTGAAGAGTCAGACCCAGCCAGCCGCGTTGGGATTCGAGTCCGTTGAGTCACTGCCGCACGCCGATTCAGTGGATGAGCAAGATGGGGACGTTGTCCTCGAATCCAGACTGAACGAACGCAAATTCAAGGCAATGAAACACTCAGTTTCTAAATCATCGGGGAGACTGAACCCTGTCTCTATCGGTGAGCCGGAGAAAGGATGTATGACTCTGCCAGATGAATCCAAGCTTGGCTCACCCGATTGGCGTACAACAGCAGCAGCGATTGATGTAAGTTTGCCAAAAACACCCTCGTGCGGGAGCGGATCTCCCAGGATGGAAAGAAAGCCGGTCGGTCAGAAAGGGAAACCGAGCGGTGGAGGTGTAGAAGAGAAGGCGACGAAGGCGGAGGCGGCTCTTGACCATGCAGCTACCAGTGGCAAGAAACGGAAGCAGGACGACGATATCATCATTATCCCAAAACGCCATCCAGAGAATACAGCTTCTGTCGACAAGTCCAAAAGAAGGAAGAAGGCTCATCGTTCATCTGGAAATCACAACTCCTCGAACCGATCATCGACGTTACCCGTGCAGCTCAATAAGAACGCACAACCCGATATCAAGTACTTGGAGAAAGCTGCAAAGGACATTACTACGAACACCACAGAAAGGAGCAATGCCTTGCAGAGCCAGCAGAGGTCCGACATCGAGAGTTTTGGCACGGAAAGGCTCAATCGACTTTCTATTGAGCCAATCAGAGATATTAGACCCGATACAACTCAGCAATCCGAGAAGAGCACCAATACTTTCACCTCCCTGCACGCGAAGAACGCCAGTAATAGCGCTAGTATTGAGAGGCCTACGGCCCCGCAGCCGGTTCAGATCTCTAGATACTCGAATTCCAGACAATACAGCGGCAACCGCGGCGCAGGCTCAAAGAACGCCGTTGAGTCCGAGAAAATGGAAAGTATCCAGGAGAGCGGCAAGGTTAAGAAGGCTGGCCAATCCAGAAAACGCCGCACAACCCGCGGTACTGCCGACGTGACTGAGCTGACGGGGCCTGGAAAGGGCGACAAGACCAATAAAGCTACAAGCTCGCAGCCTCACACATTGGTGAAGCTTGACATTGCAACAAGGCCCGGGACAGGTAAAACCGGATCAGATTGTCAAGCTCAGATGCAACATCGAGCTCAGCTCAAAATAAAACAGGCAAAGTCAAGACATGCCAATCCAAACTGGTCTCCAAGGACTCCTACCAAGGCGAAAGCAAGACCAGCGGAAAAGGAACCCTCGGGTTTTCCGACACCGATGATTCGCAAAGGGGAACCACCAGCGTTGAGGTACGGTCCTTATACTTCTCGCAGGTAGAGAAGGGAGCTTCCGAGATTGATTCCATACGTACACCCATCAATGAAGTACCATCTGACCTCCTTTCTTCCGATTGTTCCGAGCTAAGCGATGTGCCGAGCGATCTTCCTGACTCCTGCCCTTCGACACCAGCACATCCTTCCCCTTCATCATCACATGAACCGGCTAATCACGGAATGGGACCTCCACCTGAACGCGTTACGAATGATGATAATGAGCTTACCGCCACACTGCGCCCTACCCAATCACGCCGTCCACCTAAGATATCTCGTTTTTTCCCCCAGCCTCTAACCGATCCGTCCTCTTGTCTCCCCTTTCAGCCCATCTCCGCTCAGACATTTGGCCTGGTCCAGGAACAACTTGCCCAGGACCCCTTCCGCCTTCTGATTGCAACTATCTTCCTGAACCGCACGCGCGGCCATGTCGCTCTTCCTGTTCTGTTTCATGTCTTTGAGTGTTACCCATCTATCGCAGCGTTTGCGACTGCCGATCCGACCGAATTGACCGAGCTAATTCGCTGTCTGGGGTTTCAACACCAACGCGCTAAGAAGTGCATTGCCCTCGCACAGACATGGCTCGCGTGTCCTCCTGCTCGCGGGTGTCGGTATCGGAAACTCCACTATCCGAATACCAATGATGGTCGTGATGTCCGCCCCGATGAGTGTCTAGATGATGAGGATGAACGTGTGGGATGGGAGATTGCGCATCTTCCCGGTGTGGGTGCTTATTCGTTGGATAGCTGGAGGATCTTCTGTCGGGACGAGTTGCGGGGAGTTTGTAAAGGGAAGACAACGGTTGCATCTGAGGATGGCAGGGAAAGGGGGGAGGGTGCAGCCAATGATAGCGAGGAGGAGGCGGAATTTGTGCCCGAGTGGAAGAAGGTATTGCCTAAAGACAAAGAGCTACGGGCTTATTTGACCTGGATGTGGTTGAAGGAAGGCTATGTTTGGGATTGGCTTACGGGGGAGAAGACGGTGGCCGGAGAGAAGGTGATGAGAGCCGCTCAGAGGGGTGGAATTGCCAGAGAAGTCAGGGATGGAAACTGGATGCTGGAGACATCACCGATGAAGAAAGCAGTCAACGGATTTACCATGGATGGTTAGGAGTTTCCGGAAAGACTTGGTTGCATTTTCCCTTTGCGCCTTGTTGTATACAGGTAACGAAGCCTTGTCTTGCTTCCCTCAATATGACCATGGGTTGCGTAAGAGCCCTGAAGGCAATCAGGCATTCAATATGAGAAGATCGGCGCAGCGTGGGCTTGAAGAAATGCGTCCACGGCTGACTTCTTTGGCTGTTTTGCCTCCAATCCATCATATGACCCAATCAATATTCTTTTCTTCCTGTGAGTTTTCCCCCATCGCGTATGTCACTGTGTTCCTCTGCTTTATGCTCACCGCATAGTTTATTGAACAATCAACAATGGCTTTGTGAGGTAATCTTTGGCATACAAGATAACAATTCGCCATTGTTACTTCCTGAGTAGACAAAGAAGCTTAACTCGCCCTATCTTCCTCTCTCGATTATAAAACACTGCTACACATTCCCGCCGGCCGTAAACATAGCCAGCCATCATCACAGCTGACGATAATTCTTGTATCTGTTGATTCGTACATACCTTTTCTAAGAGCTCCCAACTTGCGCCTGTCTTACAAGATATCCCCAATTCATCAAAAACAATAACCAAAACAGACAACATGGTCCCCCTCGCCCACCCCACCCGCTCCTCCCAACAATCCCGCTACATGCGCGCCCTGCGCATCGCCCTCTCCTTCGTGGCGCAGAACAACATCGCCGCCGCCCGCAAAAGACACCTCGCCGAGTCGAAGCAGCGCGCCGCGCACCCGGGCACCGGTGATCTCTGCGTGCCGAAAAGATTCGGCGACGTCGTGATGGCGGACGCCGCGTCGTTGTTCGAGTCCGCGGAAATGGATACCGATATGGATATGGTGGATCGTATGGTGAGTGCACAGGCGTGACGTTTGTTGGGGGAGGGTTGGATTGTTTGGTGGGGTGTTCTAGTGAGGGGTGCATAACAAGAATTGGAATCTTCAAACTTGGAGATGATAGATGACAGGAGGATTGTATATACAATTGAAGAAAGAAATGATGGTATTAGAATCACATACACGATAACTGATGCAATGAAAGGGTTCGTTGGTGGTCACCCATCCAACTACTGCGTAGATTCAAGGGCAGACAGAAGCTGTTCCTCGTAAAGATTACAAGCTGTCCACGTAGAGCAGTGCAAATAAGATCTGTCTAGTCTTAAAATAGCCCGTTTAAGAGAGGAAAATATGCCTAGTACAGTCACATGGTTACATCTTCTCGTTGTTTAAAGAGGATGAAGACTCGGAATTGGCTTGGGAACCGGACAAATGCACCACGGAGGCTATACAAAAGAATTGAATATTAAAAATCAAATAAGGAGGATGGACGATGTTGCCCGGGGTCATGACTACATACAAGAAGAGTTGTAATCGGTAGATGGATAATATATATATATATACATGGTTGGCACTACAGCCATCGATAAGCCCGGACATTTCGATACGTCCACCATTAAAGCTCATCATGCTCAATCCCTGCGATATTGCGACTTGCAAGTAGATTCTGCCTGCGCTTCCAGGCCAACCGCGCAGCACCCTCCGCCGCCATCACAATTTCCTGCAACGATCCAATAATTTGAATTCCCTCCCCAAAGGCCTCCTGGACAGCACGGTGCACAAGCTCGCCATCAAAGTGATCCGTCAAGACGATCACGTAGTCGAGTCTCTCGAGACTCTTTGTGCCATTCCTCTGGGGTGGCTCCGAGAATGCTATCACTCGGTCAGTCGGTCCTGCTGTTGATACCGGTATAGCCTATGGCCCCGGGGCACATACCTTGGGTAACTTGCAAGTACGCCTGAAGAGTACCTGCCAGAGACTCCACATACTCGTCCTCCACCGCCGCGATCTGGCTTCGCGTGAGGACGAGGTCGGGAACGTTCCCATGCGGCCACCAAGAGTCTAGGTTGAGCGGAAGTTCGTCGAGCATTGCCGCGTCTTCTTCCCCTCTATGACCACCGCCGAGCTGACTCTCCAGCGACACCTTCAGACCACACATCAGCTCCACTGTCGAGTCATACCCCTTCAACGCCAGCCTCGTCTCCTGTATCGTACTCCTCAACAACACCCGTTCTCTCCCCCCATCCACCAGAGCCCTCAAATGATCGTCGTCGCGCACAAGCTCATCCATGAGCTTGCGCTGGATTCGTTCACTCGCCCACGGCATCAGCGGCATATACCGATACCCCGGGAGGCCGCGACGGGCGCGACGACGCTTGGGCGACCCGTCGTAGAACTGGGCGCCACAATGAAACTGCCCCTGGTGAATGATCAAGATCCGAGCTTCCTGGTCAATTGCCGGATTCAGGTAGTGCGTGCAGAAGGAGCGCGGGGGCAGTGCGGCCTCGAGGATTGTGATCCCCGCCTGCTGCCCGGCTTGCAGGACGGCGTGTTTGAGCGCCTCGTTGAAGAAGTCCGGGACGGCTACAATAGCCCAGGTGATGTTGACGCCGTGTTCATCCCACACGGTGGTCTGGAGCTCGGTGAAGACTTCGGTGAGTGTTTCAGTGAAGTCTTGCGTAAGCAGGCCGCGCGACTCGAGGAAGGCCTTGATGTGGCGTCGGATGGGGGAGGGGATCTTCTCGTAGCTGCGGAAGACACTAGCACGTAGGGATTGGAGTGAATCTCGAGTCCAGGCGATATACGGGTGGCTGCTGATGGGATATTTTGCGTCGAACCCCTCGAACAGGCGCCCAACGGCGCTGCCCAGAAGCGCCAGCGGGGTCGACGTCGACCATGACCCTTTTCCCGATGACATCCACCCTGATTGCCCGAAGTGATCCATGGCCAATTCCATGATCTGCTGCTGGTAGCCCTGGTGGCCAACCGCGCCTAGAAAAGTGAGATTGTCTAGAGAGTAGGCATAGGCGGCAGAGACCAGATGATGGCCGAGGTCGATGCCGATGGGTTCGTTCAACAGAGCATCATTGTCGCAAGTCTCCCCCCTTCCGGTGGCAACGGTCGGGACAGACCACAATAGCAGGGCAAGAAAGACTTTCCAGAGGATCATGTTGCGGCTGCAGCTGGTGTAAGATAGATTATTGTTCGCCGCTGGCGGGTGGATGGCTCTATATACCTTACTTCGTAGGGTTGGCTAGGCAGAATTGGGGCTAAAGCGTATCGTGCCTGAATTGAGTGGATCCATTCAATCCAAAGAAGACTAGCGCGTATTTTATGCTTCCAAGTAGCCATACAGTAATCAATGCTCATCACCAATCAACTGCCTCCCAGCTGTAGCAAGAAAAGTATACAGAGACCTTACACATCGACAGTATCTAACGGGGGTCTCCAGATATGTATGTCAGGGTTTTGGCATTGAGTATCCTCTGGGGGAAAATATTTACGGGAGAACGATGAGGGCAACATCAGTTGCACATACTCGTCATCAGTGCTCCTCTGGATCTCCTTCCTCCCTAACGACCTCAATCTTGAGAATCTTGGCGTATAGGCTGGTCGAGATGTGCCTGAGGGGGATCGCCTATTGCCCACCGGTCTTGTCAAATCGAGGAGTGTCGCCACCACGTCTCTTGCGATAGTCTGCAAAAGAGCCGTAGCATCTGTGTGCGGCCGTTGGACGAACCTCGCTTCTTTGAAATCATGGTCGATCTGAGTTCCGAGGTCCGTATGGCAATATGGACGATGGGTTTCGTGTACTATACCTGGTCATTTCGGGGAACGGGGGGGCTACGCAGGCTTAGTAGGCTCTAATTCCGGAGCTGCTCTCTGACTCTTGGAGAATTGAGGGAGATGAGAGGAACATTTTTAGACAAGTCTGAACCTCGTGGGTCGCGAGGAGGACAAGGCCCGGTTGTGAGGGGAAGAGGTCATTTTTGAGGATTGCTATATCGATGTAGTGTGCATTGATTGTCAACATCTCGGACGAAGCCATTCCGTGACTGGTTTGCGGTACAAGCGGGTCCGGTCACACTTGGTGCATTGAGTATAATTCTGTACAACTTAGGGCAAGCACTGAACACAGCCCGGCAACCCGCGACAAGAGTCAATGGAGACAACGCTGAGCACGTCTTGATAAAACAATTATATTGTATCATATCTTTGTATCTTTGTATCTTCATTCCCGAGAAAAAAAAGCGTGAGCTAAGCGTCTGGACTGCTAATCCTTCCCTTACCGGACCGATTCTCGCTCAAAACCCCAGCAGTTGCGCCGATGTCTCATACATGTCGAGACCCAACCCATCGTCAAGCACAGCGTCCGGCTCCAGATCCACCACGTCTTGATTCCGCCACGCATCGAGATACACGACAGAGTCCGCATTCGTCACCAGCACCTTCACGACGGGCCCGGTGCGGGGTGGCTGCCCGGCAACCCCCGGCAAGGCACCGGTCACCTGCCGCAACAGCTCGGTGAAGCCGCGGAGCTCCAGCGCCGATGCACTGCCCTCGACCAGCGTGAAGCCGTCGATGAGGACAAACACGGCGCGGCGCGGGGATCCCGCCAGCAGATGGGCGAACAAGCGTCCCAGGGCTGGCAGGTCGAAGGCCTCGAGGGCGTGCACGAAGGGGTAGTCGACGGCGGACGTGTCGACGGCGGCGGGGTCCCCGAGCAGGAGCTGGGCATTGAGGGCGCGGAGCAGGCCGGCGAGACCGGTGAATGGGTCGTGGGGGTGGAGGTGCTGGCCGCAGGGGAAGAAGAGCGGGAGAACGGCGGGGCTGGCGGAGAGGGTGCCGTAGAGGGTGCCGGCGACGGTGGTGAGCGGGGATGCGGTCTCTTGCTCGGGGGTGACGGGCAGACAGCCGTTGACGAGCAGGAGGGCGGAGGAGGAGCCCAAGAACCAGTGGCGGAACTCGTCGCGGTGGAGTAGGGTTGTCGCGTGGGCATGCAGCGCTGGCGGGCAGGCGTGCAGGGCATCGGCCAGGGCGAGTGTCAGGTCGCGGCGGACGAGCTCGGGGTCTGCCGCCATGATGCGCTGCAAGCCGTACACGTCGATGAAGCAGGTTTTCACCACCATGATCGGGGCGTGGGGCGTAGCTGGGGGAAGGGAGAGAGATTAGACGCTGAGGGCGATAATCCACCCCCGGACATAAGGAGGCGTACATACAATAGTACCAGTTCGCCTGCTTCTCCATCGCCGCGACATGGGTGACCAGAATCTCCATGTGCCGTTCGATGCTCCGGACGGATTTGTGTAAGCAGAATTCCACGATGGCGCGGAAATTGCTGGCCGCGTCCTCGATACCGGATTTGATGGCTTCGTCTTCGATCTTCTTGCCGTAGGAATCCTGGTGGAAGAACGCCTTCACTGCCTTTTCTACATGCCAGCGGGTCAGTCCTTCTGCGGAAGAGGGCAGATTCAACTACGGTGGGACCGCATACTGAAGGCTGACTCGTCCATCCACTGTAGCATGGCCTCGATCCCTTCCAGGATGCCGAGATAGAGATCTTCCGCGGCTTGCCAGAGATCTTCATCGTCGTGGTACAGATCCCGGTATTCGGCGGTTTCGTGAACGATGGTGGGCAAAGCTGCTAAGCAGCCCAAGATTCGCTTTCGGAGACTGTCCACTCGCTTGGCCGCCTGGACACACAGCATGCACAGATTAGCATGATATCCAGTCGTCCGATTCCCGTCGTGCTCGGGGGAGGGGATGGGGAGGGAGGGCGGAGGACTGACATTGAAGACCAGTGTCAATGCTCCGCAGAGGATGGAAGTATATTCCCCGTCGGGAACAAAATGAAGCAGCACTTCCAGAGTCGAGGCATTCTGAGTGAACGAGCGGCTCAGATATCGGACGGGGTTTCGAAGGAATGAGTCTGGCGCCGAGTAGGCTTCCACCGCTGCGTTGGCCTCATTCTGCACGTCATTCCATTGGAATTTGCGATCCAGATCAAACCGTCTGATCTCCTTGTCCTTGGCAAAAGTGGTGAAAGTTCCCAGAAACTTCTTGAAGCTTTGATGTCTCGACTTTGCTCTACATTGGAGGTGGTCAGCAGCAATCTTCGGAATACATGCATTGCCCTCTATACCGTTCGGATGCCTGGCGGGCTACTTTCCGCGCGTGATGGTTCCTCGCCGCGAGGGAAAATTCTTCATCGAAGTGGAAAGGCTCATGCCGCATGAAATAGTTTGTGCATTCCATACTGGTGCGATATTGGGGGGCAAATCTGAAGATGGACGGACGATTATCGCCAGGTGGTGGATATCGCTGAATACAGCCTGAATCACAGATGCATTAATATTGCATAACAATAGACCTGACAACCCACCCTTTGCCCAGACCAACACCCCGCATGCTATGGTCACTGCATAGGCGACGAATCGAGTTTACGGTCCTGTTCCTTCGTTTACTCTTCCTCAGCTCAGCCTCGCTCAAGGAGCTGTACCTACGACCGAACTTCTTCTCGTTGATTCGTCGGCTGTGTGATGGTTCTTGCATAACACGCATCGTCGTATCGGTACCTCCGACGGCCCATATCGAGCCAGCCGCACTGATATCCCTCATCTGCGCGCAGAACATGCATAAACTAACTTGATCAAGTTAGTCGATTCTGGCTGGCGGTTCATCCGCATCATAAACTGTTGCTGCCCTGTGCGAAGCAAGTGGTCAGATGAGGGGAAAGTGCGGGCGGAGGAGGGGATATCAGAAAGGCTGAAAGTTCAGACATCTGACATGACTCGAGTCTGATGCCCCCGGGCTGAAGACAGAGGGTCCGAGCGATCAGTCGCAGCCAATCGATCCGTCCTGATGGGTGCATGTTTGCTTCTTGGTGTACGCAATTCAGGTTGCCTTGCCTCGGGCTTACCGGATGCCCAACCGAATGGGGGCTGGATTCCAAAAAGCCCTTGGTTCATGCTTGCTCTCATGCATGCATGCAGCGGTGACAGCGGGCTGGTCGTGATGGCCGAGTTCGCCACTGCAGCCGCGCATATATGACCCAGAGGGCTCTTTACGCCTTCTCTTTGCGAGCAACTTGAAGCGCTGCTCTTAGCACTTCCCTCTGCAGAAGTGACCATGAGTTCAGTGTCCAGCACCTCGTCCAGGGAGTCGATGCTGTCTGGGGACGGCCAGCACGAGACTCCCGCCAGCAGCCCCGAAACTACCAGCACAATCACCGTAAGTCCCAGTCTGCAAGCGGGGGCAGGCCACACGAGTCAGTACTGACACCCGCGAGGCACAGATTCCTCCCCCTGCTGGAGTGTCCAAAGGTGCAGATCCTCCCCACGAGCAAGCCGAGCAGGTCGAGCAAATGGAAAGCGCAGAGGTCCCACACAAGGAGGAGAAGTTGGTGGATGAGTTGTCCGCGCTCCTGGAGCAGACGGCCGCGTATTATACGGAAGAGGTCTTCGATGAAGATGACAAAGTGCGCTGGCTCACCAAAAGTGCCAAGGCTCTACAGTGGATTTTTGCAAAGGCCTCCCAGCAGCACAAGCCCAAACCCGAAGCTGAGAAGCCAGAGGAGGAGGCCCCACGGCAGGTCGCAACCCCGAAGATCGAGCCGGTCCCGTGGAAGGAATGGAGCAAGACCCAAGGACCCTGCACCGAGCCGCATAGCGCCATCTATCTTCTCGCTGACGAGCCCCCCGCGAGGCAGCGCTCTCGTAGCGGCGTCGTAGACCCTCGTCATCAACCGGCGGGTGCCTCGCAGGATCTCCAGCGACCTGGCGCCCCTGCGTTGCCCAATCGTATCCGCATTCGATCCTTACCCGTCATGCGCATCCTGCTTGGCCTCTGTGACGGGTCTCTAGAGTATCACGTCGGGTATGGTCTGGTCATCATGCGTCCGTTCAAAATTCTGGTGCACTTGGAGCAGGAGATCCGCAATCGACTGGCGGAGCTGGAGCAGGCCCACTATAGTCAGGGGCCGCAGGCAAAGATCCCAGCGTCGTCGTCGACGGATGAACACGAAGCCCCTCCGAGTGTATATAGTCTGGATGACATTTTCAAAGCGGAAACGGATTGGACCTCCCTGACCTTGAAGGAAAAGGAAGAAGCCGCCAAGGACTTCCGTTGTCTGGTATCCTTCATGGATGAGTATGTTCTCCCCGTGAGAGCCGCCCTGCAGACCACCACCGAGGTCCTGTTCAGCGAACTGTGGCATCTGTTCACCCCGGGAAGCCTGATCTATGTTCCGGACAAGATGATTCCGCAGAAGGTCTGGAGAATCATCCAAGGGACCGGAGGGCGCCGCAACATGGAACAGCCCTCCATGTCGGATAGGCAGTTTGAATTGGGGGGAGGGATCTGGAACGACCGGTGCAACCCGTTCGTGTTAGATTGCTACTACATCGACTGGAATGGTACGCAGTTTGTTCGGGTGCACAAAGTATTCACCATCCAAGAGTTCCAAGAGGTGCAACCGGTCACCTCCTTACCGGTGTTCCCCCTCCATACCGCCGAGCAGCTCAACCTGGTCGACCGCACGGAGCTGTTAGCCCGGGCCAACCACTTCCTGCAGTACACGAAGCCAGGCTATCGCTACTATTCCGGCCGCAGTCTGAATCTGGCCCCGGATGGTCGCAAGTTGCGCCAGGCGAACCCGGATCCGACGAGCATGGGCACCGTGGCGACACCTTCCGAGTACATCGAGAGCCAAGTCATGGTGGACTTTGAGCGCGCTCTGCAGAGCATCCCCGAGTGGAGCCCCGAAAGTCCAGATGCGACCCTGTCCAAAACTCCGGCGGCGGAGCTGGCGGGGGACGAGACTGATCGCTACATCGAAGATGACCGAGTCTGGGACTTGCGCATTGCCGAGAGCGTCTTGGATTTGAAGGACCGCTCGCAGGGATGGGAGAACCATGGCACCCATCTCTCGGAGGAAGATCAGCTCTTACTTCCTGCCAGAGTCTTCGCCTTTGTCTTTCGGACGCGTCGCTGGGGTAAGAGAGAAAACCTGATGACCGTTGTTGCGGCGAGTCCAGCTAACAATTCCCAGCCTGCCTGGATCTGGGTAAGGATCCAAACGACCCCAACGAGCTCAAGTTGAAGCCCGTGGAGCCCCGGAAAGAAGCCTGGCAGGACCTGGAGATCGATCCGGGCCACCGCAACATCATCCAGTCGCTAATGGAAACCCATTTCTCCAAATCTCGGCCCAAGCGGCGCCAATTTGATCTCGTGCGGGACAAAGGTCGGTATCCATGTCCGCATCTACCCTGTCATCAATGTCTGGTCTCACAAATGGAATAGGCAAGGGTCTGATTATCCTCCTGCACGGCGTACCAGGAGTAGGCAAGACCTCGACAGCCGGTGAGCATGCGTGTCCCCAGTTCGCACTAGTAACCTCAGCATCTTGATTCTGACGTTGGTTGTCTTTAAGAAACGGTGGCGGAGTATTATAACAAGCCTTTGCTGCCAATCACCTGCGGTAGGTTTCCAGCAGCTCCGGTGACCAGACCACCTCCGAATAACCCTAATCTGCAGGTGACCTGGGTCTGACGCCGCGAGACGTGGAGCGCAACCTGGAGAACTGCTTCCAGATGGCGCAGGCCTGGGAGTGTGTGCTGCTGTTGGACGAAGCCGACGTCTTCCTGGCGGAGCGCAGCGCCGACAACGTCGACCGCAACGCGCTGGTCTCCGTCTTCCTGCGAGTGCTCGAGTACTACGAAGGGGTGCTCTTCCTCACCACCAACAAAGTCGGTGCCTTCGACGAGGCATTCAAATCACGCATCTCCATGGCCTTGTATTACGCCCCCCTCGACCAGAATCAGACGGTCGCCATCTGGAACTCACAGATGGCGCGCATCAAACAGTCCTTCCCGGAGATCAACTTCAACCCCTTGGAGCTGGAATACTGTGCCCGCGAGATCTTCAACCTGCAGGCGCAGCATCCGGAGTATAAGCCCATCTGGAACGGCCGCCAGATCCGCAATGCCTTCCAGACCGCAATCGCCCTCGCCGAGTTCAAGGCGCAGGACAAGCACCACATCCCGCTCACCCGCGACCATTTCATCCAGGTCACCAGCGTCTCCAATCAGTTCAACTCGTACCTGTGGGCAGTGAAGCACCGCCGCAATGACGAGTACGAGAATCTCCGCAAGGGGCTCCGCGCTGATGGTTTCGCCGCCGCCCCGACTGCAGCCCCGGCGGCGTCCGCGTATACGACCGCAGCAGCACCAGCAGCAGCACCAGCAGCACCAGCAGGAGCACCGACGGCGCCAGGATTTCTCGCGTACCCGCCGCCCAACACCGCCGCACCAGCTGCAGTGACGGGTCTGCCGACCTTGAATGTCGCCCAATATTGGGCCCCCGGGACGTATGCCGCGCCGCCAACGACCGTGCCGCCCCAGAGCCCGTACCAGCACCCGGCAGGGAGTCAACCACCACCGGGGACGTATCCAGCGGGCCCGTCGGGCTATGCAGGCGCAGGGCAGCCGCAACAGAATTATGCCGCGCAGCCTCCGCAACCGCCAGCGCAGACGGGTTATGCCGGTCAGCCAGTTCAGCCGCAGCAGCAGCAGCAGATGGCTCCTCCATCGCACAACCCGAATGCGCATACTCCTTATTCTTCTCCGGGGACTTATCCTCCTGGTTCCGCACCTCCGCGTTGATAGACGTGTGTTCGTGGAGGAGTGGTGAGACACGGCCTGCAGCAATGGCGAAGCGTGTAGCTGGGGCGGCTGCTACAGAAAGACTAGCAGTATAAGAAATCCTTAATCAAAGAAATCTAAAAAGGCACTAAAGACTCTTATCCAAAGTACTAAGAGACTAGTACCTTAGAAGAGAAATCTACTCTATAGCATCTATCTAACTCTATTTAAACCTACCTGAACCTGCCTGGATCTATCTACATTTTAACTACTTATCCTTATATAGTAGATATAGTATAAAGCCGTTGGCTTTATATCCTAGGCCTCTTACAATTGATGCAAGAGTTAGCTGCTGGAATATATACCCCGAGTGATAATAAGATAACGAACTATGCTTCTAGAATCAAGCTTATTCTTTTTTTTTGTAATAATGTTTAAAAGATTATTTACTCAAGTGATTTATTTAAAGTTTAATCAAGAATAAATATAGCGCAGATTACTACTATAGATCATAAGAATCAAGTAGACTCAATGACCTAATAATAGGATCTGAGATTGACGGTTACAGCCCATGCAGGATTCGCATGCCAATACCAGTAGCTTGAAGGAACGGGGTTGAGTTTACTTCAGGTAACTTGGGGACCGTTGCGAAGTCTGCAGTAACTATAAACATACATAGAACGTGTCGTTCCTCGCAGTTCATCCGCCAGCCACCTTTATCAAACCTCAGAATTGCTGTACAAGCTTTCCGCGGGATACTGACCCGTCTCTACGGCCGCCGGAGGCCAGAATTAAGCATTACGAACGGCAGCACATGCGAGCCCTGAAAGTGCAATAAAATCTCAATGCGGGTGTCCAAAGTAAGTAGTCTAGAGTACAACCAATCCACCGCAGATGAAGTAGCAGTCTCACAGCAGGTAGTGTATGTATACATTCCATATCAACAACGCTTCGATCCCCCAAAGTCCCGTCGAGTTGTACCAAAGTAGGGTCCCCAACAGGGAAGAGAGCGCCGCGAAACCCGAACAGTCCTTAGTAGAGAGGGAGCTTGTAGGCGTCAAAGTTGTAGTCGAAGGTGTCGATAGAGGCCTGGTCATACTGGCAGGTGAAGTTCTTGCCATTGTTAGCCCAGTAAGGGCGAAGAGGCCAGGCACAGAGCTGCTCATTATTGCCCTCATATTCTCCCTGGAGGATAGTGGCGTTCAAGGTGTGCGGGACAATGCCCTTTTCGACCCATAGGGACATGACCTCAAAGTTGGTCTGGGGGAAAGGGCCGTTCGGCTGGGCATCATTCAGGGCACAGTGCGCCGCGCCGGGAACCAGGAAGAGTCGGTACCAGTCCTGCAAGGCTCGGGTGCTGGCGTTATAGGACTTCCCGGGGTACATCGTCTGGCGGACCGAGTTGTAGTAGTGCACAGATGACCCAGTGGGGATTGACTCATCCTGCTCGCCGTGGAAGTGGATGATCTTGCCCCCGTTTTCGTAGAATTCGGTCAGATCGGGGATGGTCGTCTGGAGGGAGTCCATGTAACGAGTCATGCCTTGCTTCATCCAACCCACGAGGGTGTCGTAGGTCACCCCCTCCAAGGACGACAGGTTGTCTTCGTCTTTGAGCTCTAGGAAACGGGCCACCCACTCGCCTCCAGCGCCGGCAATATCCTTCTAAAGTTAGCACGTAGTACAAACAGATCAAACGGGGCAATTCGTGGAGACATACCAGACCCCACTCGCCAGTGGTGGAATCGTAAGAGGTCTCCGCATCATCAAAGGCGGCCCCCATCTGGTAGGAGATATAGGCGCGACGGCCCTGAGAGTCGTACAGTCCATCCACAATGGCCTGGGCCACGGCCACGGCCTTCTCACTGACAGTGCCATTCTGGGCGGGCTCAGTGTTGGAGGCGCGCTTACCAAACCCGAGACCCAGGCTGCTGGCGGTCGATGCGGCGCAGTAGTAGGGCTTGCCGATAATCGAAGTCATATTGAAGTGGAGTTGGCAGAGGTCAGATCGCGAGACCACGCCATCCTTGCGGCCATCCAGGGGATCGCAGGCGGCGATGGTCTCGTTCACAATCTTCTCCAGCTCACAGGGTGGGGGGTAGTAACCCAGAGTCTGTTCCACAAGGTTCGAGAACAAATGGTTGGCCTGCTGCTGCCCGTAGCGAATGGCTGGTGCCCCGATAATCAAGCCATCGTACTCCGACCCGGCGCGCTGGGCCTGAGACCATCCCTCGCGACCCCCCTCGGAGCAACCTTGGTAGTAGGTATAGACCTTGCTGCTATTGGAGACATCGTAGAAGTTCTTGGTAAATTGCTTACCAATGACCGTCATCTCCTTGATAGCCTCGTATCCGAACATGTATACCGATGGCCAATTGATCGTGCCGTTGCTGAGCAGGAAGACGTCGTCGAAGTCGTTGTCCATACTACCGAATCCGCCATCAGTGAAACCAGCGACGGCACCATACATCACACCCCCCGGGGCCGACATGGAGCCAGATTGGATGGCATAAGCACCCCCTCCCGTGGCCAGGAAGCGGTTCTTGAAGGCCTCGGGCGCGGGCATATAGTAGCCGACAATGACGGTCTGCCCTGACCCGGTGTGGGTGTAGGAGAAAGTGACGTTGCAAAAATCGATAGTAGCATCCGGGAAGAAGACCTCGCCTGAGTGAGAGGAGTTGTAGACCGCGTTGGCTGTGACCGAGTCCCGGTCAAAGGTAACCCCCAGAATATAGCCATCCTCGGGCAGCGACTCGCGTATGCGCGAGGTGGTGCAGGCACTGCCCAGAGAAGTAGCGTAGGCCGTGCTGGCCACCGCAAGAAGGGACAGGAGCTGTTTCATATCTCTGAGAATCCAGGAACGAGCGAAGATGTGAGTGTGGAAAAAAAAATATTGAGTGGACGGCTCGGTCCTTTTATTCCCAAGGTAGGTAGCTCTGGAGAAAATGAAGTCATTCGTTATAGATCATGGTATCTTCAACAAGACGCGCGTTTAATTTCAACTGCAGTGTTCTTGTACTGAAAACCTTGTGGGGGTGTCAATAAACTAAGAAGTCTTACGCGGCCGAGGCGCGGCCAAGTGTACGCTAAGATGCTTGTACGCTAAGATGCATCAACAGGCAGGATTAAACCTACAGAGGAATAAGCTTCCTCGGACCTGAGCCGTGATCGACAGAGAGATAAGACTCTATTCGTGCATAGGCATAGATATGACTCTGCAGAGACCTGGTTAAATTCATCTCCGTGCGTTACGTCATTTTCGACCTAATTTCACCCAAAGATCTTGGAAACGGAATTCTCCTTGTTTCATCACTTCCGCGGAGTTTTCTACTCCCGGATTGCCAGATTGGAGTGTCCAAAGAATTCAGTTCTAACTATTAGGTACTCGGGTATTGTGGACTGCGAAACCAGGGCAGTTTGACCAGTCGATCCCCACCCGTAGCCATTCGACCAGCAAACACGTCCGTCAAGTTTCAAGACTGCTTTCAGACGGTAAATTACTCACGAAGAGAATTTCATATCCTCCGGAGCAAAAGACGGTTGACACTAAACTGAATCTAATGTTTCAGAGAATACCGATGACAAGAGGCAATCCTTGCATATTCTGGAAACTACATGAGTGGTAATGACATGGACTGTCTTCTGCAACTACGTAGAAATTGATTCCTTTGTCGAAAAGCCAGCCGAGGGGTGAGGGGCCGTTCTCCCTCCCGTACCACTCCGATCAGCCCGAGTCTTGAAGTTTACCATTCGTAAAGGGTGCTGAACCAATCCATGAGGAAGCTGACCACAGCGTCAGGAGCAATGCTTTGCATGCCCCAAGTGTTACCCAGGTACATGATCTTCTTGGCTTCCTGAGTCGAGGGTTCCCACGTCGGGAGCCCAGGTCCATTTGGATTACCGGATCTGATAAAGTTGACCCAGTAATCGGACATGCGGTCCGCAATGGCGTAATCCTTTGCCGGCCAGGTCAAGTTGGCAGTGTAGTCCGCATACGGAATGTTGTTGAAGGTGTACCATAGCTCCGCGCCGTGGTAGGCACCTCCCGAGAGATCTTCTTGCGGAGCGCGAGTGAAGAAGTAGGTATACACATTGGTGTTCGCACCCCCGGCGACCCAGTCGGCAGCATACTTCCAGGAAGTGACACGGGACATGTCGCGTTTCCAGGTGTTCGAGCTGTCCGTGGCCTGGGTATCGTTCGCAGCAGGATACAACTTGAAGAACTCCGTGGAGAAGTTCTGGAAAACCTCCCCGTAGAGAGACTTATAGTAGGTAGCATTGTACTCCCCGATTCCTTCGTCCTTGTTGAAGCCAGTCATGATAGGGACATCGGCATGATTGTTATGCCGGAGTAGTGGACCGTACTTCTCCGTCAGGACCCAGCCATCCACAACCGGACGCCACTCTGGTGGTTCCATATCGAGAGTGGCGAACGGAGTTCCAACCAGTAGGTCCTCATTCTCGGTATCCAAGTTGTTGAGAGCATCAACGGAGAGGTTGCGCAGCTGGGCTGGGGTAGTGATGTTGAGCTCGCGGAACAGCTTGACGCCGAAAAGCTCAGCCTCACGTTTGTTGCGGTAGCTGACCGCCAGACTCGCAGTGTTAGGATCATGCGGAGAAAGCGCGCCACTCTCAGAGATCGCTCCGGCAATGTAATCGCGTGACAGAGGACTGTACGCCATAATCAGAGAACTGGCCGAGCCAGCGGATTGCCCCCCCGTGACGATCTGGTTCGGATTACCTCCGAAGTTGGCAATATTTTCATGGACCCACTATGGAAAAGAGTCAATGCTGAGATTCCAGGCAATGCAAGCTGAGCGAGAGGTATTACCTTGAGGCCAGCAATCTGATCCAGAGTCCCGTAGTTGCCGGAGCTGTTATGAGGCGATTCGGCCGAGAGCTCCGGGTGAGCGAAATATCCAAAAGCACCGACTCGATAGTTGACGGTGACGACGATCACGTCCTTGATGGCAAGTCCAGATCCATCGTAGGTCTTCACATCACCAGAGCCCATTTCATAACGACCTCCATAGATCCAATAGTAGACCGGCAGGTTCTTAGATTTGATGTCTTCGTCATCCTTGTAGGTCGGGGTCCAGATGTTCAGGTACAAGCAATCTTCGCTCATCTGATCACTGCCCGTGTAGAAAATGCCTGGCGATGACTCTTTTGTTTGAACACACTGGGGCCCAAACTTTTCCGCTTCAAGCACACCGCTGTGGTTTGCTGGTGGCCGCGGCGGGGTGAAGCGCAAGTTGCCGACTGGAGGTGCGGCAAATGGAATGCCCCGGTATACGGTGACATTTTCTCGGTAGGGAGAAGCAACACCTCTCACTGGACCCTGTGCAGTCTCAATGACAGGGAACGCAGCCTGGATGGTTGAGATCAGAGTGGTCCAGCTGATCAAAGTCTTGAGGAACGGCATGGTCTCAGGATTTCGGAACAGAACGATATTAGGGCTGGCTCGAACCTGTCATGGACCAATTTCCTCTTGAATGGTATGTAATTCGGAAAAGAGATTCAGGGTAGGTGCCATTATAAATTGATGCCCCTCGGGTACACGCTCCTTAATCAAATGATTTCCTACCCTCTGACGCGGTCTAGCCATGCAGTGATGATGTGATATTCCGTCGGAGCACAGTCACGATGAAGATTTAGTTATGCTTAGTTTCCCCCATCTACGAATGGACTCCGTAATTTGGTGATGATCGTGCCGCCCACCCGAATTGTTCCTCCTCGAAGATGCCCATCCTGCCACTAAATGCGCGTCGATTTTTTCCAGAGTTGGTATCCATGACCGAGGCTAATAACATGTTCTTCAACTCTATACGTGCTGCGTTCGGATTTGAAAGATTATTTCGCATGAACGCGTAGACGCACTTGAAAAATGCGATCTTCGTCATAAAGTCCCCACCCATCGTAGGACCACGGCAAGGTGAGGTATTATGTCTACGGGAAGAAGGAAGCTGAAAGATCAGTCTTTTCTCCTCAATGGAGTCCACCATATCTGTTTTGTATTCTCTGTCCTCCGTATAGTTTTCACTTTCATCTCTGTTCTTATCTTTGCTGAACCCCCGTGAGATAGTGACGACGGATATGAATGCGTGTCACTTTAAGAGCATCGCCCCATGACTAGTGTATCGGCAAGCAGTACACTGTCATGTCATCCCCCCCCCAGAAATTGAATCCGGACAATTGCTTAGCCAGTCAAGGGTGGGTCCATAGCACCACGTTCAGTCACCATCACCATCGCTACGACCAGACAGCACCCTTCTTGCCTGATTGCATGACATGACGATGTAACGGTCACGGCCCATACAGGACTAGCATGCCAATCTGTAGCACACAAGCTTCATGCCAAGGGGAGGTTTCACGCACCTAGTATGCAATATCAATCAGCATTATAGGCACTAACTTCCATTGCAGTATCGACCCACACAGAAGAGCTGACGACAACATTTCTGGTTGAAACTGTCGTAAATTGGTAGGCGGACCTAGCTTGGGTAATGCCTGAATTTGAAGACAGAGAAGTGTTTCACTTTCCTGGAGAACTCTTGTGGTGGAAACACCAGTGTCCTACCTTTGTGATGACATCTTTGGCTAATAGAAGGGCCAGGGAAGGGCAGGTGGGGAGTCAACACCGCGGCGCGGGATCCCCACACGGCCGAGGGATTAATTGCCGCGGCCGCGTAACTCTTACAGTACAATACAATACATTGATGGAAGTACTGCTTTTACCCCCTCTAAGAGCTCGCGCTGGAGCACTTATTGAGTCAGTAAGCAGCACTATAAGAGGACAATTCGATCCGCTTCTCAATCGTTATTCATCAGTATCTTGGCAACTCCATCCTGCCTCTTACTGTTTCAATATAGGTGAGGATGGTGTCTTTTAGAGGCTGGCACTCTGCAGGGCTGAGCTTGGTGGCGGCCGCGCAATTGGGGGCAGCCGCCTTATGGAACACCACCATCCCTACAGAGTACGGGGCGGTTCGTGGCTATCCTGCCTTCAATCAAACCGATATTGCGGTCACTGCGTGGAAGGGGGTGCCTTTCGCCGCCGACACCGGCGGGGAAAACCGCTTCCGACCGCCTCAGCCCCGCCCTCGATGGAATGGCACCCTGGAGGCCAAGGACTTTGGCTACGCTTGTCCGGATAGTCAGCAGACGTATGCCGTGGACGAGGACTGTCTCAGTGTCAATATCTGGACCAATGCCAACTCCACCGATGCTGGCCTTCCGGTGTTCATGTGGATCTATGGCGGGGAGTGCACTTCGGCCCAGCCCCTCTTCGATGGTGGTGGTCTCGCTCAGAAGGAGGTGGTGGTGGTCACCATCAACTATCGCGCGGGTGCTTTCGCCTGGCTCGCGCATCCTGAGTTGGCGCAAGAGTCCCCGCAGGGCGTCTCGGGCAATTACGGCCTCCTCGACCAGATCGAGGCGCTCAAATGGGTGCATCGGAACATCGCCAACTTTGGCGGCGACCCCAAGCGGATCACCGTTGCGGGCCAGAGCGGAGGATCAGCGGGGGTTTACCATCTGGTCAATAGCCCGTTGACCAAGGGGCTGATTCACGGCGCGATTGCGGAGAGTGGAGTCCGTTATCCTTACGACAGCCTGATCGCGGGTCTGGCGACCTCATATCGCACGATGGATGACGCGCTGAATATCGGAATCAACTTCACCCTCAACCATAACGTCAGCACGATCGCCGAGCTCCGAACACTGTCCATGGAAGCGCTCTTGGACCCTCGCGATTTCGAAGCGATCAACTGGATCACAGCCTTGGACACGGGCGAGCCCCCCAAATTCCGCCCCACGCTGGATGGGTGGGCATTCCCCGCCACGTACCTGGAGCTGCTGGAAACCGGGGCGGCCAACGACGTGCCGTTCATCACCGGCAACAACAAGGACGAGTCCGGCGCCTCGACGACCACCAACTACACGGTGGCGGAATATCAGTACTATTCCGCCTTCAAGTATGCCAACCTCTCCGCCCGGTTCTTCGAGCTCTATCCCGCCAACAACGACAGCCAGGCCGACCGGTCCTGGAATGCAGCCGCCCGGGACACCTCGCGGGTGTCTTCCTACCTGTTTGCCAACGCGTGGGCCCAAGCGTACACCTCCCCCTTCTACACCTACTACTGGGACCATGCCCCGCCCGGTCAGACACAGGGCGCCTACCACATGTCCGAGATCAACTACGTCTTCAACAATCTGTATGCCACCGATCTGCCCTGGACCAAGGCGGATTGGTTGATCGCGGATATCATGTCGAGCTACTGGGCCAATTTCGTCAAGACGGGCAACCCCAACAATGGATCCTCGTGGACGGGCCCGGGTCCGTTGGTGCACTGGCCCGCCAACCAACAGGAAAATGATACCATGCATCTGGGCTATACCCAGGGCGTTGGCCCCATCGGCAGTCCGGAGCAGGTGAGCCTGATCACGGACTTTTTCCACGGTCAGCAACCGTGGTGAAACTGACTATCAAAGATTATTAGAATTAACTAAAGCTAATATAATCTATTTCTTGTTACTACTAATAGTGGCTACAGGTCAGTACCAATAGTAGTCTGTTCAACAGGTATAGATACGTACACCCGGGACCATATAGGGGGCTCTGGCAACGACATTATCATGTTTCAAGATGAGTTGACGCGTAGTCAGGCAGAATGAATAGGCGGACTCGAGTCTTAATTATACTTACTGAATAATACCACAGTACCAGACCAGACCATCAATTTGTAAAATACGCGTAACAGGGCCGGTGCTCAGACCATCTGCACGGTCCATAGCATGAACGGAATGATTGGTGGGAGTACACTATAACCTACTATACACTTGTCGCACTCTACCACAATACCAAGTAGAGTATCTGCCCATTTTCTTCCTCTAGAATATTAGTTGATGGATTTGATTAATACCGCGCCTGGCTGCGATCTCCTCTGCCTCTGAGGTCTTCTTAAATATCTAGAAATTGAAAAAATATACAGAGTTAATGTTTAATCAAGAAAAAAGATTAAATAGAATTGACTAAGACCTTAATACCTCAGACTATAGAAACAACTCAGTAAGTCTAAGACATATTAGCAGATACTAAGGTGGAAGGAACCTCGATCTCCTTGGAGCCTCCAGCCATTCTAGGAATCAATCAATTAATCAAGAGACTATGAACCACCAAGGGTGTGATACTGATATATATGTCTTCATGTACACTGTAACCAATTTAACATTACCTACCTGGAGACCTCGGTCATGAGGCAGTGTGGTCAGGTTCATTTGGTCCATGGCGCTATTTAGACTCTCTTCTCAGTGATTTCTGACTCATTCTACAGTACGCCTACGACAAGATTGTCTCATGATGCAGAATCACCCCCATACACATACTTGTGCATGCAAGTATTCATTCTCCTAGCAAGGTGTGCATAGCCAACGCTGAACAGAATGAAGGACAGATGTCATACTTCCCCCAAACGACGAGACCCTCATCCCGAGAGACCCTGCACCTCACCACTACAAACACTGCGAGTAATATTCATTCTGCGCGGTGCAGGTGTAGCCACTGGCACACGTGGTCGGTCCCGTCCAGTACAGGCCACCGCACTGACCATAATGAGCCGCGACGGCCGTAGAAGTGGCGGTAGCAGCGGTGGTGGTGGTCTTGGTGCTGGTGGTAGTGGTTGTACTCGTGGCCTTCGTAGTGGTGGTCGCGGTAGCCACGGAGGTCGTGGTCGTCGTCCCCGAGGAACCGCCTCCTGGCGCATAGCTCTGCAACAGGGAAAGATAGTAGGTATACCCGGTTCCCGTCGGTGGCTCCATGCTGAAGATGTAGGTGCCCCACCAGGGTCCCGCGGACCACCACAGCGCGCCGAGCCACACGTCACTGGCGGCGCTCAGAGCATCCAGCATCCCCGTCACCGCCGTCAGGCACTGGCTGTTCGCCCCGCCGGCGAACTCCCCCAGAACCGCCTTCTTGCCATTCTCGCGCAACCAGGTGGTGGCGGCCGCGACACGCTCGGCGCCGATCGTGGTGCTCACGCAGCTGTCACTCGTGCCGGAGCCGTCGCTGTCGAGATACTGGTGCATTTCGTAGATGATCTTATCCGAGGGGTCCGTCAGGTTGACGAGGTTGGTGTTGTAGGTGGTCCAGGTCCAGGCGCCGCTGTAGGAATTCCCTTCGACGAAGATGTATTGGCTGGTCGCGCCGGCGGCACGGATGGCAGTGATAGCCGCTTGGTTGAGGTCGAGCACGAGGGTCTGGTCCTCGTCATGGTACTCATTGTCTAGTGATTCTGATCAGGGTACGAACGAGCGGAAGGAATGCGGGGAAGCGTACTGGTGTCGAAGATGACATGATCGTTGGACGCAAACACCGTCGCCACGGTCGTCCAGAACGCAGCAAAATCGGACGTGGAAGTGATAATGTTCCCATAACTGTTCACGGCTTCAGTGGAGATCTGTCTTAGGATCGGCATGGGACATACTATCTTCCAAAGTTGTGGGGGTCCACGACGGCATAAGCCCCTAGGCTAGTGATCGACTCAACAGTCTAGTAACGCGGGTTAGGATGACTATCACAATTCCCACAGATGCTAGAACATACGGCCTGAAGATCCGCCAGGTAGGTAGCATCCGGAGTCCCAGTCAACTGCGTAGGGATCAGTCGCTCCATCAGGAATGGAACGCGGAAGATGTTCATGCCCGCATCGAACAAGACCTTGATCTCGTCCGCCTCCGGCCAGATGTAGTCAGTCCCCAGCACACCGGGAATATTGGCCTGGCCAAACTCCGCCCCCGACTCACTGCTTCCAAGCCCTATCTCTCCAGTCAGGCTAGACTTCTCAGGAACTGAGGACGACGACACATACACAGAAAGTTGGAAGAGCGTTTGGCCTGAGGAGCAGCCCAGACCTGGGAGAGAAGCAATGCCAAGACAGTAAGCTTCATGATTGCAGTTGCGACAACGATATTTGAAGTCCTCTGGTCCTCTCCCTGCTCATCCAAGCTCCATCGGTCGCATTTATACCCCACGACAGAAGCCAAAGAGCCCAAATCGACCGCACCGCTGAAACGAGCAAGACGAACATCGTCGATTTCTTTCCCCACGAAGTCGGCCTCTCGGGCCGTCAGCCGCTGTCGATGACAGCCAGCGTGGAGGTGAAGCCATCGCGATTCCCCTCGAAATTCCCGCGGAGACACATCCGTCACGGCACTTTCATTTCCGCACAGACCTATGTGCATTTCGGGGGTGGCTGACCCCCCCCTTTCCCACTGCAGAACCGGTGACGGATTAGGCATGCCTTTGCCGAATGGGCATGGTGCGATGGGAGCGACCAAGGCTAATGTTAGTCTAATCTCGCTTAGGGTCGAGAATTCTGGGGTGCAGAAGGAGGTTAAATTACTGGATTAGTCACCTCCGTGCCAGAGCCCCCGATGCAGCCTGAAAACGGACCAAATCGTGATGCGGAGAATATCCCGTCCACCCACGTTGCTTGGCGCTGCAGGATCCGAGCCTGATTCTCCTCCCGACATCAAAAAGCCCTCCGGCGCTACTGCAAGTGCTTGTCGTTGTTGAGCTGTGAATAATAAGCGCCGAGACGTCGGTGGCGTGGTGTGATCAGGTGCCTCATCCCATTGTTCAGGGATTGTGGCGTTGATAACAGTCTTGGTGGGGATTGAGTAGTGTCCCTGGCTCATGGATTGACTTGTTGGGATATTTCTGCCTCGCTGCTTCAGAGTTCAATCACTCTGGGGGCTCATGCTTTGGACGTAGACATGTCGCAGTCGGTACTCTGTAACTATCTAAACCGCAATAACTAGATGATTATCGACATGTGTATGTACTAGTTGATGGAGAGAAAAGGGACGAAGAGTCACATTTGTATGCCATCGCAACACGCCGATGAGATGACTGGCTCAGAGAAGAGCATGAGACAGAGGAACTGATGGAAGCTGAGGCTGAGGAAGAGAGAACGAGAGATGAAGCCACATGTACAGAGTCACATGATGGTGCGGGGTTCCTTTTCTTCAGCGCCTCATCGGCCATCCTGGAATTTCTGCACCACCTCGTCGAATCCTGGACTCTTGGAACATTCACTCCGAGGACCACTACTACGACGACGACGACTACTACTACTACTACCCTGACCCTTTATGTGTCGAGGCAGAACCAAGTCAAGAACAACAGTCTTCCATTTGCTAGACTAACACGAAGCTCAAGGTCCTGCAAGAAGTGACAATTTGCCATCATGTGTTCGCCATCTCACCATCTCCCCCTCACCAGTCTCTTTCGCTCGATCATATCTTCAACCAGATACTTCACATCCGTCTACAAGCACTGAGAGTAGTACTGGTTGCTATAGGTGCAAGTGGATCCGCTGACACAGGTGGTCGGCCCAGTCCAGCCCTGGCCACCGCATTGACCGTATTTCTGAGCCACATTGGTGGAGGAGCTGGTGGTCGAGGTCGATGTCTTGGTGCTGGTCGTGCTGGTCGTGCTGGTCGTGCTGGTCGTGCTGGTTGAGGCCTTGGTGGTGAGGGTCGTGCTGGAGCCGCTGGAGGTCGAGCCGGAGAAGGTTGAGTTGAGGGTACCGAACTTGATGTTGGAATACGTGACATAGGCGTTGGGGTAGGTGTCCTCGACGTAGGTGGCATTGCCGGTGGTGGTCGAACAGGTACCGCGAGCAACACCCGGGCTGCTGGCCGAGCTGGTGGTCGGGTAGTCGCTGTCGAGCCAGAGCATGTCGGCGGCGTGGTCGTCCCACAGACTCATCACCAGGACCATCCCGTCACCCAGCGCGGAGCCCATGCCGGTCAGTCCACCGTGGGTGTCGAAGACGTTCTCGTCGCCGAACAGAGTCTTCTCGGCCGTGCAGAAGCTCTCGGTGATCGCGTTGCCGCTTGCAGCCGTGTAGGTGGAGGCGCCGTTGCCAATCACCACGCCGTTTTGCACGTAGAAGCGGCGGATCTCGCTCAGGCTACCGGTGTCGGTGCCATCGCTGGTGATGAATTGGGTCACAACGGTGAAGGACTGGCTGGTGTCGACGGTCTTTCCCGGGCCATAGAAGTCGGTGTTACCCAGGCGGTAAGGATTGAAGTCGCAGCCATCAGGATCACAAGTGCCAGCATAGCGGTCGTCGCTGTAGGTGCCACCGCAAGCATCGCCCTCACACATGGTCTGCTGGACCGAGTCGCACGGGTGGGCGGTGAAGGCGTTGGAAACGCTGTTCGCCTCCCAAATGTCCATCTCCGGGCAGCAGGAGCCGTGGTCACCGGTACCGGCATTGACGTCGGTTGCAGATGGCTCCCAGCCTTCAACGTTGGCTTCGCCATCGATAAACTTGAGATCCCGCGGGCATTGGGAGTCGCAGTACCCAGTGCCGTACTTAGCACCCGCTTTGTTGGTGGGGAAGCGGGAAACGCCACCGTCAGCGTCCATGGAGACGAAGTAGAGGGCGCCGTTCAGACCGCAGGGAAGGTTGGAGACATCCACATCGAAAGTGAATTCCCGGTTGAGCAGCTGGAAAGTCTCGTAGGTGCTATCATTTTCCAAGAGATACAGACGCGAACCGATGTTCTTCTGCGAGGCGGTGGTGACGAAGTTGAGACGGAGCGACGAGCCGCTGGTGGTCACACCGTAGGTGCTGGAGTATTCGGCACCCTCGAGGGCACAGTCGGCCGCGCACTCGACATCGGTATCGCAGATGGAAGTGTCCCAGGTGTTGCCGGTGTAGCAGTTGGTGTAGCCACCCACTTCGTGCACCCAGCGCCAATTGGCATCAATGACCACGCTGCCGGTAGTGGTGGTACAGCTACCACTGCCGGTGCAAGTTTGCCAGGTCAAGCTGGGATGCGTTTCAGCCTGGGAAGTGCCGACCTGCTGCGCATTGCTGGTGGCCAGCATGCAAAGCAGGAGAGCTGTCTTGTAGATGGAGAAGGAGTCAACCATGGTTGCTAGCTGCTGGAAGAAGAATTGAAGCTTTGAAACTGAACTGGCGAGGATGATCGAGCTGATGATGGCGAAAGAAACCATGGGCATGGCATGGCTTTTATATCTTCATCTCCCCTATGACTTTGCTTCCCTGCCAGTCTCTTGAAGATGGATCGTGAAGCTATTGCCGCCAGCCCCAGAGAGCACGACGGCTGTCCGGACCGCATCCCGACAGCAATTTCGTAGACGCTGTACCCAACTAGCCACCTCCGCATCGTCTCCCCAGCTAAAGACCGTGGGAGTCCGAAATGAAGGGGTTAGTTCCTTGACAGGAACGGCAGTCCGCCGCCGGCTAATTGCGCTTCCGTGGGGCGTCAGCTGGGACCATCTGGAGAAGAACCGTCCCCAGATTGGTAAAGCTGGGGTTGTTGAGAATAGCCGAGGCATGGGCTGATTGCGGGTCGATTTCCCCAGTTTCTGCAGTTTGCTGCTTCCTGGTTCAAGGTGAAATACCGACTTCAGGAGGCTTGCATGGGCTGCTGTCCGCAGGTGCTGCTGCAGTGTAATTGCCGTACGCAACCCTGTTTAGCCTGGCTACTAACCACGGGGTCCCCACGATGGAGGCCAATAACTTCCTGAGAGCCCTGTTCTTTGCAGGGCTCTCGGAGTTGTGTTGTGTAGGGGCCTGGGTCAAGAAATCGCGCATACATAGTGAGGGGGAAGTCAAGGTGAAAGGAAGATGAGGCCAAGTGGTTTCTGTTGTTGTTCGTCTTCTTCTCCTTCCGTGTGGGGCCTGACGGTTCAGGCATCCACTTCTGTGGCGGCTGCCTGGCGCGAGCCCTACATTTTGTCTTTATTGATCTTATATTCTTATATTCCTATTGATCACCGTCTGTCCGCATGCCATCTGCTGCCCTACTTTGCCCATACAGTCTTCAAACTCATGACAGAGGGGGAGCTCATTGTGTTGATGGCGGCGGCAAGGGCGTGTTTTTGGGCCCCAGGCACCAACTACTCTCTACGTGACTTGAATCTCGCACACACTACGTATCGAGAGCCTGGCGCGTACTTGATCTTCTTTCGTGACCTTGGAAGCTTTTATGGTGAATCCTCACGAGACGAACAGACAATACGCAATCTCAACAAGCCTCTACACCTCATCCCAGATCTCAATCTCGTGCACCTCCACCTCCATTGTCCAGTTCCCCCTCCATTCCCTGGCCTGATACCCCCCCTTCGTCGACACGACATGCCGCACGCTCATTCTCTTCAGATCCTTCTCCAGCACCAATTGCACGCCTTTTCCGTCTTCTCCAAAAACTAATGTCCCTTCCCTCGCATCAAACCGATAACCCGGCCGCGGGATCTCGGCTGTACTCCCCGGAAAGACATCCTGCACCGGATGCAACTGAAACAGAAGACACGAAGCCGCCGCACCCTCTAACCCTGCCCAAGGGAGATGAAATCCGAACACTACTTTCTGGCGGGACCGCATACACCGTCCGGCAATCAACACGACCGTAAGCTCCTCATCGTCGCGCAAAAAAGCCGTCAGCGCCTCTGCGGATGTCGCCGCGCTGTTGGTGGTGTGGGTGTACGCCCCGCGCAGCAATAGCGAGTCGAAGGCCACCGTCTCCGCGAGAAGCATCCCCATCTGCGCCAGGACAGGCCGTGTGACGATGTTGCTTGGGGAGGGTAACTGGTCGAGGATGTCCTTTCTGTCATCTGCTGGTTGGTACAGGGGGGCCAGCAGCTTCTGTAACCCGACAAAGAATTGCGGCTACCCCGGGTTAGCATCATCATTATCATTGAACAGCTTGAACCGAACCAGGAACGGGGAAGAGAGATACGAACCATAATATCTCGAACAACCTCATCGAACCTCTCCCACGCCACCAGCCCGTCCTCGTCTCTCGTGAAGGCCTTTACCACAGACTCAGCTGCTTCCTCCAGCCCCTCCTCCCCTCCAGTTTCTGTGTTTTCTCTTTTCTCCCTTTCCCTTGTAGCAACAGTGTACTTGGCATCAATGCCAAAAAACCCCTCCAAGAATAACCGCACCACCACCTTCAAGCCACTCCGTGAAATGCCCAACTCCCGCACCCTGACCCTTCTCTCCCCAACCTCCTCCGCACCAGCTGCAGCATCAGCTTGAACTTCCACCTCGTGAACCAATTGCTTAGCCACCTCCCTCCACCCCGCCCTCATCACCCCCGCCTCCCAGACCTTCTTATCTTGCACATTATACAACACATCCAGAACGTCATGAAACATCTCATCCCCATCCTCATCATAGTTCACCGCACAGAATTCTAACTGCACCGGATCGTCCTCCGCGGAGGGGATATCAAACGCATTGCGCCGGGCGTGCTCCCGCTCGCGCTCCCGTGCTTCACGACTCTCTTCCTGCTCCGCAGTTTTGGGTACTACCCCACTCGCAAGACCCTGGAAGACGAGGCGCCGGAAATCTGCTCGCGTCCGGCGGCGGGTGAGGTTGCTCTGCTCGAAGAGCTCCGGAGAGCATGCGATTTCGGGGGAGGCGAGCGCGAGGGCGCGGAGGAGGGCGGCGTAGGATAAGCTGTTCGGGAGGGGGAGGGCGTGGAAGGGGAAGGTGGAGAGGTAGCAGAGGAGGCGGTAGATGTTGGTGAGGGCGGGTGTGTGAACTTCTTGTATGGATGCTGGAAATACTCCGAGGAAGGCCTCTAGGGTGAGTTTCTCTTCGGTGGTTTCGGTGGTTGCTGTCGTGGTGAGGAGTTGGTGGATGTGGGTGGTGTTGAGGAGGTTGGTGGCCTCGATTTTGGTCGTTAGAGCCTGTAGGGTTGCTTCGGGGGTAAGCGTGGACATTGTGGAATTGAATGATGGGCGTTGCTTTGTTTTGTTTGCTGTGGTTGTAGAGTGAGTTGGGTGGGGGGTATATGAGGTGCGGGTGAGTTGCGTTGGTGTTATGTATGAGCAGGAGAGGAGGAGAGGAGATGAGATGAGGGGCAAAAGACAAGAATCCGAACCAGGCACTGGTCACCGGTGGTCTGACTCAGATTCTACCGACTCTCAGAGTCTAGTTCAGTTTCAGTAAGTCTCACTTCAGCTACAGACCCTGTTGGTTCCGGATGCGACTAACCCAGAAACCTCCGCCCCCCCAACATCGGCCCCAACCCAAGCCCTAACTTCCTGACCTCCCTCCCCCTTCGGGGGCCAAATACTTCCTCCCAACAAGCACAACAACAACAACAACAACCACCACAACCACAACCAAGTATATTTCCGACAAGAAAAATGGCCCCCATCAGCCTTTTTCAACTCAGGAAGGTCTTCCGAGTGTGCGCGCGTCTCAGCTTGCATCCTGCGTTCGATGAACCCTGAACCGCAGCATCGTCCGATGAACCTCCAACGGGCAGCTAAGCTCACCAGATGTAGTCAGAAACATATATAAACAATCCAGTACTACCCAAGCTAAACAGCCATCAACCTCATTCCCTCGTTTCAACTTCCACAGTCTTTTCTCTCTCAAAGCTACACTCGTTCCTAGTCTCTTGCATTACCAAGACCATGAGAATCAACACCCTCCTTTCCATCTTCCTCGCCACCCTGTCAACTGGGATAGGAGTGACCTCCAACCCGATCCCCAACGCCAGCCCAGAAGACCCCACGCACGGCTCCATCCAAGCCCTCAGCGGCCGGGCAGTCCACAACGTCGACCCGCTCCGCCCGGAGCTCATCACGCGCAGCCTCGACGAAGACACGCTCTTCAGCCTCCTCCACGCCCGCAACCCGGACCCCATCGACTCAGAAGAAGAGGATCATGACCTCACCATCACCCTCGGCACCCGCGCTGGCAGCACCTCGTCGCAGACGGTCGAAGAAACCTCCACCTACAAGCTCTTCTCCGCCGCGCACAGCGGCATGACCAAGGATGGCTACTACGCCTTCACGGCCAAGTACACGACGGGGACGGCGCCGGGCGACGACAGCACCGAGGCGGTCATGGCGGAGGTGCAGAAGGACTACGGGTTCGACCACATCGTGCTGGTGGTGGGCAAGGTGACCGAGACATCCACCAAGAAGAAGCTGAAGCGGGACTTTGTGGCCGTCATGCACCACCTCATCATCACGACCTACCCGAACACGATCTACCAGAAGAAGAACTGGAGTCTGGGGAAGACGACGCCCAAGATTGAGTTTGTGAAGACGACGACGGCGAAGAAGGACTCGGCGCTCGCGGCCAAGGGGAAGGCGTATGAGAAGGAGCATACGACGTGGGAGGCGAAGGTGAATGATTGTCAGACGTTTGTGACTTATATGGAGGGGTATATTTAGTGATTGGTTTGGTGGGATAGGGGGGGGGAAGTGATCATTTTTGTGGTAAGTATGCAAGTGTATGCGAGGTTGGACGGGGGAGAAGGAGGCAGGGGTGTATGGTTGGTCTATTACTACTCTTCTGTATTGTACGTGTCTGATCTTTGTGTTTATTGTTGGCATGAGTGCCGTGCATATACAGTGCTTGCAAGAAGTCTTTGTAATCAGTATTCCCCGCTTTCAGCTTGAGTTGTCCTGAGGAGAGAGAACAAGAAAATACATACTCCCTCGGCTGTAGCAGATGGAAAGCGAACATCAATGCATCCTACCTTGCAGGTATCTCTTCGTTCAGTATAATATGGCCATGGAGGTCTTTCATGTTTCTGCTGGCAACATCCCCCTTCTCCCCGCGCCCTGTCATTGTGCAGCCCTAATACCTTACTATCAAGGGAGACTTTCAAGATTCTTCTTTGACTGTAGACTATTTCGCCAAATGATTCTAGGCCCTTCTACTACGCGACATGTCCATCAGCTGTCTACCAGATTCATCACCCATGACGCGAAAGGAAATCTGGTTGCCATGTAACAAATGGCTTTGGCAAATAGTAGGATCAACCAGACATTCCCGCCTCTATGTCCCAAGCTAACTCCCTCGCCAAACGGAGTCGAATACAAGCCCGGCGACTTTTGCATGAATTAGTTCTTGATGGGACTGGGCGATGGGGCGGTTGGATCATCCGAATGCTGATTTAATGATACCGATACTGCTCCTTGATAGCGGACTTTTGCTGAGAAGGCAAGCGCTAGTGAAAAGAATCCAGAAGTCGTGCTCAACCAGCTGAAGGGTTTGCAGCTAACCTGACCGTGAAAGATCAATCCATAACGCTGCCAGTATTAGGAAATTGATGAGGCTATCGCTATGACTGACTGCTATTGGCAAGCCGCTGATGCAGAGGATGGTGTATCCTGTATCGGATTGTACTCTATTAGCAGGCCTGATGCAAGGAAGAGTTCTGGCCATTGGCTCACATTTACACCGAAAGATATAGTTGATCAGGGAGTGGGTACAGACATCCAAAAGTAGCTTGAGCTGACGCAGAGTTGCTTCCAGCGTTCGCGCTGGGAAGGGGGGGGGGCTTAGCAAGCCGTTCTGTCGTTGATCTTGGTGGGTTTGTTCGTTATCGTAGGGGCATAGTAGGGGGACTAAAACACCTTATATTCGACGGGATATTAAGATCACTGCACAGATGAAGGCTTCAAGAGGAGACCTTGTGAGGAGGCGGTAGGATTAACGATGTATCTTAACTTCCTATGCAATTCGGCTACCATGAACTATGCAGAATGTAGTCTAACTAGCGGTTTCACCCGGGTCACCCTCATATCACTCATACCCCAATCGCCTTGTCCAGCAAACTGCTCGGTGCCACAAAACTAAACCCTCCAAACGGATTGCTCTCCCCCAACCCCAATGACACCGCCGGAACAGCGGCCTGAGACGCCTGATAGCGTTCGTCGAACCCATGAATGATCGGACTCAGCGGCAACTGCGTAAAGTCCACCGAGAAGTTCTCCGCCAGCGCCGGATCCGTGACCACCGGGTTGATCGGCGGAGTCACCTCGCGCCGCTCCAGCGCTTTCCAGTCGATTTTCCGGAAAAACCGGTGGCTTTTGATCGTCTGCAGATCCTTGGGCATGTGATAGCCCAGACGCTTCGACGGCTCCTTCCGGAGGAGGCGCGTCAGCAGATCCTTGGCATCCGGTCCCAGAAAGTAGGGCAGCGCTAGTTTCTGCTTCAGGATTTTCTCCTGCAGCTTGGCGTTGTTGTTCGCTCTGAAGGGCGGCGATCCGGTCAACAAGTCATACCCCAGGGCGCCCAGGGACCACCAGTCGCAGGCCTTGCCGTACGGTTTCCCCTGAATGACCTCCGGTGCCATGTACTCGATAGTCCCTAGAGACGAGTTGCAGCGGTCGTCATCACTGACAGCAATTTTGCTCAACCCAAAATCCGTCAAGAGAAGGTGGCCTTCCTTGTCCAGCAGACAATTCTCCGGCTTAAGATCCCGGTAGATCACCCCGACAGTCTGGTGCAGATGCTCCAGCGCCAGCACCATCTGCGCCATGTAGAAGGCAGCCGCATCCTCGTCGAACATGCGCTCCAGGGCCAGATGGTGGAACAGCTCTCCGCCTTCGGCGTACTCCAGGATGAGGTACAGCTTCTCGTGATCCTGGAATGCATAGAACAGCTTCACCACGAACGGGTGGCGGTTGACGCTCTCCAGAATCATGCGCTCGGTCTTGGTCTGCTCCACTAGCTTTTTGTGAACGGTGATTGACGCCTTACGAAACTGCTTCTGCGCATACAGCTTCCCCGTCAGCACGTGACGCACCAGCAGGACCGTTCCGAAAGATCCCTTGCCTAGGCACAGCAGGGGCTCAAAGTCGTCGGTCGTCATCTTGCGACACAGCTCAGTGCGCACGGCGCGCCCGTTCGATGCCTGTTGCGATTTCTCCTCCTCTACCGCATCGGCGCTGACGTAGTCGTGGTCCAACGGCACCTCGTAGCTGGTCAGAACCTCCGTTTGGTCACTATCCGAGCAGACGCTAGCGTTGCTGGGCGTCTCCGAGCGGGCACCCTGCCCGGACAGGCTCATCGAATCCAGCTGGAGCTTCAGGGCGCTCACCCCGCACCCGGTCGCAGGTTGCACCAGCGGGCTGCTAGGGCCAGTCCCGGTAGGCGCGGGGGGACGTGAGCTCGGAGCGCGCGAGCTGCAGGCCGAGCGATCCGAGTCCTCGTCGCCAGAGCCGCGAGGAGTGAATCCGCGCACGGTCGAGAGGGCCGGTGCCACAGCTGGCGCGGCCTGCTTTTTCTTCTTCTTCCGACGGTCTGCCTTGCCGGCCAGGAGGTTTCCGTTCAAGGCCGGCGCAGGAAAAGGCTTGCCGCCATTGACACCCGCGGGACCATTCAATGCAGCCTGGCGATCAGGACTACGGGCACTGATTCGGAAGCCGGTTTCCTGACCATCGCTCATGGTCTGGTCCGGGCGAGAGTGCGACATGTCAGCCTGTGGGCTGAAAACATCCCCGACCGAAAGGTCATCCGGGGTCATGGGTGCCGGAAAGTCCATTTGTGTGAAGTCGCGAATGATCGCAAAGACACGCGGTACGAATCGAAACGAGGCCGATTACAGGCCCTCAGGCATCGGCAAATTCAGGGACGCCCGTTAGCGGCAGCCTAGTGGTAGTCCAAACGGTCAGGTCCCATCAGGCATAGATACATAACCAAGCACGCACGCGGGGTAATCCACAGCCGGTTTGCAGACCCCAAGACGCAAGGAGGTCAGACTGTAAAACTTACTCACACCAATTGGTAAAGGACAGATCCGAGACAGCCTGCTTCCAACACTTGTGGGAGTATTGTGCACAAAGGCCTCAAACTCGCACCGAATTACCGTCCGCCCTTATTCAGGACGGACCCTGGACCCTTAGCCAAATCACCTCGCCAGCAGTGAAATCGGGCGAACGAGCGGATGACACGGCCTGGGTGCCAGCCAGTGTGGGATATCGAGACACCGTCAACGAAGAGAAAGAATTGGAGAAAGCAAAAGTGTCGATAGGGGAGCCAGCGGCGGAGCGGACTTGAGCGAAGGACAAAAGCGTGGAGGGCGCAGACAGGCACATAGAGATACAACGGGGCTCGGCAGCCAACGAGGCAATGATGAGATGAATATGAGGAATGAGGAAGAGAAGATATACACGACACACACAGGAAAATGTGTCTTCTTCTTCTTAAGGACTAAGGACCAACAAGATTCCCTTTTTCAAGGAGGGGGTGAAGGGAGGCGGAGGGGAGAAATTAAAGGAGGAGAAGAAATCAAGGCAAGGCTCCATTGGGAAGAAGCTGACCTCTGCGAAACAAACCCAAAAAGGCCGATGATGCCCGCCCTAAAATCAGCCAATCATCACTGGTCGGGTGCTAAGCGACGCTAGTCCAGATTGGCGCCGGGCTGCATCACGTGGCTGTGTCATTGGTCAGGCCTCCCTCTGCAAATCATCATATACGAGGATGATATACTACTACGTAGTAAGTATAATCCTATCACAAGAACAACTCAAATATACTAAAATAACAGCAGTACATCCATCCTACTCGAAAAATGATTGCGACCGGGTGATCTGCACGCCAGATCGTTCTACAAACGACAACGCGCTGGGCTTCTGAACCAACACCGTCACTCGTTCATTGCCAAACTCCACCGTCACAATGCGCGCCACAAAGGTAGCCAGCGCCTCCACCGTCTGAAAACTGGTGGTTTCGATCCGCTACACCTCGAGTGTTAGCAGTCGCTCAACCGCAATCAGCGTCCCACAAGCTTACCTCTGCCACAGCCCGCGTCATGGCCTGGTAGGTATTGATCACCGTAGATCCCCAGGGGAGCTGCCCGGGACCCTTGAACTCCAGCGAGACAATCACCGCCTGCTTTTCCACCCGCTCGTGGGAGTTGACTCCCAGGATACAGTAGCACCGGATGCCGTCAATCCGAAACTCCTCCTCCAATACCACCGGGCACCGCTCCGACTCCGCCAGGTTGTCCACAGCAGCAGCCCCGTTGCGCGATCGGTAACCCCACACAGTCACGCTCCGATATTTGAGGCCCTCCTCCGCGCGCAGCAGCGCTTTGGGTAGGTGCAGCAAGACCTCACACTGCCCAAACACCCCGTCAATGGCCGGGGGCGCGGACGGACTGAAGATAGCCGCCTGCGCCTGCGCCTGAGAGCCCGCCGACGCACTGCTCCGGCGCCGGCCATCGTGGTGCACATGCGACATGCGACGGACCCCAGCGGCGGTCTCGTCGAGGAGACCCAATCCACAGTTTGCGACAATCCCCGCCGTTAGCCGCACATCTTCCCCGAGAGCAGCCCCCAGCATCTCGTCCCGTCGACTGCCGTCAATGCTGACCATCTTCTGCGCCGAGACTTCCCCCGCGTGGCCCATCGTGCGGATATCCTCCTCGAGGCGGCGGTAGAGCTTTCCGTAGTCCAGAGACAAGGAGACATCGTCGGCGATAGCGGCGGCCACCGCAGAGGAGTAGGATAGGTTCAGCGATGCGGTGCAGGGCTGCGGCTTGCTGGGACGGTGCCATGGATCGGGGGCCGCGGGGAGCGTCAACTGGATATTTTGGAGCCGCACGCTGTCAAGCACCGGAGGATGGGATGGAATATGGACGTTCACGCGTTGATCGGCCATGATGCCAGCTTCTGGTTTTCTGGGGGTGGTGAATTCGAAGAAGCGGATGATGAGGGAGAGGTGGGCGAGCTGTGAGGGAGGGAGCCAGCTCTCTCAGCGGGTGACCGTCGGGAAGATGCTGAAGCTACCGAATTTCGAGACCCTGCCGGTGACGTCAGCCCACAAAAACGTCGAGGTGAATTCAATCAACCTGAAGACAGGTAACTTTGGGAGAATTAACTCGCACTCAATGAAGCTCGGGCAAAACCTGTCTATTGATTGCTATCTCAGTGCGATAGGCGGGGGGAGGGGAGTAGTCGAGTCACAGGCAAAATAATAGACGGGTGGGGGGATCCTCCATCTTAGCGCGGGGAATCGGTTTTCTTGTTGCCTTGTGGCCTGGTGGCCTGGTGGCCTGGTGGCCTAGTGGCCTGGCGGTCTCTTACACCTGGCAAATGCATCTTAGATAAGTTTACTAAACCCATTCCTCCCCCGTTATGTTCAAAGGAATTCTTATTCAATAGTTCCAATGTACACGTACAAATGTTCATGGAGAGAATGAAATTCACATCGTTAGATATTACGTCGCAGAGGGATGGTCGCATGCGGAACCTCAAGAGACCAGCCCAGAGCACAAGTTGTCGAATCATTGGGTCATCATACCACATCCAGTAATTGATCAGGAACACCTTCGTCTCTTCGTTCGTGATTATTTTTTTCTTCGCTGCCTCGTCTCGGCGACAGACACACCTCCGCATGTTATTTTCCGTCGTATCCGGTCCCGGAATGTAAGTGAGGGTGGCCGGGTCGATTTATTCTGGGGACCGGTAAAAGAAGGAACGCAAAATGAAGCAATTCGAGCAACAGGAATCACATCCATCAGAAAGCACAGTGGGTATCCGCCATGCACTTAATGAAACACAATCAAAACACTGCAAATGAGCCCCTACCAGTAACCACGGCGCTCGTAGGGCATGTACTCGCCCCGTGGAGGACTCCGGGGCCGCGGGTAGGCTCTGGCTTGCATGTAGGGGTCCTCATAGTGCCGGGGCGGAGGTGGCGGGCCATACGGATCCTCATAGGGTCGACGCGGAGGAGGATAGTCTTCCATACGAGGGCGAGGAGGCGTCCGGCGTCCGTACCCATCCCGCTCATAGTACTCCCGACGCATGGGGATTGGGGACCTTTCCCGGTAATGAGCCCGCGGGCTGTAGCCACGGGGTGCCGGGAATCTGCGGTCGTATTCCTCCATGGGGGGAAAGCTCCGGCGAGGGGATCGGGACCGGTAGGGATCCCGGAAAGAACGGTCTTCCGGAGGGAAGCTCTGGATCTAAATAAGATATGAACATTCTGGACTGGTTGAAGTTCTGTCAAGAGACCTTACATCGGCGATACACGTCACGCGGGATCCTTTAAATTCGCGCTGGTCGAGCTTCTCGACCGCAGTCTTCAAGTCGTTGGCGGTCTCAAACTCAACAAATCTTCACATGGCATTAACGGCAATCCGACGGGCATCCAGGGGAGAGGAAAGGTGACGCACCCTCTGCCAGGTTCACGACCAGTTTCGGAGTACACCACATCGAGGCCAGACTGACGGGCGAAGTCTTTCAAATCCTAGAGGATAAATTGGTGAGTTCATTTCCCGGTGAAGCAGATCAGAAGTCCAGTGGCTCCATGGGCTTAGAGCAAAAGTGTAGGCGAGGGGCCGGTCGCAGGGAGGACCCAAAAGACCAAATTCAAGATCCAAGGAAAGTTGTCCAAAAGCAGCAAGATGATTCCTTCCAGGTTCGTGTCGTCCAGTTCTCATCCTAACTCAGTGGAGAGCCAAGAGTGCCCGTTGTGTATTGAGTATGCATCCAGAAGGTCGACCAAAGTCGTTCGGAATATCCAAAACCAGGGCGGGCTGGGTACGTGCAGACAAAGGTGTAAAGATCAAAGAAAAAAAGAAAGAAACAGGCAGGGAATGTCAAGAAACGCCGATGAGCCGATGTTTGAAGGGTCCGTCTGTTCCTAAGGAGAGGGGGCTTGGGCTGCTAACCTGCCAACTTGTTTCCGGGAGTCCAGAAAGCAACATGCGGAAGATCGTGCGACGGGGGCGAGGCATGTTGGGACGGTCCATCGGGCCTGGGAAGTTCTCCTTGCGGCGCGGCCCACGGGCAAACTGCACAGTGAGTCGCTCGCCCTTGAAATCGCTGCCATCTATGGAAAGAGTCAACCCAGTCGGCCTGAAAGTTCGGCCAGTGGTATCACGTACGAAAGGCTAGAATTATCAGATATCAGTTCACGGTCAAGTCAGGTGCTCTGCGCTTGTGAGGAAGATAGAGACTCACCGGGAACGACATCTCGAGCATCCATCGCGTCTTCGTACTCGATGAATCCGAAGCCATTCATCAGTTTGATCTCTGTGATTTTCCCAGAGCCATGGGTGCTGAAATGTTCCTCAATATCCTGCTTGGTTACTGAATGAATGCTGCGGCGCCCATGTGGGCGCCACAGATAAAGGTCAGCTCATTGCGAAAACAAATGCACGGCGAACGATCCAAGAAAGGCAAATTGAGAAAGACCTCCCCAGCAGTGTCCGGGTCCGAGGGAACCCTGCGCAGAGTGGAGAGGAGGGCGCGCGCAGGCCTGGTTCCTGGCTAGCAACCCCAAACAGAGAGAATCTGACAGCAGGAAAGAGGTACAATGGTCCACTGAACCAGGTCGCTCAGGGGAGAATTCAAAGAAAATCCATCCAGACCCATGGCAATCCAATGGATATCCGTTTACTATGGCGCAGATGGACTAGAATGGATTCGAGAGAAGATATCCAGATTGTATGGAAAGAAGACCTTGAAGAACGGATAGATGGCTGCATACCATTGCGGGGAAGGTTCCCGAGATAAAGTCGGGTGTTCGAGACTTCAGTCATGGCTGGAACTCCGAAAGCAAACAAAGCAAGTTGCGGGGATGATCCAATCGATAAGGCAAACCAATGGTGGCCTCAGAAATACTTCCAGTTGTTGAGTGGATAACGAGCCACAGGTGAGAATACTGGCCTGCTTGTTGTTTTCTCCAATGGTGCGTACTCCAGGTATCTAATTGCGACAAGGAATGGTGGCTCGAGTAAGTAGGTGTTCCAGATAATCCGGGAGACGGACAAGACGGTCGAAATGTTCCGGATAAGATCAGTAGAGGTACGCTGGCCTAGAGCTGTGGATGGTGTGGCTGTCTGGGGCGCAATCGGAGGGAAAAGGAGAGAGGTGCGGAGGGGACAGCTGATGCTGGATTATCGTCGGAACGGGGTTGTTTATATGAGGAGCTCTGCTAGTTAGGGGTGGATGGGGATGTGAGTAAGGAATGAAGTATGGGAATGGCAGTTCAAGAAGCTTGACAAGGGGAAGGAAGAAATGAGGCAGAAGAGTTTGAAAAGTGAAGAGGTGGAGAGAGAGAGAGAGAGAGAGATGAGAGAAGATAGAGCGATCGTCACGGCGCGAAAAGAGGAGACGAGCAAAGAGGCGGGCGGCCGGGGCGGGCAAGTACTACTAACTAAGGTAAGTTGTTGACCGCCAGGGCAATTGTTCGGAGCCACTGGCGGTGGAAGGCATCCAATGGCGGGCGGCGCTCCCGAAATCGCCTCACTCTGCGGTTCCACGTGGCCCCGCCCTGTCCAGTTCCTGACTTTGCCTGCTGTACGGAGTATACACAGTAGGTATCGATTATCGTACCAAGTCTACCCAGGTCAGCTTAGGAAGAGCATTGAAGTGATAAAGAAGCAATGGAGTAGGACTTATATATAGAAGAGTATGGTGGAGCTTCTCATCTCACTAAATATAACACAACTAAGTATACTAGTATACATATATGATACCAAGTACTCCGAAGGGTTCTTGGCTTATAGTTGCAGAGATTTATATTTCCCGTTACTCGGAGTGTGCAACACAAATCAAGAATCCCCCACATTGCACCAAGAACACAGCTATTGTCTTACAGCCTCATCTGGTGTCTTATTGTGGAGCCCCAGGTAGTTGGCAGTTGGGATAAGAGATGTAGGCAATAGTAGTTTGTCCGAAACGTCCGAGGTATCGCCCACTACTGTGTAGTGTAGTATAGCCCTGAGGTTTTCCCAATCAAGTCCAAGTATCTACCATTGCACCAACCATGAGAACAAACTATACCAACAGCTCCTTCGCTTGGCAGAGAAGTATAGATAGCATGAAACCTCAATTTCATGGGTAATCACCCTCCCTTATCTTCATGAGAAAATAGGCTTTGAATAGGTCAATAATCATGCACATACTCTGTACTCTGCCGACAGATCCGTTGCAAGTCGTGAGAACGAACCTTTCCGGAAGACAGTCCGCCACTCCGGAGATTCCTCATCTGTGAGGTATAACACAGTACACATAGCATGCATGCTATAGATCACCACAGCTGAACCGCGGCTGGCCAAGCGGATGATCCGCGCCGGCCCCCGCTAGCCCATACACGGACTAGTGGCTTGGCACCACGCCTCAGGGAAAGTGGCTGTGGCCTCAACGATGCTGCTGTAGCCTGTACGGAGTAAGCCTGTAGGTACCGAGTGCCAAAGAATGAGGCGAATTAGTGTGGATTATGTACATGGTGCCACATCATCTGATCAACTATTTTTGCTTTTGCTAAATTACAATGGGTATGTCGGATCAGGTCTTGAAATACTTAGGTCCCTCGCCACCCTGGGGCGTCTGCCAGTTGATGTCTTGAGTCGGGACCTTGATGTCACAGGTCTTGCAGTGGATGCAACTGAGTATGGTTAGCATATGCATACGGGCCAGTTGCTTTGCTAGTACTTACTTCTGAGCATTGATTTGGAAGCGGACACCATGTTGCTTGCTGGGATCCTCCACATACTCATACACACCGGCCGGGCAGAACCGGTTCTCAACACCTTGGTACTTGGGCCAGGCGATATCCGTGTGCTTATCCCAGTCTTCCACCTGCAAATGGACAGGCTGGTCCTCCTCGTGGTTTGTGCCGGTGCGGCTGACGCTGGTGAGAATGTCGAAACTGATTACGCCGTCCGGCTTGGGATACTCAATCTTGTTGCATTCGGAGGCCAGTTTGGTGGCCTCAGCATCGGTCTTGTGGTGCTTGAGCGTCCAGGGCGTCCGGCCCTTGAGGATATACGCCTCAAGTCCAGAATACAAAATTCCACCGTAGAGACCGAGGGGTGTGCCGAAAGATGGCCGCATGTTGCGCACCTCGTACAGTTCCTTCCAGATCGACGACTTGCGCAAAGCCTCTTCGTAGTCGAAGAGGAACACACTACCATCAGGGTTACCCTGGAGAGCTGCGAAGGTGGACTCCGCAGCTAACATGGCAGACTTCATCGCGGTGTGCGTTCCCTTGATCTTGGGAACATTCAAGAACCCGGCGCTGTCACCAATGAGGGCGCCACCGGGGAAAGCACACTTGGGAATAGACTGGAAGCCACCCTCGTTGAGGGCACGTGCGCCATAAGAAATACACTTGCCACCCTCCAAGACTTCCCTGAACAGAGGGTGGTGCTTGAGTTTCTGAAACTCCCCATAAGGCGACAGCCAAGGATTCGGGTAGTCCAACCCAACTACCAAACCAATGCTGACCAGGTTGTCGCCAAAGTGGTACATCCACGCTCCACCATAGGTATCCGAGGGAAGGGGGTAGCCAAGGGAATGTGTGATTTCACCGGAATTGAACTTCTCCGGCTGGATCTCCCAAATCTCCTTCAACCCGATACCATACGTTTGCGGTTGGCTGTCGCGACGAAGGTCGAATTTCTTGGACACTTGCTTGGTCAAGCTTCCATGACAGCCCTCAGCCAGCAAGGTGACTCGCGCATGAAATTCCATACCCCGTTCGAAACTGTCCTTCGCCTTACCGTCGCGACCGATACCAAGATCGTTGGTTGCGACACCAAGAACGGAGCCATCGGGCTTGTAGACAACCTCACTGGCCGCAAAACCGGGGTAAATCTCGACGCCAAGTTCCTCCGCCCGCTCTCCCAACCATTTCGTAAGCTCGTTCAAACTGATGATGTAGTTGCCATGGTTGTTCATCTGCGGCGGCGCGGGAAGCGGGAAAGACGAGTTTTGTGTCAGAAAGCGCATCTTATCCGCCTTCGCCGGGGTCGCCCCCTCGAAGCGGGATGGGTTGTCCTCCGAAAGCCAGTCGGGCAGAAGTTCGTTCAAAGCCGTCGGTTCGAGGACGTTGCCTGACAGCACGTGGGCGCCCAACTCGCCGGCCTTTTCCAACAAAATGACGCGGAATTCCTCGTTACCGGCTTCGTTGGCTAATTGCTTCAGTCGAATAGCGGCGGCAAGACCAGCCGGGCCTAAGTCCAGCGACGAAACAGACAACGGTCAGCCACTTGACACTCTTCCACTTGCGCTATGATGACACCCTCGTGAATGAGTCAATGCGGGGGTCCTTACCGCCACCGACAATGCAAACATCCACTTCATCCGATTCTCTGTCCAGCTGCCGGGGGTCAAAATTGCCATCGTCGTCGGTAAACCTTCGTGATACCGAATGCGAGAAGGCGCGTGTCTGAGCGCAGGTGAACAGCGTTCGCGGGCGTATCGTTCTGCGATAGGAGGCTGACAAGGAGCGGTTCGAGGGCCGCGCGGAGGTTGCGAGTGATGACAAACAGGCGGAAGCCTTGGGAAGGCGCAAGGAAGAGGCACGCAATTCGCGCCTCAACCAGGGCAGCACGGCGCCTTTAGAAGCCATTACGAAGGCGAGGAAGAGGTGGTTGTAAAGAGGCTGAGGGAGGTGAAGGGGGTGGAGCCAAGATCACAGTAGCGCTAGAGGTTGCAAATTCCTATACTGGGGCCAACTGCATGATAAGAGAGAGGAGAGATTGCGACAGATAGAATCAGACAGCCGCAAGCGCAGTGCTCTAGCGACCCACGGAGAGGATAGAATGGTCGCGATGGTCCTGTTTAGAGATATCGTCGACAAGAGAGGTTTGCAGTTAGTGTAGAGTAACAGTGACACACACAGGTACTAGAACCAGAAGAGGAGTCACTCTCCGACCGACAGATTGAAGCACTGATCCAATGAAGGAATGGGTGTGACTAAGAGGTTGAAGAAGGGGATTTTGGGGGGGGGGGGGGAGGGGAGAAAATTCGGTGGTCGGCCCGAGGTAACGGCGGCCAATGGAGAGGCGGATAATGAGAATCAACGCTCCCTCGCAATCTTTTGACTGTACCTCTTTTAGTTACTTCCGCTCATACAGCCGTGACTCCCGCCCGTCGGGCCATGCGAAAAGAAGAGCAACAGCCAGTTTCTGCTGTAGGCTACTAGATTATACACCCAACTACCCACTGTTCACCTTCCGTCGGACCCTGAAGAGTTACTGATCGACTCCGTAGCTGTTCTGGCACATACGTCGTGATGATAACATGGTTCGCGTTGCACATCTTGCCCTCCTCATGTACTGATAGAGGTCATGACACTTCCAGTTGGGCCAAAATGTCACTTTGCCGGAGATAGCCGTGGCAACAACCGCAGCAGGAACCCTGACCTGCAAATCACATGAAAGCACCAACCATTGAGTAGGTAGAGATTATGTACAGAAGAGTGAATATAACGAACCAGAGCCCTGTCAGCCCTCGATGACGACACGCGATCGAGATGTCATGGATGTTTCCCGGTTGCCTGCCTGGCCTTATCTTCCTGACAATCATGTGATGAGGGAACTACTCGACACAAGGATTGTGGCGATGCAGCCACAATGACAGAATAAATAAAGAAGCATCATGATACACAGCACTCTGGAATCTGGATATGGCACAACGCGTCTTTCAGGTCATGTGGTTTAACTTATGTACTTTATCTTAGCAGTGACTCGTTGCAAGTTACCGCCGCATCTGCTTCTTTTTTTCCATCCATATTCCTTGCCGTATACATTGAACTCGAGCAGTATCTAGCTATGAAGCCTAATGCGAACCATTCCGAGTCCGAAACCAAAAGCCGTTGAAAAGGACACTTGTCCGAATTACGTAGGCCGGGTCAGCAACGGAAGGCATGCAGCATAGCGAATGCGAGTCAAGAGGTTGAATGCTAAGCTTGAGAACTCGGTACAGCGCCAACACTGGTCGAGTTTGAGATTAAGATGGAGGGATAAAAAGTGACCAGTGCATCAAAGGCTGCAAGTTGACCGAATACCGATCGAGCTGGTGGATCGAAGCTGATGGTCTGAGATCCGGGGTAAGATTAAAAGGCAGGCTGGCTTGTCGACGGGCGGCAGGCAACGCCAAATGAGAAGGACAGGAAGACGCGTCCAGCTCGATCGACCCCATGACGCGACCGGGGCTTGAAACCCTTTCCAAAAATTTTTTTTTCTCGCTCCCATCCGTTGTTGACCCATCTTGACCCATCAATCCTTCATCCTCTTTCACTGATCCTGCATGGGGACCACACTTAACACAGCAGATGTTTGGTCGCACGCCTTCTGGAACCACAACAAGCCATCGGGCTAGGATCAAGGCAGCGCTGAACCCCCAAACAAGCTCATGGAAAGAGACAGAAACCGGGCTGTGGTTGTTGCTAGATGCTAAAGCGGCAGGAGGATGGACGGTGGGTGGTGATATGGCGGGCAGACGCGTTGTTAGTCTATCTCTCCCGGTATCGTAACTAATCGCCGAGAACAGCAAGCCGGGCATGGGCATGATTGGAAGAAAGTGGAATGGATGGACTGTGCGAAAAAGTAGCAGAGTGGATCGCAGGAGGAACGCGGACTGGCTCAAGTCGAGTGGCTGCAACCACGGCGCTGGTCGGGAAAAAAAAGTAAGGGGGCGACAGCCAACGAGAACGGGTGCACGCCAGTGGAGCCTGATGTTGGTTTCTGCCGATCAACAAACCAGCGCTTTGGGCTTGGGGGGGAATTGTGCTAACCGTGCTGGCTGAGAAGTGAGAACTGTGAGAAGTGGGCGGCGGTGGCCACCCTCCAAGAGCCGCTAGTGGAGCCTTAGCTCCATAGTGTCCATAGAAAGTAGAAACTCGACACACTGAACATGCTGAAAAATCCTCCCTCGAAAAAAATACCACCCCCAATCCATGGGTGAGTGTCGCTGCTTTTGCCGCCTTTCGCCGCCGGGCCCAGCCCCCCCTGACGCCAACTTCTCTCTCCCCTTCCCTTCCTTTTTGCCCTTCCCTTCCCTTCCCTTCCCCCCCCCTCCCCGGCGGCTGTGAGTCAGCCTATATAAAGGCCCAACCTCCCACTTTCGCGTCGTCGTTGGAATTTTGATTCTGGTCTTGGCACCGCCCGGAAAGCCATACAACTCTTCCCGCCCGCTATCCTTCCCTCCCCTCTCCCTCTCCCCCTAATCCTCTCCACTCGTACAGATCACAGAGCCGCTAAATTACTAGCTGTCTCTGTTGCTGCTGCTTTTCGCGCTGGTCTAAGATACTCGGGAAGAAGTTCTTAGGAAAAGCTAAGAAATAGGAAACAGGTCGAAGAAGTTTTTTCTTATACCTTTTCCCTTTTTCTTTTCTTACTACGTCTGTTTCAGATTCAGTTACTGAAACAGGAAGGTTGCAACCTCAGGTTCGCATCTTCGCCGCTCTCTCTCTCTCTTCATTCACACAAAACCACATTCGCACCTTCTCTCCATTCGCAGATAGACATCACCAATTCCAAAAAAGGAAAAAAAAAGTTTTGTTCATATCACGTGCATTGCACTGTCTTGACACTCCCTATTCACTACTGTTCCTGTCCTTCTGCTATAACTGCAGAAGTTGCCTCGAGTTGCTCCCTGGTCTCTCTTAGAAAACACTTGGTTGTGCTTTTCTAGCTCTCAATCCTCACTGCCTTTCGACCCATCACTCCATCTGGGTTCGTGGTTCTTCGATATCTGTCAGTCCAGACTCTTGTCACCTTGACCTGATTGACTTGACTCGTGGGTTCTTGTTGGTTTTATCTCTGGCACTCTACCTCGCTCCTCCTGTTTCTTCCATTTGAAACGGTTCGTTGCTTGTGGGCAGTGTTGCTGTTGGAGAGACATTGAGTTGTCCATCTCCCATTAAAGGGTACGTGACTCGCCGCGGCCAGGTTTTTTGCCACCCGACCGACCGCCTTTTCTTTGTCACTTCCGCAACCACCAGATCAAATCGATCCTTATCTCATTCACCTTACTTTTTGCCTTCCCTTGTCTGTCTCTTGACTGACTTGAGATTATCCCGGTGCAGACTATCTTTCGAAAGTTCTCATCATCTCCTCAGCATCGGCTGGTCTTCGGCTCGAGTAACCTTTTACTCTCGTCGCGATGGATTCTCTCACAACTCATCCCGCCACTGCGCAGCAGGCCCGGGCCTTCACTGGTCCTGCCTCTTTGTCTTTTCCCGGTGGTGCTGGTGATCTCACGCCGCCTTCCGAAAAAGACGCACAAATGGCGATGGCTCAAGGTACCAACGGAGGTATGAATGGTCAGCAGCAGGGAGCGAATGCCTCAAACGGCAACGGGGTGGCGCCCGCAACTCCCGCTGCTACTCCGGGTGCCAACGCACCAGGAAGCGGCATTGTGCCTACGTTGCAGTGAGTATACTCTTGCTGTTCTCATCCTTCTGGGTTACCAGATTGCTGAACATGGATTTTTTTTTCTCTTTAAAGAAACATCGTCGCCACGGTCAACCTTGACTGTCGCCTGGACCTGAAGACGATTGCGCTTCATGCAAGAAATGCGGAGTACAACCCAAAGGTATTACTTTCCACACCTCCCTGAGCTTGGCTTGTCAGGGGACAGTGTGGCTGAACTGGTCTTTTTTCTTTCTCATAGCGTTTCGCGGCCGTGATCATGCGTATCCGAGAGCCAAAGACGACTGCTTTGATCTTCGCCTCCGGCAAGATGGTGGTTACTGGTGCCAAGTCGGAAGATGACTCCAAGCTGGCCTCCAGGAAGTACGCCCGTATTATCCAGAAGCTCGGCTTCAATGCCAAGTTCACGGATTTCAAGATTCAGAACATCGTTGGCTCCTGCGACATCAAGTTCCCGATTCGCCTGGAGGGTCTGGCTAGTCGCCACCACAACTTCAGTTCCTACGAACCCGAATTGTTTCCTGGTCTTATCTACCGCATGATGAAGCCCAAGATCGTGCTCCTGATCTTCGTCAGTGGCAAGATTGTCCTCACTGGTGCTAAGGTCCGTGAGGAAATCTATCAGGCTTTCGAGCTGATCTATCCTGTGCTTTCGGGTATGCACTGCTACTCCTTCACTTCTCCCATCGAGGTGATCCGTTAACTAACCTGTGTAAAAAGATTTCCGTAAAGTTTAAAAGGGCTCTTGTGCTCGCAACAGGAAGATTGCCTGCTCGCTTTCTTCCCCACCACCCTTCATCGACATGTATTAACAAAACTTCTCCTTGCTCATCGATTCGCCGTGAGCGCGTCCTATTTATGCACGCCGCTCGCGGGGTCGACTAGTTATGCCTTCTTGTTTCTTCGCGCACGTCACGATTTCTCATGCTAGCATTTGCACGGCGTTCTAGCGACTCGGACTTTCTTACCCGGTTGTCTCTTTTTTCCAACTCAAATCGACTCACCATCTTAGATAGTCGCACACCGCAGATCAAGGGGGCGGTACTGTGCGCTGGTCGAATGGTTGCCTCCTTCTAATTCCTGGCTTTTCCGTTCTTCGCCTTCGGGCAACGCCGTTCACATTGGTTCGCTAATGGTGCGATGGCTTTAACCTCTGATTGTTTTGTTTCAGTCGGAAGGCTTTTCAACACCTCGCAGTATGCAAAAGACCAAAAAAACTTTTTCTATCTTGTTGTTTTAGATCATTACGGAACGTTATGGCAGCGGATGAATGATACTGGGAGAATGAGGGATTCGGGGCTGTGCCAGTGGTTATGGCTGGTATAATTACGAACTCCTGGTTACCATACAAAAAGAACTGAATTACTTGTCCCTCTTTGCTTCGTAGAACACCTTGGTAGTGTTTTGTGTTCTCGTAGTGTGCTGATAGCCAGGTACGACCGTAGTCTGTTCGGTAGACCGTGCAGATCTGGTTGCGATGCTTTCACATGCCTCCATTGCCTCTGCTGTACTCTCCCCGTTAGGCATTGGGCATCAGGTGACTGACATGACTGGGTTTGCGGGGAAGCAGCCTGTTTCGGCATGGTTCACCCCGAGAGCCATTTTGTCAACCATGCCTTCAGACACCATCTCTAACCACAACACCTAAGACCTTGCAACGGGGTCCTTTTCTCCATCTACGATGCAGACTTTCATTCAGCGACCAGAGACTTGAGGCTTGAGATTATGAATCTTCAACTAGCGTTCCTCCTATAGCTTCAGCTTTTCGCAGTCGGTTGTCTCGGGGCAAAAATAACGCGAGTTCTTCTATATGAAAGACGGGACTTCTCTCTGTGAAGACTAATGATCCATCCCTTGCAGACACACTAACAACACTTGATTCTCTCCTCTAGTGGTAACCGCAAGATGACACAAATTGTTAATCTCACATTCGAGCATTTCCCTACTGGGTTTGGGATCCAGTGTGCCGCGCCGCGTCTGTCGTGGAAGGCCGCTTGTCCGAAGGGGAATGCCCGCGACTGGACTCAGACCTCATACGAAATTGCTGTGAAAGCACCCGAATTTCCCCCGGAGGACGAAGGTCAAATCTACCGAGTCGACAGCTCCGAGTCGACATGGGTGCCTTGGCCGGGTCCTCCGTTGCGCTCCCGAGAACGGAAGCTGGTCCGCGTGCGCGCTCACGGCACCTGGATAGAGATGACAGAAGAAAATGACACACCAACGAGAGAACGAGCGGGCTTCACTGCGTGGTCCACGTGGATTGGGGTGGAATGTGCTCTGCTCACCCAGCAGGACTGGTCCGCAGTCCCTATGGTGCACCCGTCGACTGGAGGCGACCGCACCCTCAGGCCGGTAGTTTTCCGCAAATCCTTCGAGCTTCCCGCTGGATTTGGCGCGGTTGACCGGGCTAGGCTCTACATTACAGGGCTGGGCATGTATCGAGTTTATCTGAATGGGAGGCGCGTTGGGGATCACGAGTTGGCGCCCGGTTGGACGAGCTACAAGCATCGAATGGCGTACCAGGTACACGACGTTTCTACCGGAATTGCAGCGCGCAATGTTGTAGGTGTTGAGGTGGCTGAAGGGTGGTATGCAGGTCGTCTTGGGTTTAATGGTGGCCGGAGATGCTTCTACGGTGATCAGATCGGCGCCATCGTTCAATTGGAGATCGTTGGCGCCCGGAAGGATCTTCTGATGCAGGTGGTGTCGGACAGCAGCTGGAAATGCAACTTCAGTCCCCTCGTGCGGAGCGAGATCTATGATGGCGAGTGGTATGATATGCGTGAGGAGCTGGGAAACTGGCACGGCGACCCCGACTACCCGGAGATGACAACTTGGAAGCCGGTCATGACGCTCGCGCAGCCTACGGCGGCATTGGTTGTCCCTCGAGCCCCCCCTGTACGCGTTACACAGCATGTTACGGCACGACGCTTGCTTACTACCCCATCAGGGCGCTTGATTCTCGATTTCGGTCAGAATCTCGTCGGTAGACTCCATGTTCGCGAGTTGCATCTATCACCCGACGCTGAGGTGAGATTTACGCACGCGGAAGTGTTGGAAAATGGAGAGCTGGGTACACGTCCACTGCGTCAGGCCGAATGCACCGATGTGATCATTTCCTCTGGCGAAAACCTCAGAGACTGGTCTCCGAAGTTTACCTTTCACGGTTTTCGCTTCGTGCAGGTGGATGGTTGGGACCTGCGGTCCGCGTCGCTCTCTTGGCAGGAGAATATCACCGCGTTGGTACTACATACGGATTTCGCGCCCGCAGGTGGCTTCGAGTGCTCACATGGGGCGATTAACCAGCTACATCGAAACGCGTGGTGGAGCATGCGAGGCAATTTTGTGTCCATTCCAACTGACTGCCCCCAGCGAGACGAACGTCTTGGCTGGACTGGCGATATCCAGGTCTTCAGCCCTTCAGCCACCTTCTTGTTCAACTGCGAAGGGATGCTGGCTGATTGGCTGGAGGATATAGCCGCAGAGCAGCATGATGATGGCGGCGTGCCTCCACTAGTGGTGCCGAACGTGCTCCAGCATGTGTGGCCCCCAATGCCGCAAGCGGTCTGGGACGACGTGGTCATCATCCTGCCATGGGTTATATACCAGGCTTCGGGCGATCTGGAACTTTTACGCCGCCAGTATCCCAGCATGAAGGCATGGCTGGACCAAGGCGTTCGTCGAGGTGAGGATGGGCTGTGGGATCCAGATCATTGGCAGCTTGGGGACTGGCTTGATCCTCAGGCGCCATCCGACGAGCCAGGCGATGGGCGTACTAGCGGCGCACTGGTGGCAGATGCCTACTTGGTGCGCGTTACGAGAATCCTGGCTCAGATCAGTAGGCTTCTCAGCCAAGAAGCCGATTACGCGCACTATCAGCAGGAATCTGACCGACACCTGCAAGCCTTCCAGGCCAAGTACGTGACGCCACGCGGGCTAGTGGCCGGCGATTCTCAAACAGCATACGCTCTAGTCATTGTATACAATTTGATAGACTCGGAACCCCAGCGCACTACCATCAATTACCAGCTATCGCGCCTAGTGCGTATGGCCAAGTTCCGCGTGGCCACCGGCTTTGCCGGAACTCCAATCATCCTCCACGCCCTCAGTCACAGCAACAATCTCAGCTTGGCGTATCGGATGCTGCTGGAGGACAAGTGTCCCTCATGGCTCTATCCGATCACCCAGGGGGCGACGACCATCTGGGAGCGGTGGGATAGCCTCTTGCCGGATGGGTCGATCAATCCCGGCGAGATGACCAGCTTCAACCACTATGCGCTTGGCTCGGTCGTCCAATGGCTTCACGAGACGGTTGGCGGGCTGATCCCTCGTGAGCCGGGGTGGAAAACTGTCCTTGTGTCTCCTCAACCGGGAGGACCTCTGACCTATGCGGCTGTTTCGCATGACTGTGCGTATGGACGCTGGTCCTGCCGATGGGAGTTGACCGCTGTGGAGGGCGGCGATGGGGAGCGTAAGATGCTTACTGTTGAGCTCGATGTGCCGCTGAACGCAACGGCTATCGTGCGGCTAGGCTGTGAGCAGGATGACAAGAAGGTTGGATCAGGGCATTATCGGTTCCAGGTTCCCTTTGTTGCTCAGCCTTATCCGCCTGAAGCCATCGCTCCCTTTATCACCAATCCCGGCCAGGGTCTCTGAGTCTCTGTTCTAATCTTGGGACCCAGCCTAGTAATAGTATAATGTTCATCAAGTAAGGTAGTCTCACCACGAGATTTACACAAGCTCTCAGCCACTGGCAAAACGCCTATGTCGCCTGAAAGGTCACTGATCCTCAAGTTTTGAATAAATCCAAGGACTCCATTGCCCACCGCTCAGGCTCTACCTAGCACTCTATGGCTATGATTCTATAAACACACACGCGTAACTCCACCCAAGAACCACATACATACATATAGTATCGTACATCCAAATTCACAGTCTCAATCATAATCACCGTTGAAGTATCCTTCCCAAGAGGCTCTTCCTACCAACCCTTTATTTTTCACACGCCGCCTTCCTCGGCGGTCTTAGGACATACTTCCACGTCGTCCCAAAATGCCACCGTTTCTCCTCCACAACCTCCAACCCACTCTCCCTCACAATCTCCCCAATATCGCGATTCCACCAACACCCATGACGATCCGCATGCGCGGGCGCCAGATTGTCCAGCACGCGATTCAACCAACCATAATACGAACGACCATGCTCCAGCAACAAAATCTCCCCTCTCTGCGGCTCAACCAGCGTCCCCAAATGCCTCAGCGTCCCCACCGGATCCGGCAACGAGCACAACCCCATTGTCTGCACCACCGTATCAAAACACCCCCTCTGCCGTTGTTTCGTATTTGTGAGTTTCTGACTCGGCGGCGTCACCTGCGCCGCATCCTGCACGCGGAACTCCACCCTTCCACTCCTCACCAGCTCCGGATGCACCTCCTTGAATTTCTGTTCTGCAATCTCCACCATCTGCGGACTCAGATCCACAAACGTCACGCTCTGGCACCCCCGCATCCCAACCACCCCTTTCTTCTCATCGACCAGTCCCCGTCGCGGCTCAAAATCATAGTACTCGATATTCCGCCCCGTGCCGCAGCTAACTTCCAAAACGTCACCGCGCGCGCGCTGTACTAGCTCCCGCCGCTTGCTGCCGAGTCGCATGAGAGTTTCGGACATGTTGACGTCCGCGTCGAAGGTGCGCGCAGTGCGGTTGTAGCGGTCGGTCACGTCGGAGGAGACGGCGAGGGATTGCGAGTGTGTCACTTCGCGGGTGTAGGAGGCGTAGAGGTAGCCAATGTAGGTACTTATGCCGAGGATGCTGACGCCCATGATTGTCATCATGCGCGGGGTGAGGAGGGTGGTGGTCGAGGGGGGGTGGTTGTGGAAGTTGGTGAGGAGGGGGTTGGCGCGTTTGGAGAGCGTAGGGGTGGTTCTATAGAGAGAGAATGGAATGGTGTCAGAAGAATGGGGTTTTCGCTTTAGGGGGGCTTTATAATAAGAAAATATTTACCCTGATGGAGGTTGCAACTTGTGCTTTGGGCTGGGGCGCGGAGCTGCTGCTGCTGAGGCTGCTCCCTTGGCCGATTTGAGCCCGGCTCGACCGACTCGTGAGGCGCTCATTGTGAGGGGTATGCTGTCATGCAGTTGGAATGATGAGCGGGAAAGGTCCGAGGGAAGGGAGCGGACTGAACGTGTTGCTGTTCACGCCATGAGGGAGATACCGAGATCGGGTTTTGAGGTTGAGATCTGGAGAAATTGCGGGCTGCGGGCGGAGGTTCGGAGGAGCCAAGAAGTTAACACCGCCCGCCGCAGCCCATCACGAAACCAAGAAACTTCACTTCTACTACAACGGCTGTACAGTACCATTTCTTCCTCTTTTCTACAGTGTTTCTATGTCTCTTGAAGACGGTCGAAGTCAGTGATTCTTATTCGGCTAGTTCTCGTCAAAGGCAGTGCGCTTAGGAAAAGGATCATGCTCTTCAAGCTGTCTCTTATGATAGCATGATCATAAATTTGTGGTACGCTGCATAAAGTGTTTGTCCCAAGAAGACATTGCAATGAGTTCTACCCGACTGAAATCACGGAAAGTCTAAGCGAGAGGATGGCATGTTCTAGGACGATAATGGAAGGCTGACTGTCCTGTTCGTTTAGAGGAGCAATTGTCGCGTTTCTCTGACAGCAATGTTTCTCGGTCAAAGACACAAACTCGCATGTCTTTCGAAGCAAGGGATAACAGTCGCTACCGCCACGTGTTCGAGGGTCTGGACTTCATGTTTATTACAGCTTCATCAGCGCTGTTCTACTCCGTACTACTGGCGGATGCACGGCAACGACCTAGCAAGACCAATTTGCATATATCCGACATTTCATCACATCTTCCTCCAGCTTGATCAGACCTGTCGTTCTAGCGGGCCTGTCTCAGCGACAATCATGACTCAAAATCCGAAGAACCGCAGGTCTGCCAACGTCACGGATGTTCTGGCTCTGAGCTCAACAGGATCGAAGACAATCCGGCTGAAACAGTGTCGGAATAAGGCTGAGCAAGCTCCTGCCGAGGAGTTCTTACCTTTCGCACCCCTGGTAAAAGATTTGGTCATTATGGATTACCTGTCCAGGCACGGGGACCTAGCGCGGCCGGCTATAGATCAAAAAACTGCATTTACATATCCGTAAACCATTAAGCCATGACAAACAGCGCCTTCGGTGGACCCAACTCTTCATTCCCAGCCAATGAGCTTGTCTGGAAGCTTCGCGGTGGAGCTGGGCGGTTTTACGAAGATCGGTTTTACGGATTTGCGGATATGTGGATATAGACTACACGCACTCCTTATATGCCACGCAGAACGTTGACTATAATTAAGAGTCTGGGCTTCCTCAAGCTGTTAAGGGGTACAGTTTCATCGAGTCTCAGAGCTAAAGTGTGTCTGCAGATCCATCTTCATGGATAGTGATTCCTAAGTATGTGCTTCCAATCCGAGCAACGACGTATATATATTCGCTGACACATCAAAGCACGATTAGAGCAGCGATTTGATCGGACCTATAAACCACAATGGATACATCATCATCCTCAGGGACGTTAAATATGGAGTCGGGGAATGCTGGGATTCGAAAGCGCTTGACACTCACCTTCCGTGATGTCAGCGTGAACGTAACGGCGCCCGATGCCGCCCTGGGAGACACACTGCTGTCGGTGGCCGACCCGCGACAACTCACGAGCTGGTTTCAGAGGAGTCGAAGGCCCAAGAGGACCATTCTTAAGGAGATCACCGGTCAGGTCCGGCCTGGAGAGATGCTCTTCGTCCTGGGTCGCCCCGGCTCCGGCTGCACTTCCTTCCTTCGAGTATTATCCAATGACCGTGAGGCTTTCGACGAGGTGGTGGGCGAAACCCGGTACGGAAGTATGGACCACAAGCAGGCAAAGAAGTACCGGCAACAGATCTTGTTCAACAACGAAGATGACGTACATTTCCCCACGCTGACGGTCAATCGAACCATGAAATTCGCCCTGCGCAACAAGGTACCTCGCGAACGTCCAGAACATCTGCAAGACAGAAAGGCATACGTGCAAGAGAAGCGAGATGACATCCTGGGCTCCCTGGGTATCCCGCACTCGAAGAAGACCCTGGTTGGAAATGAATTCATTCGGGGTGTGTCTGGTGGCGAACGGAAGCGTGTTTCCTTGGCAGAGATGATGGCTGGTCAGGTATGGTCATGATTCTATCTTGAGTCTGAGTATCTCTTGCTGAGCTCGTGATATTACAGAGTCCGGTCCAATTCTGGGACAATCCTACCCGAGGTCTGGATTCCAAGACGGCAGTTGAGTTTGCGCGCATGCTGCGACGTGAGGCGGATCAGAACGAGAAGACGATCGTGGCTACCATGTACCAAGCAGGCAACGGTATCTACGACCAGTTTGATAAAGTCCTGGTCCTGGCAGACGGTATGGTGACTTACTACGGCCCGAGGGCGTTGGCCAAGGCGTACTTCGAGGAGATGGGCTTTGTCTGTCCTCGAGGAGCCAACATCGCCGACTTCCTTACCTCTGTCACCGTGATTACGGAGAGGATTGTGGCTCCAGGAATGGAAAAGAAGGTGCCTAGTACTGCAGCCGAATTCGAGGCCTACTACCGCCAGAGTGCGATATGTTCGCAGATGCTTGAGGATATTCAATCGCCGGAGAAGCTGGTGGATGAAGAAATCAATCTGGCTAATGCGGTGCTCCTGGAAAAGAGGAACCAGCATATTCCTCGGCCTCAGAGTGTCTACACGGCAGGTCTCTGGCATCAGGTTGTGAGCTGCACAATTCGGTGAGTAGGCTGGATATATGGGCCGTGACAGGTGCTGACACGTTGCAGCCAATTCCAAATTTTAGCCGGTGATAGGCTCTCGGTCATTATCAAAGTGGTCTCCGCAATTCTTCAAGCGCTAGTCTGTGGTAGTTTGTTCTACAACCTGAAGCTTGACAGTTCTTCGATCTTCTTGCGCCCTGGTGCCCTCTTCTTCGCAGTTCTCTATTTCCTTCTGGAGACAATGTCGGAGACAACCGCGTCATTCATGGGGCGGCCGATTCTCTCGCGTCAGAAGAGATTCGGTTTCTACAGGCCGACAGCCTTTGCCATCGCTAATGCCATCACGGATGTCCCTATTGTCTTAGTTCAGGTCTCCTGCTTCTCATTGATTCTCTACTTTATGAGTGCAATGCAGATGGACGCCGGCAGATTTTTTACCTACTGGGTTATTGTTGTCGTTCAGACCCTTTGCTTCATGCAGATGTTCCGCGCAATCGGTGCTCTCTGCAAGAATTTCGGTAATGCATCTAAGATCACTGGGTTTGTGTCCACGGTCTTCTTCGTCTACGGAGGTATGTATCATAGATTTGGGCTTAGCGAGCTGCACTCACAGAATTACAGGTTACCTCATTCCTTTCGAACAAATGCACGTCTGGTTCCGCTGGATCTTCTACCTCAACCCCGGTGCCTACGCCTTCGAAGCGTTGATGGCCAACGAATTTGTCGGACTTGAACTGACATGTGTGGAGCCCGACTACATCCCATATGGTTCTGGCTACCCGGACGGCGCCTCCCAATACCGTGGTTGCACCGTCAAAGGAAGCACAGACGGTGTGATTGATGGCGCTACCTACATCCGGGAACAGTACAGCTACTCCTGGCACCACATCTGGCGCAGTTTCGGAATTCTGATTGGGTTTTGGGCATTCTTCATCTTCTTGACTGCCCTTGGCTTTGAGAAGAATAACGGCCAATCGGGCTCGTCCGTCCTTCTCTACAAGCGGGGTGCCAAGTCAAAGCCAGCCGACGAGGAAACTGCCGCTGCCTCCAAGTCTGAGGGGAACGCTCTTGCGCAGACGACCAAGCAGTCCACTTTCACATGGAACCATCTCGATTACCATGTACCCTTCCACGGCGAGAAGAAGCAGCTCTTGCATCAGGTGTTTGGATATGTCAAACCTGGCAACCTGGTTGCGTTGATGGGAAGCTCGGGTGCAGGAAAGACTACGTAAGCTTGACCATATGCCCTAATAATGTGATATGGCTAAGATGATCTAGGTTGCTTGATGTTCTCGCCCAGCGAAAAGATAGCGGTGAGATTGTGGGTTCTATCTTGATTGATGGACGCCCCCAGGGTATCAGCTTCCAGCGGACGACTGGGTACTGTGAACAGATGGATGTCCATGAGAGCACGGCTACAGTGCGAGAGGCTCTGGTCTTCTCGGCTCTGCTGCGCCAACCTGCCAGCTTCCCCCGCGAAGAGAAGCTCGCCTATGTTGACCACATCATTGACCTGCTCGAGCTCAGTGATATCAAGGACGCTTTGATCGGTGTCCCGGGTGCGGGCTTGAGCATTGAGCAGCGCAAGAGGGTGACCTTGGGTGTTGAGCTTGTGGCCAAACCGACCTTGCTATTCCTGGATGAGCCAACCTCTGGTTTGGATGGTCAATCGGCCTACAACATCATTCGGTTCCTAAGAAAACTTGTTGATAGCGGACAGGCCGTGCTGTGTACCATTCACCAGCCCTCTGCTGTGCTCTTCGACGCATTTGACTCACTGGTTCTGCTTGCCAAAGGAGGCAAGATGACGTACTTCGGGGAGACTGGCCAGGATTCACAGAAGGTTCTTGAGTATTTTGCCAAGAACGGCGCCCCTTGCCCGGCCGATGTCAACCCCGCCGAGCACATTGTGGAAGTCATCCAAGGCAACACTGAAAAGCCGATTGACTGGGTTGACGTGTGGAGCAGGTCTGAGGAGCGTGAGCGGGTCCTCCGAGATCTTGAGGCACTGAACAAGGCAGCCGAGGCAAACTCGACCGGCGAGGAGGACCACCATGATTTCGCCACGCCAGTCTGGTTCCAGTTCAAGATGGTGCTTGAACGCTTGATGACCCAATTGTGGCGCTCACCGGTACGTTTGACATGTTATACACGAGTACTCTGGCACTAATGAGTGCAGGATTACATGTGGAACAAGATCATTCTTCACGTATTCGCCGCCTTGTTCAGCGGTTTTACGTTTTGGAAGATGGGAGACGGCACATTCGCACTTCAACTGCGTCTATTTGCTATCTTCAACTTCATCTTCGTTGCTCCTGGCTGTATCAACCAGATGCAGCCGTTCTTCCTGCACAACCGCGACATTTTCGAAATTCGAGAAAAGAAGGTATGTGTCATCGACCAGTCCTCGAAGATAACTGGCTAACATGCGTAGTCAAAAACCTACCATTGGATTGCCTTCATCGCAGCGCAGACTGTATCCGAAATCCCGTATCTGATCATCTGCGCCACGCTGTACTTCGCATGCTGGTACTTTACTGCTGGCTTCCCCGTCTCGGCTTACATTTCGGGACATGTCTACCTCCAGATGATCTGTATGCATTCACCCTGCATCGCCCCCCTCAGACCCAAGCAGAAGCTAACCATGACAGTCTACGAGTTCCTCTACACCTCGATCGGCCAGGCAATTGCCGCCTACGCCCCGAACGAATACTTCGCCGCGATCATGAACCCGATTCTCATCGGCGCCGGCATGATCAGTTTCTGCGGTGTCGTCGTCCCCTACGACCAGATCACGCCCTTCTGGCGCTACTGGATCTACTACCTGGACCCCTTCACCTACCTCGTGGGCGGGTTGATGGGCGAGGTCCTCTGGGACGTCAAGGTGCAGTGCAAGGCGTCCGAGTTTGTGCAGTTCAGCGCTCCTTCCGGCCAGACCTGTGGGCAGTACATGGCGGACTTCATCGCGAACAACACGGGCTACCTGCTGGACGCCACCGCGACGGGCACGTGCTCCTTCTGCCAGTATTCGAGCGGGGCGGACTATGCCAAGTCGTTTAATTTGCAGGCGAAGTACTATTCCTGGAGAGATGTGAGTTGCCTTTCTTTTCTATTGTTTGAGAGAGCGCCATACTAACTGGGTCTGTCTGGTAGACTGGTATCACGGCGCTGTTCTGTATCTCGTCGTATGCATTCGTGTTTCTGATGATGAAGCTGCGGAGTAAGAAGACGAAGAGCGCAAGGTCGGAGTAGTGCCTGCTTGGATGAATGCCCCCAGGATGCAGCGGGGTGCGAGGATGCCCCTGATGAAAGATTATGTGGATTTGCTTTACATTGGGCTTTAATGAGTGGCTGGCTGATTTCTGGGGGACGCCTTATGAGAGTATATAGATTAGATAGATTTGTTTAATAGAAGTTTTGTCACATACATTACAGCCCACTGACGAGTCTCCGGACAAGCTCAATGCGGCCAATACCTTCTCTCTCGATACGTCTATCCCATAGCGTCCCACGTTAGCCTCTCATCAGTCAGCATGGGGTTGACGGCAGGTTCGGCTGTTGAGCGGCCCCGGCTAGACCAAAGGTTCTTGGAGTTGAGGTTTTTGGGGGGCGAGGCGGGAAGTGGAGCTGACCGTGGGCTTGGGATCGTGCCGATAGGCCCGAGTTGTATACCTTGGGTTGAGTGATATCTTGTGCAAGCTGGAGCTTGAATTGTCTCGTGCTTTGGGGTCTCTTGGGACGAGGGTTTATGCGTATCCCGGGGGTAGCGAGCGGAGAGGGTGATTGAGGCGGAGTTGGAGGATCATCTCTCTCTGTCAAAGGTGAATTATGCTACCTGGCAGACCCCATTGAAGCTATATACAAGAACCCCCCCCTTGCCCCCAACTCCACCACATTACTCCTTGAGAAAATCTCTAAAAACCCCCTCAAAGACCTCCTTCCCCGTCCCTGGATCCTCAATCACATCCCCATGACACGGCACGATACCCATGCCACCCGCTCCCACACCCCAGGCCGCAATCCGTCGGACACTCTCCCCAAACGCCTTCCGATCCCCCGCCGCCAAGACCCACCAGATGAACCTCGCCTGCGCCTTTCTCTCTGCCTCAGTCGCAGTCTTCATCCACCCCATGAACATCCGATTCCACCACCCGGCCCCGGCATCCGCATCTTCTTCAGCGAGGGAGTACTGCTCCCACGCGGGCAGATTGAACAACAAATCCGCCTGGATCAAATACCGAGAAGGTTTGTGGAAGAGCACGATCTCGCGGTTGGCGTGGCTGTGGATGTATTCAATCTCGAACGTCGCGCGAAATTCCGCGGGGAGGGTCGTCAGAGTGTGTTGGTTGGTGGGGGTGAAGATGTAGTCGAATGTGAAGTCCACCCCGTCGGAGGAGGCCGGGGGTGGGTGGTTTGCTGCGTCAGTCGGTGGATGGTCATTCGTAGCATGCTGGTCCTGTTTCGGGTGTAACCCTTGCTTCACGCGCCTCTCATACAGCCCCTCCGGCGCGAGGATCTGCGCTTCCGGGTAGGCGGTTTTCCATGCGGACAGGTGGATGTGGTGCTCGATGTCGGGGGCAACCAAATACCGAACTTTTCCGCCGAGGTTGGAAATGACGGTGCGGATTTGGGAGGTTAGGGTCACGGGAGAGAAGACCAGGAGGTTGTTGGAGGGGAGTTTGACTTTTTTAAAGGTGGTTGGTTCTTTTGTACTATGGAGTTTGTTTGGAGGGTATATGGGGAGGTAGTTGGCAGGCTTACTCAATGTTCCCCTCCCACCGAACTTTAACACTCCAAATCGAGAAAACGGCACGCTGAAAGTGATGATCTCTGGTGTGAGCTGGCGGATGACGGTGACTTTGTTGGGGTCGCCGGTGAAGAGCTTGTTGCTACTGTTGCTCATCTTGATCTGTGGGGGTTTGGTTGCGAAGGGGATAGTATAGCCCCTTGAGCACTATCGGAGTGGTGTAGTGTCTTTAGTATTGGCTAGACAGACCACCGACTCCTACTATATATCTCCCGAACTAATCAATTATTCCCTACCCATGAATACTACAGCCGATATTCCAATCCAAGATCTAGACTTCAGATCTACACTTCGATGACATACACCTCAAGTCTAGATCAATGCCTTGACTAAGCGTCTATAAATCCGTCGGGCCGGGGACTTCCCGCTATCGGACTCCAAATACCCGCATCCGAGACGAAGCCAGCCATGTTTCATCGGGAATAGCATTACTCGGCATTTAGGCTCATACTGTACCTGCATCTCCACTATGACATCCTTCTTGGGGTTTTATACAGAGGAACACAAAATATTCAAGTCTACTCCGTAAGCGAAAAAGTATACCGGAATGTTTCAAGTCTAAGCAAAAGGTATAGTACAATACAAGCCACACCCTCTCTCCATGCCAACAGCGCCAAGCCCCAAGAACTCACTAAGCACGAAGGCTCAACAATGCAAACGCAGGGCAAATGCTCTCTCATGCACTATAAACAGTGCAGCAGATTTAGTGCATGGTTGATGTCTATTACTCTTAACAGTCAAACACCAGATGAAAAATAACTAAAGCTCGCCCTCCTCACTACCCCCGCCCTCATCGTCTTCAGCAGCTCTCGCGGGCTCCGGCGACGGTGGTCGAGCCTCTTCTGGAGGGGCCGACGGCGGCGGCGGTGGTGGTGGTGGTGGTGGTGGCGGTGGTGCTCGTGAATGATTCGGCTGCTCTTGACTGCTTTCATACGATGGCTTCCGTTCCCCAGCAGACGGACGTCGCCGGCGCTCGTCCGATTCTGCATGACGGTCCATAGGCCGTCGCTCCGACCTGACCGAGCTCGGAGACCCGTGGGCAGACATGTTCTGTTGGACGATTTCGTCGATTCGTTGTTGGATCGGGTCCACCGATTGTCCGGGCCTGCCTCCCGTCGAACGGCTGGAACTGTCACGGCGAGGAAAAGGGCGAGGAGTCGGGGGTAGCGGATGGGGATGACGAGATTGGGAATGGAGGGGGGGAGGCGGGATTTGTCCCGCAGACGAGTGACCGTTTCCAGGATGTCGATCGTGAGTTGATGGCGGCCTTCCATTGGAAAGAGGCCCTGTCGAGCTTTCAAGCGCATGGTCTTTCTCGGCCGCAACGCTTTCCGATTCCCGTCGCTGCCGCTTCGGCGACCGTGCTCCATTCTGCGTGGTAGTCGGTTCACGCGGGGCGCGGTCGCGGATCTGCTCGTCGGGCTCCCTGGACCGCTTGCGTCCATTGACGGGGTCTGCTCCTGGCGCAGGCTCTACCGTACCGCCCGCGCGCGGGATCCTGGTCTTCTCAGTACCCTCGTCTGACGCGGTGGGGGCGGACAAATAGTACGTATTCCTTTTCATGGCATTGTTTTCATAGAGTTGTGTCAATCTCGTGACCGTACGACGCACCTCGGTGATGTCTACATCGATTTGCTCCCACCACGGCCGTCCGAGCTCGTCGTCTTCGAATCCAATGTCGCAGTACTTGGCGGCGGCGTACAGCGCGGCAGCGGCGATGTTGCGGGCAGTGAACTGGAGGCACAGGACAGTGAACATCGAGTCGTTAACAAAAGCCCACGAGGCATTGCGCATTTGTTTGTTCTCGGTCACGTCGAAGAACTGCAGGAATTCGTAGAGGATGCGGTACGGCTCTTCCAGCTGCAGATCGAAGCACAGCGCCTCCAACAGGATATCTTCATTGACCAGGATCGTGTCGCGCCACTTCCAAAACTCCTTGGACTGCTCGTCGACCACCAGATTGGGCTGCTTTTGGGCAACTCGACAGCAGGCAACCACTAGCTCTTTCATCCTCCGCACGTTCTCATCCACTTTGGTAGCCAAGAACAGCGCCGTAGCAGCAATGGGGTAAGGGTGCATTCCGGGCCGTTGCGGTAGATCGACCATACTGTATCGCATAAAGAACCGATGAAGATACACGGCGGCGGTCGCAAGCGTGAGTTGCGGCAGCTTCAGCATAATACCCACCTGGGAGATGAAGTTCACACCCTTGCTGCGGGAAGTATTTTCTGCCTCCATCTTCATGCCATCGAGCTGCGACGGCGTACGGGTGAGTTCTTCGTCGGTGAAAAGCCAGTGAGCTTGCGACGCGAGAAGGACGGGATTCGACGGCGCAGGGACAGGCCGTGGGCCCGGACGGCGGCCACTTGGAGAAGCCATCGGCCGCGATATAAGCTTCGTCGGTAAGTATCAGTGACTCGTAGTCGCAGCACGTTGTTGATGCGAGTGAGGTCTAGGAACTGGAAATGTAAGGTGCAAAACTGTACACGAGGTGAGATGAAACTGAATCCGAGAGCCCGAATGCGCAGGCGGAGACAAGCTTGGCACAGGATTCGATCGAATAGTCTCCGGTCACCCTACTTGAAGGCTGTCGAAGGAACTGGGCAGTAGATGAGGGCGCACTCTATTTGCAGCCCACTGGCGACAGTGAGCCACTTTGTCTCGTCGCCTGGAGGTTTATCGAGTCGTTTCAACCATGGCCCGCGAGTGGCTCTTCATCGCATCGGATGCCGAGGGTCGGGATGGCAGTCGCACCTGGCGTGAAAATCCACGGGTCGCGCCAGTAGGAATGAATGCTAGCCGAAGGCGACGGAGTGGTTTGCAAGAGACGAAAGAAGATGGTGGTGTGGTCAATTATGGCCGGAGAAACCGGTCAAGCTCCTTTCCAAGACGGTGGATTTTCCGGACTTGGACTTTGGCTCAATGACGATGCGGACCGGATCATCCAGTTGTTCCGATCTAGATCGGTCGCCGCAAAAGAACCGGCATTCGGATTATTTACAAATACGGTGCAACAGCTTACGGAGTAGTCTTCAATGGCCATCAATCACCCCATCCCACTGCGTCCTGCTTATATCGATATGTAGCTTACTACAGAATTAATACATATATAGAAGTCGAATGCCGTAAGGGATACGGTTTACTCCTCCTCGCTGACCTCACTCTCATCCTCACTCGGAGCGTGGTATAGATGCGACGAGTACTGTGGCTGCGACTGTTGGCTACGCGCCTCTTCTTCCTCCCGGGCACTCTCTTCAAAGGCTGCCTCCATCTCGGCGGCCAATGCATCATCATCATCCAGCTCATCCTCGTCCATGGGCGGGGCAGAGACAGGCTCGCGCACTGCAGGTGCCTTCCCATGACCGGCCGGAGAAGGAAGTCGGAGATGGTCAACATCTTCATCGTCTTCGTCCTCGCGGTCTTCACTGGCCGGGGTATGCGTGTCGGAGAAGTAGGTCGTGTCGATCCTTGACGGCCGCGGCGAGCCCATCTCGATGATCAGGTCACCATCAATGATGATGTTCGACCCCGGTGAAGGCTCATTGACCTGAGACGAGACCAAGCCCAAGCCCGTCTCAGCCGGGGGAGATTTCGCCCTGGCGTTCCGCACCTCATCCTCTCTAGCCACTTTTCGATCGGCCCCTTTGCGTTCACTTCGTACCGGCGATTTCGGAGGCGCTTGTGTCGGTGTGAACTTCGGGGGTTTGACAGCCTCTGCTCGTTCCTTCTTCCGGAGAGGTGGCTCTCGCTGCTTCTGTTTTTCAAGCACGGGCCTGGGACTTCGTGTGGGTTTGGCAGCAGACATGAGGGGTGTCGCACTTTTGCCTATGCTGGCGTCCGACGCAGACTTATCATCATCGGCATTCTCCTTCGGAAGAAAATGTCGAAAGTCGTAGGGATTGTTGTCATCCGCTGGACCGTCATCATTACCGCTGGCATTGTCAGAAGCCCGATCGTCCCCTGATCCCTGGTCTTCCTCCTGTAGTGTTCGTAGTTGTTCATATTGTTCGAGCACCTGCTTACGTGATTTCGCGGGGGCCGACCGAAGGTTGAAGTTGAGCTGTGCCGCGACTGGTTCTAGAACGAACGCTTTCCGGCTGGGGTCATATACCAAGACAAGATTATGCTCCCCCGATTCCAACGCCGCTTGTGCAGGATCTACACTACCTTGATAGGTGTAGGTCAGCACATTCTGCTCAGCATTCGGTGCTTTATCTGTGATCGTCAGATTGTAACGATCCTGAGACTGCTTCGAGCGGGAGATGACGGAACGGGCGGTCGCAGACTTGGTTTTGTAGTTGTATTGGACGTTGAACAGCTGGGAATCTGATGCGCCCTTGCCAGCGAGGCGATCGCCCAGTACAATAGGATATTCGGCCTGTTTCGTGGGATCGATCAATCCAGTGGTCGAGGGGGTGGGGGCAGCCATCGAAATGTCGCTGCGGTGACAGGAGAGAGGGCAGAAGGTCGAATCAAGGATCGCAGAGATATGTCAATGTTGGGATATCTTCACGCGGTCAGGGGGAATATCTTCATTGCTCAACAGCGAATTGATCAGTAGCACAGTATGCAAGGGAGGACGTCACAACAGACGACGGCGGTGGGGGGAGGTGAAGGCAAAGTGAGATACCGGAAACCAGCACCGGTAAGTCACAAAACACAGCTTCGAGTACGTTTCAAAACTTGGAGTATGGATAGTACAGGTTATGCAATCATTGAGCAAGAGGAAAGAGAGGGAAGATGGAGAGGGAAGATGGGAGGGGGATAAAGGGAGGAAGGGAGAGAGAGGGAGGAGAGAGGGCGACTGGAGAGGATGACGGATGGTCCAGACAGCATTGGACGGCGGATGCCATGCCTTATCGGGTTAGTAACCCCCGGGTGTCCCCCCGTTTCTCCCTCATTGATGGGAAACAAAAGACGCTCACTGCTTCATCCCTTCAATCAATCTTGAGACTGACAATGTCATATGTTTGTTTGTTGGCATCTTTGCTGGCCACCCAAAAAAACAGCCTTACAGAGTACGTCCTTTGTCACTTGTCTGTTTGTCATTTTGTTGTTTTGGCAGGCCCTGTTGTTGCACTGCCTCCAGTCAGCTGTTCCAACCGCCCTGCCAAGGCTCGGTGTTTCCGTGTTATCTCCTCCCATTCGCAGGCCAGGTCATCAGCAGCATCTTTGTCCTCCTCGTCTCCCAGCTCCGTGAGGATCATTCCGAAATCCCCTCCCAGTCGACCAAGACTGGCTGCACAGTACAAAACCTGGGTCAAGAGACTTTCGCGCGAGCTCTTGTCGCGGACATTGGGAAGATACGTGCGCAAGGTATCCGCGAGTAGTTCGACCAGTTGCATGGGAAAGGTAGCCAGAGCGGATGGCAGACGTTGAAAGGGGCTTTCATTCCGGCCCGATTTAGAGGCTGCCGCCTTGACTCGACGATCAATCCCACGTAGACCTGTGACAGCCAGTTCCGACTCGGACTGGTCAGGAGAGAAGATGTTTTTGTACAAGGAGACAATCGCGAAACTCTGTTCGCGGAAAATCTCGACATATCGTTTCAAGTATTTCTCCGTCTGGTGGCCCTCTGACCAGGTGCCTGTCGCACTGTTGGGTTTTTCGTTTTTGTGGAGCCGCCGCTGCGTCTCCTGGTCGGCCAAGTCTCGCAAAGGGTCCAGGGCCTCGAGCATGGTAACCAGATTCGCCAGTCTACAGATCAGAAACACGGCACCCAACGCACCCTCTCCTGGAATAGTATCTCCATCACTGTAGAGATTTTCTAACTCGGGCGCCACTCGCCGTAGCCAGCCAACTGTCCTCATCGCAGCTGCTAGCCGCAGGTTCTGTGTACGAAGTCCAGCAATGAGACTCGAGGTCATGTCCCTCATTGCTTCATCTGCCTGCATCACCACGTCTTTGATGAGCGGGGAGTTCGGGTATAAGGTCTGCAGTCTCTTAATGTGCGCATATAGATCCAGGGCGGTGGAATATGTGGTCGAAGCGGAACTACCGGTCCCACCTGAGCTGGCCGCAGCCGATGACACTGCTGTGGCCAGCAAGGTGGGCAGCTCCAGAATATCGGAAAGCCGGTCAATGTTTCTTGCCAGCTGCATAACCTTCTTCCGTCGCTCGAGCGCTGCATTCTCCGTGGCCCTGCTATATTTGGAAGAGAACAGGACCGCCTCCTCGTCGAGTTTGGGAATAGCATTTCGTAGTTGTTGGGCGTCGCGGGTCAACTGGGGTATTGTGGTGCGAAGGTTGGACAAATTGTCTGCGGAAGCGATGAAGGCTTTGTGCGAGCGGTTTGACAGCGCCTGTAGCGACAAAAGTGTTGAGTGTGAGGCTTGCGTTAGGGATTGGGGCTCTGTCGTCTGCAATGCTTGAAGGGAGAGGGTGGGGAGGCGGTTGAGATACTGGGCGGTGGTGGTATCGTGCTCCGGGGAGCGGGGAGCGGAAGAAGCATTAGGGGTTGCACCTAGCTGAGGAGCTAGAAGCTCATAAAGATAGTCAGCCATGGCTGCTTGCTCCTAAGTCGAGAGACAAAAGGGATAAAGGAAGTGGGAGATGTCTTGAAGCAGGAGAAACTGGCCAGCTTTGGTTTGCGACGGATTGGCACGGCATGCCGCCTTGGCGGGTCATATCCACCATACTGTCAGCCACACCAGTAACACCGTGACAACGATCCTTCTTACCCCAATATTGAAGATATCAAGCATGAGGACGCAAGAATCTCTACTCCACCCCTCCCCCACATAGGGTCGACCTTTCAACTACTTAAGTACCACCATATACGAGGGATCTTACGTGTTCAATAGAATGAGCGGGTGCCAGTTTGTCTAATTCTTTGCGTAAAGCGAGGTCCCGCGGCGCAAATAGGTACTAAGGCATTCATTCCCAAGCAAAGGCTGGTGAGGATGATTATATCTTCATGGTATCGCAACATACTCCATAGAATGATAGTCAATTTGTACTGGGAAATTGTGCCTGGCCTGGCCATTGCTGACTAACCAGGGCACTGACATCACCGGACAGCGCTAAACTGAATCAGGCAATCCCCAGGTTCCTCCAATGGTCTCGCCGCACTGCAAATCCTCTCTCTCTTCCATCCAAACTCACCCACGCTCTTTGCTGCTTCTCCCTTCGATCTGTTCTCGCGGTAGAAGTAAGTAGATCCCGTGAGTCACAGTCATTTCAGAGAAGTCATTAATCTGTGGGCGCAGTTTGTGCTTTCGTGTTCGATTGCACTGCACCGTACTGTACCCCTCGTATCCCCACACTAACTGACACCACCGCATGACATAGCAACCATGGGCAAGCCGCGGGTAAGTGTCACAGCCCTCGACGGCGATCCCACTTGAGTCACTGACAGGTGTCACAGATGATCATTCTGATCCGACATGCTCAATCGGAAGGGAACAAAAACCGCGAGATCCATCAAACTATCCCGGATCACCGGGTAAAACTCACCCCGGAAGGACACCGCCAGGCGCTGGAAGCAGGAAGCAAGTTACGCGCCCTCCTCCGACCAGATGACACGATACATTTCTTTACATCTCCCTATCGTCGCACCCGTGAAACCACCGAGGGCATCCTTGAATCATTGACATCGGACTCGCCGTCACCATCCCCGTTCCCCCGCCACACGATCAAGGTCTACGAGGAACCCCGGTTGCGAGAGCAGGACTTTGGCAACTTTCAGCCTTGTTCAGCCGAGATGGAGCGCATGTGGCTGGAGAGGGCTGATTATGGACACTTTTTTTACCGAATACCCAACGGCGAGTCCGCCGCAGATGCGTACGACCGTGTGAGTGGGTTTAATGAATCCCTTTGGCGCCTGTTTGGAGAGAACGACTTTGCTAGTGTCTGTGTGCTGGTTACGCACGGGCTGATGACTAGAGTGTTCCTCATGAAGTGGTACCATTGGAGCGTGGAGTACTTCGAGGATCTCCGGAACATCAACCACTGCGAGTTTGTTATCATGAAACTCAACCCGGACAATGGCAAATATGTCCTTCAGAACCAGCTCCGGACATGGTCTGATTTGCGCAAGGAGAAAGAGATGGAGCGGCAGCACGAACGCGCAGCCAAAGGTCTCAGCCCTGCGCAGCCTGCCACGCCATCGGAGACAACGCCGGTACCGGTGAGACGCAAATGGGGCGGCTGTCCCGAGGGGTGCAATCATGGGATTCGGAGAGGAAATTCTTTGCGCGTATCTCGAGCGAACGGGTCTGAACAGCCCAAGCTTCATGTTGACACATCGTCGCCAGTTTCCAGAAAGACAAGCGAAATTAGTCAGTGCCCGGACAACACCACCACTGGCCACGATACTTCGCCGAATACAACTTCGCAAGAAACAGTTACACATGGAGAACCGCATATGATTGCCGCCCCTGAGCCGGCTCTCGGAGATCGGTCGAGGGATGTTCGCCCTTTGGAAAGAACACATCCCGCGCCGTCGCCCAAGTACGAGTTTCATGGCACACAGCTGGAACTCGCGGTCTCAAGCGCAAGCTCGGAAACGACACTGCCCATTCGAACCAGAGCAATCGCTTTGAACGAGACAACGCAGATCTCCGACCATCCGTTCCCTTCGTCGACTCGTTCCAGTCCCAGTCCAAGCTCGAATGCCGTTCCCCGCCGGCCAGACCTCCGGCATTTTCACCGCGACAGCGAAGACCACCTTCTCCACCCACCCCGCTCCAACTACGCTTACCTGCACCTTGTAGGCCGTGATGGCGGGGGCTCTCTGAGCGGAGCGAACAGTTTGGCACCATCCGAGGACGAGCGGGACGAAAGGCACGAACTCCAGCACGAGTCCTCCCAGTCAGCTCCAGAAGCCCGATCTCGCTCCGCCTCTACCTCAAACCACCTATACCCCCATCAACAACACCATCATCATCACCATACCCAGCGTCGCGACTCCTCTCGCAAACAGTCCCAGGATCTCGGCAACGATGGCGACGACGAAAGCAGTAACCGACAGAGCGATCGGCCGCGTCGGACCCGCTCTCACAACTACCATCGCCACCCTCTCCTGTCGACCACCGGAGGTGGTCGACGAGCAATACAAGCGAAGCGAGTAGCCAATATCTTGACTCAACACCAATTTCTTCAGCCGCAGCAACACCACCGCGGCGACGAACGTGACGAGTATTTGCCCGAGCAATGCGCTACATGTCAATCAGACCAGTGTCAGCACGTCCACGAAGACACCAGCCACACTTATGAACCCGAACCCGAATCCGAGCACGAGCACGACGAGCACATAGACGAATCTAACGACCACATTGTCATGACCCCTAAAGTCGAAGCCGATGACTTAGAAGCCCAACGCCGCGAAGACCAAAGCATTAGAGGAAGCGTCTACTAATATTTTTCTTTCTTTGCTATTCGGTCCAAGACCTCTTGATCTTAGCATTCACCGTCAGATTTCCCTGTCTAAATTGATCGACAAATGATCGTATACATGCATACTTATACACCTCTTATTCTTTTTCAATGAAGCGTGCCGAAGAGACTGCACTACATCCTAAAGCAGGAAAGACTGTATTCAAAATCACGAAGCACTAGCGTGGCACTTTAGACCATGATTCAATGGAATGATCAGAGATCATTGGAAACATAGCATCTAAAAGATATCGGCAAGCAATAGACGTTTTTACTTATATTCGAAAAAAAAGGCCCTCCTGGACGTCCCGACGTGCGCCACCTGCCGCGAGCATCAGACGATTCGAGTGCTCCGGATCCCAGAGTGATGTCTTTAGAGCTAACCAATCTTCTCAACCTTGGTATAGTAAGTAGGCCATTTGGTGTGGTAAATCTTGGAGTAGGATGCTTCGAGCCCGACTGGTGAAGGCCAATAGAGTACACCGACTGAAGTGGGCTGGTGCAGGACCACTAGAAGCACGATACCCAACGGACACATCTACTCTATGAAATTGGAATTGTAAGGATAGCCAATCGACTTATTTCTCCATGATCGCTGAAATCCGACCTCCGACAGCGGGAGGAAGAATCTTCTGGTCTCTTGTAAACAAGTATCGATTGGATAGTGGAGGTTGATTTTCCTTCGCTTTCAACACACCTTCAACCAAACACAGGATTACTGAGTCTGTTTCTCCAAAATATTGGAGGAGGAGGATGAAGACGAAAGTACAGCGGTTCGGTTTGTGCTTGGAGAACGACATATGGTGGGTAATCTCTAGATGGAAGTGACTACTTAATGTTAACGAAGAGGTCGGTCGTAAAGGACAGAGAGGGAAAGATGACTGTTGGTTGGAACAGTCCATATATCGCCTGTATCAAGACATAGTAACAGTAGTCTGCCTGTAAGCCCACCCAGACCATCAAAAGTTGTATACCGTATTAATCCGGCTAGTATGCATCCTTTGTTGGACAGTTCTTTGTATGGTAGAAGAAAGGTAAACTCGACTTATGAAAAGGGTGAAACATGCTTCCATGAATGTAGAGTCTGGAAAGAGGATGCCCCTGACTTCGAGCAAAAATTCCCACCTGAGAGCCCTCTCATACGTGGTGACCGCGGAGGGAGGGGGCTACGAGAGGAGCCCAACTCCCTTACCTCCCGCTCCCCATTCCTGGGTATTGTGGAGATGCTATACGCACTCCAAAATAGATAAACCCCGAAGTTGATCACATAGGACTTGAGATTCTACATGCATAGGATTACTCAATGAGTTTGTAACGCTACAACTCAAACACATACAATCATACATAAGGACCAATCTGGGGGGAAAATTGTATTTCAATATACACATCATACACATAACAAGAGTAGGTTCAAGTTTCTTTTCATAAGTCATAACACTGCCTGGTTGAGAGAATAATTATAATTAAGAATGCTGGGCAACCGGAAACTGGTGCTCGGCGCTGCTTTTGCGACAAGGAGCGCAAAAGGGATGCATGAGATATCCAACGGCTCGAGCAATTCCTTCCTGACGCACTGCCTCGTATTCACATGACCATGAGGATGACTGAGGGTACAATAGGCTCAAGGAATAAGGTGTTCGAGAATAGGTTCACGAGGGCTGAAGTAAGGCATGTGTTGCGTCAGGATATGAATTGACCTCGACTGGATTGTGCACTCTCCCCCACACAGCAGCATAGAACAACCAGCGCAATTGCCCTCCATCTCCACCTCCCACGTGGGGTTTTTTTAAGACGGGAACAGACGAATAAGAGAAAAGGATTATCCTCCGCCGCCATATGCAGGTCCTCATTAAAGTGCTCCTTGCGTCGATGATCTCTTCCCCGAATCCGATCCCGGAACAAATCAGCCCCTGTCTCCTCAACAACAGACAACACATGTCTCAGGATAGTCGCAGCAGCCTGAGAGCAAGAGGATCGTCAAAGCCCCTTTGTCTATATGCCGATGCAGAAAGGTCATTAAACAACATTGCATCCTTGTTGATGCATAGCGAATCAAGCGCGAACTGAGAAGCGAGCGAGGTGCGCCTCCAATCAACTTTTTTCTCATTGAAAGGTTCAGAGCCCAGGCGCCAATGGTGAGCGATCGACACGAATTGATAAAAAGTCTATGTACCTGGCCGAGCAGAAGATATGAAGGGTAAAGGCTCGACCAGCTGGAAAGCGAAGGACGAAAGTAGGTTTCGAAGCGAATGAGGCCGTTCCGGAAGGCCTCCAGACAAGGGTTCCCAGATGCGAGCGTCGTGAGCAAGACACCGGCGTGATCCGAATAGAGATTGCCGGGCCTTGCGCATTAATATTACCGACGGAGCTCCGAGATTAGACTGGAGGAAGCGGAGAGGCTACCAAAGTATTGTGGTGATAGTACAAAGAGGCGAAGAAGAAGCCATCGAGTGACAGACTCCAAAAGAGTCAGCCATAAGTTTGGCCGAACAGAGAAACGGGATCGATATTAAAGATATATGTGTCGAAATTGGCTCGATGCAATAAACCCGGCATGTCGTCAAATGTTAAACGCCAATCATAAATAGATGCAAGAAGCGAATGCTATATGCAGTGTGGTGTTGGTGGCACGTCGGAACGGTTATCAAGGGCTGATGATATGTCTTCCGGACTCGATGTCGGTAATCGGGGAAGCCAGAGATTCTCCTTCCCATGTGTAATGATCATCGACAGGGCTCAGGGAGCCGGAGGACACCGAGGAGGAGGATCCAACCGTCCACTCATCACTGTCGAGATTGAAGTCGCCATCGAGACTAGCCAAGTCGTAGCCATAGGCGCGAGCTGAGTCGCCGATTTCGATGTAGTCGTAATCCCAGCGATAGGTCTTGTCACTCTGGACACGCGGGAGGAATCGGGTCTTCGCAAAGTAGAACGCGACCGTGGCCAGCAGGCCACCGCCAACCAGATCCACTGCATAGTGGTGCGACAGATACATTGTTGCCCACCACATCCACAAAGTGTAGGTGACGAACAACGGCTTCAGCCGCGGGAAGACGTGGCTCATGAACAAGGCAGCCAACGTCGAGTCCGCCGCGTGCAGCGAAGGGAAGGCACCGAACACGACGGGTGATTGTCTGAAGCCCGAGGTGTACAGATCAATTCCAAGGAGCTTGTCGATGCGGGCAAGACCGGCGGGGTTACCGGGCATCGAGTAGTCGGCCGGTGCCAGGCCGTAGAGATTCTCATACCACGGGGGAGAGCATGGGAAGAAGAGCTGAATAGCGACGGCAGTCATGCTGATGTAACCGAAGGTACGGGCGAAAAGCGGGACAGTGCCGGGAGGACCGAAGACGAACATGATGAGCGAGCAGACGAACGGCGCACCGTAATGGCACAGACCGTACGGAATCCACGCAAGCACATCCAGAACCACATTCTGGTGAGCAGACAGAATGTTGCTGATGTTTGCACCGTACAAGATGTTTTCCAGGGCCGGAAGCACGCGGACCCAGATTGCAGGACGCCAATCACTAGGAATGAACCTATAACCAAGAGAATCAGTCCTTGTCCGCCCGATGTAAGACCCTGTGATCCATAATTCCATCTCACGGATGCACTTACTGGCAAGCGTAGAAAAAGATAAGCCAACCGGCAATAGGCAGAAAGGGAAGAAAGAATTGGCGAGTGATCGGAAGCAGCAGCGAGATCAGGAGAAGGGTGAAGACGGCTGTTTTTGCCAATGGCCCGGGAGCACCCATCATGCTGAGGGAGAAGATCCCGATGATCAACAGGAGCAGATACTGGAAGTCATACAACGTCCACCGATGGCTCTGCAGTGATCGAAGGGTGTCGACGGGCGAAAAAGACGTCTGCAGCGTCGAAATCGACGAAATCGGAGAAAGTCTGCTGCGCAGCTTCGAACGAATCTTCCGTCGCATGCGATGCGGAACCAGCAGCTGAATGGAACGCCATGGTACTTGGATCTGAAGCTTGCCAAACTGGTTCTGCGTCCGATCCTTCCAGGTGGGAAGGGAACTATTCATCTCGGCGGCTAGTCTCGGTACGAAGAGACTCCGTGAACTGGCCGGGTGAGTCTCTTCTTTTGTCGTCCAACAAAGGTGCCAGCTGAGAAGGCCCCAGTGCAATATGAGAATTCGAGGCGGAGCTGACGGAAAGGGGAGGAAGGTGGTGATGTTGTCTCGGCGTCAACGTGACCGGAGTCGAGGGAAAGACCCTGGAACAGAACGTTTCGATCCACCAAGCGGAGAATTGAAATTGAGTTATAGCAACGAACTGGGAGCGCGGGCTCCGGTCTCCAGCGGCCAAACGAGGAAGCTCGGGGTGGTCACGTTGGTAGGGGTTTCTCTGACGCAAGGCGGACGGACCGTAAGGGCGATAGAGAGACCGTCGACCGAGAACGAGGAGACAGTCGCGAGGGGCGTAAGATGGCCACGGAGCCGGAGAAATAGGATGGAGCGTAAGGAGATGGGTGGAAATGAAACAATAGGAAGGGAGGAAAAAGAGGTAGAGGAGAAATGTAAAGAGAAGAAGAAGAGAAGAGGAGGAGAAAGAAGGAGGAAGGGAACAATGGGACGAGGATCTGAGGATTTTGCAGGTAGGCTTGGTTTTGGTCTTTGGGGATCAGTAGTAGTAAAGTAGTAGTACTGAGTACTAGAGATGGGATGGACTGGATGGGGCGACGGACCACGACGGGTACGGAGGGTACGGGAGTAAGGCAGTAACTAACAGAATCGTACTCGTATTACCCGTTTGGCCCCCGTATCATGTCGTCACCACTGGCCCTGGTCTACTCTCTTTCAGGATGATTCATTACCGCCTTTACCTGTTTAGTGCTTAGTTTCACTGGTCAGCCTCGGAAGTGCCTGAGAAACCAGGGTATCTGCTTACATGAGAAAAGGGAAAAAAAAAAAAAAAAAGAACAGAAAATTTCTGCTCGGACAACGGAAAGGGCAAACACCGAACTACGGGCGGATCGGAGCGGACTGGAGGCTACAAAGCCAAAAGCACGCCTCGGTCAGGCTTCACGACTATTTCAATTTATACATCCTTGATATTTTGATATATATGCGAAATTCTACTCCTGCGGAGTCCCTGCTGAGATTTTAAAGCAACGCGGTGCGCAGAAGAGCTGTGCAAGATACATATCACTAATTTCATGCACCAGCAAATGATGATCTGACCCCGATGTTTGTAGGTTTATACACAGTCGGTATCAGATAGAGATAGAAGAGACACAGCGATACGCCCAAGGCAGAACAACCAACAGGAAGCAGTGGATCTCCGCTCTCTCAATTTCGCTTAATCCACAACGGTCTCATAAATTGGTCAAATGGGGTCTGGTTGGTCACAATCATCCCGCCTGGACGCATAATTACTGATCATTATTGATGACTTGCTGGGTATAACTAACTGTATACTCCGTACTAAATATTTGATTTTGTTGGGGCCCGAGGATTCTCCTCCGCCCAGCCGCAATCCACAATTCCACATGGGAAGTACATAATCATCAAGCACCAGATGGATCAGGCCCTCTCCTCCCGGGAAATCGGCATCCGGGTCTCAACTCAACAGACACTGACAATTTATGATCGGTCATGACAGAGTCGAAACCCTAGACGGAGTACGCACGAACTGGAGGAAAGGGTGGATAAGGATCGGAGACGTAGCCGCCGATGTTCCCGCGTCGGAGAAGCTCCCCTCAACAGGGCTCCAGGCCAGGGCACAATAATGTGATGGATAAAGCCTTTCGATCGTATTGCTTACCTCTTGCAGTATGACCAGCGACAGAGAGCTCGGACAATAGCCGCCGCTGCAAGTCCAGCTTAAGATCAGCCAACGAGGCTGCAGGGTGCACTTTTCATACGAAGAGCAAAAGACTGTCTGTCCCCAGCCACTTCCCCTCCATTCAACTCGAAACACAAGTGCCTGTCAGATTTGGCCACGCGCCAGGTGCATTAACCCCAGGATGACAGCAGCGATTGTTCGTGTCGCGTTGAGTCTCTTTGTTAGAGAATGGCGAGAAAGGAAATAATGAGGAGAGAGTTGGTTGCTCAAAAGCCCCAATTCCTCCTGACTATCACAATCCTCCCCCCTCCAGCCACCCCTGAACTGTAGCAGCTACGGGCGGCTCCTTTTCCCCTGACCTGAACCATGAGGTGGGATTTAGGCAACATAAACAAGCAGAAATAGGGTCGAGGGAAGGAGAAATGATATGCAGGTCTAGAGGGTTTAAGCAACGGTCTAGTGGTGAATTATTAGGCACTTAGTCTCTAGTGGTGGACACAGAAGGGTGTGTGTGTTACATTCTGAATTCTTACGGTACAGGCTGTATACGATACATACCCGTTCCTGTCTTTTCCACTTCAACTGCGGCTTGCCGTGATGATTCTTTGCACCCAAGAAGAGAAATCACATCGCCTGATTTGAAACTTGTTGTTGTCATTGTTGCTTACTCGTGAGCTCTCCTGGAGTCTAATCGCAGCGGGGTCACAAGATGAGAGAAGACCTGACGAGGTGCAGAACACACAGCTGCAAGAGAAGAAGGTAGCAGCGTCATCATGACCTCCGCCCCAAAGCAATTAATCATACTGCTACTGCTGCTGCTGCTGCTGCTGCTGTTACTGCTCTCCATCGCAACGTTCTGACGAGGGCGCACGATCGGAACTGCGACTCTTTCGATTGCCTCACGCGGCCGACTTCCCGATCCGCTTACTTAATAATGCCCCCCAGTCGGCTGATTCTTGCGATTCTGACCGAGCTGCAATACTCAACTCGACAAGAGATGCAAAAAACGCAGAGGCAGTGCTGTAGCTACTAGCTACTAGCTAGGAATAGCTGACGACAGGCACGCGTAGCTTGGGGCATGTTGACTTTGGCTATAAAATTAAAGGATCAGTCTACCTCACCCCAGCCACACAACAGCAGGCAGCACCTTACCTCTGGGGGAGAATAGCAGTGTCTCTCGTATTCGTTTGCTTACACACACCCCCCCTTGTTGCCTGCTGGCATAGAAGTACGAGATTACCCTCCTAGATGGAACAGTGCAATACATACATACAAAATACATGGTTTACCCCTCGTTGCATCATGAATGCTTGACAAGATCAAAGAATATGGTAGAGAAAGAGCAGGAAAGGGTCATCGACGACATCATCGGACATCATCGAGTGACGGGGCGACCTCCCGGAAGAGCGGATCTCCCGGATCCGGGTCGTTGCCCTGTTGGCGTTTCTAGAACTTCGACATTACCCAATACATATTCCTGATGCTCTTTACAGGTTCTCTCAGTGGCAGTCAGTGACAGTGACAGTGATAGGCATCATTCGATCGATCTGACAACAATTCTCTTCACCGCTCACTGTAACTTCTACTCCGTACAGAGAAGTTCCCCACATACACAGATTACAATATGCATCTCTCAATCAATCACCTGATGCCCTCGTGCCCGTCGGGCAACAAAGCAAGAACGAGATCCATGATCTCCCCAGAATGTTAAATAAGACCCATCAGGACAATGAGGTCATGCCGCATGCCTGTTCTGCAGCAACAACGCTTCCCCCCAATCAATGATCTATTGAACTTTCTTCCTGCTCGGCCCAGCTTTGCCGGCCGAATGAACACTATGCATAGCTCACTCATTTAACCTTGTCTTGAAGATCACAATGATGTTCTTCTGTTGCATTTACTCCAGTCATAGCACAGAAAAGTTAAAATTCAGATGAGAGTCCAAGACATGGGAACTGCATCATGCACAATTGTCCATGTGCGTTGCGGAGAGTGGCTCTGGTCTGATTCAAGCCACAGAACCTAACCTGCTTTGCCTCCCCTCATTTTCTCTCAGACAGCGCGCATGTGGAGCGTGGGCTACTGCAAGGATCGTTTGCTCAGCAATCTATTCCAATCCGTAGTGGCTTCTATCCACCCATGAATGAGACGCGAGAATCAGAGATCGACAGTACTGTATGTACATGTAGTCTGTACATATCATGGGGGCACATTTCATCAACACACAGCCGCATAACCCACGCATCTCACATTTCCGCAACATTCTTTACCCCACATTCTTCAGTACTGATCAGCAAGAGATCGGCGACCACCGACCATCCCCGTGAGGAATTCCTCGCAAGGCTGGAGGGATGGGCTGAGCTGAGGCTCAGAAGTCATTCGAAGCGCCAGCTGTTCTGTGGCAGTGCGGGCTTGTCTCCGCACTGGACGGGGCTGGAATGTTAATAAGGACTATGGGTAAGTACTGGTAGTACTCCGTAGTTGCTAGTGTTTCCGATTGGGTGGACAGCCTGTTGGCACAGCCGAGGCCAAGCGTGAAGGAATGTGATGCGTGTTTAAGGTGGTCCGGAGTTATGCGGTTGTAGTTGAACGGGTTGATTATGTGAGGATTGTGTGCACCTAGTCGTGGTATCCTCGGATTAGCTAGCCTTTGGTTTGATGATTGGCATACTTACTCTAATTAGTGAGTACATCAGTTCAGTCTTACTTTTGTCGACTGGGTAGTCCCTCATGAAAATCCCATGCTCGAGCGCCAGACAATTGAGGAAAAAAAAGAAGAAAAAAAAAAAAGACATACTCCTCGTTCACCCTAACCACATGAGCTCACGATAGCTATGTACTGTACTCCATATACTCCTAGTATCAATAACCGAACCGATGAATGACAATATTCCATCTTTGGATCTACGGCCAGTCAACCAAAACCCGGTATCACCCAATGCATGATTGCAATACGCCCATTTTGTAGCCCGCTTGAACGCCAGTAACAGAGTGAAAAGGCCAGAAGAACAACCAAAAACAAATTCATTGGTGATCATGGCCCTGATGAGCATCCGCCAGCATCTGGAACCCTTTCACCAGCCCCATCGCCGACCCAGCCGCGACTCCTCCCACCAGAACCATTTGGAAGCCCCCAATAAGTCCCCGCCAGATGTTCTGAGACCCCTTCCAACCACTCACAAAGCACGTCTTTCCATAACCAAACAGAAACAATGCGACGACCATCGTGGCGATCGACCACTGCAGGGCATAGAAGGCGCCATGCGGCCCGACAAAGAAGTACGGGAGCAACGGCACGAAGCCGCCGATGAAGTACCCCAGCGCAATCGTCAGGGCACACACCCAGGCCCGCGACCCAGACGGCTCCTGGACAGTGTGATGGAAATTCATAAGAAAGGATGGGAGCATGGGGGAGGTGGAGAGGTGTCGCGTGAGCTCCCCAACCAATTCCGCGGGGAGATCATAGGGAGCAAAGACATCGGAAATGGTCTCTGTCACCGAGGCGGGGTCCGTCCGGATTTCCTGCTTCGTCTCTTTCAATGTCGCTCGATAAGACTCCCTATCAGACACAAAAAGAGAAAGGAAAAGCAAGAACGTTAGCTCGCTGCTATTTTTCAAACGTCGTGCCTTATCTTTTTGGCGCATATCAGACCCCGCTTTGTCTCCTCCGTTGTCCCCACCCCCTCACGCATTGACGGGATGTAGTGGGTACGGTGTACTTACTCCTCACTTTTGGCACCCAAATAACCCCCCAGCCCCATGGAGATAGCGCCTGCAATGAGCTCGGCCATGCCTCCAAATACGACTACTTTTGTGTCTCCCAATGCGGACAAACCGGCGGTCAGGGCGAATGGCACGGTCATGCCGTCGGAGAGGCCAATGATGGCGTCGGAGACGATGCGTCCATCGAGGAGTTTGGATTCTTTCTTCTCTGGTGCTTCCCGGCATACTGAGCTGCTGGAACCGGCGGTGGACTCGCTATCGCTTTCATGGCGCAGGGAGAGGGGGTATTCTTTCTCCAGGTCGTGTTGTGGGGAGTATTCTGAGACTGGGGAGTAGCTGGACAGCAGGCCTTTGATGGAGGAGATCGACATGTTGTGTGGTTTCTGGAGTCGTTGAGAACAAATGGCCGAGAGGCACGATGATAAATTGCACGCAGGGTGCCACAGGCCGCTGTTAATATATACACTGAGAGGTGATGGCTGCACGGACTGGTCTTTGCTGAACTTGGAAGGTGGGCAGAAGACGCAACAAAAAGAAGATTGAAATGGAATTATCTGGGATCAAATTAAGTCAGAAATGGGGGGAGAGGGGAGCAGTAGCGAGATTGCACGGCTGGAGGGTCGGGTATAGATAAGTATGGTTTGAGCGACAGGCGTCAACAGGCTGTCTATCAAATTGGAGAAATCTCCCTCGTGCCCATTCTCAATTGTTCCCTCTACAGTACCTGGCACAGATAGCCTGCTGTTATCAAAGGCCATGTGCCCATTGAGGGGAGGAGAAGGGCCTATGGAAGAGAGGTGAGGGACAACGTGCCTCTCAGTCTGGCGGTCATCTGCAGTCGCGGGGAAGGCACGTGCCGCTCTGATTGGCTGGTACCTCAACTACCTCTGCAGGCTATTTCTTAGTCAGCCCCACTGGACTGCGGAGTCCCTGAAGCTTGGAAGGGGACAACCAATCACCTGCAACCATTTCCTAATCTGTGGATGCACAACAGTGCGCTACTGGTCCACTTGTGCTCTACACCACATCCAGTCTAGATGCACTCCGACTGCAGCAATCAATAACCACCCTGCAATCACGCTGCTCTCTACTCACATTACAGAGGCATGTTCCTTGCAAGTCTACTCACTAGGAAGTGCTGTCTCTTTCTCGAACCGGGCTAGAGCCCGTCCCCCAATCTCCTCTGCCCGTGTTTCAAGACCAATCAATGGAGCAGCTGATGCACCTCTCGCAATCACGACCTCCAACTGCACGGTTCTGCATTCTTCCATGCTTGCGTTGACCCTCACAGACATCTCTTCTCATTCTCCACCCCTACAAATGCGGACTCTTTCACGCGGGCGAGTAACCAGCTCCACAGCGTGCAGTCCAACATCCTGTGCCATTGGTCATACTAATCCTCCGATTATCGCGACTACAAAGGAAAAGAAACCAAGAATCCTGCTTCTGGCAGGAACCGAGACAACTGACTCGATGTCTGTCGCGTGTGGACCTGCCTATCTCCGAAGGATGTCGGCCTATGCCGAAGCAGCCGGCATGCGCTGCTGCTGGATGCCTCTGGGACGCTAGGGGGGTGGTGTGAGGGGAGTGGGGAGAGAAGCAGCAGACGAAGAAAAAGAAGATAAATATCGCGCCTCGCTGTTCCTCTGACAGGAGAAGGAATCGGACTACGAGGCGCGCAGAACAACGACGCTGGGAGCCACACCGCCGCAGATCGCAAACAGAAAAGATGAAGTTGAGCGTGGCTACCCTCTCAGCTTTGGCTTCTTTGGCCACTGCAGTCCCTCATCGGCGAAGTACTGCACAATGGAACCAAATTCGCTCGAATGTCAGTTCCTACCTTTCTTGATTTCTTGGGACTATGGAATTGACTCAAAGGGATGGGGGCCAGATCAAACATGTTGTCTACCTGATGTTGGAGAACCACTCGTTCGACAACATTGCGGGTTACTGGGACTTCCACCCTGACATTGACAACCTGCGCAACATCGACTACTGCAACGAGTACACGAACCCCAACTGGACGGTCTGGGGCGAGCCGTTGAATGTGTGCGCGGCGCCATTTGAGACCGAGGTGCCTCTGACGGATCCGGACCATAATTTTGCGGGCGTCACCTACGAGATCTTCCGCAAGTGGAACGTTACCAAGGATGATGTCCCCAATATGGGCGGCTTCATTGAGCGTCAGTCGGAAAAGTATAGTGCCACGCCGGGCGAATCCAGCTTCGTCATCAAGGCCTACGACGAGAAGAAGACGGCCACGCTGGCAGAACTGGCCAAGAACTTTGCCTTTTGGGATAGCTACGTGAGTCTTTCGAGTCACTGTCTTTGTCTGTGTTCTAACAGCAACAGCACGCCGAGCACCCCGGACCTACCAACCCCAATCGTCAATTTGCTACGTCTGGCTCCACCTGCGGCATGGTCGACAACACCTACCAGGCTGCTGGCTGGTATGCGAACTACACCGGTACCACGTGTGCCACCTCGATCTTTGAGTCGCTCAGCAACAAGAACGTCACCTGGAAGAACGTGAGTTCCTCTATTGTTTATGCCATCGACACCAACTAAGCTTTCCCGCAGTACTACGAGACCGACATTGTCGATGCGTACATGTACAAGGTAAGCAATTGCGCACACTTATTTCAAGTAGTGTACTAATCCCGTCAGTGGGTGCAAGACAACGCCATGGACCGCCTGGTCCACTCGGACCAGTTCTACCGCGACCTCGAGGAGGGTACCCTTCCGCAGTTCTCGTACTACAACCCGGAGTGCTGCACCATCGATTCAATGCACCCGACCAGCAACATGGCTTCGGGCGAGCAGTTGATCAAGCATCTGTACGATGCGGTGCGCAAGTCCAAGTACTGGGACAACGTGTAAGCATGGAGTCCGCCACCCTTACGTTGGTCTAAGTACTGATAAGCCCAGGCTGATCGTCATCAACTTCGACGAACATGGTGGTTTCGCCGACCACGTCCCCACGCCCGTCAACATCCCTGCCCCCGAGGATGGCATCACCTTCTCCGGGGAATCGGACGGCCACAATGTGACCTACGATTACACCCGTCTGGGCGTTCGGTAAGTTCCCCTTTCGAATGTCAAATATAGCAGTATGTGAGGAAGACTTGCTGACACTCTTTCTCAGTGTCCCGGCCTTCCTCATCTCCCCCTACATCCCCGCCAACACCCTTATCCACGACCAAGGCACCAGCTACGCCAATAACTCAGCCTACACCCACACGTCGATCCTGCACTTCCTGCAGGAGCTCTGGGGCTTGGACGGGCTCAACAACCGGGTGCAATGGGCCAAGACGTTTGAATATGTGTTCAGCAGCACCAAGCGCGAGGATACGCCGGAGAAGCTGACGACTCCGACCTGGTACGGGAGCAGCTGGGAGCCCAAGCCGGATCCGTTCTACAAGCTGAACCAGGACTACGATTATTACGAGGATATGTAGATATGAGGTGAGCATGTGATGAGTATATATGAGTTGGGGGAACGGAGTGACATAAAAAGGATAGGTCCGGATGCAGCTGGGAATAATATATTGAGTTCACTGTAGTCCTTGTGTTCATAACAATCATATCTCATTTAAGTCTTCGTCTTGAAGAAGAGGTAAGACTCCATGGCATGCCTCATAAGCCCGTAAAGCAATCCCACCGCGCCTCATCTCAATGCCTCTCACTGCATTTGTATCTGCGTCTCCCAAGAGAAAAAAATCCTTTCACTTCCTCCTGCGACTCTCCGGCCGTGCTGCTGTTGCTTCTTGGCCCCAATTCGTCGGCTTCGTCATATCCCAGAACCGACTCTTATACGCAGGGAAAGAAGTGTGATTCCACATGTTCACGAGAATACTACAACACACACCAACGTTAGCATATCCGCGTCCGCATTGGCGTTTGTAGCAATCATCCTGCAATTCAGGCAACTCCTGTATGCTACTTTCACAACCCCACAAAGTCCCGGGGGAACAGGGGAACAAAACAAACCTCTGACTCCGATCCACATATTCCTCCTCTTTCACCTCGCGCACGCCGACCTTCATGCCCTCGCGCGTGACCATGACGTTCTTGCCTTCCATTTTCGAGCGGGTGTGGCGCGAGACGTCCTGGACGATGGAGTAGGCGATGTAGCCGATGCCGGCGAGGATGAAGAGGATGGCGAAGAGGATGAAGAGGGGGGTGAGGCGGGTGGTCATTTTGTCTGTTTTTCTTTTGTGTTTTTTTTTTTTTCCTTCCAACGGTGTGGGTGGGGTGTGTGTCACACTCTTTGGATGTGATGTGTATACTGTGGTAATAGACGTGTTCGAATGTCGATTTCTTTCAATATGCTAGAGTTCCCAAGGGGGTGGTTGCCTTGCGATCGTCGTGAAGAGAGGAGAGGAGAGGAGAGGAGGGAGGGGAGAAGGTGCTGCTGGCTGACTCGCTGAGTGATGTAATAATGTTCTTGGAAATCCGATTTCTCCGTAATAGTAGAGTAAGATCCGATCAGGTGTTCGTTCGCCTTCGGTTATCGGGAAGAGTCCTCCGTTCACACACACCAGTAAATACGTACTTTGATCTGGCAGTGAGACCAAGGGGTTTTGTTGTGTTAGAAGGGTTAAAAGGATGTTGAAGATACTGTTAATTATACTCCGTAGAGTAGGTAAGATTGTCCGTCTCCAGTTTTAAAAAAAGAAAAAAACAAAAATCTCTATCCTCTCTCGAAACAAGAAACCCACGGTTCGTTCTCTCTCCTCTTCATATAGTGGCTGGGGGGGCGGGCCAAGTGATGGGGATTGATCCGCCCTGTAAGGCCAACGGTAGGTCAACCACCGGTTGCGGGCCAAGACTTCGAGGCCAAGCGCTGCGGAAATCCTGGTGCCTGGCCCATTTTTTTCTTTTTTGGTTCGCACAACTGGGGGCGCAGTTGATTTGGTGAGAATTGGTGGCGTCATTTTTGGGAACTGCCTGGTGGTTTGGTTAATTATACTGATCTTGCCTGGATTCGCGGAAATATCCATTTGAGTCTGTTTGTAGTTATCCGGGGGATGAATACACATGAGAACTAGGATATCTTCACTATCACCAGTCGTCTACAGTGCTCGCGGCTATGCGAATTACTATCACCTTGGTAATATTCTATACTCTTCCCCAATCAAAGCAATGAAGAGTAAGCCAACCACTCCCTATCTATCGGCAGACTCGAATCCCCGATGAGGAGAAAGTGGGGAGGAATTGCGGGGAGTACATATAACATATACAAAGACTCCCGCTCCTCATAAGTTGTATACATACTACAACTTTATATCAAACCCAGAGATCAAACGAACATGATGATCCTCAATAAGAATAGCCCTCGGATTGTTCCGAAAGGATGGAATGGACATGCAAGGTACATTACAGACAGTACAATAGATACAACCACTCCCAGGGATAATCCTTGACAAGCAGTTGTGTAGGAAGGAACCTTGCATTGGGCAGGTTAGTTGTCCTGGGAAAGTCCGTCCTGCACTTGTCGTCATCATGAATCATGTGTTTATCCGCATTACCTCACCACACCATTTCATCCTCAACCTGCATACTTCCACCACCCATCATGCAGCACTTGTATTCCCTATTCACAGATAGAAAGAAATACAGTACTACGGAATACTACTACCACCTTAATATATCCACCACAAATGTAGAACCATCTCCACTTCCTCAAACCACCTAACCGCCCTCATATCCTCCTCGCCCGCCCCCCCCCCCCCCCTTCACTTCTCCCTCTCCCTCCTCTTCACCTCCACCTACTCACCCACCCCTCCAAATCTCAAACAGACAAACAAAAAGAAAGAAAATGTGCGACATCCCATTCTTCCCCATCTGCTTCCAATGCGGCACCGACCAGAACCCCTGCCGCTGTAAAGTCGTCGGCCCGACCTTAGGTGCGTTGCTCTCTCTCTCCCTGTCCATACTATAGTCATCAACCACCCGCCCGCAAACGACAGCCTCAAAACACTTATATCATCCTTACAAGCCTAACCTGACCTTCTGCAGGGTTCATCTGTACGGTCGTAGCAGCTGTAAGTCCTGCCCGGGCTCCGTGCTCTATCATCTCCAGAATCAAACTTCGAGATATTGAAAGATGAGGAAGTGGCTGAACGTACTGAACGCCAAACTGATCTGCTGAGTAGGTGGTTTGTTATCCCGCGTCGATCTTCTGTGGGTGTTGCTTGACGCAAACAGGGAAGGAGTATGTTGCTAATTTTCCTCGTCCTCGTGTTCTGTTCGGTTTTGTGGTGGGAGTAGAAGGGCTAACTAACTAATCTGTTCATTCGTTTAGTGTGCTGGGCTATCCGGTCAAGGTAAACGGGATTGTCAGCAATGCGATACCGATTTGATATGTCAGGATGCGAGAGTTGTCTAGAAAAAGCGCAGGGGTTCATGATAAATAATCTAATCTAATTTCTTTGGTTTCAACGGATTGTTGACTATCTGAGTTCGACAGGCGCAACTAGAACTAATAAAGAATATCATATACTCCATTCATAATAACGTTACCAGAAGCATACCTAAGGTATCTAAGGCCACAGACAAACCGAGAAGCATTCACAACACAAAAGGTATCCAGACGAAAGTCACAAACGCAAACGCAACAGCAGAAAAAGTCCTCCACCCATTATACACCATTAGTGAGAAGGAACCCGCGCATCATTGCCCAAATTGGTCTTGAATTAATGCAGTCAATGCTTCAACTTCTCCTTAAGGCGGGAGAAGAATCCCTTCTTCTTTTTCTTCGACTCGTCCTTGGAGCTGGCCGCGCTAGCCGCAGCGTTATTATTAGTGGGCTTGTTGGCGGAGGTTGTGTTATTAGTGCTAGTAGGCGCATCCGTCTTCTGTGCAGGCGTAGATGCATCCTTGCTGGTGCTGGTAGGATCATCAAGCTTCTGTGCAGCCTTGGTATTGGCCGTGGCTGGAGTGGAATCAGATGTCTTGGTCGCGCTGGCGCCGGTGGCACCAGCTGTCGGGGCGGCAACGGCCTCCGAGGTAGGCTTCCTGGGTTCGGCGAGCTGCTTAGACTCTGGCTTCTTGGTCTCGAAGTCGTCCGCGGTCTTAGTCGCGCTGGAGCCGGTGACGCCTGCAGTAGGACCCGAGGCGGAGCCATCACCAACAGCTGAGGTCGAACCGACATCGACGGCCGAATCTGCAGTCTTGGTAGCGCTGGAACCAGTCACACCGGCAGTAGGGGCATTGGCGGAGGTATCCTGGACAGGACCGGGCCCCGACTCCCGTGGGGCCTTCGCGGAACCAACGCCCGTGGTCACCACTGGCTCACTTGCCTCATAGATCTTGGGCGAGAGCTGATCCGAGGCGGCGACAGCGCCGGCGGTGGAAACAGGAACAGAGACAACATTATCTGGGACAGGCCCGGGTCCTGACTCCTTAGGAGCCTTAGCTGAAGCAACACCTGTAGTCACCACTGGTCCGTCGGTAGGCTCATTCTCCTTGGAGAGCTGGCTCGAAGTGGGCTTGGTGCCCGTAGCGCGGGGAGCAGTCTCCGCAAAAGCAGCGCTCAAAGCAGGCGCTGGTGCACCGACAGAATTGTTTACGCTGATCTTCTGCTGAAGCTCTTCCTCGACCTCTTTCTTCTCTTCGACGACCTCTTCATTGGCAGCCCATTCAGGATGCTGGTGGGCCCTCTCAAGTGACTCCTTGACCACTTCAGGGAGCTCCTCCGAGGGAGCACCACTGGCCGCGTGTTTCTGCTTCTGCGACTCCAGTGGCACAGCAGCAGCAAGTGCCGCCGTTGTCGAGGTCGGTGCCGCAGACTGAATCGTATATCCGGGGTCTCTGAACTCCTGTGCGCCATCGCTGCCCATGGGCAAACTTGACTCGGGGATTGTGTGCTTCGTTACTGGTGGAAGGGAGAAAGCGCTACCGTCCTGCAACGAGTCTTGGGTCCGGGACAGACTAGCGCCTTGCTCATATGCACCTTTATCGTAACGTGCGGTGGAATGAATGGTGTTGGGATTGAAAGTGCTCGGGTCGGGCACCTTTTCACCAGGAGCCAGCTTGATCGGGTTGCCAATCCCACTTGATGCAGGAATGGGGTTCACAGAGAAGGGTTCAGTCTCGCCTGCTGGTGTGATTGGAAAAGACCCTGGCACAGTAGCTCGTTGTTCTAATGGGACTTCCTCTCCGAGTTTGGCAGTGGTCGAACCTGGTGCTGCAGATGAGATGGTGGAGTGGTAGCCATTTGTCTTACTGCTAGACTCCTTGGGCACCCCAGCTGCCAGAGCAGCGGTGGTTGAGTCGGGGGTCACACCGGCCATGCCGTTCTGTAGTGTTGTTGGATGGATTTGATCGGGATAGAGCACGTTGTTGATGTTATTATCGCCGTCGTCTTCTTCGGGGACTCGATTATCAGTGGTCCAAACGCCGTCGACAACGAACTTTAAATACGAAGGAAAAGAAGAAACAAAGTCAGTGAGTGGATCTCAAGGATGGCGCAAACCAACAATCGTGCGAGTCTTATAGTTTCTTCAAGGCAAGAAGACCGGGGGAGGGGGGGAAAGGATTCGGGGCACAATGGCCGTGAATGACGTCAGCGCAAGTCTGCGCAACCCACTGAGCGTCATTACCCGTCGATAAGGACGATCAGCCCAGCCCGTGTCATTTCCCAGTACCCAGCACGTAATCCTCCACCCGGTGAATCAAAGAGTAGTGTGTAGTGAATAAGGTAATAGTGGGGGGGACAAGCTTAAAGGGCGGAGGGCAAAAAGTTCTTACCTTATACTGAATCTTCTCCTCTGAGGCCGGCAGCTCAACCTCCTTCTCAAACACATCCCCATTGCGGTCCAGTCGGACGGTTTTGCCCCAGTCATCAAACGTCCCCGTCACATAGACTTCATTCGCATTATACGGCCTGGTTGACTCCCCATGCAAGGAGCCGCAACGGTCAGCGAGCACAGATCAGTGGCGCTCTGGGTCCGGGAAGGGTCGGGGGATGATAGCAGCAGGAAGCACGGGTAGAACCTGTCATAGACCTTCCCAGGTGATGCTCATTGGAGATCCAGGGTTTCGTACTGGAGAAAAAGAAATCCTTGATCGCATTGAAAGTTAGAGCAATAATCACTTACCATCGAAATGTGTAAGTCCCCATCTTTTCTATAGTGGAGATGAGGGTTGGGGGAGACTGCGCCCAGCGAGTGGATTTGAGGGGGAGGGGGGGTGAATAGTAGATCGGAGCGTCTCAGTCGGAGTAAATATTTCAGACAGGTCAACCTTCGGGGAAAAAACGAGAGTTATGCAAAAGTGAGAAACAAACAGAGATAAAATTCCTAAGTAGCCCCAAAGGGGTTCTGCTATGTAGGTATGGAATAGACAGGGTAGAGACAAGAGTAGAGAGAGTGGGAGGGGGAGAGAGAGGGTGAGAGAGGAAAATGACGATGAAGGTGGAGGAGGCTGGGAAGGTCGAATTGGGATTTGAGTTGAGACTTTTTGATTGCTGGGAGCGAGTGAGCGAGCGAGCGGGGTGTGCGGCCACAACCCAACAACAACAGTTGCACTCTTTCAATCTCTACCAGTAAGTTGTAACTACCTAGTAGTCCTCAACATAGTTTCTGCATAATTGAATGAACTTCCCAGCACAGACAACCAGATTAATGACTGGGGGTGATTCTATTGGTGACCCTTCCCAGGGGGAAACAGCACATCAAGGGACCTGATGGATTTCTCCATCGCAGGGTCAAAGAGTGGTTGGCACGTATCTCATCACCGCCTCCAGGTTCAAGTTCTAGATGCGTGCTGGCCGACACTCGGACAATTCTCCTGCCCTGTACAACTCAGCCCTCTAAGTTGTGTGTACCCGTGCTGACAGCTGGCGTCTTATCAGTCATCGAAAACTTTGTCATAAGCTGCCAAATTTCCTCTTGTCTGTCGTACGGAAACTTTCGTGTGGGATCATAATCATCATGCCTTTGAGGGTCGAACTTTCAGAACGACCAAGGATTGAACCAGGCTGAGCATCCCTAACAGCAGAAGGAATCAAGGTATTCAACGTCTTCAGCTTCCTGGCCCCACCACCAGCCATTCCAGAGCCAATTTCTCGGAAAGTGCCAGATTCTGCATCACTGGCAAGCATTGGAGATAAACCTGACTACCCACTGAGATCACAGCATCCGACTGGACACACAATGAGTACGATATCATATCATGATGTATATAGTACTGTGTCAATTGTGAGTCTTCTGTCAATTGATCGGGACTCGGGAGGGAGGGAAAGCACGGACTCCCCACTAAACCGTAACTGACCCTCTCGCAAACGGCGTCGGCGCTTGACTCGGTCGGGAATAGAAGGTGAGTAAAAGTAGGAGGACCCGGCCAGAATCCACCATCCATGGATACAGCAACAGGAAGCTACAGTGGAAGCAACAGTCTGCTGCCCATGATGGCATCCTGACATCCATTGACCCAAAGTTCAAATTGAACCCAGAAAATAGAAGTCCGTCCCGACTCTTCTGATTGATGATTGACCGAATAAATGGCCTCAAGCCATCTGGCTATGACCTCAGCAAGCAGATCATCCGAAGGGAACCAACACCGCATTCGACGAGAGGTTTGCCACCAGCAGCCCTCCAAGCGGATTCGAAGTAATAACAACCAGAAGAGCAGTTTTCCCTGTTTGACGATGGAGAGAGAATATAACGATTGGCAGAATGGAACTGGGTTTGATCACAAGTCGATAATTGCAATTCATTTACTTTGTGCCGCCTGCTGGTGCCAAAGCTGCCCGTCCCCGCTCTTTTGGGTGGCGCAAATGAATCACCAGGTTTCTAGAAGGACTCTGGAAGCCCCTTAGAGCCACCAAATCGAAGCTTCGACGCCATCTCCGTTCCCGGCTCTCCATCTTTCTCGGTGCCCCGTCTCCTTTTTTTTTTAAGGGTGTGTGTCGAACCTCAGTCTCCATTTATTTTAGATTCTGGATTTTGAACAGGAGAGGAAGGTCACAGACAAACTCCCCACTCCACTTCCCCTCATCTAACCACTCTTGTGAGGGTGGGCGTAGACTATTGACCCGGCCTCCTCCGCTATTGAAGGAGTTAAACCGGCTACGGTTCGTCAAACCCCATTGATTAAGGAGAAGAATTGTTCTAGAAGGGAGGTGGAAGCCATTAGCTCGACTGGATAAGGAGTCCACTGACAAACAATCTGATGATCGGATAATCCACTCTGTTTGTTAGACAACTCAGTGGGTAACACCCATGGAATGAGAAGAGTAAACCCAGATAGATGTACTGTACTGAAAGGTCAGATGAAGAGGGAGAAGGAGAGGGTGAGGAAGCTGGTAATTGACCATCACGAACACAGTCTCGAGTGAGAAGAAGAAGAACTCAAAGTTTATGATGAAGCAAGCAGCAGCTTTCCGCTGTTGCGTGTCCTTCTACCCCCTCCTTTTTCTATTAATGTTTTCCTTAATTCTTTTCTTCTTCTGGTTAATCCCAATCCCTTTTTTCTGTAACGACCCCTCTAGATCACGTAGACGGCAACACCACCACACACCACCACGGCACACCACACGCCATCTCCAGTCTTTTGCCCCTTTTTTTCTAATTAGGTGATCATTCTAGTAGGTAATAATCCTCACTAGTTAGTTCATCTCCGACAGGGAAGATTCCACGCGACCCTGATTTAAGTTGAGCGGTGGTGCCCCTCTCCAGAGCTTGCAGCTGGTGACTTCACTACTATTTCCTCCCACTCCTCGAACCACTTTAACCACAATTACTCAGTACTAGGTTCCCTCTTTCTCTGCCCTCTATTATCTGTGTGGCTCTCCTGTTACCGTTCTATTCCTAAATTGTTTCAACCACCTCTCGCAATAGCTTTAAAAATAAACCTACCACCACTTCTTCCTCAGCTCATCTATTGCATCAGCTACCACGGCAAGCTACAACACCAAGACCCAACCAACAAACGAAAAAGATCAAACGATCTGGAAAGGTTCCCGAGCTTCGAAGCAAGAAGATCCAATAAGACCGTGGTGTGCCGCTGAAGTCTTCCCCACCTCAACCACAAACCGTGACCTTTGATTCCCATTCAGCGATCGGGCTGGTCGGTTTCCCTACCCGCCCCTCCTCAGCTTCCCCTCCATTTCCCTCCCTCGGTTTGCTGCCGCAGCTTGCTGCTACGGAATATTGCTGCTACTGCTGTGCTGTGCTGTGCTGTGTTCTGTTCTGTTGTGCTGCTGCTGCTGCCGCTGCTCCTGCTACTAGCCTGCTGCTACCCTGTTCCCCTCCCCACCAAACGCCCCCCTCCCTCCTCTTTTCTCTGATCTTTCTCTCTTTCCCTCCTTCTTCCTTCTTACATCTTCCCCATGACTACCGCTCCTCTTCTATATCCTTCCTCTCCCTCTCAATCTCGACATCCGTCTATTTCTTTACCAGTCGATCCAAGCTTAACTCCCGACCTACGTCCAACGAGCCCCTCCTCTCCGTCGAGGCCGCTGCAATCGTGGTCGCCCGAGCGTCCAATTTCCCCGCTTAACACAGGTCGGAACTTCACCTTCTCCAGTCCTTTCCTCCTGAGAATGGCTGAAAGCAGTTTTTCTGCGGGTAATCAACCCCTTCGCGTGGGCACCAAAGACGACAATATGAACAAGCCCACCACTTTCCACAAGATCTCGGAGGACGAGGAGTACGATGTGACGTCACCAACCGATCCGACTTTTCGCACCGCCAATGCCCCCGCCGCCGCCTCGTCTTCGACTGGCAACAATTTGTTTGGAGGCGGTGGGTTCGGTGACGGAGGTGCCATCCGCTTCAATACTCGAAGCCCGTTTGACGATGGGTCGCGCGAGGAAGACGAAGCCGCTGACGACTTCCCGCCAGGCGACATCCGCCCGACGGGTCTTTCCAACCCTGGCCTCCCCAACAACTATGCCTTGGGACGCAGGACATCAGTTTCAGCAGAGTCGTTGAATCCCACTTCAGCGGGTTCGGACAGCTGGGCTCCACCTCATCACCCCAAGTCAGATGAGCAGATTGCGCGGTTGAAGACTGCGGTCAGCAACAACTTTCTCTTTGCCCATCTAGATGATGATCAGTTCAAGACCGTGCTCGATGCGCTGGTGGAAAAGCCCATCCCCGCCAAGGACATCAAGGTCATCTCGCAGGGTGATGCAGGAGACTACTTCTATATCGTCGAAGAAGGTCACTTTGACGTCCTTATCCATCCTTCTGGCTCGGTGCAGCCTGGTGCGGATGGCATGGGCAACAAAGTCAGCACCATTGGCCCTGGAGGCTCGTTTGGAGAGCTGGCTCTCATGTACAACGCCCCTCGTGCCGCGACAGTCGTTTCGGTCGACCCAAAGAGCACCCTCTGGGCGCTGGACCGCATCACCTTCCGTCGCATTTTGATGGATTCGGCCTTCCAGCGTCGTCGTATGTACGAGGCTTTCCTGGAGGAGGTGCCTCTGCTCTCCAGCCTCAAGCCCTATGAGCGATCCAAGATCGCCGATGCGCTGGACGCCAGCAAATACCCGGCTGGATCGACCATCATCAGTGAAGGTGACCCGGGCGATGCTTTCTATCTGCTGGAGGCTGGCGAGGCGGATGCGTTCAAGAAGGACTTTGAGGGGGTGGTTAAGTCCTACAAGCGTGGTGACTACTTCGGCGAGTTGGCGCTGCTGGATGACAAGCCCCGAGCTGCTAGCATTGTGGCCCGGTCGGAAGTCAAGGTTGCTCGGCTGGGCCGTGACGGCTTCAAGCGGTTACTGGGACCGGTGGAAGATATTATGAGACGGGCCGAGTATGAGTCGAAGCCAAACCAATCATGACTTGCATACCCATATTTTTTAGACGAGGATACGCGAACTGGGAAGGTGCTATAGGCTGGGATTATGTTTCATTATCTTTGTGTTCAGTGTGTACTTGATGCTTTTCTTGGGACCTGGCTGGAGAGATGGGGGACTGAGATACACGCAAGATGGGGTGGAAGAAAAGCTGCCCTCCGGTTCATTGGCGAAACATTGGTCTTTTATTTGATTCTTTGCCCACGGCATTACGGGATTTTCCAGACAGATGCAGCCTCTTGTTGTGTTTTGTGTGTAATAGTGGACTCGCCGGTATGGCTTGATTTGTCCGGTCGATTTCTTTGTTCATAATATGTCTTTGCAGTGATGGAGATACATAGTGTCATGGCAGTCAGACTTCATCATGTCAAGTCTTATAAGGATTGTATGCATATGTCAAATCATGCAGACATTTAAGTCATCGCGCAACAACCAAGTCACTCCGCAGCACCCACTTCTCTCCGCTCAGAACCTCTGCTCCCTCATGCAACATGCAATGCTCCCCGTGTCGATGCAGCAGCGCCATCCCCGGCTCGGGGCTGACCGAGACGGGTCGGGGATTGCGGTCCTTCCGCGTGGGCTCCGGGTAGAAGATGGTCTCTCCACCCTCACACGCCGTCAAGTAGATGAGGAGCGTCCAAGTCGTGCGCGCCGGCCGCGCCGGTTGCCCTGGCGAGTTGAAAGTAAGAGTATTTGAGTCGTCGTCTATCTACTACTTAGCCAGAGCTGCATATTAAATCCATAAAAAATCTCTCTAACTGAAAATCCCAAGACCCCCCAAAAAAATTTTAAATAAATGGAAGACTTACAATGCTTATCAAAAAACTGCCCCTTCGTGTACCGATAAATGCGAATATTCCCATTCAAGCCCAAGGGCTCCCCACCCCAGACCTTTACCGGGTTAAGTTCCTCCTCATCGTCAAATACAGCAGCAGCAGCAGCAGCCCTCTTCCCTCCCACTTCTTCCCCTTCTTCTTCTTCCTCTTCTGCCTCACCGTAGGAGGAGGAATACAACCTCTCCTCTACGGGATTCCGTCGCCGCGTCACACACCGCTTCAGCGCCGTCGTCTCCCACAACCGCCCCGCGAACGCCTCGTCCTGCACCTGGAAGCGGTCGTTGACGCGCACGGCATCGCCGCGCTTGGGTTTGTTCGGCGTAGTGGTCAGTGGGAGGGAGGCGAGGAAGGAGGTGTAGGTCTTGCAGAGGGGTGGAGGGAAGAAGTCCCGGATGAGGTAGGCTTGGTTGGGGATGAGGGGGGTGAGGGTAGGTGGTTCTTGCAGATAAGGAAGGGTTTTGGGGGAAGTGAGCGGGGGCCAGGGGATTTGAGAGGTTGCGTTTGTGGTTGTTGGTTTGGTGAGGGTGGTGTTGTTGGGTGGGGTGGTTTTGGTTTTGGTTTTGGGTGTGGGGTGTTTTTTGGGCATTTTTGGGAGGGGTGGGGTATGTGAGAAGGGTACAGTCTGTTTGTGGCAGAAAATGGAGGTTAAATTATATACAATTGAATGGGAATAAGCTGATAGATGCTAGCAGTGACGGCGGATATGATGGTGAGGATCAAAAGTGGAAGGGGATGAGTTTCTGCAGGATGGTTAGCAGGCGGTGACTTGCGCCCTACTGCTTTCTACCCCAGGATGAAATCTGGGGTGCAATGGGCTGGACATTGGAATGGAGATGGTCGGCGGTTCTTGATCATGTAGGTCAAGATGTTTTTCCCTCTACATTGCTAATATTTCTCTCAATATACTCGAATGTGTAGTGTTCTATTTTGGGAATAATCTCCATGGGTGCGAAGAGTTGCTTTCTGGGCTCAGATGAACAAGGGACAGAAGGAGTAGCATTTGAGCCTTATACGTGTGCTTCCACAAGAGTAATTGGATGGTTATTCGAGACCTTCGCACATGCAAGCGCTGTCTTCAATCCAAATATCGATCGTCTAACTCACACCGACATATCGGGGGTATACCCAAATGCATAGTCGAGGCCGAAAAGAGCTATTAGTTACGGGGTGATTGCTTGGCTAATCACAGTACGAATGAATCATCATCAAGGTCTCTCAACAGCCTTGACGAAGTGTCCTTGAGATCAACCCAAAGCAAGCCTTATATTTACACTAATCACCCTCCAGCCATGAAAATTTCACTCAGAATTAGAGGAGTGTTAACTGAGTCTGAAACTCCCGTCGCCCCAGACAATAAATTGGATGCTGGTGTTGCACGGTTTCACCTCTGCATACATTCTTCATAACACCGACCCACTAGGAGATTCTCGATGCCTATATCTGCATGTCAGAGACATCAAGCATCCTACCCCCAGGGTTGAGCAGAACGCTGAATACTATACCAGCCAGCTGTTGCGCAGACATTCAATCCCCTCCGAAGAAGGGGTGCCTGATGGACAAAGGCTAGACCCAGACAAGTAGACTCGATAAACAGGCCATACACTCCAAATACACCCAGGAACCGAAATAATACCCCAGCCCCGTACAAATTTCCCCAAAGATACCAGCCATCCCGTCACCGGAAGCGGCAGAAAAAACTCCATGAAAAAAAAAATATCGCCGGCACTACTTTTCGCCGACCAGTCAGAGGCCGTCCTGGACCGGGAGACGGGCTCACCGCCCTGAACTTCTCTCCTCCTCCTCTTTCGTCTTGTCTTCCTCCACCCCCAATCCTCTCCTACTCGACCCTCCGTCAAGACCAGCCGCCGGTCATGTCGTCGTCGCAGACCATGACAGCGCCAGCGGTGGGCCATCGTCCTCCGGATGCTGCCCCGGATATGTCGTCCGTGTACGACTATCCTCGATCACAACAACCGCAGCAACACCCGCAGCAACAGCAGCATCTTGATCCTCAACCGCATTCATCCCCGCCCGACTCCGCAATCCGCGCTTTGCACGATCCTGCCCCCGACTCCCTCGGGACCTCCTCCCCCAATGGCTTACCCGCTCCCTCCTCCACCACGATCAAATCCGAACCTGACGATCAACCTTCAATTGCTCCTGCACCGCAAGACTTTCAATCCGATCTCCGTCGACAGTCCGCCGCCAGTGCGCTGCTGGCCCAGCTCCTTGGCAATCAGCCCTCCTCTGGTCCTTCACCATCTGAGGATCATGCAATGCCGCTAGCCCCGCAAGCGACGGACCTACCGCAGCAGATCGACGAAGAACCCAATTTTCAATGGACGCTGGATTCAACGTCGGAGCCCATGCCCGCTGCGCCTGCCGACTCGACCGGCGGAGGCGCAGATCACATCCCGCCGGCTTCGACTGATTTGCCGCCTTCGCAGCACCACCAGGAGGAAAAATTCGACCATCAACCCGATACGTCCCTAACGAATCCTGAACAAGACTCAGGAGCGACGGTCAAAACGAACGATCCCTTTGATGGCCTGACAGACCCTTTGCTCTTTAAAACCAGCATTGGTCACGCTGATCTCTTCAAGCCTTTTGATGACCCGACTTCCCCCAAGAATCCGTTCGATGCCTTGCAACATAATGAGATGCTTACCGACGCGTATCTGTCGCAGAGCGCCGATCTCTCCGCGCTCGGGTATTCCGGTTTACCGCATGATGGCCCGGGATCTGTCGCCGGCTCCGAACCCCGGATCCAGGCATTTGCGAAGCTCGAGTTCGACGATGGTCACTTTTACTGCAATACTTATTCCTTCATATTGGGTCGTGATGTACGTGCCGCGCGGGCTGCGCATCAGCGCGAGATACAAGTTCGACAAGCAATGAGGACATCGCGGGCGAAGAGCTCCAGTGGCGGAAACATGTCCCATACTCCCGTTCGTGTGAAGCATGAAGGCAGTGGCGTGATTGGCAGCGTCGTCAGTGACCGTGGCGGGATTATGGGCTTTGATCCGGATGTTTCACACCTGCCTCCTCGCCTAAGTCGTCGTTCGTCGGTTTCTTCCCATGCGGAATCTGGCGCTCCATTACATGCCACCCCGGCTCAGCTCCAGTCGACCGACAACAACACTACCGATTATAATGCGCTGGCAATGCAGTCCTTGAACGATGAACACGGCGATGCAAAGCCCGTCGACGCTCTTGCGCTGCTTCCTTCGCCAGACGCATGTCCGACCATCCCCATTCATCCTCCCGCTACCGTTGACGGCAGTGCCGCTGGCCATCGCGGTATCTCCCGCAAGCACGTCAAAATCGCCTACAATTTTGATAAGAATCTGTTTGAAATGGAAGTCATGGGGCGAAATGGCGCTTTCATCGGCGCGGACTGGCTGTCGCCTGGCCAGATCAGACCATTACATAGCGGCGATTATATCCAGATAGGAGGTGTTCGCATTCGCTTTCTACTACCAGATGTACCAATCGGTGAGACTGGTGCTGACCGTGTCGAGGAGCCTCTGGCTACTGGGGAGGAGAGTTCACAAACCCCAGCTCCTGCTGCAGAAAACGAAGCTGAGGCTCAGAAGCGCACATCTGAAGCAACAGAAATCAAGGACACTCCTAGGCCGACGAAGCTCATCTTGAAAACCAGAGAGCCCGATTCGGCGCGACCAATGCCTTCGGTTGAGGGAGCTATTGATCCATCATTACAGCCAATGAAACGTCGTGGCCCCGGCCGGCCTCCTAAGGATGGTATCATGTCCAAGCGCGAAAGAGCAGAATTAGCCCGAGAGCAGAAGCTGGCAGCGAAGCGCGAGGCAAACGGAGGCGTCACGCCTCCGCCAGCGAACCGAGCGAAGGCTGGCAAGGCCCCAGCCTCCACGACCGTGACTGTCACCCCTAAAGAGATGGGCGGAGAGTCGCCTGGATCGAAACCCGAGAAGCGCAAGTATACCAAGAGGAAGAAGCCCGATGGCACTCCGATGGATTTCCCTCTACCCTCCACCGAAGGCGGGCATTTCCCCATGGAGCATCGTCCGGAGGAGTTTATCAAAGCACCCCCGGTCAAGAAGCGCAAGCCCTCACGGTCGCCATCTCCAAATTATCCTCCCGAATCTGCATATACGCCGGAGGACCTGGCCAAGCCACCTTACAACTACGCCGTTCTCATCTTCGATGCTCTCACCGAGGCTGGTACTCCAATGACACTCAAGCAGATATATCGAGCGTTGAAGTTGAAATATCCATATTTCCGGTTCAAGTGCGAAACCGAAGGCTGGACGTCCAGTGTACGGCATAACCTCAACGGGAATAGCCACCTTTTCATGCATGCTGAGCGAGATGGAAAGGGATGGTCATGGCAGCTCCGTCCTGGAGCTTCTGTCGAGAAAGAGAAGAAGAGACGCCCATCACCTCCTCCGCCAGCGGCTCCTCCTCCGCCTACCGCCCCTCCCTCGTACATGCCTGCCTTGAACCCGACGTATGGCACTCAGCCCAATGGACAGCCCAGCATGGCGAACCCGCACTTCCAATTCCCTGCTATGCCATCCAATCCTTACGCAACTCACACCCACCCTCACACTCACGCTCCTGCTCCCGTTCCATCTCCTGCTCCTCCGGCACCTCATCATGCAAGTCCCTATCCTCCGCCTTCTCAGCCCGCCGCCTCAACCCCATTTCCGATACCCAGTCCGCTCCGCAACAACCTTCCGCCCGCCTTCGCCCAGACCGTCCCTTCCACCTACACCTCACCCTATGCATCCGACCCGCCCCCGCAGCTGGTCCAACTGCAGCAGGCGCAGCAATCGCAATCGATGCCTCCACCGCCTCAACATCAGTCACCTTATCCACCGCCAAACCCTTCACCAATGCCTCCGTCCAATGCACCCCATCCGACGCATCCTCCGCATCCTCCGCCGCCACCCCCGGGGCCCTCACCAGGGCCTCCCATGCAGCATCAGCCAAACATGGGCGTCGGCCCCGGTCCTGGTCTCGGTCCTGGACCTGGCCACGGCCATATGGACAACTCAGATGCATCTTCGTTCAATGACCGTGCGAATAAAGCCATTGACGATTTTGAGGCTGTTCTTATGGAAGATTACGAAGACAAGAATTACATCCGAGAGGTGCTCAAGAGTGCACGAGCCCGTGTACTCGGCAATGCCACGGACAGCTCGTTCCCTGGTGGTGAACCGAAAGACGAGGAGGTCATTGTGGATGCTCTCCGTAATCTGATTGGAAGCTTGAAGGGAGAATAGCGAGCAGCGCTTGGGGATCGATCAGTGGCAGACAAAGGAAGGGAAAACTTGAAGGCCTTGGCTTGACGACTTAACGACTTGGGATTCTGCATTTACTACATTTATTATGTCTTGTCTAATCTGCATGCAGTTGGCACATGGCAAATCGATTCTGGTGTTTGAGGGTAAAGGGAGTCTTGATTATGGTCAGCAAGCGCTAGCGCAAAAAGAAGCCGGTCTTGATCCTCCCTTGTCGCGTTGGTACTAATGAGTATGAAAGACTCACAGCATTCACGATACGATACATTTTTTTCTCATTTTCTTGATATTTTCTTGAGTGTCCTCACAAACCTTTTTTACCATCATCCGTGTCTACACAAGCACGGTTTATCACTGACTGACTGATTGTTTTATCAATGATATCCACTCTGTTCTGGGACCTCGAGAGTCCTAACCTATTGCTTTTCGAGGATTTTGTTTCTAAACACCGCCGGCTACCACCATCTACCTCACTTGTATTCCTTCAGCATCCCACCGTGTGCAGTTGTCTGCCGTATGCACGAATTGCAAGGACTTTCCGGGGGAGGGCTGTGTCTTGAGTTCAACAACCCCTGCCCTTGTCTCCTGGCCTTTTGTATTTTTCTCTCTCACGACATAGAAGCGGAATCAGTCGGAGAAGATCCCGAGGTGGTGGAAGAGGGGAGTGGCAGGGGAGAGGAGGAATCCTGTTGCATAGCCGCAAGCCGATAGAACACCAAGAAAAGCAAGAATCCGATCCTGCATTGCATGGTGCTTGGTGTCTAGACACTGTCTATGTTGCGTCCATGACTCACTCACAGGGAGCCATTAATCCGACGGGTTGAAGGGAGAAATGTAAATGTAACATGTCAGACCCGAACCAAGAGACACCTCAAACCTGCTTTTTCTGTTCTTACTTGTGGCCCTAGTAGTGCTGAAGAGAATGATGCATGAAGTAGATGTCAGAATGACACATCTTGACCCCCAAAGCATTTGGAGACAATGAGGGGGGTTTGTCTGTACTGTACCTGAGGCCTCCCGAAGCCCACCCCTCCCCTTCCCCCTCCCTTTTACACGTACGTACAATACCCCTCACCTTCCCTCCTCTACAACATTCTATGCTGGATATGGATGGTTGGAAAAAATAGGTCCGACCAGCCGGACATGGTTGCCATTGACAAGTAGGAATTTTGCTTTCTGGCTGGTTGCTTATCCGAAACTCCCGATATGCGTTGTTCTTGTGATGGCGTGGGTTTGTTTTATTGTTTGCGATTGCGGGTAGGATTTCGCCCTGCCCCTCCTCCTCTTCCTCCTCCTTTCCTGCTTGCCTGCCTGCCTGCCTGCCTGGCTAGAGTAACTTAACCGGGCGGAGTCTTTATTCCGGCCAGGTACGGCGGCTCCGTTGAGTTGCACAGCACAGCACAGTTCAATTCACAGTTCACTTGCAGGTTCAAGATTCAGGTTCAGGTTCAGGTTCCGGGTCAGGGTCGGGTTCAGCTCCACAAGGAGTTTCTACGAGGTATCATAATAAGTAGGGAAATTATCTCCTAGGAGATAAGTTGATGCTGTAAGTTGCGTCTACTCCGGAGATACTCTCGCCCGTCTACGTACAACTTAATATGTAATTATGTCTAGTTAGTTATCCATGCTGCGTTACTCCATACTCTACTGTAAACATCCCACAGCGCAGGCTAGTTTTGGGTTTACGGTCCTTATAGGAAATATCGATCCATTCGGAATCTCTGGATTTCATTTCGTATGGATTGCCTTGTCTGCTGTTATGGGCTTTGACCCTGTTTCTTTGATTTGGGTTGTTTATTGTATTAGTAGACAAGAAACACTGGCGGGTTGCTTCCCGTGTTTCTCCAAATACTATATGTTTCTAAGTAGGGAAAGGTGATGAGTGGGGTAAGGGCGGAGGGGCATGGACAGGAAGAGAGGATAGAGGGGTTTGATGTCTGAGGTCTGAGGTCTCGAGGTCTGAGGCTTTGTTTTTTTTAAAATCTTTTTCGGGTGTTTGAAGTCCTGTGCATGTTCCTGTGCCTGGAATCTCGTCTTATTCCGACTCCCCGAGTTGGGGAGGTTGGGTTTGGTGTGAGGGGAGCAGGAGGAGGAGGGCGGGTAAATTTAACGGGAGCGTGGAGTGTGGAGTGTAGACCCATGTCGGGTGTAGGTATGGATATACGGAGTAGGTGAATAGGTATGGAGAGAGAGAGAGAATGTGTGTGTAGGAGCTTTCTAGGATATAGTTGAATACATTGTGTAAACTAACAGCTTGGCAAGGGACGATCTCGTGAAAAGTTCTACTGGAAGTCGATTCTGCCTGTGAATGAAAATTGACCTGCAAGATTGTGTAGATGGTGGGGATGGAGGGGTCACGGAGTTGAAGAGGGTTGTTGTTGTTGGATACTTACTTGGTAGTTGTAACATCTCTCACTCTAAGCTGGATATAGCGGTAGATTCCCAAGATGTCAATGTCAGACCATCTGCAAAAAGGCACGCACGGGGGGTTTTTAATTCAAAGCAAGGCGAATGCTGCTCGCATATCCGTCTGCCCGGGCTCAGAGGTTGGTTGATTGTTCGCTTGTCAAATGTGTCAGTCCGTGTCAAATGCCAGGTGAGGATGACCAGTGCCCCCGATCTGAGCCCTCTCCCTCCAACCAGGGCGATATCGGGAGATGAGGATGGGGTTTTCGGCAAGAAAAAGAAGGAGATGGTGGTGGGGGCAGGCGTTTCTGCCGAAAAGCTGAAGATGGATTCGAGGGCGTGCATACGCGATGTGCGGTATTAAGTTAACTTAGTGAATTATCGCCGATGATTAAACTTCTCCAGGAGGGCCTTCGGGCAGCGATGGCTGGGTCAGATGGGCAGGCAGGGCACTACACAGTCTGTACTCCGTACTCCGTAGAAGTGAAGCATCTGGTCAAGGCAAAGGCAAAGGCAAAGGCTCACCTTCCACCCCACTTCCCATTACTCGATCTTGTTGTGTGCAGATGGAGTGGGGTGGAGGAGGGAGAGACGGTTTGGCCACGGCAAGCAGAGATTCAACAGGATGGATGATGGAGACTGGGAGTACACACACACACTCTCTCTCTCGGTGTGTGTGTGTGGTATGTATCTGCTTACTCATATTGAGGGAGGAAGGACGGTGGTACAACAGCCAGCCAGGTATGTACCTGTGTATACCCTCACACGGATTATCGATTGTGATGGGTTCCCGATGTGATAGATCTGCTCCGGTCGGGCAAGTCGCAACACTAACTACTAAGTCAATCTGTAAGAGAATCGGTTCTTTTCAGATGTCTTGAAGTTGCCTCGGGTCTAAACCACAATGAATTGTACCGGTAGTTCTCCTCCGTGAGTTTCTAGAGGTATCTCGTAGCGAATATCCAGGTCTCTATGTGGTGACGGTGCCTGCAGGGACTGGCTGTTTCCCAGAACATCAAACAACCACGACTGCTGCAACTTATCAATACTGTGACAAGATCGTTGGAAATGCCTTTTCGGGACTGATCTAAATGGAGCTATTATCTTTGTAAGCAACCTCCAGGCAACTCACCACCATCAAGACGAATGAAAATCTCTCAGCCTGTCTAACCCCCCTTCCAGCGTTGATTGGATGCATTCCGATGCAGCTCTGAGTCACAACACCAGAAATGAAGGCAGGTAACAGCCGCAACACTCCGGGTGACGACGATGCTGAGATGCTGAGATGCTGATGGCTGATGGCTGCTGATGATGATGATGTTGACGATACTGATTCTCCTGGCCAGCCTCCGAGCCACAGAGAGACCAGGCACATGTCTTTCCCCCAACCAGATCTGTCACTCCCACCCACAGGGTTGTGGGACGCGATAATTATTGGATTTAGTTATGTTTGATGATGGCTAAGCTGCAGCAACAGGCAGGAATGTCGAAAGAATGGAAGGAGCTGGAATGTGTGCCCTTGTCGAAGATTCGACCTTGAGGTACAGTACAGAGACTACAGAGGACTAGTACGGAGGAAGGACTACTAAGGTAGATATTATTCATGTACAATGATGATTGATGGCTTCCTTGCTGCCAGTCTGCCCGGAAAAGGTACAGTCTACAGTAAGTAATCCAGATGCAGTACCTGCTGATGCAGATGTGGTGACCTACAGCGAGCGACCTCGACCATCATCGTTGAAAATGAGGCAGTTGAGGTACAGTACAGTAGTTCCAGACTTGTTCAGGCAGACCCCAGGCTTCCAGACTCAGGGTTCATTCTGCTGGACAAGGACAGGGCAGGGCCTGACATAACATGGCATGGTGTCATGGGCTCCGCCTTGAGATCACCCATCGCCACCGTCGACTTGTCGCGACCAGACTGGTGATGATGAGATCCCCTCCCCTGAGATCATGCTCTTTCTGTGCTTTTCCATCATCCCTTCTAGACGGACTAGACTAGACGCCGAACTGGCTCCCCTCTTTTCCCTTTCCTTCCTCCCTCCCCATAAACCATCCACCTGGATCCATTCTGATGGAAAGGGACCCAATCAATCCATGATCCATGATGGATCCATGATTGATCGATGATTGAATCAAACGTTGCCTCCGCCTGCCCCCTTTGGGATTAACGGTGACTGGGGGGCCTGGACAAAACAAAAAAAGAAGTTATAAATATCTGGCCAGAATGGATTAGGTAAGGCACTCTCTGTGACCAGCCAAGCCACACTGGGTGAACGACTCAAATGTCCTGATTCAGTTTAGTCTTGCTCACAACACGTTTTTGTCTTGGATCTTTTTTTTCTTGAGATTTTTTTTTTCTTTTTAATTTCTGTTGCCCATCATTCGCTAATTTAGCACGGGGGGGCGCACGGCCCAGTTATTTTGTCGAGCCGTACCACTAGCGCTCTCCTCGCCCTCTTTTTCGAGGTGTGACTTCAAAATTTGCCTCCGATAGACAGGCAGTGACGGAAATGCTCTTGGGGTTGGCCTGTCGGCTTATGAATTGGCCATGGCTAGGCACCTGCGCTGCGTTGCTCTCCTCTCCTCTACTCTAGTATTCAGTTTTCTGAAGATCCCGTGAAGTTTTGAACCTTAAGTCAATGCTTCTCTCCAATCCAGAGTACACGTACTCCGTACCGCCGCCTGTTCCACCAAGCCCAATGGACAGGTAGGACGTTGCCCTGTCTGGGATTGATTGGGGTCGGCCTCATCAACCAAACCTCCCTATTTTGTTTCTTGTGTCCAGCCGATTTAATTTCTCTTTGTATGGACACAGAAGAATTAGGGTAGAAGGGGGCGGTAGGATAACGACGGTGGTCCTCGTGAGGCGAAGCCCGACAATCAATTTCATCTACGGAGTAGATGACTAGTAGATGGTTGAATCACCCACCCACCCAGGTTCGTGAGATGCCAACCTACGGAGTATAGCGGGTTTCGAGGAATTCCATCTTCTCCTCCTCTCTCTCCCATATGGCCTCTTAGCTCAGGCGATTAAAGCAGACCGGCCGTCGCCAAGCGCTCTCGAAGCAGTAATGAATGGGTCACTGCGGTGACCAACCCCAAGTGCCGATGACTCCAGTCCTCCCTCCTCTCGAACCCCTAGTTAGACCGACTGACTAACTCCCTAAACTCAACATCTAACTAACTAACCACTAAAAAGAGAACTAACCTAGAACCGTTTGGCTAACCTCTCCGATGCTGCCCACCGCCAACCGCTAGAGCTTAGAAGGGACTCAAGGAGTGGTTGCGGCAGGTTGGCTCGGTCTTGGTCGTGCAGCTTATTATTGGATAGCACTGCGGCCACTGCTCGACAGTCAGGCGGGCGGCAGGTAAACTGAATCAATTTTACTGTACAGTTACTTCCCACTTACTGCTATGGCCACGGGACCTCGGAGTATCAATCCCAGCAGAAAGAGGGTGGTGGGTGGCAGGGTCAACCATCAATCTACACGATGCGGGTGTCGGCAAGAAGTAATAAAAATCTTTAAATAAAACAGTAGAAAGAGAGCATCACAGGATGAATCCGACTGCACCTTCTCCTCCTTCTCATCATCATTAATTCATAGTTACTAAAACCGACAGGCTCTTGCCCTCGTTTCCCGTCCATAGTCTCGGTGCCGACGGTCGAAAGACGGATTCTCCCCCCAAATCTTCCCCCCCTAAACCCATGGAAATGGGTATTCTCTTACTGTTCTAGCCTCTGTCTTAGCCTGCCTAGTGACTCCGATGTTACGGTGTGAAGACAGGGAAAAGGATTTCGCTCTCTCTTTTCTTTCTATTCTCTCTCTCTCTTTCTCTCTCAGCAGTCATTCCCGACCACCATTCTGACTAACCCTTTTCCTCTCTCTCTCATTCCCATTCAACCACTTTCCCCCTTAAAACACCAACAGATCAACCAACCAGAAGCACGAAGCGTCAACGGAACTTATTCAATTAATCAGCTTTACTGGATTATTCCTACCTAGGTAGTCTTCTCCCTCCCGTAATCGTAGCCATTCAAAACTCGGAAAAACTCTAAAGGATCGTTCCATCTGCTCGGATGTTGCGGCTGACCTCTTATTAATTATTTGACATTCAACTAAAGGTATGGAGAGAATTGATGCTGGCGGCTGATGAGGAAGGCCTATCTAATGTTTAGCTTCAGGTATTCCGAACTCCTACGGAGCCTACGGAGAATCATTACGAACGGACTTCTCAATGTATGCATGAGGTCCCGTAATGTCCTTCTCATAGAGTAATTTTTTCGTCAAGCAGTAAAGGAAACCGATTGACTTCCTCCGTATGCTGGAGAGTAGTGATCTAATTCTCCGCAATACCTACCTCCTACCAACTGACTGGTATCGAGTATTCTGAGGACAACTGGGAAGTAACTACTAACTTAACAACCACCCGACTTATCTAATGAATTCCGCAACAATGATTGACTGCACAATGGACGAGATCTCCACCCGTGCTGGATGAATATTGGCTGACAGTCTCCTTACCATACCAAAAATCCCTTCTGTCTCCCTTTCCCGTTTCACTCACCTTTTACCCACTCACTGTCCATGATCAATTTGATCATCACTTCAACTTCAATCTGAAAAATTTAATTTCCAAAAGAAAAAAAAAAAATAAAAAAGAAGAAAGTGGTTAGTCAGGCCAGGCCAGTTGAGCCGGGGATCGTCACTTTCCCAGGCTTTCCCTCCCTCCCCTCCCAACGCCGCCGCCTCTGACACCTCCTGCCCACTAGTCCCAATCAATTTGCTTTGCTGCTGCTGTTGCTGCTTTTTTTTTTTTACCCTTTCTTTTTTTACTTACTGTATCTCTCTCTCTCTTTCTCTCTTAGTTCTGTTCTATTCTCCTGTTCCTTTCTTTTGCTTCCTCTCTTACTCCGTCTTCTCTCTTCTATTTCCCCCCCATCCCTCCCTTCTCCTTCTATCCCACTCTTCATCCCTCCTCCTACCGTTTCCCTTTCTTTTTCTCTTTACATCATCAAACCTATATTCTCTCCCTCTTCCCTCCCTCCTTTGTCCACCACCTATAACCCTACCATCTTCTCTCCATCTTACCCTATACCTAACGAGCTTTTCACTAAGTATCGTTCTCATCCCGGATTGGGATCCTTCCCCTTGACGCGAGAATTGGTGTTGGTCGTTTTACACTCTCCATAAAAAAAGCGCAAAAACACATCAAAAAAGATCTCCACCGTCCCCTTCCCTATCCGCATCCACTTCCCCCCTAACACATTTCTTGACCCCATCGGTTATTCATTCTTCTCGTTCGGTTACAAATAAAAAAAACACAATCGACTCAAGCCATTGACTAGCTCGTCTGGTTCTTGGACTCCCTCGTGCTCGAGCAATTGTCCGCTCAACTGTCCCCCTTTCGAAAGCAAGCGCGCCTTCCCAGCGATCGTCGCACTCGTGCAGCAGCAACTTGTCAGACCACTTCGCGTGAATCGCCCCAAAGTCACGACTGTCTCATTGCCGCTTCTCTTGCCTCGTGCTTTGAAGACCGCCACTTCTCTATGTCATTCAACTAAGAGACACCTTCTACACCAAAGCACAGAGCCCGCGGCTCGCTGAGCAACCGCTCTCCTTCCTCTCCTCCACCAAGGATCAGGGCGTGGCGGACGTGTAGACGGTTCGTATCTATAGTTTCTTTCGATCCCGATTGTTTGTTACTCATTCGAATCCTGCTCGTCCTCCGAGCCACTTTGCTAATTCCGCGCTTGGCTACAGCATTCCAGTCTACCTTCCCCCTCCTGAACCGGTGTCGTTTTCTCTACTTCCACCTCATCATGCCATCTTTCTACGCCCCCGGCCTGCAGGGCCTTCCTCCAACTCCGCCTCACATTGTGAGTGGTGGTCGCATGGAACACGAGCAGCCTTTCTACGTCTTGGGCCCGTCCGCTGCCTTCCCGCCTCGTTACTCTCAGAACGGCTGCGAGTTCATCGAACAGTACTCTCAGGCTAACTGCTATTCCAAGTCGGCTGTCGGCATGAACGCTCAGTCTCATGTTGGGGTACGCAATGGCCGCGAGATGAACGCTGCACACTCCGCGATGAATCAGCCCATGTACGGTCACTTGGCCCCCGCCAACGTTCTGCCGCCACTTCGCAACAACGTTCAGCTGCCCCCAATGGACAATGGCATTCCACCCCAGTACCGTCGTCAGGAAATGATGGTGCAGGAGCAACCACGCAAGGAGGAAAAGGCTACTGGAGGCGTTGCGGCGCACTTGGATTATGAGATGGACCAGATGTCCGACTATGTGGCTGAAATGGCCCAGGGAATGTATGCTTTGTACATCACCAAGATCAACCTAGCAGATATTGACTTAGCGCGAAGCGTCTACCCAGGATCGTCGGTCACCCCCCAGTTCCGCAAATACGTCTATCAGATCTTGTCGTCGACTCGACTCCCGAGCTCGACCATTCTCCTGGGTCTCTACTACCTCGCTAGCCGGATGCGCATGCTTTCATCAGCCAAGGTCTTCCCCTCGGGGAGTGGTCAGGTCTACCGGATGCTGACTGTTGCACTCCTCCTGGGAAGTAAGTTCTTGGATGACAACACCTTCCAGAACAAGTCTTGGGCCGAGGTCAGCAACATCCCGGTGAGCGAATTGAACTCGATGGAATTGGACTGGCTCTTCGCCTTCGAATGGAAGATCCACGACCGTATCTATGACAAACAGGATGGGTTCGCTACATGGTTGAAGCACTGGGAAAACTGGCGTGCCAAGACGGTTGCCCGTGCCCAGGAGTCTCGCCACGCTCTGGCTCCCATCGACACCAACGTCTCCCGGCCCCATCGCGTCTCCAAGCCGCTACTCTCCCCAGAGGGCCCGATCCCTCCTCAGTACCAGCGCAGTGCTACCTTTGAAAACTCGTGGCTCAACCCGACCGCTTCCGAGTATTCACCCCCATCTGCGCCGCACAGTGGCCCCAACACGCCGGACTACTTCGCTGTTGGGCCCTGGGCGTACACCAACCCACCTCCGCCGTACACGCGGACTTGGGTGCATACTCCGGGACAGTATATCCCCACAGCCCATCAGTCACAGCCACCGTCGTACCATCACACTCCGGCCTACGCTCTACCATTCGCGCAGAGTGTGTGGACCGGTCACGGCTCGTCCTGTGGTTGCCTGTATTGCATCAAACCTGCGGAGCACTACCTGTGCGCCAACCCCTTTGCTTCGATGCAACCAATCGTCGCTTAAGGGCTGTCACGACCCTCTCTCCCTTCACGCATCGCGCCGTGGGGAAAAAGTTATTTGGTTCCTAATTCGACTATTGCCTTCGCCTTTCCACTAGACCGTGCTGTTCGCGTCGATCATCTTTCTCGCTAATGATACCGTGTTTTATTCGTGTTCCTTGCATGATTACCCTTTTTCTTCTTTGAGTCGGTTCCGCTTGTGTTATCCGCTGAAAAGTACCCGCCGTCAGTCATCCTGGCCATGCCTCCCAAAGCAAAAATCGAAAAAAAGTGTTCAACTGGGGCGCCGATGACCGATTCGATCTTCCATTATCGGCCCTTGCTTCTTTGCTTTTAATGATTTGACACTCTTCTACCACCTCGACAAAATCTCTCTCTTCGAAACGGTCGCACCCGGCCGAGTCTTCCATCTTTCCATCTTACTACTGCCGGGGTATCCTGGGCATGGAACCCTGGGGTAAGGAGTCACGACAATTATGATTGTTTACTTCCGCGTTTGCACGAGTTGTGCTTTGTTTCCGCCTTCGCGTCTCTTTGATCTCTTACTTATCTTCTTCGGATTTGGGCATCTTATCTGGCAATGTTCCTCATAGAGTGTTTCTTTATTTGACCCTGGTTGAGTTAGGATACTGGCACCTTGTTCTTTTTGTCCATCTTCTGCTTGACTCTGGGGGTGTTAATACCTTTTCTCCGTTCGGTTCTATTCTTTGACTGCTCCTTGCATTGTTCTGCTGTGGTCGAACAGATTCTTTGAGCCATTTGTTCTTTTCACGACCGGAGTCAGACACTACCAGCCGCTGTGGCGCGTTCTCGGCTGTGAGGGCTTAGCTACTCTTGGTTGTACATTATACCATGTTCATTTTTCTCTTTCCTCTTCTATGACATTTTTCCTTGCAACTTCGAATGTTCCATCACCCTTCCCCAATATCGAAGGAAATCGCACAAAAAAAAAGTGATACTCTCCCCGTCATGCCTCCTTCGAATTTTTTTTCTTGTTCACGGTGACCGCGCCGGCTTATGTGTGATTCTCAATTTTCATTCGTCCCTTGACTGTACGTTAGAACAACTACTTTCATACCAACCATATGAAAACTGGGAATAAAACACATTCGAGTTTCCAGAATAAAAAAAGAAAAAAAAAACCTGGAAATCATCACAAGAACATCTTTTCTTTCTACATCACAAGAACATCTTTTCTTTCTACTGGTAAATTAGGATCAGTTTGCAGTAAGTACCTTGCGATCAGATAGATTAGGAGGCTGTCGGTGGCCGCGATCACCAGTAGTTATGCCTCACCGACCACAGTCAATTGGCTGCCATTAAATTCCTTAGGGAAGTGTTTCCCATTCCCTAGAGGCAGTCCTCCCCCTCAGCAACTTTTTTACTCCATATGAATGACAATATTGCTTTGATATCCGCATTCCCCCACAGTCGCAGCGCGCAAGGAGGATTGAATCAAGGTTTGGCAGGCACCGCCTTTAGCCTTCTCAATGAATGCTAGAACTAGCTACTCCAGTATATAGTTCGCACAAGGTTGTACATAATATCTCCAGATAGCTTTAGTAGCCATATCTAAGGGAAACTCTCTCTGTTACTGCTACTGAGTTCTGATCTCTAGACTTGGTGCAGTGCATGGCTCTCTTTTCTAGTTACTTCTTGTTTTTGCTCAGTCAATCCAGTTGAGAGCGCTCTCGTTTGTGGCATGCATGCTGTGAGTCCTGTCCATTCCACCTTACACATTGACCCATCCTCTGGCATTTTCAGTAATGCACCACCATCTTTTAATAGCAGTACCAGAAGCATAGCAAGTAAAAGAAAACAAAACAAGAACAAAGCCAAAGGCGTATATATAGACGTAGTAAATATATAACATGGTCATGCCCACTACATGATGCATGATGGGAGAGATCATTTGAAGTGGTGTGCATTTCATCTATCATCATCGTCTAAGCTTCCACTCTCTCTTTTTTTTTTTTTTTTTTTTTTTTTTTTTTTTTTTTTTTGGCGATTCAATTTGTTTTTTTTTTTTTTTTTTCTTGTGGGGGTGTTGATATGTCTTTTCGCCTCCTCGCTAAGTTTCGGGTTGATTGTGCGCGTTCGTTTTTCATTCCTCATCGAAGATCTGCACTCGTTCGGCGTATTTCCGGATGTTGGAGACGTAGGTTTCTTCGATGTCGTCGCCTTGGCCGCTGGCGACGCGGAGGATGAGGTCGTTGAGGGAGGCGCGGCCGAGAATGTCGACGTGGTCTCCTGTTTTTTTGGGGGGTTGGTTCGTTAGAGGTTGTGGGAATGCGGGTTTGGGGGGTGGATGATGGGAGAAGGAACCAAGGCAAGAAGGAAAAAGGAAGAACGAACCTGTGTTGGGTCCACCCCGGGGCGAGAAGCGGTCCGGCTCATGGGGCATCTCATAGACCTTGATCTTGACGCCGGCGGGGTTGTAGCGCTTGATGTGCCAGCCCTTGGCGCACATGTAGCCAGTACTCAAAAGGTTGACGGTGCCGTCGCCCTCGCCCATGTGGACGCCGTGGTCGACGCCGTCGCTGTTGGTAACGGTGGTGTCGATGCTGACGTTGAGGTTGATGAGGGGGTCGCGCTCCTCCTGGTAGAAGTAGCTACGCTCGGTGGGCTTGCCGACGCCGTAGAAGCAGTAGATCTTCATGTCCGGGGCGAGCGGGAGGCGGGTCTCGAGCGGGTTAAGCCAGGTGCGCGGGTTGTGCTCGTTGGCCTCAACCTCGCGCGCGGTGTGGGCGACGCCGTGCGAGTAGCTGGCCAGCACCTGGTGGCGGTACCAGTCCTCGCCCTCGTCGAGCAGGTAGTTCAGGCTCTCGGTGATAGTCATGTTCTTGATGACGCGGCTGGTGCCGCTCTCGCGGAAGTTGAGCAGGTTGCCGAAGGTCAGGTTCTGGTGCGGCTGGTCGTCGGGCGCCCAGGTCGAGTTACCCCAGACGGCCTCGCCGCCCTTGGGGAGCATGCTGGAGATGCCCGGCATGGCGCGGAAGATCTCGGCGCGCTCCTCCTTGGACAGGAACTTCTCCAGCCCGTACACAGCGAAAGCGTTCAGCTGCGCCGTGTCGCGCATCTCGCCGGACAGCACGGCCGTGAGCCCCTTGACAGCACCGAGCATGCACCCGCTGATGTTGATCCAGTTGGCGACGTGCCTGTTGACCCAGTCCGACCCGCCCTTGCCGTGCTCCGGGTTCTCCACCCACTTGAAGAAGTAGAGCACAACCTGCGAGCCCATGCTGTGGGAGGCGAGGGTGACCTTCTCGCCCCGGACCAGGACGGCGGTCTCGATGTACGACTTGAGTCGGCTGAAGTACTGGTCCCGCACCTCCATGTTCGGGTAGGAGAGCCGCCAGTCGTAGGCTGCCGTGAATGCATTGGTCGGGTCATAGCCGATGGTCGCGAGATTCTCGAGGATCTTGTTCCAGATCCAATAGCCCGTGATAAAGAAGTCCGTCGCGTCGAACCCTTGCGCCGCGCGCAGCTTGATCCCGGGGGGATCCAGCCCAGTCTCCTTGTCCAGCATGATATGATTCTTCCAGCCCGGCTTGTCGAGCACCAGCGCCCGCATCATGCTCCAGCTGCCCCAGAGCCTCTTGCGGAAGTACTGCCGGGAGGCGGGCTCAGTACCCCAGCTCTCCAAACCAGTCGAGATCACCCCGGGGATCATGACCATCGGGTGTTTCGCTTTGAATCCTTGCGATTGGAGATGTAGTCCGACGGCGAATGGGTCGTAGTTGACGGTGTCGCGCTCATGTTGCTATCGACATGTGATTTACGGTCAGCCTTTTCTGTTTTGCATGTGCACTGTGTAATTGCCTATCGGAATATGCCCCGACCGGACAAGCCAAAACGCACCGTGAACTCTCTCGCATCATTCAAGAGCCCATGTGGCATGACTTCCATCAAGGACTCGATGTTGAAGTCCATGAGATTGTCCAGACTGATGACATCCTGCTGGTTGGCGAAGAGCACGGCCATTAGGACTCCGAAGAGCCCGCCCAGGGCGAAGATCAAGCCATTGCGACGTTTGCTGCGCGGCTTATGGATGAAGGACTCGGAGCGTTTGGATTGAGGGGGACGCGCAGGCGGAGCAGCAGCAGCAGCAGCAGTAGCAGCAGACGCAGCAGACGCAGGCGAATCGCGCTCTTCCTCCTTGGGCTGGCGACGGCGGAGCATCACCGCCAGAAAGACAATTCAGATTCTTTTCGAGCAGTTAGCTATGAGAACTGGCATGGACAGAGAAACAGCACGATCAGGCTAAAGGGAACAAAAGTAGCGGAAAGAAAGAGAAGAAAATAGAGTGCAAGAGCCGCGGCCAAAGCGAACCTCCAGAAGTCGAAAAAAGGATGAAAATCACATGTTTGGGGGGGAATCGGAGCGGGAATCGGACGTCATCCCGAACTTTTTCTCTTCCATTTACTGGACTGTACATACACCAGCAATCATCACCAGCACACATCACCACCATCACCCACTGCTCCAATGACCTCGAATCCACCATTACCAACACCCTTGGGATCATCCACCCCCACACCCACAACAACAACATTCACACAACCACCACAACCACAACCACAATCAACAACAACAACAACAACAACAACAACGACAACGACAACACCATCAACAACCCCCCTCCGCTACGTCCGCTACGATGGCGCCCGCGAAGACGAGTACGTCCCCGCCATGCGCCAATTAATCTCCAAAGACCTCTCCGAGCCCTACAGTATCTACGTCTACCGCTACTTCCTGTACCAATGGGGGGAGCTCTGCTTCATGGCCATGGACGACACCCGCCCACCCGACTCCGCCATGGTCGGCGTCGTCGTCTCGAAGCTCGAACCCCACCGCGGGGGGCCCCTGCGCGGCTACATCGCCATGTTGGCCGTCAAGGAGGAGTACCGTGGGCGAGGCATCGCGACAAAGCTGGCACGTATGGCGATCGATGCGATGATTGAGCGGGATGCGGATGAGGTAGGTTTTTTCCCCAACACACACATATAATACACCTTTATAGCTATAGAAAAAGGTCACACCAGCAAGCACAACCCCTCCTACATGCACCCACACAATATGCATACCGAACCCAACCCCTACACATATACCCCCTACAAACCACAACCACAACCACAACCACAACCCTACACCTACGAGCACGAGCAAAAGCACAAGCACAAGCCAAACAACACAAACAGAGAGAGGAGCGCAAGCTAACAGAGTCCCCCTTACGGATGCAGATTGCCCTCGAAACCGAAATCACCAATACGGCCGCCATAAAACTCTACGAGCGCCTGGGTTTCCTGCGCAGCAAGCGACTTCACCGGTACTACCTGAACGGCAACTCAGCGTATCGGCTGGTATTATACCTGAAGGAAGGCGTGGGGTTGATGCGCACGAGCATGATGGACCCGTATGGTGGTGGAGGTGGTGCGGCTCCTGTTGTTCCCCCTTATCCACTTCCACCGGGTGGTTCTGCGGATCCACGAGGGGATGATAGTGGAGGAGGAGCGGAGATGGCCGGTGCGCTTGCGGCGCCGGAACCTGCCTTGTTGCATGGGAATGGGAATTCGGGGTGGTAGGAGTATTTGTTTTTTTTTTTTTTCTTTTTTTTTCTTCTGGAGAAGATACCACCATCGAGGAGACGGACAAGTCGAAAAACGTCTGAATTGCCTTGCCTCGTTCCCTCGATACTGGATTGAACATACTAGATACCGCAACAAACCCGATGACCAACTAACGACTATGTGTATGCGCCATGTGATGAATATGATTGATTTCCCTTTGTTTTAGAGTCGGATGCCGTGGCTTGGGGTTGGCAGTTCGTTGCACATCATCCCTCGGATATGGCCTGACCTTGCTAGATGTTTGTCTGGAAAGCTATGTAGATACATTTTGTCAAATCTGAAAGCAGAATGTGCATTCATATGATATACATCCCAATTGGTATTTTCTTATCTATCTCTAGTGATGTCTATATAAACAATCATGGCTTGTCAATGCCACTCAGTGGTGTACACTATTTATATACATGGTCGCCAAAGGCCAAGAGATGAGGAGTGAGGAGGTCGAGGAGGGGGTATGATAGAACAGTACGGACATTCGTAGGCAAAGGGTATCCCTAATAATACAGACAAGAAGAAAAGCCAACACCACGAACCATCAGAAACAAAAAGGTGATCCACGGCAATATAGAAGGCAAAAGCAGACAACGACGCGGTTCCAGATCAAGGCGCACATCACCGCCGCCGCCACGGCCGCTGCTGCCGCGGCTTCTGCCTGTTCTTGAATTTGGCACCCCGGGCGACCAACTCGACAGAGACGATATTGTCTCGCATCCATTCGAGAGTCAGAGGCGCCTCGCGAGACATCTCCTTCCATTCAAGATCCACAAATGTCGCCGCATCAAGCATCGTTAGAAATGGCACGCGAGGTGCGTAGACGCGCGCCACTTTCTGATCGCGAGCAAGGATCGCCTCGCTGACATTTAGCTGGTTGTCACGATCGTTGGCATCCACCTTGGTGCAAATGTACCTCATGGGGTCGTCGGAAAACTCAGTCGGCAGCCCTGCCAAGTCATAGGAGACATCGGCTTTGGTGGGTCTGGGCATTCCCAGATCAATCCCGAGAATGAGCCGCGCCGCAATGGCCTTGTGGAAGGTTGTCTCCGGCCCAGCTTCGTACAACAGGGATCCATAGACCCTCTCGGCAATCCGATGGGCATGTCCTCTCATACAAGCATAACGCCAAATGACACGGCTGATGTTGAAGTACCCGCCGTGCCATGCATGCAAAAAGAGTCGCGTCCAGCCGGCGACATTGAGGTCTCTCATCGGATCATCCATGGTCTGATGCAAGTATCGTAACGCTTGAATGATATTGCCCTTGTTACATGTGCTCACGAAAAGAAGAAAGGTGTAGGGCTCTATCCGGATTCCATTCTGCCTGCAGAATTGGAATAATTGGTCCCTAGCTTGCGGATTCTTCACGCGCATGACGGCACACATCATCTGATTGACCATACTCGAGCTCCACCACGCAGTGTCATAGTCCCTGGCAAGCATCTCCAGGAAAGAGTTCATGTCTCCCCCGTCACGAAGGTGGTTAACCAGTAGTTCGTGTATGACTGCTCGTAACGCTGTCCGCACGTGCGTTGTCCGCTGTAACATCCCTTGCTGCTGTAGACTGTTCACTACTGCCATCTTCTTGTTGGGAGAAACAAAGCAGTCAGCATATGCAAGCCAGGTCTCGACATCTGCGCGGATGCCCAGTTTTTCCATACCATGCAAGAGGTTCCTGAATCGTGTCAGGTTCTGTTCGAGGGCCGAGGACTTGAGCATAATATTGAAGGATTCTACCGTCGCAACGTGGCTTGCAGACTTGAAGATCTGATGTGCGACCCAATACTGCTTATGTCGCAGCAAGTACGACAAAGCTAGATTCAACGACGCGGTGGATATTAATTTCGCCGTAGGACTTCCCAGAAAGAGCCTTTCGAGAGCATCGGCCACATCCGTAGCATGCCTACTCCACTGCCCCGCAGTATTGGGCCGAGATGTGACGAGATCCTCCACATGATGGGTGAAATCCCTCACCGTGGCTACAAGTTCTCCCTGGCGAAGAATTTGATTCACAGTGAACTCATTCAGTTCTTGAGGCATATCCCATGTGCCGCGCACTAGGGGTATATCTTTGTGTATGCGTCTGTCCACCGATGGATAGATGGGAACCACGGGCTTATGTATGCTGACGACCGGGTCGAATTCGTCCTGTAAAGTGCTGATCTCAAGCAGCTCTTTTTGGACCTCCTTCACAGCCGCCGGTCGCCCTTCGAGAATCACCCGGCGACACAGCCCCACGCTCTCCGAAACCGGCCGGACATGCACCTTGCACCCATGATATACTTCGCGATAGAAGATGTTCTCGCCTCGAGACACCATGCCTGCGAGCTCGGCAATCGTTTCCTCCCGCATATATACTTCTAGCTGGCCGGGCTTCCGCGGAGCACCTGCCGGGGTTGTCTGATGCATCCGAAGCAACCTCTCGAAAACTCCAGTTTGATCCTTCAACCTCTTTTGTAGATTTTCTCGATAGCCTTTGCGGGTGGTTCCGAGCTCTGATTGTCGATTTGCTAACTTCTTCTTGTCGCGGGGCGAGATCGAGGACAGCGCGACGTGACTTTTCAGCTGCAGTTGTTTCCATCGCGAGACGCTATCGGCCCGCGGTCGAGGAAAGGATGAGTGCCGCAGGGCTTGAGGTTTTGCTGTACATTTTGTGGGTTCTTTGTTCGGGACAGGTCTCGCGACCCCGGTACAGGTCGCGGAGGTTAATTGTCTGGAGGGAATCCTTGTCGAGGCCTGCGGGGAAAGTCGAGGGGCACTGAGTCCCCGCTTGCGAGGGCGGTGCGTTTGCTTTGTGGGATCAAGAGCCGGATTAATTGCGGAGAAAGATCTCCGGTGCGTGGGCAAGGACGCAGACCAGGAAGGATAGAGAAAGAGGAGTGGCTCATCGGGGGCAGCCGCGACGTGTTCCAGGACAGCAGGTAATCTGCGCCTTGTGAGATACGGGCGACTGCGTGAGAGCATTGACGAACACCCGAAGGGATTGCCCCTGGGCTAGAACCGGGGCAGGAGAACAGGGGATGGGAGGAAAATGTGGAAGTTGTTTCTTTCGAGGGCGAGGTGAAAGGCAAGAAGATCAAAGCTCCGGTGGCCGCTCCGCTGCGGGAACTTCGAAAATGTTTTTGTCGGCCAGGGCGGTCAGCAGTCAGTCCGAGGTTTTATGCCCGCCGCCAGCATCTCCGCTGTCAACACCCGATTTGCCCTACTTTCATCTAGAAGTACAAAGACGAAGAGGACAGCAATAAATAACAATTCGATTAGGGATACAAATATATAATACATTCATGCTCCGTGACGCCCAGCTAATCCCAGATATAATGAATCCCAAAACTGAACACCATGCTAGTAGACATGCAAACACAACAAGCCATCAAGAAGTATACTGGTAGATATGGCCTTCGCGCCCGACTTCAGCTGCCTGGGGGATACCCTTGATTTCACCCCCATCATCCATAGGCTGGAAGGTAAACTTGCCGGAGTACCTCGATAAAAGACTACCTCTCTTCGGCGCTGGAGTCAAGTCCAACATGTCCGCCTCGAGATGCCGATCATCGGATTGTAGCACTTCGGGTCCCGTGAGGTGACGCCGCGCCACCTCCGCGGCCTTTTGGAGATGATCACGCTGGCGCTGTAGCTCTGCTGCTTCCTTCCCCGTTTTTTCAGAGCTCTCCCTGGATAATTCGTCGACGACATCGGACAGGCGTGTGTAGTACTGCCACCGCGAAGCTTGGAAGACAAACATGGACATGATCTCCGGGATCTAACATGATTCAAGTCAGCCGAGCCAATATTGAGAGTACAGCGAAGGAACAAACTTACCTTCCCATCCAAATAGAAGAGCTCGTCCCCGCCCTCCTGCAAGAACTTCTCCAGAGCATCCATCTTCTCGCGATCGACTCGTGCCACTCGTAACGCATGCATTAACGCAGGGATACTGGCAATCTCCTCCACATGCTCCTCCTCTTCCTCAACCTTCGTGGCGACCCGACTGAGGTACCCGGACGTGACACGCGACAGACCATCCACACTGGACGCCCTCGTCTTCGCCTTACCCGAATGAATCGTGAAGTAATCTTCATTGAGCATGTGCGCCGCCTCCAGGCCCGAACGACCCCGACGGCTGCGCTCCGCCACGCGCTTCACTCGCAGCCGCACCCACCGCCGTCGACGCACGTATGAATGATACCAGGGATGCGAGCCATGCCAGGCCGACGAGCCGAACGAGAACGAGTACTGCCAGCCCTGATCGTCCACATCGCCCGACATGTCCACATACCAGGTTTTCCAGACCCATTCCCAGCTGGGATCCGGCAGCTGGGCGTTGGTAATGTTGACGGCGCTATCGCGACCGTCGGGCGTTGTCCAAGCCGCGGGGTCGAAGTTCAGTAGGGAGCTCTGCGAGTAGAGAGGGATGCCGAAGAAGAACCAGCCGCGCTGGTTCTCGTACAGTATGTCCAGCTCGGTGCCCGGCTTGAGCCCTGTAAGCTTCGGGTGGCTGTGACCATCATGCTCGGCCCCGTCACCACGAGGAGCGTTAGTCGCATTATCGACATCCGACTGATCCTCCGGGGAGCATTGCGTCGAGGAGGGGCCCGTAGTGGTGGCCGTCAAGCGGCTCTCTCTGGCCAGTGTGTCCGTTCGCGTCTCAGTCGTGTAAAGATCTCGCCCGTCGGACGCTCTGCGGTCGGAAGTGTCCTCATCGTCGGTCAGACCAAGGCGTTCCGGCTGCCATTTGGCATACTTGCGTTTGGCGAGTCCGCTGCGAATCGAAGCACGGGTGAACTTTCTCGAGATGTTATGAGAAAGATCGGTAGCGGTGTGGGTTTGCGCCAGCGCATCGTCAGATGGACGACGGGGAGCGGTCTTGTCGAGGAGACTGATCTTGAGATGGCCCTCCATTTCTTGTGGGAATGGTCTCGTTAAATACTAGCTCAGATAATCGCAGCCCAACAGTAATCTCATCGCAGCCGTCTATACTATTGATTGCACCTGAAGTGAAACGAAGAGGAAGTGGTAGGTGGAGCTATTGGCGAGCAGTAGGGGGGAAGGGAATTTGAAGGTCGAATAGCCCTCCGCAGGACCGAATTATCAATTCTAGGAGCGAGTATAAGAATAAATTAGTAGGGAGTAAAGGAACAATAAGGTAGCATCACACATAAGGCCAGGGGGGGGAACCAAAGAGTGTATCGCAGGATGATCGACCACGGCATAATGGGGACAGAGAGATAGGAGTAGTTCGTGACTGGGAGTGTTTTAAGTGAAACTCAACTGCAACCAAGTTCCTCTAATATCGATGACATCGTTATGTGGGGATCCGCCGATCGGCATAAGTTGCCTGAGGCAATCATTACAACAAGCCTCAGGCATTAACCGCCAACTGGTAAGACCGTGAGAGACTATCGTGCGCCCTGCGGCGTATCTCCGCCCATCATCCACTCCTCCCGATAAAACAAAACAATAAACCCAATCCGATCCCATCACCAAATCTCATTCCGACTCTCAACTCGGATACCCCCTCCCCAACCATCAATCATAAGAACGCCCAGCAGCAACAGGAAGATGACAGACCCCCACCACCGCAAAATCGAACTCCAATCCCCCGCCGACCTAACCTACCTCTACGGCAACACCGTCGCGCTCTCCCGCCAAAAGCTCGACCTCCACCTGCCCCCCTCAGCCAACTCCAACGATGGTCCTGACCCTATGCGCGAACGTGTCCGCGAACTAGTCGATGAGGTACGTGCGCTTTGTAGTCTACTCGGTGGTTTCCTCCGTACCACTCCATACTACTTCCGCCCCGACCCCGCAAGAAATAGAACCAAAAGAAGGCAGGGCAACAACAGCTAACCACCCATCGCCCGTGGAACAGTACATCCTCCGCACCTTCACAAGCGCCTCCTCCTCTATCACAATCAACGGGCTCGACTCTTCGTCCAAGGAATTCCCGTTTCCCGCCTCGTTCACCGCGCCCTCGGAGCAGGTCGAGTACGAGGCATATGACGCAAAGCTCGCAGCGCGGGTGACGTCGCTGTACGCGCAGTTGGAGTCGTTGACGACGACGGTGGCGCAGTTGCGGCGAGACGCGCCGGCCAGGGCGGCGCGGGCGTATGCGGAGCAATTGAGGAGGGTGATTGAGGAGGAAGAGGCGGAGGACGAGGCGGAGGATGTTGAGGAGGATGGAGAGGTGGAGGAAGAGGGTGACGATATCACAAACACTGTTGTGAGCCAGGAGAACGAGGGTGAACTCAAGGAGGAGAGCGAGGGATCAAGTCAGGAGAGAGGTGGCAATGCGGGAACAGGGGAGGACCAAGAAATGACAGGTATGGAGACCGGGCCGCCAGCGTCTCGAGCGGACGGCAGTGGGCTGTTGGCTGGAGACACGGAGATGGTGGATGCACGTGGAGATGCTGGGGTTGGGACAGTGGATAAGGGAACAACGACGAAAACGAAAAGAAGGTCGCCTCGATTGGCGCGCCGCGCCAAATTACAGATTCCGCTAGGCTCGGAGCATGAGGCGGAGCGCTGGCGAAGTGGAGAGATGGCTGAGGTCTACGAGGATGCCCTGCGGACTCTACTCCGGCTGCAGGGGGAAGCCGTGGCCGGGCAGGCCGCTGCATCAGACACTGAGGGCGCAGACGGAAACGCCCTCGCATCGACGGTGGGAAAGGCCGAACGCGCGGGTCGGGCGGTCGAGGTGGTTGAAAAGAAGAAGTAAGGGGTTGGACGCTGCTATCTCTTTTGCTTTATTCATTATTGGCGTTGGCAGCCTGGGTAGGCTTGGGATGATACCAAATTTGAATTATGGTGCATTGTGTTAAACCACTGAAGATTTGCGGTCTTGGGCTTGAAGATTGTCTGGTATAGACAGGCAATTCACCTGCTTGTAAAGCCGTCGTCAACTGCTGCAACGGTTCTATGTACTCCAGTCTACGTAACTCTATCCCAACTCCGTGTGACTCTTTCGTCGGCCACCCGGGCATTACTCCCCGCCTGCACTCCAGTGTATATAAATGCACTTCGCCACGCTCAGACAATCGTCGAAACCGCAAAGCTCAACAGACAACAAAGAAGAACGGAAAGACAACGATCAATCAAAAGAGCAACAGTGGAACTATGCTTGTCAAAACACCACCGGCTCCCACGTGTGATAAACTCAGAGAAATCAGCCAGTGGACAGGTTCATCTGATATTGGATAACGTATGGGAAAAAAAGTGAACGGGCATTTGGTAGTAGGACCTTGCCCGACAAAAAATGAAGAAATGGGAACAGACCAAACAACTCTAGCAACAAAAGAAGGGATATAGATTGGCAAAATCATGCCTGAAGCTTTTACCATATTGATCCAATATAACGCGAACAAGAAAATCCATCGAAAGAAAACAGCAAGGACTTTATGCGCTAGGCTGGGGAGGCTCAACAACCGGCTCCTCGGTTGTGGCCACAGTCTGTTCCTCCTTGGGCGTAGCCCACTTGGGGGGCTTGGCCCATTCAGCTTCCTTCCAAGGTCCCATATCGCTGAGCTCGCACCCGCCGCTGCATTTGCAAGTACCTCCAAACTCTTCGGGGAGGTTCTCGGCAGGAACCTGGGCCAACAACTCCTTCTTGTAGCCGGTGCCCAGAACGTGGATCTTGCTGACAGTGACGGGGTCAAGGAACTTCTTCACGAAGCTGAACACGCCGCTGAATCCCCAAGGAGCGTTGATCAGATAAAGCTTGCCCAGACGCTCGGGGTAGTAGTTTTGAGAGATGCCAGACGCCTGGCTGAGGTATCCGTACACAGACGGAGCGCTAGTGATTCCAACACCCTTCAGGTCCATGATAGTGCAGCAGGTCTCCAGAAGCTTGCCAGCCTTGCGCGAGCAAGCGGGCAAACGAGGGTCGGCGAGCTTCTCGTACTCAGTTACGAGGTTCTGAAGCATACGCTCTTCGGTGGTAATCTTGTGCAAGGCATTGAGATCAATCTTGCCAAGCTTCTCAATGTAGACGGGCCGGCCATCCTACATGATACCAAGAACCATTAGCACTCGTTCTCCCATCTATGTCAATCTGCACACTCTGCTTTGCCGTGGAGATCATACCTTGTCCGTTTTGTGATAATATTGAGGGTAGTATTCGAAAACCTGGGGCTTCTCCGTGTAGTCGAAAGTGCGGACCAAATCGTCGGTTCCGAACTCTTTCCGCCACTTCTCACTGTCGATGAACCTGTTTCACAGATGACGTTAGTCAGTTGCGCTTTCGTCTAATACGGGTATAGTTTGTACTAATTGAAGCATGCAGGATGCCAGCGCGGTTCCCCTTTGTTTGCCTCCGACGCTCGAGAAAACAAATGATGGGGTGGATACAGAAGGGGGACACCTACATAGCTTTGGCAAGGGCGACATCGAACTTGCGGGCTCTCAGAAAGCGCAGCAACGTGAGAGTGTCCAGCCTCTCAGTGTAGCCAAGCTGTTCGAGTTCGCTCCGAAGTTGCTCCACCTTCGCATCCTGCTCTGGGGTGGTGTGGCCGGGGTGGCCTGGCTGAGCCTCCGGTGCCGTGGTCGGAAAGTCGTAGTCGTCGTACTGGGACGAGGTAGCCATCTTGGAAATACGTGTGAAGAGGGAGAGGAGGTGGGGGTGAGAGGGAAAAGATAATGAGGGAAAGAGGAAAGGAGGGGAGAGTGAGTAGGTTGGAAGAGAAGAAGAGAGTTGTGATAAAGTTGGGTTTAAGAAGGACTAAACTTCCGTGTTGTGGTCGGGAAAGGGGAGGGGGAGGAGGCGGCGAGAGGAGGACAAATTGGGCGGTGCAGGGGGAGGGGGAGAGAGGGAGAGGGAGAGGGAGAGGGGAGTGGGGGACGGAGGCACACTTAAGCGGGACGTCGCAATTTGGACAAAAAAGAGAGGAGAAGGGGGAAACAGACAATCTATACTTTTAGTAGGTTCTAAGGGGGTCAAACACAATTCTTATCTCTCGGTTGTCCTACAAGAGCAGCAGAGGAGAGAATACCAATAAATTGAATATTCCATGTTAACTTGAAGTTACTGAGGGAGATGTTGATAGCCTGAAGTTGATGCCTGATAGAGGAGGCCGAAGTCTCAGCAACAGGCGGTTCACCGGATCCTTCTCCATCCCCATCCCAACGAGTAGGACCGCAAGTATTGGCTAAGACTTCGATCACTTGGTACTATGCATGCTGCGTGACGTAGGTATAGTCTCTGTCTGCGGTCGATGACCTATCCCACCCAGTCCTGGCGAGATCTACCTGTCCCGGATTCCCGTGGCCAAAGCGCCCATACCCTGCTCGCAACGAAGGGCAGACAGATCCACCAAGCCGCGGATTCGAAGGCTCTGATCAGATGCACAAGTCAAGTCGGGATTACCCTCTTCATTAAGAGCCATATCGTGGCAGGAGAACGCTAAATCCAATGTTTATAAGTACATATATGGACAGTATGACATAATACGGCATAGAAATGTAGCAATAAAATAAAAACCTGCGCCAAGTGGTCGAGCCAAATCCAGGCACCAATCATTACAGGATATAGCCATCGCCAAAATGGGACAGTGATAGATAAAATCAGATCAGAGCCATGAGCACTCGCCCTCGAACCAGCGAGGACAGCGCCTTTTGTCACCCTGGAATCAACCAACCATTACCGCCTCGGATGGCCAGCAGACACCAATGGAAAAAGGGGAAGCAGAACTGAGACTGAAAATCATCGGAACGCTGCCGATGATCAATCGTCGAACCCCGTCGTGGGAAAATCGGGAATAAGCGAAGAAGGTAATTCCCCGTCAATCATCCAACCATCTCTGAATCGTAGCGTAGAACGAACGGATACACCAGCAACGTCTGCCCCACAAGTACGGTCGCCCGAACATGAAGCGTTTCTTGCAAGCCGGTCGCTCAAATTCATGTAAGTCGTCACGGTAATCGGCGTGAAGGCCGAATACCGAGGGCTTCCTACCAGCCCTTCTTCCGTGCGAATCGTTTGTTCAAAAGTGCGAGTACCTTTGAGACATTGAACTGAACATACTCTAAGTCCAGGTCCTCCTGGTTGTCTTTCTGCATTTCGAGCAGATCATCAAGCTTGAGATCCAGTTCTAGAAGTCCACGAGCACGGCCTAATGTCACAATGTTAACAGACTGCTTGCAGAGCGCCACGAATGAACAATGTTCAGCTTACCTTTGTAGTGAAGGCTGATGACAAAAGTGCCAGGCAACGGACTCTTGAACATGAAATAGATATTCGCTCGACGGTTTTCAGGGACATTGCTCTTCCGAATCACGCCTTCCTTCTCCAGCTGCTGATGGGTGAACTTGTAGGGACCAAGCTCTTGATGCTTTTGCTGCTTACGTTGTTTGCCCTCTGATTGGCTTCGGACGTTGTGCAAGTACGATTTGTACGTTTCGAGCTGACCCACCAAGTAGGCATTGTGATCGCGGATGGTGGCAAACACTTCTTCCAACTTCTTCGTCTCCTCCAAGACCTTTTCTTTCAGAGATCCCAGGTGAACCAGCTCTTGTTCCACCTCGTCGCGGAGAAGACTGAAATCGTCCGATCGATCAATCACTCCCATCTCCTGGAGCTGGCTCAGCAACTCCATAGTGCGGATTCCTTTCTTGACCATGGCCGCATCGCCGGTCTTTGAGGTTGCTGCCGCCTCTGCAATGCGGTAAAGGCGAAGTGGGCGCCGAGCGACTGGGGAGTCCGTTGGCAACGAACGCAGGATGTGGACGAAGGTCGACTTGGCTTCCATAAAGAACACTTCCTCTTGCGTGATATCAAGGGCCGAGGTCAGATCATCCAATGCAGTAGTTTCCCAGCGGCTAAACAGGGGGACTGTGATGGTCCTATTTTCCTTGCGCGGAACCTGGGGCGGTGCCGTACCAAGCTCCTGCAACAACACGTGAAGATGGGAATGTTGATCTTGTGCCAAGGCCACGTTGTGTTTCTCCAACAAGGCATGCGTGGCATACATCTCATTCAGCGTAATCTGCAACTCCAGATCACGCTTAGACAGTGCGATGTAGTTGTCCATCTCCAAGCTCTCATAGAAATCCTGCACCTCACACAGGTCAAGCATGAACTTGTTGACCCGTTCCTTGTTCTGCTCGATGAACGGTTGCAGTTTTGCCATATAAGGCTCCTTGGCATAGGAGGGCTTATTTGCCAAGTTCTGAAGCATCTTGGCGATCAATGTGAGCGTGCGACGGGGCTTTTCGGTGGGGGTCGACTCAATTAGCATGTAAGACCGCGGGGTGACGATGGCTGGATTGATGAATCGGAGAAAGAAGAATCCTCCTATGAGGGTGCAAATCGTCTGGTCCTGCGCATCAGGGTATTTGCGTCGAGACAAGCTCCGGATTTGTTTGCAGATCCACCTTATGCCATACGGAGCTTCGTCAACATGATCTATGATGGTGGACAAGAACTTATTGGCCAACTCCGTAAGCATCTTCAAGCGCGGCTCGATAATAGCCTGCACTTGCTTGTTCTCGGCCGCGGCTTCCGCAGTCACCGATCTCGCAAGGTAGTCAGGCAGCGACCCATTCTCTTCTTCAATCTCTTTCACCATGGTCTCATATACCTTCAGGGGATTAATTTCCAGGTCGACGTCACGCAGCTCAATCAAAGAATTAATCTGGTCGGCGAGGACTTGTTTAAGATAGCTTTGACCAGGTCCACGTCGCGTGTATGTCGTCATCATGCGTGAGACCGGGGTGTTCTGGCGGAGGAGGGATGAGTATTCCGGTGTGTTGTCAAATTGATAGGTAAGAACCGATTGAAACATAGTCAGGAGCAAATGCTCCTCACGGCTCTCATACTGGTTTCCGTAAATGGTGAACATGACCGTTTGTAAGAGGGAATCTATCTCGGACATGGAGACGAGTCGGCATAGATGGGCGATGTGGCGCGGCTCAGACTGAAGGAGAAACAAGAGATTGCCGTATTTCTGGGTTTTGTCGTCATTGGGAAAGAACCCCTCCTGAGGATCCAGGACTTCGTCGAGGTGGCTGGCAACTTCGTTTTGCTGCAGCGAAGTTAAGATTAACGGAAAGGATCAGCGGCTGCTCAATTCATACCTCTTCTAGGGCCATACGATTCTGGATCAACAGCGCGATGCGAGAATCCAGATATCGGACATCCTTTTCGAGAACAAAATTCTTCTTTGATTGTGAGGAAATATTCGTTTTCAATTCTTGCAGGAATTTCTGGGCTGTTTCGATCAATATCAGTAAGGAAACGAAGACAACCAGGGGCGAAAAATACTCACCTCTAGCTAGATCATCCGAGATTTCCAAGTCTCTATCCTTCGCTGACATTGACATGTACAGCGCATTCATTGACATCCGCTTCGATTGGCGGAGAGACCGCGTGTCGTGAGACGACATAGTGTTCTGACGCGTCATGGGTTGAAAAGACGAGGAAGAGGAAGTGGACGTTCTTGAAGCAGGTTGTAGCATCGTGGCAACCGACATAGTGTAAACCGAAGGACTGTGACAGTGCGCTAAGGTGAAGCACTTGAACGATGGGCGTGCAATCGCGATTCGCACGGACTATCAGCTAGCACCAAGCGCACATTCAGTGCCGTTTGTGAAGGATCGCGACGATCAATTGCTGAGCCTGAGGAAGAATCAGGACCCAAGCTCATATGGCACACAACTGTTTGTTGACGGAGCGCAATGCGAGAAGGTCGGTAGAGGAATTGTAGCCCCTATCGAGCACGTATGCGGAATATGGTCGAGGGCGACCGCGAGGGACAAAAAAGTGAGTAGCCGTTGGATCGGCGACTGAGCGGCCCTGACAGGCCTAGGCACGGTCAAGAAGGAAGGACGGAATTCGAAAAGCAGTAGACGTTGAACACTCCGAATAAAGGATTGACGATAACGGCGCGAAAAGGTGCGATCAACAGGGGTTGGCGATTTGAATACTCTCCGGCGGCTATAGGTCGGTTGGGAGAACGAGGGAGGTGGAAATACCTCCGAGAGAATTAATGAGAGAGAGACGGTCGTGTTTAAAGTGATCGCGAGCTTCGAAGGTATGGACCGGATTGGATGATAAGTACTAGAAGCGAAACCACTGCCGGATCAAGGAAGGGAGCGCAAGGCAAGGATAGGCAGGAATTAATTAATAGATTGATGGAGAGGGAGGATAGAGAAGAGGGGAGTGAAAAGAGGGAGGAGGAAGAAGAAGAAGAGGAGGAGGAGGGGGCAGGAGGAGAAAGATGCCGGTCGGACACAGATGAAAATCAGGGCCACCACTGGCCCAAGTCAGTACTAGTCAATCGCAGTCCCCGTAGTATTTATCCCACTGGTAACAATGGTGTACTTATATACGCAGTACGGAGTACGTTATGTATATAGGTAGAAATCGGTTGAGAAATTTGAAGTTACAAGGTTTGGCAGGAATTAAGCAAGTAATCATAGAATTCTATAAGAACTCTACTCCAAGTAGGTTGAGAATAAGAAAGAAAGGAGTTGTGTGCATGCGCCAGTAGAGCGAGTCGGCGAGTAGTAAGTAACTTAACTAAGAGAGGGAGAAAGAATGGATGGCTGGAAGGAAAGTGGATTGCCTGGGTTTGAACGTCGGGTTGAGTTGCGAAAAGTGGGCATCCCAGTCCCGAAAGGGCAAAGTGAAAGAATAAAAAGGGAAAATACATTCAAAAAAAAATTAATTTTATACAAGAAAGTCGGATGGGAGGGGGGGAGGGGGGTTGAGGAAGGGGAACGGACGAAGGAAAATACACAATCAGAAAAGACAAGAAAGGGTGGTGTGGAGATGGTCTCCGTGACTTGCAGCAACAACGCAGTGAACGGACGGACGGGTGGGTGGGTTGAATGGGCAAGGGCCAAGCAGGTACGCAACGCGCTTCACTCGAGTAACAGTACGGAGTACAGACCATCCCAGGCACCGGCATGCATCCCTCTCCCCTTTGCCTTTTCTTCTTCTGTTCTCCGTCTTCTCTCTCCCATGCCCACTCGGCAGAGATAAGCCGAGACAGGAGGGGGTGAACGGTGTAGATAGTGTCTTAAAACTTGTATGAAGGCGCATATACAAGATAAATTGATTAATATAGCAGTCACTTCAAAGCTCTCTACTCCCCTACCATCAAGAAGAGTCAGGGCCAGCACTACCTACGGGTAGTAGCCAATTCATTGCTCTATGCGCAAAGGGAGAATGGAGATTGACCGAACTGATCATCGTCTGGTCATTACTCTTCTAATTAGACATTGTCCAGAAAACCATGACCATCTTTGTTTTGAATATAATGCTGACCATGAATGGTGCCAGGCTTCCTGATTGAGTCCAAGGAATCCATCATGTTCTCAGTTGCCTTTTAATCTCTTTAGAATGCTTGCAGTAGTAACCTATGAATGGTTGGCAACCCACCAGTCGAGTGTCTCCTTCTCCTGCTAGTATGACTCCGTCCCTCTCCGGGCCGTTGCACCAATGATGATAATTGGATGATCATTTACCGGAGATCATGATTCGACCGCTGGTGCAGAGAGAGCGAGACGGTCGACATGCAGGACGACGCAAGGGGGGAACTTGTTAAGCAGAAAAGAGTGAACTAAACTGGATGGGTGTTAAGTGAACGACCCTAAGAAACTAGCAACGACACTGCGTCGGGACTAGATAAGTTGATGTCCACCTTGACTAGAACTTAGCACGAGACTAAACCCTTATTATCCGGGCTTGCTTCCCCAACTCTGTTACCCCTGGCCCAATGCGCCCATTCATGATCCCATGGGTCGTGCCATCAGGAGTTCGGTACCTGAGCGGAGAGGATGTTGCCACTCGCCACTTTGGCTTGCTTGGTTGGGGGGAATTTCTTCCTGTAACTACTTGAAATACTCAGTAGAGTCCTACCACTGACGCAACCGGGAGAGAAGTCCAACTTTTGGGGTCTCAGATACGAGACATGGATCAGAACGTAGTCGTATGGATTGTCCGCGCCAAACAAACCTACCGGTGAGCAAAGCCACGCAGTTGTAGGTCCACGCGGAACGCACTGAGAAACATTTGACAAATAAATCCCCAGGATGATCTTCTCAAGATTGCGTTTGAGGGCCGGAATTTCTTTTGCTCAACCGATGCGAATCTCAGAGGCCCACTGTTCTTGTTCATCCTCTCTGGCCTTTGTAGTAACCAGCCTTGTGCCACCAAGGATGCATCTGCAGACGTACTTACACGGTAACTTAGTTACTCTACTTACTCCGTTAAAAGTAGTCGGCAAGAATAGCCACGGGGCTGAAACCCAGCGGGTTCCCCTGAATTTGTTCAGTGCACGGCACCTGCAAGTGGCACCTACTGCATACAGTTTAGCGCGGCAAGCTAAAAGGTCCGCCTGATCAGATCGGGAGGGACCCAAGGCTGGTACCTGCGTCAACTTTAAAAACCACTGGTCACTGGCCACTGTGGCTAACTACTGCCGCTGTCCTCCGCTCAGCCTAAGGCACTTAGGCACTACTAAACTTAGCACTTGATGCTTCCCTCCCCGTTTCACCTCTGATGCTATTCTTGATTCCGGGTCACTTCGTCGGCGTAGTGTGTACAAGATGATACAAGGTGTATACACACTACACAGTAGGTTCAATCGCTTGACGGAGGTAAGAGCCTCCATTACATCATGACTCCAGCCGCACACCCAACAATGGAGTCTACTTATCACATTAGGTGCTGATTATAGGCGACTAGCAGCTCCAGCTGTGGGTGGATGCCTCAAAACCTAGAATTCGATGAGGCATGCACAATAGCGAACAATCCACGCTGGCGGGCTACCCTCAATCATCCAGTCTCCCTCCAACCATCCATTGCAGGTCCCGAACATTCCTCTGTGTAGGACAAAGTGGGTTGATCGTTGCTGGCCAGGCTGGTCCAGCTCAGTGATCACGGCGGCTAGAACAGTGGCTGACAGATTGACTTCAACATTTCTCCTCCTCCAAAAGTACTATGTAGTATGACGCACGGAGCAGGCTCTGGTTGCCTCTGCTGGTCTGTACTCTCTCCAGTCATCACCCACTTGACCAGGTAGAGTATGCTTGCAATCATTCAGTTTACTAGAGTTAACTTATCGGACAAACTCGGTCATCAACACCCAAGAAACTCTATTTCTCAACACAGCTGCAGCTGCAAGCGCCATCCCGGTGTGCAGACGTGCATGCATGTCTAAGGCTGTACGACCCTTTGTCTCTCCCACCATGCGACGGCATTGTACAGTAGTAGTACTTACTCTGTAGCAAACCAAGCACGGACCGCTCCGATGATTTGATTTCTTTGTCCCAGGCCGGTTGTTACACTCTTGGGACTCAAAGGGCTCCACACCACATACTTTGTGACGTGGGTCAGGTATCTGTATTTGGGAATCCTACTCTGTGTGACGGGGGCCACGGTGGTATCTGGACCTCAGATTGACATCATATCACAAGAAAAACAAGGATTGAGATTGATGATATAGAGCACTGATCAGATGATCTGCAGCATCTCTGCATTCGCTGGGTGGTTTGTGATCGACGCGGGAATTCTAGGTGATCGCTACGTACTACGTAGGTATAACTTAGGCTTTGAGCAGGATTTGGAGGGATTCACTTGTTCTTCCGCGGAGCCTGCTGGTTAGACTCGCGAGCACAACTTCTGTGATAATGTTTGACCCAGTTCATCTTCTTGAGAAGCGGCCAGGGAGAGTCAGTACTAGTAGCCAGATCATAGTCTGAAGGCTATACAATGCTCAGGTATGCCTCATGAATCTACTACTTGCTTAGACCAGACGGTACCACTTCATACGTGCAAACGACTTTTGAACACAATTCCTTCCATCCCTCTCTGTGATTGGCTTTCAGCCATATTTGCGGTATATGGCACCACAAGATTCACCATACCTGCCTAAATCCTCTTGACTAGATAATCCTACATACTACTAGTATGCTTATGACCCACCGACTCCATTCGGAAGGCGGTTAAGCAGCCGTGGGGGCGGCAGTAAGACGGGCAGCTAGACCCAAAACAGCCGGGACAGGAGGGGCGGTGACGGGCCGAGGCAACCGCAGCGCTCACACGTGGTTGGCCCTCGGAAGTCAATTACCGATTGGTACTTCACTCGCTAAGTAGGTAACTTAGGTACCTGATGCAGCCGAGCCTCTGCAGACTGCAGACTGTTGCAGTGGGCTCAGTCACCGGCGATGCTTCTGTGTCAGATCAGTTTGTGCTAAGCTGGACCATGCGATATCATCTCAGATACAAGAGGGGTCTATCTCAGTCCACATCCTCTAATCACAGCCTGTAAACCGGAGGTTTAGAACCATAAACTCTAAATCAGAAGATACTTGGTTTCGAGTGGACCATAACTGTAAAAAACACCATACGCGAGAGCATACACAGTATACCTACACACATCATACTAATTTTTATGACTCGTTGCTGCTAGAGAGATTATTTGACCTGAACTGCTCCTACAAGCCCTCCACATAATTCGGATCACATGCGAAATCCACCTGCAAAACCCCCACTAAAATCCCAACCCATAGGCACAAAATAATTCACCTCGTCCAAACCCGCTACTCAATCGTGCCAAAATCCTACCTTCCACAAACCCCGATACCATACCTCATCCCAGAGTCAAATAGAAATCAAACATGTCGCTCAAGAATTCCTATCTCCTAATCTACAACACCATCAACGCCCTACTTTGGACTCGTATCCTCTTCACCCTCCTCTCAGCCCTGTTTCTCTCTGCACCTCCAGATTCCCAGACGATCTATACCACCCTCGAGCCCTGGACAAGATGGACGCAGACCTTGGCTGCGCTAGAGATTGTGCACTCTGCGCTTGGTAGGCGTCGTGACCACCCTCTCACCCCCTGCCCCCCTTCTCTAAGTAAAAGTAATTCCACTAACACAAACGAAAGACCTCACCCGCGCCCCCATCTTCACAACCTTCACCCAGATCTTCGCCCGCACCGTCCAAGTCTGGGCCATCAACTACGCCTACCCAGAGGCCACCATTTCCGCCACCAATCCCATGTCAACCTGGTCCGCATCCAGCCTCGTCTACCCAGCCATGCTATTCGCATGGTCCCTCGCCGACGCAATCCGTTACACGTACTTCGCTGTGCTCTCCGGGGGGGGCCCGCAGGCCGTGCCGGGGTCGGTGAAGTGGTTGAGGTATGTACAGTACAGTAATAGCTAGTCATTGGCATTCCTTTCAGTCCAGTCTTGAGGGTTCTGTTTTGTTCTTAGTTACTTTTGCGTTTCCCCAACCCAGAGCTTCAGTTGGCTAACAAATCCCCCCCCCCACCATCCGTGGATTGGGAAATAAAGATACTCTCTCTTCCTGGGTCTTTACCCCATCGGCATCGCCAGTGAATGGGTGTTGATGTTCAGGGCGACCCTGGTGGCGGACCATATTCTGGTGAAGGCGATCTTTGTGTTCTTCTTGGGGTTATATGCGCCTGGTGAGTGTCTCCCCCTCTTTTCAACTACAGTTGTGGTAGGTGGCGGTGGGCTAAGACCGTGTACTCTCGGGGGTAGGTTCGGTGATGATGTACAAGTATATGGTTAAGCAGAGGCGGAAGGTTTTGTTTGCTTGATTCTCCGTCTCTTATTACTGAGAGTGGGCGTGGGGAGGGTATGTTGATCATTGGGATTCCACGAGACATTGGGATCTCTACCAGTTCTACAGATATCTTTACATATCATCACCATCACGTAGTTTTGGTTTGATGTTATGAAGTAAGTAGACGAGGAGACAACAACAACAACAACGACACAGATAATGCTCTGCATTCAGATGTGAAAAACCGGGTATCGCTATGCATATAAATCGAGTCTAATTTTTTTGAAGGACCCCAAAACCTCCCTCCAACTTTTATACCCTTCTCCAATCGTTCATACACTCGTCCAAAACAAAACATACCAGACGGGAGACAACGAACTACCGGAAAGTAGCAGTACGACCGGCCGTCTCACGCTTCTGCTTGCGCACCCCGGACGGGGCCTCAAGCGCCTTGGCGTACGGGTTGAACTGCTTCTTCCTCCGAGGTCTGGAGGCCTCCTCGATGGGGTTGGCATTGAGCATGGAGGCCGCACCCTCGTAGTCGAAAGGCGCCTCCTCTTCCTTGGCTTCTTCCTTGGCTTCGGGCTGTTGGTTCTGCGCAGCCTTGTTCTTCTTCTCCTTGCGTCGTTGCTTCTTCGATGGCTTGTCGTTCAGATCCAAATCCAGATCCGCCGCGGAGCTGACCACGTCCTCGGCCGCTTCAGCTTCTGACTGCGGCTCAACCGGGGTGACCTTGCGTTTGCGCGGGCCGCCCTTCTCTTTGATGGTGAAGTATTTGTTGTCGGGTTCCGGTGCCTCGGGCTCCTGCTTGGCTGCTGCCAGGGCTGAAGTCGCGGCGGCTTTGGCTGGCGCCGCGGGCGCGGAGACGCCGAGCTTCTCGCGGGCTTCGGAGACCGTCCTGGGCATTGGTGGCAGGGGAAGTGAGAGACGAAGCGCCTCGGCCGAGGCGAGAGCGGCGATCTTCGGGGATGGAAGGGGGGATTGGATTTCGAGCACGCCACCCCAGAACTGCGAGGTCTCGAAGCGGACCGCCGTAGGGAGATCTGTATCGTCAGCGACGGCGGCAGGCAGGAAGCTCGCCACGCCCTCAGCGGAGGCAGTGGCTGCCAGTGTGCTTCTGGTGGGTTTGACGTAGACATCGCGCCACTCCGGTCCATCGGCGCCTTCGATCTTCGCCGTTTTGATAACCTCCAACAGATCTCCGGCCCGGTCCTTAACAATCGGCGTCATAGGCGACAGGGTCCGGTACAGGACGCCCAGGTCCGTCGGCATAGCCTGAGCTACTCTGAAGAGAACGTGCTTGGGGAACACGCACTGAACACCTTCGTCCTCTTCCCTCGCCACTTGATCACGCCACTGGTGCACCGCCTTGAAAACGGCAAACTGCTCCTTGTTGATCACGATCTGATTACGAGCCAGAAGATCGTACCAGCCGCCCGGTCCCTGTCCAGTGGCAGCGTCGTAAACAGGACGCTCGTATATCTGCAAAGCTTCCTTCTTAGACTGCTCCATCACGTAATCGACCAGGTTGTTATCAGGAGTAGAGTTCTCGACGAGCTCGTTGCGGATGTGATCATAAACATAGAGGAGGTAGTGGGTATCCGAGCGGGCATAGTCGAACATACCCTCAGGAATTGGACGAATTCTCCAGTCGGCCATCTGATATTTCTTGTCGGCTTCGAAGTTGACGAATTTTTGCAGCAGGAATTTCAAGCTGCGCTTCGGGTAGCCCAGAGCGCAAGCGGCGTGATACGTATCGAACATGTTAACAGCATACAACCCCAGATCACGCTGGAGCCAGATCATATCCATAGACGATCCATGAAGCACCTTCAAGATACTAGGGTCGGCAAAAACTTCGTTCAAAACCTGGAGCTCCTCTCTCCATGGCTTCAGCGTGTCCACAACCCAGTCCTTGTCACGGGTACTAATCTGCATCAACGAGACAAGACCTTGATACGAGTGCACATCGTGGTGTTCCAGATCGATCGCAATCTCCGTGGCGGCCTTCAGCTCCTCGAGCATCTCCTGCACCCCTTCCAGAGTATCGACAAAGGTCGCCGTCGTCGACTCCCACGGCTGATACTCCCGCGGCGGCGACACAGTATACGTCGAAGGAGGAAACTTGGCCGCGCGGATTTCCGTGTCGTAAGGGTGCACATACCCGACCGCGGTCTCACTGCGCTTCAGCGAGTCCTCCAACGGCACCGTCGCGTGGGGCTTGGATTTCAGCAGCGGCTTGAACGGCGAGATATCGGTGTTGTCGGGGAGGTGCTCGAACAGCAACTGGGGCTTCGGGATCTTGGATGGGCCGTAGTCGTAAATGGTTGGGAATCGGGCGGCCGCGGCCTTGCTCTTCGCGGCCTTCGCCGCGGCGGCGGCAGCCTGGTCCTGCTGCGAGGGGCTCAACTTCTTGATAACTCCAGTAAACTCGTCCAGACAGGCATCCGCCTTTTCCAAAAGCGCATCGATCACATCCACGACGCCGCGCCAATTGTCTTCGAGGGAATCGTCGTCGTCGAGCGTCGGCGCCGAGATATCCGTGCCCGCGGTGGCCGCTTTCAACAGCGACGAGGTCAGAGACAAAAGGCGGTTGCTCTGCTCGTCCAGGGAATCGGAAACCTCTGCGTTCGAAGACCGGTGGAAATCGACATCTTCGGCGGAAAGCTGGCCGACAGTGCGCGTCACTTGCACCAGCGACGAGGTCAACCTCTGCTGGAACGGAGGGAAATCTGTGGCGGAGTTCATGGTGTGTGCCAATGACTTTTTTTTTTCTCTCAAATCAGGCAACTTCAACAGACACTGGGGCAGACACAAAGGCAAGGCCGATGAGTCTCCTATCTGTCTCACGCACGAGTCGAAAGCTAAGAAAGACCCACTGCTTGCAATCGAATTTGACAATTATTACCGCGCAACAACAGACAAAGGGAAAAAAAGGCGCCGGCCGGTCGTGGAGAAAATGATTGCGCTGGACGGAGTCTGACCGCCTGCGCTTTTGGGTTTCTGCGTAAATTGCCTCTCAACTCCATCGTAGTTACGTAATCTCACCAGCGGCGATGATTTGCCTCCCCAAGAGGAAGCATATCAACTCACTCCACATACTGTACAGCTCTATTTCCTCTTAGAACCGTCCTCACCTCACTGTGCAACACTCTGCATCTGTAATACATCTCCAAGTCCAACCACTCTCACAATGGCAGCCTCAATCGCCCCCGAATGTAACGATATCAAAGAGTAAGCAAGATCACCTACATTGTACATCTAGAGAAACTCACTGAGCTGACCACAAACAGGAAATACGACACCTGCTTTCTCAAATGGTACAGTGAGAGTATGTTCCAGCCAACCGCCAGTCTGTTCATTTTCTGAGACAGAGAACATGCTAACCCAAATCTCCAAGAATACCTCCGTGGCAACACCACCTCCAACGACTGCGAGGAACTCTTCACAAAGTACAAGACCTGCTTGAATGTATGTATTGCTGTCTCTTTTTCTTTGGGGTAGTCATAGCTAGTCTCCGATGCGCCACACGCACATCATGGCGTCAGTTCTCTAACTTACTTCGCGAGCAGGTCGTCCTGAAAGAAAAAGGCATTGATTCCATGCTGGAAGACGCTCGGAAGAGCACGACCAAGGAGTTCGACGCCGAGACGCTTCGTCGAGGTTGAGATTACTTCCATCCTCTCATTTTTGGTTATTTCTTGTTCCGACATATTTGTTTCTGTTCTGTTTGGCGGGAATAGTTGTTTCTATTCTCTATTTGTCCACATGTGCGAATCACGGACTGTCTGTCTGTTGATGCCCCCTTCGAATCTCTGTTAGGGCATCGTCTATCTCAGTCTGTGATTGTCTCACCGTAGAAGTCCCCACCGACCATTTCCTATTCCCCATCTCATCTCTTTCTCCTTCTCTACTGCATCATACGGCGTGACCAAGGGTTTTGCTTTGTTCCACATCCTTGAAGGAAGAAATAGAGCCTTATGCTTATATGTACTATATCTTGTGACTACATTCATGTGCAATATGATCTAAGAAGCTATTTGTAATATATCTACTTTGAATGGAACCGCTGACAGCGGGTCAATTACTGTAATTGCTGTATGTATGTCCAAAACATAAAACTCATGGCGTCATCGATGACCTCTTCTGCGCAAGTCCCCTTGCCCGAATGTCCCAGGAACCTTCAGGATCCCATTAGCTGCGGTGCCGATGCCACCGCCCATGGATGAGGACGTGCTACCCCCGCTACCCGTCTTGCGGGGTTGGGTCAACATTGACCAGACTTCCATCATGGTCGCCCGGCGCGCAGGAAGCATGCTGTACTGCATGCCGTAGAGATTGCGACGATGAATAGGAGGCACGAAGCGGCCAGTAATCAGGCAGAAGATCACTCTCGGAGCAAGGTAGTGTTTCCGAAGACGGTGGCCCAGTTGGAAGTATTGATCAAACATAGCACGGAGCGCTAGCGGGATGGACTCGAAATGAATATAGGGCACGCTCGTTGGGGACTGGCTGGCTGTGGACTTGTCGTGCTCCTCACGGAGTTCAAAACGGATTCCGCCTGTTGATAGACGTCAGCGATTTGGTCCAAAACAAGTATCCGGCGTGGAACGTACCGGGTAACCGCCGTGAGTCTTTGACTCGCAGCATTAAAGCGAAGAGCGGAAAGTGGTTCAAGAAGGCCAGGCAGGTGTCGAGCGCAGCCTTCACTGAGATGATCAACATTCGCGCACTCGCGAAAGCAAGGTAGAAGACGATCACGGTGGGAAGGAGAAAGAAAAGAACGGTGAAGAGTATGGTACCCAGCAATAGCTGGTCGAGATCATAATCGCATGAGTCAATCCGGTTGCGGAGCACATTGCGCTTCTTGCCGCGGAAGAGATGAAAGAGCGAGATAATAATTGTTAGCTGCCAGTTGAAAATCCGCGCTGATGCGATATAGAATGAATAAATGTGGACGGTGAGAATGGATACTAAATCGGAAAATAAGGCAATTGGCATGCTTGCTCCAGCGAAGCTTGAACATCCCACCACATAGATAATATGCGGGAGATAGGGTTGCAGGTTTGCAATGCAAGCTGAATGACATGTCAGTATAATTGCTGAATTGCCGTGGACGACCACTGAAAGACTTCAGACCTACCTGCCCAATTTTCTATAACCCACAGAAAGAGGTCTCCAAGGAATGCAGCGAGCTCATTGTTCAGTTTTAACCCAGCCGGCCAATCCATCAACCAAGATATGGTACGCTGCAACCCCTCCACTGTCCAGCCAGTCAAGATGAAGTTGATCTGAAAAGCAACCCAATTGGCGTTGTCTATGATGTATGATCCTAATGCGATTCCGATAATCACATCATTAGCCACAAGCCACAGACTATTGTAGAAGCGAATATAGTCCGGATGACTAGTTGTTACGCTCTCCCAATTATCTTTCCTTTGCCGCAGCTTGACATATTGAATGGGCCAATAGCAGAATTGTTGAAGGCGAATGTCAACCTGCTGGGCTGTGGCGGAGATATCCTTGAGTGCAGCAGCGTCAGGATGGGCGCGCCACTCCAGGACTTGTAGAACGACCTCTGCAATGGTACGGTGAAAGACGAGCCCGATGACAAATATCCGCGTGATAACAGGCCATATCCACTGCCAGAAGACGTAGGAAACACCGAGGACAAACATGTCCCACAAGGTCGTCGCAGATTCCACGACTCGCTCTCCAACACTCATACTTCTCTTGACTCGGATCCCAATCAAGTGGCTGTTCTTCTCCATGAGCTTGCCCATCTCATAGGCGCAGTTTACCTGATTGATAATGAGGGGTAAAGCTTGCTCCTTCGACGACGGCACATGCTTCACGACTGTATGAAGCTTGAGCTTCTCAACCAACTTTCCTCCCTTGGCGTTATCGTGCTCCTCCTCAGTATCAATCTTGCTGCACACCGCATCAGTCTGATTCGCCGCAAACACCTGATCACCCAACGCCAAAGAGATGGGATCCAAAGACATATATTCCATCCTCGTGGGATGTGGCCGATGGAACATAAAAACCTGAACCGAGAGATTCGTCTCAGGTGGACACCAGATCCGCGGTACCTTACAAGACGGACTTGTCGTCACATAGAGATGGGACGAATTGAACGCAGTCGGCGGGTCCGGAGAATTTGTCGAGCCTAAGACATGCATAGCAGATCGTCCACACAATGCGAATATCCGGACAATAGGATGTGGGCTATTGCGAAAGAGAATTCCGGCGCGGAGAGCATTATCGACGTTCCGTGGCTGCGAGGTGGAAGAACCAGGACGTCAGCGATTGAGGCTCCTTCCCGCACGTCTGGAACCACCACAGCCCAGTGTTGAGGGGTGGAACCAACAGCCAAATAACGAAGATCTCACCTCAACATCCTCCAGCACGGTCAGCACAAATAAATCCAGCTCCGAATTCCGCCAGCCAACAATCACCCCCGGGGAGGACGATCGCGGCAGATCGTATGGCCAGAATACCCGTAACAAGCCATCACTCATGAGCATGTTGTCATTCCTTCGACCGTGCTTCAGAAGGAGCCCCTGCGGCGTAATTGTTCTCGTGCGGAAACCCCCAGGTGGACGTAGCGCGGGTGCTACGTTCAATCAATATGGTCAGCGCTTGGTTTCTCCAGGCCCAGGAAGTTTCAACAGAAATCATAGACGATGTGGTGTTGAGGCGTATAGCATACCAATTCACCCTCAGTCGCAGCAAGATGATTGATGGGCAGGACGAGTAAGAAGAAAAAGACCGACAACAACAGAAAACCCTTGGCCGTGCGTGTCTAAATCAAGAAGAAGCAGAATAAAATGTTAGTCAACTGTTTTCCAATCCTTGCGACGACACGCGGGTCGCCCGAGGTAGCTGCGCGCATGGGATTAATGGAAGAGAAGGACAATTGCAAGCCATACCACGACGCCGTGGTCCCATGCAAAAATAGCAAGCTCGTACAGCCGAGTTACAAGGTCCCACCTCGCGGTGATGTAGCCCGCTACAAAGATTCCGAGAGTGAGGATGGAAAAGGGGTGCATGAATCAAGTCGCTCCGCGGGAGTTTCGCTTTAGGTTGCGCGCATCGCCGAAAGGAGCTGAAAGAAGCGAGCGTAGTGTTGAGTACTGGAGCGCTGGAGGGAGCGATGAACAAGCTGGAAACAAAAGGCTAACTAGACCAATCTTCTGACAGGTTAATCTGATCAAGAATGAATGGATGTCCCTAGGAGCTTGTCACCAGATGACAACTACCTCTAGTTCCGTGGACTGGAGGTACCGGAGAGGATCCCGCGCAACCCTGCGGCGGATGGACCTCCGCACTTGCACGTGACCGGTAGATTGTATACGACAGTAGCTACAGTAGCTATGGGGTCCAAAGGGAAGGCAACAATAGCGTAATAGATCTTATATCTTGCCATGACAGAAAAACCCATTCAGCGAACTGAATTTTTGCTGTGCATTCATTCCCTAAGACACTAGTATGATTCCATTTTCCGTAACGCCTAACCGCTAGTTATAGATCCGAGACAAAAATGACCGAGACATCGCCCGATGATCATAGAACACCAACTCTACAAGGCTTTGATGCCCTGGAAGACCTTATTTGCCTGCAGCTTTGGATCACTCTTAACCAAGTCGCGCATGATCTGCCGTTTCTCCTCCACCGTCAAGTCCTTCCCAGAGGACTCAATCTTCGCCTTCCATTTGAGCAGCATCGCCTTGAGGAGAGCACTGCCCTCTTCGACTTCCTCCTGTGAATACTTGTCGAGAGACATGGCCGAGTCTTCGCCTTGGGCACCGGCGGACGTAAAGTCCTCCAGCTCATCCGCCTTCTGCCGCGCCATGTTGACCACCTTCTCTGGGAAGCGCACCAATTCGGCAACATGGATGCCGAAGGACTGGTCGCAGATACCGGGTTCAACCCGGTACAGCAGGGTAACCTGGTTGCGCTTCGCGTCTTTCTCGTCCTTGTGGTCGTCGGTGCCGTCGCCGATGAAGGCAACAACGTGCAAGTTCTTCGCGGATTTCGGATAGCGGTCCGCAAGGGCCGTCAGCTCGTGGAAGTGGGTTGCGAAAAGCCCAAAACAACGAATCTCGGTGACGATGTGCTCGGAGATCGCCCACGCCAGGCCGAAACCATCGTAAGTGCTCGTTCCACGGCCTAGCTCGTCGATGATTATCAAAGACTCGGAAGTCGCAGATTTGAGGATGTTGGAGGTTTCAAGCATTTCGGCCATGAAAGTCGAGACGCCCTTCAGTTGCGAGTCACTGGCACCAACACGGGCGAGAATGCAGTCAAAGATGGTCAGCTCCGCTTCGCTGCAAGGCACAAAGCATCCCGTCTGTGCCATCAGCGCAATGACACCGATCTGCCGGATATAAGTCGATTTACCGCCCATGTTAGGACCGGTGATGATCAGGAAAGACGACTCATCCCGGATCAGGGATACGTCGTTGGTGATAAACGAGATGTCATCTTGCATTTCCATACAGGGATGGCGGGCCTCCTTTAGGATGGTGTTACCGGTGCCTCGGGGGTGGATTTTGGGGCGAACGTAAGGAGTCGGAGCATGAACGGCGGCATGCGCAAAGCTGACGATAACATCGAGGTGGGCCAGTACCCCAGCGAGCTGCTCCAGGACAGGGCAATAAGAAGCAGCAACGTTGACCACCTCACTGACCAGACCAGTCTGGGTGCGGTTGTAGTTGGACGAAAGCTGGTCATGCTCGCGGCGCAGCGCCTGCATTGTCGACGTGGTGAAGTAGACACCGTTCTTCTGCGTCGAGCACTCCTGGTATTCCCTCTTGTTTCGGATGCAACCAGCCTCGTTACGGGTGAGCCGGAAGCACCAGCCGTGTACACGATGGTTCTCCATGAACAGCTTCTTCTCCACCTCCTGGTCCAGATCCCTTCCGACCCGACGATGCTCCACGTTCATGTCATGCCGCAGCTTATCTAGCTTCTTGCGGATGATGCGCAAGCTCTCGTCGAATTCCGGCTTGATGATGAACTCGTGATTCTCCAGAGCGTCCAAGTCCACCGTCGTCTCCACCATCTCCTCCAGTTTTGCCAGACTGTCCGAGTGGCCCCGCAGCTTCGAGGTATATTCCTGCTCGAGCGGCGTTTGGTACTGTTCATCCATCACATTCTCAAGCGAAGCCACAATGCCAGGCAGACGGATAGCGACCTGGTACACGCGCACGACATCCTCCAAGGTCGCCTGCTTGCGCTGAAAGCGCTTGGCCAACCGATACAAGTCTGGGATGGACCGCAGATGCTCCTCCTGCATCGTCTGCCGGAGTTCCGTATCCACCACGACGGCCTCAACCAACTGTTGCCTCTTCTCAATTTCCGCCCGATCCATCAGCGGCTGCTTCAGCCACTGGGCCAGCAAGCGGCTGCCGACGGGGGTCTTACAGTGATTCAGCAGACCGAACAAACTCATGGACTTGGATCCGTCCCGCGGACCCGGCATGAGGTTGAGCGCGCGCAACGCCGACGCATCCAGCTTCATAAACTGCGACAGATCATGCTGATACAGCTGATACTGGCCGAAGTTCGTCGCATCGGACATGACCCCAAGATACTTGATCAACGCCGCGGCGGCTCCCATCGCCAGCTTCAACTCCGTCTGCGGCAACGTCCCCGCGGACCGCTCATCCCTCAACAACCGCGTCAAATCCTGCTCAATATCCCTGACCCCAAAGTCCCCCGCCGCACGCTCCGATACCGCGATCCCACAACTGTCCGCGATCGCACGGATCTTCGCCAACTCCACATCCTTCCGCCCGCCATCCATCTGCACCAAACACTCCTTAACACCCAGCTGAATCACCAACGACTCAAAATTCGAGTACACATCATTGTCCAGAAACTCGCTCACGCCCAGCTCGCGCACACTCGCGTCCGCAAAGCACACACCCACGGCCCGCGCCTCCCCAGCCTTGGCGGAGATCTTGACTGCGAGGATAATCGGCGCCGCCGCGTCCAGACTCAACGCCCCGACACTCCCCAGCTCTTCCTCCACGTCCTGCAGGTTGCCGGGACTGGCCTGCTTCGCGAGTTTCCACGAGCCCGTGCCCCCGCCCCGGCCCGTCGCCGTCCAGATCTCCACCCGCTTGTTCAGCCGGAAGAGCGCCTCGCGCAGGAAATTGCGGAAGACCGTCACGCTCATCGTCACCGAGGGGAGCCCGCCCGTCTCGCTGCGGCCTAGGTTCCGCAGCACCGAGGTCGTCTTGTAGACAGTGCGCGCGATGAATTCGGCTTCCGTCCCGTGAGCGGAGTACCAGTCGCCGCGGTCGAAGATGCGGATTGTGTCATTGTTGTTACCATTGTTGTTGTTGTTGTCGTCCTTGTTTGAGGATATAGAGCGGTAGAAGCGGATGAAGCCGACTTCGTCATCCACCTGTTTGCGAGGGGGAAGGAGGTGGTTAGTGCTTGAGACGGTAGAATCAAACCAACGCAAATCGTATCGTATTCAATGGCGGGAATCATCGGTGCGACACTTACCCTGAGATCCGGCCGTGAAGACATGGTGGCAGACAACCCAGCAAGAACAGAGACGACTGCAGCTCGAGGTCAGCTTTGTCTGTTTGTTGTTGGCTGTGATCTGGTCAATTGCGGACGAGGAGCATCGATCGATTGACCAGCTGGAGACGCGGATCGTGGCAACGCGATCACGTGCTTACGCGTTGCGGCGCGGAGGGTGGAAGTGGTTTTCCTCCAATGAGAAACGGTCCGCGGCATTGCGCTACGTGCGGTCTGTATACTGCACCTAAAATTAACTTACGGATATCCTAATGATACAAGAAGATATCTGGGGGGACAGATCCGAGGGTTGGTATATTAATTCTCCAACAGAACAAGGCTATGCTACTCGTAGTACATAACAGAATGCCGCTAAACTAACATAAATGACACATGCAATGCTAAAACAATGCAATCATAACGCCGGAACTGCATGCCAGGCATTCCGGATGAGGTATCACGACATCCAAAATGAGCGAGGGGGGAGCCCCAACTGCGTGACTGAAAAAAAAAGAACATATCACTCAAGTTCTAGGAGCCTCGTCTTGCTCCCACCCAATCTTCAGCTGTGCAACTCTGGCGGCAATCTCCTTGGGCTGCACATCGGCATACGACTTCAGAACCACCGATCTGAGCTGATTCACCGTGACGAGATTGACCCATTGTCCCGCAACATCCTCCCGAGCCAGGATCTCCAGACAGAGCTCGACCTCCCGATCTGCCACCGGGTTCCGCAAGGAATCCTTAACATTCTGAACAATTGTCTCCATGCGGAATGGCGTCCGCTGCGCCGTCATCACCGCCCGCGCACCGTTGCCCGTGTACCCTCGGGGCCGCAACAGAGCCAAGACACCGGCGACCTCCTCGACCCGCTCCGCTGCCGCTCGCTGGAGAAGCATATCCTTCGTCGGCGGCGGGGGCAACTTCGCCTGCCGCAACTGCTTGTCCTTAATCCGTTCCAGCAGGCCCTTCTTCCGCGTACTTGCCGCATCCAGCGACTTGACCGGTGTAGAGCCTTCCTGCCCATTCGCACGCAGGTTCTCGGTCTTCAGCTTGATCACTCCACCTTTCAGATCCTGCAGCCGCTGCTGACCCTTTCGAAACGTCGTGAACGGGACCAACGACTCATGAACCACCGCTACGCCCAGCGTACCCAGGAAGTCCACCGTCTCAGCATCCCCATCAGCGGCGTCCAACGCCTTCTCCCAGAGCAGCTCGACCGTCTGCTCGAACCGCTCCAGCGACTCATTGTCGTCATCACCTCGCGCTGCTGTCGAGATAGACGAAATGGTCGTGCCATCGGCGGCAGCAGCACTCAACGTTTCCAAGCACACCCTCCCCAGACCATAATTCGCGATCCTGAACGAGGACGACGACGGAGTCGACTCATCTTGCTCCAGCACCCAGATCAACCGCTGCAGATCCTTGACCACCACCTTCCGCTTCTTCCAGATGCGCTGGATGCTAGGCAGCAGCTCCCGCAGGTCCGCCGGACGGTTTACGCCATTGTGCATCATGTGGATTGAGACCGCTTTCTGGAATGCCGAGTATAGGCTCACTAGGTCATGTACGCACGCGGGACGTTCCACCACGCGCGTGTCTGAGGCGACTATAGTCGGCTTCCGCGTGAGCGAGGACGAGGTCCTCCTCCTGTGAGTGGCGGCCCGCTTCGAGGGCGAGGTGGGAACGCCGTCATCTTCTCGATCATGGGCTGAGGAGCGTGCGTAGTGCCCGCTTCGAGGCGTGGATAGGGCTAGCTCGCCGAGGCGAAGGGTCCGGGACGGGGTGGCTGCCTCTTGGGGTACATCTCCGAAAGTAGCAAGGCCGGGCTTGCCTGCCTTTTGTGTGCCTGGCTGTCCACCGCTGCTGCTGCGCACATTCTCTAGTTCATGCAGTTTCCGCTTCTTGGACGGGGAGATTGGGAGGCAGGCGGCGGTAGGGGGGGAAGAGGTAGTAGTGGTTTCCGTCGAGGTTGAAGGGGGTAGTGGCTTCTGCTGTTGCTTCTTCGGGTCCGTGTGCGACTGGCAACTCGTGACACCGGGCTTGGTCGCTCTTGCAAAGGTCTGAATGCCGGCCTGGCCCCGTGGGAGAGCGGCCAGTCGGGCGGAGGTGCGCGGCATCGCGGTTTCCTTTGTACGGGAGGAGGACAGTGATAGGGAAGGAGGGTAAGAAATAAGGAGGTAGATAGACAGGCAGGCGCTATGGTGGAAACATGGAATGGTTAGGAAGGTAGGAATGGTAGTAGTAGGTGTGGGCTTATGGGGCAGATTGATGGCTGGGCGAGGGAAAATTGCTGGAGGTCTTTTTAGTCCCTTTTCTGATGGGGCGGAGTGGAGCGCGTCAACGCGGGTCCGTCGCGTGTTTTTGGCGTAGGGGCCGAAAGCGGTAACATTAAGAGCCGCCGCAGGTATGATCATCAGGGGTAATAAATTCGAGCCTAATTTAGTGAGTGTTCAATGCAGTCTCTGGATAATATATATATATCTCACCTCACCTTCAATACCTGTATAGGTCCTTGGGAGCTAAGTTGTTCGCTATGCACAGCAACCCGTCACTACAGTAATCGTGCATGGGGAATGTAGCATACCACGGCTAAGAGGTCCTCTACGGGAGTGACTCCACATCGAGGCCTTTCAACGCACTCTTCACAGTCCACTGAGAATACGTTTTGCCTAGAAGCAGTCTAGGTCACTGATTATTCCTCAGCCTACTTACTCCGGAGAATTTCATCCGCCCCGAGTATATGGTGAGGGTCTACATGCAATCCAGGGCAGATCCGGTTAATATCAGGAGGACATGACCGAACCAGTCAGATGAACCAGGAGAGAACCATGAAACATACAAGAGAAGGAATCAATAATTTAGAAGAATAGTTGAAATTGATAATTCCGAACTAACTCGAGTATCAATCACAACCCCTCATCATCATCATCATCATCATCATCTCACGGTAATAACATCTTCATCAACTCGAAAAAGATTAAACACATGCAGGGCCCAGCCATACAGATGCAATTCCACTCGACTCCCCTCATGTCCAGGACTGAGTTTTCATCAACAACGACAGACCAAAAAGAACAGTAATCAAATCAATCACTCAACTCCCGCCCGATTGGAAAAAGAAGCAATGAACAAAAAAGCAACCCGCGACAAGAGAAATCATTCACAGCATCACACTCCACCGCAACTCACAAGTACTGCGTGCGGCGTATAACATTCGGCGAGAAGTAGGCGGCGCAGTAGGCAGCAGGCGATTCCTCTATTTCTTGCCAAACCAACCCGACAGCGCACCCTTGGCCTCGGAGGCCTTCTCCTCGACCTTGTGCTCGATCTTCTCGGCGCCGGACTTGAGCTCGGCGGTGGTGTCCTGGCGGATTTGCTCGAGGCGGCTGGCTTGGTTCTTAGCCTCGGCGCGAGCGGAGTCGACCTATCGTTGCTGTTAGATTATTTTGCTGGATGGATGGATAGAGTGAAATTTGCGGGGGCATGAACGTACAGTCTTGTCAACGTTCAGGCGGGCCTCATAGCCGGCCTTTTCGCCGGCCTTCTCGGCCTGGTTACCCGTGGGGGCGTTCAAGCGGGCAATATGGGCATCGTCTGTTATCAAGAATGTCATCCTTGGTTAGTCTTCATCCTCCTATCTCATCACTAAATGAACAACCAAACAGGAAGACGTACGCTTGACCTCCTGCGTGGCACCCTTGGGATCACCACCGGCGCGGTACAGGTAGTAACCACCCAGACCGAGGGCGGCGAGACCGGCGTAAACTCCAGTGCGACTCTGAGCCATTGTGATGGTTGGTTGGTTGGTAGGTAAGTGGGTGGTGTGGTAGTTGGGAGTGGTAGTGGTAGTGGTGTTGGTTTGTGTTTCTGAGTTAGGTGTGCTGTGTAGATCGAATATTGAAACTCAATGCCAGACGAGATGAGGAGTCAGTGTTATATAGTCGTCGTGTCCGACGTGGAACTTCCTTGGCTTTTTTGTTGCTTTCCGTGGGCAGTTGCATTATCCCCGGGTATGACGTCGTCTTTGGTCGGTACCCCGTCCTTACACGGGCAGCCCAGGTAGCATTGCCAGCCCAGTCAGCTACTACGGAGTACATTAATTCATACTAATTACTTACGGGGTACGAGTACTGTACTGTACCTTCAGCAAGAGAGGGGAAATCCCTCGGCTTGTTGTTGCCTGCAGCTTTGTTGTACAGTACAGCACAAACTGCCCTTCTATCAAAGGAACGCATTCCTACCTAATTCAACCACCACTGATCCGTGTTCATTGATTCACTACTTATTCTACAGACCTTGCTTCAGGGTCAATAGCTGTACATACGAATAGACACATACTGAAGAGATACTGAGGCACAACGCCGAGTCGGGTGCGGCAGCCATCGATCGGCCAATACTACGTCACCCTCGAGTCATCATCCACTGGGACTTGTTCCATGGGGATCTGGCTCCCTCACTGACAAGGTCTCTCTCCAAGAAAAGGTACCTCGCCCGTGGATTTGACGTTACTTGAGATCGTGGAGAACTCGAATCGACAACGTCATGATGGGTCCGGCCTTTGATTGTGAAGCATTTCTCCTCTCCCTTCCAACCTGCAAGGGGAAAAACATGCTAGTGGCTGGTAACTCAATTAATGATGACTCCGTAATCGGTTTGAACTCTTGGCATCATAGCATCTAAAATTGCTTTCGTTCTGGTATTGGCTCAATTACTGTAAACCCGCATTGCTAAATCCCCTGAGACAGGCCAACACAAAGCAGGAACAGAGACAAAAAAAAAACATAGAGGGCCCCCACATTCGCCAAGTAAATGACATACTCAAACACGATGGTCAGCTGCAATTCACACCACCACCATCACCGAAAGAGGCAGAGCCCGCAGTATAGACAACGTCGACCGAACAATCGAAGCCACACCACGACCAGAGTAAGAAAACTCCTTCCGTAACCTCGTAGCACACACTCGAGGTTAAGGCCGGGGGGGTATCTTCATGCACTATAGACAGGATTCCGTTCCGGAAGGACAAAGAGGGAGAACGCCAGAACATGCAGCGACAGAGAGAGGAAAGAGAGAAAGACCCGAACAAATAAAAATAGCAATTGCGAAAGCCCCATGTTGTTCCGACCCACCGATGCATTATTTCATCATTCATCACTTCATAAAGATTCCCGCAGCCGAGCGGTGCATATAGCTCCGAGCTAACGAACGAGACGCCCGGATTCTAGAACTCCGCGGCTATTTCCAAAGAGAAAGAAGAGGTCGAGGAAACCCATGAGAAGAGACCAGTGCCTCATACTATACAACTCCCGCTCAAAACGAAAAGTAAAGAGAATGAGCGGCGAGGCCGAGGCCGAGCGAGGTCGTTCGAACGTGAGGACCAAATGAAAATAGTAAATAAGATATTCATCAATCCCAGCCACCATTCCCATCAGGGGCCTCTCAAATAAATAGCTTCGTTGCGCTTTTGTTCTCGCTGGTGGCGACAGCAACGAGAGCTTCCAACCGACCCATTCCAGGTTCCCGCACCGAGTGAGGAAGGAAATCGGACCGGAGGTCACGTTTGCCGTAGTGGCTATCAGGTTTAGGTGGTAGAGGGGGGCAAGCCTGCATTCCAATCAGTGTTTTGGCCCTCATCGACGGATCTGGTAACGTGTGCGTACTGTTTGGGATCCTTCGGATGCGAAGGGTGGGTGATGCTGCTCCACATATCCGTTGTTATGTACAATTGCGGGATGGTACTCCAGAGATGCAGTAGAGGGGGTGTGAACTCCTTCACTGCTGCTGGAATCTTCAGGTGACGTTCGCGTCGCCTGAGAGCTCATGGTAACACTGCTGAATGATGGCGTATGGCCATGTCCACGGGACTCCTGAAGCTGCTGCTGATAAGACGACGATGGCCGCGAACCAACACTCTGTAATTCAGCGATAGTTTGCTGGCTCCAATTCGCTGCATCCCGCTGAGACGGTTTGTCCCGAATATGTAATCCGGTGAGGTTTGTGTGCAGCGACATGTCCCAAGAAACGTGACCCCGCCGGTGTCCAGGACCAGAAATCGGCGGCGCTGGTCGGCTAGTCGGTTGCGTGTAGTTGAAGCCTCCCCCGAAATTATAGTTTGGCGGTTGTTTGCTGGGGTTGTCCAGTTGCATGGGACTCGGTCGCCGGACAGGAGGTGTCAATGGTCGAGCCACCACCTTATCGAAACTTTCAATGCCTGGCAGTCGCGGAGGCTGGTCTGTCGTCCCATTGGTCTTGGCCGACGGATGGAATACCTCTGGGGTTTGATAATTACTAAGACCACTGGTGGCTGGCCGAGGGACGGCAGACCAGGTCGATGGGTGCCATGTCCTTCTGCGCAGGTCGGCATCTGAAGCTCCGTGGTGCATCTCATCGCGAGACAGAGAGTAGTTAGTGCTAACGGGGCTGGCATACACTCCACCATGTGCGACGTACGCAGAGGATGGGGCATAGCCTGGAGGGTAGACGTTCGCTTGCTGCGATGCGAATGGGTTTGCGCCCGATGGCACCGACAAACGACGAGCTGCTGTCTTACCCTCCCAAAATCCTGAGGCCTGGGACACAGTGGACATTGGCGACGCGATATGAGGGCTGCCATGAGGGCCTGCTGCAAAGACATGGTGTGAAGGGGTGTAAGGGGAGCCACCCGCCTGCGGCCCTGGTAGGCCCCGGCCGGGGGGAGTGCTAGGAGCATCCAGCGTATCCATCAATCGCGCTCGATCGTTTGCCATCATCAACGGGGCAGGCCGACGGCGAAGTTCCTGCGGCTGACTGAATGTCGATGCAGTGGAGGTGATACTCGAGGCGGAGAGATTCCTACTATGGCCCCTGCTGTGTGTACCTTGGCTACCCGCCGTGCCCGCTCTTGCGCGCCCTTGGGGTCGCACCCGATCCGTTCGGATTTGTCGTTGAAAACGGGTCCCTGTGGCCGCCAGTGAGTCCCCGGGAATCTCTTCGTTGACGTGCACGGTCTGTGCATGCTGTCGCAGATTGTCGAGTCGAGAAAATCGGCGAGAGCAGTGGCATTGAAATGGACGCTCGCCGGTATGTTTGCGGATGTGGCGTGCTAGATGCTCACTTCGTGTGAAGCTCAGGTTGCATGGAGGGAAGTCAGTGCAGTAGAAGCGTTGTCCCTTTTTCTTCTTGGATGGTGGAGCATCGTCCTTGTTATCTTCATTGTCAGAGCCCTCACGATCCCCGTCCGAGTCGCCATGTACGGGTTCTTCTGACGTTAACGATGCGCTGGTGTGCGAGTCTATCGGGCGGGTCGAGTCATCGTTGATAATTACATTCCGCGGGGTGCTCTCGTCCGGTTTCGTGCCTGACGATTGTGCGGTGTCGGAGTTAGGATGAGGGCGAGGGGTCGATGATGTTGTCGCGTCCTCCATGACCCGATCTTGTGGCGTGGAAATAGTATTGACAGGTAAGAATGAAGACATATTGGTAGGAGGGCGACTGTGGATTGGGTCCACAGCTATGTACTGTTGTCGATTACAGGGTGGTGGGATGACGGTCGACACACAAACTCGATCTGTTTCAAGGGAGAGGAATGGGGGTGGATTTCAAAATGTCAAAAACGCGGTGTCGTTCGCACGGTGCACAGTAGTCCTAGACATCATTGCGCAGCTTAGGTGAGCAGGTGATCCACGAACACTTGGGATATGATTAATTTATTTTTGACGTTCCATAATTTTTTCCACCTCCAAATTGCGGTAACTGAAACAGCATGGGGGGAAAGAGGAACCGAGGGGTCGGTCGGTGAGAAGCCGAACTAGTTCAAAATACGCAAACCAGCAGCAAAAAAAGATAAAAGAAAGATGGGAAAAAAAACCAAGAACTTACACCGGAATGAAGCAAAATTCGCTTGCCTCCCAAAACCGAGCGAGGGGTGAGAGAGTAAGGAATGTTCAGAGAAGGATGATGGCGATGACCTGTTTTAACCGAATGCCCGACGGCGATGGCGAAGCAAGGGTAGCCAGGTTGTACACGATAGATGGAAAGGAACGACCATTAGGTGCGAGAACGCATCGCTGACAAGTCGGCCTGACCAAGCAAAGGAAGCGGGATCTCAGTCACAGATAGGTAGGCCGAAAGACGGGTAGCAGAGATAGAGAAGGACTAAGAGGAAGAAGAGGAGGGTGAAGTGGGAAAGATCGCGATGGGAATGGGGTGTGGGGTGGGAGGTTGAAGGAAGAAGAGAGAGTGAAAGAGGCTGAGAGTAGTAAGAGTCGGAGAAGGAGGAGGAGGTGGTAGTAGCAGTGGTAGTAGTGGTAGTAAGTAGTAGTGGTGGTGGTCAGTGTTTCAGTTTATGGCAAATAGTGTTAAGATTGGCAGCAACAGCAGCAGCAGCGGCGGCGGCGGCAGCGGGCGGCGGACTCGAGCAAGAGTATCCCGTCGAGTTGTGGGAGAATACTGGTAGTAAATGGGTAAGGTAATAAGGTATGACAGTCCGGACACCAACCCAGCCAAAACCTGGACTAAAGTGGAATAAAAATAAGAGGAAATCGTAAACCGATCGGAAAGCCCCTGGTTTACGGATCGTCCGGGGAGGGCAAATCAGCCAAAATAAGTTATATGGGTCAAGAGACAGGTCAAATCCGATACTCAACCAGGTCGAAATCTCAGAAGATCGCTTCAATGTGACCCATTTGCAAGGGTTGGTTGGGTTTTGGTTGGGGAGGAAGGTAAATCCCCTTTGTTCTTCTCTTTCTTTTCTTTTCCCTCTTTTTGACAGGGAAGCCGATTATATTGGCAGGATACCCAGACCCGCAACAGGTTTGAGGTTTACTAGGCGAGGAAGATGTACAGGCACCACCGAAGCCACGAAATTCGGTGGTTCGCTAGCTCTCGGGAAATATATGCGGGGAAGATCCAAGGGAGCTCGAGAAGAACAGTAGTCAAGTCCAACAATTTAGAGGTGAGATGGTTGATTCCAGAGCAAGAATGGAAGAAGGAATCGGATTATTGTGAGTAGGAGGAGGGGTGAGGGAGGGAAGATGAGATGAGTGTGTTGAGGAAAGGAAGAGAGAATGAGACAACGGGAAGCGGGCAGAAGGGTAAGAGGAGGCTGATCAATCCGAAACTCAAGACCAGACAAGAACAAGACAGGGCGAGCAGGAGAGACGGCAGAGGAAACGGGCGAAGAGATGCATACAAGTAGGTACTGAAGTAAATAGAGGATGACGGCAAACCCACTCAGGCCGAACAGGTGAAATGGTGACGACGATAGTACCGGGCGTCAGGACCACCTCACCTGGATCATCTCTGGATCACCGTCAGGACCACCTCAGGACCAGAAGGCTTATCGGAAACAACGGTCGACTGCGACGAAACGAGGGGCAGGAGAGGGGAAAGGGAACCATGGACGCAGAAGTATGCGAGGTATACTGTATACTTTGTGGAGGAGTGCAAACTGAGAACTGTACAGAGTCGAGTCTGTAGACACCTGATGGACTGATGAAGTGTACTTACTGTGTGTACTTGCAGTGTTCAATTGTGTGCAATTGTTTCCGGTCGGACGGCGGCATCCACTCTCCTCAACATTCATCGGCTGCCACGTTCCTATGTCTGGAATGAACTGGAAAACGCGACGAAAATTGTCGACCTGGATGGTGATGAATTTGTCTGCTGCGTACATTTAGGTTCAGGCGAATCAACTCTCCCTTGGGGAGGGGCGAAAAAGGGACTGCGCTACTGAATCAATACCTAGGTAGTAGTAGTGAACCTGACAGTTCGATAGGTAAAACCCTCTCTAGCCCCAGGTACTGGCAACTTGGTCCGGACCGACCGACACGAATCATCGACTACGAACCCGGTGGAGGGTTTCTCCAGCTGGGATGGATGGATTTCATGGGCCACTCTTGGCTTTTCCTCTTGGCCCCCATCGAGTCTTGGATGGTTGGCAGATTTGGTAGGAGGAGTCTTGAACTTATGGTTGCATCCATCAGCTTATAAGTCTGAAAGAAAAGCAACTTCCTTTCCCTTGACTTCAATGCAGATGTTCTGGTTCTTGTTTCTTTCTGGTAAGTCAGAGACAGAGATGATCCAACACCAAGGAAGTATATTCTTGAAATTGATTGATATCGGGCATACATTGTACCTGCTGGGAAGGGTTTGAGAAAGGTAATACAATACTCGCCGGTATGAAACCTGTCTCAGGAACCCAGCGCTTAGCACAGCTAGCACTCACCAACTACTAAGTACTCATCTCATCGCCATGGCAATCCCTTTCCCCCACTCAACCAAATTGGACCACTCAATCGAACGGGATAAGGGAAGATTGAGAAGGAAGAGCAGCTTACCCGGGCAGACTTCGGTGTATGGGTCTGTCTTTTCCATTTTCTTGTTTTTCTGGCCCTGGTCAATAAGACTACCTACTGTGTCTCCGTGGAGAGACAGAGAACTCGAGCTGACTGGGGAAGAGAAGGGAAAAGAGATCAGTCTCGACTCAAGTCCTTGGTCCCAACAACCGTGGTTCTTCTCCATCAAAGGGTCTTCCACTACCCATCATCTACGGGCAGTCTCCCATTTTGGTGAGGCACCAGGTACACAGTAGAATTGCATACTCCGAGAGGAGGCCGCTCAGGCGGCGAGGTGGGGCAGGCAAGCGTAGCGGCATCCGATCGGCTGCCATTTCCTGTCCTCAGGGATCGACTCGGTTGGATTATGTTTGGCATGATTTCATGGATAGCTTGGATTTCAGGGCTGACCGGATAAGTGCTGGCAGAAGACCCATGGATGACAACCCTTAGTGACGTTAACCACTTGAAAGCCAGCCAGGGTCGACCCCTTTGTCCATCGTACATGAGTACTTAACTTTGCCATCCAGACACAAAGGTAGAACAAGTAGCTGGTTCCCTGCTTACCGATCATTTGGGTTTCTGCAGAACCTTGTTCATCGTTCTCTCTCTCTCTTTTTTTTTTTTTATTTTTTTGCTTTCGCTTTGGAGATCCGAACCTGGTCACTGGGAGCGTGCACTTTTCCAATTGTCGATGAAGGAGGGTGAGAAAATTGGCACCCATGACACTGGGTGCACTGGCTCACTGGCTCACTGGCGGTTCGGAGAGCTCGGGGAGGCGGGGCATGCTCTCGGGGACCCAACCATAACTTACAGTTCCACTTTTGGCCTCAAGGCGACATACGTAACTATTAACAGTAACAGTGCAGGTGATTCATGATCCAGGGGAGGGGTTTTTGGGAGATGGTGCTGCACACTTACTCTGAGTATCTGGCTGGCCAGACAAACCTGGCCTAGCATGGCAAAGAGGAGCAGAGCGTGGAATACGAATAGAATGTTGCACAGGAACCTTCATTCCGGGCCTTCCACTCCTGCAGCCAGGGTCAATGATCCGAGCCGAACTCTGCAGTACCTTACATGGAGTACCTCTCCTCCGCTCACCAGTAGCCAGTAGGTAAATGGCATTTCACTGATATCTCCGTCCTCCAATGCTACCGGAGCAAGGCATGCCACTCGAAGAGACATCAGTAGAGATCATAAAAAAGAAAAAGGAAAAGAAAAAAAAATCGAAGAGGAAAGGCATCATACATATTCGCGGGCTAGAATCCCACAGACCATCGACTTGGACGGTACCTCACCCGGGGCAGGGAATAAAGTCATGACTGCATTCCTCCATCCCCACGATGTTACCTTTCCATGTATATCCCCAGATTTCTAGCCTCCCGACAAACAACAGCAGAAACAGCAGCAGCAACATATCCTTCATTCATCATGGTCATGAAGTCCTTCAACGTCATCATCTGCCTGTAGATTTTAAAGATTCATGATTGATCAGGACGTCGAAAAGCTTGTTCCTGACCAGCAGAGCCAGGAGCTGTTCAGCGCCTCCCTACCGCCAGAGATCCAGACACCATTGCCGTATCCGGGGCATTCTTCAAACTTCTCCAAACTTCATGTTAAACCAAGATCTGCTGGGCATAGAAACTGAAATAAACATAATAAATTCATCAATAGGTCTGGAGCAAACTCAAACACCCCACAAGACAATTAATCCATTTCGCTCTCAGCAGTGAGCACTGAAGTGCTTGCCACCTCCGCCGGGATTGGGCTCCCAACTGCAAACGGCACGGGAAGTACTGGAAGCTTCTTCCTGTCTATGACAAATTTCGAGAACTGTATCTCAAACGCAAGTCTATCTTGCGCCACTTGCTATGTTATGATGTGCTGCTTCTTTAGCTCCAACGACTGGTCAAATGACAGCGGCCTTTGTGAAGTTGAAGTACAGTACTTCCGGGCGGGGGTTCATCGGCATAACTAGGTAGTAAGTCTTGATCGATGAGACACGGCACGGGCTTACTGATTACAACACTATACACACTAAGCGAGTACTGTATAGAGTACGGAGGACTGTCCAATTGTGCATACAAACACGCTCCCCCCCTAGTCAGATAACTCCAGCGCTACGCCGCAGGATCCGTTCGTTCTGGCGTGTCGCGAATCGTGCTGTCAGCCTCGCCGAGGGAGGGACTCTACAGTAGGCAATGCAAAGGCTGCATTAGTCTTTCCGCTTTGACGTTTGGCTCCAGGTCGTGGGCTTCAGCTGGTTCGACCCTCCCTCTTATCTGGACTGAACGTCTAGACCCCGCGAACTCCAGTCAGCTGCTTTCAGCAACCGGTCGGATCCAAGCAAATCATGTCGCCCAACTGTCGACATGTGTGGTATGTCAATATGAAGAAGCAAGTCAATCGTCAACGAGTTCGTGAGCACGACTGACGTATGTACCTATCGGGAGAGAAGTGGTCTTGAGCTGCCCCGGTCAACCCCAGGCCTCCTGCCCCGCCAGCGATTCGTACTAAATCCGTACTTTCCCCATCTCCGATTGCTAGAGCATAGCGACCTGTGCGCGTTCGTGATATGGACGTGACTAGATTGCTAGCACCCGTCCAGTTTCCAATAGGACTCAGCGCTCTGTTAGTATGACATCTTAACCAGGTTGCGAGCTACAGAGTACTAGGGCATTTTCATACCTCTCAATCCGAGTCATCGACCTCTCATCTACCCTCGATTGCCAGACCCTTGGTCAAGTTAACCCCAATCAAGCTTTCGGCATATTAGTCTGTAGCACGGACAGTGTCAGTGCTTCAGTTAGATAAACGCTCCATGGCGATATGATCACAGATAACATGTTGCTATTCATATCAACTGGCATTGATAATACGCCTCGGTATAGGTGGTCCCCGAGTATGCAGGGAACAGTCAATCAACGTTCAAATGGCATGCTCGACCTTGCGCCCTCCACAAGAAACAGGAACTCGCCGCATTGGAGGTCTCTATCATTCCCTAAGAGTCGCCAACCTCTGCGTGAGAGACCATCACCCATAACCGGACATACACCGCAACTCTAGATTAAGGTACTGTACGGCAGTTCGTAAGTAGTTCACAAAAATGCTTAAGTTTGAACAGGAGGCAGTGAGGCACACCTACTCGTAAGGTAATCGACTAGGTAATTTCGAGACTAGTCAGCAAGATCATCCCCTCCAGGTTCCTCCCCCTCCTCCTCCTTCCCCCTGCCCCGTGTCTGGATGATCGACGTGGCACAGCCATCAACCAATAAGCAACGGCCCATCATCTACTAGAACAATCACAGCGGGAACTGAACTGAGTTCAATGATTCCTCTAACATCACTCGTGTATTGTACCTTCCTCCAGAGAAGAATGACACGATTGTCAATAGCACAATACCTTAGTCAAGACTCACTCCACAGTATTCCGAAACCATCACAGTCTTGCCGCCAAGCCAGAATCACACCTACCTAATCATCCGCAGCCTGGAGATATGCACCGACTAAACTTTCCCACCTGCAGATGCGCCCTACCGAATCAAACGTCGGTTGCCCCTCCCACCACGCAAAGTGAAGCGCATACAACGCGTGCGCCCATCGCCTTCGCCCCACCCGCCGCCACCGAGGGGCAGAAGAACGCAATCAGGTTGAGGGAATGCTCGGGTTGCCCCTTTTGCCAAGAAAGGGATTCCTGCTGAACACGATTGAGGTAGTCGGGCTTGTACATAGCTTTGTATCGTGGGAGGGGAGAGGGGGAGATTGCATGCGCGAGCTGATTTGGAGTGGATGGGTGGGTGGATAAATCAGGCGGCTACTGTATGTAACTCGTACATTGCACTAAGTATACACAAATAGAAATGAGGTGGTGACAGTAGCTCGGTACTCTATATCGGGACAAAGGATGAAGGGAGAGAGAGGGGTGTGTGGGTGGGGTTATCGGAGCCTACACGGTGTGGCACACCATTGTCACATACCATCCAGTTATGTCCCCTCTCTTTTCCCCTAGGCTGCCATAACTGATAGTACTGTACATACATCATAGCTAGTAGGTCCGTGTAGCAACTGACCGATGGCATAATCAAAGTGTTTCAGATTGAGCAGGGATTAGCAGTGCATCGACCTCTCTTTCCTTCCATCCTCGCCCTTCTAGATGCCCAGCCCCCGGTCCCCCTCTACTTCCATCGGCCGAGAGAACGGCGATTGTTGTGCTTTTCTTTCACGCAGTAATTTCTTGTTGAATCAACTTGCTGTTCAATGTTCGATCTTTGATGATTGTCGAGTCTCTGGTAACAGGGCGCGTGAACACAAGTCCCCTGTCGCTCGCTTGATGCTTTTTTTTTTTGCTTAATGTTGCCATGGTCCCTCATCCTCCAGCTACATAGGCAAACAACAGGTTGTTATCAGTCAAATGGAACGGAATGTACGATGCGGCAGATAAGCCGCCCCTCTCTTCATTCCCAATCCTTTCTTTCCTTCCCCCTCCTTGTGTGACATAAGCTCCCTTCTGCACCACCAAACCAAACCCCGCCAAAAAAAGGCACGAGGTACAAAGCAGGTACCTGCTTGCTCTCGAAGGGCTTGTTATTTATGTACCTGGTGACATAATCCATTGTCCATCTGGAAATGCACCCTGCTCTACGGAGTACTTTCTGTAGTAATACCCACACACACACACACACACACATGGACGATATACACACGACGCCTATCTATTTTACCTACAGCAACCAAATCACCCATCCAACAACCTTCTTGATAGTTAGTTGGTATACTCATCATGGAGTACACAATAAAGTCATAGATCTTGGAATCAACCCAGGTTCCAGGTACAGTGACCGGATTTGGCGTTCATGCTTACGTAGTACTTTTCCCTGAGTTACTAACTAGTAGTTATCGCTACGGAATACTGACGACGAAGTACTGGAACTTAGGAGTACGTAGGTCGTAGGCATTGAAGATGATCCCGATCAACCACCTCCCCACTGCTTCCCACCGACCGAGTCAGAGTCCGTACTCGGAGATATTTGATCGTTGGTATGCTGACGTTTGCACCATGTCTGGTTACAGTAAACTTCTTAGCTCTAGCTATTGGTGATCTGATTCCTGCTACGGAAAAGTGGACCAAATTCTTCATGCATCCATCCCTCACATTCAGAGAAGAAAAGGCAAGGGAAATACAGTTTGTGGAAAAGAACACGCGAATAGACCCCAGAGCCTCGTAAGCCACTCTTCGAAATCAGCGGGCTAGATTGTGAGCTCTGTCACTGGCAGTTGGATGACCTCCCCCGGGAGCAGGACACTGCCACTCATGAATCATGTGGAAAGAAATATTGCTGCCAATGCATAACTTAGTAGCACCGATTCTGGAACACAAGTGGCGGAGATAACACGCAACACAATAATTTGACTTGGAGGTAAAGAAAGATTGAGGCTTACGGCCGGTGCCTGCCGGGACAGGATTGGATTGGTTCATCCCAGCCTTCAAGAAAAATAGAAGATACTGGATGCATCACAGGGAGGTCTGGGGGTGGTTCGCTTGAGGGAAGAAAGACTGGATTGTCCCCTTCCCCTCGTATGGAATTTACCATGCAAGCAAAGTAGTTCTTTGCAGGTTCCAATCCGGACGAGCAGAGGATGGATCTGAAAGGAAGAAGAAGAGAAGAGGAGAAGGGGGACTTGGAAGGCTGTCAGCTGATATGCACAGTCCGGGCGTGCAGGTCTGGGCTTTTGATGCGCTGTACCTGAGCTGGATGGATCCCTGCGTCATTCACATGCTTTTTTTTCTTCTTCCCCCCTTTGTTTTGTTTTCATTTTTCCACTTGGTGTACACACCATTAAATAATGAAGTTAAAGCTGGGCATGCTCGGGGTCTCGACTGTACAGCACAATACCGTCTACTCTCTACCTATGCATACATACGATTTTTTTTTTCCTCAGAGGAGATCGGTTTCTTTTCGACTCCTGTAGTCTGGACTGTTGATTTATGATATACAGAGTTACAGCATACCCTCTCATTTATCCAGGACACTCGCAATAGAACTGACCATGACCGCCGCCTCCCGTTCCCAATTTCGCTCCGTCGCCGTTTCGCCGCCCAGTCGCTTTTCGGTCCCCAGAACGGAGGTGGGCAGCTGAGAGCCCCGCAGAACGCAATCCCTGACATCCTTCTTGATGCGGTCGCGATTCGACCGCAAGGTCCGAGCCGAGACGCCGCCGCGGTTGATGATCTCCTGGACTCGGCCCGTAAGATACGAGGCCAAGGATCGCCAGAAGTATGAGGGAAGGGACGAGGTGTCGAGGGAGTTGAGCAGCGGTTGAAGCAGGTTGTTCTTGCTGCTGGTCTGGGCCTGCGCGTCACCCTGTTCGCCCGTGCCATTGGTGGATGTAGCCACCGGCTGCGCCGAAGGGAAGAGCGGGTGTGTCGGCGGGCGGAGGTTGTTCAGCACCGCCTCCAAGGCGAAGATATCCTGGCACCGCGCGGATAGGTCGGCGAGGGTCCGCTCGAGGGTCGGAAGCATCGACAGGGACCGCGTGAGATTGCTCAGTGAGGTGGAGATGGCGGTGTGCATGTAACCTTGCAGCGTAGAGAGGAGGAGCTCGGGGACGAAGTCCGCCGCGGAGCTCAACGTCTTGGGCACCGGCGATAGTAAGTACAAGATATTGACGGCGGACACCAGGCGGGCTCGCGCATCGCGCGCTTGCCGGTAGCCCGACTGCGTCTGGGAGCTGGCGCCGCCGCCGGAGATATTGGACATGGAGAACCGCGTAATGGCCTGCTGCGCGCGCGCCTTGACCATGTTCTCGGCCGGAAGGACGAGCTCCGCGCGCAGGGTGCGGACGACCTTGACACGGTCCAGTCCGTGGCCTTCCTCGCCCGGGCCGGTCTCCGACAGCATTCGACGTAGACTGACGATGGTGGAGGCAGCGCGCTCCAGCGTCCGGTAATCATCTCTGCCGGTGACGGGGGAGGTCGTCCCTTCGATGCCCCCGATCTCTGCAAGCTGACTTTCGAGCTGCCTGCCGAGTGACAAGCAGCGCGCCACGGCTCGTGCGAGTCGCACGGTGGCTAGGGACTGCTCTGCAGCCACTCGGGCCTCGTCGGCGGCCTCCCACTTGCTGAAGACTTCTTTCTCGAGTCGTTCATACCCCTGCGTGACGGAGGCAATCTGGTCCTCGGTCTCTTTGAGGATATGACTGGCCGCCTGGGTCTGGTCGCGCGTGTGCGTCAGCAAGGGGAGAGCTGATTTGGTGGTCAGGGCATGGATGTGGGTGTCGATCTCTTGGAGATCGAACAAAACCCGCGAAAGCGGGGTAGACAAATCCAGCGGTGTATCTGTCGCATTGTTGGTGGCCACAACAAGGGAGTTGGCGAACGAGGCGGGTGAAAAGTCGGGGTCTAGAAAGGCCTCATAGTCGATGTATGATGGTTCCGTCTCCGCCATGGTGGGTGTCCCTTTGACTCACCTGCAAGTGAATCAAGGCCAGTGCTCAATCAGACCGACAGACAACACGAGAATCAAGAGATTCTTGAGAATAGAGAATTTGAATGGGGAGAAGGTCGGACCTCAATAGAAGCTTGGGTATCACCGTATCAAACAAAGCAGAAGATCACAGGTTCACGGCACAGGTTTTCTGGAAGTCTGGTTGCGCATGAAGAAGACAAAGCTACGTCGATCAGGTGGTTATTCTCATGTAATATTTTCTAAAACAGTCATTGTCAGATTCATTCACTGGTGGGAGAGTCGAAGCAGCAGCAAGCAGTAGTTTCTTGGGATGCAGTCATTCATGCCATGTGTTTGTCGGCACGGAGTTGACAGAAACTCGTTTAGTGCATTAGTCAGCTGCACAACCCCATCCTTGTGCATCGGAGATGTATACAACTACTACCAGCGTAGGGTGCGTCAGGTCCAGTGAAGAGCAGATGACCCAGGACTAATGGAAATGAAAGTAGTACTAGTAGTCAATGACTGCATACTACTATGCTATTTCTCCCACCACAGCTCGCTATTGAGCATAGCAACCAACATGAGCGACAAACTAGGTAGCCATACAATCAACTCCTCCGAATCCTCAATCACGCTGCACTTTCCTCAGCACCCCCGATACTCTGGGCATCATACTCCACTTTTCTCCTTCACGCCTCAAATCCAGAACCTCCCACTCCGCCGATGTGAGTAGAATTTCCTCCATCTTACGATCCAACCGACATCCATCCAACGCCACCGGCCAAAGCAAATTCCAAACCTCTACAACCACCCAAAAGCGTCAGCCAGCCCAGACCCCTCTGTCAACCACAAAAGCAACAACAACAAATCAAGGGTATACATACTCTGTACCCCCCAAGTAACCCAGTCCTCACTCGCCCCATGCTCCCACACGACCAACTCCCCCCCTGGCCTCAACAACCGCCAAAGCCGCGCAACCACCTCCTCCGGCCGATCCACGGAGCACAGCACCCCGAAGCTCGTCACGCAGTCGATGCTGCCATCCACGATGCCCTGTCTCTCGAGAGCGGCCGTGTCCATGACATCGCAGAACACGGGGACGTAGATGGCGTCAAGGTGGAGCTGCTCGATCTTCGCGCGGAGCGGCTCGCGGAATGCCGCGTTGGGCTCCACGCCGTAGATGGTGGTGATTTGGTCGCGGTTGTAGCGCTGCAGTTGGTTGCCTGCGCCGGGGCCGAGTTCGAGGACGGTGCCGTGTGCGGCGGCGGCGAGGGAGGGGAGAGAGGTGGTTTCTTCGAAGGCGATGAAGTGGGGTGCTTCTTGCGTTTAGATCGAATATGTATATGTTGGGTGGATGCCTTGGGGGGGATGTTTGGGAGAGTTTGTCGGACTGACTTACCAACATCTGTGAACCACTTCGCAAAGGCGCGGCGCTGGATTGAGGGTCCCGGTCCCGGTGTCTGCTCATTGGATCTGTAGGTCGTCCATATATCTGAGAAAAGAACGGGAGGTGTGCCCCATCAATTTGTAGATCGCCCCCAAAACTAGGGTTAGGAGAGACTTACACTTGAAGGCGCCGAGCAGCGGCTGGCTCTTGTCGAAGTAGCTGCGCAGACGAATCTTGAGGTCAAATCCCATGTTGGCTTGTGCTTTGTGTGGGATGGCGTTCCGGAGAAAAGGGTGTGTGGGCTTACTATCTTTGCAACTAGTCCCGGAGCAGGAGGCGGGTTTTATATGCGCACGAGACGCGGAGGAGTAGGAGGAGGAGCTAGCACAGGATGGTGTAATTCCTTTCGGTTTAGTCGGGCGTTGTAATTTTCCACCTCTGTGTGCATCCTTTGGTCCTGGTGCTTATCTGTGCTGATATAGTGGTGCAATTGTACGAATATGTCATGCTGGGTTGCCATTGCTGGTTATACAGCTTCGTGATGGTTGTGGGGGTTTATAGTTGGGGTTGGCTTCTCTGCATCGGTTTCTCGGCTCTGCTTTTATGCTTCCTCGGACTACAGGTGTGTGTGTGTGTGCGTAGGGACGATATTCGACCTGCTCTGCCACTACTCGAGTCCCACCAAGGAAATATAGTAACTTGAACTGCCGGGGATTCCTGCATGAAATAGAAAACAGTCAGCACGTGAAGGACATCGCGGTCAATGGACACAACTCGTCGTCTATGCTTACAACTAAAGCATCCCGGTCATATAGAACACCGAAACTCAGGGTGTCTCTCGCGAGAAAAGACCAATTGATCATGGTCTGGCTGTATATATATCCACCAGCACTGGTATAGACTGCCAGCTGCACGACAGGATTATTTCGAATTTACTGGTTTGATATTCACAAATAGACAGCCTTCTTTCATCAACAGGCAAGATGGCCGAGTTGGTCTAAGGCGTCAGGTTAAGGTTACCTTAGCATTCAGCTTTCACAAGCTTCCTGATCATCGTAAGATGGCGTGGGTTCGAATCCCACTCTTGTCATTCCTTTTTGGCACATCATGCGTCCTTCAATATTGTACGGTATCGAGGCTGCCCTGAAACCCGTTGTGAAAAGGGATGATGATTGTGAGGTCATGTTATTCATAAAATTATCGATCGTACTGGTTTGGACATTTAATTTTACGCTGCACACCTAGCACAACCCATAGCTAGGACACTGCTTGCCACCAACCTAAACCTCGCAGTTGACCGAAGCAGATTCCACAGCAAATCTGCCCTGACAAGCCCCTCGAGCAAGAACCCAACCTTACTGCAAAACCCTCCCATTAGTCTCCTCAACAATCAGCTCAAACTCCGGCTGAAACTCGGTATAGAAATTATGCTTTGCACGCGGCCATCGTCAGCAACTATCCAGACCGGCAAAACCCCCAGATGTAAAGCGAACTCACCGGGTTCTGCATCAAATCAGCCGTGTATTTTGCCACCGCATCCGTGATGATCTTCTTGGGGACACCATTCGCAGCCGCCGCATCGGCCAAGAGCTGCGAATGGCAGGCATTATCGAGGCTTGAGAAGAGGAATGCAGCTTCGTCGACGGTGCGGCCGACGGTCAGCAGGCTAGTAGCATGTCAACTGATCTCTCCTTTTGTGGGGGGCATGACCGGGACGGCGGAGTATACTATATGAGTTGATATAGTCAAGGGGGATGGGGGGGGGGCCGTACCCATGATTCTGCAAAATACACGCCACATTCTCCTTCCCCAGGGCCTCAGCAATCTGCCTTCCTTCATCCTGCGCGAGGGCAATTCCGCCGTGATCATCATATACACTAAGTCGGCCATAGAAGTTGCATGCATCTATCACGGGCAAGAGCACCCCCGCGGGCCCAATCGGTCAGCATCAGTTTGAGCTCATCCGCCAGCTAGCTCACCCACAAGAACCGAAAGAAGGAAGGGGAAAGCAAACCCTGCGTCAACATCTCCACCGGCCTCCCAAACGCACTCCACGTCTTCCCATGCACGGAATGCGTATGGGCCGCCGCAACGACATCCGGCCGCGCCTTGTGGATCTCCGAATGGATCATGAAGCCGGCCTCGTTGATGGGCAGCTGGGCGCCGCCCTCGGTGACATAGCCCTCGTCATCCACCAGCACCAGATCCGAGGCCTTAATGGTCGAGAAGTGTTTGGCGAAGGGGTTGATCCAGAAGTGGTCTTTGAGGATGGGGTCTGTTTCATGTCCGGACACATGAATTAGCCAATATTCGAAGTTTATGCTGGTTGTCCTGCTGAAGTAAATTTGGGATAAGGACCTGAGAGGGGTCAGGGGAGTACCTCGCATCGAAATATGTCCAGATACACCCTCGCCGTAGCCCTTCTTGCCGAAGTAGCGGAAGGCGGCCGCCATGTGCTCCTTCATCCATTGCCGTTGGGCATAGACGTCGCTGAAGGTGGGGATGCCGCGCAGTTTGAGAGTGCCGCTGCGGGTGCCCCGTGCCAGGGCTTGGAAGGGCTTATCATTGATCGCATCCCCGGGGTGAAAGGGCTTGTCGTAATTGTTGTTGCTGTTGGCGGTGCCAGAAACGACGACGGGGAGGCTGCCCCGGGCTGTTGGCGGGGCCTGGGTGATGGTTGTCGACATCCTCTCGGTTTGTATTAAGTGGATTGTGTGATGAGGCTCGCAGTAAGAAGGTCGAGTCTTATGATAGTATTTGCGAAGATCGAAGACTAAGAGAGGATGGCAGTGGGTTTTTCTACTTTCTGGTTTCTACATACTGTATCAATTAGGCAAGTCAACCCCGCACGATGGAGACTGGGGTTATCAGCTTATCTGCGGCCCTTCAGATAGGCTCATGTCGCCGGTGCGCCTTCTATTGACAACTTGTTGGCATGGAATTTACTTAGCGTGAGATAATGACTTGCCTAATTCGATGTCCAGTCTGAAAGCAGGACGATAAGAGAAGTTGATGACAACAACCATAATCCGTAGTAACCATATAATGCTAGTATTTCCAGGCCACCTACGAGCAACAACACCTGATACAGATGCCCGCACTTATATGCTATATAACCCAGATCCAGGCCGTCAAAATCTAACCATACATAAGACATAGAGAATGTAAAGTGAAATCAAAACGAGAGAAACAAATACCGCCACATCGAACGCCATCTATACACGTACCAGCCAGTGAGGGTATACATGAAGAAGAAAAGAATATGACAATTGTGCCGGGAATCGCTGAACGTTGCAGTGACAAGTATATGCACCCCTCCCCTTGCCCATCTCCCCGCAGTAATCGAAAGGGCTACACAGCCTGATCACCCGTGCTTTTCATCGAGGTCATCTCGTATGCATCCCCCGCATCGGGCATGTTGCGTCCCCGTCCTCGACCCCGCGACAGAGAAAATGACTCGTCGGCACCCTCCGCCTGCGGCTGCGCCGAGCGCCCCGTACTGTTATTGCTGACCGAGCCGCCGAAGGTGATCGGCTGCAGTTCCCGCCACTGGCACGCCCAGATCCCCAAGAACGTCATGAGGGCGGCACTGGCGCATTGTAAGCCCCACCAGAGCCAGTTCGAGGGCACCGAGCGGGTGTAGAAGACGGTAATAATGAGGTGCAGGAAGTGTATCGTGAGCGCGAAGTCGGGAATGAGCTTAGAGCGTGAGACAAAAAGGAGAAGGTAGATCACCCTGCATCATACGCAGTTTCCGTTAGCGAACTCCAGCCCGCCACTACTCAAAGCGCTTCGGGGCGCTTGCTTGGACCTACCCTATCCCACTATTCAACATCCAGACCAACCCCAGCATCCACCCGACAGTTGTGTCTCCGCGTAGGGCATTCCAGTTCAAGACCAGGTCCAGCGAGAATGACGTTCCGTAGACAAGCGTTGTGAACAGAATCAAAGCTGTCGCGGACGCATAATAGGCACTTTGAAGCAAGGCGATCTTGCGGACGATCTTCAGAGGGGGGAGGTCAGTCCGGGACCCCGCCGGAGGTAGACGTCGGCGCGGGGCCATGAATTGCGGATGCGCGTCCGAAAATCGAGGTGCAAATGTCCGGTAATTTTCAAACTGTGAATTTCCCAGTGCACCGGGTTTGCGCGCGAAAGGTGGGTGAAGGGCCCGATGCGTTCAGTGGTCACAGTGCTTGCCCGCCTGAACTTGGTGTCTCGCGGGCTTCGTGTATTGTAGGATGACGAAGCTCCCTTTGTAAACGCAAAAATCCGAGGTTATTGCAAAAAGAAACCCCCCACGTCTCAGCGACTCGTACTGCAACAAGGAAAGAATCAAGAATCGTCGCCAGGTGGCTGGAAAGTGGAAGGTGATGTTGTTTTGGGAGGATGAATCGGTGGTGGACGGGATTAGGCTAGCGCCACATGACCCGGCCGTCATTGCGGAGCGGAGCGGGCAGTGCGAATCTCCTCATTACAGTAAACTTACCTAGAACCACAAGGTGCGTGTGCTGCTGCTGCTGTTGCCCACGCGAATTTTCTAGGAATCGTCTTCAATCTTACAATCTGCACCGTTAGACTCACCCAGTCGAATCGCATTACTCACGTTTCACCTCAGAAAACCTCGCACAATGGGCTGGCTTCCCTGGTCTTCCGATTCCTCCTCCAACACTGCCGCCGACGGCGGCCGCATAGCCCCCGATCGTTCCTCCCGACAACGGTGCTACGAAGGTCGCGACTTGTTCTTCTCGTGCTTGGATAGAAATGATATTCTGGACGCCGTCAAGAACGACAAGGATGCGCAGCGCAAGTGTGGAAAGGAACTGGCACAATTTGAGACTGCCTGCTCGCGAGCATGGGTGAGTTGCGCAATAACTCTCCCACCACTTTTTTTCCAGGACTGTTCTCTATGGCCCCTCTCCCAATCAACAACCACTTCAGCTTTGCGATTTGGTAATGCGACTGACTGGGATTCTGAATAGGTCAAATACTTCAAAGAGAAGCGCGTTATGGAATACAACCGGGACAAGACAATCGAACGTATCAAGAAAGAGGATGCAGCCAAGGTCGAGGATCTGAAATCACAGGGATGGACCGCGCGGTAGAAGAGAGGGCTATGCGAGTGACTATTCCCAGGAAACGACGCATCGGGTGATAGAACGGTGCTATCAGCTCGAGGAGATCTCAAAACTGTACTATATCGAACCTACGCCCACCGCTGTATAATGACTGTCAAACGAGGCTTTTCGCCAGCCCTCTCCTGTCGCGAAGCCTACATGCTCTCTCCACTTACACTCCAGCAATACCATTTCATTAGCATTATCGTGTGCTTGCATTTCCCTAGTAAGGCTGAATGAGAGACGCCCAGTATGGTGCACGAGATCATAAAAAGAAATACAAATGACCTTTGTAATACACACCACGCTCTCCCTGATGCCTGACCAATTTTATAAAGAAACATTTATCCACTGCACTCCTGTAGCAATTGCTCGCTGATTCGACCGATGCGAAGAGAAGAAAAAAAAAGAGAAAAAATAAGAACCCAACTACCGAGCCATGATGATATCTCCACAAGTAAGATTTCCCTATCCGATCCTCGACAGATCGCAATCGACGCCCGACATCTTGAAATGTCACCAGAGACCGCAGGCCAGGGAAAAAAAAAAAAAAGAAACAGGGGAGCGAGGAAAGAAAAGCAATGGATAAGATTGAGTGCCTCACTGCTTCCATTTACCCAGCTGATGCATGATATTCTGCACCTGGTGACCGACAGCAGCTTGGTTCTGCGCCTGTTGACCTCCCAGACCCTTCGCAAGCAGAGAGATCAGATTAGGATCTGAAACCACCGGAGCATTAGGCGCCTGTAAAGGGAAGGGTTGCGGAGCCAGCGGCTGCTGAGGATTCGCCGGCATGGGTTGTCGAGTCGCAGCGTTCAGCAGACTAGCGAGATCCGCGGTCGTGTGCGGTGTGGCAGGAGGAACGGCAGCAGGGGCGAAAGGCTGCTGCGCGCTGGGAACAGCCGACGGACGTTGCTGCTGCTGTTGAAGTACCCCAAGAAGGGATTGTAAAGTTGGCCCATCGAGAGATGTGATCAGATTGGCAATATTCGGCTGATTCGGCATGGTAGGCAGAGGAGCTTGAGGCACTGATGCAGCCGGAGCAGGGAGGGCTACACCAAAAGCCGGATTTGGTGTGAAGGGATGAGACCCGCCGCGTTGGACAGATTGTGCATGAAAAACAATCTCAGCCGCAATGCTGGGTTCAACATCGGGGTATTCTGACCACACATTAGATATTTGAACCCATTACGAAAGGCGCAGCACGACGGGACTTACCGTTTGATCGAACATTATCCGAGCCGGCGCTTCGATCAAATAGCTGCAATGGGATCTTTCTCGAGAATTGGCTTGGTCGCGACAGTCTCACAATCGCAAGGACACCCTCCTGGATCTGACGTTGAACGGCAGCACTGAGCGGGATCCTCGGGCCCAGCACTAGACTGTCAACTCGAAGCCCACGGTTGCGGAACGAATTCTCAACGTGGAATAAGAAATTCCTTGGCAAGAATATTAGCAGGGTCGAGACTAAGGACGATTTGCCAAGGGAACGGGACAAGGTTTACTCACCGATCAACTTCCTCGAGCACTAGAAGCTGCACTTCTGGGACATCTCTTGGGGCCCTCCGCGGAACCGGTATGTCGGTCTCTGTTTCATAGGTCCCACGGGCCCGTGGGCTTGGGCTGCGATATCTTCTATCCCGGGCATAAGGAGACCGAGAACGTCGCCTCTCCCGGCGGTCATACCGCTCAGGCGTCCGATCTCGAGACCTGTATCCATCTCGGCCGCGAAAAGCACGTGGGGATGGTGATCGAGGAGGTCGGTAGTCGTCGCGTCTCCGATGGCTCGGTTCATCCCTGAAGTCGCTGAATGGCACTCTGCCAGATTCGTATGGTCTATCATAACGCTCGGCTTGAGCTCGTGCGTTACGGTTGCCAGATGGACCGCCCCGACTGTATTCAGGCGATCTCGACCGTCTAGGCGGTGGCGCACGAGGCTGCTCGCCCAAAGCGGTTCCTGGTCTTGTGTTTCGCTGCGGTTTTGAGATTTCAAGATCTGGATAAATCAATGTTAGCTATCCATGGCGCCCTGAGCATGATGAGCTATACTTACGGACTTTCCGTCCTCTCACGACTGCTCCTTGTTCAGAATCCAACGCATTCTTGCAAGCAGACGAGTCCAGGAATTGAATGAACCCGTAAGCTTGTTTAATCGAGATCTGGGCTAGTTTGCCGAACTTGTGAAAGATATGGAACAAATCCCTCTTCGTCACTCGTTCCGTAGGAAGATTTCCTGCAAAGTAGAAAACGAAGCTCGTTAGACAAGTGATTAACGAGACTATTGGGCCGCGTGGTGGGTGTACTGACCAACAAATAATCTGGAACCAGGCGGGAAGCGATCCCAGAGACCTTCTGTGACATAAATCCTCTCGTCATGAAGAAACTCGTCGTATTTCTTCTGCACTTCGGGGCCCCATGGAGTATCTTCATCGGCGCTTTTGGATGACTGCCGAGCACTTGGTCGTTCCGCACGACCGTTCTTAGTGGTCGTTGCCGAAACAGCGGCGGAGGAAGCAGTATTGGCAGCGGGGGTCCCGGCCGCAGCAGCCTCTTGAGGCTCTGCATGCTGGAAGCTCGCCACAGGGGGAGGCGGCAGCGCGCTTACTCCCGAAGAGGTTCCTGGGGCACCAGCTGCTGCCAAGGGTGATACACCCGGGTTGGACTGATAATTATTACTTTGTTGGGCGGCATAGGAGGGAGACGAGGGCTGCGCGGTGGAATTATTAGGGGGAAGTTGATGGTAGGAACGGATGTCATCAGTGGCATTGTAGTTGGGATGGATCGAGGGTTTGTCTTGGGGAGGGGGGCGCGGGGGAAGTCCCAGGTCGTCTGTTCCCGTTTGGGAGAGCGCAGAAGCATCGGCGGCCGTTGAAGGCGCGGTTTCTGCGACAGTAGGGGCAGAGGGAGCAGTAGAGGAAGGGGGAAGATTATCGAGGAGGTTCTGAAAGTCGACACCATCCTCACCGGTGCTATCAGCGGGTTTGTTTTGGGAGACTAGGCGATCGGACGGGGGAAACGAGGTCGTCCAGCTGGCAACAGCAGGGTTTACCTGACTCGCACTGGGGTAATTCTGGGCGGCATGGGAGGAAGAGGGAGGGGCATCGGGCATAGAGTGAGCTAGAATGGCAGCGGCATCTGATGGAGGCAATGTGGTTAGAGAAGAGTTTGCGGCGGTTGCTCCCCGGTTCATAGAGGAATACGGATTGGAGGGGGCAGATCGATCTGATGGCAGCAGAGACGCCTGGGCGAGGAAAGCACCAGCAGACTGTGTGAAGTGATTCCTATCGTTCGACGAACCCTCATCCAGAGTAAAAGAGCCAGGTTGGAAGCTACCTTGTATATGATGTGGGTGATGTGGATGATGCAGATAGTGTGGCGGTGGTGGTTGCTCCGGGGCTTGTTGCGCGGAGCCGGTCGCATTTCCCCTCATTGCTTCTAAACCACCATAGGGGCCATGGGATGCATAGGAATCTGATCCATTCTGATGCGCCTGGGAGTTGAGTCCGTGGAAGTAATCCGAGGACTTCTCATAAGTCGAAGTGTCGTTGAAAACAGGATCCATCTGGTTCTGGAGCACGGGAATTTTGGCCGGCTCCGCGACGTGCAGCGGGCGAGGGCTTTCGGGAGTCAGGGTCTTGCCTCGAAAGTGAAGAGCTTCATCTGGGGAATGGGGCGTCATGTAGACCAAGGTCGAGAGATCGAGTCATCTACAAAGAGGACACACAGGGCAGAGTAAAGACCAGGAGGACCGAGAAGGACCACAGGAGAGATAGGGATTTTGGAAAATCGTCCAAGCTAAGGTGGGGCTATCTTGAAAAAAGAACCGGGCCGTTGGAGCCGGGGCGGTAAAGGAGGGAAGGAGGGAGTCGATGCGATGGCCAAAGACAGACGGACGGACGGACGGGCGGAGGCGACGGAGCAGAGAAGAAAGGAGAGTGAAAGATGAAGAAAGAGGGCAAGGGACGAGAGGGAGAAAAGCAGAGAACGGACTAATTGACCACAGACGCAGAGAGGATACCCACGAAAATGTCACGGTCGGGGGGAAGACTCTAAGTGAATCGGCGGGGATTTGAACCACGGAGAAAAAGCAAGAAAGTATAGTACACGTACAGTACAAGAGGGGCAAGAAGAGGGGGGGGAAAAGCGGAAAGAAGGTTGAGGGATAGGGAGAAGTAGGAATTGAGATGATGAATGAGGAGGAGGAGGGTGGTGGCAGGAAGAAACGGGCGAAGAATAACAAACAGTACCACCACCACTTCTTTTGATTAGGAAAGTTTGTCTAATTGATAAAGAAACAGACGCAGCAGCAGTAGTAGCAGCAACAGCAGGAAACGAGGGAGGAAAGATGCGGAGAAGGAGGTTGTTCAACCATACCCCGAAAGCAAGCAAGCAAGAGTGATGATGATGATGATGTTGATGATGATGATGGAAGGTGTAAGTAATTGAGGGATGGAGAAGTTAGAGTTAGTTGGGAGTAATGGAGTTTACTAAGTAACTACCTGCTCAATTACAGGCAGAAAAGGTCAGAGTTTGCGCCAGTCAGCTCAACCACACACGGTGAATGGCTGGCAGTGTGCGGCAGCAGTCTTTAGCGGCGGGTCAAGGCGCGCCTGGATTTTTCTCTGCTGGAACTACGGGAACTGCTGGAACTGCTGGAATTGCTACGATTTCCTCTCGGCATCTAGTCTAGTCTACTCTAAGAATAACCCAAACGCCATCGGTCTGTCACCGAGTCCAGATTCATGGCTTCGACCGAGCTTGAGTCCGTGTATATGTCTGGGTTGGGTAAAGCTTCCACCACCGGGTGGACATGTCAAGGTCAAGTGACCAACTGGAGTTTTACTTCCTGTGTACTCCGTACTAACGAGGATACGGGAATCCAATACAGTAGATCGGTGCCTCATTGCTGAAATCAGGCCGGAATATCATTTATGATGAGGTCGAGGTCAGAGAATAGACGGAGTACGGAGACTAATGGGAGTCACTGCCACTAGTCTCTTAGTCCGACTAAGCATCTGATCATCTGCCCGCCCGAGCCGACCTTAAATCGAGCTGTACTCCGTACTAAGTTACCGTACTCCTATCTACTTTCCTAGGTAATATAGATCAAGATGGAGCCCAATGTGAATTATCCTTGGAGTATCCAGAAGAACCTATCGTCATTTATAATTAGCCGCAATCAAAGTGCTTCACAATACTAGCGAAAATAATAAGTGATGAAAGGATCTGACAAACCCAGTCAAGTTTGATCTCAAGGAAGACAATACTGCTGGTAGCCATCTCAGTGTGCCGTTATTTACGCTCACCTACTCATTTATCGCAGAAGCAAGAGTGCAGGCGGAATGAGTATCTAGTTTCCATAGCTGAAAAGAAAGAATAGCCATTAGAGATCATTCTCCAGGCAATCAGCCTAAGTCCTAGCTAGCTTCTCACATGCCCAGACGCCAGCAAAGTCATTCAATAAGACTCAAGCTTTAGGTCAACATCCTATTCAGGATGTGTCTGCTATTTCAATCAGCTTCTCTCGAAGGAATAACACCAGTAGCTGATACTATTTGACTAAAGAAGAGCACAATAATGACCAATTTATCCAATTCATAACATACGCCCCAGCTGTTCTATTTGTTATCTATACAATTGAAAATAACTTGTGAGTACCGACAGGCTTGAAGGTCACGTTCCAAAATAGCCTATACCTCATACTTAACTCCTGTCTTCTGGTTTCAATTTGCGACAAAAACATGCAGGAAGGACTCTGATGATCAAACCATCTCAGCCTTGGCAGCTCTGAATAGCAAGGCAGTCTGTGATATTTGACTGACATAATAGTGTGCTGTGGTTCAAGCAACCAGCTATGCTTTGAAAATGACACTTGGCGAATTATAAGTTCACGAGGTGGGTTTCCCTAACTCAAACTTGTCTGAGCAATAGGCTGTGCATTTTGCATTGTTTCCCAATTATTTGGAGCTGATACTGTTTCAAATCATTCTGGCAGATTTCTGAAAATATATATGTATCGGAGATTAATTATATCACTATTTCAATAAATATATTTCAAATTAATAAGTAATATCAGATTCTACATATTTTTGTATATTACAAGATATGCCAAATTTATACTCGTGCCTTGAGAATATAGTCTTGACACAGGACAGTGATGATATCCCACAATCATGGACTCAACTAGAGAAACGTAGAGAAATATTCATCTTTCGCGCATTCGAGTAAGGATATTGTAGAGGAGAGATTGGTTCTTGCGAAGTGGCTGCTATATCCTTCGGTAGGTGTGGCCTGAAGCGATCGATTTAGACGGCCAGAAGACAAAAAAGTGTTGATGGTGATCCCTTGTCATTCAGCAACATCTCATGGAGAAACGACGACTATAGACCATTCTTCAAGAGAAGACCCATTATCCTATACATCGCGATGCCCGTCCAATCAAAATACAGTCTCCAGCTTTCCATGTACAGGATGAAGCAAGCGTGGCATGGCTGACCCTCGCCTCCCCTCAGAACCACGCGTCTTCCCTGCTTCAGGGTGGGATAAAGTCAACCCTTCCCTACCTGTTGAAAAGGAGACGATTCTGACCTACAGACCAGAAGAGTTCTACCCGGTCTGCATCGGTGAGGTATTCAACGACCGATATCAAGTAGTCGGCAAGTTGGGATATGGATCTAGCGGCGACTGTGTGGTTATGCCTTGACTTCTTGTAGGGGTTATTGACCCCCAATTCGCGTACTCAATCTACCAAGCCAGGGACCACCGTTACATAGCTTTAAAGATTTACGCAGTGTCAACAAGAGCGACCCGAGAGATCAAATCTACAATCATTTAAGAATCATCCACTCCGATTACGCGGGTCAGTCGTGTTTGCGACCTCTGATAGAGATCTTTCAGGCCCGGAGCCAGACACAGAGCGTGCTCATACTTGTCTGGTGGATGTCATCTCTTGGTTCCAGCCTCGACCAGCTCATTCGGCTGCTGTCAGATAGGGTCAAGAGTAGCGCCATGGTGAGGACCACCGTCCGGGAATATTCTTGCTGCTCTAGATTTCCTCCATACGGAGGCACAGATCGTACATACCGGTTGGTACCAGTTCTTGAACAAAGTCCTCACTGCGTTAGGAATAACTGAGTGTTCAAATGTCCAACCGCACAATATCCTCCTCGGCATCAAGGACAACTCAATCGTATCCGGCTCTGAGAACGGAGAATTCGAAGCGCCTGTACCACGGAAGACCCAGTTGTACTGATCGTACCATTGAAATGTCACGGCCGCTCCTTCTCCTCTATGAATCACCCGCTCTCTGTGATGTAGGCGAGGCTCGACTCGGCACCGACCAGCAAAACGGCGACATAATGCCAGATATATATTGGGTACTTGAGGTCATCTTAGACATGAGCTGGAACTACAAAGTTGACATCTGGAATGTTGAGATGGTTATAAGACAGCCCGTGTAAGTGTATTGGCACTTTGACCTACCGAGAGGCTGATATTGGTGGAGATTTGGGATCGGTTCGAGCATCAACGCATTTTTAGAGCCCGCGATTCCGAAGGTAACCTGAACGATGCATGTCATCTTGCCGAGACGCAAGCAGTCTTAGGAGGTGCCCCTCCTGAATTTCTCGCTCGAAGCGAACGGAATCTCCATTTTTGGGATGAAATTGGCCTGTCGAGCCCTTTTACCTACGTATAAGCCTTGAAGCGTGGATTTGATTTGGCACTGACAGTCTTTGGATTCCCAGTTCAGGGAATGAGTGGGAGTGCGAGTCAGAAAGTGAGCGCAGAAGCGTAAACAGAGGCAGAGGCGAAGGCAGGACAAGAATTGGCTGGACGGTGTATGAGACAATAATCGCCCGTGACAGGCCAGCCCTACGATGCATACCTTACCTACTCCGTATAACTTGCTCATCTCTACTCCGCAGTTCAACTTGCTAAGCTCAATGCGCGCAGCTAATGTGCCTGACTATCACAGATTCGGACCCCCAGCCCAGGTCATGTAGAGCCAGATCGAGCTGAGACATCAGAATTCATTCCCAAGCTTTCTGATCGGATCCGCCAGATTGTCTGGACTGCAATAGAGGGAAGATCAAAAATGCCTCTGCGATGCCGAGCACAGACGTGGCTAATCGATCCTCAGCTACTAGAAAGATGGATCGCTGGCTAATCAACGCCGTAGTGATTGCCAAAGCGGGTTGTGCTTACGGCCCGCTGCGGCCGAAGAAGCTTTGATAGATTTGTGTGGTCTTCCTGATATATGGTCTGATAGTGGGGACGTGGAATGCACAGTATCTTGCTCAACTAGTTACAGATGGTGATCTCACATTTCCTTGCCCCCCGCTATAAGGGCACGAAAAGCGGTGAATAAACAAGTGGCAGAATTTCGGCCCATGCGGAGTCCGCACCCATAGAACTAGTGATCATCCTTGATTCGATGTGCCCCCCTCTCTCTTCATTTAATTACATGCATATACACCAAACCCCAATGAATCGGTCTTGTCTCGACATGCGATATAGCGAATAACCTACTTAAATGGTCAATTCGGTCATGGCTACCACGTTCATCCATAATTCTTCCCGTAGTCTCCTCGGTCAGGTCCCTCCTCTTCGCCAACGTTCGCTCCTCCTATCCCAAATTTCGAGCCCCACCATCGCAAGAAGACTCTTTTCTTCCAGAAAGCATGCCGCAGCCAGAGATGATGACCACAATTCGGAGGAGGAGTTGACTGCTGCGCGTCAATGGCTGGCTGGCTTCGGCTCCAACACAATCCCGCGGGACATCTGCGAGATCTCATTCAGTCGTTCGGGCGGTCCGGGCGGTCAAAACGTGAACAAGTCTGTTCCCACCCACCAGCCAATCCAGGCATACAAGTGGAAGGACTGAAGTATTGTCGGGCTGACGCATTTTACCTTGATGGATTTGAACAGGGTCAATTCGAAAGCCACACTCAAGGTGCCTCTGGATTCCTTACTCCCGCTGGTGCCCCGGATCTTGCATTCCCCGCTGCAAGCTACCCACTACATCGCACCAAGGACCCGCAGTCTGGTCATTCAGTCAGAAGAGTCTCGCAAACGGAATGAGAACGTGGAGTCGTGTTATGATAAGCTCAACCAGCTCATCAAACGGACAGCAGTGGATGCTATCCCTGGAGAAACATCGCAAGAACAAAAGGACCGAGTCCAAAAATTGTATGCATGCCGGAGAGATGCTTGGTCATTTATGAAACAATGTGCGACTCGCAGCTAACAGACGCTATACAGGCAAAAGGCGGCGAACGAGGCTCGTATCAAATCAAAGAAATTTCTCAGCAGCAAAAAGAGTAGCAGACGAGGCAGTAACGACGACTAGAATGATGCTAACTTTTCCATTACCCCTCCTTCTGCCTGCTAACGCAGCCTGCAGATGATCACTCCGTTAACGCCAGCAACTCACTTCTATCACAACGTATAAAACCTAAAGTTCCTCAACGACTCGCTCCGCATTGTGAATGGTGGCAAGCAGAGCCTTTTGCAATGAAGGATCCAGGCCTTCGGTCTTCGCGAGTGGTTGCAACCAACTAATGACCTCCTTGGCGACGGAGGGACTGTTGCGGTAAGCCGTGAGACGACCAAAGGATGTTCCGAAAGCACGTGGGAACTCGGGTGAAGTGACGTGGACTCCTGCTGTAGGGAGCTTGATATAACATATGAGCGTATGGGGACTGTCGGGCTTCGCTTTCTGCAGAGAATCGACCACATGTTCCAGAATCTTGCGCAGGCACGGCAGGTCTTCGAACTCAGCTGCCATATCATAGAACTCATGGCCGAATCTGTCATCATTGCTGAAATTCTTCATGGCTGTTTCGAAAATGGCAAGTGGGATTGCGCCGCTCAGGGCAGGTGTCGAATTAAGGGTTTCCAGCGCTGCTTCATCCACGTCATTCTCATTCTCGGCGCTGGGATTGATGTCCTCTCCGGTGATTGTTGGCAGCCTGATCATATCTCCATCCATATCGTCTAGAGGTTCTTCCTTGGAGGCCTTGATAGGCTTGTCAAGCCCCAGAATCCGCTGTCGAGCAACGAGCTTGGCGATGTAGATCATCTCCAGCTTCGCATAAGTAAGCCATAACTTCTTTGAGCTCTTGCAAAATCTCAGTCCGCGCTGCATGTAGCTTCGAGACTGTGTCATATCAGCGTGCTCTTCCACTTGGTACTGTGCGGCATATATCCACAGATCAACGTTGGTGGGGTGTAGTCGCAAGGCATCCGTGAGAATATTCGAGAGCTTCTTGTAGGCCTTCTGCTTTCTGGTATATTCGATGTATTGGATCCACAAGCCGAGATCACCGTGAAATTTGCGTGTCGCACGATCCAGGATGAAGAAAATCCTCCGCTGTCCGGTGTGGCCTGCCATCTTGATACCCAAGCGCTTCACCCTCTTCCGTCGCAAGCTATCCAAGTTCATTTCATATTGCGCATATCGTACAAAGTCGGAGGGCAGGGCACCGCGAGCATTGAGTTTATGCTCGAAATCAGATCTCTTCTTCACAATCGCCGAGATTTCTTCCTAAATTTCGAATGGCGGGTTGCATAAGTTTTGCGGTCGCGACTCAGATTACCGAGGGGCGGTTTGGGATAGGTACCTTGGAAAAGATCTTTTTTTGCTCATATTCTTTAAGCTCCGGCACTGACTTCTCCAGGTAAAAGCGCGCTTTGTCAGTAGCGTTCGACATGGTTGTGATGGGCTAGAACGTTTCAGAGCGTTCAAAAGCAGTTCGCAAAACTGTCAGAATAACATGGGCAAAAAAAAAAGTGGTCGGCATCCCGCACGAGATCTCCGACTGTCTGTTGCAGTGGTTGTCCCTGGCCGCCTGCCTATTCCGGCACTAGTGAGATTGGCGCGCCCGCGTGTTGCCGAGCCTCATCCCATCCCCATCCATCGATTCAGTCCATCTTACCTCAGGGGGGTTCCTGTTCGACTTACTTGTTTTCTTTCCCCCGACCGACTTTGACTTTCTCTTTTCCTTTCTTCTTTTTCTTCATACAACATTTCATGCCGCTCGTTACATTAAATTCATTAGACATTCTTCTAATCCTGCTTCAATTGCGTTATTGACCGGAGCCCGAGTCCGGTATTCTCTTGCCTTACCATGGCACCCAGATACAAAGATGGGGATGCCGTCGTGGCGGTTAGTGTCCTCTCCAGTTCAAAGATTGTCGCCCTTTAATCTCTAATGGAAAATTTGACATAGATCAACGGAAAGTGGATTTCATGGACTCACACTGCCGTCGCCTACACGGCGTTTCTCAGTGCTCTAGTGGTGGGGATGTCCTTGCATTTCCACAAGATCGTCCAGAACGAACACTATGGCTATCCCGATGAATGGTTTCCTTCCGTCTCAGCGACTATCGGCGACCGATATCCTGAACGGTCTTTCTTTCAAGTATTCATTGCTATAACCTCCGGGCCTCGGTTCGCGCTTGTCTTCCTGTGGTACCTCCTCACGGCTCGCCCGAACTCCGCTCTTCCCAAACTGGTTGCTGGTGTCGGATTGTTTCGGACGTTCACATGTGGAGGGTGGACATACGTTACCTCAACCGATGATCACGATTGGCACGATATTTTCATGATCTCGTACTTGGTAGCAACTCTGCCCTGGACCCTCGGCTGTCTTGCGCTGAGCCCGAACAACCGCCGGGCTGTCAAGTATCGGAAGATCTTCGCCGGCTTGTTCTTTGGTACCCTGGTGCCATTGATCTACTACTTCATTCAGCACAAAGTGCACAAGGTTCCCGGAGGTAAGTCTCCTGTCGACTCGGAATTTACCCGGCTTATGTCTAACTTCGCCAAGCTTATACGAAATACGCCTTTTTCGAGTGGTCGCTCATTCTGTTCGACGTGGGATTTGACGCGATTACCGCGCTTGACTTTGAAGCGTTCGAGATTGTTGTCCGGGATGTCAAGGGGGTCAGCAGAGGGTATGTACAGTGGCTTCCAAAATGAATCACGAGGAACATGGAGAGAGAAATGTACAGTTGCCAAAAAGAAGTCGGTTGTGGTGCACTTGGAAGACGGGATCTAAGCTTTTTGGAAAACCATCTAGGCAGTTGAAGACCACTGCGGACTCGGTCCTGGAAAAAGAGTGTGTATAGTCTGTTCTTCAACAATTTCACAGACCATTGCAATTGACTCGTAGTTAGGAAGGGCAAGCCGGTCGGCAACACCTTTGGCGAGGGATTCTTCTGGACTGAGGTCATCGATGCGGCTGCAGAAGTCTACAACGGGGTAAAGATCTCTTGCTGTTGACTTCCGTTCGGAGACCGTTACTGACAAAATGTAGTTCATCTTCTGGACCCTTTGCACTGCTCTTCCTGTTCTCGTCTGGTGTAAGTGACAGGTCTCGAAGCCCCTCTGAACTGTGCATAGCTGATTGCGGGTAGACTTCCCTCTCTGGCACATGGGCATCTCGGGATATGAGGCTGCCATCGTCTCGTATTTGTCCCCCATTCTTCTCGCGATCCCGGCTCTGAAATCTGCGGTGGTTAAGAACCCTCGCCTGTTCCATCTTCTTTCTTTATCCGGACTGCTCGCGTACAAGATTCAGGATCCTGCCAACAGGCTCTTTTTGACCTCTTTCAGCGTCATTTGCAGCTGTATGACATGGGCGGCCACTCTCTACGCTGAGCGTGGAAATAATGCCAGGCTAGAGTCGCGGATCTTTGCGTGGGGTACCGGTCTGATCATGTCAAGCGTTGCCAAATTCGCCTGCACTACGAACAATCCGGTCTGGCCCATCATGCATGCCGAGAATGGCGGATGGAACAAGATTGGGCTTCTGCTCGCCATCTTGGCTGTTTTGCGATCTTATAGAAGACCTGCGACTAGTGGAGGTGATTACCTGCCCTCGAGCGGCAAGAAAGGTTCCTGGTTTCCGGCTGGCTTGGGAATTGGAGCATTAGTCTTCGCGATGCATTACCTGCTTTCTGACTCCAGTACCATGATTGCCTGGGTCTGGGAGGGGTTTCCTGTGAGGGGCCCTATTGCGGCTCCTCACGGTGCCCTCACCATTTTCGCTATGGGCGCCGGCCTTGTCTATGGTCTTTTCTATCCTGCCGGGGCTGGGAGTTGGACGGCATATGGGCTCGGTTCTCTCGGAGCTGCCTTCCTCACCTGCTACAGCCACTGGACTGGGTTCTATGGAGCTCTTGTTCTTGCTTTTTATCTGCTCGCAGTGGCCCCGATTCTCATCTCTTCCGCTGTTCGGCACTCACCGGCGGCCACTTTTGGTCTCGGCTTCTTTGTTTATATGATTCTTGTGTTGTTCCATGTCTGGGTCGTTGCCTACGCCTTCGTCCCTGGTGGCTACCTGGTGAGAGAACACACTGACTGGATCATGATCACCACGATGTTGTGCATTGGTGCTGGTGTCTTTTCTGCTGCAGTCTCAAGCTCGCATAACTCACGGAGCAAGATCGTCAGCCCCAACGGCAAGAGACAGCGCTCCTACTTCATATATGTCCTTGCGGCACTCCAGCTTCTGTCCATCTCAATTGCATACCTTCGATTCCCCACAAATGACTACACTCCCTATCACAAAGAAGACAAGGTTGCCACTCTTGGCATCTGGACAGTTCACTTCGGCTTGGACAATGACATGTGGGCATCTGAGAGACGCATGCGTGATGTGATACAGGAACTGGAACTTGACGTGATCGGCCTGCTCGAATCCGACAATCAACGTATTATCATGGGTAACCGTGATATTACGCAATTCCTGGCAGATGACCTTGGCATGTACGCCGATTTTGGACCTGGTCCCAACAAACACACGTGGGGATCTGCTCTGCTGTCCAAGTTCCCGATTGTCAACTCTACACACCATCTTCTCCCCTCCCCTGTTGGTGAACTTGCTCCTGCCATTCACGCCACGCTCGATATGTATGGGGAATTGGTCGACGTCGTTGTGTTCCACTCAGGCCAGGAAGAAGATCCTGAAGATCGTCGCCTCCAGTCTGAATATTTGTCTAACCTGATGGGCTCATCTGATCGCCCTATGGTTTTGTTAAGTTATCTGGTTACCAAGCCGCTTGAAGGCAACTACAACACCTATGTGAGCGAGACCAGTGGCATGAAGGATATTGATCCGACCGACTGGGACAGATGGTGCGAGTACATCCTCTACAAGAAACTGAAGAGAACAGGCTATGCCCGTATCAGTCGGGACTCGATCACCGACACAGAGATTCAGGTAAGCTCTGTTCATCAACAATTGTAACTTGATTCAATCTAACATATATCTTGTGACAGGTCGGCAAGTTTGTGATCGGGGAGCCGGAGCCTGAGAATGAGCTGCGTATTCCCGAAGAGATGGTCCCCAAGGGCCGCCAATTCCCAGACCTGTTCCGTGGGCAAGGTGTGCGTGGCCACCGGTACCACGTGTTTGATGAACCCAGATACTGGCAATAATGTGTCTGCATTGAAGCCAGGCATTGGTGCGACAGGAGCTGCAGATCATGCTCTATTGCTCCTGAGTATATTTCCATAGGACAAGCATACCGGCAGGGTCTCGCGAATAGCCGTTGCCGGTTGCTATGATTATGTATCGCGAACTGAATTGCAAATAATGTACTTTACCCTTCACAATATTTTTGCGAGTCTATCGTGTTGAATTGATTTGCGCTTCCAGGACGTAAGATAGGCTGGATCTCCCGTACAGACCAAATGAGGCCGAGGAGAAAGCTGAGAGCAGATCTTCCGTGCAGGTGACCCGTTCAGCTATTTATATTCGCCTTTGCTCATTTAAATGTAACGTAGTAGTTACTAATGGGCTCATGATTGAACCCGACTCCATCCAAACACCGAAGCCGCCACCCCCAGCTCCCCAGGTGAGGAATGTGAGAAAACATGTTCGCCAGGACTGGGGTGACATAATGCAATAATCAATCAAGATGATAGCCTCCTACTAGTGGGAAAGGAGCATCACCACCCGGTGTCACTTTGGGCTTCTTCAACTTTCTCCGAACAACTCCAAGATCCTTCTCTTTTCCTCAATCACACGTTTTCTGAGAAATCTTCAAGAAAAGAGATTAGGATCCCCACAGTTCACTAGCAAGCAAGCTAGCAAGCAAGCAAGCTAGCAAGCAAGCAAGCTAGCAAGCAAGCAAGCAAGCAAGCTAGCAAGCAAGCAAACAAAGACATCAGGTCGACTTATGATGAACCTACATTCCAAACGCCCCAGAATCAACGGCGCACCGGGACAGCTGTGCAATTATCCAATGGTGCAATGGGGAATCCTCCGAAGAATGCACTTCGCACATCTCTTGTTGATCTTTCCTGCGGCTTGCGACTTGATCTGTTCTTTCAACCTCGCGATCGAACAGATGAGGATAAATGATGAGAACTCGATTAGGCCTCATTACGCTCAAGAATACCACTCGCGTTCGATAACTCTTCCAAGGCAAGAATTCCAGAAAACCCAAGGACCAGCAAATTTGAGCTTTAAAAGAGCGACCGCCATCAGGGCCATCGCCAGGAAAAGAAGAAGTGTGATACGAGAAGATCAAGGAAAGATTCCTTTGACGTTATCAACCGTTTATTCCATCGCGTGTTTCCCCCGCCCCCTCGACATTGAAGGTCATCATCGGTAGTCCTGTGAATCTACCCCCCGCACCTAGCTTCGGCTCGAGAAGAAAGGTTACGCGTGTTAGGCTCTGGGACTTGTTTTGCTTTTTTCTTGCTGGTGCCGTCATCAAGGGACTGGGTATGCATTGGGCTCTGACCAAAGCTTTGCGGCTACCTGTATTGTGTCTTCACACACGGGCTGCACACACCGACAACTGACATGGGAGAAGGATCAGCGTGAGTACATGATGCTCTCTGAAGCTGCCTTAGTCTCAATGAACATCAGTTCGACTAACATCGCAAAGCAGAGCAAGCTAGCTTGTTGTGTTCTCGTACGAAATCAGCATTGCTCCATTTGCACCACTGAGGTACTATCCACGAAGTCAACAAAGAAATCGGAGTCGCGTTGTTTACGCCCTACTGGCTTCGATCCTTGGATGAACTAACGAATAGAAATTGAAAGGGTTCTGAAGACGTTCTTTGTTTCATCCAACCACCCCCTGCTGCTGAGGGGCTTTCGCGCGCAGGCGAAAGGAGCTCACCCAACTCATACATAAGGTATTTTGCCCACTATGGATAATAAGGCACTTTGACCTGCCTAGGTTCTTTTCCGGCCATACTGACTGAACCTTGCAGTTATCGAACCGCCAGCATTGTCCATCAGTGATTATCTGCTCTCTCTGTAATTGCCTAAAGAGGCTGATCTTGGTAAGTATAAGGCCGATTATCCGTGCTGGGCCCATCTGCGCTTGTTCAATGCAGTGCTGAACAGGAACAGTGTCACAATGGCGGAAAAGCCACCAGAACAGCCAAGCAAATTGACTTCCCCTTCAGCTCCGAGTTGGAGGTATGATGCAAAAAATGGGAAACCTATGGATGAAGAGGCCTCGGAACTGCCGGGCCTGAACTACAGAATCCGTTTCGGCAGACGAAACAGCCCGCCGCGTTGGTTAATAGTGCCAGCACCGTCAATGGAATTTCACGAGGAGGCGATTTCCCCTGACGAAAAAGGTCTCGAGGAGAGACGTGTTGATTCGATGATGCCCGTCTCCAGTGGCGCAGAAGTCCTTTGTTGGAGTTTCGATCCTCCTCCGCATGAGCAAGATAACCAAGCTTTGTACAGGTATGCCTATGACGCGCTCCGTGAGGCATTAGGCAATCCCAGATTCAGGGAAGAAGCCAGAGATTATATCCGGCAGCGATTCCCAAATCCTGTTGTGGAAGAAAAAGAGGATCCTCTTCCACGACTTCCAATGCCTCCCAATCCTCGACCGCCTTTGAAGAGACAGGAAGCCATTCCGGAGACTGGCAGTCCGCAATATAATTGGTACAATCGCCCCATGCTGATTTCAAAGCCGGGATCGGCCGCATCAGCGCGCAATTATCTCCCCGGCGAAACGCCTCCTTCAGCGCCGGAGGACGCAGTGACCTCCTCCATAAGTGAGTATAAGTGGCTTTGGTTTGTGATCATCATCTTGCTTCTGGCGATGTTTCTTTGTCTGTTTCTGTATGCATTCAAGATCCTGCGATAAGAAGCACGTGTAATTGAGGATACTCTCAGCTGGATCACTGGCAAACCGTTTCCCCTGTGTCCCAATTTGGATACAGGGATGGATAAAAACACTATTTTCAGTTTGTTCTGTGGTCTTTTTGTCGATTACTTTCAATTTCTTGCTTCTTGAATCATTTTGCTTTTCATTGCCCGCGTTAGAATCGAAAGAGCCTACTCACATTCCTCACGAGACACCCCTTGCATCCTTGCATTCCTGCTTCCCTTATCCACTCTAGTGTAACTATACTCCGCGAGACGCTAACCCCTCTGCCATCACATTTAGATCGAGGAAGGAGGGCCGAATACATTGTTCACCGAGCGAACTCATCGAAGCAAGTTCACGCGGAACTGGTGCAGCAGTCACAACCACGTAAGACCAACATCCAAGCTCTTCACAGTGCTCACACGTGATTTTTCGCAATCTTAACTGACTGACCCAATATGGGACAATTTCTGTCATTCAGTTACAGCTAGGACTGCAGTGTCCGTATCAGAAGAAATCGTCAGACGGGAACCACTGGAAGCCCCGGCAAGACAGATTGCGTCGGCGAATCTAGTAAGACAGCCTGCTGCGCCGCCAAACCCAATAAGACAAACAACGCCGAAAGACGCGGAAGCGACAGGGCCTGCTCCGGAACAGCCCAGTGACGATGACGAAGAGTACGAAGACAAGTATGGGACAGATATGGATGAAGAAGACCAGAGCAAGGAGAACGAATTTTCTTCTAGTCAAGCCGCGAATTCAAACCCTAGCCCGGAAGTCAAGGAAGAGATGAGTAGTCATACCCCGCAGCATCCCCCGGGATACGAGCCAGGCGAGGCAGAGCTGGAAGGGTTGCACCGGGGGCCGACTTCGCCCACCATGCCGCTCGAACCAGGCGAAGAAGGCGGAGCAGTAAGGGGAATCGGGCCATCCAGGGAAAAACCAAAAGAAGGTGAAGAACCAAGACCAACAGCACGCAAGTCAGCCCATTTTACCCTCCTGCCTCCGAGAAAGATACCCAGGGCGCCAGCCCAGTCAGGACCGCAGACTAGCTCCAAGTACAAGGATGAGGAACTCGAGCAGGCAATCAGTTATCTCGCGGAAAATGCTGAGAGATTTTTCCCTAACCGGATCCAGCGGCGGATGAGAATGTGGTCCGGTTGCGTGGTGGAGGATCGTTCCAAGATTGGGATTAATGGGCAGATCGATCAGTTGCCTCGGTTTCCTGGGAAACTCGTCGCGCCGGAGGCTGCAGCTGCGACGCAGAAGAAGAAGAAGCGTGGGAGGGCGCCGAAGGCCGCGAAGGCTGCTTCGACGGCTCCAGATGCGGCGGCCTCAGATCCGGCTCAAGATCCAGCTGAGGCTCCAGCTCCAGCTCCGAAGAAGGCGCGGAAGAGGAATAAGAAGGTTGACGATGAGGTCGATACAGTCAATTACGGAAGTTTTCCGAAGACAGCGAAGAAGCCAAGAAGGAGTAAGAGGATTAGTGCCAAGGATTGAAGAGGTTACTCTGTGGAAGTAGGTATTCATGCGAGTCAGTGACTGGCTGACTGGCTGATATGCTGAAGCTGGGAAGTCTTTAGTTCGAACAGATGGTCTGCTGTGAAAGGGTTGTGGATCGCTGGTTTGGTTTTTAGTTCTGGTTTTTCTCTTGGTTGAATGTGTAGTCATGTTTAGTCCCTGGTCTTCGTTATAAAATTTAAGTGGAACCTTACTTTTATGAGGTTGTATTATGTTATATGAGTTGAATGTCACTTGAGGGATCATTCTAAGTCTTCTCCCCGGAAAGAGAGAGCGAGAGCGGAGAATTCTATTCTACAGAGGCTGAACGCTTCTCTTACATCCAAGGCTGATAGTATACCAGCGAAAATCAGGTACTGAATTCGCAAGTCCAACACTCAGACACCACATCTCCATACTTCCGCAATAGAGCATCCAGTACCGGGCCCACCGCCTGCGATCCGCCAATCGTCACCTCCAACGACAAAAGCCCTTTGACTAGAACATCCACCCGTTTCTGCCAGACGTCGTCATCATCATTACCACCGCTACCAGCATTATGAGTTGCCCCTGATTCCACGCCAAGCCAAAGCTCGATACTCGTCTCAATCGCCAGACGAAGGGCTAGAACCACTAGTGACGGTGTGATGTGATAGGCGAGGAGGGGGAGGTCTGCGCTTAGTCCGTTCTGTAGGTTGAATGTGTCGTGCGTCGACGGTTGCGTGAGCGTGCGTTCGATTGTTTGAGCGATGGAGATGACGGCGGTTCTCTGGAGAGCTTGGAGCTGGGCTGCTGTGATGGTGTCGTGGGATGAGCGATTGTCGGGAGGGTGGAGTAGTAGAGGAGTTAGGGTTCGGGCGAGGATGAGGGTTCCGAGGTTCCAGAATGTGAGGACGGACACTGGTGGTGAAGGAAGAGGGGGACGGGTTAGTTGAGATGGTATGTAGATAGAGGGAAGGGTGCGATTAGTATGGGATTGGAGGTGGGATTCTTTGGTTCGAATGGCATACATGCGTAGATCTCGAACTCGGTGGAGAGATCGGCGTATTTTTCCATGGATTGCGACATGAAGGGGCGGAGGGTATTGTTGTATTCGTCTACCATGGTCATGGTCGTTGTGATGAAAGTTAGGGTTGGGAACGGGACCGAGTGGCTGTTATCGTGGATGGTGGATTGGACAAGATATTTGACCTTGGTGATCCTTTGCCAGATGAAGAAGGCTCTAGCTACGGCCATGCGATAGATACGGGGAATAGTGCCATCCAAGACCATGTGGTGTGTATCTTTAATCGGGAATGGTAATGATGGATTGATTTCAGGAGACACTGTACGTTTTTCTCTTAGCCGGATTGCTGAAGTGGAACCTAAGTGGAACCAAGACACGGAGTAAATGAAAGGACTGACCTGTAGTTGAGCTGGAAAGTTCAGGAAGCTTGCACCGGTGATCTGTAAAGAGAGCCGCTCCAATGTCGCGGATGTACCCTCCCCAGCGAAGGATGTCCAGACTGGAATGAAAAAGGGTTCCGTAAAGTGAGGTGGGTCCCAATTGACAGCAATACTTCCGTACAAGATCGTCTACGCGGGACAGCTTTTGCAAACCGATGTTCAGAAATTCATGCATACTGACAGTCGTCCCCCCTGACCCGCCATGTGCTTTGGACGGGATGACAATACCGTCGAAGAGAAGAATAGCACAGACCAACCGAAATGACAGGATCGACAGACTGCCTTGAATAAGTGTTCGTGCCTCCATCCAGGCGTGGTGGAATGTGTCAATGAGAGCATCACGGCCTGCGTCCTGTCCTGCCGATGATACTTCCGATGAGGGACGAGATGCGGGCAGCCATTGTAAGGAGAATGCTCGAAGCACTGCTTTGAGAGCCGTGTCTGCCTGTTTCCGAGCTGTGGTGCCGAGTCTGTTGCCGTAAAGATGACTGAAGTGATCCAGAAAACGAACAACACCCAGCATTGTCATCCTCGGAAATTGGGTCCCCGTAGTTGTGGCTGTTGCGGATTGGGTGAATTGATCCTCGTCGGCACCTTCTAGATTCTTATATGAGTCCTGGTATTCCTAAGATGGCTCTGGCCAACGTCGAGACTGAGGGCTCGGCTTACCAAGTCCTGTCTGCGAGGATCTACTTTCGAGGTAATAGCGATGACTCGAAGCAGAAAGATTGCACTCGTAGTCCACAAACCTTGACGCAGAGTCTCTTACAATGATGTTGTAGATTGAAGCAAGACACTGGTCAAGCACCGTTGCTTCCAGCTTCGAATTCAGAAGGTGTATCGGGCTATTCTTGGTCCTGCCCACGAATATTGGCTGTGGCTGGACCAAAATACCACGCTGCTCTACCCATGATGACCCTGAAGTTGTCATTGTAGAGTACCCATGCTGTGCTTCCGCTGCGCATATGGTATCCAGTAATGAGTTCGAGGAAGAGTCGTAGGCGTCTGCGCTGAGACTATGGGTCAGCTCACTGTCGAAATTCAGCCACGATGTGAAGTCATCATCGTAAGAGTCAACAATGATTCCAGAGTCATCTGCCGAGCCAATTGTAGGTGTATCAGCTACTGAATTAACTATTTGCGACTGGTTGAGGTGTAATAGCCCGACGCCAGTGCCTGTTGCATGTTTTTGAAGTTTCTTCGGCCGCGAAGAGATGGACTTTACAAAGTCAAAGGTGCAGTGGTGGCCTAATCGTTGACAATTAGTGCACAGAAGAGCAGATTTATTCTCAGTAGCAGACAGCAAGACGCACCGCCGCTTTGAGCGGCGACATGGGTCGCAGCTAGTGTTTTGGCGACGCCGGGTGGTGGAAGATGAGGGTTTCACCACCCGTGAGATTTGCGCCTGGGACATTTATTTGGCTTAATGAGATAAGGAAGAATCAGATGAGATATGATGCAGTGGTAATAAGTCCATAATAAAGATAGCATACACGAGCATCAGTGCTAAGTGAGTAATGCCCCATTCAGAGTTGTGCTGTAGTTGGATTGTAGATTGATGTAGATTGATATAGTAATAGTAGTAAAGGACAATTGCCCATTTGGGAGGAACCGGCGGCGATTTCACCACGCGCTGACTCATCGTCAAGTCTGCTGACTTTACTGCTTGTTGTCCAATAACAGATGTCCTTATGAACTAAGTTTCCTGCTTCTACTCAGTACTGCGCATCTGTATCTTATAGAGAGAGTTGGGTACATTCTTGAGACTAAGCAGCACGCATAATTTATCGCACAGGGCAAGGTCATTGCAGACACGTCTTAAACATCATCCTCTCCAGCAGCTCTGCGTACACAGTCCACGATGAATTGTGGGTTGCTCAAGAACGGGGAATGCCCTTCTTGACACCGTTCGACCTGCAGCAGTCCCTCGCTCTGGGCAATCATCCTCTCCTGCACAGATAGCGGCAGAGCCCGATCATTTTCGCAGACTATATACGTACTGGGAATCTCTCGATAAGCCGTGTAAGTTACTGGCACGGACAAGGGACCAACTGGATACGATCCTAGCAGGTCCAGCGCTTCCTCCACGTCAGCCGGGTCGCATCGACTGTAAAAGACCTCCCGGACCGCTTCCTTGTCCAGAATCATTGCTCCATCCTAACCCGGCAAGGTCAGCAGCCAGATCGGCCGGCCAATAGCAAAATACGCCGAAAGGGAACAAGAATTATACCTCCGTGAAACGCATGCCACCATGCTTTGCTAGATACTCTTGCCGCTGCCGCTCGAGTTCCTCCTCTTCCGGTGTCTGAGGTTTGATCTGTCCGACGTGGTTCTGGCCTTCGGGCAGTGCCATCGCCGCCATGTACATCAACCGGAGAACCCCAGACTTCAGGCCTTGGCTTGCGCGCGCGCTCTTGCCTAGGCCCTTGACCGCTTCTGACATGGGGACTCCGCCGAAGGAATGAGCCACGGTGGTCACGTCGCGTCCGGCGTCGAGATAGCTGAGGATGACCTTGCGGATGGCTTCTGCATCTTGGGTCCAGCTGCTGAGGGGCGGGCGGGAGTCCACGGAGGGCATTGTCACGCCTACTGCTTCATAATTGAACTTGGTCAGCCCTTCGACTAACCGGCGGTAGTGCTGTGGTCGATGCCAGGCACCCGGGACGATGACAATTGCTGGCCGGATCATTTTGCTGATGTTGGTTCAAGGGGTGTTGTGACGAAGAGGTATCTGGTTCTAGATATGTGAAGGGATAGGTTGATTCAGATCAGAGCCATAGAGGCCCAGATCGAGAGCTTATATACATACTGATGAAGGACTTGAGGTTAGGAATCCGCATTTTGTCGGAACCGCATGCTTATACTTCGTAGTGAAGGTGGTGGACACATCCCGTCATCGGCTCCGACCTGGTCCTACCGTTGTCGGATCCGCGCATAAAATCAAACGTCGGGTCCGCTCCAATGTGTCTTTCTTCCTCGCAAATCGATCGCTACTCAGCAGTCAGGCAGCCCACACTACATCGTAAGGCCTTTTCGGTTGAGGGTGATTTAGTTTTGAAAAGAAAAAATCACTGTTCGAGCCTTTCATATTGTAGTCGAAAACTTTCATCCGCAATCCCTCTGGCAGCCAGCGACGTTTACTGGTAGGAAAGCGCAAACTCTCTCATAATATGAAAGATGACACGACCTGATGAAGAGTTGTCTTGCTACTCAATACTCCGCAATGGGGCGGCTCCGGCGATAATTGATTCCCTCGTGCAAGGTCATACCTTCGTCGATAAAAGTTAAGTGAACCATTGGCGAAAGGATCCGAGTCGCCGACATAATCATCGTCACGATCACTAGTTATCGCCGTCAGTCATATACTCGTACTCTACATCGTATTCGCCCTGTTCCTCCTGACCGATATGTTCAAAGTGGAGTTTCACACCGGCTGCCTTACACGCGCTCCGAGATCGGCTCATTACCATAGGCGGTTCCCAAAAATCAGTCTCGCTGTACGCAACATTATCCTCCTTGATGATGATCTGCTTCAGGGTATGCCAGTTTAGTGACTAGATCTTCACTTCGGAAGTCCCAATACTGCTCCAGTACTATTGGAGGACCACCAACGATCTTGAGATATTCTAACGCTGGAGGAAGATGATATTGCAGAACATCGGATTCGTCGTCGTTTTCATGTTGACATTGCCAGCTGAAAAGCAAGTCGGCGGACATGACGACGATCGTAAGGCAAGGGGATGCGCTCATGGGAGGGCATGCGCAACGATGCTTAGGGACGCGGCCAATCCCTCGACGAATCAACAACACATCATCGGATGTGATATCTAATGCTTGTGAGTTCTTCTATGCCGCTTGATGCCGCGCCAAACTGCGTTACTGAATGTCCCAAAGGATATTTTTATGCCTGAAACCTCACGCACAGTCTGGTAAACGCCTCAGGTGATGAAGGGCTACAACAATGTTATCTGCTTTGGATTTCACTGCCCTTCCAACAACAATAGCCATGGTTGTGATGGGAGAGTCCCCTAAAGTCCCACCCAGCAACAGCGCCGCGCTTTCCTTGACGACACCATCGATCTTCAGGTCTCGGAGGCAGGGAAGGCGGATCACAGGACAAATATCCTCAATCAAGAAAAGTTCTGTACGCGGCTCGGCCTCCAAGGCGAGGCTCTGCAAGTGCTGGAACGCCTTGTATGCGCTATGGACCCGAGGGTCAACTGTACACCGCAGAAGTTAACGCAAGAACTGGTTGTGCGCCCACAGCGCCTCTCGACGCTCGGCAAACGTGTGAAAATAAGTGGCACCAATAGCTCAGAGTTGCCTGCTTCTATCATGCCGCGAATATGGGTATCGAAGAAGTCGAATCCGCAATCGGAGATCAGATTTTCGACAAATGTCCATAGAGCATTTCGGTCTGACTCGGGGGTTGGGGGGGTGGGGGAAGGGGGGTCATGGGCCACGAATGATACTTGACTTCAACATGCTGCACACAGTCTACCATGGGAAAAGAGTTGCTTGCAAGCGCGCGGAGGTACGATGACATGAAACGCACGGGGTTTTCGTCGGGGTGGTAGCACCAAAAAGCGTAGAGTGCAGCGATTCGCAGCCCCATACTAAGCACGACTGAACTCGACAGAGTGCACATAAGTTCCGCCATACCTGCCGCATGTCTGCATTATGAACCACTTCAGTTATAATCTGATCAAGCAGCTCATTAGGTGAAATGTGTGAACCACCTCAGGAAGCTGGCCTTGCAGGGCCAGCAATCGTTCTGTAGGCTAGCATGGAAGACAATATGGAAGCAGAGCAAGGTTTTAGATACACTCAAGTGCTGGCAACGAGTAGTAAGGCAGGAAGTCCAGCAGTAGGCTGACCAAAGAAAGATTCCGCTAATTATCATAACTTATCGCAGTCATTGAATTCAAAAAACACGCGGGGGTTTTCATGTGATAATGGATTTGGAGCCAATGATAACAATTGCGGACATCCTCTGTCTGAGTTCATAGTGAATTAGCAGGCAGTTGATCGCTGATGGTTTGAATGAATGTTCTGGTCTGGAACTCGATGTTATGGTTTGAAGATGTTGCACTAGAAAGATGATTGTAATAGAATTGCTTCTAGCATCCCTGTCACAAAGAATGGTACATCTGGGCTTGATAGTTCAACACAGTCATCTTAGTTGCACCCTCATCACGACAAAGTATGGTGTCTAAAAGTTACTACCCCGGGGTCGTGCAGTGCGGAAACAAATGAAGCAAAGCAGGTAAAGCAGGCAAACGACAAGAGGGACAAAGAAGCATAACTAAAGCGGAGTATGCAAACGGGACAAACAGCGATCCGCGATGGCTTCATCGGTCGGCACTCTCCAAAGCGACAACATTCGACTGGCACCACGTCTAAATCCTGCGCTAGGTGTGTTTGGTCCGGTTAAACCTCCTGAGTATGCCATTGACTCCTCATACATAGCTTATCTCGCTTCAGCCATCTCGTATCGATGACTTGATTGAAGCGTCAGCCGTCCTCGCGACAACACCATCTCACTCAATTCATACAGCCGAAGCTCTCCCCAGGCAGCGCGTGACGGGATCCGATCGAGATGTTCACTTTCACTCCTTTGCTTGGTGCGCAGTCATCCGCATCAAAGGCTTCACAGTCGATCTTGGAGCTCGAAGGAGGGATAAAGATCCTGGTGGATGTCGGCTGGGATGACACCTTTGATCCTCTTGACCTGCAGGAACTGGAAAAGTGAGCCAATCCTCCTCTATCAGGAACTCCGCGCGCTCTCATAACGTCGGCACTCTGGCTAACATACATTTCCAATAACAAAGACACGTTCCTACACTATCGTTGATCCTTTTGACCCACGCGACGCCCGCACACATCGGTGCCTTTGCCCACTGCTGCAAGACTTTTCCTTTGTTCACCCAAATTCCCGTATATGCAACAAGTCCTGTAATCGCTCTCGGTCGCACACTTTTGCAAGATCTATATGCGTCTTCGCCGCTAGCTGCAACCTTTCTACCAAAAGCTTCAATCTCGGAATCAGGGGCATCCACCTCCGCCGCCTCGGCCGCAGCATCCGTCGCACAAGGGGATGAAAGCCCCAAGCCTACACATGCAGGGCGCATCCTGCTTCAACCTCCTACCAATGAGGAGATCGCACGCTATTTCTCACTGATTCATCCCTTGAAGTACTCACAACCTCACCAACCGCTCTGTTCCCCTTTCTCCCCGCCCCTGGACGGCCTGACCTTGACTGCGTACAACGCTGGACACACGGTGGGTGGTACGATATGGCACATTCAACATGGGATGGAATCTATTGTCTACGCGGTCGACTGGAACCAGGCCCGCGAGAGCGTTGTGGCAGGAGCGGCGTGGTTCGGCGGTTCGGGCGCCAGCGGGACTGAGGTTATTGAGCAGCTGCGCAAGCCAACGGCGCTCGTTTGTAGTACCCGGGGAGGTGAGAAATTTGCTCTCCCTGGAGGAAGGAAGAAGCGCGATGATCTGCTGCTGGACATGATTCGCAGCGCTATCGCCAAGGGGGGCACTGTCTTGATCCCGACGGATACTAGTGCTCGTGTCCTTGAACTGGTCTATGCGCTCGAGCACGCCTGGCGCGACGCCGCGAGCACTGCTCAGGGCGACGATGTGCTGCGGACGGCGGGGTTGTACATGGCGGGCAGAAAAGCCAACACGACTATGCGACTTGCTAGAAGTATGCTAGAATGGATGGACGAGAATATTGTGCGCGAGTTTGAGGCTGCGGAAGGTGTTGATGCGACAACTGGCCAGACGCAGTCGAACAACGATGGGCCGCGGTCAGGTGGGCAAGGTAAGGCCGAAGGCAAAGGAGTCGGTCCGTTCACATTCAAGCACTTAAAGATTGTGGAAAAGCGCAAGCGACTGGAGAAGATCCTCAACGACGGCACACCCAAAGTCATTCTGGCCTCTGATGCATCGCTGGACTGGGGCTTCGCAAAGGAGACGCTCCGTCTGGTAGCGGAGGGCGCCAACAACCTGCTCCTTCTAACCGAGCCTTTACACAAGGAGAATGTCACTGGGGGCCATAAGGAAAGTCGTCATAGGAAAACTCTTGGCGGCATGATCTGGGAATGGTACGAAGAAAGGAAGGATGGGGTCGCTCTCGAGAAAGGCTCGGACGGCGAGATGTTGGAACAGGTGCACAGCGGTGGAAGGGAGCTCTCATGGTCCGAAGTGCGCCGTGCGCCTCTCGACTCTGGGGAGCAAATGCTTTATCAACAGTATCTCGCTACAAAGCGGCAGTTGCAGGACACCTCTCAAACAAGAGGACAAGAAAACCTTGACACCGCCGCGGACGCCCTTGACGACCGATCTAGTTCTACATCCGAAGATTCGGAGACTGAACAGCAAGGAAGAGTGCTGAACTTCTCTACTTCCTTGGCCCATGCCAACCGCAACAAGCTTGGTCTCAGCGACGAGGATCTCGGTGTCAACATTCTACTGCGGCGCAAGAACGTCTACGACTACGATGTCCGAGGCAAGAAGGGCCGCGAGCGAATGTTCCCTTACGTGGCTCCCCGGAAGCGGGGCGATGAGTACGGAGAGTTTATCAGACCCGAGGAGTATCTTCGCGCAGAGGAGCGTGAAGAGGCCGATATGCAGCAACGTCGGACTGACTCCCAAATGAAACTGGGACAAAAGCGAAGATGGGACGAAGGCGGACCCAACGGACGCCGGTTGTCCGGCAGTGGAGGCAAGCGCCATCACGGACAAGGTGGGGGTTCTAAGAAGGATCTCAGCACAGCCGATGAGTTGAGCGTGATGGAGGACGGCGAGGGCGCTGATGCTGGCTCGTCCGATGATGAGCAGGAAGGTCAGGCGTTCGAAGGCCCGGCCAAGGCAGTCTACGAGAAGGCGAGCCTGACCATCAACGCGCGCCTCGCTTTTGTGGACTTTACCGGTCTGCACGACAAGCGCAGCTTGGAAATGCTCATCCCACTTATTCAGCCCCGCAAGCTGATCCTGGTCGGAGGAATGAAGCAGGAGACGACGGCCCTGGCCGAAGAATGCCACAAGCTGCTTGCAGCTAAGGTGGGCGTGGACGTGCCCGCATCTGCAGATTCGGCAGTAATTTTCACACCAGTCAACGGAGAGACGGTCGATGCCAGCGTCGATACGAACGCATGGATGGTCAAGCTGAGCAACAACCTGGTCCGACGATTGAAGTGGCAGCATGTGCGCAGCCTCGGTGTGGTCACGTTGACGGGCCAGCTTCGGGGGCCTGAGTCTGTCTCTCAGACGACAGCAGAACAGGATCCGGAGGGCCCGCACAAGAAGCAAAAGGTGCTGCTGCCGGACGAGACGAACACAGCCACTGACTCTGAGGCCGAGTCGACGAACCCCCAGCCGCCACAGCCAGCACCGCCGCCGCCGCCGCCGCCGCCGACCCACAAATCCGATATTTACCCCTTGCTTGATGTCCTGCCGGCCAACATGGCGGCGGGAACGCGATCCATGACCCGGCCTCTCCACGTGGGCGACCTCCGTTTGGCGGACTTGCGCAAGCTCATGCAGGGAGCCGGTCACACGGCGGAGTTCAGGGGTGAGGGAACGCTGTTGATTGATGGGATGGTGGCCGTGCGCAAGTCGGCGACGGGCCGGATTGAGATCGAGGCATCGGCGCAGTCAGCAGCGATGGTGCCCGGGCGGAAAGGTGCAGGGAGTTTCCTGGCTGTGAAGCAGAAGATCTATGAAGGCTTGGCCGTGGTCTCGGGGAGTTGATTGACATCTGGTCGAGATGAGAATTGTACCATTTGAATGTGTATTTGGCGAGTGCGCAAGATCTAATTTCTGTCGGGCAAGTCCGAATCCCTTGCTGCATGCAAGTAGTGTAAGCATATGCACGGTCCAATTACTGAATCTATAAGATACTTCAATGAGACTTCCCAGGTGTACTCATGTACTCAATTCAACAATTGCACCACGAGGTACTTCCAAATGAGGTCTCAGCTGTTCTGAGACAGATGACTACGACCGCCTCTACTATCCATAACAATCCAGCCTAATAGCAAAGTGAACTGGAGACGATCTCCCTCCCTAAGACACGTCACATAGCACACAGCCCCCTTCTTCGGAGTAATTCACATGCATTATATGTAGCTTATGCAAGTCACTCACTGCGCCTACAGCGACATCCCCCGCCATCTAACAATAGCTCAATGCACAATTCACCGGTATACAGCACAGGACAAGTATAGACCACCCCCCCCCCCCCCGTCACCCCGGATGGCAACTTTCA